CGGACACCATCCACACACATACAAACATACATAGATACCATTCCTACCATTATCATATAAATCTATCTACTCCGAGTACTAGTATCTCTCACAACCCGCGTCGAATGGCGCCCACTGTGCTGCACTGTAAAGCGAACAACCATATGGTTCTGAAATACGAATACCCGAGATACATAAAGCCGAGCTACCCAACGCGCCACATCAAGCGGGCGCATCGCATTCAGCTAGCCCGTCAACACCAGACTAGACTGGACTGGACTAGTATGTTCAAGTTCCTTTCCCTAGCTACTACTGTACTCGTACAATCCAGCCAGTCCGGTGCAGTCTGGTACGTATACGTAGAGAGTATACGTAGCTGTACATACGCGTCCATGCAGCGCCGGCGCTTCCTTGAGCATAAGCTTCTGCCCAGTGCATGGTAGAGGTAAGAATAGATTTCGATTATCTTTTTACAGAGTATAGGGTATGTACGAGTATGTATGTATGGTCAGGATCGAATTGGGGACGGCCGCCGGGCGTCCTGCGGAGACCTCATTTTCTGGAGCGGGAAGGGAGGGAAGGGGAGAGCCCGGGCCTGAATTGGCCTGAGCAGCTCTGGCTCAGCTAGCTTTGGCTTTTGGAGCTGGCGCTGATCGAGAATTGCGACAGTAAACTTTAGAGTGGATGGATGGTAGAAGATAGGCGGGAAAAAGTGATTTTCTTGGGTTCAAGTTAAGTTCTTTAATTACAGATAATGTACATCTGGCCTACTCTGTTGCTTTTGTGAAACTTCTTTCTGCGGGGACGATTGCTTGATCTACAGACGTAGTACATAGAGGGCTCCGTACTCCGTCGGAGTAGTTGTAGTTCAAGTTATTTAGATGATACAGGGTGAAATTCATTCTGAAACGCAGAAGAGATTGTCTCGTCTCATCTCAAGCCGGAACGCACCGGTGCAGCAGAGCGTGCGGAAATCAAATCCCAGAAACGACTAATCATTGGTCTGTTGAAGGCGAAGAAGGAGAAGAAGTAGAAGATCACTTACCTGAAGAGGCAGGATCCTTATTTTCTCCAGAGTTGCGGGACAACTTGCTGGTGGATTACCAGGGGACGGGAACGCGGTACGAGGTGTGGAATCGGTACACAGGGACCCGTGGCTCAGCGGTCGGTAGTTTGTACGGGAAACAGTAGAATGTATCTGATCGGCCGTGTCAAGAGAATGGAAACGAGGCAAGCCAGAGTACGAGTATTGTGTAGAGAATAGGGAAATCTCCGGAGATGCAGGTGCAGGTACAGGCGAAGCCACTGCGTGGACAGATTCGTATGTCTCTCGTGTACACTAACAGCGTCAGTGGCTGAATCTAGCAAGGCGAAGCATCTGTTTATTTCCTAATTCTGTATTTTTCCTTTCTTTTTTCCTTCCCCTTCCCTTGGGACAGGCACTAGCTGGTTCCGCTCTCGAGGCTAGAAACGATTGGCAGGTGGGGGGGAAGGCTTGGAACGAAAAGGAAAGAAAAGAAAAAGAATACCAAAACCAAAAAACCCGAGCAATCCACCACGGTTCGTCTGATCAGTGCCAAGACATGATGGAAGTGGCTAAGTGGAGAAGCGCGTCGCAAGCCCGGCTGTCGTGTCGATCGGGTATTGTTGTATTGCTTTGACACAACCATTACTGTAAGACGGTGGTACGAGATCAGGTACGAGCTGCAGCAGATCTGTCGTACTCCAAGGGGAGGAGATGAGACATCAGATTATCAGAATACGAGTATACTCCCATATCATCTATCATCTACTCATCGTATATCGTATATCACAAGTTATCATATACACACCGGGACTATATGCATATACTATATACTCCTTACTATGTATACTAACTCTTATGTATCTACTCTTGGCGCAAATTGCAGTGGGCCCAATTAAGTACGTTAAATGGCCAATTCCAGACTCAATCTACTTTCCAACGACGTAATACTAGTAGCAAAAGAAGGGAACAATAGTAATAACAACGGGGATGATCATCGTTGACAAGACTACTCTTTACTCGCCCTTCCTCTCCTCCCTCCGCCCTCCCGTCTCCTCTCTCCTCTCCTCTCCTCCCAAACTAAAAAGTCTTATCCCTTGGGACTCGGAGCCAATCCAATTACTGTACTTCCATACAGCCAAAATTACGTGAAACAGACCCAGCGCAACGCATTTCAATCGCCTGACGTCGGCCATTCCCACTTTGACCCTCTTCTCCGGCCTTAGTCCCGACTTCGGCTTACATACACATTCCATGCCTACCAGGTCCCAACCTCATAAATCGAATAATGCCCGCCACGCGCGTACGACCTCCTGGTCGACTGGATATAATCATCTAACCCAGGGCCCTGGTGAACCCTCCGACTCACAACCTCCTCGACGTCGCCGCGAATCCAACATCTCCCTCGCCAGCGTCGACGAGGGCATTGGCGCTCATTCCTCCACCACCACCACTGCCGACCCCTCCGATGACCCCGACATGATCCGCAATACTTCGATGGATCTAGACGTCCGCAAAAACTCGCACCATGTGCGCTCCCGCTCCCAGAGCCATGCGCAAGCCCTGCTCATGCAGGAGTCTGAAATTCCCGCCCAACCGCCGGTCCTTGCCCGCCCTCCTCCAGTAACATGGATGTCCCTGCCTCAAAAGGGCCAATTGGCTTTACTTGGTCTCTGCCGTGTTTTCGACTTTCTTCAGATTGCCTCATTACAGGCTTATATGTTCTACCAGTTAAAATCTTTCGACGAGAACCTCTCCGACTCGGATGTTGCGACACAGGCCGGTATTCTCCAGGGTGCTTTTACCGCTGCTCAGTTCGCTACCGCAATCCCTTGGGGTCGTGTCGCGGATGCTGAGTGGGGTGGTCGCCGCTTTGTGCTGCTGGTCGGCCTGGTGGGCACAGCTGTCTCCTGCTTGGGTGTTGCCTTCTCGACATCGTTTGCGCAAGCGGTCTTCTGGCGCTCGTTTGGTGGTGCTATCAACGGCACCGTTGGTATCATCCGAACGATGATTGCGGAGAATGTCAAGGAGAAGAAGTATCATTCGCGCGCCTTCTTGATTCTACCTATTGGATTTAATGTCGCTTCGCTTTTTGGTCCTGGTAAGTCTGACAAGCTGTTCTTGGCTGCCTGGAGAAGGATTTGAGACTAACTGCAAACTAGTGATGGGTGGTATGTTTGCGGACCCCGTCAAGAGCTACCCCCGCTTGTTCGGCCCCAATTCATCCTTTGGCGGCGAGAATGGTGTGGAGTGGTTAGAAAAGTACCCCTATGCTCTGCCCATGTTGGCCAATTTCTTCTTCCTCTCGAGCTGCGCCTGCTTGGTTGGTTATGGCCTGGAGGAGACCCTGCTGGCCTGCAAGGGCAAGCCTGGTCTGGGCTCATTTATCATGAAGTTCTTCGCTCGTAGTGTGCGTGGCGTGTTGGGAACATCTTCGCCCATCTACTCAAAACTGCCATTCCGCGACTACGAGGAGGATGGTCCTCTCATGGGCCAAGTTTTGGACCGCTCCGAGAGCTACGAGCTAGAGGAGAAAGCCAGACCCGTGCGTGTCAAGCGCGTGCTGCCCTTCAGCCGGATCTGGACCAAGAACGTGTGGTGCACACTTCTCGCTCAGGCATTTTTCGATTTCCAGATGGGTGCCTTCAACAACCTCTGGCTGCTCTTCCTGTCTACTCCCCGCTACGATCCCAATGACCCCGCCGCCCCAGCTCAAAGTCTTCCCTTCAGCTTCACCGGTGGACTCGGCATGCTTCCGCAGAGTGTCGGTTTTGCGACCGCCATCCTGGGTGTTATTGGCATGTTGCTTCAGTTCACCATCTACCCCTCGATCAACGGACGCTTGGGTACAGCTAAAAGTTACCAATATTTCCTCTCCCTCTTCCCCCTGGCATACGCCCTGGCCCCATACATCTCGCTTGCCCCATCCACTATCCCGCCTCCGGGCCAGGCTAACGGCCCCTGGGTTTGGCTTTGGATCATCTTCGTCCTGTTTCTCCAGGTCACTGCTCGAACTTTCACCCTGCCGACCTCTATCATTCTCTTGAACAACTGCTCGCCGCATCCGTCAGTTCTGGGTACTATCCACGGCATTGGCCAGTCGGTATCATCGGCCTTTCGAACCATCGGCCCCATCTTCTCAGGCGCATGGTACGGTTACGGCTTGGAAATCGGCACGGTCGGCTTTGCTTGGTGGCTGGTGGCCCTGGTATCTGTCTTTGGCTGCGCAGCAGCTGTATTTGTTTATGAGGGTTCCGGTCATGAGATTCTTCTTCCTGGCGAGGAAGATGATTTCCAAGAGCACTGATGTGATGTCTGACGTCTTTTGTTCTCTCCCAGTTCGAACTGTACATTGCTTCAACCTCCTTTTGCATGTCATTCGGTGTCGGTTTTTGGTGGGTTTTCTGTTTTTTCTTTTCTGTGTTCATTTATTGCCTTCTTGGGCGGGCAACTTGGTTCTCGACTCGAAAAAGGGTCTCGGGAAACCATTTTGTCTCCCTGCAGTGGATCTAGTGGTGGATCTTCATGCATTTAGACCTATCTATACCTCTCGTCTTGTTTGCATGTTTGTCATATTGTCTTTGGATACCATTTCTTATCTGCATTGTCATCTCCGCGCGGCATTATCACCCCCATTTGCTTTGTCTGCGGCGTTCTGTCCTCATATTTCATTTGTTTGTACCTTTCCCCTATTACCTGTCAATTGGTGATGGGGTGGGATGGCTTCTCTGTAACTATACTTTATAGAGAGCGATGTCTCTTGTCGAGCTGGTTGTGTCTAGCGCGACAGATGTACTATTTCAAAGGGCGGCCCTTGGGCTGATCTGACCCTTTTGTCCTATACCAAAGTCATAATAAACCATTTAAATCCTACCAAAATGCAAGCAGTGTAAAAATAAGCGAATATTCTCGTATGTTTCATCAAACATGGCATTCAAGCCCTAAACTTCGTTAAAATCTATACAGCTCGAACCGAACCGAATCGGAGACACCCATACTATGAAGAATGACCATAATACTTCACATAACTAGCATCAAAGGTCTTTTCATCAACAGCAAACTGCCGAATATAATCCCGCTCAAGATCATGCGTCCTCCGACCCAGAAGAACAAGACTATGCAACGGCGCACCCATCTCAACCTCTGCCAACTCCTCCAACGTCCCAACAACAATCTTCTGATCCGGCGCCCCAACCCGCGCCGCACCAACAGCAAGACTATCCGCATGATAAACACCCTCCTGCCTCGTCTCCTCGGTCTCAACCAGCTGCGCCGCACACTGCGCAACGGTCATATAGCGCGGCGGCTCGAAGATGCGTCGACCACGGGCTAGATTCTCCATTGATTGTTCCTTGACCTTGATGTCGAGTAGGACGAGGGTGTGGAGGCCGATATGCGCATTCTCGCGCACTTTGTCGTAGAAGGAGGAGGGTTTCCAGTTCTCCGTGAAGAATACCATGCTGACTGTTTGGCCGAAGTTGTAGAGTTGGAGACCCGTGCAGCCGATTCCGGACATGATTGAAGCGTTGGGGACGACGTTTGTTTGGATGCCGAGTTCGCGGGCGCGGAGAACGAGGTCGGTGTGGGTTGTTGCGCTGGTGGGGAGGGCTGTTAGTACATATCTCTTGTATTCTATCAAGCGTGGTGGGAAGTGTGACGGGGAAGTGAGTCGTGGATATATTGAGGATCGCACTTACCCGAACGGATCGCCCACGACTAGGAAGGCAACGTCGACCTTGTCGGCGTCAGCGAGGATATCATCGCTGCCAGTCTCTACGAGCTCGCGGTCAGCTTCAATGACGGGACGGCCGTAGAACTCTTCCTATAAAGCGCAAAACATGAGGTTAGCGGGACAGAACGTATAGTGAACCAATTGCCGAGGCAAAGCCTTGAATTTCGAAAGGTCGTCCACTCACAAGCTTCGACTTGTCAACCAGGAGAATGGCCGTGTAGGCTTCCAGATAAACGCGCTCGGCCTTCTTCACAATCTCCAGACCGCGGACAGTAATGTCCTTCTCGTCGGCGAGGCCCAGACCCACAAGGTGCAGCATGATGAGTGAAGGATGGCGGGTATAATGCAATTGACAAAGAATTGGAGTCCGGAAAGGGTGCCTTGTCTTCTCCAATCTCGTCCAGGTAGAAATTGGATTGAATCGAATTGGAAATAATTGAATATGCCCCGCGGCAGAACCCGACCGACCGCCCTGGAGCGGAGGAAATGAATGTCCGGCTATCGCGATCTCCCCGGACTTCACATCCAAAGCTTGCTGCAACCTCACCTTGATCTGCTGCTCTCACTTTCGTTGCCCTTGTGGCAAGCACTCTTCGCATAGTATCGCATCGTATGTATCCAGCCTAACACATCGGACCGTATAATCGCATAACTGAATCATCCCCTTAGGGTAGCCCTTTCGTCCCAGCTCGTTCGCCTATCGGAGTCGTCATCATGAGCTCCGATCGCCAGCCAAAGTATCGGCAGGAGATCCAGCAGGTGAGTTATATTCCCTGTCGATAATTTGATATCATCTTGTCGCGCCTCGGTCTCGGTCTCAGTCTTCTTCTCGGTCTTCAATCGCTTGCTGTGTCTGGGAGTGCTTGACGCTATCTTGCTGGTATCCGATAATCAGCGCCAGACTCGTTCGCGAGGTTCAGTCGGTCTTGCAATGGGAGAGAATCGGTCATATGCGAGGTGGTCTTTGCATTGAGGGCGCATGATGTGTCATTGTGTCCCGCCGGTTCCTCTGGAGTTCTCCGTCTGGTATCAATCTGAAAGGCAGCGCCTGAGATCTGGCATGGGCTATTGCAGGAGCTGAGAATGAACAAGCATGGTTGCATATTATGCACATGTTTGCTCTTATTGTGGATTTTCTCTGTGAAGAGTCGGATGTCTGGAGTTCCAGGGAGAGCAAACGGATGGAATGGAACAGAACACGGACGGCATATACCGCCCTCGCCGGCTCATGATATGCCGAACTTCAACAGGCTGCCTTTAACTGGCCAGCTGATTGGCCGGTCTTGATTGCACGCAGGTCTATGCATAGCAGATTCCTGTCCTCGAATCTGCAAACAAGCTTCTCCACCCCCACACCATCCTCTCAACAATCCACTTTCTATCCTCCAAGTCTCATCCTAGCAATATCTCGTCCCATCAGCATGGCTGATGACGGCCAACCTCCCGTCACCCAGATTACGCCAGAAGAGCAGGAACTGGCGAGCTCCGGTGAACTCCAGAACCTCTCCACGAGCATGTTCTTCGAAGACCTCTTGCCACTCAATTTGGGCAGATTTGGGCAGCTTGGCTCCTTCGCTGACACTTCCCCACAAGATTGGAAGTCCGATGTGGATCAAAAGCCCAAACTGGGGCCGCATTGGACATCCCATTATGGGAGGAACCTCTTTTTGGCGGCCGCCAGCCCGGACCCGAATACTTCGGGGTTCTCTATGAACCCTGGCGTGCCAGGCGATGTCGATACTCCGTCAACCGACATTAAAGAAGAAGAGACCGAGGAGGACAAGAAACACTCCCAAAAGACCTTGGCTGACCTTCTCCCCCAGATGATGTTCGTGTCTGGCGAGACCGCAGAACCATCCATCGACACCACCACCCTCATCGAGGAAATTACCCGCCAGCAGGTGATTGAGATTGTGCGTACATTATTTGTATCTCTAGTGAACTAGCAACTAACAGATACTACAGCTCACACGCAGCACCTCATTGGCTACTCGCCGGGGTTCACGGTCTATCTCAACCGATGACCTTATCTTCCTCATTCGACATGACAAGGCCAAAGTCTCTCGCCTTCGAACTTTCCTTTCCTGGAAGGATGTTCGCAAGAACGTCAAGGACTCCGATGACAAGGGAGGTGGCGATGCCGCCGACTTTGCGGCCGCCGACGATGCAGCCGGTGCGGTAGCAGGCCCGACAGATGTAGCCGCGAAGCCTAAGAACAAACGCGCCAAGGTCGGACTTGCTTGGGATGTTAACAGCCTATTTTCTGTCCAAATCCCGGAGCGCGAGGATGAGGAGGACGAGGAAGAGGAGGAGCAAAACTACGCCACCCTCCAGCGTCTGGCTGCAGCCGATGAGCGCACCAAGTACATGACCAAGGAAGAGTATGTTTTCTGGTCCGAATGTCGACAGGCCTCATTCACCTACCGCAAGAGCAAACGTTTCCGCGAATGGGCAGGCTTCGGAATCGTAACCGAATCCAAGCCAAACGATGACATCGTCGATATCCTGGGCTTCCTGACCTTTGAGATCGTCCAGACCCTCACCGAGGAAGCACTCAAGGTCAAGGTGCGCGAAGACCATGAGAAGAATCGCGGCGGCGGCGACAATGGCGACAATGCCAAGAAGCGCAAGCGCGAGACTGGTCTGTTTGACCCCCCCTGAGGAAGGTCGTACCCCCATTGAGCCACGCCATGTCCGTGAGGCCTATCGCAAGCTGCAGGCTACCCCACAGAAGAACATCGCGATGCTCCTTCACGAAGCCCGGGTTCCTGCTCGAATGCCCCTTCAACTGGTACGTATCATATTCCATCTATACTTGCTGACATAGCTCTTTCGATTTGCGTTTTTGCTAACCATTTCTTCCAGATCTGAACTGCTGTCTGTTCCCCGAATTGTTTTTGTTCTTTTGTAGGACGGTGCTCAGGAGTTTTCTAGCGACAATCGCTGCATGTTTTCATGATACCCATGGTCAATTTCTACGTGGTTCCGGGTTTGAGCCACTGTTTTATGGAGTCATATGTACGTTGACCAGTTTCGACCTGGCGGCGATCTTGATTTAATTGATCTATCTTCAATTATTGTTCCCTCGATGAGGTCCTCCGGGCTTCGTTCAAGTAGGCCACATAGGTTCCCCCTGCATGGCTTAAGCCAGTATTTCTTCCATTTCCCAGTAGAAATTATTCATATTGAGCAGTAATATTGTATACAGCTAGACGTTTCAACAAAGCCATCACATGCAGTCATAACACATAAGTCTGCGGATATCCAATTACTCCTGATGAGTGCGGCGCCCTAGCGGAGAGGAATACGATTAGCCCCAACCTCAAAAGCAAACGTGAAAAAAATCACGGAAAGATAGTGGGAAAAAACTCACACTCAGCCAATTCTTCCAAACTCAATTCCCGAATTGAATTAATAGCAGGAACATTACCCTGCACGGCGCCCTTAACAGTATCAACCGCACGACCCAGTATTCCCTTCCGAGAAACAACATGCGTAGCAATCTTCGCCTCGAGCTTAATCACGCCAATGCGGGGGTCCGTAGACGAGCCATCGTGCACGCCATCACCCATATCTCCCAACCAGGCTTTCAATGTCGGCGAATAGTACTTCTCCACGACAGCCGGGTCCGAAATGACAGAGGCGCTTCCGGCGATAGAGGCCCAGGCACCGCTCACCGGGTCCAGGAAGGACATGTTTGTTTCTCTGGGGTGGGCGGTAAGATCCATTGTTTTTCCGGAAAAGATGTTTGTGTGGAAGATTAGGTCGATGCCGCCGTTTTCCTGGTTGGTATTAGCCAATGTCTAGTGTTTTTCTTTGGTAGGTGTGAATACCTTTCCAGCAAGAGCCATGCATCGAGAAGTGAGGAATTCCCCGTCAGATTGCTTTGTCGTCAACATGCCGAATTTCACTTGGTCGATGAATTCCACTAGTTCCTCAATCTTCTGGATGAGAGGAGGGTCTTCGAAGTTCTGGGTCTTATAGGGGTCCACGGAGTGGGTGCCCGTTTCGGTGTTGATGGTTGCGTTGGCGGACATGGTGGAGTGATTGATTATTATTTAATTTTGCGAAAAAAGAAATATCAAACAGTTGTAAAACAAAAGGTATTAAGGCCCTTGGTTGGGCTTTATATATCGAAATTCCAGCTGTTCTTGCAGGTTATACTTGCAAGGCACGTCGTTGTGACGTCAGTGATTAGATCCGGATTAGGGCTTGCTTCTGGCTCAGGGTGGATTGCTTTGCTTTGCTTTGCTTGCTGCAGCTCAACAAGGCCCCACAGATCGATGGCGATCGGAGGTTGAAGTCTTGGCTGATTTGTGGTCTGATTCTAGATCGCGATTGATCGTTTGTCGGGTGCCGAATTTGATCTGGCTTAGGTGACGATGCGGTGTTTGACCCCGATCTGGGGTAGAAGAACCTTCCAAGTACAGTAGTACAAACATGGTCATTCAGATCTCGAGAAAAAGTCAAGAAAACTGAACTAGAAACTCAACCGCTGCAGATGTGCATCAACACTCTCCATACTACCTCCAAGACCATCGCGAAGATAGCGATAAGGAGAGCTGTCCTGTCAGCCCCGACCTGGAAGCCATCAAAGAATAGTACATAATACTGACCTTCACGTCCCCAACCGACCATATTCTGCATGAGCTTTCCACGTCTCTGCAGCTTTAACCAAGCAGCCATCATATCAGTCTCGCAGGTCTGGCCATGGACGACCGAACACCCCCCTGCGGAGCGACGGCATTCGAGGTGTAAACGCCGACGCTCCATAATCCGGCGAATGCGCCAGTTGCAGAACGCCTCATCAGTGCGAAAAGAGCACTTCTCCATGGGACACTCGAGCTTGCGCTCGAAACGCTCCACCAGCCAGTCCACCTTGAGGTGAACCCCTGTGTAGACGATCGAATAGAAATGGCGACAGCTGTGTTTCAAGGCCAGGGCATCGGGGTAGCTGAGATGACCTGCAACTTGAATGTGCAGCTCGGTCGGAAGATTCATTAGAGCAAGCTGGACTAGAGGAACTTCCTGGGCTTCGGCGGTGCTGTTGATCTGTTCGGATTTCTCCATGTTGAGGCTCAAGGATGGGGTAATTGTTGCCCCTTGCAAGTTGTGGGGTGATGGTATTGACTTGTTCTTGTACTCGGCCCCCAAAGTGGTTGCCTGAGCTATTTCAAGCCACAGTCAACCTATTTCAAGGCAGTTAGTTTCCTGCGATGTTTGAAACGTGTCAATTGCGCAGTAGCTGGTGGCTTGGGGAAATACGAGAATCGTTGTCTTACTGTGGAGATTCGTGATGATGGAGGTTGAGTCTCCTGAAACATGCCTCGCCGACCGCGCCAATTACAAGCTGCTAGTTCTCGTACAAACAACAAGCTTTGGGAGTAGATTGGTTTACTCCAGAAACTATGGGGCTAGTACAACCACCTTGGATCTGAGACTCCGAATCGACTATTTCAAGCTCCGAGCTCAACTTCGGAAGGGACCATCTTTTCCGAGTCATTTCTGGTGAATGTATTCATTTATTTTACAGCACGGCCTTCATGTTCTTACGTGCTAAAAATAGATTAGAATGTACTAGCATATAAATACTGGTGGTAGTTCGGTATGAGCCTGAATGTATAGAGTAGTAGTAATGAGTAGAAACTCAACTGTCATTGTATTGGGCAAATGAGTACTCTCTACTAATTGAACATCATGATACTCGCGAAGCTAACACTGCATGTGGTGTGGAACTTGAAATGATCGGAATCTTCATAAATACACGGTGTAAAAAAAATCCAATATCAAAAAAATGAAATCGCGCAAAATTCCACCTTGTTTCCACCTTGTTTCCACCCAAGAACCAAAATCCTAGATGCCATCTAAACCCCACGAGTACGGGAGTCGAGCGCGTATCCTCGCCGTCGCCAAGTCCCAAGATTTTGAATAACCTCACTTTGTTCCCAAAAAGGCAATACGTCATTCCCCAACAACCCGATGAAGTCACAGAAGAATGAACAAAAAGAGAGTGAATATGTTGAATACATTAAAAGCAAAAAAAGAACATTATCCTCAGCAGCCCTTTGGGAATGCTTTTTGACCACCCACCCACCTGAATCCTCACCCGCAAGTCGGCACCAGGCCGCAATGCCGACTGCGGTTCCCACGACCCGGGGAGGAGAACTTCTGGGGGCGAGCGGCTGTGTAGGATAGGCCATCAGAGGTGAGGCCAATTTAAGATGTACACCCCTTAACGATCACATATATGACCTTTTTGACGTCATCATGGCAGTAAGTTGATGTTGCGTAGTAGATCGCGTTCCTTTGAATAGAGAGCAACTGCGATGGTATTCCTTCAGTGATGGCCACTGGTCCATAATGCTTTCCCTAGATTCGTCCATATCACTTCTAGTCTTCGTCGTGGTGATTATTCACTGCGTCCGTCGAAATAAGGCAATCACGACTGCTTAGCACCAGGCATACTTATCATTACCAACCCACTCAACCTCGTCCTCCCGGCCACTCTCTCCTCCATACCATCGAATGGACTACAGACTTCGTCCTTCTCACGGTCTTCATGTCGGTATGTAATTCCCGTCGGTTTCACCATCTCCTGCATCGCTGGAGACGGCCCCCATAATTTCACGGAATGCAGTCCCCATTGTGCGACCTCAGTTTGCGCGGCCAAAAGAACTTCATCGAGCTCGCAGAGCCGTTTCAGATCATTCGCGAAGATAGGTTCTGCAGCTGACAGGTCCTCGGCCGATGGCTCAAAAGTGAGGTTGTGACTAGGGAAAGCACGCTATCCCAGCTTCGAATAGAATTACTTTCCAATATCCGAAAAGAGAACACTAGCCACACATTCACACATTCGGTCGTCTTATTCTGCCAGGTGCGTAATTCCTCGGCCAACTCGGTCATTAGCCGTGAGGCATACCCTTGACCGCGGAATTTAGCATCGGTGAATACACTGGCGACGCCCTGCGTGATCGCCTCGGTAAAGTTACCCTCAGTGTCGCTAATCCATGACTGCTTTCGGAACGTCTCGCAAGATGCTAGGAGAGGTCACTGGTCTCGAGAAAGGTTCTTGTCTACCAAAAATCATTGGCTCATGCTTCCATTTCTCGCTATCATCATGTACGCAGCTTCTTTGACGTACATATCCACGGAAAGAGCGCCTTTCCAGGTGTCGGAGGTTAGTTTCCATATTGCCATGTTCTCGCGATCGGTAGGATGGGCGAGGTGGAGTGATGGGGATCGTGCGTCCGGTAGGGGTAAATGGTTCATAGAGCCCATGTTGTATTATGTTCATTGTACTTCGATGCTTGTTCCCGCCCATCAAATGTGGTGATAACAGAAGTTGCTAAATTGGAACGAGGAATAGGTGCCCAATGCCCTGTTCGGCGCCTGTTCCGAATTACTTACATTAGTCTGCCCCCCCGGCTAGCTGAAGACTAAAACAATATGCAGGACCGAGCGGTAACTATCATTGAACAGAGAAGTATCGGCCGAGGAATAAAATATATATTTTTCATCTCAGCTCGGGGGATACTGGATATTTATACCTATTTTAGCATATTCCGCCTGGTAATTTCGGTTTAACAAATGGAATCAAAGTTGAATTCAGAGCCCATCCGCATCTTGAAGTTTACTCCAACGTTAGGGACAAACGAGGGATCGAAAGAGTCTGTCCGGGGCCCGGCAAATCTCAACAGACAACCTGACTTTCCGACGCCAGAGTCACCGATTAAGACCAACTTGAACTATACACTCATCTTGTTAAATCGATAAGTTCAAGGTAGAAATTGGACTATCTTACCATAAAGACATCATTTGTACCAGCTGCCTGGATCAAATGTGGAAGAAAAGAGCAACATATCTAAATAAAATGGAAGTTAAATGTTGCTCAGGCAGCAATCTTGTATGCAATGCATTCATTTGGAGATTAGGACGACCTGGGTAATCAAGTAGAGTTCCCACCACTATAATCCACCTTGATTACTACCTACTAGTCCTTCCAAAATAGCCAGGTTCAAACCATATTAGACTCGACAGTGATTATTCAAGTGATTTCCTTGCCTTGTCCTGGCAGAAAAAGTCCCCAAAGGCGAAGGGACCAGGCGGTGTGTCCAACCCAACCAATCAGACCTCGCCCCATCCAAAGCTGCCGATGACCTCGATCAAGTCTCATCGAACATCATACCTTGACCAACCATCACATTCCTCCCATAATGTCTCAATCAAACCCTCCAGGAGGACGCTCCTCTGACGTTGTGTCCGCCAAAACCTGGGACCGCGAAGAATACGCCAAAAAGGCTGCCGACGACGAAGCGAAGCGCAAAGCAGAAGGCAAAGCCCGCTACGAAGCCAAGCTCCTCGGCAAGAAATACCACGCACCGGTCGACTACGACTCACTCGAGGCGACGACCGCGCGTCAAAACCGACTCAATGTTTCCTCACAGGTCGGCAAGACGACCATCGTGCCTGCGGGCGCGTCGATGGGCAAGAAGGGCAAAGGTGCAGGATTCTACTGCCCGGACTGCGACCTGACCTTCAAGGACAATATTCAGTTTGTGGAGCATCTGAATAGCAAGCAGCATTTGATTGCGACGGGGCAGAGTGGCGAGGTTGTTCGGGCCGGGGTTAAGGAGGTGCGGACGAGGTTGCGCATGTTGGCGAAGCGGAAGCGGGATCGGGATGAGGAGGAGCGCAAGGCGTGGCAACTGGACCTTGGGGAGAGGTTGAGAGATCGGGAGGAGCAGGATGCCAAGGAGCGGGAGGAGAAGAGGCGCAAGAGGAATGAGAAACGCAGGAAGGGTGGTGTTAAGGAAGAGGATAACTGGGAAGGGCGACTGGGTATCATCGCCTGAGGGGGATTTGTGTAATATAGCGGGAGGCGAGAGGGATACGCGGTTCTTCTTATGATACCCATGGGCGTTTGGAAACTTTTCTTTCTATCTTTGTACAATGTGAGATGGTGACATGAAACTGTATTGGCATTGGTCACCAAAAAATGGGCAAATATTCAAATCATGAGTCTCTCCGATAAGACGCCAGACTCCAAGCAAAAGTAAACTGTGAATCAAGAAATGAATAAAAAAATAAACACAAAACACAAAACACCACATGATGATCATTTAATCCATGCACTCAATAGCCTCGAGCCGCCGCATGGCCCGACCACCCTCTTTCTCGAATTGACTGACCAGCCGTTCACATTCTCTCTTCAGACGATCTTCGCCGTTCTTCGCATTCCATAGAATCCACTGCTCAACATTCATTTTCTTCTCGGGGCTAGTCAAACCAGCCTTGATATCCTTGAAAATTCCGGACAAATCGGCATTCTCCTTGTCACTAGCTTCTCCATATAGCAGTTCATCAATATCCACAGGAGTCCAAGGGTGAGCAGACGCAGGGAATCCTGCATTCGGATTGCGCTTTGAAGGCGAGGGAGTGGTGGTAGTTAATGGGGCCTGCATGGTCTGTTGTCTCGGGGTGGAGGATAGAGCGGGCCGGGAGGATGGTGGCCGATTCTCAGCATCAGATGATTGCGGTGACAACGACGGAGTGCTCTGGTGAGGAGGTGGCAGAGGTGATACCGCTCTGTTCGAGGACTTGGATATCCTTTGGGGCTTGGCCACTTGTTTCCCGCTGACACGAGACCTTTGAGATTCGCTGAATGACTCGGCGAGGTGCTCTTCTTGAGGGATGTCACTGAACCGTTTCGTCGTCTTAGGAGGAACCGGAGTCCTTTCTTTTCGCATCTCTGAAGAAGGTGGCTGAGGAGATGGGACCATCTCAATCTGGTCAGGGATGTCCCCTGGGGTTCCAAATTCATCCATAGACATGGAAGGGGACCGGGTATCATGCTGTTCGTAAAATGGTTCGGGCTCTGACGTGAGCTCAGCTTCAGCCTCAAACTCTGGTTCTGGCTCTGGCTCGGCCTCGACTTCAGGCTCGGACTCAACAACCGGCTCGGGGGTGGGAGAAGGCTCCTTCTTGGATTTCTTGGATTTTTTCGGTTTTTCATCCTTCTTCTTCGAGGACTTCTTCTTCACTGGCTTCTCTTCGGCCTCCGATACAGGATCTGCTTCAGGCTCAGGATTCTGGTGGTCGGTTTCAACAGAAACCAAAGAGTCGTGATGCTCATGTTCTGACATGTCATCATCAATTGGTGTAGGTTCCAAAGATCTTTGTGATGCCTTCTTCTCAGCCTTAGTGTCTTCCTCATTCTTGCTCTTCTTGGTGCTCTGCTTCTTGGACGACTTGCTGGATTTTGTCTTTGGAGCGGGCTCCTCGACCTCGTATTCCTCTATTTGAGTGTCCACTGCTTCGGGCTCCAATGATTTTTCAGTAGCCTTGGATTTCTTTGTGGACTTGGATTTCTTCAAGACACGCGGGGCTGGCTCTGATTCAGCTTCATTCTCCTGCTCGAGCTCCTGTTCAGCCTCGATTTTGGGCTCGGGCTCCTGCACCGCAGGCTCTTCAACATCAGCATCAAGGTCGGCATGGATAGCTGCGTCCAATTCCGAGTCACGTGGAAGACGCTCCTTTGTTGGAGCTTTAGATGAAGTGGATATATCAGAAGCCTTCCGGCCCTTTGATGTAGCTTTCTTCGGTTTGCGGCCTCTCTTTTTCGGGGCCGTTTCATTCACTGACTCTGCATCTTGCATTTCATGGTCCCGAGACTCGTAATTGTATGATCGAGAAATGCTGCTACTTCGTGTGCCTGTCGCTCGGCGTTTTGAGGGAGGCTCTGCGGCTGGTGACTGTTCTCGCTCTTGGGTGGCGACTGGCTCAGGCTCATCGTTGTTGGTCTCCTCGCTCACCCGCTTCTTGCCGCGTCCTACACGCTTTGGCTTTGGTGGCTCGGGCTCATCTTCGGGTTCAGGTTGTACATCATCGACGTTATCGACATCCATTTGGGCCTCTACCTCCTCGTCATGCTGTTTCTTAGCTTTCGCGGTCTTGCCTTTGCCCTTAGGCCCTCTCTTGGCCGGTTTCGCCTTGGTTGTGGTTTGAGACATGATGCTTTGATCTATTTCATCGTCCATATCCATATCCGTATCCAATTCGGGAGCTTCGGAGGTAGTGGTTGCGACGGATTGAGTTGAGACACGGGAAGAAGCCTTGGAAGTACGGGACTTCTTGGTACGAGATCCCTTGCCCTTCTGAGGAGGCTGTGTGAAGACGAAGAAAGAACAGTGAGAAGAGCGGCGGAAATGTTCATCACTAGGGAGACTGTTAGCTGTACAAGATCTTGGGAAGGGACGAAGGGGCCACCCACTAAGGATCATCTTTGGGCTCCCAACCATCGAGGGACAGTTTGCAGTAGGCGCAACTTGCGAGGTCGTCACTGTCATCATTCGGGCAGAAGTACCACCCGCTTTCGACCATCTAGGCTCAGATGTGAGTATCATATCAAAGTGATCATGAGGGGAGATTGAATGTTGCCCTACCTTCTCCGATTGGCACACCCATCCCTTCTTACCATCGTGTGGCCATGAAGTCCCAAATGTCGCGGTACGCGCCTGGATGATTCGCTCACTCATTGGATCCTCGATTTTCTTGGGGTTGGAGCTACGCTGTTGGATGTCCATCATGACAGCCCAACCGCAGTCCGGCGCGTGTTTGAGATGTTCGGTAATAGGGTTGTCCTCTTCTTCCCAGCCATCCAATGCGCGGTGACAGTGGAAGCATGTTGTGTTATCGGGGTTGCTTTCGTAAGGTTTGTAGTAGAAGCCTGCTTGCGCCAACTAAAGTAGAATTATGTTAGAAACCCGTTGCAATAGTTGCTTCAAAGCGAGCAGAACGTACCTCTTCAGGCGATGGGCTTTCGTGAGGCCATGCGATCGCATTGGGGCCTTTGCTATTCGAGGATCTCCGCTTGTCTGGCCGGAGAACAATGTCGAAACTGGCCAGACGGGCCGAAAATGTGTCCATTTCGGTGCCCATGGTGAGGGTAATACCGCAGGGCACTTCAAGTCCCAAATTTCAGGTTCAAAAACCGGCCGTGGGTGTCGTGGTGGGCGAGGGTGTCGTTGTTGATGCGGACTGTTTGGACTGTTTACTTTACTTTACGGTTGGTTGTTATGCGGCACGCGAATGCACGTGACTACCGAGTGACTAAGCCTCCCAGCGACGTCAGACCCGAATGTTGTCCGAACCGATTGCCTACGTGGGACATCTTATTCCCTCCTTTTCCCTCGCCAATTGATCCCTGCAGAGTATTACTTATGCTGCAGGAGCTGGTGCCCTTGAGTTTATCTACTTGAGCCTCGCGCTCCGCTCCCTTGAAACCCTCTCCACTCCGCCGCTCCGCTGATCCGCCATCACGCGCCTAACTGTGAGTTCCCGAGTCTCGGCACTCAACATCCGGGATCAAGTTCATGCTGACGGTAACTTCTGCTGCTAGATGGTTCTCCCTCAGAGAACCGGCCTGAGTGCCATTTTGAGGTCTCGATCTCGTCTTTCTACCCTTCCATGGCTGCCTGCTTCCGTCCGCTATATTTCCATTGATTCCCGCCCGACCTCGGACTCTCCTTCCTACCGATCTTCACAATCCACTCTTTCAAAATCAAATTTACTATACAATGTCCCACCCGGACTATCTACCTCCTCCCAGCCCTTCTCGACGTCCCCGTCGTTGAGCAATACCGCCGATTGGGACCACAATCCAAACCTCGCCATCTCAAACTTCTCCGAACTTCCGTCGAAGGATTTCGGTGTCAACCAACATATGCTCATAAACCAAGAATTTAAGGAAGCTTTGCGACAAATTCTTTGGCAATTCCGGGCCCCAATTCGATACGCTTTCGCATATGGATCGGGCGTCTTCACCCAAACAGGGGCTTCTAGTTCCTCCTCTACACACCCATCGGCACCCGCCGCCATTAAAAACATGCAACAAGGCTCGGGTAAAATGATCGATTTCATATTCGGAGTTTCATATTCCCAACATTGGCATTCCCTGAACCTCCATCAACATCGTGACCATTACTCCGGATTGGGCTCTCTCGGATCGTATGTGGTTTCACAGGTACAAGATCAGTTCGGAGCAGGTGTATATTTCAATACTCACATCACGGTGAATGGAACGTTGATCAAGTACGGAGTGGTGAACTTGGACACACTTTGCACGGATCTTACGCAGTGGAACACCCTATATCTTGCGGGCCGATTGCAAAAACCGGTCAAGATTCTTCGGGATCACCCTAAAGTTCGATTGGCGAATCAAATGAACCTGCTGTCTGCTCTGCGTGTGGCGCTATTACTCCTTCCAGAACGCTTCAGTGAATTTGAACTTTATAGCACGATCGCAGGTATCAGCTACATGGGTGATCTGCGCATGGTTCTCCCTGCAGAAGACCCCGGCAAGGTGCGTAACATTGTCTCTGGACAGATGGCCCACTTCCGGCGGTTGTATGCACCGCTCATCGAAAATCTTCCCAACGTCAACTTCAGCGATCCTCGTTGTAGCCAGAATGATTGGATCGATGATCCGGATGCGATCTTGTCAATGGTGCAGGACATGGATCCGGTCAAGCGTGGAAACATGGTTCGCCGACTACCGGAATCGTTCCGTGAGAAAGTCTACTTCCAGTACCAGTCGCGCTACGCTATTCCGCGGGCCGATTTCGACAAGATGATGGCAGAGAACAATGACAGCCAGGATATCGTTCGACGCCCCCAGGAGGACCCTTCGAGCGCCGGATTGCCAGTGATGAGAGCCTTCAGCAAGAGGTTTCCACTTCTATCATGAAAACCATTCGTTGGCCAAGCACTGTTCAGACCATCAAGGGACCCTTGACTGCTGGTCTGGGCAAAAGCTGGACTTACCTCAAGGAAAAGCGTGAGAAGCACAAAAAGTCACAGGCTCAATCGAAACAGGCGACAGTATCGCCGCCACCTTCGTCAACCGAGAAGACTGGCACGAAGAAAGATTAAAACTTACATTGCACATTTTTCTGGCATTGGAATTGTACGAGCCCCGAGAGGCAACCGGGCATACCAAGGCGTTGTGTGGCATATGCATGTTTATCCATTTGTGTTATCTATGCATATGTAAAAAAAAAACAGTATAAATCCACATATTCTTTTAATAGATTAAAGCGATTCGTAAATGGTTTAGCTCTAGAATTTAGTCTTGTTATCTTCCCTCCATTCCTAGACATAAAAGTACTGATCACCTCAAAAAAATTAACGGATCTATCCTCATTGGGAAAACATGCAGCTCAGTCGGTCCCTCCAAGGAAAAGAGGACAGCAACTCAAGTGACTGAGGGTGGACATATCTTAAGGTTACAATCTCTCCTCTCGGGCCCCACCAAAAGAGAAGTGAAACTAATTTTACTTGATTTGGAAGGTGAGCCAAGGTTTTAGTGGGGAAGTGGGGGTTTTCAATGGCGTCCATTTGACGACGATTTGCGTCTGTGCCTCGCCAAGTATTTATATGACCAAGGATATGCGCTATTTACACGAGTGATATGAACAGGGTTCCCGCACCTGAAAGTCATTAAAGGACTTGAAGGACCTCAAAGGTCCTGGCTTCCAGCCCAGACCTGAAACCCCCCCTCCCATGCAAGTTTGACCATGGCTCTATCGACTTTTTCGGAAGCCAGTTCTTGGCGTTGGATGAATTACGACTCTGCTGCTACAACTCCCGTCGGACAAGATGTGGCCATCTACTCGCCTCCAGATACCGATATTTGGAGACCATCCATGGACAAAAACAACTTCACGGCACCCTATCTTTACACCCAAATGAAATCTTCAGAGTTCCAGAGTGTTTCTGTTACTGTGCAAGCCGACTGGAAGACACTTTTTGATCAAGGAGGAATTGCCATTACTTTCCCTCGCGATGATACTCCACTCCAGTGGATCAAGGCGGGGATCGAGTATACCGACGGCGCACCTTACCTTGGCGTTGTTGCCACCCAGAGTCTCTCTGATTGGAGCTTGAGCCCGATGTTAAATGCCTCTGACTCCAAGACTGCAACAATAGAAATTGTTCGTGATAAAACGGACGCGTGGGTTTATGTGCATGAGGGAACATCGCGGAGGTCTCTTCGACAAATTACTTGGGCATTCAACGAAGATACCCCGGAGTATATGCATGTGGGCTTATATGCTGCAAAGCCAACACGGGAGAGTGAATCAGGACACGAGCTTGACAAGCTCGCGGTGACATTCAAATCATTTAGTCTTAGGACAATGGATTGAGAGGCAACATTCAGGCTGCCCTCTGCATTCTATGCATCCATTTCCCTATATTTCGAAGATGAATCGCAATTTCTGTTAACTGAACTAGTAATAATGCCAATAGCTTTGTAGCTTGGCTTCTCCCCGCGATTGATTAGAGTATATATGAGACATCCGCTAAGATACTGAAAAGTTGGCAAAGTAACACCTTCATAGACGATGATGTTTTCAGTGTCAGAATCCGCAAAGTAGTAAATAAATCCGACCCTACTTATACTAGCTCGAGATACAAGATAAGGATTGTTTGCCCTAACGAGACCACGGTTCAGCCACGCCGTCGGGTTGCCACCGAGTGATGGGCTTAGTAAATACCCCCCGGACCCCGGAGCTACCCCGCGAATTAAGTTCTCACATCTCCTCAACCTTTGACTTATGGTAAATTGCCATGAATAGTATGCCGCAGTCGTCCACACAGACCCGGAGAACAAATAGTCTGGGGCGCGCGAAATCTCCTTGTCAGGACTGCCAACAGTCAGACCTTCTGTGTGATCGTGCCCGCCCAAGATGCTCTACTTGCATCAGCAATGGCACAGCCTGCAGAGGCTACAAAATGGATCTACGCTGGCAGCTTGGCGTCGCATCGAAAGGCAACCTGGTGGGCTTTAGCTATCCAGCACCAACTGCCGTCACTGCTTCAATTGACATTCAAGATCAGAATGTTAGCAAGAAGAGGCGATGGAGAGGAAAGACTTCCAAAGTCACAGGAGATCGCCATTTCCGGTTCGTGGAGGGCAGTTCAGCGGATAAATTAGGTCGCAAATCAAAGACAGCCCCAAAACCGAAATCTGTCCCGTCAAAAAGCGGCAGGCCAAAGCGACGTGAAGAGAATCCCGATGTTGAACCTAATTTTGAGTCGCCAGGCGTTTCGCCTGTATCATTATCATTTCTGACATCACCCGATGCCAACGAAGTCGTTATAGACGCAAATCCTGATTGCGGTAAGCGAAGTCGATTTATTTCCCCCTTCTACTATCTTGCTTACCATCCCTCTAGTAAACGCCTCAATTGAGTCACCAGAAACGTTCTCATTAAACCATAACCAAACATGTCCCGATTATGAGACTTTTGGCACCCCAAGAATCTACCCAGCAGAAGACACCAATGAGGAAGCCAGTGATGCAAATACTTGTAGGCCCTTGGATCTCTGAATATTCATCTCTGATTATCACTGACCAACTTTTGCAGACTCTCAAATATTGATACCCGCGAAAGTACAATCCGTCAACTTAGACCACGGTTACCACGACATTCTATCCTGCTGCAAGTAGATCCATGGTCCACTATACATTAGTATGACTCTTCAATAACAGGCTTTCTAGATGACAAATATATCTGCGCCATTCCACTGACTGCAGACTGTTTTTTAAACCCTTTCCGAGTTTCCGATCAAACGTATATGGTCTCACAGCATCTTCTCCACGCTATTATGGCCACTTCACTGTTTCATCTGAACCGTCACAACGAGAGCAGTGACAGTATTACCTTGGTTGATTCCCACCGGTCAGAGTCCCTAGGGCTCTATTCAATGGCGCTCGGCAGTCCTGCCTGGCAAGACAAAGCGGTTACATTCTTGGACACAGCGCTCCTTCTGATGTACTTAGATGTGAGTTACCTGATAAGAAAATCTTGAAAAAATATCTATGCTTACCTCACTGTGAAACCTAGTCTGCCCAATCCGCCTTGGGACTCTACCACATTCACCTCCAAGGCGTTCGAAGCATAATAGAAAGTTGTGGCGGCGGATCCGCGCTCATTCCCAACAACTCCAAGCTGAGAGCCGAACTTGCCATGTTCATATGGTAAATAAAACCGTGACATCAACCCCAAAGACTGATCTGACATAATCAAGGTACGATGCGACAATAGCTTTGCTGGCACGGGAAGAACTCGTATTGCCTTTATCATATCTGGAATGCATTCTTCGACACGGACAATCTGACGGGTGGAGCTACTTGGAGTTGACCGGCTGCCTTGAAGAATTTGTGGTCATAATGGCCAAAATCGCAAGCTTGGCGCAACAACACAAACTTGCATTGGAAAAGGAGAATCTTTACTTCGATATCAACGCAGTAGATGAGGTCGAACGGACATTGCGGAGTATACCGTCGCCGTATCCTACTTTCAACGCGGACTTCGACGAGGAGGCGCTTGATTTGCTTCGAGATCGCTATCACTGCACCGAAGCCTGGCGAAATGCTCTTCTGATTTATATCGAAAGGGTCTTTCGCTGGACACGGGGAGAACCAGCACCTTCAAATGCAAAATACATTGCTCGCAGTATAATGGAGCATGCCAGATGTATACGAAGAGAGAACAACTTCCAGAAACAAATTCTCTTGCCCTTATTTTCTTGCTGGCGCAGAGATTAGACGAGAAGAGGATCGGGAATTTGTGAGGGATTATTGCTCATGGTGGACTAGTTTATGTGGCTCCAAGATGTTCATCGATGCTTCTGACCTTTGTGAGGAGATCTGGGAGCGAGCAGACAAAGAAGGTTCCCAAGGCATATGGTGGGGGGGAATCATTGATAAGCGATGCTCAGATTCAAAGCTTCCGATCCGCCCTCAAATCCTGCTGGGTTGATATCATCTTGTGTGGTTTTTCAGCGGTATAATGAAACCAAGCTTTAACGTAATCTCTACCAATACCAGCAAAGGCATCTTGATTCTAGAACACCTGGGTATGGATTGTAATTTTAGGAAGACTGGCCATAATAATAGAGACGAAGTGAGGAATAAAATCTGGTTGACTAAGGTAAACAAAAAGATATCTAAATACATTTTCTTCCACTGCCGGGCTGCTACTATAGTCTCTGTGTTCTGCCGCTGTCTGTATAGGTCAAGGCGTAGCTATAAGCAGGATCATAGTGCATCGCCCAGTATCCATCCCAGATGCGCTTGGTCAAAGGGCCAACTTGGCCGTTGCCAACCGGTTTGCCGTCCAGAGAAGTGATCGGCATAATCCCACCAGCAGTCGTACACATGAACAACTCATCGCATTGGTAGACAGACTCGGTAGGCACGAATTCAACACGAACCTCGATGCTGTTGGCTCTTGCAACATCGATTACACTCTTTCGTGTCACACCCTCGAGAACTCCGCGTTGGGGAGTGTACAAAATTCCGTTCTTGACGAGAACGATGTTGAAGCCAGAACCTTCGGTCAAGTGTCCATCTCCGTCTGTGAGGAAGGGGTAGTCTGCACCACGGTCCGAGGCCTCGAACAATCCACGGGTCAAATCGCCCCATTGGAGGTTCTTGATGGTCGGATCGAAACTGCCAACCGGAGTTCTTCGCACAGTACGGGCGATGATAGCGCTACCTCCATTGTACTGAATTTCGGGCTCCATCACCCAAACATAAGGCAGAATAAACATGTAGAGATTCTGCTTCATAATATCCTCGGCCTTGGATCCTCGAACACCGACAAGACCCCGAGTGACTATCAACTCGACAAATGCATCCTTGATTCCACTCTTGGCGACCATTTCCTCAAGGGTAGATTTGATATCCTCCTTTGAGAGAGGTAACTGCATCCGCATCTTATGACAGCTAGCGTCGAGGCGAGCAAGGTGGTCATCAAGGCGGAAGAAGCGCCCGTCCCAGATTGAAGGCACATCATAAGTGAGGTCTCCATGCATGAATCCTTGGTCTCTCAGTGGTATACGTGCCTGGTCAAAAGGGACTAGTTGGCCCTCAACCCAGGCGATACCCTTGGCGAACGGATTGCTGCTCGACTCGAGGGAGGCATTTCGAGCAGAGTAGGCGCTGAACACCTTGTCCATGGAAGTCATCGTGGGAAAGAAATAGGTGGAATGTTTTTAATAGAAAGAAAGAGAGTATACGTTGCTGAGTCACTAATGTGAGACTGTAAAATGGTGCTGTGAACAATGAGAATACATGTCTACTGTTAAATAGATTTTGGTAGCGCTGTCAAGTATGACATGGCTTGGCGAGATTCGTCCGTTCACATGCAACCCTGTCCAATTTTACCTAAACGATTCAATATTTCTGCATCGAGATTAGTGTTACCATATTAGTTTAAATTGAAATGATGCCTGGAGATTCGGAATTGCTGATTTCCCAGAGTGAACCATCTGTGCTCTTACCTTCCACATATGGCAAAATAAGGACCGCTCGACCCCGCTCTGCCTAGCGTACCCTAGTGTACTTCTTACTGGGCAAAAAGGTTACGGTGATTAGCGGCAGATAAGCTGAGTGGCGCGTGGGACATTTTCGACTGACTTTCCCGGGGATCTGTCAGCCGAGCCAAAATCGAATTATTGTCGTCAAAAATCCCGTCGGCCATGGAATTCCCAAAGTCAACGTCGTTAGATGTCCTCTTCCGGCAACACATGAGTTGAATTATCGTCCTCCGTACCGGTAATGAAGATATGGCGTTTCTTATTTTGCAGTTTACGATGACTAGTGACAGAAAGGGGTACTCACCTGCGAATATATGACGTCTGGAGGGGGTAAATATGAAGGCAACACCCAGAAGACATCGACAACTTATAGTTAGCCACCTGAGGGGATTTCAATTTCGACTCACACAAAAGTCTCCTGATAAGAGTGATCGACTCTCACAGCCATTATCATTATCATCATCATTCAGACAAAGAAGAAATTGCGAAATGGCCATCTCAAGCACTCAAGATGATCATGCAACGCGCAGAACAGATCTCGATGATCTTGAATTGGAATCTGTAGGATACAGGCGTGAGATGCCACGTCAATTCTCGATCTGGTCACTTGGTGCCTTGTCATTCACTCTTACTTGTACATGGTTGGGAACTGGCTCGTCTGTTGGCATTGCTCTCCAGGAAGGGTCTTACGCCGGGACCTTATGGTCGCTTCCAATTGCAGGAATAATGACGACTATTGTATCCCTCGGAATGGCCGAGTTGGCATCTGCATACCCCGTGGCTGGTGCTCAGTATTACTGGGCTTTCATGGTGGCAAGTGACGACTGGAAAGCATTTGCGTCATACCTGTAAGTCTCATGCATCGAAATCTCACACTTGGACTTTTAACTGAGAAGGTAGAAATGCGTGGATGAGCATAATTGGTTGGTGGCTTGGAGCTGGATCAGTCGCCAATTTTGTCTCTGGGATGGTTTTGGATATCGTACTTATTTGGTACCCCAGCTACTCTTTTCAACACTGGCATCAATACTTGATATATGTTGCCATTATTTGGCTGGCCATTGCGATCAACATACTGGCATCTAGGCTGTTGCCTTTATTCAACAAACTGATATTTATTCTCTCGGTCTTCACTTTGACAGGGACAACTATCACTCTCTTCATCGTTAGTCGACAGAACCATGCACCCTTATCTTCTATTTTCGCAGACACAAGTACCCATAGCGGATGGAAAAGCGATGGATTCGGCTTCATGCTTGCAGTTAGCAACGCAGTCTTTGCTTTCCTAGGGAGCGACTGCGGTGCTCATCTATGTGAAGAAATCCACAATCCTTCTCGAAATGTACCCATGGTGATTGTATTTCCCCTTATCGTGGGCCTTGTTACTGCCTTTCCGTTTGCTTGTGCATTGATGTACTCGGTACATGATCTTACTTCTGTCCTCAACTCGGTCACTGGATTACCTTTGATCGAGATTTATTTCCAAGGAACCAACTCTACAGTCGCAGCTTCGGTTTTGATGAGTACCTTTGCGTTTTGCTTTTTTGGCTGCCTTGTTGCCAATGGTAAGATTATCGCGAAGAGTTCAAAAAAGGGTCTTATAGTCGCTAATTACTAGTTTATACAGTTACAACGTGTTCTCGTACACTCTGGGCTGTATCTCGAGATGGAGCGATTCCATTTGGCAAGATCTGGATGCGAGTCCACCGTACATTCCAGATGCCATCAAATGCTGCACTTCTTTCGGGTACATGTGTTACTGTAAGTACGATGTCCGTAAGTGAGAGATATTCTGCTGACGTGAAAAGATTTACGGAGTTATCTTTATTGGATCCACGACTGCATTCTCATCTATGGTCAATGCAGCCATTGTCTTCCAGCAGACTTCGTGCATTATACCCCAAGCTATTGTACTCCTACGTGGGCGTAGCAAAGTACTACCAAAGCGCTATTTTAACCTAGGAGTATTTGGGGCCCCTATAAATGCAATTGCAGTTTCATGGGTCCTTTTTCTGGATGTTCTATATTGCTTCCCAACGTCAATGCCGGTGACGCCACAAAATATGAGCTATGTTTCCGTCGTTACAGTGGGACTCATCAGTTTCGTGATTGTTTTATGGTTTCTTAACAAACGCAATACCTTCAAAGGGCCGAATGTGGATTATAATTTGTTGAATATGCGACGCATGGCAAATCTCCGCGGTGAAGAGTCGATTATAGAGGGTACGAATCTTGAGACAGGAAGTGTGAACTCGCAGAAAATTGGAAAGATGGAATCACATAGTTGATTTGTTCTCGGGTTTTAGACTGCGCTAGGACTTTTCATGTCGTCAGTTAGTTGTTGAGATATTTGCGCGAGAATAAATCCATTATTACTATTTTTCAAGATATGATTTACAGAAAATCCAGATTTGAAGCCCACTAGGCCATAGATCTAATTTATCACTTCCCTAAACTCACTTCTGGTCGTCTGCTGGGAATTTGTGTGCCGTTCCAAGGGCCATGATGGAGCTCCGGATGAGAGTGAGGAAGACGGAATGGTGGATGGATGAGATATAGCAAACAATCTATTTCGAAGGCATGGCATCTTGATGCCTCAGACACCTACATAGCAGCACGCTCACCTTCCAAAAATGGCAATATAAAGTATTTAGTCATCTGACTTAACCTGGTAGCTTATCTGCCCTCTCTCGAACTAGTGGCCCGTATATCGATCAGATTTGGTAACATTATTGAGACGTTTATGCCAATTTGTTTCCATCCGGTGCTTGGGTAATTTCCCTCCGATAGAGTGATAGCAGCACTTTCCAAGAGCGGCAGGTAATTCGACGTCACCACTGTCTACTGTAATTTGGGCTAAAAGGAGGAGAAACTCCTCAATATATATAGGTTAAATCGAATCCGACTTCATTCTATTGATCCCCGTGATTTCTGCTCAATCTGCGATCGATTTTTCATACAATGACCGAGAAGAACGTTGTAGTGATCGGGTAATGCTTGTTGGGGGTTTCCGAAAATACCACAAGGGCTAACTGAAAAAAGGGCGGGTGTTGCAGGTCTTACCACTGCACTTCTGCTGTCGAGGATCCCCGGTTATAGAATTGTTGTGGCTGCCAAACATATGCCAGGTGATTATGACATCGAATACGCCTCTCCATGGGCAGGGGCCAACTATATGCCGTAAGTCATCAAGCCGCACAATACTGCATGTTTAGAATTCTAATATGTCTTTTTGAACAAGTGTCTCTTTGCGAGGCACCGATGCCGCAGAGTGGGATAGAAAAACGTGGAAGGCATTTAATGAACTAGCACTCAATTTCCCAGAATCCGGCATTCATTTCCAAGGTGAGATTGTATTATTCGTCTACTGAACTCCACGATTGTCTCCTTGCTAAGATAGACAAAGACTGCGAAATAAGGAATCGGTCTAAGGACGTTGGCTCTGCCACAGCCGACTGGTTCTCCGAATTGCTTTCGTCCTCGCCGTGGTTCAAAGATGTTGTTCCAAGTGTAAGACATAATATACGCCCCATGCCTATAAAGATGATGCAGTGCTAATGAAAGCCGGTTAAAATAGTTCCGCACTCTCTCAAAAGAGGAACTTCAACCAGGAATTGATTCGGCAATCAACTTTACTTCAGTCTGTATAAATACAGCCCTTTATCTTCCATGGCTTGTGTCGAGGTGCCTTGAAAATAAGGTTATTTTCAAAAGAGCCATCCTTGGCCACATCTCCGAGGCTTCTTCCCTCAACATCCATCCATCGGGTCATGTTGACCTTGTTATCAACTGCACGGGTCTGATGGCTTCCAAGCTTGGTGGGGTAGAAGACCAAACTGTGGTCGCAGCTCGTGGACAAATCGTGATTGTTCGCAACGAAGTGGAAAAAATGGTTAACCTTTCAGGAACGGATGATGGGGACGAGGAGGCATGCTATATCATGGCCAGGGCTGCCGGTGGGGGTACGGTCATTGGTGGATCGTACCAGAAGGGTAACTGGGAGTCTCAGCCAGATCCTAATCTCGCAGTACGGATCATGAAGCGTGCCGTCCAAGCTTGTCCGGAGTTAACAGGGGGGAAGGGGATCGAGGCCCTTGATGTGATCCGACATGGTGTCGGGTTGAGGCCAGTTCGAGAAGGAGGCACAAGAATTGAAAAGGAGAAAGTGGGTGATTTATGGGTTGTGCACAACTATGGCGCTGGGGGTGCAGGATATCAATCATCATATGGGTGCGCCGAGGCTGCGGTGAGGCTCGTGCGGGCTGCTTTGGAAATTCAAACGAAGCTGTAGCCAGGTGAACGGAATTTTTTTTACGAGATAGTCTGATGGAAAATGAATCAAAAGAGAGTAGTATTAAAAATTAATACTTACTACTTTCTGGAAATTCCACAAGTGGCTGGAGTTCCGACCCGCTACGTTGTCCTACAGCTCCAATTGATGATATAAGAGTTTGACTGCAGTAGTACTACTGGTATATAATATAAGGAGGGCCACGCATATTTTAGAATAAGCAAGAACACTCTATTCACAGTACTCCGAATCCGAGTTCCTAGTAACACTAGTACTAGGTAGATTACGTTCAAGTCTAACTCTAATAGTATGCATCACCGCCCGAGTACGGCACAACATATACGAGGCGGACCCACTCGAGGGCGGAATTGCATCATTTCATGCAGATACTGCTAGTCTGACGATACTAGTAATCATTCAGAGAGAAACTGACTAGTACACCCCGCATTATAGATATCCACACAATATTCTATATAATAACTACTAATAGTTACTACTCTAGTTACTACTCTAGTTATGTATGGCCCTGAGCGGAAGGCACCCCCGCGTCGTCTCCACTTCTGCGCCTTTTAGCTTTCCCCACCGCCTCTAATTTCTCCCCTCTTCCCCTTCCCCAGTCTCGGACACCCTTGCATCACATCAGATCGCGACTTGGCTTGGCTTGACTCCAGGGCTTCCTCGCACTCAGAGCCTCACAGTTGCACATAGCACATTCCTCGGGGTCGCGTTCCATCCAATCGGCCATGTCGACTGACCGCGCCCGTTGCTAAGAGATAGAATCCTACTGGCTGCAGCCCTGCGCCTATCCGTGCAGCCACCAATTATGCTGTCGCGCACGAGCTCGCGATCGTCGGCGAACTTGTCGAGTCCCCCATTGTCGCGAAGAGACACTCAGGCAACTACCAAAGAGAAACAGACCCTGGGTGGCTGGCTCAAGAAAATATGGCAGAAGTCCGGCCTCGACAAGCCGACCATCTTGTTGATGCTGAAGTGAGAACGCGCACAGCCGTTGCCTAGTTCCATTGGGTAGAAGAAAGTTGCTAATTGATCTATTGCAGAGGTGGACTAGCACCGACAATCGCAGTCGCTATGTAGGTCCAACATCCACCCGAAATGTAAGCTGCCAGTCAGTCTAACATTGTTCCTACAGTTATCAGTCTACCGATGTCGCGACCGAGTACACCACACTCGGCTACCTCGTCGCAATTGTCTCCATTCTGGGATTCTCCATCATGCCCCGTGCCAAGTTCATTCAGATGATGATCTTTGATGTCCTAGCTGTCTGCATCGCAGCCTGCTTCGCGCTATTGACGATGTATTCCAGCGTCAAGGCCCGCCAACACACGGCCATCGCGTCTGATGACTCCTATAGCTCTTCCGCATCTGCTGTCAGCGGTGTCTGGCTGTTCTTCCAGATTTGGCTGGTACACACCTTTCGTGCCAAGTACCCCCAGTTTCAATTCCCTGTTATCATATACGCCATCTTCGCCAATATTTCTTCGGTCTATGCACCTGAGATGGCTTCAATGACTGCCGCCATCGCCTTTATCGAACGGCTTTTGCGAACATTCCTCACGGGTCTCGCCATCTCCATGGCTGTTTCATTGCTGATTCTGCCCATGACCTCCCGCCAAGCTGTCTTCAAGCAGATGGGTGGCTATATCGGGACTCTTCGCTCCGCATTGGGAGCGCATGCCGCTTATTATGAGTCTTTAGAAAAAGACGATATGTTTGGCCGAGCGGACACTTATGACGACACGCAAGAGAAGACTGACGACAAGGGAAAGGTGTATAGTCCAGAGGCTGAGGCCATCCGCGGTGCCATCCGACAGATCACCGATGTTCATGCCAAACTTCACGGAGATCTGTCTTTTGCAAAGCGTGAAATTGCCTTGGGAAAATTAGGCCCCGATGATATCCAGCTGATATTTCGCCACCTGCGCCAGATTATGATTCCTGTTGTCGGCCTTAGCTTTGTTGTGGACATCTTCCAGAGACTATCAGATTATAACCGGTGGAATATACCCATCGACCCGAATGCAGAGCCAATACCTGAGGATGTTCGTGAGCGCGTGGTTCACGATTGGAACGATATAATGAGGGCGGTCCATGACCCCTTCAAGACTATGATCCACACGATTGATGAGGGGCTCCTGCACAGTGCTTATGTGTTTCGACTATCAAAGCCGCCCAAGCGAACGACAGTGGTGAATCTGGATCCATCGACCACTGAGTCAAACACAGAAGTGAAGGACGTGGAGGCGGACGCAGAGAACACAGCACCCGGTGAACCAGGTTTCGCCCAACATTTTCAAACGAAGCTCAACGAATTTAGAAGTGCTAAGCGAATCGCCTTGGAGACCTGGGCTGAAGACAAAGGCATCAACCTACCTCCTGACTTTTTTGACCACCCATCATCAGTCAACAGTTTGAAGGGAGACTTTTTTGACGCATCAGCATCGCACCAAGATCGAAGCCGACGGCAGCTTTATCTATTTCTATACGTAAGTCACCTCAGCCTGTCCCCGAAAATTGCGAGACTGATCAAATCTTAGATGGAGCAATTGCTTCATTCAACTGGTAAAACGGTCCTCGAATTTGTCGAGTATGCCGACGAAGTTGCGGCTAAAGGAAAGCTATCACGGACTCGCCTGATTATACCGGGAGCCAAGCGCTCATTGAAATGGGCAAAGAGCTTTTTGAAAGCCGAAGATAACCACGAAGATGACAACATGGGCGATGTTCATACTCACAACAGTATGCTGGAGCTCGGCGAAGCGTATAGGCATCGCAAAGATCCTGAGCATTTGCCAGCCGATACCTGGTTCGAGAAATTCGGGGACAAGATTCGAGTTTTCCCCTGGTTTTTGCGATCTTTTGAATCAAAGTATGGGTTCAGGGTCGCTTGTGCCACTATGACCATCGCAATTATCGCATTTCTACACGATACGCAGTCCTTTTTCACGAAGCAAAGGCTTGTTTGGGCTATGATTATGGTGAACTTGAGTATGTCTCCCACATCAGGCCAAAGTATCTTCAGCTTTATTCTCCGAATCGCGGGAACTACAATCGCAATGGTGGCTAGTCTACTAATTTGGTACATTCCGGACCAAAAGACACCAGGCGTGATTGTGCTACTGTTCCTTTTCATCTCGTGCGCCTTTTACGTTCCGATCAAAATGTTCCGATTCCGAGTCATTGGCATCATCAGCATCGTTACTACTACTATGATCATTGGATACGAGCTTCAGGTTCGTAAGGTTGGCGAGCAAGTCGCGACATCCAATGGTCAGCCATTCTATCCTATATACCTGCTCGCCCCATACCGACTCGCTACCGTCAGTGGAGGCATTGCAGTTGCGTTCTTGTGGACTTTCTTCCCTTACCCTATCTCAGAACATTCGGTTTTGAGGCAGAGCCTGGGGGCTTCACTTTATCTCCTTGCCAACTATTACTCTATCATTCACGAGACCTTGTCTGCTCGGATGCGCGGAGATGAAGGGGACCTTAATCTGAAAACCTCCGCGGGTCGCAAATTGGAAAAGGCTCGCCACAAGGTGTTCTCTAAACAGATGCTCATGCTGAACGGACTCCGAACTTACTCCGAGTTCCTCCGGTGGGAAGTACCCATTGGCGGCAGGTTTCCCAAGAAGCAATATGACTCCATCATTGTTTGCGTTGAAAAGTATGCAGCACCTCTCCTGACAGCCAAAACATACTGACCAACACCTTTCTATTAGTATTGTAAGCTATCTCAGTTTACTCGGCTACGCCTCCGACACCCTGATGCGTCTCAATGAAGACGATGACGAATCAAATTCTATCTGGATGCATGATTTCCGACGCGTGGTTGGCCACGCCAAGATTACAACTCACGAGGTCACATCGCTACTTTGCCTCCTTTCGGCTAGTATAACCAATCGCCAACCCCTTCCTCCATACCTGAAAACACCTAGGCCATACAGCTTCTCGAAGCGGTTGGAAGCACTGGATAAAGATATTCTCAGCATCAAGCATATCGCCGAGCCGGGCTTCGCTGCATTTGCAGTTCTGCAGATTTCCACAAGATGTATCGTTGGGGATGTGGAACTTCTCATGAAGTAAGTTTTTCTCTTACTCAGGATGTGTGTCGTATTGGTTTACTAATTACGTGTTGTAGACATGTCAAAGGCTTGGTGGGCGAATTGGATTTCTCATTCCACGCCGTGAGCACGATGGACTCAAGGATTGCTGAGTCGAGAATGACGTCGCGGGCTCCATCCAGAGCTACGTCGCCAGCGAGAAATGCCTCAAAGTTGAGTTTGCATGAGACCCAGGCGGCGGATCGTCGGAAGATGGACTGAATTGGTAGACTACCTTGAGACTATGATGTAAATACGACTGTTTGGAACATAACGAGGTGGTTATGTGAAACCCGCACATAATACTCTTTCGCGTGCTTACTTTATCGAAGGGTAGCTTGGAGCTGCTAGAGATAGGTATGTCCCAACAACTCAACTGTAGCCATATCGCAAAGTAATAGTTGTACTAGATTAGTAGCTCGCAAAAGTTCTTGAATCGAGAGAGGGTCCGAAAAGAAAAGCTGTTTCTTTTTTGAAAGTTCGAAAGAGTGGCATTGGCATTCGGTTGAAACACATAACGCCTATATGCTATCAAAATCCAATCGAGATACTCAGGCGCAGTACTAGTATCGCACATATTGACACGGGCTCATGACAGACGGATCATAAATAAAGACCGCTAGTCATTATACTACTTTCCCCGGAATAAGTGGACCTTCCCCGCCTACTCCGTCTTGACTATCCGGGGGCCTCGGCAGGCTTCTCAATCACAAGTCTCGAAGATCCCCCGCGCTAAGGAGATTTAGCGAACCCCAACATTTTTACGACGGTCCCTGCGTCTCCATAGTATCGTTTGATTCGTTGAGATTCGTAGACTTTGCCTAAAAGTCTCCTGCTTGGGCGTTGTGAGTGGCGATCATGATCTCACATGTTCGAGTAGTAAGGTTGAAGTCAGGGCACGCTCAGTTATATAAGAATCTGATAAATTCGCCCCGATACGAATCTCATTTTGCGGATGTATACACATCAGGACCAACTTCAAAATGTCTACCCAGACCGCAACAGTCAAGCGGAATCCCGCTGACTCCATGGTGTCCACCTGGCGCCATGATCGAGCTCAGTGGGGTCCATGGCACTGGATGATAGAACTTCTCGGCCTACACCTCATCGACCTGAAGGGCAAAGTACCAGTATTTTCCAAGAAAGAAAAGATACCCGCCATCCGCGAATGGACAGTTCACTTATGGATCCTACTCCACGCCATGATACCACTCGCCCTGCACTACGCCTACACAGCCTATACCGGACAAAATCTCGGTCTCCTCGCCGCATTCGGGCTATACTCGACCGCATTTAAACTAAACGGCATCCATGAAATGCACATAATGCGACGTCTCGGTCAAGTTTACGGATTCCTAGACGGAGACAAGCACCCCCGAGACGAAATCCCCGACGTTGGCGTTGGAAAAGTCATCCGGGAACTCATTTCCACTTCCACTTTCCGCATGATAATGGCTATATATCTTACCTACCAACCGAATGAAACACCCTCGTCTCTCGAATGGAAATGGCTGCCCCTGGAGATCGGTATCTACAGCATCACCGTCGATTTCTGGTTCTACTGGTATCACCGCATGATGCACTCAACGGGTCCACTGTGGAAATATCACCGTCGACACCACCTCACAAAGCACCCGAATCCCCTCCTCTCAGCGTACGCAGATCACGAGCAAGAGTTTATGGATATAACTGGCATCCCCCTCATGGCGTATGGCACGATGAAGCTTATGGGGCTACCGATGGGGTTCTATGAGTGGTGGATTTGTTTCCAGTATATTGCCTTTTCGGAATTTATTGGACACAGTGGTTTGAGGCTTCATGGTGGGGCACCGTCTACGTTGAATTGGTTGTTGGAGCTCTTTGATGCGGAGCTTGTTATTGAGGATCATGATTTGCATCATCGGTATGGGTGGCGGAAGAGTCATAATTATGGGAAACAGACTAGGCTTTGGGATAGGATATTTGGAACTTGTCATGAGAGGATTGAGAGTGTAAAGGAGAACGTTGACTATACTAATCGGGTTACGATGCCTCTTTTGTGAGGAGTGCTTGTACGCCCAGGTGTCGGACTGGAATTAGTTAGTGGGCGGCACTGGAGATACATATGATATTCCAGGTTTATGAACAATGATTGAATGATAAAGATATTTTTGCATCATGTTTTGACAATATCTTGACCCTGATACCTTCAAGTTATTACGCTGTTTAGTCTTGGAAGAGTGATAGGAAAAAAGTCAAGTAAGTCGGACAAATCTGAGCGAATAGGGGGGGGCAAGAAGAGATAATATAAGGGGGTCAAAGTACCCTCAAGAGATTCCGATTGGTGTATTCCGCGATTTGCTCAGGGCTGTGCGAATCTCAAATGCATCACTTTCTGGTCGATTCATGAAAGGCCTTTTTCATATTTTCTTTTTCAACATTAAAGTTTCCCAATTAGAGTATACCAGTCCAGCCATGTGGTATGTTGTTCGTTCGCATTCCCAGAAGCGAAGAAAAGAACATATGAATTGAAGTATTGGAGAACAGAATGATCAATTATTTATCCTTTGCATGAGGAGTTGAATCCGGACACATACTAATAGTATTTGGAGGTTCTGCACATTGAGAAGCAAAGTGTTTAGTAATACATTTAGAAAGACTAGGTTGATTGCTGCTGTGGAGCACCGTACTATGAATGAATCTGAGCACAACTTGAGCAAGATACAGTGTCTAACCTTGAAAACCCAACCATGAGCCAAAAATTACCTCCATCAAAACGAATGATGTGCTTTTCCGACAATCGTCAAACCCCCCCACCACCACTCACTAAAATCCACGCAAGACCCGGGTATATGATGATGCCATCGACGCAGCCCCGCAGATGTACTGCCTAGGGTATATCTATCTCCGCACGAATACAAGCCTCCTCTCTTACCCCTCAAATAAACCTTGGAAAGACAGAACGAACAAACAACAACCTCATCTCTCCCCACCATTCTTACAAAACGTGTATACAACCCAAAAGCAAGAATCTATTCCAGTCTCCTCAAGCCCAATCAGCCCAACAATGTCCAACATAACCATAGACCCATCCATCCTCTCATCAGCAACCAACAAAACAGTCCTAATAAGCGGCGCAGCCCGCGGCATAGGCGCCGCAACAGCGAAGCAATTCAACGCCCACGGCGCCAATGTCGTTCTAGCAGACCTACCGCAATTCCGCTCGATAGCGGAACAATTCATTCAACATGACCTCGCTGATCCCAGTCGGGCGAACTTTGTGGAAGGCAATATCGTTGACTGGGATGAGCTGAGAAATTGTTTCAAGAAGACCGTGGAAATATTTGGTGGGATTGATATCGTTGTTGCTAACGCGGGGATTATGGAGTCGAGATCGGTCTTCGATTTCGAGGTTGATGAGGATGGAGAGTTGAAGGAGGATGTTGAAGCGAAGAGAGTTTTTGATGTTAATTTGAGGGGGACTTTGAATAGTTCGTATCGACATTACATGCATCGGCAGTGGATTCTATTCAACTAACAACGTACTACGTACCAACTAGCACTCCGACTCGCACTCTACTATCTATCTCAATCTCCCTCGCCGCCATCATCCAAATCGATCGTCCTGGTAGGATCATCATCGAGTTATTTTGGCGGAACCGGGGTCGCTGCGTACGTTGCTTCGAAGCACGGTGTTTTAGGACTCCTTCGTGCGGCGCAGGGTAAGGGTCGTGAACTGGGAATTCGAATTAATGGGATTGCACCGTTTCTTACGCCAACGCATATCACGGCGGGTTTTACGGAGAGATGGCGTGAACGTGGACTCGAGGAGAATACGCCTGAGCGGGTGGCTGAGGCTATTGCTTTTGTTGCGTTGGATGAGGGGAGGAATGGGGATTGTTTATTGGTTAGTAAATTCCCCTTCTCCTCTCAGGTGGTCGACTCAGCTTTGACCTATGTGCTTGCCTATCGCGTTGAGTTGGTTTAATGAGAGCTAATTGCCGGCTATTTATTTAGGTTGCTGGCAAGTTTCTTCGAGAGCTGGAATCGTCGCGTGCAAAGCTTATTCCTACCTGGCTTGGTGAGGATGTGGCGCAGTTCTTATCTACTGCAATGCAGTTCTTTGTTAGTATTGGTGGGTATGTACTGCCGAAGAAGTACTGAGCGATACTGAATAAAGAAGGGATAAGGCATATAGAGTTCGTCATGATGTATGTACATTGCGAGAAATAAGTTCAGAAGACCACTCCTTCCCCACACCAAACCGCAGGGAATGAAGAGAGACAGAGAGAAAGAGAAATATCGAGTCAAAAGATCAGGGAAAACGCCTAGCGGTTTTTCTATATCGTAACATCCATTAAATCGGATTCATCATAGTCGCGTTCGGAACGGCAGGCGGTAAAGTCGAAACCGCCACAGTCGATGATTTTGCGCTGACGGGCGTGGACTTGGTGACAGGAACTGGAGAGACTGTCGTCGGTAGACTGGTATCGAGATGCGAGGGGCTGCGACTGCTGCGACTTCGAGACAGATCTCCGTGTGAGGTCGTGCTGCCTGGCGTACTATTGCTGCCGGGTTTCCCGCTCCGCTTGACCATTTTGCCTAGAACGCCGACGATTTCGGCGGCGTCTTCGAAGCTCTCGTCGTCCATGCCTTCTTGGGCGTTGTAAACGTCGGCGATGGCGTGTTTGGCAAGGCGTCGACAGGCGATTGGGTCTTGGAGGCAGTCGTAGAGATAGGCGGCATATTCCAGTTTTACAGATAGTCGGAGTGGATGCGAGCCAGGGAGAAGCTTGTCAGCAAGGAGGGATGCATGGTTGAAACATGCTGTTGCAGTGGCTGTGTAGTCGAGTGGGGGTAGGAGGAATGAGGTGGCTGGTTGAGGTGGTAGTACTGGAGCGAGGCCGGGTGGGATAGATGTCTTGTTGGGTTGTTGGGATGAATTTTGTCCACGTAGGGCGGATAGGGATTCTTCGCCGTAAATCGAGTCGTGCTTTGCGAGAGTTGGTGGTTGCGGATCTGTTGGCTGGACCACGGGGCGATTGTGGAAGAGAACAAATATATGATAGAATGAGGCGCGGAGTTTGTAGGAGAGAACTTTCAATTCGACGAATCGTGAGACCATGGGAAGGATATAGCCCTCAAGTATTAACAGCCCTTCTCGGGCAAGCCATATGATGTGATAGTACAATTGAAGCGATTTGGTTTCGCGGGTATTGTCAAGGCGGCGTAATCGGCGGGCGCGAAGGAGTTTCTTGGAGAGCATAACCGAGAGGCCGAGAGATTTGTATAGCATTGCCGAGAGCAGGGGATTTTCGAGGGCCATTACGGCCGCGAAATTGCCCAAGGCTTTCTGATCCACCTCGGAGGATGCCATCCATAAAGCCAGTGACGCGGAGGCTGCAACATTGTGGTCAGTGATCTGTAAATCGGGTTCGATGGGTATCCCGGGAGGGATAGATGGTCTTTGTGACGGGAGTAGCATAATTGGGATGATTGAGTAGGGGATTGGGCAATAATGGTGGCCGGGAAGCAAAAATAGAGTCAAAAACGAAGCAGACAAGGACTCACCAGGCGAGTCGCGCGCAAACGAGGATTCAAACACAGCGCGTGCACATCCGAGCGCGTAGACGAGGATGACGATCGCGCGGCGAATGTGACCGGTCCTACACAATCATGCAGCGTCCACAGTATAAGAGTGATCAATTGGATCAATTGGAATTGATCTCGCCCCTGACTGATTCAAGTCGAGAGGAAGCCGGTGCGCTCTGTCTCGGTGGGCTCACCGCACAATTCGGACCCCGTTCCGAGTATCTTGATCTTGATCTTGAGCTTGATCTAGTCTGGACTTTGATTGGTATTGGTCGGTCGTGTATTTTGATTGTTTATTTATTTAATAGGGTAATTGAGGCCGTATGGCGGATTTGATCAATCTCGAGTGGGAGTTGATGGATCGATTGGGCGCAGCTAATCGAGGAGGATCGGCCGACAAGCTCGCGGCTCGCAGCTAGCAACGCAAGGCACAAGGATGAAGAGAGAGAGCAAGTGGATGCATTATGCGAGAGACGCGAGGGGGGGCTCGAGAAAGAGGAAGAAGACGCAGATTTCAATTCGCAATCTCCGATGCCAACGCACCACCGCGCTGTGCGGGGAAGAAGTCGGGCACGAGCGGAGAACGAGGCGAGAGCGGTGGAGCTGAAGTTGGAATTGGGCAGGGTTGGATTGGCGATTGAGATATGGAAATAGAAGATGCGATGAGCCCAGCGTAGAGCCGAGAAGGGCGGAAGTTAAGTTGGACGGTGGACGGTGGATGGAAGGTGGAATGTGGAAAATGGAAGGTGGAGGGACGGGGGAGTCGAGGCAAGGCGGGCCCACTAAGAGATACCCGACACTCTACCTCAGGCTATAGTTAGTTACTAGTGCTAGCTATTATCCTATTATACTCGTACTGTACTTGATCTATTCTGTCTCACCATGGCTATCTGGTAACTTCCAGCTGGCAGCTGGCAGTGCCAACTCCACATCACCATGATATAATTAACCCACTGAGCCACCCCCGAGCCGCCTCAGGTCGCCCTGAATTAGCCCTCATCGCCTCGAATTGACCAGCTCAGGGAGCTACGTGGCAGTCATCGAGTGCGCGATCCAAGCAGATTACAAGTTGGAAGCACGGACTGCCACGCTGGCAGTGGCGTTATGTTTGCTTGCGGGTGGATCGATGGATCGATGGATTGCGGCAGTTCAGATGGGAATTGGTATTCCAGACGACCAGCTGCAGCAGACCCTAATTTTGCAGAGTACAGAGTACAGAGTACAGAGTGTACCGTGAACAATAGATATAGTCGATAGTAGTTCAGATGAATGGAATTGCTATACAAAGAGAAGTATGGTAACTACTGGGATGAACCTTGGTTCACCGCCCCATGAACCACCCCAATGGACCACACCGCCACAATGACATAATGAGAGACAGACAGAGTACTCGATGGCCTACAGAGTACAGAGTCGAGTAGTATTGAGTGTTCTATCAATATAAACTAAAATAAAAATATCCATGACTATGCTATATACCTATTTACTACCGGCCAGCTAAATGCCGGCCAGCCGAATGTAGAACACCAAATATGCAAGCTCCCAATAATTAATCAATCTATCTATGCAAGTCACCTGTGATACTGACAGTGATAGAGCCTCGACTCAGCCATCCCTCCTTTTAAAAGCTCTCTTCCAGCTCTTCGACATCCATGTACCCCGTAAAAGCCCGCTCCAAGAACGCTCGCCAAACTGCATTGACCTTGCCTTTCTTCTGGCTCGAGACCTCCCCAGCTTCCCCAATCCGGGTCGCAAGCTCAAGGAAACTGCGCACGGTGAGATCACTCATCTCGTACACATCGTCGCTCGTGGTGTATTCCACCTCGAACTCCAGGCGTGGGGATTTCTTTGATTGAGTCGCTTCCTCGTTAAGTCGTGTGAGGTTGGCATAGTACTGCGTGTAACCCAGCAGCGTCAACGCCTGGTTGGAGTAGGCCGGGCCAGGCGGGGCCGTGGAGGATGGTGGCTTGGGCGCCTTGAAGCTGGGCTTCTTCTTGCCCTTGCCCTTGCCATTTCCTTTGCCCTTCTTTTCTTCTTCTTTTGCGTGTCTACCGACGAATCGTGGCCTGACTCATAATCATATAGATCGAATAGCTGCTGTGGGGCAGAGGCGGACTCGTCGGTTTGGCCGACATTCTCCAACCCCGTCAGGTTGTACTCCACCATGCGCAGTGTCGGGAAGAAATTCGGCACGAGACTGGGCGAAACCAACGATACGCTGTATCGCTCAGCCCACGGGCCTCCAATCTTCTTCAAATATTTGCGAATCTTCTTCTCCTCCTTATCTTCCTTGCCCTTCTTCTTGTTCGCCTCGAAGAAGTCTTCCATCTTCTGAACGTTCTCCAAGCCCGCGGGTACAGATGGGAGGTCGGACCACTGGCCCCGCAAAGAAACAAGGTAATCCGACTTGGACATGGCAGAGACAGTCCCATCGCTCTGCTTCTCCGATAGCTCACCCGCGTCCGCGGCGTGACTATCCTGCAGGACGAAGTGGTCAACATTCATATGCCCGTAGAGACTTGCGACAACCACATCCCGGTACCGATCCATCCACACCGTATATTTCTGCCAGCAGGTCTCGTCCCAGTTGGTCTTTTCATCTGAGCGCGCGGGCGCAACGTGACCCATCAGGATAGCCTTCATGCCGCGCTCGCGCAGAATCTGCAACTGCACCCGCAGCCACTCCATATGTTCATACCCGGGCTCAGATCGATCCTTGCACCCGTCGACAGCACTATTGGATTCGAAAAAGTACATCGTGTTCAAGCTAATGACGGCCAATTTGCCAGGAATGACCTCACTGGTAAACCAACCGCCCTGAACAAAGCTATGCCGCTGATCCTCGGGGATGAAATCAACCCAGATCTCGTTGAACTTCTTCGTCCAGGCATTCGGTCCGCCGCGGAAAATGTTATGCGGGAGAATATCGTTGTTGCCGAATGTAGGCACGACGGGGACGGAGAGACGGCCCGCGGATCGATCGGGTGAGTTGGAGGTTCCGAATAAATCGACCCATTTCTGTGACATGTAGCGGTTTATTTCGAGAATTTCGTCTTGGTCGCGGGGGATATTTTCGTCGTTGTCGTGTCGGGCTGAGTCGCCGGTCCAGATCACGAAGTCGATCTCATCTTTGATGTTGTCTTTGATCCAGCGGAATGTCTCGTCTACCAGGACGAGCGGCGAGTCACAGTCCGATCCTTCTTGCCCAAAGTATCCTGCTTCGCCTTGGCCGTGGTGGCATGAACCCTTGTCGGGTGAGGAACCCGCTTTGTAGTACCGGTCAGGATGAAAATCTATAGATGTGGATCGGCTTCTCGTCAGTGTCATATTATCACGCGACCAGGAATACCCTTGGGTCCGCAAACTGTATCCACGTACCTGTGATGTGTAGAAAGCGCCCTGTGAGAGGTTGGGGTTGGGCCTCTGTAGATGCGCCTGGTGTGTTCAGGTTCAGGTGTGGCATCAACTTGTCAACAGGGGCGAGGGGCTGCTGCTGCTCCAGGGGCACTGCCACGGCAGTAGCAGCAGCAGTGATGAGGCCCAGCAGGGTCAACATATTGACCAGGATCAAAGCAGCATGGAGGGAGGCACCAAAGCTGGCAGATTGATCACAATCAAAGACTCAAGGATAAAAGGTGGGAAAAGCGGATGGAAATTTAGGTCCGATCTTATCGCGAGTCACGTCACTCGGTCAATTCGGAGCCAATCAACGGATGCTGAGTCAGACACGGCTGCAGTATCAGACGTCTTGGCAGGGACACATTTGGGCACAAAGTAGGGCAGAGCAGAAAGATGATAGAGAGAGAAAGAGAGAGAGAGAAAGAGAGAGAGAGAGAGAGAGAGAGAGAGATAGAGAGAGAGATCAATAAAATAATAAAGATCAGTCTGACTTTAACAAATTGTGTAGGGCAGCAGATCACCCCGCGTGATTGGCATTTGCATTTCCTTTTTGTATCCCCAGATTCATCACAGCCAATCACCGTCTTCCACTTCTACACGTGCGAGGACCTTGTATTGGTGGTAATCATTAATAGACAACTTTATTTATATTTATATTCATATTTATATTTATACAAGTAGGGTTGCACATATATACTACTAGTAACTACTAACTATAACTACTAATTACTACTTAGTATATGCTATTTACACCCACTGGCATACTAGTAATTGATATGCCCAAACTACAACTTGAAAGTACATTTTTGAGAATGGATTTTTAGAAGAGCTTTATTAAAAAGTAATAAGAGTACTAAGTATAGTACTAGTATCAGTACCTAAACACAGTAACATGATATCCAATTCGATTGCCAACAACTTAATTACCCGTGCCCACGTGAACCATCTTGGAAGGTTATCCAAGTTCATCACAATTATAACAACCACCGCCGCAACTTGAGCACATGCCTATCCGAATTTCAAGACCCGTGTCCATCCATCCTTCAAGCATCAGCTTCAATCTTCTCTGTGACAGTTCCATCATTCTGCACAACGATCTTATCCAGATTCTGTGAAGCCTTGACAGGGTTGGGCTGCTGGTACACCCACTCCAGCTCCTCAAGAGTCCGACCCTGCGACTCAACACAGAAGAAATACCAGCAAACAGATTCAACCAGATCCCAACCCACAAAGATCCAGAAGTAATTGGTCGAGATATTGCCCAGACCAATCGGCGACGCAAACTGACTAATGAAACTGATCGAGGAAACCATGAATCCAGAAAGAGCCAGTCCCTTCGCACGAGTCGTCGTCTCCAGTGCCTCCGCGGGGACGACACCCTGCAGCGGGGTGTAGGTGAAGGAGAACACGACGTTGAAAAGATAGTAAAAGGCCAGCGCTGTCTGGCCCTTGGTGTGGCTGATCGTTCCAGTGTTGGCGATGGGCAGCGAGACGGCGGCGTTGATGGCCATGGTGATTGCGCAGACGAGCGTTCCCCAGATCAGGACAGGACGTCGGGGCATCTTATCTGTCAGACAGACGGCGGTTCCGGCGCCGATGGCCGAGACGATGGAGTTGATCAGGTTGAGTAGCAGTTGTGTCGAGCTAGAGGTGTATCCCAGGACGTTGTAGATGGTCGCGTTGAAGTATCCTAGACCGTTACCGGACCACTGTCCAAAGACGGAGATCATGATGACCTGTGCGAAGCGCCAGCGGCCGCTGTGGGTGGTGATAAATGGTCGGTCTGGATAGAGAATTAGGAGTTAGCCATCGATTTTGAGAGCAAGGCAGAGTTGGGAATAAAGCTTACAGTCCCACCATCTCTTGTCAATACCGTCAACACGGATTCCTTCCTTCATTTCCTCAATCTCCAGACGGACCAGGCGAGCATTGGGATCACCGTTGCCATGGTATTTGACCAGAAAGGCAAGGGCCTCGTCTTCGCGACCTTGGGTGAGGAGCCAACGGGGTGACTCCGGGATAAACCAGACTGCGAAAATGACCATAACACACGCGAAGCACTGCAGGATGAACGGGATACGCCATTGGTAGTTGTTGCTGATATTGTTTGTGCCGTAGGTGATCGCAGCGGCGGGGATACTGCCTCCGAACCAACCGCAGTTGTAGAAGCCTGTATATCGTGGCAGTCAGTGAATATGTTTCGGAATGCGAGCAGTTGGACCTGGGGGTATAAGACTGACCGACAGCACGACCACGCCAGTGTGGCGGGGCAATCTCAACAGCATATGCTGGAGCCGAAACGACCATGATCTGGATTCCAACACCGAGGATAAAGCGACCGACCACAAATTGAGCCAGATGCATGGCAGTCGAAATGATAATCGATCCAAGGATAATCACCCAGGCACCGACAAACATACACTTGCGTCGACCGAGCTTGTCGGAAATGACGGCGCTGAAGGGAGTTGCGACGATAGATCCGCTGGAATTGTTGTTAATTCAGGGATCGGAATAAAAGATACCAAGTGAAGTCACTTACACAGTGTAGAGGGAAGTCACAACAGAAACTTTTGAGCCTGTGAGACCAGTTTTAAAGATCGCTTGCCAATGGTCCATTGCAAGGATGGATCCCATGAGGGAACCTAGAAGAAGCACATATCAGCGCCAGAACCTTTCGGAGAAAGCATCAGATCTACTTACCATCATAACCGTTGGCACAAGCACAGAGGAAAGCGACGAAAATACAGACTGTATTTGCATTAGTACTGAGTTAAGGTTGACGTTGTTGAGGTGCATAACGTACAGTAGAGGTGGATGGAAGTCTTGCTCCACCGCTCAATCTTGGTTTCCTCAATAGCAGCAAAGAGTTCGGCCTAATTAAGGGTAAGCATGGAGTTTCCAACGTCAGCATGGAAAATCACCCACATTGTGGACTTCCTTCGTCTTCGCACCCTCGCGCTTGGCAGTCTCTCCATATCCAGCAATCACCTGGGGGGTATCCTCAGGCCCTGTCCCATAGTCTACCGCAGAGGAGATACCGTGCACCTCCTCATGAGTCCCGCTCTTAGCGTCCGACATGATCCAATCGGTTTTCGATACCGTCAAATATATCAGTGGGTTGTCGAGGAAACGGGTTGTCGTCGAGTGCAGTCGTCTTTGAAACGCGGCTCGATATTTTCCAAGAACCCCTCGAAGGGAGGACAAGCTTGGATTCTTATAAGAAACTCGCGCTCATACATACAATCCAATCGGTTCGCATAGGCGCCAAAGACCCTGTCTTAATTTTCCTTTTCTTACTATTCCGTTTCGGAAACGCTAAACCATGCAGTTCTCCAGATTTTGCTGGTCGCCTCCCCCCCCCCCCCTTGTGACACTAGATCCCTGCGCCCAGTAACGCAGCAGACGAGCTCGGCGGTGGCGTGCACAAGCTGCTCCGTATCCTTATTGGAATCGGCGAAGCCTCCAGTGAGATGATGGATTGCTCAGATACGATCGATGTGTCCGCCTCGATCCGAAAAGATTCAGGACTTGAGCTGGAGGGATCTGGATGTTCGGCCCTGTGTCCCGTACGCCGGGCAAGACATTCTGATCTATACCCTTTGGTTGGGAGTGATTTGCCCCCTTTCTTTTTGTTTTATAGCTAGACTGTTTGATTGGCTCCACGCTAGTGAAGGGAATTGGTATTTAATATACGCAGATTATCAGATCAGGTATAATACCCTAAGGCTGAAGGAGAACTAGACAGTAATGTTTCACCTCATCCCGCCCTTGTCTCCTGATCTGCAGTATACCACGTAATACTGTATTGTTGTGAGATTTTCCATCAATGCAGTCCAAGGGCTGGAAAACATCAGGTGTCTTTTTTACTTCTCCAAAGGGATTAAGTTTCATCACCCAATAGCAACCCCATACTTAGAGTTAGATTTATCGTCCCATTTCCTGTCGATGCAAAAAGCCAAAGTCTGGGGAGAGGACCCCGTTACTAGCGCGGAGCAGTCCTCCGTGTTGGATTCTCCACGGGGGAATTCTTCCCCACAAAACACTAATCTTGTTCCAGACCTGTCAGCTCGGCTCCATCCAGCTCGACAGAGTAGCCACTTCGCTTGTGCGAATGTCGGCCCGAGTAAGAAGTTTTCCCCAAAGACCAGAAAAACCGGAAACAAAAAATCACGACCTCAGCCCGAAATTGGAACCTCGCACCCGAATGGCGAGATACCCAACCCTATCCATCCCGGCAGGGCAGCCGTTGCGCATGAACCCAATATTGGCGTTCCCGGAATGTGGGAAATTGCAGGATTCAAGAAGTAACTATAGGCGAGACGAAATTGCATTCAAGGGGTGTTTGCTGCAGGACGCGAATTGTCCTTAAAACGGGGCCTCCCGACCGCAGACCTTTTCGAGGTCTCGAAGTGGATCGCTGGTTCCATACTGTTATGTATTGCCCCCCCCTCTCCCCGCCCCCTTGTCGGTGCTAACAAGCTCATTTGGACTTGGCGCGACAATTCACTTGCTTTTATGGGATGGTGGGCGCCACCGCCAAGACTTTTTGGCATGTGAGTGACTTGATGTGGATTAATTACTGGTGAGTAGTTTCAACATGGGAATCTATCTCGCAACGAGTTTGCCGTTGGATATATCTTGAAAAAGTCTCAACGTGCAGGACATCCATTGATTTCAGATGCTCAATATAAACTTGAAGCTCTGCACCCAATTCCAATAAAGCCATTTTACAAGACTTCATATGAAAGCTTCTTGAACTTGACATAACTGCTAGGATAACACGGTTACTATAGCTCTCAGGATTACGACATAGCTCTACAGTCTGTATGTGGCTATTTTTAAGAGAAAGTCCTTTCGGAATATTTGAGCAGAGAACTCGCACATGTTTTCGATATCAAGCCAGAATAAGCGAGCGCCTGTTAATGTATTTCATTTCGATGACAAATGCTTGAAACCACACTTCTACCTAGGATGGGATTTCAATCCGTTAAGAGTGCTTCTCTCATTTCTGATTAAACATTCCATATGAAATCATACCTTGAAACTATCTTAGATCATATAGGCGAGGGTTTCTTTTTTCATTATCTAACCCGACTATACGGGTGGTCGCGCATATAAGAAGGCAAAGTTCCCTTCGGCGAAAGTCTCTTAGATGATAATGGACTTTATATATAATCACGCAACTCACGACGAATTCCATCGCCATCGGCAAATTTCGTGATATAGACCAAGATTGCGGTGTCCAAGAACGCGTCTTTCCCTTCTTAAACAGATCTGAATCCCTGCAGCTTAGAGTTTCGCTATTGCGGGGCCAACCCACAGGACATGATCATATCTCTATCTTCGAAATCAGAGTTGAGATGATCTTCTCTTTTATCACTGAAATCACCTAGCGTACCTTGTATTTCCATAGAAATTGGAACAGACTACACCTTTACCATAGAAAAAGACGCATCAAATGTTATCAGCTTCTTACTGTGCTCTTTCCAGGTTATCGGTTGATAGGTGTGCTTCTTTCTATATTATTCGATACCTTCACTGCTGGCCAGGTAACCAAAAGGACAGCGTTGTTCAAAGTTTCAAGATTTCCCTAACCAAGTCCACTTATTTTTGAATAAAATTGTGTTTCATGCCCTGGTGTGAATTTCCTGAACGAATGCTGGGCTCCATGTTGTTCGATGGTATAGCCACCTTGAACTTGAACTAGGTTCAGTCAACGAATATACTAGTAGCATTTTATTGATTTTAAATTCAAGTCCCAAGGTTGTAGGTAACCCCAAGCTCTAAGTTCTGGGTTTGAGAATCCCTAAATATATACTAGTATCCTAGGATGCTACTAGTACCCACTAGGTACTAATCTGTGACTAGTGCCGTGCAAACTTCGAGGACTGTCGACCCTGGAACCCATACTATCATTTAGCAAACGCCCAGAATGATATACAATTGAAGTTTTGATTCTTAGACTAGTCGATGTACTAGGGATCCAATTGAAATAAATCGTTCCGGTGTGAGACGGGAGAACGGTATTGTCAGCCTAAAATGACACCCAACTAGGTGAAGCCAAAGGGACAGCCTGTAAAGCCATCAGACCAAGCTCACTCGTCTGATCAGCGCGCTTAGAGACGTGCCGAGATCTACTCCCAAGCCAAAAAGCGGCGTTCAATGGGTAAATTTCAGTCCAGGCTCAGACAGACTCGCTGAGTCCATCATGATGTCCATGCCTTGTCGACACTTGACAGGGTACTTAGCCCCTTAGTATAGTTTATTTGCGAATTTAATTTTCACGACTAGTCATGACTAGAAATATGGGGATGAGATCGGAGGCAAATGTGTGTGTATTGGATAGATGTGGAAGGAGGAAGCTCCTACTAATTATAGGTGTGGGCCACGGCAGCCTGCATGCCTGAGGCCGCTAGGCTTCAACACCTTTTGGAGCCTAATCAGCTTCAATCTTTTGAGATGTCTCATTTCTTCTTTTCCCAACCGTGTCATACTCAAAATAGATAGAATACGATAATACTAAAGTTAAATTGCGATTTGAGGGCGAATGGGCCGGCATAGCCGCCATGCACAGTGGTAAGCCCGAAGGAACACGGAACCCGGAGCTCTTATTTTTGGCTGAAAATTACGAAGTGGGTACTCCATTTTTTGCAGCAACTATATATCACAGCTTAACGGGAATCTGTACTCGTTTCTTCCAAAATACAATTCATCAACTGCCAGTGAAATATGAGAATGGCACCCTTGATTATATACGGTGCGACAGGCTATACAGGCCGCATGGCCAGTGAACACGCCAAGACCCTTATGGAAGCATGCATACAGAACAAAACACACTACCTCGACATCTCGGCAGAAGTGAAAGTTGCACGATAGATTAATTTTGCTCACCAAAAGATGCTCTTCGTCAATTTGGGTCGCCATGTTCATTGAAAAGAATGTTGGAGGTAGTAAAAGAAGGAAGAGCGAGAAAGTATTTGGCTGTCGAAAGCTTGAGGGTGTTAAATAAGCGCTAATCTAAAGTTGGACCTCCCAAGCTTTGTCCCGCTCAAGCCCCCTCTTTTGGAATCCCGAAATCGAAACCTCCTCACATCAATCGACGGAATATGGATAGTCTAAATATAGACTGACCTAATCCACATGGCCGTTATGCTGGCTTCGGCAGAATACGTGGAGAGGTCAAGATCAAGTATGTAGGAAATCCACCAGAGGGGGCGTTTGAATCTTTTCTACAAAGTATAGCTTGCATGAAAATTGGCGAAGCAAATTTAAAATGTAGAAATAGAGTAAACTATAAGCAAAAATGAAAATATACCTAGGTATGTGAGTACTAGTATATGTCTGAAATTTCTATGAATTATCATCGTGATACTTATCCACCCCTTTGGTCTGCCATTGAATCGAACCAAGCTCAATACTATTGGAAGAAATTGAAATTGAAATTATAGAGAAGGAATATAGGGTGACTTATCATAAGAATTTCATACGAAGTCGATTGAACTTTCAGCAATGAATTTTTCCAGAACCCGTGGACGTCGTTGTAAAGCCTTGCTAGTGCAAAGGTCCGTCAGAGGAACCTTGTTCTAATAGAGCCCAGCTATGCGCGAATAATAGTAGTACGCATTAGTCCAGTCTACAAATAGTCCAAACGGCCCGCGCACCCAAGCGGCCCGCGCAGACCGCCTGCTACTCCATGTTTGAACTAGAATTTTGCCACCAAAACGCCATTATATTGAGAAATCTATCTACTAGGGCACCAGGTAATTGAATGGCCTATTCTCTGACTGCCGCTGTACCTTGCCTGCCGCCGTCTGGTTGGTGGAGGTGGTTCAATACGCCCTGGCGTCTATATAAGTGCTTAAGGACAGTAAAACACCTAATATTAAGTAGTTAAAGAAGGTAAGATTAGTATAATAGTATACAAAGTAGTATAATAAAGTTTGTAGCATGAACTTAATCAAATTAAGGTATAAAATAACTACTATAACTATTAAGAATATGAAGGTAATATTTTCCTTTAGTCCCTATAGAGGTAGCTAGAATAAATAACTTTTTAAGCTATCGTAGGCCAATCTTATCTATAATCTATCTATTTAAAGAGACCTCAAAATACTAGTTATTTAGAAGATTATCAAACCAGAATTTGATATAGACTTTGTCTTTTATGTATAGAGGTAATATAAAACTATCTGGACTGATTATTTTATTGCTGTAACCTACTTACGATTTCCTAGTTGTAAAATTACTCGCTGGCTATGATATTCAGCATATATTACCACTTTAGCAGTTACAATAAAGCCTATTATAAATCCTATCTTATCAAAGTTATAGATATCCTCTTATTAGATATCATTCTTTTTAATTGTATATTAAGCAGTATGAAACCAATTATATGGAGACTTTAGATCCTTATTTTAAGTACGTTAATAATTATAATGCTTTAAAATCGTATATAAAGCTCTTTACAGTATTTAACAAAGTTTATTGACTAGTTTTTACCAACAACAGGTAAGGGGGTAGACCCACGTACTGTAAGTAGGATATTGGCCATTTCCCGTACAGTAGAAGGCCGAGGTACTGCACCACGTAAATACATAGAGAGTATCCATTACACAAGCGAGTCCTCTTTATTTTGTGCCAATTTATGGTTGTTAGCACGTATCTCAGCACAAGAGGTTGTCCCATTCATACGGTCACGGATAGTAGACTCAAGCACCTCAAATAGGCTAGGTGCGGCACGGCGAGGGGTGATTTAATCATTTTTAAAAGCATTGATGGCTAAAGAAATTCTACCCTCATGGTCTAGCGACTTTTGAGCATTTCGGTTGCGTATTGGTGGCATGGTGGGTATTGAAGATGGTGAGTACGCGTCAGGACGCAATCTGAGGAGGCGCGCGCGGGCCGCTTGGGTGCGCGGGCCGTTTGGGAATTACGTTAGTTAACTAATTAACTAGCCACCGCATCCATCACCACTTCATGCCATTTCTCTCTTTCTCATCCCATCTCGTTCGCCCCTTTATGGTAGTATTCAGTACTCCCTAGTAGCAGAATCAGCTATGCTGATGTCAGTTGGTTCACTAGTATAGGTAACTAACTACTACACGTACTGACTAGTTCCCAGCCACTTTCTAAGCGCTTATGCGGCTTACTGTGAGAACGATCAAACATTACCCGCTTGAAGAATGTGAATGACTGTGATGTGGCGAGGGGTAGAAATAGGGGGCCTAGCCTTTATAAATCCGCGACTTGCTGTTTCCAATGTCCCCCGCATCGAGAGTGATCGCACCTTGTCACAAGACGGAATTTACGTCGATCAACTTGCTGGCTTTGGAGCTGAATATTAGCGCCCATAATGGCTGACTTCAACACCGAGTCAACACTTGGATTAAGCGATGATTCCTTTGACTTCATTGTTATCGGAGGAGGCACAGCCGGTCTAGTCGTGGCCAACCGGCTCACTGAAGATCCCCGGACTCGCGTCCTAGTTCTTGAAGCTGGAACAAATCGCCTCGACGATCCTCGGATTACAGTTCCAGCATTGTCTTTGCAGGCGTTTGAGGATCCGGATTTTGATTGGAATTATCTTTCAGTCCCACAGGTATGTAAAGAATCCAATTCAAAATTAGCCTTCATCGCTAATCCCCACCTCTCAGAAAGAACTAAATGGCCGGCAACTGTTCATAAACCAGGGTCGCACGCTGGGCGGATCTTCGACTATCAATATGGGGATGGTTATTTACCCTTCGCGCTCCGGCATGAACGCATGGGAGGGACTGGGAAATCCCGGTTGGGGTTGGGAGGGCCTGTCTCCCTACATCCGAAAGTTCCACACTGCAGCACCTCCCTCGGAGGGAGGCCAACAGACCCTCAAACAGATTCTGTATGAACAGAAAGATGTGGGCGATAAGGGACCCGTGAAGGTCTCTTTCGGCGATCAGTACATGCCATACTATAGTGCATGGATGGAAAGCTTCAAGGCGTTGGGATATCCGCAGACTGAAGACCCGATAAATGGTGCTGGTACAGGTCCCTTCGTCAGTCCCAGTGCCGTAGACCAAGCCACACACACTCGAAGCCATTCTGCTGCTGCATATCTCGGAGAAAATGTTCGTTGTCGGCCGAACCTTCGAGTTGTGACTGCTGCGCGGGTGGAGAGAATCGTCCTGGAGAAGCGCGGCGACGAAGCAATTGCCACTGGTGTATCTTTCTCCAGGGGGCAAGAACGATTCGTCCTCTCCGTCAAGAAAGAAGTAATTCTTGCCGCTGGAACAACCCAAACTCCCAAGATTCTGGAACTATCGGGTATCGGCGACGAGAAACTCCTGCAATCCCTCGGAGTCCCCACAATCGTCGACAACCCAAGCGTTGGCGAAAATATGCAGGAGCACGGCCTGGTCCCGTATTCATATGAAGTAGCAGATGGCCTTCCATCTGGCGACATGGCTCGTGATCCTGAGTTTGCAACCGCTGCCATGGCCGCATATCAAAAAGATGGATCTGGTCCTCTGGGATATGTCCCATTCGTATCGGCATTTATGCCGTGTCTGGGCCTTTCACGCGAAGCCAGAAATGAGATGGTCGAGATCATCAAGGCCACAATTACGAATCCTGATACGTCAAAGCCGGTTCGCAAACAATTAGAGGCCCAGGTAAAGCTCCTAGAGATCCCTGAAGAGACCACAGGGCAATACATCCTGGCTCCGTTCCAAATTCACTCTCGGGAGAGGACTCCCCGGCAAGCCTTCAGCCCCAGTCACCCTGGTTTATTTATGACCATTGCCGTTGTGCTCAGTCACCCATTTTCGCGCGGATCAGCACATATCAGCTCGGCAGATTTCCGCGATGCATCGATCATTGATGTTGGCACGTTCACGAATCCCATTGATCTGGAGCTGCTTGCGAGACATTGTCTTCTGGCAAATAAGCTTATGGAGACGGAGCCTTTGGCTTCGCTGATGAAAAAAGACGGCGCTCGATTGCACGCGGCTGGCCCGTTAGATCTAGACAAAGCGAAGGAATTGTGCAAAGATCTTGTTATGTCGAATTATCATTTTAGCGGAACTTGTGTTATGATGCCCCAGGAGGATGGCGGTGTGGTTGATCATCGATTGAAGGTCTACGGGACGAGCAACGTCCGGGTTGTTGATGCGAGTGTCTTTCCTCTGGAGCCAAGGGGGAATATTCAAGCGACCGTTTTTGCGGTAGCGGAGAAGGCGGCGGATATAATTAAGGAAGATAGCAAGTAGATTAGCAGAGACTTTTAGGATTATACTTGTACTTGACATGGTTAATCGTTGCACCTCTACATCGTCACATTTAGGATAAGCCAGTTTAATTCAATTCTTCGGTATACACATGCAGCTGAGCTCGAATTCTCGGGCATCATATGGACCAGCCTAGAGTTTCGCAATGATTCAGATGCAAATTTTCTGCTCAAGTTCAGAAACAAAGCCAAAGGGAAAGAGTATCAAGGTTTTATATACTCTAAAAATGATTGAATTTCACATTGGTCGCATCGGCTCCTATCTCGCCCACAGGGCTATTTTCCAACTCGACACTTTGAGGACTGCCCGGCAGCTCAACCAACTTTGACCCAGGAATTGGGCGACCGCGGGATGGAGGGGGGGGTCTTTTCTGAACTAGCGAAAGCGAATTCATGTGGCGGCATTCCGGCTTGCATATCGGATAGGGTGGACTTATATAGGGAATGCACTGGAGAAGGCTGGGCCGAGACCTTTTTGCGATATCGCCTGCCTGCATAGAAGAGGATTATGCCTATTATCACCACGCCGGCGACGAACCCAATGACGATTCCTACAATTTCACTATCAGAAAGAGACGATTTTGATGAGCTCGAGGTTGAGGATGATGCATGCGCAGTCGATGTATTTGTAGCCGACAATGTAGGAGACGTAGAAAGAGAGGATGAGGTTATTGAAGTCGGAGTTGGAATAGATGATATCGAGGCTGAGGCTGAAGCAGCATCATTATTTGTGAAGATTTGGATGCTCTGGTAGTCGTTTCCCGAATCCTTTTTCCACGCGTTGCATGAAAGTCCCCCGCGAGAGGTGCATGATTTGTCATAGTAAATAGAGATACAGAGATCAGCGTCTTCGGGATCCCATGAAAATTCCTTTCCTTTTGCAAGGTCGATCTTAGTGCAGTTCACCGTGCCAGATTCATGGAGGATTGTGGCGTTGTTTGTGGCGTTGGTGTATAGAAAGGTCCATGCTTGTGCCAGCGGGATGAAACTGAGGGCATATAATGATTTTCTCAACATGGTGCCGAGCTGTATAATGTAGGAGGGTCGATCGGATGTTTTTTTTTCGGAGTATGCAAAAGGTTATCGTTGACAACGCATAGTGCGGCGGGGTCTCAAACTAAATAGAAGCCCGCGAGGTCATCAAGTGTCACCATGGAGAATAGCTTCGTATTTTATTGAGCCTCAGAAAGCAATGATTGTCTGATCGTATTTATGGGACCCACGTTTAAATCTCGTATGGCACATTGAGGGGCGGCCCAGTGTAGATCGCTACTTGTGTCGGGTAGGGATCGTCGAGCTATCTTGCCTATGCAGACGAACGTCATTCTCATGGTTGCAAGGGTGACCGGGTGGCCAATGGGTGAAATGCCGTATTCTTAATATAGTTACGAGATTATTGCCTAGTTGTGCGTCTCGTGAATTCCAGCTGCTTACATGTGCCGAGAACGAAAGCCTTGACTGACGACTATGCAGAGGAAATGAGTCTATCCCGCCCAGGTCTACTGCAAAATCAACCAACAATATTCCCATCGGCAATTAACAAAGGATCAAGGCCTTCATTGTATCGTGAGCTTGCATTTTATGTTTGAATCAAAGCTGACTGATGTTTGTACGTCAAATGATATTGATGGGTTACACGAGCCTGGGAGGGCATGATCCTGATTGGTGATCGACCCAAGAATACGAAGCTGTAGCCTTTTTTTAGATAAAAGTCCCCGCTGCCCGGAAATTGGTTCCTGGGCGAAACAATGTGAACTGTCAATGTAGCGCTAGTACTATGTTTACCCAGTCTCCAGTCTGCGGGGTTACTGCCAATCATGTTCTCTTAAAAAAAGGCCGGGAAGACTGACGATGGAGTAATCATCCGATACAGATGCTAGGCCAAATTCCTGATTTATTAACTTGTATCTAGGACGAGTGACTAAACAGAAGATGGTATGAAATACCGCGACTACCCAGATGGTACCATTCCTAAAGTCGAGCGTTGTCTAAATAGACGATATTAGTAGCGGTTGGTGTTCGGGGCTCCTGGGCTTCAGTGCAACTCTTCTGAGGTCAAATTTAATACAATTGAGTCCAAGGAATATTATTACACAAGGGGAGCAGGTATAGTAAATATTGAAATTAGTAGTATCTTATTCAAGTTTCATCAACTTCAAGTTGAACTTCCAAGGTTGGACACTCAAGTTCATGGACATACCGGCCTCCGAGTCTCAAGGCATGTTACCCGATATATACAACTGAGCACGGCATTTCGCCAACTACAATGGCTTAGCAACAACGGGCTCGGCAGTCTGACCCTTCTCATTAGCCACGCGTTCCTGCGATGAACCGAAAGATCCATACTCCTCAGGCATGGCCCTTTCCTCATCTGGCCGCCAGAAATCCTTTTTGCCCCCCCGCGGCACGTTTCACCCACGGCGGCAAGAATCCTCCAGGAACCTTCCAGGACCAAGGATCCGACTCATCCTTATTCGGAGGAACAATGCGACCGCCCGAAGCCTTCTCGATAATCCAGGCTGTGCCATTGAGAATGATATAGCTGAGAATTCCAGCGATGAGACCATATGCAATACTATAGGTGAAGGGCATAATGGCGATAGTAAGGAAGGCCGGGATCGCATCGCCGTAGTAGCGCCAGTTGATGTCGGCGGCTGCTTTGGCCATGAGAGCACCAACAATCACAAGCGTACATCCAGTTGCCCACGGTGGAATGGAGGCGAAAATCGGGGCAAAGAATACAGAGATGAAAAAGGCGATTCCAGTCATGCAGGATGTGAGACCGGTCTTGCCGCCTTCGGAGATTCCAGCACCGGATTCGACGAACGCTGTGACCGGTGGGCTGCCAAAAAGCGAACCAATGGAGATGGAGATGGCGTCGACCATCTAGAAGATATTAGCTTTGTTATGGTTTGGAGTCATGTGGGAGTTTTGCTCACATAGGCTATGGCGCTACCCTCAAAATCCTGGGTCTTCTCATCGATGGTGCCGGCGAATCGAGCCATGGAGTACATTGTACCTGTTGTGTCCAAAATATCGACATACTGGTAAAGGAGTAAGCTGTGTGTTCATTAGGAGAGGTCAGTCAGGCGAACTAACCAGGAATGTGATGAACGCCAAGCCAAATTGGCTACCGTGGCCAGAGATATCCCACTTTTGTGCAAGGAGAGTATGTTTGATCGGATGGAAAGTAACAACCTTCTTGAAGAAGTCAAAGCTGCTGGACCCGAGCTCCGTGTATGGGAAATAGGTGACAGGGGTTGTTCGGGGCCAGGATATAATCGAGACAAGCAGAATGCCTGCGATCACAGCGCCTTTGACGCGGTACATCATCAACATCGCAGTGAAGACACCACCACAGAAAATACCGACCCACATGGTCGGGCTGCGCATTTTCGTACTGCTGAGACAGAGACCAGTTTCCTTATCGAAGTTCTCAGGGCTGTTGTAGCATCCGGCTAGCTCGATGGGAGTATCCTGTGCACCCTGTACCAAGCCGATACCAGCACTGTATGTGAGACCGATTAGAGCGAGGTACAACCCGATTCCAACGCCAGTTGCAAGCTTAATGGAAGATGGCAGTGCCCGTGCAAGCCACTGTCGCATGCCAATCAAGGTCAAGCCGAAGAAGACCCAACCCTCGACGAAAACAGCAGTCAAAGCAACAGAATAAGGAACCAAGCCGCTACCATGATATCCAACGACAGTATAGGCAAAGTATGCATTCAGGCCCATGCCTGGTGCTAGTGCGATTGGCAGGTTGGCGAAAAGCCCCATGCAAAAAGTAGAAAGTGCCGCAATAGCCGCAGTCGCAGTAACAATGTCGCGCTTGATCTCTTGCACGCACAGCAAGTATTCGGAGTTTGTAGCACAGAAGTCGTCCATGCTCTCAGCAGGGCATACGCATGTCCCGCCGGTCTCCGAAGTGATATTGCTGTTGACTGAAATAATGTATGCCATGGCGAAGAAGGTGGCAAGGCCGGCGCGCAACTCGGTGAAAAAGAAACTACCTTTCCGCTCACGCGGCTATAATGATACATTAATTTTCGATTTGTTGACGGTATCCGATCTAACGTCGGGAACTCACATGGCCAGAATTCTCAAGTCGGAACCACCTCCCCACGGGGCTGCGAGCAACCCGCAGGTTGGTAGCGTGGATCCAAGTATTCGCACCCATACTGACAAGCAAGATGATCAAAGCTGCTGCTGCAGGGCGGCGCGGGGTGTGGGGGAACCACTGCAGTCGGTCTGCGACAAGGAGTATTTAAAGGGAGTTTGCAGGAAGCAGAGCAACAGAGCTGCAAAGCCAAAAAATACAATCAAAAAGTGATCCCGGCCCTCCGCCAACCACACTCGCCTGATAAGGTCTGACAGAAAAAAAAATCAAAAAATCCGCCTGCTTGCCATCCTTTCCTGCTATCTCCGCCTCCGACCAGCTTGGCGGCTTGGCGGTTGAACTGACTGGTTTTACCGGCGCGATTGGCCGCCGGACTAGTAGCCGACAGTTGCCCTGGCCATGGGTCCTGGCTCGGCAACCAACTTGAAGGTGGGTCTTGGCGGCAAAAAATTTCTCACACAAGGCGATATATGGTATAGGCTTGGGTACCAATGTTCGGGATTTCTGATGCGTGATGTATCAACCTTCAGTATTGAGATGAAGGTCAAAGATGCTACACATGCGTGAAGCACGCCATGAAACACCGAGGCAGCACGCTAGCGTCTTGGCAGCAGTTGGATTCATTCAGAATTGTCCTCTTATCACGATATACAACTATGATGACAGTTGCCAGTGATAGACAGGGTCCAGTGATAAGGCCGATCGGGGCAAGCCGATCGGGTCAGAAGCTTTAATCAATCCGCATTAGATTGGTGATTATAGCTGACATCGATATATAAAATAAATCTGCTTTAATTCCATTGGTGAACAGGGATTTTCCGTCCACATGATGTCTATCTAGGTCTGATCATGGAGATCTTAGCTCGATCTACATGTTCCGGAGGTACGCGGTCGGCCGGCTAAACAAACCTTTTATTTATCCAATCTATGTGCTATCCAAATCAAAATCAAAATCAAATCAAAATAGAAAATGAACGCATTTTATACGCTTTCAGATTGGAAAATCTGGGCTCAGAGCCCACACCTCGTTCCTACACAGATGCACGAGGTTCTTTTTCGGACGGCGTAGTCCCGACCAGCCCAAAAGCTGGTGCAAATTTGGACTTCTTCCTCAAGGCCGGGCCCCACTTGATGAAGACGAGTGGAATGGGTACCATTATAAGAGCCAAACAACCGAGCAGTGTACCAGCCCATTGCACTCCAAGATTTTGGAACATCTGTTTGGAGAACAGAGGGAACGCAGCACCTACAGCAGACCGCATGATTGTATTTGCGGCGAACACGGAAGCGGCACTATAGACGATCAGCTTTCGAACCATCTCACGAAGAAAGAGAACGACTCACAAAATCAGGTACGAGTCGATCAAGTAGTTGAAACATTGCAAAAAGATCACGTAAATTCCAAACCCAGTGATGACGCCACTAGCAGTTGGTGCCATCCAGTGAATAGCCTTCGTCCAGCCAGTCCAGCCGAACCAAAAGAGCCCGATCGTAAAGCAGATGCCTCCGAGAATCGATGGTGGGAGTCGCCATTCGGGAATCGGTATATTGTTGTTATCGGCAAGCTTTTTCGCATATGATTTTTGATCATACAGAATATAAGCACCAGCCAATACCTCACCGATGATGAGGCCGATGAATGGAAGACTTCCAACTCCCAGATTCATCCCGTGGATTCCTTGAAAGACCACTGGGTATGCACTGAGAAGAGCGTAAATCAAGCCATAGACAAAGCTCATCCATAGAGAGATCTTGACAAGGGTTAGCAATTTCATACGGTTGTGAGAAAGGAAAATCATACTAGAAATACAATTGGCTCCGTGAAGAGCATTCGAAACGGGCGGCTGAAGTTGTTACTGATGATCTCTCCCCAGTCGAGCTCAACTTCTTCTTGTCTAGCTCGGATTCCCCAATTATGTGTCTGGCGACGGAGGGTCTTTGCTTTCTCAACTAAGATGGCCGGTGCATATGTTTCTTTCAAAAAGACAAGACAAAGTCCCACTGCCAGGAAGCCCATAATACAAGCAATGTACATTGTCCATCTCCAGCCCAAGTAGGACATCGTTATGAAACCTCCAGTGAAAGGGGATGCAAATGGGCCGACGAAAACAGCCATTGCAAACATAGCGATAGCCACACCGCGGGTCTGGTTATTCCAGATATCTGCAAAAACCGCCGGAACAATTGCGATTGGGCTGGCTGAGCAGAAACCAGCGAAGAATCGAGTCAACATAAGAGTTTGTACGTCCTTAGCGGTAGCAGCCGCGACCGTAAATAGAGAGTATCCGAACATTCCCACGATGAGAGGCATTTTCCTCCCAATCAGTTCACTCATGGGCGCCCATAGCGTCGGACCGGAGGCAAAGCCGAGGACGTACAATGTTATACCGAGGATAGCGACTTCAGTACTGATGTGGAAGTTCATTGCAATTGCGAGTGCCGCAGATGAGTATATGGCACTCGCGAAAGAAGATACGAATGTCGTATAGGCCAAGGTAGCGGAGATTATGATTCGTTTGTTCAGCGGCCAGTTTTGGGGATGCATGGGATCATCTGAACCTGTAAACTCAACCACGAACTGCTCCGGGTCTGGCAAATCGGGCGGGTAGGGCTTCTCTGCGCCCATAGGTAGCCATTTATCTCGTGGAGCAACTGGGTGCCCAGATCCTACTGTTGTCCGATGCTGGAGTCGATATGTCTCAATGCGCTCGAGCTCAACATTGTTGAGATTTGTCTGCCGGCGACAGAGGGCACCCGATCGTGTATCTGCAAATTGGGAGGGACGACGGTCGCGGGCTGTGGGGACTTCTGTCAGGTTGTCGCTAACGCTGGAGACGGATGCGTTTGGGGACGAGGATGATGGAGGTGGTGAGCCGGCACGCTCCATGGCCGGAGGGCAGATGGTGCGATATTAAATTAAGAATATATGCGTTGGTTGGAGAATAATTACAAGGTGGGGGGGGAGTATTTCTCTTCAAGTTCCAATTGATGGATTTCTGTTCGTTGGTTCCTGGCTAGACTTTATACTAGAAGCTTGTCAGCGTCATCGAGTGATGTCTGCGCCGGTCGATCCGATCGACGCCGTCCGAGCTGGCAACTCTGATTAAATATGCATTACATACCAATCTTACTTTAGAAACTATAGAGTCCTCTCGAATTTATCAAATATGGGGCGCTACTAGTTATAATCGCACGATTATTTCAGTATATGGAACCTTTCTAGAAGATCGCACGAACTAGTTGCGACAAAATCACCGATCGCCGTCAGCCGGATGACTTGCCGCAGAATGACATCGGCCCGCGGGTCGGTAGATGGCATTAATCCAGGCCCAAAATGATATTGTCTTAATATAGTCTGGAAGTTGGGAAGATATACTTCATGGACTCTGGGAGATGTAGCCTTACTATAGTTATTACAAGCTAAGTTAATGTAATTCCAAAGCGAGCTGGCCACCCACCCGAGCTGGACACCCCAAAACACATAGTAAATGCGATAAATTACAACTTCATATCTTAACAACCACGTGTAACTTAAGTCGGGAATTAAACTTATTAAGTCTGAATAGTAGTTAAAAATCCTTGTTAGAGTATGAAAGTACTAGGACAATTAAAGGACAAGATATGTATATTTTTAGCTTAAATGTCTAACTTACATAGTATTTTATGGTAATGTAATAAATTATTAAACTGAGTAGCTCAATACCTAGACATATTATATCTGATGTAGAGAAAAGCCTGTATCCTAAAAACTAGACAAAATTTAAAATTGGTGGCTGAAATATAGAGGGACAGAGAATGGCATTTACTATGTGTTTTGGGGTGTCCAGCTCGGGTGGGTGGCCAGCTCGCTTTGGAATTACGTTACCCTCAAGTGGCCAATAGCCATGCCTCAGGCACTCCTAGATATCTAGGCATTCGCACATCATCACCCATTTCATAGTTCTGAACTTCTATCAACTGTCCATATTAGCTCGCTGTGTGGTTGGTTGAATCGTCTATTTTTTGTGTCCGAATTAAATCTCGCACCAATGACTTTCTTACTGCATATGGTAGAAGTCGTGAGACTAGCGGCCCCCAATTTCTCCAGGCCAAAATAAGGCAAGTGTGAATTTCCAGACTGCTTATGGCTAATACGCGGGGGCAAGATCGTCAGCACTAAGGCATCAGGCTTCCTATAAATTCGCTGCCATAGTCGAAACAACTAGAGGATATCTGAGCGTCTAATTCTCTTTCTTCCACAATTCTTGACGCTACTTTATTTCCGTGCTTCATCTTTCGTCTTTCCTGAGCGCCATGGCTGACACGCACGGCCCGTGTGACCCCGCATTCAATTCGGTACGCGAGCTTTTTCAAAAGAAAATCGCGAGTGGCGAAGAGGTGGGTGCATCACTGTGTATCAACATCGACGGCAAGAACGTCGTCGATATTTGGGGAGGTCATACAGATGAATCCAAGACTCGGCCTTGGAATGAGGATACCATAACACCGGTATGGTCTTGCTCTAAAGTTGTCACCAATCTGGCTGCGCTCATCTTGGTCGATCGTGGCTTGTTGGATGTGAACGAGAATGTCGCCAAATACTGGCCGGAATTCGGCGCAAATGGGAAAGAAAATGTGAAGGTGGCCCATATCCTAAGTCATTCCTCTGGTGTCTCCGGCTGGGAACCGTCGCTTAAGATGACCTGGGAGGATATCTACGATGTCAAGTCAGCGAACGAAAAGCTTGCTGCACAAGCGCCCTGGCACGCTCCTGGTGAACTCAATGCTTACCATCTAGTGAATCAAGGCCATCTAGTTGGTGAGATTGTTCAGCGCGTGAGCGGCAAGTCACTACGACAATTTATTGCGGATGAGATTGCGAAACCTTTGGATGCAGACTTCGATCTCGGAAGACCGGAAAAGGACTGGCCACGTATTGCTCCTGTTCTCCCTCCCCCTGATGTTGATCCTGCTGCCTTTGCCAGTCTCGACCCCAATGGTGTCACAGCAAAGACCTATATGGGATCTCCTTTGATAGGTTCTGGCGAGAAATGCAACACACACGGATTCTGGAAATCAGAGATGGGTGGTGTGGGTGGCATTTCCAATGCACGGGCTCTGGCTCAAATTGGCTCTATCATGTCTCTCAACGGCACGGTCGGTGGAAGGCAGTATCTGTCGCCAGAAACTATCGATAAGGCAGTTCAGGAACAGATCGCCGGACCGGATGCAGTTCTTTTTTTTCTATCTGCGTCTGGGACTTGGCTTCGGTCTGCCATCTCCACAGTCTCTGCCTTGGATTCCAGATGGCCGTCTCTGTTTCTGGGGCGGATGGGGTGGCTCGGTTATTATCATGGATCTAGAGCGCCGAGTAACCATTGCCTATGCTATGAACAAGATGCAGCAAGTCGCATTAGGGAACGATTGTTCCAAGGCGTATGTTGAGGAGATCTACAAAGTCCTCAAGGTCTTTTAGATTGGGACAGACAGATAGCTAGACTACAATACAGGCTACCTTGACAACATTGAAAGATAATTGAGTAGATTTCGGGCGTTTTTTGGCGCGGGTTCACGCGAATGCCCTTTTACTCTAGGAGAACCCCATACACTAGGTCATCTGTGCAGTTATCGAAGATCCACGACCACACATTGGAAATATTCGAAAAATCAAGAAGACTTTTTCGCCTTGGTGACCTGTCGAGAACCCCCAGTTTCGCTGAATACGAGCTCATCACGCTCCCACATTAATTCGACAGCAGCACCGGTTGGACCGGTCAGAGCAGTCAAAACACCAACCTTGACCAGAAGACTAGGCCAGGATACGGTACTCAGAATCTGTCTGTGGGCAACCACATACAGGGACAGAGCCCAAACCAGGACACCGGCAGATCCAATCAGATAATCCCAGCGAAGGAAAGCGTGAACACCCTGAGCCACCGTGTCAACCTTCAAGCCAGACCAGGGAAGTGGAATCTCAAAGACCTTCGCCGGATGCAGGGATTCGACGAATTGAGCCTGGAACAGGCCTGGAACCACAACGGTGGCCAGGGACAAAACCCAAGAAACCAGATGGGAAACACTTGCATTTAGGAATGCGAACGCGTAAACCCAGCGCAGGCCAGACATGGAAGCTCGGTGGTTGTTCGAGAAGAAAGGTGACAAGACATAGTAAGCAACGGTGCTCAGGATTGAGACGTAAGCAGGCCACGGCTGCCAGATAGCAATTGCGATTTGCTTCCAGTCGACAGAAATGACTTCTGGAGCGGGAAGAATCATGGCATGGCTCGGCACCATGAATCCGACCACGAAAATCAGCGGCAGCGTGGCGAGGACGGCCCGAGGAATGCGAATATTATCCGCATGAGGGCGACGTGCTGTGATGGAGGAGCCAAGCTGGAGACCCAGGAAGAGAGGGGCCGCGAATGCAAAGGTAAGCACTTGAGCTGCAAGGCCGAAAAGCATGGGGCTATTGAGCTGTGTCAGTTATCTTGAATGCAGGACGCAATTTCTGATTTGCAGAAGGACCACCTACTAAGCAGCCACGGTGCCTGCATTGCCCTTGCGCCAAGATTCCAGGACCACCAGAGTCCAAGCCGCGCCAAAGGTACCGGAAAACCCGATGCTGTGGAGGAGCAGTCCGGGGCTTTGGCCATCCAGTGTCGGGTAGAAGAATACCGTCAGGAGAGTCAAGATACGATCAATGGGCTCGACACCCGTATAGAAGTTGCGCAAGGGCTCATTGAGACCAGGGAGTTGGCCAGACTCAACGATCTTATGGCCGAGAGCATCGAGGCCATTGACCTTGGCGAAATAGAAGATGGCGTAGAAGACAAACGCGCTCAGCGAAAAAAGGACGTACTTCATGGTGACGACGGTGCACTGCGACGCGGTAGACGTGGAGAGACGAGCTAGCGATCGAAGCCCGGGGTGGTCTGGGGTTGTTTATAGCCTGAAAGTCTGATCCGATCTCATTGTCACACAGGGATCATATGGTGGATCATGGGCGCAGGCCGAGGCTGGCAGCCTCGCAGCGGAGCGAGTTGAACTTCTCCAGACTTTCGAGCGGGACCAATCGCAACCGACCGATGATCCTTAACTTTTTCACATGAGCACTGGCTTCTCCGGGCCGTCCTGCATACCTAGACGGGCTAGATGCCTCCACTTCCGCGAAAGGCCCACGGTGCGCACTTTACTCCTAGTTGTGCAATCATCACCCTGTGATATTTGCAGGCTTGGAAAAGACCCGCGGCGTTGACGGTGATACGGGGCTATCGGAGCTCAATACCCCATCGTGTTCATCGTGGAGAATGCAACAAGCTATTGATTATTTTCCTTCCCAAAGAGAGAACTTAAGTTGAACAAAATAAAATTGACTATTACTGGTCGAATTCTCTACCTGTATACATAGATACGTATGCCGCATAGCATATTCGACCAGAATTAACCTTGCAACGAGCCGATCATTTCTTCCATGATATTTCAAGCATTCTCAACAATTAAGGGGAGCCATCCGCTATCATATCTCTTGAGTCCACTATTTAAGCCGATTGTAGATGAGAGTAAACAGGTGAATTCAAATTGCTTCTCTTCTCAAAACATAAACCCGTTTACATTAGATCAAAATATAGGAAAATGGCATCCACGAGCCCCAGCTTGTTGCCATTGGTGACGTCGTCGGGTCGCCGAGATCCTTCAACTTGACGGCGCTCGTAAATGAGCTTCCAATGTTGGAAAAGGCCAGGTTAAGAAATTTGAAATACTCTAGAGCTCAGAGGGTATGTCTTCTCCAGCTGGTGAGAAACCGCGTTTCTTGAGTAAACTTAGAACCGAGTCGGACTCGTCAAGTCTCCAGATAACTCCATGCTGGCAACCACACGAAAAAGAACAAAAATATCTGACAGATGGCGTTGGATAATCTAACAAAGGTCCATCTGGCCTCGGGTACAAGGGCGCACAATGTCTTTCACTTCTTACGCCACAATAGGTCTTTGCTCGCCTCAGACAGAGAAAGCTGTCTATGTTAACCATTTTTCGCAGCAACGGGGAGATAAATAATCCCCCCCGTCTCATCTTTCAACCTTAAACCCTCCGGCCATCGACTCTTCGTTCCAAACCGAGATTCACCCGACCAAGGAGCCATTTCCGAAATGTGACCGGAAGGGTATTCTTGTCTGCCGATTAGGGTGACTGTATTAGAGATATACTAGTGAACATTCTACTACTAGGTACTTGGTATCCTGCTCAGTAATACTATAAGTAGTGCCCTGAACTGTCGAGGTGTTCCAGGGTTAGGTCCAAGTCATTTTTGTAGGTAGAATAGCTTCACTAAGGGGGTCGTATACTAGGAAACACTTGTAATTTTGGTACACTGCTGCCCTAGCAGAAACACTAGGTCGATTGTGACTGTGGAGCGCCGTAGACTATAGTAGATAGCAAACATGGGGATAAATCTAAGCAGTTAAATTTCAAGCGCAACGACCTACCTGCAAGGCCTACCTTTGAACGGGTGGGTACATCCCCAATTGTATCTTGCAATAGCTGTAAGCCAGATTTTACAGATTGCATTTACGACCGGTTCCCGCAGACATATTCGCGGGTGTCGACTGGGGCCAATCTATACGATAACTCAGAAAGACTGGTTGAGCGAATTTGCGCAGAGACATGGGGAGTTGCGGAACGGCATTCACCCCTACACATCCTGGGTGCTGTTCCTGACGAAGCCAAGATCCTGTGTTACCCCATTGGAAAACCATGCGATCGTGCAGAAGCGACCGGATGAGCTGTTAGGGTTCCCCGCGTTTGTAGCCGCATGGAAGGATCTTGTGTCACTATGTGACGCTCAGGCCAACGCATATCTTTGGGAATCTATTTCCCTGGTGGGTCATGATAGGGCAGCGAGCCTCAAACGCTGCCGAAGACCGTTCGTTCATATAGAGCAAGCCTTGGTCCAAGCGTGCAGGATAATCGCAGATTGTCTCGGAATACTCATAGTCCAGACATCAGTTTGGGGATCAAACATGTAAATGGTCACTGGGCATCATCAACCACGTCGTGGGTGCTGGGCCTTGGTGATGACGTATCCACTTCAACTCATGTAAGACCGGCGAGGCCCTAGGGAATTGAGGAAGTGAGAAAGAGGGTCAAAACGGCTGACACAAAGTTAAACCTTTAGGGCCAAGTCTTCAAGTGATCTGGTGGACTAAATTGCAGATACTATTGCAGATCTGTTGATGGGGTGGTGCCACCTCCGCTTGAAAGGGGTGGCTGCGTCACGAGTGTTTCAGCGGAGCCTGAAGAATACCAAGTTGGGCTCACAATAAATGTCAGCCATAGGGTGTTAATCAGTGAATCAATGAATTATTGAATGCCCAACTAGATGAATGAGTGAGTTGCAAACGCACAAAGTCACGGCGCAAGGGGGGGGACGTGGGCGGTGAAACCCCCATCGAAATTCTGCAAATCATTTGTTTTCCCCCACCCTTCACTCGTGTCATCTTGACTTTTTCACTCATATCTGCATTCCCTTTTCTGCTTTCTATTTGCCTTTGCTCTCCTCGATCCTACCATATCCATCATTTACAGCCATCGTATGAGAGATATCTTCATTGTTCTTCATTCCTTGGGGGCATATGCCTTCCCACCATCTTCGCCATGCTGCTAAGGGATTCTGATATAGATTCCCTAAACAACCAGCTTGCAGCCCTCTCTGGTGAGAACCAGTCTCACCATGAAAAGTTGCAAGTCGTCTTGAATCAATTCCGCAACGTCCTCGAAGACTACAGCGCTCTGAAAAGTGACTACGAAGAGGTCAAGGAAGGTCGCGAAAAGTACAAAAAGCAGGCCCGCGGTCAGGTATGATACTAATGTTCCTGGACACCTGACAAGGCCGAGTCTTGAATTCGGGAGCTAATGAATTTCCAGGAGCGCAATCCTTTCGTTTTGGTTCTCGTGGACGGTGATGGCTACCTGGTAAGTAACCATGTCACTATTTGCACTCCTCCCTCCCTTGTCATTCTTCTTTTTTTTTGTGTGGGAGGTTTGTTTTTGTCTTACCCGGCTCATTCTTCTAACAATTCACAGTTCAAGGAACGTTTTATTAAGGCTGGTAGCGATGGCGGCATCAACGCCGCTCAGGAATTGAGCGATTCCGTGAAAGAGTTGATGCACTCCACTATGGGTGCTGAGGCCGACCGGTGCCGTATTATGGTCCGTGTCTACGCCAACATCCTAGGCCTGTCCAAAGTCTTGGCACGAAATGGCATGGTTGGACACGAAGCTCGCTCTCTGTCGCCATTTTCGTCTGCCTTTAACCGTTCCCAGGACCTGTTCGACTTTGTTGATGCCGCAGAGAAGAAGGAAGGAAGCGATTTTAAAATCAGAGGTACCGTGGATTGACAAAAGTAACCCTTCCATCCATTGAGCTATTGATATTAACTTTATCCCGTCCAGAGATGTTCCGATTGTATGCCGATATGAACCAATGCCGACATATCTATTTTGCAGGTTGCCATGACACTGGCTATGGCTCTCTTCTGACCCCGTACAAGGGCAAAAGTGACCGTATCACCCTCATCAAGGCAGCTGGATTCCACCGGGAATTCGAAGAATTAGGTCTTCCCATTAAGGAAATGCCCTCCGTTTTCATGTCTACTTCTCTTACTACTAACGGAAAACCGGTGCCTGCGGTCAATACCAAGCTGGCCCATTCCCCTACAAATGGTACCAGCGGTTCCAACGGATTTAATGGCACTCATGGTACGAATGGGGCGGGGCCCACGAAGCCACTTTGCAAACACTTCCAAAAGGTACCATTCCCCGCTGTTGCTGCTGGATATTGATCTAGTGCCAACTCAGAACTGACACGTCAACAGGGAATCTGCAAGTTTGGAAGTGGCTGCATCAAGCAACACGTCATGCCCAATCAGAATCTGTCTCGGCCCGGAGACGAATCACCCAAGCAACTTTGGTCAACACCACATATCGTGGGACGATCCCAAGAGTTTCTGTCTACCCACTTACCGCCTCAGAATCTCAAATCTACGGAATACATCCCCGTCAATAAAGACGGCGACCGTCTAGATACCTACTGCCCTCAGCCTACCTCGGAAGCTCACGATCAATATCACCGCCGGGCGAAGATCGCCAAGGTTTGCAATAGCTATCATTTGTCAGGTGAATGTGGGGATATGAACTGTCAATATGACCACACCGATGTCTCCGAGACTGTTCTTGACGTCCTCCGCTACGTCGTCCAGCAACACCCCTGCACCAAGGGGGGGCGCCTGCCGTTCAATCAAGTGCTTCTTGGGGCACCTATGCCAGAAGCCTAATTGCAAGGCCGTGAAGAGTTGGCAGTGTCGCTTTAACCACAAAGGACATACCTTGGATCTTGAAGTCGCCCGCTGGGTTGATCCCATCGAAACCATAGATGGAGACCGTTACTCATCCAGTAGCGAATCTATCACAAGTCAAACTTCCCCAAGCACAGTCTATTTCGGCTAGTGTGCTCGGGTATAACCCAACATCATGCGATTGATTAATGTCAAACTATGCATGCAACGTCGACTAAAGGTCAATCCTACTTGTGAGGTGAGACCGACAGGAAAAAACAAGATTTACAGAGTCGGATTTCAGTGATCGTCAGAAAGTATGCTCTTGCTCAATATCCTGATCAGGATAGAAAAAAGAAAAAGGGTTGGGTTTCCTGCGGATATTCTCGTGCAGGAACAGCCGATAGAATCAACGAAGGTTGGTATGACCACATGGGATTCGGGTAACCAGATATCTAATCCGCTTAATGCCCAAAACATTTTACCTGCACTGTCTTCCCTGAGCAGTGCCACGGGTAATACCTTTAACCTCGGGATAATTGACAAGATATTAATGAGTTGGAGCCCAGTACATGCGACATTTTTCCCGGTTGGCAATTCTTTCCGTCTGTTCTTGGCTGCTGTGACAGCCCACACTCCTTTTTGTCTAGAGCTGCACCAATATGATAACTTACTTGTCTTCAACCACTGGACTCGTATTGTTCTTGGCGATTGTAATTACTAGATCCGCCTGTCCGAAATGCCGTGCTTTCGCTCATCATGGGTATGTCGGTCGCCATATTAGGGACCACACGAGAGGACGGATTCCCGGGACTGCATGGCCTCAGGGAATTAATACAACTTTGATCGCTTGAAGTTTAATCATATGCAGTAAGCTAAACAAAGAATATCGATTTAACTTCAAGTTTTTACTTGCGAGTATGCTTTGACATGTCCCTCGAATAGCAATACTAGTTTCCATGTATCGCTAACCATAGGTAAATGAATACCTACTTGCTTGACACCGTCAAGAAATAATTTTTCAATCAAGTCTAGGCTTTCTAGGTGGAGGATCTCTCAAGAGACGTCCAGACCTGATCTCACGCTCAATGGCGCAGGTCCTGAGATGTGACGACGGGTTCCAGCGTGCATGAGGCACGAGGACGGCCCATCAGAACTTAGCTAGTAGCCATTGTGCATTTAGTCTCAGTCATTCTTCCGCGGAGGAATGAGTTTCCTCTTGTTCTTTAATCCATTCCTTCGCATGGACGGACGCAATCGCCTGCAAGTGACAAGTATGACTTATAAATACCTAATACTGGCCACAACACATTCGATTCATTCGAGCACGTGAATTTGAGCCTGTGCCATCTTCCAATTTGACAGAATTTTGCCAGTGCATTGAAGTCAGAATCCGACATGGAGCCAGTAATCCACACTTTATTTGAGCCTAAAACAAGCACCTGGCAGTACATCGTGGCCTGCCCAACGACGAGAGAAGCAGCCATCAATGACCCCGGCCTTGACTACGAACCGACCGTCTTTACAATAACCAGTCGCTCGGCCGACGCCCTACTTTGTATAATCCGCGAAAACGAATACACTGTTACCTGGATCTTGGAAACACACGTGCACGGCGACCACCTTACCGCCGCTTATGACATACAACATGCACTCTGGAAAAATGGCCACCTCTATGTCCCAATTGCAATTGGTGAAAACGTTACTTATACCCAGAAGGTTTTCTCAAGTCGGTATGATGTTCCAGAGGAAGAACTACAGTATGCTTTTGGGCATCTATTCGGTTCGGATGAGGAATTCCAGATCGGCAATCTGACAGCGACCGCACTACATCTGCCCGGACATACGCCCGATCAGATGGGCTATCTCATCGGGGAGAGTATATTTACTGAGGGTAGTATTTTGAATCCGGATGTTGGTAGTGCGCGCTGCGATTACCCTGGTGGGGATGCTAGAGTCCTTTTCGCATCGATCAAACGCCTGCTCTCCTTTCCTCCCAATACGCGACTGTATACTGGACATGACTACCCGCCGGCAAACGAAGCTGCGGCTCGAGATCCTATACCATATGTGACGGTCGGCGAGCAGAAAGAAATGAACAAACACATCAAAAATAGTGCTGAGGCAGATTATTTCGTTCGCAGGAGGACCGAGCGTGATAATGTCCTCACCGCGAATCGTACATCAAGCGATGCAGGTTAATGTGCGCGGCGGTAAGATGTCTGGGAGATCGCATGACGGGAAAGCCTTGCTTTTGTATCCTGTCATTGTGCCCCAGGGAATATTAACCGGGGTGGTACACCGCTCTTTTGTGAGATAGTGAAAACTTGAAGGTTCAATGTTTATTAATTTGTACAACTATATCAATCGCAATGAATGAATGTGTTAAATCTCAGGCGGATCTGGCAAGAAAAATGCTTTAACTACCATTTGATCATTTTTTTGCATCGTGTTGGATTTTGCAATACGCCTCCTGGACCTCCTCTCGGCAGCCCATGAGTCCAAGCCACTTGGTGATCAAGGGATATTTATCCAAAGAGAGGCCAGCGAACTTGTGCTGTCTGACCCACGGCTCGAAATGATAGTCGACTGCTGTCACTCTGCTTGGTAGGATGCTTGTTCCGCTTGACTTTTTCAATTGTTCCTCCACAACATCATAGCATCGGTATGTTTGAGCAACGTATCTCTGGAGCGCATCGTCATTTTTCTGCGAGTGATAGTGTCTTCAAAGATTAATTAGTGATTGCCTGGATACCAAGAATGCGTTAGGTGCAGGGCGTACCTGAACCAATTCACCTGTCCAGTCATCGGACCAAGAGACGACAGTAGAAAATATTCCCATTTCTCAAAATCGACAAGGTCTTGCGCCGTTCCTCCGGATGGTCCAATCTGATTTCCCAGGTCGTATACTCGCCGGATATAATTCATGCATGCCCCAGATTCCCACGCCACAACTCCTGTATTCGGATCCTCAAGGGCAGGAACACGTCCGTTTTCATTGATCTTGAGAAAAGTCGTACCCTTCACACCTTTGTCCGGCTCGTCGCTCATATCCCAGAGTTTCACAGTGAATGGCACATGAAGGGCTTCCAAGGCGATCGCAATCTTGATCGGATTGGGACCCGTAGCATGCGCATGCAAGAGGAGTGGCTTGATATGAGCTTCCATCCTATAGACACATTTGATAAAAATGATCGAAATTATCAAAGGTTGAAGATGAAGAAAGGCGGGGGATACGATAAATGCGGAGATGATTGAAATATGATGTCATCTAGATGGTTCTCGGGATTCGATTTAAAGTTGCATCCATGAGTTAGCACATTTTGCGAACAGCCCCTACTCCGCGACATCAAATTCTGACCGGAAATTCAATCCGTGGTCGCGCAAGTCTCGAAATTTAACACTTGATCATACCTTTCCTTGTAAATTCATAATTTTTACCATGTAGCGTATAGTAGTGAGTGTGAAGCTCTCAGATCTCTGGAACCTAGAATGGTTCTTACTATGGCTGGCTGGGAAGCCCATTGGCTACTTGGACGGGTACTTTTGTATCCATGGATTTGGCCAAATAAGGGCGATCGTCCTACATTTCCATGGATAAATAGCTGGGCTCATTTAACCGGACCTCTGCCTTGTCAACCACTCTTGCTATTTAAAACAGCGTCGATCTTTAATTATTGCTACTACTAACTACTAACTAGTGGTACAAGCTCGCTACATGGAATGCGGCGAAGTGTTATCTTCCCTCAATCAGATTCACTGGATCGATTCATCTCCTCTTCCAATACCCCGCAGGATAATTCATGGAGATGCGGGGGCTAGAATAGTTTGTGTTTAATAAAACCCCGCTCTCAGTGAACACTGGCGTAACTGGCGATGCAATTTTGAAACGATTCTTGTTGTTTTTTTCGGAAATATGTCTTTTCAATTATCTAGGAGTCGCCATGTGGCTGCTCGGACTGCAAGTCCAAGCAGCCTTACTAGTTAGCTCTGTCGATGCAAAGTTGATTGAAACAGGCAATGACTTGCAAGATTTAGTAAGTAGGTGGAAATTTACACAGATCAGGATGTCTATTATACCGAACTGACCCTGGCAGTTCACTTGGGACAAGCATTCAGTATTTGTTCGAGGCGAGCGAATCATGATTTTCTCGAGTGAATTTCACCCCTTCCGACTTCCAGTTCCAGGTCTGTGGCTCGATGTGTTTCAGAAGATGAAAAGCATGGGCTTCAATGGAGTATCTTTCTACGTCGACTGGAGCCTTGTCGAGGGAAATCCGAGACAGGTTTTCACTGAAGGGATATGGAATCTTGAAAAATTCTTCGATACCGCCATCGAAGCCGGGATATACCTTATCGCTCGCCCTGGGCCGTACATCAATGCAGAGACGACAGCAGGTGGTATTCCGGGTTGGGTTTTGCGTATCAATGCGACCGTCCGCTCCGATGACCCAGAATATCTTAGGACAACGGAAAAATATATGTCAACAATGGGCCGAATTATCGAAAGAGCACAGATCACCCACGGAGGCCCTGTGATCATGGTTCAACCTGAGAATGAGTACGCAACATGGCCCGATGTTTCTGAAGAGGAATGTCCTACCCAAATGAACAAATGAACCGGGAATACATGGAATATGTCGAAAAGCAGCTGCTGGATGCCTGCATAACTGTCCCTCTCATCGTGAATGACAATAAGGCCTTGGGCTATTGGGCCCCAGGGTCAGGCCTTGGAACGACAGATATTTACGGAATTGATTCGTACCCTTTTCGTTACGACTGTGAGTGTGAAGAAATCGATGACCGCGTATATCCTGTTTGCTGACGATAAAGAACAAAAGGCGGTAATCCAACATTCTGGTCTACTTATAGATTCCCTTATGACTGGCAAGTTCTTCATGAAAAGTACAGCCCAAACACGCATTTTTCCATCGTCGAGTTCCAAGGAGGGTCGGGTGGAGGATGGTAAGTCAATCCTATCCCATCTTCGGTTAACGGGCTTATTCAATCTGCGGTAGGGAAGGAGTCATCGAGGATAAATGCGCTGAACTCGTAAACGAAGAGGCTGTCCGAGTGGTTTACAAGAATAATTATGGATTTGGCGTTAATATATTCAATATATACATGGCTCGTTCGTTTTGTTTAGTCGATGTTGAGGTTATGCTAATATATTTGGTAGGCTTTTGGTGGTACAAACTGGGGATGGCTACCAAGGAGGTTATACCTCCTATGATTATGGGGCAGCCATCACCGAAACTAGGGGTATTTCGCGTGAAAAGTACAGCGAGCAGAAATTGGAAGCAAACTTCCTCAAGGTTTCACCGGCATACCTGACGGCAGCGCTGGGATTAGGCATCAATGGTTCCTACGGGGCTCCAGCTTCCATCGCCGTAACCCCACTCTATGGAAACGACACACAAACGAACTTCTACCTAGTGAGGCATGCCAACTTCAGCTCTACTAGCAACACTGAATACACACTGCATCTACCAACACGCATCGAAAACATCAGCATACCACAGCTTGGTGGTCACCTCAGTCTCAACTGGTGAGATTCCAGGTTCCACACTACAGATTATAATCTTGACGGCATTAATTTAATATACTCCACAGCTGAAATATTCACATGGGCACGCGGGGCAGGTTCGGCACGTGTACTGATTCTTTACGGCGGAGCAGGCGAGCTTCATGTGTTTGCTTTGTCTCGTCATCTTGGAAACACGACTGTTGTTGAGGGTTCCGACGTCATCCTCACTCCGAAAGGCCAAGCATGGGTGATACAATGGCAGGTCAAGCGAGAACGCCGCATAGTGCGCGTTTCTGATCTCGAGATATACCTTCTTTGGCGAAACGAGGCTTACGAATATTGGCCATTGGAACTGCCTGCCGAAGAGCCGATCGGCAATTTTTCTTCGCCGTCTAAGGATATGGTCATCTTGAAGGGCGGGCATCTCATTCGCTCTATTTGGCTTGAGGATCAAGTGATTCGAGTCACAGGCGATATCAATGCCACAACAGAGATTGAGGTAATTTCTTCTCCGGTGCGTAACTTGAAAACGATCATTTTCAATGAAAATGAATTGCGGACTTCGCGCACAAAGTCGGGAAAATTGACAGCAACGCTGGAGTACAACCCTCCCAAAATCAAGATACCAAGCCTAGCCAACTTGGACTGGAAGTTCCTTGATTCTTTACCCGAAATCAAACCCGCCTACGACGATTCAAAATGGACTTCCTGTTCGAAGACCACAAACAACCCTAGAGGTATGGACACTCCTACCAATTTGTATTCTATTGATTATGGATTCCACACCGGATCGTTAATATATCGTGGCGATTTTGTTGCAAATAGAATGGAGTCATTAGTTTCGTTAAATGTATCAGGTGGAACTGGCTTCGGACATTCCATCTGGCTGAATGAAACCTTCCTTTGGATCCTAGACGAGGAGTGGCTCAAATACCACCGCGATTCAAAATTTGCAGTTTCCCAATAATTTCTCCGCAGAGTCTTATGTGCTTACCATCTTGATTGACGACATGGGCCAAGACGAGGAGGTCCCTGGTACTGATGCGATCAAGTTTCCGCATGGCATCCTCAACTACCAGCTGCTAAACCATAGCCAAATTGATATTTCGTGGAAAGTGACGGGGAATCTTGGCGGCGAACAGTATCATGATCTCGCCAGAGGACCTCTGAATGAAGTTGCCATGTATGCTGAGAGGCAAGGTTATCATAATCCGAAGCCGCCAGCCTCGAAATGGCCTTCATCTAGCCCAATAAGTGAAGGAATTGCAAGAGCAGGCGTTGGATTTTTCACTACATCCTTCAATCTAGATATCCCCGAAGGATGGGACATCCCTATGAGCTTTGTGTTCAATGGATCTGCAGCGGAATCACCTAACTCGGGCAGTCCTGGATCAGATTACCGATTGCATTAACTCTCTGGGCACAAGACGAGCAAGGTGCTCGGCTCGTAAATCTAGAACAGACCCCCACGGCTGTAACCCGCTCAGGTTACACAAAGCCGGATCCTGCCCCACAGCCTTCTTGGGTGTCGCGCCAGGGGGCATACTAGATGAAAGAGCATTTGTTGGTGATGAGAAACTCGCTTACGGATCATGTCATTCCGAGGACTTCTCATCATTACATGGGACTATAGCTTTGTGCCATAGACAGGCATGAAATCAAGCAACATAGCTTTCGTTTTATTGTCATGGTCATTGGATTGCCGCCGCGGCGACCAGCGTGTCAAAGGCTGAGCTGTGCGTCGAGGCATCTATTTTTCCAGCTGAAGGAGGGCCAGCCCAGTTTACGCCGAATTGGCCCTGTTCGTTTCGATCATTCTCCCAGATGCTGTTCGCCGAATTTTGTATGACCTTTTTGTAGATCTCATTTGGCGATGCTCGATGCAGCATTTGCAGGTTCCGCATGAATATTCCCTTGAACTGGGTTCCATCTGGTTCGCAATCGGTATTCTCACACCAATCGTGAATAACGTAGTTCGAATCAGCGAGCGTATCGATCCCAGCTTTTGCGATTGTATTCGCAGATTGTAAGTAGGTGTCATTGGGGGCCGCTTTGTTCAGCTCGACGAGACCTCCAAGAATAACTCCCTGATTATAGGACCATCTATTTAATCGTTAGAATATATGAGCGAATGATTTCCTGGGGGACTGTGGTGTTGTACACTGTAGCACCGTTGTTTTGACAGTTGTCCAATAATCCGTCGTTGATTGTATTGTTTTCACCGATAAACCCCTGAGCGGTGAACCAGTCCCATTCTTTGATCGCCCAATTCACATAGTCATTTTTCCTTGATGGGACGCGATTGGATAGATGCGCTGCCACAGAGAGAAATAATTCATTCGTAATCGCATTGATGTAGCCGTCCGTAGGGTTCCATGGTATACCGCCCCCACCGCACCGAGTTCCCCAAGCCTTGGTCTATGTGTTCATTAGCGCGAGGATGCTGTGTATAGGAATAAAATAGAATACAAACCAAAGCAGCAAAGATACCTTCGGCCAGCGATAGGTAGGTATTATCCTCCGTGACATCGTATGCAGCAATCCATGCGAGGGCCCACCACGCGTCATCATCATAAGCCGAGTCGAGCCACTGTGATGCGTTCGCTGAGCCACCAGCTCGGGAATATAATGACCGTTTAGAGGTCGTCTTCATTTCGGGACCGGGATTTGGGTTGGAGGGTGGTGCCTTATTCAGAGTGTTGTTGAAGACGTAGTCGGCAGTCTCCACCACTGATGGATCAACTAAAGCAAGATCTGCAATCGTAGTCATACAATTCGCGCCATTCCACCATCCGATGGTATTCCACAACCCGGTACCATCGTTGTAGTAGTCTTGCAGCGTGCGCAAAGCTTCTTCTGCTCGTTCAAGGGCGTCGTTGGCAAGAGTGCCGCCTGATAGAAGGAAAGGGATGAGTACCGGAGCAAAAAAACCACGAGAGAACAACATTGTTCGAGGATGTGCCGGCACGAAATGACCTACTCAGGGGTAATCTGGAGCGAAGACGTGCTGCTTAAATATGATAGCTTCGGCACGAAATGCAGGTTCTTAGACACATAATTGAATTGGAGAATAAGTATGCATTCTTGTCCGCAGCCGACTTGATTGGCAGAAGAGATCGCTGAAGGTAGGGCGGGCCCACTTGTCTATCCCCCCTGATCTGCAGGATCGACTTCATCACAAGTCATCGAAATCATGCAGGTCTGAGCTGAACAGGCACAGGCTACAGGTCATCGAGAAAGATACGTAGGGCCTCTGTGAAGCGCAGCTGGTTGGACTGCAGTCGACTTCCAAACCGATGTGATCATATCAAGGGATAGCCAGCTGATTGTGTTGTAACCTCCACAATGTTTAGGATCGGAACCCCTTGCCAGACCTTTGCCCCAGGCTTGGCTTCCATGCATTGCTGTTCGGAATTAATGGCATGCGCGGTATGGCCAAGCGCCGCTCGGGCTCTTATTTTGAGACCTGCCCAAGGAAATCTTTGAACCGAGCGCCTCATTCATCCAACGAGCCATCAGTGAATTGGAGCATTGAATTTATTATTGGGTCTCGCAAACCTGATTGGTCAATACGACCCCGGCGTTATAATTAGCCCCCAATGGGCTTAGTTGAGTCGGAAGTTCATTCTGATTGGCCTTCCTTGGTCATGACTCCAACGTGACTATCCTTCCATCTACCGACCTAGGAATGCTAGACACATCTCGGTCGCCATGAGACACGCAGTGTTTCTCATGTTGGCCATGTGTCAATGCGCGTGTCATTTCCTGACGTCAGAGAGAAGCCACCTGCAGAATGCTCCCCATTGGCGCTAATGTCTCACGGCGTGCATCCAGCAGACCCAGCGGCTATTGTCTGCACTGATACCAGCCTACTGAATCTCTCTGTGGATCTAGGCAAATATCCGCTTTTCTCAACCAAGAATGGATGCCCTCTTGCCCAGGTGATCTGTCAGGTAGTATGTAGTACTATGTCCATAGCGTGACTTGGACTCGAACTTAGCTAGTATATTTTTGTGAATAGGCCAGGTGAAACCAGATAGACTCCGGTCGGAAGTTATGAATGGCGAGGTGAGTTGGGACAACCCTGCCCAGGTGGACGATTACATGGATATATAATAACCCTTCCAAGCCCTGGAGGTTAGGACTTCGGGAACAGTCATTTTTTCTCTGTCCACCTGGGCACTGGCAGTGCTAGAATGTCACGTCCGGTGTCTTGAAGCTAGTGACTAACTACTACTAGTAGTACCTACTACTTAATCCTGGATGGAATCGATTTCACTGCCCAGGTGTGCCTTCGAAACCACCATTGATCTCCAGGGCTCAACACATACTATAATATCTTCTAACCAGGTGACTCATGCATATGGAAGACATGAAGAAGAAGAATTTGTATTTTTCTTTATTGAACTCAGTTCATTAACCTTGGATGAATTGATTTCGCTATTAATATCTCATGTTCTAGTAGTATACTACATCACCTGCATTTATATATCCTCCACGACAATGTGGTGATTCTTGAGCCTACCTCGCTGAGGTTACAGCCCATTCATTACTATATCAGAAATATCGGCAGGAGTTTTCTTCAAGCGCGGCACATCCGTCCTGACTCAGAGACAGACCAAGCATCACTACCAACACCCTTGAAGGCATAGAAAAAGGAACTGGGGTCCCATTTCTGCTTCACGGAGAGCAAGGGACGGTAATTGTCACCAAAGAAGGTCTTTTTCCAGTTTGGTTGACGGAAATTGGCCTCGTTCTGGTAGCAGCCACTGTCCGGAGTGAGAGCCTCCAGCTGTGGGACATACTCATTTGTGATCTTGTACTGATCAGCGACCATTTGAGACCAGGGAGCGGTCTCGTTCCACATGGTTCCAATTTGCATAGTTATGGCAGCATTGCGCAGAGCTGGGAAAACGGCGTTGGAGACATTTCCAGGGTTTGAGACATCCATACCAACACCAACCGCAATGACGCCGTTTTGAGTCAGATTGCGCAGTACAGTACCCATGCCGGTGGGATTGTTCTCCAGAACATCACGAGGGATCAGACGACCACCATATTGGTATGCGGCGACAGCCAGATTCCCCCACGGCAAAGGCCCCATGTAATTATTGTAGTGATCGTAGTACGAATCAAACTGGGTGAAGGCAGCCTTATAGTTGATTCCAAGCTTGGTCAGGGTTTGGAGGAAAGGAGCGAGAATGGCCTTTGCCTCGGCCGAAGTTTGATTGTACGCGGTCAGAGGGCTGATGATGAAAACACTGGCAGTCATCTGGTAGATGACGGTAGCACCTTGGTCGATCATCTTCGGGAGCTGGTGATGAAATTCAGACACGGCCTCGTAGAAGGTGTCCGTGGTGATATTGGCTGCGGTGAATTGAACAGCACCGCCGGCGATGGGCGCATCGTTATAAGCTTTGACGGTCATGGATACAACGACACCGTAGTTGCCGCCTCCGCCACCGCTAAGGGCCCAGAACAAATCGGCATTGTGAGACCGAGAAGCGATTACACACTTTCCAGCCGCGGTAACAACCTCAAACTCGAGAGTTTGATCGGCACCGAGACCAAACTCTGTACTCAGAGCACTGTGGCCGCCTCCTTGGGTGTAACCACCGGCCAGTCCAACAGTTGGGCATTCACCAGTGACAATAACATGGCCCTTGGACTTGGCAACCTCAAGAATTTGGTAGCCCATAACACCGGCACCGACCTTGAATGCAGCACCCTGGTAGGCAGAGTCGGACCACTGCTTGTATTCGATACCATTCAGGTAATGGGTCCACACGGAGAGAGCACCTGCACCAGTCGAACGGCCAAGGTAGCTAAGTATGGTTAGCAATTATCCAGTGGCATTAACCCAAAAACAAGAACAAAAAAGGAAAAGAAAACTCACTCATGGCCAGTATTTTTGATGGCAAAACGGATATTATTCTCCCGGGCAAAGTTCACAGCCGCAACGACGTCTTTGCTAGAGGAAACATTGACGGCATAGCTAACGAAATTGCCCAGCAGGCATGGACGATTCTTTGCGGTAAAGGGATCGCAGCTTTGGTTGGCGAAATAAGTCTGCATCACAGAAGAGGATGATTCAAGACTAAATCCCAAGATTAGTATACCACACGGCTCCTTGGAGTGCACTCTGTAGAGGAAGTGCATCACTTACTGAGGCAACGGCTCATTCCAGTTGGATCTCAGCGCCGCACAGGCGGCGGCATCATAGGTGGGTGCGTGGCAAGGGGTGCCAATGGGTACGGTCGCAACCAGACGACCCCCGACGGTGTGGTTCAATGAAGACCATTCCGATGTGGCGGGCCAGCAGCTATCTCCAGGCAAGCAGTGACATTGGGATTCAGCAAGTGCCGTTGAGGCAAGAGCCGCAACTGTTGCTAGCCAAATCTTCATGGTGGGGATGAGGAAAAGAACGGAAGTGTGGTTAAGTTTGCCGATCGGCAGGTCGATTGCTATTATATGGGGGATGCAGACATTCCTCGGTCTGAAAATGGCAAACCCCCCTAAGAATTGATTGTCCACAAGCCTGTCGGAGATGTTCCCCAGAGCGTCTAAGTCGGCACACTACTGAATAACAGAACCGGTGGATATATGCATCGGATTGACCGGGAATGAACCGAGCGGTGGACTAGTTACTCCGTACTTCCACATGGTTTGGCGATCGTGTCCCTCCGTAGGCATTTAGTTTCGGTACTTGAGTCGTACATTAACCGATCAACCTGGTGGCAAACGTTTTCTATCTCGAGCAGCCAATATGATATCGACGGAATTGGCAACCTTCCAGAATGCTTCAGCTGCAATGCTTGGGTGATGCTTGGTTGGTTTAGCAAAAACATTTTAGCCGGAAAGCCACGGAGACCGTACTGCTACCTTGTTACGCAATTTAAGGCACACCCGAATATGGGCGATCTATTTGTCTCAGATCGGCTAGCCCTAGCCCTATCAGGTCGATCCCGGTGGGGAAATCAATCGATCAGAGTTTACACGGGCCAGGGAACTTGATTGTTCGGACAGCCACACAATTTAAGAGGTCCGGAATTTTATGAACGACGTTGCTGATAATTGGTCTTTTCGGAGATTGTTTAGCCTTCAACCAGGGGCAACCGGAGGTCGTTCAGCACTTACCTGGTCATGTTTGATTGCGGGTGAACCAGACTCGTTGCCCTCCACCTGCCGAATTTTGTCCCTCGAAGGCCAATTTTCAGCCACCAGACTCAAAAGTTATTACAAAGTATAATCCCAAGCACAAGGATATTGTCATGCTTTCTTTTTAAGGGCACATATCCACGCTGTTTCAGCAATGCACACCTAGGCATCATCACCACGCCAATCCCGCACCGGAATCGTTATGACAGAGGCCACACCAAACCACGGCCCGGCTCTCGAACGAGGGATCTGGGTCGCGGTGATCATCGCGGTCTTGGTTGTAATCCTTAGGGTCTTTGCTAAGATTAAGATCAACCGCTTTCACTTTGACGATGTACTGATGATCATCGCATCGGTATGGACTTGACTACTCTAATCTATAGTCCTGCGCACAATTTCCTAACATCTTTGGCTTTAGATTTCGGCAATTGTCTCGACCGTTTTTCTCACACTTTCCGTCGATCACGGCTTTGGCAAGCCCCTGGGTGACCCCTTTACCCACGACACTTCCCTGGTCTTGAAATACATCGCCATACAAATCCCCATCGTTACCCTTAGTACCACCTTCGCTCGAACCTCTTTTATCATATATCTTGTCGCGGTTCTTGGGACAAAGAAAGCATATAAGATCGCACTATGGGTTATCCTCGCCATCCAGCTTGCTGGGAATATTGCATCGGCAGTTTTGCCACTGAGCATTTGCAAGAACGTGAACATCCTCTGGGATCCACTCGTCAAAACTACTTGTGGGGATATAGACGCAGTCATCAAGTTCGCGTACTTCTCTAACAGTGAGTCTATCTATACCAATCCACCTCAAACATCTCTAACATTATCCACCATAGCTTTCAACTCGGCTGCCGATCTATTTCTGGCTGTATTTCCAACCGTTGTTTTCTGGAATCTCAATTTGAAGTTGCGTATCAAGATCAGTTTGATTGGTCTTCTCAGCCTGGGCATTGTGTTAGTCTATCTTGCTTCTGTTGTTTCGCATACATACTGACTTTTCAGTGCTATGGTGGCGTCCATAATCAAGACTACCAAGCTCGATACCTTACCCAGCATTACAAATCTTGGCTCTGCCGGTGGAATTGAGTTGATCCGCTGGGGATACGTCGAAAACGCCATAATTATTATCACCTCGTCGATTCCATGCATTCGCCCCTTGATCATTTCTTCTGTACGAAAGCTCTCTAGCGTCACTCGGTCATACGAGCTCAGCGGTCCTTTCAGCAACCGTCGAACAAACCCAAACAATGGCACTCAGACACGCAAGTCGCGTAGCAAGTTCAGCAAACCTCATGACCTAGAGTATGGCAGCATAGATCACATTCTTGACAGAGAAAACAGCGCCGCGACGGGCGGCGACCATGGCTTTCCTCGTGATATGAATCCAGGGATCACGAAGCAGGTTGACATTGAAGTCGTTTCCGACGATAACACATCACGATCAGACTCTACACGACATGCCGGCCACGGTATTTGAATACCTACGTAGATTGAATATGTATATACAGATATGTCCTTACGGCTTTAAGAGAATTTCACGAGTTTCCCTTTACTCTTCAAATCCTTTCAGATAGAAATTATTCCCGCTTTCTCTAGATGTATTTTGAATATCAGGAGTGGATTGACCGCTTCTTTCTTCGATTTACCAACAAGGTCCATTTGAAGGGGTGGGTTCAAGTTGCAAGCGAAAGAAAGCTTACATCGTCACATACCAAGCGGCTTGGAAATCGAATTGGAGAGGTATGAAGTTGAAAGGATTAGTTCCTGGTTATCAGATCTTAGTACACCTTTGAGTCGCTCTGATAGGTCCTGGATGGAGAGGATCACACATAGAGGATCTGAAACGTGTTTCGCTACAATACTATCTTCTGAAATCACTGAATAATATGATGTTCTCCTCAATCGATCCATGCCGCAGGGAGCCTGCCAGAACATACTTGGCATGTGCACAGAATAGGTTACGTGCTCGGAGTGGGTCAACATCTCCACATTCAGAAGCCGATCTCTGCACAGACGAGAAATGTTTCACGATAGAATCTTATTCAATACTTTTGTGCTTGATCAAAGATGGGAAAACCCGAAGGATTCTGCACGCATAATTGGTTTACAGAATTTTGATGGGATAATTCATCGTGGACTTCCGATCACTTCTGAACAAAACCACCGCCTCCTTCCTGTTTCAAATTTGAAAGAGGTGAGTAGTAGGAATTGACGCCAACAAGATGTTTTCAGTCATCAGTATAGCCAGTTGAAGGCTGTAGCTTCCTTTTATGGAAATAATTTACCTACATATCCTACGCAAACCTTTGAACCTCGAGTTTAGTTATGCCAAGTGAGTGGTAATAAATACGAGAGGGTCTTGGTTGCTTTAAGAGGTGACGGAACATTAGCTAATTGATCACAGTAAACTTACTCGAAATTAAAATACAAAGTGTTATTTCTGTTTGAATATTTGAAGTGTGTGCAAGGAGCATACGAGTACTAACTAGTACCTACAAGTACGATATGAAAGTAGATTGCACCGGTGCGGCCCTTCGGCTTCATGGCGCGAATTGTTTAGACCCGCATTCACTTTCCCCGCCTTCTCACCTTGACTTATTCCACATACTACAGGCTCATCCAAAGGCTCCATTGAAATTCTATGGGGTCAGGAAATGCACAGACCAAATTTAGAACAGCGAGAACATTACCCTCAGCACCATGTTTTGGTCGAGTAGTGTCAAGGTTTACGGGATCAACCTCCGCCCCGCCCAACGAATCCTTCGTTGTCAAATAATTTGACCCTCGGGGTGTCTCGGGCCTTCAAAATGTCTGACAGTTTGATTGGCTAAGAATAACTCAGCCGTTCGAGCACTCCAAGAATGTTCATTGTCTTGTTCTTATTCGCACTTTTGCGACCGCAGTATCCAATGCGACAGCTGCATACTACACCGGCTTGTGGACCCCAAAATTGAGGACGTAAGCAGCTAATGCGAACCCTGCATAATCCGTACTCCGTGCTTCGTGCAGTTTCGCCTTATTAGGTAGACTTGCCGTGTATTAATAATACTAAGATATTAGGATTGAAGCCGATCAGTGGCCCTTGGCTTTTATCGCAGCTACTGAGCGCATAATGATTCACTGGTTGCTATGGACATGACCAAGGCCGCGTCTGCTAGCACATTCCTCTTGGGTTTGCTTATGAATTAATTATGGGATTGTAGATTGTTCTAGTTGCCGCTGTTGTATACGTTCCTGCTCTTGCATTTGCAAAATTCGGCCTGGTGATTCTTTACCATCGCAGTATGAATAAAAAATCCGCAGTGGTAGGTGGTTACAGCATTGCAATAATCTTCGCACTCATATTCACTTGTAATCCAATCCAAAGGAGTTGGAGTTCATCGATTACAGGGGGCTCCCGTATTGATCGCAATGGTCTATATATTGCCACGGCAGTGACCAATATCATTACAGACCTAGCACTCATCGTGATTCCAATTCCGTTGTTATGTGGGTTACATATGCCACGGATGCAGAAAATTGGTCTGCTCGCGATATTTGCTATCGGCTGCGCATAAGTACCAAGCCTCTCACATATTTTTATTCAATCTATATTGAAATGATTTTAATTTCAATCATAGAACCCTGATAACAAGCATTCTGCGTCTTGTGACATTGATCTCGTCCCTTACAACAACTGATCCTACGTATCAAGTAGCGGAACCTCAAATTTGGATTCAAGTTTCCTCTGCCGCTTCCATATGAATAACAGCAAGCCAAATACCATGACACAGCAATGTCGAATCAGATCTCATCGTCATTTGCCCCTGATTACCCTTTCTAAGACAATTTATGCGGCGTCATGCACCTGGCTGGATGACCCAATCAGGTAGCAAATCTCAAAGCTACCTCGAGGACTACAGCTCAGGCACTGCCACGCGCAGTCGTCACAAAGGAGGTCTCACGCGATTAAAAGATGATATCCACCTCGCCGAAATCCCAGGGAGCCGAAATAATGAAATTGGGATTGTGAAAGAGGTTGAGTTGCAAGTGACCGAAGAACCGAGATGGGGCCATCTGATGCGACCACTTTACCTCCCGCCCAGTATACAATCCACGCAGTTAGAAGCAGTCAGCTGAGAGCCACCACAATTAGACGGAACCTCATATCGGGTCAGTCCAAAGTTTTTGAGTTGATTCGAAATTAACATTATACTATTAATGGTGTCTTTTCACTGCCACATGCCTTGATGACCGAATAGCTAATGGTAGTTATTCCTTCCGCTTCCCGTCCCCAGCACTGCCTTTACTGACTGGCACGGGCTTAATATTGGAGAAATTCTGGGAATGGGAATACATGTAGCTAGATCTGCGTCATTTGATGATACTATCGGCGTGAAATTAGCTTAATATGGAGAATAATTGTGAGTGTCTGCGGGGCTCAGGCATCAAACCGTTTTGAGTCATCCCGCACCCACCCGTTAGTCATTCTAGATAGCCTCGGGTAGTCAGCTCATCACCACCCTTCGTACCATTCAGTTCTGTCTAGTGAAGGCCCGTCTAGCACAAGATCTCGTCTCTTATGGTTCTGGCGTAATCGCCTATAAGGTTCTAGCGAACAGAAAGAATGGCCACCCCTTCCCAGTCCACCCAGAAAGGAGTTTTCATAATCGAAGCTTCGGTCGATGATGTACCAGCCATTAAAAGCATGGTTGATTCCGCCTACTCGAAATATATCGACCGGATTGGCCAACCACCCGCTCCAATGTTGGAGGACTATTACTCAGTGCTCCAAACAAGCCCAGTTTTTGTCTTAAAAGACAACAATCACACCTCGATCGGTGCAATTATGTTCAGTTGTGACAATGGTACCATGGCAATGAAGATCAAGAACTTGGTTGTCAGCCCAGCAGCACAGGGGCGTGGGTATGGTCGCGTTTTGATGAATTACGCGGAAAACTTTGCAATATCGCAGAATATCTTAGCATTGGAGCTCTACACCAATGTTAAAATGCACGAAAATATTCAATTGTATGCGAAGTTGGGATTTTCCGAGGAGGGGCGAAGGACCGAAGACGGGTTCGAGCGGGTTTATTTCCGCAAAGATTTGAGTCGGGGTGAAAAAAGTTGAAGGTAGCATACTAGTATGCTTGTTACTATATACCTGGAAAATACAACTTGATGTCCTAGTACCAACTTGAAATTCCGAAACCTTCTTACAGAGGCACTAATAATCTACTTTTTTTTTAAAGTCCAGCGATAGAGCACATATACCAAGTAGACACGGTAATAAGCACTTCCAGTAAAGTCAACTTCAAACGTCAACATATACGAGACTATACGAATAAACTTACACAGACCACAGGACCGGTGGGTGCGAGAAGTGCTGGACAGACAAATGAATTTGAGCAACACCTCGGATTGCTTCCTACGCCGATGCAAGTAAAGTTTGTAGAACACTCCAATATCATCAGCAATCAATGAAATGAGGTCACCATGTGCTTCAAGTTGAGGAATTCGGCTGGAACGAACAGTTCGCTGGATCCATTGAAGGGGGATATCATGAAGTCATAATCTTGATTACAATAAAATCACGGTAGCTTGGAGAGGGTTATCAATAACTTGTGAAGGGGCCAGATAATTCCAAGGATCTAAACCCGGATGTTCGTTCATGAAAGGTGCTCTAGCAATGGCCACTGGCACAATAAGTTGAATCTGAGCTTCTATATTGAATACCGCCAAATGCCGTTATCTCTACGCATTGTAAAATAAGGATTCCGGACCTATTTATTTGCTAGAAGGGCAATGTGTATGTTGGTTCCATCATGAAGTATATGGGGATTTAGTAGGCAGGTTACAATTTCGAATGAGAATACCAGTTTATTGTCTTTGATCTGATCCGTCAACTAAGTATACATGGGAATATTCGTGATAGGTTGGTTTGCCAAGCAAAACAAAGAAATCCTTTAAGAATATGTACAGGTTGCCATTTCCGAATGGGAGTGCCAATAAAAATAATGGAGAATGATAGTAAGGTGTCGTAAAGAAAAGGTGGTAATGTAGTAAGGGTTCTGGTCCAGTAGTATGTGCAAACTTGAAACCCGGGGAATATCGAAAGTCGAGAACCGTGAAAGGTATTAAAAGAAATTGTGCATCAACAAATAAAACATAATGCACGGTCGTAAACATGAAACAGCCCTGGAGCATGCGACTGATTCGGCCTGAGAAAAATATAATGCCGATCGTATGAAGTCGCGAAAGGGATATTATCGTCTCCACATCCGAGAAGGAGTTTCGTTGAAGTCGTCTTTGCTGGAACGTTCGCTTGCACCTTCTGAAGGGTATGCGGGCTCGGTTGTAATCTCGATGGTGGTCTCTTGGTACACCTTTCCGATGGGGGCCATTTCGACACCGGGCTGGACAATGTTATCGGTTGAACCATCTCGGTCAAGATCCTCGTCATGTAAGCCCATTCTCCGTGTCGTGGGGTCGGCGGTAATGGTTGTTAAGTGAGTGTCGCCGCGGCGTCCTTTGCTGCTGGCGAATTTGTTATAAGAGCGGTCATGGCTAGGCTCGGAGTCGATGATGAGGTTGCGACGGGTTACGGTGTAGAGAATCACGTCGACAAGGCCGGAGCTCGTAATAATAGCACCTATTTCGATGTCAGTTCTGTCTATATGGCCATATTGTTAGAATATTCTTTAGCGAAGACACTTACCGGCACAGCAGAAAAATGTGAGAGATGGAGAATCTCCGTTCGCCGTAGCCATACGCCCAGCAGCCAATGGTAAGGAGAGAACAATGTAGACGATGGGGTAGATGGTCATGTACCCGACAACACGACGCAGGCGCTTAAGACTCTCCAGTTGGCTGTTTCCCAGGATGGAAGATGCGGCAATCTGTTTCCGAAGTTGGAAATACATAATCGCGTAGAGAGCGACCGTCCCGAATTCTGCCAGGAAAATCCAGATGTAATGGGTCCAAAGACGAACTGTCTCGTGCTCTTCGTTGATCCAGCACCAGGCACCTGATGGTACGTAGACATCGGCTCCATACATTGCAAGGGGGATAATCACAATAAGAGCAATGAATGCCCAAACACCGCAAACAAAGGTTACAAAGACCTTGTATGACATCTTCCGTCCCCAGACGACAAGCAAGAAGGTGTGGAAGGCAATGGCCAGGACGAAGAGACCTGATCCAGGGTCACCAATCTGAAGCCACAGACCTTGCAAAAAGCAACCGGCAGTGCCAGACTTGATCTGGTCTGTGACGATCCATCTCAAACAAATTAAGAAAGCGAGGGATTGTTGGAAATCTGCAAGAATGAGGTTGTAGATAAGAATGATATACTGGTTGTAACCAATATATCTGGTGTAGCTGGATTTCCAGAAGATCAGGCGATATGTGATGAATGAGAGTAGGGTTCCTGTGGCGAGAAAGGAGAGTAAGGCCATGACAGAAATGGCGATAAGGCCTCGCCGTTGTACGGCTGGCAATGGATTAATGTCCAAAGTCACATCGTTTGACAACCGAGGGTGAAGTGGACTATTAGAAGCCATGTCCCGCTGCAACATGCTGAGAAGGAGTGCAGACATATTGAAGGATTGAAGGTGGGTTTCAGTAATGAGGGTCGTTTCTTTTTCTAGATGCCGCCAACGACCATCGTTTGCAGGTGGACTAGAGAGCAGTTCGTGCCAAGCCAAGAATATTTTCTCAGCCTCGTCTCGTCGTTCGCGTGATAACCCAAAGCCAATTCCACCAGCCGAGTGAGATGAGAGAGGGTAATATGCGTGGCAAGAAAATTCAAGAAGAGTTTTCTCTTCTCACTCACGAATGGCTAGGCGGAACTGGATGGAAATAGACGCTCCGCAACGGCAGGGGTATGGACCAGGATTATTAAAGTAATCAGAGATCACTACCAAGGTGATGGAGCGGAACCCACAAAGAAACCATGGACGGCCTCAGTGAACTCTATTGTCAATAGGTTAAGGAGAACGACAATGGCATTTCTACACACAGACCATTGTGTTGTCAATGACTTGGTCTCCAGAGAATTTGGAACCTTCGATGCGGAGCCCACCAGGGATCATCTCCGTTAGGGTGCCCCGAAGTGGGCTCACGTCCAGCATTGAGGCAAACAACCCCAGTACGCAATGCAACAAGAACCAAATCAGCCATCATAGTATCCACTTTGGGCGGAGGCAACCCCTCTCGGAACAGGGACGTGAGTGTGGGTTCGAAGAAGTTTCTGCGACAGCATTCGATTAAACGGGGTGAAAGTTTGGTCCAGACGGCAATATCCACCCACGATCACCGTCTGAGCGTGCGCTGCACGGCATGAAAACGATGTAAAAGGGGAGTGGAAAAACTAGCTGCAGGGCCGACCGCACCATGAATGTCTAAATTTTAAGCAAAGTCGTTGAGAAGCTGGGGGAATGGCGAAAACAAAAACGCCACAGAAAGCCTCTCTCTCCGCGTGAGGCTGACACTTTCCCAGACGGGGCTGCGGTCTCCAACGCCCGGAATTTCCCCAGCCAATTAGAGATTCTATCTGCTAACAATCCCTGCTATCTCAATGCAGGGGCAACTGTTCGGGACAGCCAACGGAAGACGCGGCCACGTTTCGCCGCGTGCCTCAATACGTACTAACCGCAGCAGTATCATCTCATGAGTGCGTGCTCAGCTAGAACCTTCCGCTGCTCTGGGTTAGATCTCCGTGCCTAAACAGGCGGGGCTTGATTAGTGTGGTAACGAATTTTGAGTGTTATTATGCTCCGTGGCCAATGGCCAATGGGCGTACATCACCAGGATCAGCCCCCGAGGAAGTACGGTGTACATACAGTATACATTGTACTGTACGGCTGGGAATTAGAATTGACAATCCTAAAATCTAAAATCCATGTGATTCTGCCAAGGGTGACAGTTCCAGAAATAATGTAGATCGTTCGCAATAGTATGGACTCTGTACGGAGTGCAGAGTACCTCAGAATGCAATATTGATATTGTGGCCATGCGATTGGGCCGGTATAAGCTTTGTTTCCATAATCTCCCGGCTTCCAACTGGCTCAGGTTTTACCCCGTCCCCATCGGGGTGCCCACTGACGGGGCGGGACAAGTTTCAACTGAGACTTGCCCCGCTAGGATCTTATAGGGGAATTTCCTCTCGAGGCGTAGCATGCGTCATTTGAAGTGTAGGCAGAACTTTACCCCGTATTCTACAAAACTTCTCGATTGATCCAGTGACCTGGTGAAATGGTCAGTACGAGTAATGGGATGTTCCCCTTCTTGATATCTGGATGTATGTTGATCGACAGTCAAGGAGTGGATTGACCTAACTGTGACTTACTGCCGACCCGCGAACAGGGGCAACCAGGTGGCAGCCATGTGCCGAGGAACGATACTGTATGTACAGCAAGGGGCACAAGGTCGGCCCTGGCCCACAAAATGGTCAGTCGCGATTTGCGGTGAGCCTTCCGGCGTGCTAGCGTTGTCAGTAAATGGAGCCGCGTTGGGGAGTGATCATCCAAAATATCCAACGAAGGATGAATACGCACTAGAACCAAACCGCTTCAAGCCGGTAGCAGCGATCTGAGGAATTGCGATGTGCTCCAGAGAAACCCACTTGTCTCCATCCTCAGGGAATCTTCTTCCCGAGCACGACAGCGCCCGGCTTTCGGATTGTGGCAACAATTGGACTTCAGCTATCCGTACGGGTTAAGGGGGAGGCTTGTCGGCAAGACCGGATTTAAGGGGCTAATTGGCGAGTGAATGAGGAACTCCCTCGTGGCTTCGACTCCACGTGGAAGAATGCCCGCCAATTTCCCTTTTGAGATCCTTCATGACCAGCGACAAGCTTATTTTTTTTTTGCCATCGTAGCAAGTTGGTCCTTTTACGACGATGCGGGTCAAAAATGTCTAGATAACCATGGTTCTGTCGGTTCAGAGTGCCGCATTCACAAACCATAAACCTGATGGGGTCTGCTTGACCTGCCTGTTTCTTGTTAGTTGCCCCGCCCATCGTCGATCTGCATTCTGAAAAAAGGGCGGTCGCGGAATCTGGGCCTGAAAGGGGTGTCATGGCTTTTCTGAACCATTGGATATCATGCTGATAAAGTTCAGTCATCGAAGTGCAGAAAAGACACGCCCCGCAGCCTCTTCACTTCAGCCTGAATCATCCCCGGAGATTAAAATGGGACTCAGTTTCCGATAGGAGCTACAACCACCATGATGGTTGGGACTATTTACTCAATCTAGACCTTTTCAGGTTCGAGTAGTACTGATTTGGCCCGTGTGTCCTAAATTTGTGGAAATACAACATCTTACCTAGCTGCGAACTTGGACTCATGCGATCGTTGACAGAACAGGTGATCACATCGCCACCGAAGGATTCTCATCCGACATCCACATCGTACGAGAGATAAGTACTAGTATGGATTCATAAATTTGCGCTAGCTATATTCAAGGCATATTTACTGTGCGTATGTCAAGGAACCCCAAAAATGAGAGCAATGTAAACTACCGTTAAAGACCCATCAAGCCCATCAAGGTTCATGCACAAATGTCGATCTCTACCTCTTAGCTAACCGTTTACCAAATTGAGCACTTTAATTAACGGCACTTCCCATCGCATGTGGATGTATGTAACCGTAGATCACAATGTGGACTATTAACCTCAAGATACGAGTACACATGGTATATTGGCTTGGCTCGTGCCGAGGCGATCACTTGGTCATTGGAACAAGCGTCCCAGCTTCCTGGATTTTGGTCGCGATGGTGCCAATTTAGGTTTATCTACATGCGACCGTGCCAAAGCATCAACAAGAGCTAGATCCACCGCCGGGTAGAAGACTCCCATCATGGCGTCTTGACAAGGAGCTACTGAAGTCAAACGCGGAGGTTTCAATAATCATCATGCTGAAGCTTATGCGTACATACTACGGAGTACTCCCCGTAAGATCATATCACCCATGGTTCGATCCGTGATCTGACCACTGAAGCCATGCCATCTCCAATAAATGTATCCACTTCCATTCGATATCATCGGACTCCGGTAGTATCGTGTCTCCGATGAACATTCAAGTTCGCACCAGATCTCAATACCATCCAGCACTAGTCGACCCCGTGATTATCTCTCCAATGGATAGGGGTATAGATGGGATCTTCTGGGCCATCGATCATTTGAAAGAAGATTGTGTGCTCGAGTCCATTTTTCGGATCGCCAAAGACGACATCCTCGTGGATCATAGTCCAGGCAGGACGCCCCGGGTTTCTTTGTTATCGGCCATGCACGGGGCTGAACTCGAGTAAGCAACAGGTCGGTTCTTCCTCTTGTTCAGGCGGCTGTATACGCTTCTCATTTCTTGCCGAATCGGGTATCAGTATACCCACAAGGTATTCGTATCTCTCCGATGTCTTAGTGTCTATGCCGGATACTAGAACGATCGCCCGCTCATCTTCTACCTCCTTTATTTTCATCAGCAGCTCTGCTATCTTTTCTGGACCAAATTTTGGGTCGTGATGCCAAGGGAATCAGAAATTGTCGAATCAGATCACACGATCGTGCTTGAAGATTGATTTGAGTAGCGCAAGGATCGGGGCAGTCAAAATCTTTCCTAGTTTTTGAGGCCGCTTCAGGAGAGACTTCTCTGGAAAATTCCGTTGCTTGAAGAGGCAAAGAACGTGGAATAAATCGTGGAGGAGATAGGACTGAAGATAAGTCACCCAGCCAAGTAAAAAGCTGCCATGCTATTTGAAATCAAGATATTTCAGGGAATATATCGCAGAGTGGAACGATGTTCGAACCAGGACCAATTAATCCCAAGAGCAGAATTATAAACAAAGGCCCGAAGGAAGCTTTCCAACATCGTTGAGATCATTAGGTTCCAGAATATGATGACTGCCATGCAAAATGCCAAAAATATGATAAAGAGAAAAATGCCAAATCAGGCACAGTCTCTGCGGGTCAAGCGTATATTCACATTGCTTGGTCGTTCCATCCCTCCCGAATCCGTGGTACCGAGCAGCTAATGGGTGAAAAGCAGCACGGGGCTGACGGTCCATCCAAAGAGAAGCAGCATAGAGAAGTTCTAGCATATCATGGTAGATCTCATAGCCCCAGTCATCGTAGTTTAGACGATGGACTGTTGCAACCCCACGCATCCCTCCGAGTCCTCCACTCATTGCCATCAAATGGCAGCTTCATTCCATTCCGATCGATCGCGAAGCTCTGAAATATGGCTCGACGGGACCGTGCCGGTATATATTCCAACATCGAGTTCCATTGCTGCTGAAGCCAGTAAATCTTGGCCTTGACAGAAATCATCCTCGAGTAAACCCTGAGACTTATCGTCAGGTGGTAAGAATGGGTATCGCGAAAGTAGATGAAGTGCATGAAGAATGATTGGTCCGGCATTCTTCAGAGAGGCCGGAATCACACCCTCTCGTTGCAGGGTTGATGTCAACCATGTCTCATCAACACGGTGGTCCGCAGGCTGCTCTTCAGCTACGACCGTCTTGGGGATGCAAATGCCATCTCGATCGGATGAAAAACTCTCATTGATGATATCTTCGTTGTCGCCCTCTTTCCATCTGATCCTTCGTAATACTTTCGGGTGTAATCAAACGTCGTGCAACTCGCGCATCCACCACTGTTGTGGAAGCTCACCCGGGAAGCGTATTCGGTAGTCCAAAATTCGAGTAACAAGGTTGGATTGCAAAGGAGTGTACCTTACCTAGGTAGTTTGAACATAGGCGCGCAGGCGTATTCTCGTACTGTGATCAGAGAAATGCCTCATGTGAGGCAAGAATTCAAACGTCAGCCTTGGAAATCTCGTGACTCGATCGCAGCCTTGTTGTCGTAAACCTTGGAATCACCTACTAGGCCTTGTCAAGAAGGCCCTTTGAAGTTTCAAGGTTCCAACTTGGGTTGGAATTGAATTCTGAGCGACAAGGTCGTTTTACACCGAATACGGATTTCTACTATCCTCTACTAATAGCTCCAAGGTCAATATATCTCCAGGGCTTCCAAAAGGTTCCCAGCCCCTGTGGTTTGAGGTTTCTAACCCAAAGTTTGGTATTCAACTTGAAGTTGGCGATTATATATTGCTCAGGTGGGCTCGGAGTGCTCCCGAGGTCTACTAATATGAGCCCTTCTAACTACTAACCTCCAGGGCTTGGAACTTTCAACTTGAAGCCAAGACCCTGGGGCCACTGACAAGTATTTTGTTGAACGCAACCTTGGAATCAATTCGAACTTCAACCTATCACCTAGGTAAGTTGAAACTTGGACCACCTGGGCACCAAGATGAGCCAAATTGCTACTAGTACTAGTCCGCGGGTATAGTATCATAACAGCACTTAGTATGCCATACAACTCCAAGTTTAGTAATAGTACTAGTAGTACTACTAGTATTTTGCCATCCACTGGCATGGATGCCACTTGTAAACTCGAACTTGAAACTTTGAGCTTGGCTGTCCACCTGGGCATGTCCAGGTGTGCATAACTTGAAGATCCATAGAATATTCTCTTCACCAAAGACTTCCAACCTTGGAAGGCCAGGGTTGAACAGATATTTTCCACTCAACAAAGAGCTCATGCATTCATCAATCATAAAAAGAGGCTCAAGGGCCCAAAATCTCACTAAACTAACGATGGCAGCGCTAGCCCTTAAAGAAGACGTCGGGCGCGAGATATAGAGGATAGGGGAGTGGGTATCATCAACATCAACACCAACACCAAACCAAGGTCAAGATCGAGATCAATCCGCTCGCTCGCTCGCTACATCCATGTAATATATCCATCCATCACTCGATCCATCTCACATACTATCATATCCCATTCCTGAAACCATTTCCCAGCTAATGCTACCACCCGAGCTATGCGGCAAATAACAAAGAAAGATAAATTTCCCAAAGGGAATCTTGCATCTCGCTCACAGCCAGTGTTTTATCTCCGTCGCGAATTCCGCGAATCGCGACGACCGGCAATAGGCGAGCGATCATCCTCTTCATCCTCCTCCTCAACAGGAGCAGGAGTCCGTCGCTCAGTCCGTCTCTTCGGTCTCCGACGACGATTGGAACTAATATTACTGGCCGAATCATCCGGGGCAAGAGATCGATCATCATCAAAGATGCCATCATCAGTCCCACTTTCCCAAGCATTGACGGAGAAAGGCGTGCCCATGCGCGCTTCGACGGTTGAGCCGCGTCGGCTTTGGTTGGCGACTGCGAGGCCGGCGCCACGTTCGCGGAGGGCGCGTCGGACGACTTCGGCTTTTAGGTGTAGGGCTTCGAAGGCGTCTTCGAGAGCTTCCATTCCGAGGAAGATGTCGCGTTCGACTTCTGCTAGTGCGGCAATCTCCATTTCTTCGTCTAGTGCGATTGGCCCGCCGAAGGAGGCTGGGGATGAAGGGTTGCCGTTTGGCTGGCTGGCGGGTCGACCGTTGTCCATGTGGTTGGGTGTTGCTCCGCGTGAGATTCCGCCTGTGCTGAAGGGTGTGTTGGAGCGGTTGCTGTTCCAGCGTGAGCCGGATGTAGGGACGGGGTCCTCTGCGCCGCTGCGGAGGAAGCCGTCGAATCGGCCGGAGATTAGAATCTCCCATTCATCGTCGCTGATTGCCGCTAGTGTAGCGAGGACGTGGTGCAGGGCGGGATTGTTGAGCATGAACATGGCTGCCTCGGGGTCGCGGGGGAGAGAAAGGGAGTCGGTATAATCGTTGGATTGCCAGTGAAGATGAGACTGGGGCGGAAGGTTTTGGTCGGGGCTTTTCATCGCCGGATCGTGGGACGGGCGTTGAAGAGTTGATGCCAAGTAAAGCGCAGAACAAGGAGCGCTGGTGAGATTCAAGGTGGGTGAGCATGGCGAAGGTCAAGGTCTCGTCATCCACTTCGACGGGCGCACTGCTGGTGTCTTCATTTTGCTCCGAAAGCCATTTATCTACCGCCACCTTTGTCTTGCGAGATTGTCGAATGAAGTGATCGCGGTACTCCTCGGGCACATCGACATCAAGCTTCTGCATTGGGATATGTTCTTCCCCAGGTATATCGGAGTCTATATTTGAATGCGCCATGATGAATGGCGGCCACATAGGAAGCTCACGTCGGCCCGAAACAAGTTCCAGGACTTCTCCCCAACTCACGCCCTCTTGTGGTTCCTCCTCTTGATCGCGACCGCACATCAAACAACTGCATGGTTCAGACGAAATATCGCGCGCAAAGACAGCTTCCAGCCTATCGAGCAGTCGGCGAGCTACAGATCGGTATCCCGTCGCGACAGCTAGGGAGCCGCTCTTGCTCATCACTTTTTGGTAGTCATCGAGAAGACGATTATACGGATCAAAGACCTTTGCAGCGGCCAGCTGAGGTTGAGTAGCTTGGTGGGCGAAAGGGTCCGTCAAACCAGGGTTGCCTAGTAGAGTCTTGGGAACCTTGCTTTCCAGACCGCCATCTTTGAGCAAGTAATCAACTCTGGGAATTGTCACGGGCATTTCGGGGGGTGGCGGGGGAGGGGGGAGGACCACCAAAACCAGGGCTAGACACGACTGGTCTCCCGTAGTCGATCGATTCATCGCTAGGTGTGTGTCGGTGAGAGTTGGAAGATCGAAGCTGGTTGCGCGAGGGAGGCTTCGTCGGAGGGGTCATCGGCTTGCGTGGTACGGTATATTGTTGGTTGGGGGCAATGGAGGTAGCATCGGATCCGTTTGTTGATTCCGCAGCGACATCCCGGACGGTGATGTTTGACCGCGGGGGAGACAATGTTGAGCGACTGGAGCGTTTGGAGGGCTTTTTCTCATCGGAGGTCTTGGATTTGGAGGATGATTTATGGACTGTTCGCGTCGATGAGGATTCCTTTTCGGGTTTGGATGATGACGACTTTGATTTGGGGGTATCTGCACGAGTAGTCTTGCTTGACTTTGTTCCATCATCTCTCTTCGATCGAAGACTAGACGACGATCTGTTGACCTCGGCCCTGATCTTGATGTTGGCTGCTTTCTTTTTCGCCTTTTCCTTGTCCGAAGCCTTGTCGTCTTCGCCCACCGCTGGGCTACCTCTCCGAGAGGTCGGTTGATCACTGAGACCTGTCAAGGGCGGACTCGGAGGGGCTTTCGGGTTCTCAGCACGAGTGCGACCCGCTCCATTGGCCTTGCCATTCTCTTGATCGTGCTCGGTCACATCGGTGGGGTCCGGGGTAGGAATACTGGCAGTGCGGACATCTTCCTTGCTATGAGCTTTGGAGAAGTTTGGGTAGGGCAGGCTTGACCTCGATTCTAAGAACGAGGCGGTGCCCGAGATGGCAGTATCGACGCCAGGCATCGAGGCCCTGCGGGGTTGTGGTGGTGCGGTGTGGGAGATCGAAGAAGTGGAGGAGGTAGCCGGTGGTTCAGGCTGAGGATCCTTGGTTGACGACGATACCCGGGAGGAGCGTCCTTGGGACGAACGCTTCAGGCCTTGTTTGGTGGTGACGACGGAGGAGGATTTGGAGGATTTGGACTTCTTAGGTTGATTAGGTCTTACCGGAAAAAACATGGCTGGGGTCGAATCGAATTTCTCTTCGTAGCCGCAGACAGGTGGATCCCTTCAAAAGACCCCGTCTCCGCTAGTTCATCGGGCGCAGTCGGTCCTTCCTTCTGCTATACTCGTATATGCTTTGTTGCTGCCAGCCTTGTAGTAGATTTTGCAACGGAAGGCAGCACGATGCTATTTTTGTGACGGATAACGTGCTGCCTGGCGCTTAAGTTGGGCAGAGGTGAGATATCACTGGCTGCCAACTGGCCGGGGGGGCTCAGCGGTTGCTGTCGATCACAGGTCGGGAAAAGCCCCGGCATTCCGCGGGGGCCAGAGAGGGGAAACAGAAGGGAATGAGCTGGGAATGAGCTGGGAATGAGCTGGGAAGGATAGTCGAGAATGGGAATAAGCTCATGCGCGGGAGGTAGATTGGTAGATTGGGTGATGTCGGGTGTCCGGGTCAACACGTCAACAAGGGAAGATGCGGTGAATCGGGAAGAGGTGTGGCTGGCCCCGCCCGAGCCTGGACTACCTAGGTATGTATAGTAATAGTAGTAGGAGTATAAGTACTATATACCATGCTGAGTAGGCACAGTAGGCAGTATTTCCTGGACTGTGAATATTTCACTAGCATCCTTTCTTTCATCTATCCAATTACTTACATACTCCGAGTCCATCATTGTCAATACTTACTAGTATTGCCCGGCCCTACTATTGAGAGCACGTGATGCAGCCTTGTTGGAACTATACATATACAATAACAAGTTATACACTGCTGACTTGAATAAGCAGGGACTCATCCATGTAACTGGAACTTGGGTTTGAAGGGTAAGTGCAATTCGGGTATGCCCCGGGTATGGGTATCTTTAACAACAAATACTATCGTACATTTCAGGTCATCTTCCCCCTCCAGGGCTCTCCTGGTCCTCGGCATGTAATCCATTGGCCGCCTTCTTGACTGGGGACGTCTCCAACACCCAATTCCCATCTTCCTCATGAGCCACGCCACCATTCACAGCTGCTCGACGTGTTTTGTCACTAGCTGCTTCCAGGTCCCCGGTATGGTGATCCCAAACCCAGCCTTCCTTGAGCCAAAGCCACGTCAGGTATGCCCGGAGCTCCTTATCCTGCGGCAGCACAGACTTCCACTCGGGCACAAATCCGACAGTCGTTGCCCCGGTCCCTTGCCAGTCCGTAGCCACCTCCCGCAACTCATCCCGGCAGAAGATGCGCCAACTGTCCAGGGAATAGGCCCCAACCCCGGGCAAATGTGCAACTTCCCACGCAACTCGCATATCTTCATCATCAATACATTCGTCACGTCCAACATCTCGCCCATCGAGTTTCCGGGGATAGTGTAACTCGCGATATCGTTTTCCCTTGGTAGGTGGCTGGGTCTGCCACATTCGGGCGAGATCAATGCATTTTCGGGCACGTTGGTTTTGGAAACCAAGGCAGCGGATCATAGATACAAGTTCTGATGGTGATGCATTCGCCATGGCGTCAATGGTAGGGTATTTGTCAAAGACTTGAAACAAGACAGGCAATGCCACTCCCCTCGGGTGCGGTTGAGAAAAATAGTTGCAATGAGGAGCTTGAAGGGCTCATGGGCAAGTTGTTCTTGTACAAGGCCAAAATATGGGGCCTCAATTGGTGGAAAGGGTAGACATGACTCTGCCTCTGTTGGAAGAGTCGGGAAGTAGGGTGAGACTTTAGGTACCTTGGGGCGAGTGGACTTTGATTTTGGAGTTTCAGGCGGAAGTAGTAGAGAACTGGTTTCGGGTTGTAGCAGTAGGCAATTGGGTTTCGTCGGAGTCGTGGGGTTTGACATGAGGTGAGGGGGGTGAGAAATTCATGTTTTCGCAGGTCCCCACGTCGGCGAGTGGTTGTAAACCAAAACCATCGGATTCATCATCGCTTTCTAAATCGCTCAATGAAGAATCCGAAGACAAAAAGGCAAGTGGCAGATTCAACTCTGCTAGAATTTTTCGAGTCGCTTCGGGAATCGTCTGTTCATGCATTTCGGAGATTGTAGCCTGCTGGGGATGACGTTCTGCTTTCGGTTGGAAATATTTGGACTTCACCTCATCGCTCGGGGTCATCGACGGCGAATCATTGGAGATCAAAAATCCATGTCCCATTTTGCGGGATCGGGCGATAGGGCTGCAAACGGGGACTTGCGAGCACTGCTCGGGGGTGACATTTGCGATTGATCGTGAGCTGGGCGAATCCGTGGCAGGGGGGGTATGGGGACGTGGTGGGGACATCTCCACAGGCTTTACCACGTTCGTGTTGTGGTGCTTATGTTGTCGCTTGGGGGTATGAGGAAGTGATGGAGACATCTCCGAAGGCTTTGCCACATCCATGGGCTGGTGCTTGTCCTTTTCCTTGTGCGTATCCACACTTGCATTGGCCTGCTCTTGCTCAAACTTTCTTCGCTTCCGATCCTTCTCTCTCTGCTTTTTGCCCTTCTTCCGCTTTGAGTCGGCAGACGGCGCAGATGAGACCAAGCTCCGGCGGCGGATCACCTTCTTTGAGGATGGATCGGTCAGCATGCTGTGGGTGGTTCTAGGCACATCGATCGCCTGTTGAATTTGCGATTCCCGTTTCTTTTGTTTCTTCTTTTGCTTTTTGGACATCGCGACCGGCTGGTCGTTGGTTATTTGGGACTTGAGTTGCGGAGGCGACATTTCTCGAGTAATTTCAGCATCAGTACTTAATGTACAACCCCTAATTTGGGCTGCTAGTGGAGACTGCTCAGCATGCCTGTTTTTGCGAGACTTGTTCTTCCGAGATCCCGAAGCGTTCTCAACAATACGAGTATTGCCCACGGCAGCAGAATCATCAACAGCAGGGGTATCATCAATAGGAGAATCATCAACAATGGAAGCATCGGCAACAGAGGCCATCTCATCAACTGTAAGAGCGTCAGCAACAGAAGGCCTATCATCCACTGTAAGAGCGTCATCAAGAGTGGAAGCCTCGTCAACAAAAGGCATATCCTCAACGGTAGAGGCATCAGCGACCGGAGTAAGATCGACAAGAGTAGGAGCATCGTCAGCAGAAGGAACATGAACAGTAGTAGGAGCATCTTCAAAAGTAGGGGAGTCTGTGGCAGTAGGAGTATCATTGACGGGAGTAAGGTCGACAAAAGTAGGAGTATCGTCGAACAAAAGTAGGAGTATCGTCGACAAGAGGAACTCCAACGGCCGAAGCATCACTGGCAGTTGCGGCATTCTTGAAAGTAAAATTTAGCTTCCACTTCCGGGCCACTTGGTGAGAAATTTCAGGGCTGTTCACGACAACTGAACTCGGTAATGGAACACTTTCAATCGCGCTGTCTGGAGTAGCTCTGGTAGCCGGAGAGGCAATCTGCGTTTTGGCCTTCTTGGCCCTGGGGTGTTCAGAACTTTGTCGAGATCTTTTGCGAGGGTGTGTTTCGATTTTCGCCTTGGATACACTACTTGCGATCTGTTCATCGCAAACGGTAGAATCTGGCTCTGACGGGGCCGCGTCATAGCCATCCGGCGTCTCGAGGTAATTCCTTTGGACATAGCGAACCAAGCGATTGGTCAGGAGCTTGGACAGTCCGACCGATGCAGCCTTGGTGCGTACGTCGTCCAAGTATCTTCGCCAGGCGGATTGCTTCATGGGTTGTGCGGATGTCAAAAGAGGATGCAGCCCGATGTATCGGATCAAGTCGTCTCGCTTTGATGACTCTAACGGAGAAAATATGGTGTCTTCCTCCTCCAGGTCACTATCTTGTTGAACTTTTGGTTGCACATTGTCGTCTAGGGGCCGCCGTTTCTTTTTCGTCTTCGGTAGTTTGAGGTGACTGACTCGATGTCTGTTCTCTTGGCCATCACTCGACTCGTTGCGAGGGGAGCCTGCCACAGCAGCCGCTGCAGGGGAGACATGATCCTCATGGTCGCTCTCATCAGACATATAAATCCTCGTGATATCCCGGTTCGCGGCCACTCGTTTACGAGATCTGGTTTTCTGCTGGTTCACTGGGCGAGGTCGTGTACGAGAAGGGGACGGCTGGGCGAGGCTTGTGCTTCGAGAGGAGAGGATGATCGGCGAGAGATCATGGCTCTCTGAGCCCGTGTAGACAGGCCAATCTTTTTCCCTGAATTCTTCCATGCTTCGCTCTTCGGAAATGATCTTTTCCCACAATTGAATAACCGGCTGCGGGAATGGGCTGTAGGTATTGATGTCAAAGCTGGGTTTCGGTGGGACGATGGAGACATTGTCATGGACCGATGCCACCATTCTGTGATTCGAGCTTCATTCAGCCTTATGGGGCTTAGAAGCAGGCATGCAGTGGGAGAGAAATGTGGGTGTATGTATCAAGTGAGAGCTTAGGTCGGTTCAAGGTTGACTACTCGGAGCCCACTTGTTAGTCACATAGGCATGCGAAGAAGGGCCACTGGCTGTCCCGTACTCGGATTCAAATGATTGGGGCATATAACACGTACAAAAGGTCTGAAAACGCCTAAGTCTTTTCGGTGGGATCCACGACGCGAGAGGTTGCTTGTCGCGTAACCGGGGGAAAGATCACGGGTGGGATGAGGTATGTCTGTGGGAAGTAAGGGTATTGGCGAATGAGGGGTTGAGGAAGGAGAGAGAATGGGCGAGCAAGCAAGTGCGCATAAGTCAAGATTCGGCCAAAACGACCTAACCAGCTGGAGGAAATGCAATGAATAATGAATGAATGGAATGGAATGGACCTGTTCTAAATTGAAGCGCGCCGCCCGATTTGGCGGGGTGCACGGGCCATTTCGACGCGATAAGTGATAGGTGATAAGCGATAAGCGATACTGATATCCCAGGGTGGCAGAGGCTGGGTACTTTCCCTACCTGGAACTATGGAAAGTAAACAAACTTGAATGCAAGAAAGCACCCTTGGGAACTTGCCAGTGGTGATTTATTCTATTCAAGTTGGGAACTTGAAAAATGCCAGGGATGTAGGAAAAAAGGTGTAGAGTCGAGAAGTTCACTGGCATGTTTCTATTGAGCATCATCTACTAACACTATACTACTGTTCTATATCATGTAACTATATATTCATGAGGGTTGAATCTACCAACTTGTACTTGAATCAACCATGAAATTCTCCTTTGTGCAAATACTAGGGCGAAGTTCAGGCCGAGAAAGCGTCTGCAGTTTATGGCACAGAATAACCAGCCGAAGAAAGCTGTCGGGGTTCTCCGGCGGCATCGAATGTGCCATTAGGCAAGACCCGGATGGCCTGTGCAGTGCTCTGTCCAGGAGCCACCCATGAGACATTATGACCAAGGCTTTTCATGAAAGCAACAGTTGAGTTGTCATAAGCATACTCAAACGTGACTTGGTTGGGAACCAACTGATCATGGAGACGAGGTTTGGCGAGCGCTTCAGCGGCTGATAGCCCCTGGTCAATGACGTGAATGATGTTCTGGACAGTAGCTGTGATAATTCGACTGCCACCAGCACTTCCAGTCACCAGCACAAGTGATCCGTCCTTCTTTGTCACGATGGCGGGTGTAATAGAAGAGAGGGGCCGCTTGCCCGGTCGGATATAGTTGGCCTCAGAGGGGATGTACCCAAAGGAATTCGAGGACCCGGGAATTGAGAAATCTTGGTGAAAAAGTAAGATAAAAAGGTCTTTTTTTTGAGTCCATAAACTCTCACAAAATTACGTACCGTTCATCTCATTGTTCATAATGATACCAGTCTCCGGGACTAGGACCTGGCTTCCGAATAGTGTGTTGATAGTGGTGATAACTGAGATTGCCATGCCAGTATGGTCCGCTGTCGCGATGTGGGAGGTTCCTGGCCTGGGAAATGGTTAGATTTTGAAGCGAGTCAACACAGAGAGTACTTGAGATTTTCCACATACGTATCTAAACTTTCCAGACCCGACGGATCATATGCGGAAACGTTCAGAGTATGCGTATCCGAAATCTTAGATCGAATATCGGCAATCGTTGACTTTTTCAACATATCGCGTTCATACTCCGCCATACCCTTCACAAATGAAGGGTCACCAAGCTCGGTTCTCTATTTCAAATGTCAGCACCCGCATTGACTCATAGATAGATTAGCGGTGACAATACCTCGCCATAGCCAAAGCGAATGGCCTCGTCTAAGCGGTGAGTACTCAGGTTCAATGCCTTCTCATCGGAAAAGAGGCCACGGTATGTGTCCAAAATTTTGAGAATGCTCAACGCGACAGACCCACTCGAGGGTGTCGTGGTACTGGTGACAGTATATCCACGATAGTCAATCTGAGACGTATTGCGGATTTCAATCGAATAATTTTCCAAGTCTTCAAGGGTCATAGTACCATTTGATGCTTGTAATGCTTTGATGGTGTTCTCAGCAATTGCACCCGAGTAGAATGCAGCAGCCCCACCCTCTGCAATGGCTTCCAGTGTATTAGCGTAGCGCTTGCGGGTAATGATGTCCCCCAGGCCCAGCCGGGTCCCGTTTGGAGCGAAGTCGAGAGCCCAATTTGGATCTTTAGACAAGAAGTCTTCTCCGGTGCCCACTGCAGAATTCATATATTTGACCAAATCAGGAGTCACTGGGAATCCATCCCGCGCGGTGTGGATTGCGGGCTTCACTAATGTTGACCAAGGCAGAGAGCCATATTTCTTATGCACATGCTCTAGAGCTCGAACCTCACCGGGAACACCACTGGGTTGCATGTTAGATAGACCCTTCCAATGGAATTCGCTTTGCATACCTTGCAAGTCCACCATAAAGAGATGCGTCGGTATTATTTTTGTACATATCCTGAAAGGCCGCCGCTGGGGCCGTCTCACGGAAGTCAATAAATTCATCAGTGCCGTTGGGTGATCGGACAAGCATGAAGCCACCGCCGCCGATTCCGCTGTGATACATTCCTAGAATTGAGATCAGATATGTCGCCATCTTGCTTCAGAATGACATGACCTACCAATCACTCCCACGCAAAACTCAGTCGCAATGAGCTATTCTCTTTATAAGCATTCGAAAAATCTCGTGTTTTGTATATTTCAACGAGAGACTCACAGCATCGGCAGCATTGCCACCCATTTCCAGAATTTTGGTACCATGTCCTGAGCAGATTGAGCTTTCACTCGCAACGGCTCCCCGTTTTCCGGGCCCAAATTCGTGGTCAGAGGAACGCGGGGAAATCTCCAATGGCGTCGATAAAGCCCCTGGTAGGTGAATAACGAGAACGATCAAAGAGAGAATGGCCAATAGACCCAATCTTGCGGGTTTGAACATGTTGATGATTCTTTCCCGCCAGGATTTTTGCGACTCGGGAATGGAGTTAGGGCGAGTTATGAGGGCAGAGGAGCCTAGTAGGGGCTATCGATGGTATCATATATTAGTTTCTTTCAAGTTGTTCCTCACCGAAGATGCAAGAGGGGGCCGAAGGAAGTGGGGTTTGGGTTGGAGAAGACATTGGTTGATTAGAACAGGGATGAACATGCATTTTTTCTCCGCATCTTGAACGGTGCGTCGCATTCCTTGCTGCATGGCAGCACGTTAAAAGTTAGAACCAAGCCGCTAGCACCGCGGCCCCTGGATGTTAAATTAATTTGGTTCGACTCACTCAATATCGGGGAGGTTCCGTATAAAGGTAAAAATGAGCAATCCGATCTTCATAGCGGTATCAAGGAGCAATAACCCTTATCTAAGAAACGACACCCCATCATTTCAAGTTCCTGGCGGGTGACTCGTGGAGAAGCCCCAGCGCCTTGAACCCCGCTGATAAGCACCGCCCGAGGTAAACTTTCGCCCGAAGCAAATTATTAATATCAACACCGAGATTTGGAGTCGCGTGGTATCTGCTTGGTCATTGTGTTATAACGTGACATCGTGCCTTTGTCTTGACCTTTGGCTTCTTTGGATCTGAGCCACGGTGCTCCGTCAGTGTCGGACATCTAAGCCAATCGGCCTGAGCGTGTGCCTCGTGGTTTTGGTTGCGGGGATCGGCTGACTTGACCGATAAAAGGTTAGATATTCTGTTGGTTGAGATTAAGAATCCACCCGAACAATCCGGCTGGGGTGGTGGAAGCCGTTAAGACAGTTACTAATAGTGCCTGCGTGGACTTAAGAGCTAGTAGAAAGGAAGGGTTTCATCATCCTGGGATCTACCCTGCTCGGGAAAAGCTCGGAATAATTATTCGGCACCTGGACACCAGGAGTAAAAAGAAACAAAGAAAACCAACTAAAAATTAATGGAAGCCCGCGACTACTAGGTTTTGAATTTAATACTATCGTGTTCATCTTCACGAATACTAAGATCTCATAACCCATTCCTTTGCTCATGTGCCTTCAATAAACATCGCTCACCTGAGCAGTAATAGTCACCTTCGGCGATTATGAACACCTCTTAAAGCTTGCTGGAGAGACTCTGAGGAATTTCAACGTCACGGTATAACGCTCTCGTGTCCAAAAGCCCAATTTGAGCCTCAGATAAACTAATGATACCACATAGCTGCATCGCGGCCTCAAGTTCGTCCTTCAACACTAAAAGTCCAACTGTTAGCCTTATCTGGCAAACCTAAAAAGAGTACTTTAAAATTACATTTCATAGTATATCGGACTCCCTCCTCCCCATACATCAAGGCATAGAAAAAGGGCCGACCGAGACAAACCCTTTTCGTTCGGAGGCAAATGGCCTTCAAGACATCCGAGCCTCTTCGCACACCGTCTATAAAGACCTCCATTTCTTTCAAAATGAAGGGGTAATGTAGACACATTTCGGCGAGAGTAAGTATCGTAGGTTGAGCTGTGTCGGCAGCTCGTCCGCCATGATTAGAGATGTAGATACCCTTGCACCCGATTTTCCACGCTTGCAGTACATTTCCCGCGCACTGGATCCCTTTGATGAAGATGGGAATACCCGTTCTTTCAATAAGCCGCTCAATGTTGCTCCAGCATAGGTTAGGGTCAATCGATATCCCACCCGACCGAGTTTGTCTTGCCTTTCGGCCGTTGTTGTTTTGGGCTCAGAAGCTCGCTTCTGTTTTGCTATCCGTTTTTCATATTGCTCGTTTGTTTCTCTTTTGCTGAAAACCGGTAGATCCGCAGTGACCATTATCGCTTTCGGTTGAAGCTTGCAAAGATTGTCGACCATCTTATCCAGTGCAGCTTTATTGGGACTCACGTAAAGCTCGAAGTAGAATGGATGATCCGCGGGAGGCTGTCCATGTTAACATCGGCGATGATCTCTGAATCTTACAAAAATTTAGATTAGCCGGCTTTCAATTGTACTGTTCTCAAGGAACCCCCAATTCTTGCTCACGGTAGAAGTAGTCTCCACAAGTGATCGTAGGGTAGGTTGAAGCCTGCTGGAGCAGATGATAGGGCATCCAGAATTCGCTTTCGGACATCAAGGAAGACTCATCCGACGAAATCTTTCAATATCCGTTGCAGCAGGTTTTGTGAGTGTGGCAGCGATGGTACATATGGGGAGGCAAAGCGACAATCGCAGGAGGAGACTCCTCTTGTCGTGCGGTATAATGCCAGTGGCTTTCCATCGTTGCTTTATCCGCCAGTTGTGCAGAACGGTAGAAGTCCCATTGCAGTCGGACCCGGACTGAATCGCGCCCAGAGTGAGCTGAGAAGAATATAGATGGGCGCGATATCCAAGGAATAAAATGGAGACTGATGGTTCATTACATGCTGAACTTCTATGTGTATCCTCGGGGGTCAATGCCAATGACCTCGGGAGCAATCTCCAGTCAACGCATCCACGGATCATCTGATAACATGACACCAGTTGGCTCAATTGTTCACGGGATGTTTCAAGTTATTCATTGATCTCAGCCGCAATTTTTATCCAAGATATATCATCCGCCCACATAGCGGGTATCTCCGAGTCTTTCAACGGGTCTAATGTGGCTAGGATTAATTGCCGACCCCAGTCGCGAACATACCAGCGATTACACAGTAACCGCATAGCCAGACCCCAGTGCAAAAATAGAACCTTTGCCAGCCAGTTACCTTCCTGGAGGAGTGAAAGAAACTGATCGGTGATGAAAAGAGGCCATGCAATAGGTCCACCTTGCGCACCAATCTTGGGCCAGGGCTCGATCGCATAATTCAATAGTTCCCATGTGGCCTTGTAAACTGCTTGGTGCGGTCTTTGCTCTGAATCGATTTTGACTTTTAACCGCTCGATGGATGCCATCAAATCCCTTGTCCTCGATTAGCATCTCCTAGTATTTTGGGTGTTGGATAAATCGGCAACATACTTGTGCAAACTGAACAACTTTTCACTGATCCCATGCGATGAAGTATTACTAAGTCTTGAGTCAGTAGGAAGCCCCTTAAATAAATAGAAATATTAAAACTCACTTATTTGGCTGCCATAGAGCCTCTACAGAATCTGGTATGCAAAGCCAGCCACCCAGTGATCCATCCGCGCCAACTTCATTAAACCGGTTAAAAAGCATGGAGGCGCCATTGAGCAGCGTGCGAACTTCGATGACTGGCGAGAAAGGATCGCCGGGGGTATTTTCAGCTGATATTGAATGAAATCCGGTCGCAAAAATTATAATAAAGACGGAGGACACAAACGCGGGCTCGTATTGTTGTAACGTGATTTCCGGTAGAATCTTGCCGAGACCAGAGCAAGCTTGACTTTGATAACGCACGGCGGCGTCTAGCCATTTGAGGCGATTATCAGCTTCGAGCGAGGCCAAGTGCAACGCAGACAATGCGAGGATAGTGTCCAATAAGAAAGGAAATGATGTCGCCATCTGCGGGATAGACATTGACAAATGATAAGCTGAAAGCCCGTCCTGAGATAATGTTTGGTAGGTAGACGTCATGTAGTGATGCATGAGTTTCATCTCCAGCATGCGCGTGGGCATTGGAAGATCACCAGGGGCCCGACCACTGTTCTCGGAGTCATCTCGCTCTAGAGGAGATCCTTGAGAGCTTTCATGATCACCCTGTGGATAGCTGCACTCTAATCCTCGTCTCTTGCACAGTGTACACTTGGGAAGATCTTCATCGCACTATCAATCGAGTCAGATGGATGAAACACTTGAACCTAGACAGTATTTCCCAAAAGTAAAAGAAGAGAGAACTGATTCGATTCCCAGTCCACAGCTGTGCAGTCTCCTCTTGCTCTTCAAGGTCTATGTAGAAGCTTTTCACTCACCTTGACATGCCTCCTTTTACATTCCAAACAGCCCTTGCGGGACTTGGTGTGCGTGCGTCGCGACGGCATTGACTGGCAGTGTCGGGTACCAGACACCGTGACGTGTCGAGTGAGGTAATTCAACGGGCGGGAGATACTAGTAGCTCGATCAGGCCATATCCCCCAGTCAATTAGCCTGACAGCCTTGGGAATTGTGACCTCGGTTTCTGAAGATTCTCACATGACGCGCCCGCGCCCGCATTGCGTGGGCTTACGTAAGGCAGTATGGACCCTCTTAATATTTTTAGCTGTCGATCATCCAAATAGCCTGAGGTCTGAGTCTAATCTAGAAATCAGTATTCTCGATCCGCTAAATCTAAGAGTTAAGTGAAAAATTAAACATTCCAGTTCAAGTTGGAAACCGCCACGCTTGGAATCTTTGGTAGTAGTAGTAGTAGTAACCTCCAGTGCTTGAGACTCATTTGACTGAATATATACTCCGGACATTTCCCCACAACTTCAAGTTCCTTAACAACCTGATGTCCACGGATGGAGGAAGGGCAAGACTGCTGAGGTTGGCAAATCGACCTTGGAATATGTCAAATCTGATATATTGAGAGATCTCTATTCGGGAATAATGGACAATCAGAGTCATTGCAGACTGAAAGCTGGAGGTGCGTTTTCATTTCACAACTGTATTACCGGAAGAATAACTTTGTCTTTAGACGAAGTTGGTCGAAACAGCCTGAGTTGGCCCCACACGACTTCGGAAGCGAGGAATCGAGTTCGTTATCCAATTCGTTAAGCGTGTTTTCCTTCGGCTACGCTAACAAATCATGACGGTTTCCCCATCAGATCCCCGCAAGTTCTCAAGAGTGGAGGGCGTGGGGCTTGCCCGGGGGGAAAGCGTGGAGGAGTCATATAACCACCCCGTTAGGCGTGGGGTAGGCGACTCAAGTTACTACCGTCGGAGAATCTGCCAAGTGATAGGAAACTGTTTCCTGCATACTCAGTGTGTTACGATTGAAGATTGTATTCGCCACGATGGTTGAGTATTATTCATTACCTTCAATGACCCAATTTTTGAAATCAAACCCCTACACGTTCGCCTTTGCCATCGTTCTATTGCCTGCTCTATCCATTCTAATACACGACTTTCTCCTCTATCTCCGTTTACCACCAGGCCCTACACCATTGCCATTTCTAGGGAACAAATTAATCATCCCAACTGCTTCTCCGTGGATTCAATTCGAGAAATGGTCGCGCATCTACGGCCCTATATTCACTCTTTGGATCGGGCGACGACCGACAATCATAATATCCGACCCCAATGTCGCCGTCGACCTTCTCGAAAAGCGCAGCATAAAGTTCAGCTCTCGACCAAGGTTCGTGGTCATGGGAGAGCTTTACTGGGATAATGCAGGGATTCTGGTCCAGCCCTATGGTAAAGAATGGCAAACACGTCGGCGAATGCTGCACCAGGCCCTTAATCCTTCCGCACTTCGCCTATACAAGCCTGTTCAAGAAGCAGAAGCTGCAAGACTATGTTTCACTATCCTTGAGGACCAAAAGTCTTACGAGGGGCTCATCGACCGTTTCACAGCAAGTGTGGTGTTTAGCATCGCTTACGGACATAGGATTGACTCCATGAAATCTGATATAATTCGGCAAAGACTGGACTATATGCAATATTCGGCCTCGTTGAACGTCCCGGGTAAATTTCTAGCCGAATCGATCCCCTGGCTGAAGTATATACCGAATATTCTCGCCCCATGGAAAGCGGAAATACAGCGTCGCGGCCGTGGGGAAGCAGCAATGAATCTGAATCTACTGCGACGGGTCAAAGATGAGATTCGAAACGCAGCACCTTCCACTGCAGTGCCTAACTCATTGACTAAATTGCTCCTCGAAGCACAAGAATCGGATCCTGCAGCATTTGGCTCACTCAGTGAGAGGGACTTTTCTTTTGTACCTGCATCACTATTTGGCGCTGGAAGCGATACGACGGCCAGTACTCTCTGCAGTGCCATACTGATGCTTGTCACAAATCCCGAGGCGCAGGCAGCAGCCCATGCAGAATTGGACTTTGTTATTGGGAAATCGCGTCTGCCAAACTTTGCCGATGAAGCCAATTTACCATACATCAAAGCACTTTGCAACGAGACACTTCGAATTCGTCCAGTCGCCGTTTTGGGTGGCACGCCGCATGCTAACTCGGTTGCGGATACTTACAATGGCTATTTCATCCCGAGTGGTACAACAATTCTATCGAATTCATGGGCTATCAATCTGAATCCATCGTATTACCCCAATCCGCACCATTTTAACCCTTTACGCTTTCTTGGGGTGGATCCGACAACACTCTCATATCTTCCTCGCTTTTCTCAAGATGATTTTGCAGAGGCTTCTCCTCCAAATAATCATCCAGCAAAAGAGGGCCATAGCTCTTTCGGCTGGGGGAGGCGGATTTGTCCTGGGGCTGGACTGGCTCAAAATTCCTTATTTATTGCTCTAGCGAGGCTCTTGTGGACTTTCAAATTCAAACCAGTCTTGGAGAAGGATGGTTCACCGCGTCAGTATGATACATTTGCGTACACGCAAGGGTTTAACATTAGGCCGCGTCCATTTGAATGTGACATCCGTTTGAGAAGTGAGGAATGCCGAGAAGTGCTGATGATAGAAAAGGGAAGAGCGGAAGGTATTCTGAGTCCCTTCACTCCATTTGAAGAACAGGCACTCTCTCCCAATTGAACTAGAAATTGAAGCTTTACTACTTAATTATACTTGACACTTTAAATGAATTCATGTACCAGATTTTACTGAATGAAACCTTTTTGATTATTTTTTAACTCGTTCCCAGGATCCTTTGGGTATGCTATAGAAAACCAATATTGCCACGTGCTTGAATAAAAATGCAAAGAGGGGTGATTTCAGAATGAAGAAAAAACACAGCTAGCCCCAGTCTCATAAGTTGATCTGGAACCTTTTGCTCGTTCTAATGCGCTCGCCGAAGACGTAGAAAATAACAGGCAACGGACACAACGCCAGCGCAATAAAACCAAGCAACGAGTTTCCCCAACCCAGGCCGAGCTTCTCATACATCTTTGGCCCGGCAAGTGGCAGTAAGCAACCGGCCAGGGAACGAAAAACTGTGTTTGCAGCCATAGCACTAGCAGCATATATTGTAAAGGCATCGACTAAATAAGTGCTGACAGTCATCTAAATTTAACTTCGTTAGTAAATGGGACCCCGCAATTTCTTGTCTGACTTACGAAAGAAATCAGCATTCCAACACCCAGAAAAGAGGTTCCAATAATGGGCACAATCCAGTGAGTTTTGTAGTATGCGGTCCATCCGTACATAAAGAGAGAAGCGGGAACGAATAGCGAGCCGGGAATCATCGGGGGAAGTCGATATTCAGGCTTGCTGACGCCGTTCTTTGCGGTGAGGTATTTGAGTAGACGATCGGACGTTGTGCCGAGGATAATAAGTCCAACGATAGATCCGATACCGATGCCCAGGTATGATAGACCAACCGATCCCTGCGAGAAATGGTATTGATCCTCGAAGACGGCGCTGATGGTAGTGAAAAGGAGATAAAGATATCCATACACCACACCGACGTAGAGGGAGAGTAAAAAGACGATTGGTGAAAGGAAAAGCATCTTGGTAGGTCGAACAATCGAAAAAATGAACAGATCCCGAGGAGAGCGACCGGTGTCAAGAGCAGAACGCAAGTTCATGTTACCGGTTTCTTTCTGCAGTCTCTTCGTTTTACGGCTCAGGAGGGTCGGTGCGTATGATTCTTTGATAGTTAGGAGTGAGCTGATAGCGATCGCGCCGCTCTACAACCAAACGAGATTAGTGAATATCCCGGAAAGCGAACGGCAGATGTCCTCGTGCACTCACAGCCATGGCCAGAACCCAAAAGGTCCATCTCCAACCCTTCGCTTGGGCAAGGTACCCGCCGGCTATTTCCAGTCAGATATGATGGTTTCCAAGAAGCTTGTGAGACATACCAACGGGACCAACAACAGGTCCAATCAGGGGTCCGATAGCCCAGGCCGCCATTGCGCTACCTCTGCTTTCTTGAACGAACATATCCGCAATTGATCCGGCGCCAATAGTCAAAGGGCAGCTACCAACGCAGCCGGCAAAGAAGCGAAACACAATCAGACTGCCGATGTCGGGAGCGACAGCGCAGGTAATTGTCCATACTACGTAGAAAATGTTGCAAAAGTTGTAGACCTAAATGATGGTTGGTACTCGGATTCCAAGTTCAATCGCGATTCGACTTACCCAACGTCTCCCATACATCTCCGAGATAGGAGCGATGAGAAGGGGACCGAAGCAGTACCCGAGGAGATAGACGGAAACGACGAAAGAACTTAGTTCCGTACTGGTGATCTCGAAATCCTTGACTAGTTGCCCAACACCCGGGGCGAACATTGATGATCCGAGAGGCCTTTTGAAGAATAGGGTGAGCTGTGTCGCTTCAAAAGCACGGGAAGGAATATAGGCCTTACGTTAAAAAGGTGATCAGCGCGATGGAAACCGTTGCGCTTATCTTTTGCCTTTTCGTCCAATTGAGAGGGTTCTCGGGGTCGTTTGGACCATCCCAGTCAACAATATTCGGATCCCGGGAGCTTTCATCCTCCTCAATCGTGGTCTCATGTGTTCGGGGTCCAGCCTCGAGATCAGTCTTCTCTTGGAATGATCGCTTTTCGTCGTCGACTTGGTGAATCTCTGTATTGCTGGCTGTTGGTGTTGATCCATCAACAGATGGGGTCTCTGAAAATAAACATTAGCAATTAGCTACCATCAAAGTGTGAACCTTTGGGAAACAAAGGTTGAAAAGCAACAGAATCGGAGTACGTACTCTGGTCCTCCATCGCGAGCAGTTTGAAGGAGTAGTCTCAGCCAGCACTCTTGCTGGTCTACTCCTTAGCTAACTGTATGGGATATTGGTTGCGTGTTACGGTTCTTGGTGGCGATGCTAGCGAAAATTGAAGGTAAGCCACAGGAGCACCACAAGGAGGACAAGCTTTCCGAAATACGTCAAATCCAGGAAATATGGTTCAACAGGTCCACTCACGATCTTCCAGTGCTTTGAGCCGGGCAAGGGGAGGGAGTAACACAGGAACCTTTGAAGGTATGGGGAAAATGGATTCGGGAATTGTAAATGCGACGGGAAAGGCTTGAACAGATTTACCGATTGTTTTCCCAGGATCTCGGAGTTTAGACCGACAAGTATCCCCGCAGCGAATTATCCACCAGATGCGAGCGCGATACTCTGCCAATGCCTTGTGCATCTCGGATGCTGCCGGGCATCCGAGAGAAAAAGAATACATAACGAATGGGCATAGTAATTATGCACGAGTGTGAATACGGAATACGAGAGCTAGGATCTGATTCGAACGCCTCGAGGGTCAGCAGGTGCTCAAAACACCGAAAAGGGCGGCACAGAAAAAGGTTAGAAGACTCCTTTGAAGCGGGTCCTGCCGCAATTCTGGGGTGAGACTCGGAGCATTTGGACTACTTTTATCAGTGAGTACGGACTATTTCAGCCTGTACTCTGTATTTCTGTACTTCATAGCCAATATTGAATCTCATTTGATCCCACTAGCGTTTAGGGTGTCCATATCCATATCCATATTGTCGTACGAGTTCTCCGTTCTCCGTACTCCGTACAGGACGTGGAGAACCTGGACCCCGACTATGATCCACCACAGCGGGGGCCCAGATTCCGCGTGGGCCCAGCAAGGCTCCTTTTTATTGCAGCTTAGGTACCTGGGTGATTCGATCCATCGTTTATTTTCTATAACGCTACTCCGTACACTGTTAATGTATTCGATGTTTTGCCGGGGTTGGAAACCATTCCCCCAGAAGAAGGGGCCATGCGATCCCTAATAGCGTCGCCATCGATGCGTTTGTAACATTATTTGGAGGGCAGATAGCCCACAGGAACAGCACTGGCCTTGCTTTTGGTTTTCACAAAGAGAGAGATCCCCGGCGACAATAAGAAACATCTCATCTTCATCTCCTTTATCACCGCGGGGAATGCCCATTGCCCTTCGGGGAGAAGAGAAGCAGGCGGAAAGAAGAGACAAACTGGCAGAATCAACAACCACAAGCCAAAAGCAACCAAAAGGCCAACCACGTTTCTATGGTGGCGCTGGTTCGGGGCCAAAACTCCGACCTCGTTCGGTCTTTCGATTCTCATCTTCCCCTCCCCGCATCCTCTTCGCGCGCAAGAGCTGGTAAGTCAGCCTCCTTCCCCCCGCTATCTCGCATAGCTGCAGGTTTTTCATTCGTTTATCTCTATTCTGACCTATGATAGTACTCTAGTATCTCCTCCATTCCGAACCACTGCGCCATTATGCGACCGTCCACCACTTATCTTCTAGGCCTCCTCGGAGCCGCAACGGTCGCATTTGCCAGAAACACCGAGCTCGTTGAGTCGAATACCGTATCTTTGACCAAGGACACATTTCATGATTTCATAGAAACGCATGACTTGGTTCTGGTCAATTTCTACAGCCCGTCGTGCGGGCACTGCCAAAAGTTGGCCCCAAAGTATGAAGAAGCGGCCAGGGAACTGAAAGAGAACAACGTTCCTCTTGTCAAGGTGAACTGCATGGAGGACCTAGAGTTTTGTCGAGATATGGATATTGGATGGTGGCCTAAAATGGAGGTGTTCCGTGGCCTCGAATCGCGTGAACCATACCTTGGTGATCGCACTACAGAGTCGTATGCAATCCACAACCCTGGCAGGCACAGCGGGGACATGCTAACACATTGGCTAGGATCGTCGCATTTATGATAGACGAGTTTATGACTGATGGATCTGGCGAAGGCCTTTACTATCAAGCCTCTGCTTAATTTGGTTTCACAGACCAGCTGGTTCGACCCGGTTTTCCTAGCGTTTCGTTCGTTTTTCGACTTTTTAATACCCGATATTCTATATTCCGCAATGAAAACACCGAATTCATTAAGATCCGGGTCTTCGAAAATAATTTAAGGGAGACATGAGAGACGTACCCATGCTTTAAAAGGGCGACCGGCCTACCGTAGTCACTCCCGGCCGTCACCACTCGACTTTCCTGGGGGTGGAAAACGAGCTCGAGCCTTGGAAGTTTCTGCCTTGTCCAAATATACATCAAAACCAGACTGCAACCACGTCTCCCTGGTCCGTTTCGATTTCACGGCTTTGGAATTGTACTAGTAGCTTACTCGATACTACTGTAATCTGATAATACATGATTGTTTATCCATGGTTCTTCGCCGAGAAGCCAGTTCATTGGCCTCTATCTGCAGTTGTACCGATATAAATTGACTACTAGTAGCCACCGGGTGCTAACTTGAATGTGCTTCAGGCTATGAATTAGACTATGCCATCGTAAATTGTAATCCAGCTAATATATACAAATCCCATGTATGAAAAAGGCCTTCGATCACCTCGATGGCCCAGCTTGCGACTGTCCCCCATTACCATCCACCTCCCGAATCACCAACCAAAGACATTTCCTGAATCGGTCCTGCTCGTCACCATTCTCCGACCTATAATTGGGATCCTGCCTTCTAGGATCATTATACTTCTTCAGCGCAGAGTTAAACCGAGTCAACCTTGACTTAGCCGTCGGCTTGATATCAAGTTGAAGATCCTGAATCCACGGCTGAAGCACATGAAGCCTTTGTTGCTGCAAGTCCAATTCATGCGCCTGTTTCTGATCCTGTTCCCTAGAGTCGCTACCATTCCTCCGCTCTCGATACGCGCGAGACATATCACCCAACTGCCGAACAAGAGTCGAGTTCTTGTTGATCTTGCCCTGCGAGTCAAGAATAGGGATTTTGGCAATGTAAGCGAGTGCGTCGAGGTTCGCGAGCTCGGCTTTTAGGCCGCGGGGCCCGAAGATTTCCTTGTTCGCTTGTTTGAGGGCTGAGTCCGATCGGCTCTTTGATTTGCTTTGCTCGCTTAGATTTGCAAGGCCGCTGAATGCAGATCCGATCCAGTGCAGAGGGAATAGGATTGGAACGGACCTGAGGATGCCACCGGTGACATCGAGGACTTGCATTGGTGGGTTGGTTGTGATCACCTCGTTGAGTGAGTCGAGGAATCTGAAGAAGGAATCCTGGGGGAGATTGTATTTGTTTAACATCGGCACGTAGGCTCGAAGTAGAGGGGACCCCGGTGAGGAGTCGATGGCTGGGATGGCGATCGTTCTGTCTTGGGGATTGGGCATTGGCGTTGGCGAATATCCTGGCGCGTTGGTTGGAGGGTATCCTTGTCCGAATGCAGGAGGATAGCCAGTTCCGCCTGCTTGAGGATATCCTTGCCCGTCTGCAGGAGGATATCCTTGCCCGTTTGCTGGGGGATATCCTGGCCCGCTCACTGGAGGATTGCCTTTCCCCTCTGATGGGGTGTATCCAGGCCCGTTGGCTGGGGAATATCCTTTCCCGTCTGCTGGAGGGTACCCTGGCCCATTCGCAGAAGGAGCGAATGCTTGGTTTTGGTTGTAATAGTATGAGTTTTCCGGGCTACGAACCTCGGGCAGGTTCTCTTCGACGGGTACGACTTCAGGTAGCGTTTCCCGATCGACCTGTGGGACTACTTCCGGGGCATCATAGATTTCTGGTTGATGCTTCTTAGAGTCTTTAGAGTCGTTCAAGTTGACTGCTGGATCTTCAGACGCAGAGCTGGGCCCAACTCGTGAGTAAGGCGGAAGACCGTCATTTTCCATCTCCTGCTCGGCGTGATGTCGATCCAGATCCTCAAAGGGATTGCTGTTTGGCTTTTTGTCTGACATGGCGTGGTTTCAGAATAAGATCACTGAAATTTGTAGTACCGGGGTCCTTGAAACTGCGTAATATTCCTCGCCGCTTGCCCCTCAGATGCTGACGGTGTGAATCGGAGGGGTATTTTGGGGTTTGCCGCCGGTTACAATTACCGGATACACACAACACCCAAGCAATTGTTAAATATGGAAGAGATGAATATGTTACTTGTGAAGAACCAAAAACCAAGATGGGCATTTGCGGAGGGAATACAGTTGAAGATTCAAGGCAAACGAGGGATTGAAGGCTTTTGGCCCCCACAAATGATGCGCACAGCCACAGAAGAAGCCCCAAGGCTTGACTGATAACAAATAAAACAAACACGAGCTAACTTAACGCTATTACAGATTCGGAAAGGAGTGCGAAATCGCCATTTTCCCTTTCCCAGACATGAAAAATCAATTACCCAAGGGCTATAAAATTATGTGGACGGAAAGATTATTAGCTGCGAGGCTTTTAGGATATATTTTTTAATCTGAGACGGTATTAAAGAAGACTCGATCTACTACTATGGACATTGTCAACAGTGAATGCAGATCACACCAGCCCTGGACGCTGGTTTCGATATTGATAAATTCAAGAAAGCAAATTAGCTAGTTGTATCATTGCTACTATATATACACGATTCGGAATGAAATATTAAATGGAAGGAATATGTTTGCCCTCGAAGATCGCTTAGACAAAAGCGATCGCACCAAGAGCAACACCAGCAACAGCGGCAAGCGACCCAGTCAACGCACCGGCAGCGTTGAAAGTCGTCGTTGTTTGAGCCGAAGCAGAGCCGCTGCTGCTAGCAGTGTCACTTCCACTTCCACTACCAGTGGCGCCTTGGCTGGAGGAAAGAGAAGCCGCCGGAGTAGTGGAGGGGCTAGTAGCAGCGTCGCTGATATGGCTTCCAGTCGCGGTGGAAGTGACGACGACCGTGGTGGGAGAAGTGGCGGTTACAACAGAAGTCGAGGTGGCAGTTACAGGTTCGTCAGAGGCGGAAGAGGTAGACTCAGCGGTGGTCTCAGCAATGCTCTCGGTCGTTTGGGTGGCACTGGCCGAGGGTGACCAGCAAGAAAGATATGACTTGCTGGTGGCTCGGGTCTCGGTGCCGGTGTACTGAGGACATCCGGGGACATCGGTCTTGGGGGGGAGCACGGCCACCGCCACAGTCCAGGGGATCGCAGATTTCGCCGGTGTCTGGGTCGAACCAGTGGACGATCTTGTCGGCGCAGGTGGTGAAGCTGTGGGTTGAACAGTCCACGGCTGCGACGCTGGACGCGAGCATCAGCAGGGGGAGGGCGGTTGCGACAGTTTGGACGCGCATAGTGGCGACTAAAAGGATGAGTGGATAGATCAATGAATGAGTATTGATCAGTGACGAATTCGAAATGGGATCGAGTCGTAGGGCTGAGCTGAAGTGTGGGTGTTGATTAAAGATCAGCGTGAGAGAAAGAACCCCGATAGAACCGGGGGAAGACAGCCTCAAGTTATAGGCGCTTCTCCTCCTTCCCAATTGAATTTTAGAGTCATCGATGGGGCACTGGTCCCTGAAAAATTGCACAGAGTACTACTGGGATTTTAAGCCTCCAGGCCTATAAAGGAAAAGCGCGGGGCCTCAGATCGGTTCCCTGACCAACTTTCTGAGACATGGCCTATCGCAGGAACGCTAAGCCTCCACCTCGCTTGAACGGTGGCATCCGTGGAGATTAGTGCATCGCACTCATCCCCTAAATAGGAGTGGGGAATAAACCGACTGTCTAGGATTCGCTGCAAAGAATCGGCCGTGGGTTGTGGGAGAAGGATAAAGGATAGGCTGCGGGGAGGCGCCCAGGTCTAGTTTCTTCAATAACGAGGGATTTCTTTCTCCACGTCAGGAGCCCACGAATCTGGAATTCTGTTATTTGAGAATTCTTTGGTCAGGTCATGGAATTGCCGTTTTGCCGTAGCGCCCTCCTTAGCTGGGTTCCTGAGATTGGGGGCCATCGAAATTTCCAACCAATAAAAACAACTGGTAGTAGCTGCATATAGACTCAATTCAAACCTGTGTCTGCTACTCCATACACTCAGATTCGAAATCGGCTTCCATATTTTTCACAGAGAAACTAATATAATCTGCTAGTTAGATTTAAGTCTAGTTCTCTCCCTTAATATAATGGTCCCTATTACATACCCCCGCATATCCCTATATTTACTAGCTGCCTATAGGTAATCAGATAGGAGAAGTAACCGCCAAGGCTTAGCGCCTAACAGTTACCAAATCGCAGGGCTAAATTTCCTTCTTTCGACTTTAGAGCCTGCTCTCTGTCTGTGACAGCTACATACGAGCTATTTAGTATAGCTTCCACATCGTTTGGTAACGAGAACCTAGGGACTCAGGTAGAGACCAACTATAGTTCGATATAGCAGATCCGCCTCACATTCCACCTTTCAGTGCCCCGAAATCAGTCTCTTGGCAATATTCGCTGAACGAAGTCATTTTCAGACCAAACTATAAAAGATGTCAATGATCACTCAGAGTGCCGACAAGATAACTAGCAGGATTTAAATACCTTCTCTGGTCGCACAACGGCAGGGTCACTACCTTCGTACCCAAATTCATGGGAAAATAGTACGTTGTGAGCGAATTCGTGACCAAGGCCTCCGGGGAGCAATTCGCAGAATTTGTCGTAGGAAAGCTCTTCATAGCCACCAGACTTGAAGCCTTGACTTTCGCAAAAGATTCGAAGATAATCGGACCACGACACATATTCCCCAACAGCAAACAAGTTGGTATTAGGCTCGGACTCGGCAACTGCCTTGACGCAAGGACCGAAATCTTTGCGAACATGTCCGAACGGGATGCCCTTGTTGCTGGGGCCAATTCCTGCCATTCTCCAGGTGCCATCGGCTGCCTATAAAACAAGTCAATACCCAGGGAATGCGATTCAGGAGAAGTACCGGTAGTAACGAGTCATTTCATCATACCTTTTGCGGTGTTGTAGGAAGTCCCCATGCCCAAGGGAGCTGGAAATAAATCGGCGCCTGAATCTGCGAGAATTTTCCAGCCAGGGCCGGGATGCTCTGTGCATAGATAGTAGCGTCTGCTTTGGAGTCCATGTGATAGATCTCAGCGAACTTGCCGTTGCTGGAAGTCTTAGCATGGGCCATTGAGCTGAAGATATATCGGGAGAGGTTAGGAATAGTGGCCGCCGCATCAGCAATATTCTTCCCCTGCTGGAGCTCAACATCGTAGCAATATTCCACGAGTGTTTGGCCGGGCTTCTTCTTTTTGAGGCTTTCTGGATCCTTGAAAATTGTCCAGAAGTCGGTAACGCCGAAGATGATGTCGGCCCCCACGAAGGCTTGCTTCAAGGACTCCACATCATCCAGATCACCCTTGACCATCTCAACCCTTTTCGTTTCCCATATCTTTGCACTATCGGAGGCAACGTTGCGAGTCACACCGCGGATCTTCCAAGCGGGACTCGAAAGGTACGCATCGGCAACAGAGCTTCCCTGCAACTTCGGTGTCAGTCAAGCTGGAAATTGAGCCTCGAATCAATGAGGCATATCCAAAGATCAACTTTCAAAACTCACTTGCACACCAGTAATGCCGAGAATAACGATAAGGCGCGACATCGTGGAGCAGATGTTTTTTTTCCCGAAGTACAAGAGCGATTATGAGCGAATCTGACGGGGATGATGAAGATGACGAAGTGAATTTAACACAAAGAAATGATCCAATTTTGTTTTGTTTGGTGCAGTGGTCTTGTGATCGGTGCGATGGTGGATTCTAAATGTTCGATGGAGATCCCAAGCTATCACCTAGGCCATTTTATATACTCTCGGCTCTCAGGTGCTTGAGGCTGAACAGTGCGTGATTCGACATTTCTACGCTGTAGCAATGCTATATTCTTGATTCATAATCAGTCTGTCCATACCCGGCCACTTGATAAGAGTGGAATGATCTAGATCAATTAGCCACGGAAAAACCTCGCGAATGTCGATACTGTATCACTTGACTCTTGATCAATCGGAGGCGCCTAGCCCCTTCCGGCATGTGGAGCCAGAGAAGAACACGCCCAATTTGGCAAGTCCGAACTTCAAAATGCGCTTCAAAATGCGCTAAGCTTTGAACCAAAGGGGACCGACATCCGAATACGGTTAGGCTGAACTACTCACTGGTTTCCTAGTCAGGAACATAGGCTCACATTGCTTGCATCCCCATCAACAACTACCTATTGTGAGCCAATTTACATCAGCCCTCTCTTTTCCTGGATTATCACAAGGGTATGGCTGAGTCTCTGAAATTGCGCCATTTCGGACTTCGGCTTTCAAATTAATCATACAGAATTTGGCTTACCAGATCCTGGGCATGGATGTGTAGCCAATCGACAGTATAAATTTGTGGATTTCCCTTCTGACAAAATCACTCACTACACTCATCACATCACCAAAAATCCACCAAGTCTTTATCCAACCATTCCTTCCGTTTTATCTCATATTTTACCTTGGCCGCCAAAGACCTGACTATCAAGATGTCCCTAAACAAAGAACTTTCGACTGTCTACGAGCAGTTTCTTGAAACCGCCCCGAAGGAAGTGTCCTCCGTCATCAACGACGCGGTTAACAACTTCAAAAGTGTCTACGACCCCGCTAGAGCAATCCAGCCGGGGAGCGCCTTTCCACAATTTCAGTTGACCGATGCAACCGGTAAGAAAGTGTCACTGAACGATCTCCTTGCCAAAGGCGCCATCCTGGTATCTTTCTACCGGGGTGAGTGGTGTCCGTTCTGCAACCTCGAACTGCGTGCGCTTCAAGCCCATTTGGACGATTTCCACCAGAAAGGCGTTACGTTGGTTGCTGTGTCTCCGGAGCTACCTGACCAATCTTTGTCCACGTCCGAGAAATTATCGCTGAAGTTCCCTGTGCTCTCTGACGTTGGAAATCAGCTGGCGAAGCAGCTCGGTCTGTTGTTCGCTCAGCCAGACTCTATGCGAACTGTTTTCGACAAGATTGGTGTGGATTGGAAGCAGCGTTACGGCAATGATGACCTGGAGGTTCCTGTACCTGCAACGTTCCTTGTCGATCAAAAGGGAATCGTTCGCAATACCTTTGTGAATCCTGAATACCGGTACCGTTTGGAACCTGAGACTGCTCTCCAGTGGATTGACCAGATTTAATGTTGGCATTTGATGCGAAGTATCTTCATACTCGGCTTGCGACATGTTTTGGCATGGAAATGTCTGCGGCGGAGTGATATATTAGGGTGGTTCTCGCTATCTGGAGGAGCGTCGAGCCATGGCGCTTTGTTAACCGCGAGAAGAAGAGCAAATGTCGTGCTTTGTATTCAATTTTTGTTAGCCTCATGTCGTCTAGAATAAACATATTCGTTGACTCTTCGTATATTGCTCTGTAGAGAAGTTGCTTGGTGGCTGACGCGAGCGTTGATTCTCGTGCCGTGACTAATCCTGGCGGATGTACAGTATCTCCTATCGCCGAGAATCCTCCGACAACATTGAATGTCAGTCAGCAAACGACGTTGACAGCTCATTCGGACCGGCCGCTTGATCTTGTCACTGCAGGTGCATACGGATAACTTAGAGTGGGACGCCGGTGTCGCCGAGCCACCCGTCCTTCGCAAGGACAACGAATGATGGCAAGAAAGCTGACAGGCGTCGAACTGTCGCCAGCTCAAGATCTCAAGTTTATAAATCTATCTCATCCAGATGACTTGAATCGACAGCATGACGTACGAACAGAGATTCGTCGTCACGTTATGAAGCAGATCGGCCAACGACGCAGGCGCCCACGACCCAAAGAAACCTCTTGGCGAGCCACTCGAACATCTTCAGAGTCAAGTGGCTTTGAAATTTCTCAACCCCACAGCGCAAATATAAGCAGCATTTCACCCAGCTACAACCTAACTATGGTTGCTCAGTTCCCTATTGAGGCTGATATACGCACCCTCGAACTTATGCACTTCCGTAAGCGTTCCTAGCTTTCGCAGTGGGTCTGGCTCACCAAATCCACCAATACTAACTCTGAGTTAGTCGTAACAGCTCCAGGCTATCAGCCACTCAAGACAATTTGGATTGAGATAGCACTATGCGACTCCGGGGCATTCCATGTGACTCTCGGCAACGCAGCTCATGCTTTAAATCAGATTAGTGGGAATGACAGTCTGAAATGTTCGGAGGCTTTGAGTCACTTTGGAATTTCAACAAGGAAATTAAGACACCGCCTTAATAACTCCACGGAGAGTACCAGCAAAGGGGTCATCGCCAACATATTGGCGCATAACTGTCTCGCTGTATGTGCTACTTTCTCGACGGTGAGCTCCTGACTGACTCATTTGATAGATAAGAAGCTATGATTGGGATAGTTGGAGTATTCACATGGATGGCTTGGGTCTCATAGCGAAAGCTCGTGGCGGATTCGCCGATCTCGGAGATCAGATGATCCTTTTAATACTGCTGTGAGTGCTCTGAAATTTGACATTCCTTGGGAACCACTTCTTATTAATCCTGATTAATCATCGCAAAGGTACGACTTAGCTGGCTCTATGTTCTTTGACTCGAATCCGCGATTCGATCTTCCTCCACAACTTGTTGGCATATCCCATAGATCTGCGAGACAACCCGCCCCCAGGTTAGAAGCTTTACTTGTCCAGCCCATGTCCGCTGCATTCCTTCCAGCTGGTCAAGTATTGATTATGGTTTCATCAATTGCGGATGTCATCAACATGAACAGCCGCTGTGCATCATTTTGGAAGAAAGATGTCGATGCAATCCGGTTGATCGGCCCCTGCATTCACTTTTTACTCTCAATGCCAAGACCCCCCCAGTGATTTCATGACCATGTCTGACTCAGAAGATCTTGTCGCGAGAGAAGTGGTTCGGCTTACCTGTCTTTTGCTCATGTCGAAACTAAAGGAATCATTTGCGTTTCCTCCAAGCGAGCAAGAATCACTACATGCTCGGCTTGCTGAGCTCTTCACTCAGCATGTCGAGATACTTGGGAAAAAATATATTGAGCTGAAAGTTTGGGCTCTTGTCACTCTTGCGTTACTGCGATACCATGACGGCAAAGATGTCTATGTCCAGGAGATGAAAAGGGAAATACTTGCAATGAACAAACTGACTCCACCTGAATTCATTGAGATTGCAAGAGAAATTATCTGGATTGATGTCTTGATGTCGCCATTTTCAGAAGATCTCGCGGCAGACATGAATCCCTTTGTTTCACCCGAAGGAGCCTACTGAGCAAATTTCGACATATCCATCAATCGTTGGCAGAAGAACCAGAAATGTAACGTTGTTTGCATGCTTCTATTTTCAAAATTATTCCTTTTCAATTATTGCGGACTGCAGTCCAAGAGCCAAGCAAACAGGAAACTCAAAAAAAAGGGTCGATAAAATTGGAGCAAAAACATTACACGAAAGTGAAAGATAGGCTTAGAAACAAGCATGAAATCACAGAAAATCCAAATACATACAACAGCAGAGATTCGCATGTGGTCACCTACTTGACATCCAGTTCATGGGTGATATTCATACACCTCAACCGCCTCATGCGAATGTAGATATCTCTGCTGAGCAGGATCAGTGGATAAAATTAAATGGCGAGAAGGTTCTCTTGCTTCCTGTTCAAGGTCAATGGTAACACACTTGCCATAGGACATGTATCGAGACGGATTCCCTTTATCGGTTTTGTATATAGATGCAATTCATTTCGATTCAGTCTTCTTCCTCTATTTTCTGATCTCTTCACAAAAGAAGTGCCTGGGAGAAGATGGGACTTTATACAGCTCTATACTATACAAGCAATATCATAAAGCTCTAGTCATCTGATAGATTGTCTAGGAACCCGGTGCGTGGCGCCCTCCACGCATGATTTGCAGACCCACTGCGGGGCTCTATGGAAGTTGACGGGATTCTCATGAGACAAGTGTATTATTACTTCGGTAGATACCGTATCAAACCAAATGCATTTTACAACGTCCCTCAACTAAGTGTGGCTAGGGCGATGACGGATCTACACTAAGGTCTTGGGGGTGGGGCTAGAAGAGACAGTGTGGGTGTGTACCGGTCAAGGCGATTTCGAGAACGACTGTAGGTGCCAGCGGTGTGGCAGTATAACTTTGCGGGTCACCTATCATTCAGTTGAATCTAACACTGTAAGCTTGGCGAACAAGCCCCTGCGTCTGCGCTTAACTGTATCTAACGTAGAGTGTTTCAATTTGGGGTTCCAGAAACAATTTCTCTGTATAAAACATGGAAGCCAATTTCGAATCTGAGTGTATCACTATTAGCTTTCAACAAAGCGACAAAAATAATGTGCTGGAAGTTGATATCATATTAGTCATTTAATAATCATATAGATAACGGGGAATCGATATATGGACAAAGAATATCAAAAGCAGAAACAATTGACCAAACCTGCGATATTTGCCCGGCCACTACGACCCCAGGCAGGGTTTACGTCGACGGTGTACACAACAAGACCTCAGGGTGACATCGGGCAAGTAGGTGATGGAATAGTGTCTACGATGAGGCTTCCATATTATCTTATTCCATGTCGTACAACTGCGAAGGAATGCCAAGGGTGGGACGCCTGATACACCTTGGGTGAACAAGGCAACTGCTCACATAGACTCAAATCCTTCTACACGCCATATAACACGCCACATCAGTGGCCCCATTACAAGAGAAATTCCAGGTAGCATCAAGCTCAGCCAGTCGGGAGCTTTGACGTGAAATGAAATATCGACACGCTAAAATGGGGCTACATTGTGGTGGGTGCGACCCACTATCAAAGAAGTCTCAGTGATGAACTCAGCTCATTGAACCGTGTGGCGTGCTGGAGATGGTCTGTTAGGTCTTTCAGCACGGTATCTCGAACCACGTTTAAATTAGATATGGCTGGGAGCAGGTTAGCGGGTTCACATCACCGGTTCACGCACGACACGCCACCAAGCGCGGACTAAGCCGGTACTGGATGGGTAGGCTTTTGCGAGAACTATTCACAAGGTCGTGCAAGGTTGCGATCAGGGAAACTCGTAAATGAACCACATATAACCAATCCCACCTACAGACCCAAAAGGAGAGATCGCAATGACGAAGTTCGCGATAGCCGACGTGTGGGGTTGGAACCATTGGAAAGCCGAACTCGAGCGAGAGTGAAAATCAAGTGTGGCTACATCATGAGGGAAGAGTCGATGATGAGCTGGCAATCAATCTTCTCCTTGGACCATGTGGATTCCTAAATTTTCAAATCTGGACAGCGCCACCTTTTTTCGCGATCTGATGTCGCGTGAGAATGGAAGACTTTGCAGGTGGATCTCCTGCAGTGGCAGTTAACCGGCGTCCCGATGTCTCGTGTCGGCCGGGATACCCGACTGGACAATCGATGCCAAGTTACCTACAACTGGAACATGAATCCACACCATCGTCGGTCGGCAATAGGCGGCTTGACAGATCAAGCAAACAAGAAATTGGCCAGACCAGCATGGATCCACAGTGTTGACCAAAAAGATCGCCTGAAGCATATTGTGGCGAGGATGGAAGAGTCACGGGAATTAAATCAGATTAGATGGGGATCATTGATTAACTTTCGACCCTTTTCGCCACGAGCTTGGCCGTGGGAAGGGGAAGAAAATTTCGCCCGAGTGATTCGCCAAGAACGCTAGGGAAGTGAGTTCGCGCAAGCCTAAAGCTTCCTTGCGGCGGGATATTGAGATCAACGATTGGGCGGCGGCCAAGGCTGGCAGGCCCGGAAGGCAACGGCCGTGGAAGGTGGAAATTCGAAATTGCATGTCAGGGCACCACCGAAGTGGAGATGGCAGGCTACACATACCGATACACAGCCTTGCGCATCTCGTGATGTACATACATACAGTGAGTAGTTAGTTATGTACCTCGTGTACTATGTTGCGTGGGCATGGACTGGAAACAACAGAAGTTGTTCGCATCGATACTCCCCGAGATGGCCATAGCTATCTCTCTGGCAGCCCGTGCATAGCCAATGGCAGCGGCGGAAAACGCGCGAATTGTCTCTGATGCTAGAAGGGGTGTAAGGGTCGAACATCCTTAGTTTTCCGGTGGTCGAGGCGCCCGCTAGTCGCTAAGTTTAGCCACGAACCCGGGAACGGGGATAGGTCAGGGAGGGGATGAAGGCATGGGATTCCACGTTTCAATTACCATCAGATAAGAAATAGTGGCGTCGGACCAGAGCATGTTTTGGTCAGGGACCCGACGAGAAGCAGGAATAGTTCACAGGACCATGGATTAAGGTGTATACTCGGACTCGGTAGTAGATTTCTTGGCCATGTTGCACGGGCTCCGCCGGCTGGGTGGTCGAATGGGCCATTCGATCGGCATTCCTTACTTAATTTGCGTTTAAGTTGGAAGAAAGAAACCAGAGCAACAATGAATAGCAGAGTGAGGATGGGATATCAAATCCAGCATATAGAGATGGTAGAGAAGAAGAGAAGAGAAGGGAAGAAGTGGAGAGGAGCATCATTGACTGCCGTTGGTGACTGCAAACAGGCAGGGTCGCACTTTCCTCAACGGCAAAATGCATATGCTAATTTAAGTGGGTGCGGTGGCACCCGAACTTGGAAGGCACGCTTAACCCAAACGGGAGTAGCGTGTACTGTAATCACCAATCAGATTAACCTCCCCCCAACGTGGTTGATCCTGTGATTGGCCAACCAGCGAGTGGAGTCAATCTGATTGCTGTGAATTCCCATTTTATCTGATGGGTGGATGTCCCATCTCATTTTATCCTGTCCTATCCCATCCCACCTCCCACTTTCTCCAGTCTCCAGGCCTTTTCTCATGGTCGGCTCCTCCGTTGCACCTGATCCCTGACCTGGCCCTGAAAAAAAGTAAAAAAAAAAATCGGATGGCGCGCGTTTGCCGGCCCTCGGATCCCTCTTCTCCTCTCTCAAATACTCCCACTCGTCCTCTCTTTTGCTTTACTTTCTCGTCCCATCCCTCTCCCCGCTGGTAACAGGGCTTCCTCTTCTGAAAGTCCCTTACCTTTCGTCTCTCGGTGTTCCACATCGTTCTGACATCCCATTCGTCACCATGGGTGTCTTTGATATGTTCCATGGCCGCAATGACAATGGCCGTGTCACTCACTCCATAGTCGATACGGACAACATCTACGACCCTTCGGAAAGCAAGCATCCCCACTCCGTTGAAGCAGGCGCAGAACCAGGTGAATCTGTCCCCCCGGCCTATGAGACCGGTTCCGAGGCCTCCTTCGGCGTGAATGGTGTCCTAGATGACGAGAAGGAGCGCGAGCACAACCCGGACCATGTCAATGCTAAAATTGGCCTCGGTCAGCAGAAGGCTGAGGCTGCTGCTCTCGTCTGGAGTCGCCCCGTGGTCATTGGTATCTACGCTTGGTGAGTACATCCGATCAATGAAATGCAATTCATTCTGCGTCATATGCTTCCTCGCTTGCTCGCATTCCATCCCGAATCAGCTGCTAACCAATATCTTCTCTTCTCTTCTCAGGATCTGGCTTTGCTTCTTTATGTTGGCCTTCCACTCGAGCATCAGCGGTAACTTGATCAACTTCGTCTTCGCCGACTTCGCCCTCGCCCCGCAGGTCTCCACCTCATACATTCTCTCCACTATCATCGGCGGTGTCCTTAAGCTGCCGCTGGCCAAAACCCTCCAACTTTGGGGACGTGCGGAAGCTCTGATCTTCTCTACCGTCGTCTATACCCTTGGTATGATCATCCTATCCGCCTGCAATAATGCCAACGCTTTCGCTGCCGGATACGTTATCTACTGGATCGGCTACTACTGTCTTTATCTGATCCTGGATATCTTCGTCGCTGATACCTCTGGCCTGCGTTCACGAGCTTTCGCCTTCGCCTTTGCGTCCACCCCGTTCATTTGCACCGCATTCACCGGCCCCCTCGCCGCCACCGCGATTCGCGAAAATTCTGGCTGGCGCTGGGGTTACGGTATCTTTTGCATTGTCCAGCCCGTTATCTTCCTACCACTGGCCCTGGTTTTCAAATCCTACGAGCGCAAGGCGATCAAAATGGGTGTCTGGGAGCGCCGCAACACCGGCCGTACAAAGATGCAGGCTATCGTCCACTACATCCACGAGTTTGATGTCATTGGTGCTCTCCTCCTCATGGCCGCTTTTGTCATCTTCCTCCTGCCTTTTAGCTTGGCCCAGTATGGCCGCTCGGAGTACAAGTCAGCCCAATTTATTGCGATGGTCATCGTCGGCTTCCTTACCCTGTTCATCTTCGCGGCCTGGGAGAAGTGGGTCGCTCGCACTCATTTCATCCGATACGAGCTTCTCAAGCGCCCAAGCATTCTCGGTGCTTGCATTTGCTCCGCCGTCTCCTTCTTCAGCTTCTACCTATGGGACCAGTATTTCTACAACTTCATCCTCCTCACTTACAATCTGGATTCGACGATGGCTGGATATATGCTGCAAATTTACAATGTCGGATCCTGCTTCTGGGCCCCCCATCCTAGGTGTCATTATCTGGTATACCAGACACTTCAAATACATCACCCTGTTTTTCGGCGTGCCTCTCATGATTCTGGGATCAGGATTGATGATATACTTCCGCGGAGAAGATCACGGTATCGGTTACATTGTGATGTGCCAGATCTTCATTGCGTTCGGCGGTGGTACTCTGGTGATCGGCGATGACATGGCCGTGATGGCTGGCGGTGGTCGCGAGGGCACGCCAATGATGCTCGCACTGATCGGTCTGTTCTCCAACATCGGTGGAGCTATCGGGTATGCCGTGTCTGCTGCCATCTACAACAACGTCTTCGTCGAAGCACTCGCCAGCAAGCTGCCTGAGAACCTGAAGGCCAATGCCACGGAGATCTACACTCTAGGCATCACCACACAGATGGCCTACCCCGTGGGCTCTGATCTTCGCAATGCCACCGTCTATGCCTGGGGGTATGCCCAGAGGATGAACTGCATTGCCTCGACCTGTATTCTGGTGCTGCTCATCCCCGGCGTCGCCATCTGGAAGAACTACGATGTTGGCAAGAAGCAGAACAAGGGTACCATGGCCTTTAATTAAGGGGTCTATGTTATTCATATTGTTCAAATTATCTTGAACAAAATCATGATACCATGTTTCGAAGATCGATTCTTCACTGAGCTGGGGAAAGCTCATCACACCAAAAAAAGAGAAAATCTCCATAACTATCGGATACCCCATACCATAACATACTCATACCATATGTATCATAGCCATTGCATGCACGCACTTAATGATTAACTCCTGCTAGAAGCAGAATCAAAATTTATTCTTACCATGAATCATCCACATCAACTATTTCTAACATTCAATACCTTGAATGTACAATGTACCCAGCTCCCTCCAACCCCGCATTGTTAAGTGGTCCCTGCATCCACACTAACGCTGCCCGGAGATCCGCCTGTCGATCTCAACAACAATACCACCCTACAATCACCAACAGCGTAACAATCCACGCGCAGGACCTCCTCGTCGGCAATTATCCCGAAGCGGCGCGGAGGAAAGAAAATAAATATCCTCCCCACCACACGTCTTCGTTTTTTCTCCTCCACCCTGATTCTCGGTGGTGAAAAGAATCCAAACCAAGGAAGGAAGGGGGTGACACAGAACGCGGAGACCAAAACAAACAACTTCCTATTTTCATTTCTAGAAAGAAAAAGTCAAGGCAAAGAAAAACAAAAACAAAAACACAAATCAAGAGCTTGACCAACAATGCCATCAACAAAAGCCCACCTCCTCAGCGGGCTATCCCTACTCCTTCTCCAAATCCCAACCACCCAAGCCACAGCAACAGACATCAACCACATAAACCCACTAATCGGCTCAACAGCCGGTGGAAACGTCTTCTCCGGCGCAAGTCTACCCTACGGCCTCGCCAAACCCGTCGCAGACGTCGACGGCCAGAATACAGGCGGTTTCTCCACGGACGGGAGTAACGTTACTGGATTTTCGTCGCTTCATGATTCTGGCACTGGGGGCAATCCTTCCCTTGGTGTTTTCCCTCTATTTCCGCATCTTTGCAGTAGTGAGGATGGGCGGATTGCTGAGTGTGGGTTTAGCAAAGAGCGCAGGAAAAGAGGGTATAAGCTTGATTCTGTGAAGGCTGAGGCTGGGTATTTTGGGATCGAGTTGGTTGATGGGTTTCAGGTTGATATGACGGCTGCTAGGAGGACGGCTGTTTATAAGTTTACCTTTCCTTCTTCCAGTGGGGATGGGGATGGGTCGGCTGATCCAGTTATCTCGATTGATCTGACTGATCTCTGGGAGTCGAGGCAAAATGCCAGTATCTCCGTTGATGTGGAGAATGGTCGTGTCAAGGGGAATGGGACATTTCTGCCTAGTTTTGGCGCTGGGTCATATCAGACGTATTTCTGCGCTGATTTTGCGGGGGCCAAGGTTAAGAATGGTGGTGTTTGGGTGAATGATCGTGCGGGTAGTGAACCGAAGGAGTTATTCGTTACGAGGGGGGTTCAATAACTTCTACATTCAGGCTGGTGGGTGGATGAGTTTTGAGCCACCCGATGAGGGGGACACGATTACTGCTCGAGTTGGCGTGAGTTTCATCAGCACCGAGCAAGCCTGTTCAAACGGCGAGTCGGAAGTTCCCAATATCGAGAGCGATTTTGACAAATTGCGCGACGAGGCGAAGGAAGCCTGGGGCGAGAAATTAAGTCCTATCAAAGTGATACCCGGCAATGGTGTCAGCGACGATATGCTGAGTGCGTTCTGGAGCGGAATTTATCGAACCATGCTCTCGCCGCAGGATATGACTGGGGAAAATCCGCTATGGGAGAGCGATGAGCCTTATTTCGACTCGTTTTATTGTCTTTGGGACGCGTTTCGCGCTCAGCACCCTTTTCTCACGATCGTTGATCCGCAGGCTCAGTCGCGGATGGTTCGCAGTTTGCTCGACACTTACAAACATGAGGGCTGGCTGCCGGATTGCCGGATGTCGTTGTGTAAGGGCTGGACGCAGGGTGGTTCTAATGCTGATGTCGTTCTTGCGGATGCGTATGTGAAGAACATCACTGGGATTGATTGGGAGCTTGCGTATAAGGCTATGGTCAATGATGCGGAGAATGAACCTCTTGAGTGGTCTTATGAAGGACGGGGTGGTCTTCAGAGCTGGAAGAGCTTGAATTATATCCCGTTTCTGGATTTCGATTACCTCGGTTTCGGGACTAACTCGCGGAGTATTTCGCGGACGGTCGAGTATGCTTACAATGACTATTGCTTGTCGGTTGTGGGCCAGGCTATCGGGAAAGATGATCATACGAAATATCTCTCCCGCGCTGGGAATTGGAGAAATATTTACAAGGAGGATCAGACTTCTTTCCTTGAAAATGGGACGGATACAGGATTCACGGGATTCTTTCAACCGAAGTATATGAACGGTAGTTGGGGATTTCAGGACCCTATTGCCTGCAGTGCCTTGGCATCGTGGTGCTCATTGACATCGAATCCGTCGGAAACCTTTGAATCCAGTATTTGGGAGTATCTTTTGTAAGTTTCCTTCTTCATTTCAATATTGCTGGTTGGGATTCACTAACATTGTCCAGCTATGTACCACACGACATGGCAAACCTGATCGAACTCGTCGGCGGCCCAGACACCTTTGTCAAACGCCTGGACTATTTCCACGATTCCGGGCTCGCGGATATTGGAAACGAGCCCGTCTTCCTAACCGTCTACGAATACCACTACGCCGGCCGCCCAGCCCTCTCCACCAAGCGGGCACACAACTATATCCCACGCACATTTAACGCGACCAACAACGGACTCCCCGGCAACGACGACTCTGGAGCAATGGGCTCGTTTCTGGCATGGAGTCTGATGGGCTTATTCCCTAATCCAGGACAAAGCGTCTACCTCATCAGTCCGCCATTCTTCGAGGCTGTTGAGATCACACACCCAGAAACGAACAAGACAGCTACCATCCGCAATATCAATTTCGATTCGAGCTATGAGAAGATCTTTGTTCAAAGTGCGACACTTAATGGGAAGCCCTATACTAAGAACTGGATTGATCATGCTTTTTTCACAGAGGGTATGACGCTTGAGTTGACTCTTGGCGAGGCGGAGAGTGATTGGGGGACGCGGAAGGAGGATTTGCCTCCCAGCTTGAGTGATACTGTTGTTCAGGATGAGATGCGGCATGCATGAGTGTGGGCTACTTCTAAGTTATCAATGGAATGTTTTCGGTATTCCATTTAAGCAACAGGCTATAAGTTGTAGCTTATAATTATAGTTTGTAGTAAAATCAGTGCCTCAGGCAGGAATATAGACTCATCAACCCACGTGACCGCCCCCGTTACTGCATCGATTGGGTGACGTTGCCTTCATTGAACTTGAACTTGAACTTGAAGGCAACCAACCCATTCAGCCCCCTGTTTTCAGGGCTGCTCAGCACTTGATCCTGTTCTCAACCCCTGACCATATCTGTCCGATCCCCTGGCACCGCTCTCTGCCTCAAAACATCCACAACTCCACGCCACGCCGACGCCGCGCCCCGTCGCGCACTTCGTCATGGCTAATCGACAAATCACACGGCGCATCGTCATCAGCGCAGCGATCTCCATACTGATCGTATTTTTCCTTTTCATCCGACCTCAGGGACCACCGAGCCCTGCCATCCGAGCACCCGGTCACATCACGCATAATGCGCCATCTACGGGAATCACAATCCAGGAAGAGACATTGAAGGGGGATGTCGTGATGCCAAAACTAGGCAATGCAACGGCAAAGTATGTACCAACCATGATTTCTAGACGGAGCTTTGTATATTTCCAGCCCCCTTTCATACACAGCTAGCTAATCGTCATAATGTGACTATAGGGCTGAACTCGGACGCGCGACATGGAAATATTTCCACACGGTCATGGCTCGATTCCCCGAAAAGCCAACGGAGGATCAACAAGAAGCTCTGCGGTCGTATATCCTCCTCTTCGCTCGACTATACCCTTGGTACGACTTTCCCCTGCCATATTTTCACCACTCCCCCGATCCCCATACCATGCCTGTTTCACACGGGCATGCTGTTGCCTATGGCCTGCGCAATATTGAGGTAGCGTGACTGAGCTAACCGTGAAACAGTGGTGAATGCGCTGAACACTTCCAGCAACACCTGACCAAGTACCCACCGCAAGTGTCCTCGCGCAAAGTCGCAGCAGGGTGGGGCTGCTTTATTCATAATGAGGTTAACGCTATGCTGGAGAAGCCGGAATTCGACTGTAGCAACCTGGGCGCTTTCTATGATTGCGGATGTGCCGAAGATGAGGAGGGTGAGGGTGAGGGCAAGGGAAAGGGCGGGGGTAATGCTGGTCACGCTGCCACGAGCACGGACGCAAAACACGATCCCGCCCATGATCACTTGGCTGTGGAGATCTCAAAAGAACCGTAAGCCGCTCTTGCTATTCATTTGTGATAATGCCTCGTGCTGATACATTTCCTTTAGCACCACTCGTGGTTAAATTGAGCTACGATCATCGTTTGGCGTTTTTTGTTTCCGGGCTCGACTAGACATACGCAGAGCTGGTCTCTTGTACATTATTCTTCTTGTCTCATAATATCTATATACCCATTGCATCGGGACATTACAGAAATTTGAAAAAAAAAAAAAAAAAAAACTGTTGTTTTCAAAACCCCGAACTTGAACATGTCAGATACGCTGCTTATACTTCGGGGAATTCACCGGGGCGGGACGTAAAAATGGGTATAAATGAGTGTATTAATTTTGAATAAAAGGGCGTTGTGCCTAGTAGGGTGAAGATACATCTTCCAAATTTGAATCAGACATGAACGAACAACCTCTGTAGAAAGCCAGCTTAAATATTCAACGGGCTTGACATGTTCCTTGCCTTGCAATCCCAGCCACCCAGTATACGCACAAAAAATCCCAACATATACTACCCTTCAGACCTTACTATCAAATCTCTCGTAGCTAACGGAAATCTCATCCGTCCTCTCAATACCCGCCGCTCCCTGAAGAATGTTCTCGTCGCTGGTATCACGCGAGTGGTATTTAACAATCGTCGAATTCTTCGGCTCAAGAACTGAGTCATTCGGATTCGAAATTGAGAATTTACCGTACTTGCGAGCACCGCTGCCATACATGGGCAATTTGTAGGAAGTTTTGTCGCCGCTGTTTCCGATGGAGCTGTCTTTGCCATCTTTGCCGTAGCGGACACGGATATAAAGAGGTCGAAGGACGGGAATGGAGGAACACATTATGGTGAAGAGACTTTCTGTAGCGGACCAAATGAGCATTGGGACAGTGTCGTCTATTTCGAAATATCGTCAGCGGGCTTTCTTTCTTCGAACTAGGCGTAGATAACTTACAGATGTACTCAGAGGCGTCGAGGCCATTTAGGGCAACTGTACGAACAATACCACAAACGCCGGCGCTAATGTTGTGCTGTCAGTGGTATTTTTTTTTACCGATGTTTGATAGTTCAACTCACAAGATCCCAAGACTCAGACCACAAGCAACAGTGATCTTCTCCTTTCGCTTCATGTTGAGATCCCAGACAACGAACCATGGGAGGATTGCAAAGGCGAGATCGGCAGCTACAAACCAGGCTGTGAAAATGCAAATCAGTATGCTGAATGGAAGATTTATACTGGGGTACTCGCCGCGGAATACGTACAACCAACCGTATAACCGACATTTGAAAAATTGATCCAGCAATGCCCAGGTGTCATAGGATTCCAGCTCTTCTCGACCGGCGAGCACTGGACAATGACGACGATGCTGGCAAAGGATGTTATGATGGCGGTAATCCCGAGACAGCCATAGATGAACCAGATCTGGATTTTGTTTCGCACGATTCGGAGTAAGAAAACGCCAACGGCCGCCTTTCCGATGCCAATGACCATTATACCAGCTACTTGGCTGAACAATTCATATTTGACAGCAGTAAAGTAGATCGTTGGATCACCAATATCAACAAATAACCTGCCCAGGCCGTAATGTGTGGCCATAGTGACGAAAATTGTGTAAAGAAGGTGGACGACCTAGGGATGTCAGTCTGTGGTGACCATATAGGAAGTTGTGATTCCATTCTCACCAGCGCCAGAATGCATATATAGTCATCAGCACCGACTGCATTGAGGATCTGCTTTCGGGTATAGAGTCTGAGTGTTACGAAAAGAGCAAATAGAAGGGCCTCAGTCCAGAGGACGCCATTCACCATGGGACCTAGCCCGCCGTAGTAACTCATTTTGGTGATGGATGTAGTGAATTCAGATATGAAGAAGAATCACCATTGGAAGTATGGTGATGAAAATGAAAGAATGAAATACCGTCAAAATCAAAAGAAGAGAATTCTTCTGCTGTTTTAGTATGAAGATGTTTATGACCTGTAAGTTGAGCGACAAGAATCCTTCCAGTGCTCGACACGACTCAGACACACTACAATGAGCTTCTGCATTAGTGAAGAACACCGTATCCTACCTGCCTTACCCATGTCGATCTCAGGCACAGTACACACGTCCTTGGCGGATTTCATAGTTGTGACCCGAGCGGACGTTAACTGGCACCCGCAACGCCGGAAGCAAAAGTACGTCGGAATATTTTGGCAAATGTGACCTGTACAATCCACTCTCTAATTAAGGACCCATCAGCTCGTGTCAGTATGGGCATTTTAGCGTCTTCCACGAGCGTGGAAATGGTGTCGCTCAAGCCACCGACCCACATGGGCTATCATACAAGACCCTCATAGGTCGTTCTAATGGCGATTTTCCTGTCTGAGGTACGTCTGTGGAGCTGTCAAAAAACGGCCGCAGAGTTAATTCTGCACGGTCACCCGGTCCAGGCCCACAACAAGTTCGAGGGGTCTTGTTCACCAGCGGGTCTTCTCTTTAGCTACAATTCAGGTGGCAAGACTGAAACAACTGGGAGGTTATGGTGACAGAATCATTCGCTCCCTTTCTGGCAATGAAAGACAAATATAAAACTGTAGCAAAAGTTTATATAGAAGTGGCTCCTTCTTTGACAGCTCCTGACAGCTCCTCGACAGGGATCGATAACCCAATTTTCCATGATCCCCTCCAGAACCCATTTTCTCTGCCGGTACTCTGTAGTACTCTGTAGTTACGGTTTATTCCAAGCATCGCGGCGAAATCCAGGAAGTATTAGTCAGTCATTCGCAAGCTTCAAAATTAGATCCAGTCTTGGCTCCTTCTCGGCCGGAGCCTTACTCTTGAATGGCATGGGTTATTTTGGTAGTACGGAGTACAAGGCTTGATGGATCGCAATGACCGATTTGGTGTATTCTCCGCTGTGATAGATCGGAAGGGAATTGATTGATCCCTGGCGAAGAGGCAAGGCCCCACGTCTATGCACCATAATCGCGATGTTCACAGCATGTAGCCACTGAGAAACGTGCGATCCCATTGTACCAACCTCCTGGTGTCTAGACTCGGGGTGGCGGGTCGGAAGAGAGCGATCATACCTAACTTGGACTAACTTTAGCCCAAATGCCTTCGCTTGGCTGCGGGTTCTTCTCCCCGGAAGCCCGGGCCGCTATCATGAGGTTAGCCAAGCCTTGAGCAAGAATAATAGTGGATTTTCACTCGGGCCAACGTTCGCACGTACTTGGTTGACCTGGTGGTCTGTGTCAACGGCATTGGTTGCCCTCTTTGGCGCGATGTATAAGTTCAGGGGTGGCGGGATTTGAGGTATGTAAGCTTATAATTGAGTTGATGCATCATATTATCTATAGCTGCCAGTGATGCAATACGCCTAATTTAGTAATGAACCGCGGACACGGGCCTCGGGATAGGGTCATGTCCAACGTTTCAACTAGGAGAGCAGTGGGTAACTTCTAGCGCGGAGACGAATCAATCCAGCAGACTTTGCGTTTCATTGGCTCGAGATTGACATTCCGGGTAAGCGGTTGGTCTTGGTTCCTTTCACTTACTAGTACTAGTTGACAAAATGTATGTGTTGTTGCTTAAGAGGGAGCCCCCTGGATTTTTGCAGGCTGTGTGACGATCTTTTATGTAACGAGCTGTGGAATGATATATTAGGAAAGCTTTCACCAGACTGGATTAGTACAGTACTTTCTCATTTTTAATTGACACGTACATCATTCACTGGAAAGCAGAGTCTTTATTCGGCGATTCGAATATGATCTCTCAATCTCAAGAAATCATTGCTGTCCTCGATGGGGTTCACCCTGAGGCATTTGGGGGAAATGAGGTGGAACGTCTCCAAGTTCGCGCGGCTGCACGTCGACTTCTCGCAAGGGTGGAGTCACCGTACGAGCGTGCTTGGGGCTTTTGCTTCGAACACCCTGTTGTATTTGCCGCTCTTCAGACATGCATTGATGTGGGACTGTGGAAAGCCTGGACTATCTCGGGAGGTGGTGAGAAATCGATTCTTGATCTGGTCAAATTGACCAATCCTGTTGTGGAGACAAATTTGCTACGTATGTTTATCCCAGTCGGACTCTGAGATTGAAGCTAAAGCGTTACAAAAGGTCGACTATTTCGCTTGCTCGCAGCTTTCAACGTAGTCGAAGAGACCGGCGAGGACACATTCAAGCCAACTCCATTTTCACTCGCCATTGGAGATGAGACCACCAAGGTCCGTCCTTCGCTCCAAGCAGCGTGAGTAGCCTGTCCCATGGTTCTAATATATCCCGCTAATCGCCGCTGGCGTTAGAACGAACCAATACATACTGTCTGGTCACAACCTACCGAAATACATCGCGAAGATCGGTTATACAGAGCCTACAGATATCATGGTGAACAACCACTCCGACTCCGATCCAGATGGTCTCAACTTTTTCGGTCGACTGCAAGAAAGTCCTTCTTACTTCAAAGCCTTTACTGGACATATGGAGGCGTGGACAGCATGGAAGACTCCATGGACCAAGGTATACGATACGGACAAACTTCTTGAGGGTGCGAAGCTAGAAGATGGTTCTGCATTCGTCGTTGATGTTGGTGGAAACACCGGCATTGACATCTCTCATGTTTATGCCAAGCACCCTGACCTCCCTGTCGGTTCTCTTGTTCTCCAAGATCTTCCTGAAATTATTGTCAACGCTCAAGTTGACAAGAAGATCAAGACCATGTCTCATGACTTCTTCCTTCCTCAACCTGTGAAAGGCGAGTCTCATAGTCTTCTTGTCTAAATCGTACACTAATATTCAATAGGGAGCCGCGCTTACTTCATGCACGCTGTTCTGCATGACTGGCCCGACGAGAAGGCTAAGCACCTGTTGGAAAATACTAAAGATGCAATGACCAAGGGGTACTCAAAATTGTTCGTTTACGATATTGTTCTCCCACCTACGGGAGCGAGTATCAGTCAGACTACCATGGATGTGAACATGATGTCTCTCCTTTCTGCTTCGGAGAGAACCCAGAGTGCATGGGAAAGCCTCTTGACTGATTCTGGCTTTAAGATCATCAAATTTTGGCCGGATCCTCAACAATATGAGATGGTCATTGAGGCCGAGGTGGCGTAAAATTGGGACTTTGTGAATATGATGTTTGGACAAGAAATGCCATGGGTTTGAGATTTAGCTTCGTAAAAAAGTTCGACGGTCATAACTTCAGAGGCCGGAACTAGGCAATCTTCTCTCCCTTCCTTATCCTTCATTAATTGAATGCCTGTAGAAAGAAATTAGACGTGGAGAAACATCTTTCCATGTGAGCTGAGGATGATGAATCAAGGAAAAATGACACTATTGGGAACAGTCTGTTTGAAATGTAAACACGTCCTTAAACGAGGCACCCGTAGCTCAAGATGATGTCGGTGGTAGATAGCCCACCACTTCGATTCTCCAGTCTCCCGCCATACGTTGCTTTTGTCATTCTTATTTCCCTGGTAAGGTTGAAGTTTATCTACATTATTTTTGCAATGTTGTTGTTTGTGAGCACGAATCCTCCATCCCGTTCTAGAATGAAAATCCATTATTCAGTTCATTTACCAAGACTCCAAGAGCTAGGGCATAGACTCGTACTCACCCACCGCCGACACAATCTGTTATGTGTCCTGGGTCGATCTTGTATTGCAATGAGTCTCTTCGTATATTTGCCTGTATAAGTGCGCATCGAGGTAGGTTATAAGCATTAATAGTGTTGTTTGGTCACATAGAGATGTATAATATCCGAGCCAACGTCCTGGGATGATCTTTGGCGAGTCAGTGGTTAGATGTTGTTCAAAAGAAAGGAGGCGATAGTAACGATAGCCACTATCCAACCGCAGCGGTAAGTCTGCACTGGAAGGTTCAACAAATTTAATAGCCGCAACAGATGCCGCATATGCAGCAATTAATGCCAGAAACTGCTTCATACCGAGGCTATGCTATAGTGGATCTAAGATAGTAACAGATATAGAACGTGATGTTTACTTCAAATCTTTGGTAAGATATTTCTTATATTCATAATAGTCTAACAAGAATCTTGGAAGTGGGGCAGTTCCATACAAGCAAGCATAGACATGATTTTGGCCAGTCAGAGATGTACCTCTCTATGCTCCGGAAATTTCGGACTGGATAGCATATTGAACAATGATTGACACCGCTCATGTACCAAGTTCCACCTACCAATGAATCCCCTGTGAGTTCTCATGGTTCTCTGACCCTTGACAATAATCGATATTTCCAGCATATATTACCTTGGAAGAATAGTATGAGATTTCTGGGACGCAAACGACGATAGATGACATCGAAGTTGACAGAGTTGATCGCTGCTCTGGAAGTGGTTCCTCGGCACCAAAGGATCTTTACATGATTCGAGCTTCTCGATATATCCCATCATTATGAGAGGATATCAGTATAACTCCGTCTGTTAAGTAGTGGGGATTCTTAATATTAAAACAATTGATTCTGCTTGAAGAATCGATCGGAGTCAATATGGGAATCGATGTAGCGAAAGCGATCGTGGGTGGTGAGGGGCCACCCCGCCGGGATTTCTCTAGATTGGGATCAGGCGTGTCGGTGTTACTGAGTCCAGCTATTTTTTTTTAAAAGTCTTCTTTGGAGTCATTAAAGCCCGAGGAAATTCTGTACCCATTGGAAGATTTATTGGCTACTCGGGTAGGTATTTGTGTAAATAGTACCTAGTAATACTGAACATCTTCACAATCTCAATTCAATATTTGGAAATTAGTTTGAAACTTGGAAGTTACTAATAGATACTAGTACGAAGATTCTCTTTCCAGCGGGCCAGATTCTGTATCAAGGCCGAGAAAGAGGTTCTACGAGGTAGATTCAATATCACTATAATTATTCCGCTTCTTAAACTCCCAGGTTAAATACTACTTTATTATAACCTTGGAAGCAAACCTAGGCATTAAATACGGCTGCCATATTCCGACTTGAAGCCTCAGAAATAGCCCGAGCCGAGTTAGAAAATTGTAAAACAGGTTAAAGAACAGAAAGGAGTTGCACCTAGGGCCAATCTCAAGACCCGAAATTCAAGTCGGTGATCAAAAAGTAAAGCTTGAAGCTTTCCAAGAGTTCCAAAACTGGACGCCACTTGATGTTAGCTCGGTATAATTCAAAGCGAGGCAATTGCCGTTCTTTAGGGCACTCACTACTATTTATATTTCTAAGCCCTACCGGCTACTCAAACACAAATTAACCTATTAGAAATCGTTCATAAGAGCTTCGGCAACTGAACCGTCATTCCGGGTCAGCCTCGAAGAAAAATGGGTTGTGAGTTGAGATCGTACTCTGTGTCGGGCGAAGTAAGCTCCACCAGTTACCCCGGATCCCCGCATCCCCCCTTCATATTTGTTGAACTCGGGCCCAGTAAAGCCGACAAGACGGCGTCCGTTTCCTTTTGAGGCTAGTCCAAAGAGGTCGGATATAATATCTGACAATTTCGCATCTGAATCTCGTTTGATAAAAATCCAGGGTTCCTTGTTCTTTGCTCACATACCGTGCTCGGCCGTATTCACTATGGACATTTCCAAGGCCAACTCTGAGAATATTGAGCACTCATCCCCTGATCGAGGGGATGATATGCCTAAAAAGAGTATGGGACCAATCATGCGATCTCGTGAAGACGACCTTGGTGTCTGGCAATGTGTGAGACGATTCAAACATGTATCGCTCATTGCCATGACCGCGGCGTTTAGCGCATCGCTGGACGGCTACCGTAAGAGAATCCCCGATGATTTTCTGGCATGAATAATATGATCTAATGGTACACAGAAATCAATCTTAATGGCGGTATTGTCTCCAACAAAGGTTTCATTCAACAAATGGCCTCTCCCGGGACTTCAATCATTCAAGGCAAATACATCTCCGCATGGGGAGGCATTCAATCCGCCGGTCAAACAATCGGCCAAATTGTATGTATTTCTCAAGCATGCCATCTCGCGACAGACGAGTTAACATGCATAGATGCTCCAATACGCGACGGAAAGATTTGGCCGTAAGGTCGCGCTCTATATTATTTGGATTGATCTTGTGATTAGCGTATTTATAGAAACCTTCGCAACAAGATGGGATCACTGGCTTGCAGCAAAACTTTTCTCTGGGATGGGCGTTGGTATGCTGCAGTCCACAATGCCTCTCTACCTGTCCGAAATTGCCCCGACGCAGCTGCGAGGTTTCTACATCAACGCGTACAGTTTGTAAGTTGAGAGTGGCTCTCACCGGACTTCATTGTCTAACTATTTCTAGCTGGTTTGTGGTCGGTCAGATCTTTGCTTCAGTAGCACTGCAGGAACTCAGCGCGAACGACCCTTTCGATTTTCGTCTTCCGATCTATACTCAGGTTGGTCGTATCCTCATCTCTTGTGCGTTACTTTCCGATGGATTTACTAAAAGTGCAGAGTATAACTAGTGGGCTATGGTGGGTGTAATTGCAATCATCTTTGTCTTCATTCCGGAATCACCTTGGTGGCTGGTGAGCAAAGGGAAAATCGACAAGGCAGCCCAGATTCTCACTAGGTTCAATGGTAATGTTGAGGGATACAGTGTTGATGAGCAGATTGTGCGTCATATTCTGTCCCCCCTCAGTCATATTGGAACAATTATCTAATACCATGCTTAGGAAGTCATGACTGCCACAGTCACAGAGGAGCGTATACTCGCAGAAAGAAATTCCGAAGAAGGAACATGGGCTGTCTTTCAAGGTCGCAACCGCCTTCGTTTCTTGATTGCTGCTTGGCCTAAGATTGCCCAGCAGCTTGTCGGCTTGTCCGTCTTTAACACCTACGCGACTTACTTCTGTGAGTACTAAGTACCCCCCCCCCTCCCCCCTTTTTCCTTTTTGATAATACTAATACTATGAAAGTCCAATATGCCGGAAGTAAGGATCCATTCATGGTCACAGTCATTCTATCCTGTGTCCAGTTGATATCTATGATGGCAACCGCCCTCACCACTGATAAATTCGGACGTCGTCCCCTCACAGTCTACCCCTATGCAGTGACATCGATCTCGGTATTGTGTCTTGGAATTGTCGGCTGCTTCGATTATACCAAGGTATCCTTGAGTTCACTTTTGGTAGGTTTATTCTTAGTATCGAGTTCACTTCGGCAACCTAATTGAGCAACACAGATCTTCTTCGCCTGTTTGGCAACTTTGTCGACTACCGGTGCATCCGCTATTGGCTACGCCTATGCAGCCGAGATCCCCCAGCAACGTTTGCGTGCGAAGACAGCCGGATGGGCCCTTGCATCTTCGAACATGGTCGCTATCATGTTTAGCTTTTGTACACCTTTGATGATCAACAATGCACCGACCTCCGCGTGGGGTGTCAAAACGGGATTCTTGTGAGTTCGGAATGACACTATTATGGTGAAACATAAAATGTCTCTCAAAGTACTTACTTATCATTCTCCTAGCTTTGCCGGAACTGGCATGGTTGCAGTGGTTATCGCGTGGTTTATTCTTCCAGAGGTGACATGCCGAACCCCAGCTGAGATTGACGAGATGTATGTCAGCCCTTTGTCCGACAGTTTACCCTTGCTCTTTTTCATGGACGTAATACTAACCCACTTGACTGCGATAAGGTTCGAAAAGAGAGTTAATCTTCGGAAATTCAAGGGGTACGTCACAGAGGTACAAATGCGCTCGAGTGAACAACGCGAGGATCATGAGATGGTCACCACAGCTTAGGGTTAATCGGGATCCCGAAGAGCGAAGGCATGAAATCGTGCATATTCAGATACTAGTTTTCCATTACGATTGACCCTCCTAGTTCCGAGTCTGAGTTTGGTATGTTAGCGCAGGAAATATAACGAACAGAATAATACTTCAAAGAATTCGTATGAGGAATGCAGCAGGGCATATTCATCAAAATACAGCTTTTTTTATTATTTCTTTTTGTTTTTTTTGCCTCTCTTCTAGCCAGAGTCCCACCGATGTTAAAAGCATAGCGCTCCAAAAATGTTGGTGGATACCACGTAGTCCCCCGAGGTCCTCAGATTGCTACCAGGGTATTATATGCACGCAGTTTCAAACAAAAAAGAACACACTTTTCCTTCCAGTCATGAGTCATAATAACATGAAATAAGACTCTACTCTTTCGCCTCGACTTCCGACGTGATGATTTCCTGAGACTCCGCATCGTTCACCAGATCTTCCTGCCTTCCTTCTTTCTGTTCCTGCGGCTGTTCCTGTGGCTGTTCCTGTGACTGTTCCTCCCCCTGTTGTCCCTGCGCCTCTAGAGGAGCTTCAGCTTGCTCCTGCTTCCGTTCAACCTCTTCTTCCTTCTCTTCGGCCTCTTCCCAACTATCAACCACCTCAGCAGGAGGCTGTGTACGCAATGACTTGCCAACGCCAACACCAGACCGAAGAACAAGCTTCTCCTTCTTAGACCCGGAACCGGCTGTATCGACGTGACCAGCAAGCGCAGCAAACATAGAACGGTTCCTGAACGAATTTGCATAAGAGCTCTGAAGAGGCGTGGTACTCCTAGTACTAGTGTTGCTACCCTCTCCCGGTCTCTTAACCCGAGAGGCAACCTGTGCCCATCCGTCCGAGCTGCTACCGCCGGCCTGTGCTTTGGCGGCGTCACGGGCGGCCTTGGACTCTAGAGCGGCAACACGTTGTGCTTCGCGCTCCTTGTTCCGTTCTCGTTCGCGGAGTTTAACGCACTCGCGTACGCTCATGCCGCCAATTCCAATGGTGGTCTCGGTGCCTAGTCCGAAGACAGGTGGTGTCCATGTCAAAGGTTTCAAAACGAAGACGTGGCGGTGCGGCTCCGGATCATGACTTTCTGTTACAAATCCCCAGTCTGTGGCGAGGAGTGCGCGAATGCTCGGAGAGTGGACTTTGCAGGCTGGAAGCGGATAGATCGATTCGATGTATCTGTTGCCAGGGAGTGCAAGGCTGACTCGAATGTCTGAAGGGTAGACAGTGAGACTGTCGAGGCCAATTTGATGTATTGGTCTAATGTTTCAGTCGAATAGGGGAGATTGTTGGATGTGAATGCCTGCACAGTGGTCTGTTGGTTAATGTCGACGCCAAGTGCAGAAGCCAGAGATCGATTGCGCTCTAAACGCGAACATTCCTCATCGCAAGTCAATGGCGTGAGTACTGGTAATCGTTCCGGCTGTTGGACCTGTCCTTTGGAGATGACTGCCTTTGCTGCATTGCAGCGGCGTTCCTGGCGCATCCGTCCACACCCACATGTTACTGTGTGCATGGTCGGGCAAGGCGTCTTCTCTGGACAGGGGTAAGGGGCATGGCATTGGTCAGAACAAGGATGGTGGCAGAGAGACTTGCTCTTTCCGCATGGCTGCGAGCAAGGCTTGTCTGCATCCTCACATTGCCCCGGTCGGTGGCAGTCTTTCTTGCAGGAGTGTGACCCACACTTGAGCAACGAACCACAAACCTGGCCGCAGCGGGCGTCTGTGAGCCAACAGGGTACGTTTTTCATTACCCGCTTACCGCAAAGACACGCCTTGTCTGTGAGGAATGGGCACTTAGGGCAAGACTCATCATCGGTATGGCAATTGTGTGCTGTTTGAGGATGCCCACATGGCTTAGGACGTTCACAGGGACGTGAGCACGGGGGCGGCTGCGTCCCACAAGGGAGAGGAGGGTACAAGATTGATCTTCCGCAGTTACACGAAATTTCATCGAAGATAGCCTCTCGACAGGTGTTGCAGGCGCCCTTGTGGCAAAGCTCAGGGCAGGTGTGTCGACCGCATTTCAGCGTCCGACCACAAACGCGGGTGCAAATGTGTTCAGCTTCAATATCTTCTTCCGCGGGGCGAAGATGAGGCTTGAGCTTTCGACGCGCAGCTTGGCGTTCAATTGCCTTCTGCTCTCCGGGGCAACATCTTTCCGTACAAGTATGACGTCCGCAGTGCAGACCCGCCTTGCACTGACGGAAGCACTGGGGTGCATTCATATCACCCTGGTGACAAATACTCATGGAAGTGTTGCGACCACATTGACATGAGATAGGAACACGACGAGTACATGTGCCGCAAGGCCCGGTGTGGCAGATCTGATCGCAAGAATGGCCACATCGCAGCATCTTACCACAAGGCTCGAAGCAATTGGAGATGGGGTCCTCACACGATGACCGCGGGGTATATCCCGGGACTTCTGTCAATGGTGTTTTACCACAAGGGCAACGAGAAACTGCATCAGGCGAGCGAGGGCAGTGTTCGGGGAGAGAGTCTTGAGGGTGACAGTCCTTCTGGCAGAAATGTACGCCGCAATCGAAGGGGCGGTTGCAAGTGTCAGGGCAGCTGAAACAACCGATCCATTCCTCGTTAGATCCATCGTCCTTGATCTTCTCGCTATCCAGTTCCTCATCCTTGGAGCTACACAGCATCTCTGTGTGCACCTTTCCGCAATAACAATGCGCGTCGATCTTGACCTCACATGCACCACATAAGCCCTCATGACAGGGAAGAGGACATGTGTGTTCTCCGCATGGTAGAAGGTCGCCGCATATTTCCCCGCAGCTCCAGCCATTCTGATAATCGGTATCCTGGCATCGCTTTGTCGATGAATTACGACCACAAAAGCAATCTTGAGTTGGTCCCATTGAAGTGCAGGGAGCACAAGGGCCCGCATGACAGGTTGCATCGCATGGATGGGGGCAACCCTTCCGAGCGCGAGAGCAAGTCTGGCCACAAGAGTGTGGAGGCAAACCGGCTAAAGGTCGAGGATCGGATTCCTTCTCGCACCAACACGTATATGTGGAAGGGAAGTGCTCATGTGACAAATTGCAGCCAGGACAACGCCACGCCTTGGGGGTAACAGCCCCTTCTGCGTTTTGTGGCTGTCGCGCGGCGGCGGATCCTTCGTTGGTAGACCATTTTTTGATACAACTCAAGTGAAACACAGTCCAACAAAGTTCACAAGACCAAACTTTGGATCTTCTTCCAAGCTCACTTGTGCATATAGGACATTCGTAAAGGTTGTGGGCGATATCTTCGTGGATACGGGTGGCTATGTCGTCGGCAACAGATTTCGTCGTGACCTTGGGTGGCTTTTGAGGTAATTTGGGCTTCTGCTTCCCTTTTCCTTTGTTGGTCGATCCCGAAGCTGCAGAAGGCGGCGGGGCAGATGCAGGCACACCGGGTACAAAAGCCGGCGCGTCGGCACGGAGATTTGCATCTGGGTCTGCGGGGGCTTGAGGGTCTGTTCCGTCCTGCGCATCGTCCGCTTTGGTCAGTCGGGCCCCAAATCCTCTTGCTCTCATTCCCCGAGACTGCCTTTGTGATGTTTGGTCCGAAGGTTCGCCATTTTGTGCTTGCCCGCTTGGTCGAGGTCCATTACCACGGCCTCTGCGACTTCCAGATCCTCTGCCTTCTTTTTGCCCTTTCCGTGAACGAGGCGGTCCAGCTGATGGATCAGTGGGCACAGTTCCACGTGGCTGTCCCTGCTGCTCTGGAGGAGGCTGGTCGTTGGTCGATTGGGCTGTGGGATTGGATTGGCCTTGACGGTTTGCGGGGCCCTTCCCACGGCGTCGATGTCTTGGACGAGTGGATGATGGGGCTGATGGGTCCGATGGTACAGTCGGAGCTGCTGTGGAGCTGGACATGGTCTGAGAGACCAGCGCTGGCTGGCTGGGGACGGTGCTGCTGCTCATGCAGTTAAAAGGAATATTGAAGTGATTCGAATGGAATGATCGACGGAATAGTGGTGAAAGGGTCCAAAGCTGCAGATGTGGATTATAAGAAAAAGTGAACGATATAAGAGAACTCTAGTATAGAAGTGAAGCTCACAGTACAGAAAATGCAAATCGAAAATTGGCAAGTAAGGCCCAAAGGGCGAAAAGAATTGAAGATGACAATGGGGACGCATCTCGCACAATTAAAAGTAAAGTGGCAGAATGCAAAGCGGAGTTCAAGGCGGTCACAGTCGCCACTTCCCCGTGACTCAAACCCAGTCGGAGTGACTCACCAAAGCACATACTTCAATCAGCCAATCACCAAGACACATTCTGGTCTGGAATCTATCAATATATGCACCTATATACTCCGTACACCGGATTTTGTCTGCCAGGTGGGGCTTTCCTTTCTCGGCTGCCGCCGCTTTTATAAGGTCGCTCAGGCTCAGGCTGAGTGATCGAATCACCCGCGTCATATGAGGCATGTCTAAGCCACACTGATTGCTCAGTGACTAATCAGGGCTGCTCAGGGATCACTGAGTATTGCTCGGTGATTATTCGATACCCAGTCATCCCTTAAGACTTCACATCCAATCAGCGTTTGTTCCCTAGTATAGCTCTAGCTATTCCAAAATTAGTATGGCCTAATGGGCCATCTATTTTATAATAACTAGCGCACTGATGCCTATAAGCCGAATATCCCCGTTCAAACAAAACAGCATTTTTGCACACTGTATCAGAAATAGGGCTGTACGAATTTCTTTTGTTTGCTTTATCTTTTTATTCTTATAGATAACGCGGCCAAAGCCAGTAATTTCTCTATCATACCTAACGTCGGATTTGGAATCTGTCGAATATAAAGGCTGGCTCCGATTCCCCTTTATTGTTCTATAAATTATATATTTCATACTTACTTATCTATACCAAAATCCAATCACTTTAAAAAAGTTGACTGTTAGACCCTAAGTCAGATAATTATCTGAATATAGGCCAACAGGCCTTTCCTGCTAGGTATGATAATACAGCCAAAGAAAATTGTCTTCTCTAAAGACACATGAATAATTATCTTTCTAGTATTTTTAAAGAATAAGATAAAGTTCAAAACAAAGATAAGAATCTTTTAATCTTTAGCTTAAGTAGGTTAAAACCACTAAAACTTAATTAAAGGAAAGGCTAATGTAAACGGTTACTAAGTTGTCAGGCTAGAGACCTGTGACTAGGCAAGGATATCGGATAGTAGAGATCAGATTGGACAGTTGGTACATAGACTGATTCTTGAGGAGATCAAGAATCCTAAATGCTTGTAGGATCTTAAATATACTAGGGCTCGGGTGAATATCGATATGCAGGTGACTCAAGGGGATTCGTCTGTGAATCAGCCTCGAGAGTCCGCGGTATCGCATACTTTGAATCCCGTGACAAAATCCTACCGAAATTCCCACTTCTTTCCATTTAAACGTTTATCACTGCAAGTCGCTCGTACTACAGAAGATTTTGTAACTCAGCCATACCTCTTAGCTGACTCGCTGGGTAATAAATAATTAACAAACCGCAATTTGCGGTTATAGGATGAGTTTCATTCAGTATAGTCAGCAGAGAGCTAATAATAAACTTTCCACCAGGCCCCCCCTTTCCAAGACGATATGCCTCACAGCCGATTTGATAACTACATATATAATATCAATCACCAATACTACGATAGATTAATAATTGTTACACAAAGGAGCAGGGTCTGGTTATCACTGTAACTCCCTTGCAACCCCATGAGGACCACTGTATTGGGCCTACCGCTTTTTACAGTAATTTAGTAGGCGATTTTCTGTAGTGAGTCCCATTCTCACCTCATATAAAACACGTTTCAGCAGCACATGGATCCAAATATGTAGCAGAAAAGATAAAAAGAAGAACGGGTATGTACTATAAATGCAGAGTAGTACCTAGGACAGGTTATCAACTAATCTCCTAGACAATCCAAGACAAGTATCAATATTGGTACAATAATGCGCCATGAGACATATTATGACGAAGTCTGGGTGGGATACTTGGTAAAGAAGCCATTCCTGTATAGCTGTCTACCGCATTCCATCGATGACAATCATTTTTGGGAGAGATGTGCTCTCGAAATCCTCGTTTCAGAGTAAGGTATGGCCTAAGACTTGGTAGACAAGCAGCAACAAGTCCGGCATGAATATCAATCGCGCACCAGAGTTTGAGGGTTGTTGCCGGCACATTAGGATACTGCGATAACACAGCAATAAAACGAACAATGGAAGCACTCATACTCAATGCACTGAAGCCAAATGTGATAAATAGACCAAGCCTTTTCTTCTAGTTTAGGCGAAGCGCCCTTAGAATTGGAAAGGGCAAAAGAAAGATGAACAGATCGGAGGAAAATTGAAGAGCCCATGTTGTAGTCCATGGGGTGTATTGTCTGGAGGAGCCGCAATAAGAGATATTGTGTCTAAATAGATAAATAAGAGCATCAGAGCATATCGTGTTTGCAACTTCTGCAAAAGCTCATCGTATTCGAAAATAGGCGAAGTTGAGTGTCGTATTAGACAGGAATTTGTAGCGAAATTCTTTGATGAGGTCCTCTAGCTAGAATTAGGAAGTAGGAAGAGCATGGTACCGGAGGGGGGGGATCTTCGAGCCTTTATTAAAATTCCGGTTTGTATTATAGTCGAGACTTTCCCTGGAACCTACTTGTTCCTTTCAAATCCAGAGTCCAGGTTTCCAATCGTATCTTGACAAGGGCTCTGGAATCTTAATCCATGAAAGTGTAAAGGCTAAGGACGCTGCGCTTTTTCCTACTAAGTACAGTGGCGCCGCTGTGCCCAAAATTGAAATGTTACGTACCCGTTGTTGTAGTCCCTAAACTTTTTCCCCGGTCACCTTTTAATCGAGGCATTATAATTTAGTTCTTCGTGTGTTGAGAAACGCAAGCAGATTCGATTTCGTCGTGGGCATGATTGGCTGTTGGTGTGTGCCCTTGTTTCTCGAGATTAACTGCTGGTGCCTGACTAACAACTTACAGCTTGCCACTCAAGCCGCCACGTTCGACTCTCGTTTTACTGGTGACGGTATTACATATTTATTCACAAAAATTGGGTTAGGTGAGCCAAGGGTCATCTGCTGGAAAGAGAGAATTCAGGTAGCCAATGATTGCCATTGGGAGATCACGAAATGTCTACTTACGAAGCTATCTCAATTACCGCTATCTATGTGTGAATGCTTTCTAGTCTGATTAATTGATCAGCTCGATTAATGTTAGTTAGTTAGGGGAGGGTGGAGAATAGCACGCCTGACGCCATCGACATCTCGGAATTGCCAAGAGCACCACAGCTTTTGCTAGGGAATCCTGGTGTTAATCTCATGCAAAGTCCCAGTCAAGTGTACCAGCAACTACAATGTCTCATTGATCCTCCAATCTACTCCGTGAGGTTCTGGCTCATTCTGGCTCATTTTGGTAACTAACCGTGTGTTGGTGCCGCTAGGCCTATTAAGGAAAGTATAGTCTACCGCAGCTCGAGCTTCACGCTAGTCCTCCGCAGAGCGGAGGTCTGGTTCTTGTCAAGTTATCCTCAGACATGTCAATTTTGGAACCATGGTAGCCTATCCTGCAGGCAAGATCCAGAATGCGCTCTCCTCTCATTCTTCTGCATCACCGCATTGAAGCCGTTGCTTACTGCTGTCCTTCGATCACTCCTTTCCACGAAGGTGTCCTCCCAGAGTCCGGGGACTGCTTCAAGCCTCGACAGATTCCGGCAACAGCGCCGCCACACGTATGTCCTCTCCGTCCACGATGACGCCGATTCAGAGATCACGCGATGGCTGCCGTGAATGCCGGAGGCGGCATCGGCGTTGCGACGAGGCCAAGCCAGTCTGCGGCTACTGCGTCAGCGTTGGCAAGACGTGCGAGTACGCAAGGGATCTACGATGGGGTGGACGACCTTTTGACAAATCGAACTTCGGGCGCTGTGTCGGCAAAGGTAGACGCGTGTTCAAAGCACGTTCTGCTGGCCAAACGTTGCCTGGCAATCAAGATGAGGGTCAAGTTGATTCCGCGCGACATAGCACCGAGCAGTCATTCGTGTATGTCTGCCAGACTAGCGGCCGAGGGTCGGACGTTGCCGGATCTGAGTACCCCAAGACACTAATAACCAGTCACGGGCCATCAGGCGACGACGTACTACCAGAGAGAGAAGCCGATGACCAGCTAGCTGGTGATTTTAGTGGCGATGAAAGCACAATGGAGCAATGGCCATCTTGGAGACGGTTGGTACCCAGCACGACGCTCGACCTGTTGCCTCGGGCGGATCGGGCTCTGTTCGACTACTTCCAGCATCAGCTCACTAAGTCCATTTCTTGCCACGAGGGAATGCAAGTCGAGATATGCTCAGCCCTTCTCCCCATCGCCATGCAAAGCCGGCCCATGCTGGCGGCTGTCCTCTGCACGGCAGCCTGCCATCGCCTGTCGGTTGGTCTCGAGCAAGTCGAGGACAAGGTCTTGCGACTGAGGAACGTGGCACTGCAGCACCTGAACCTCAGCCTCGCTACCACGGAAGAGGCCATCTTGTTATCGGCTCTCGGCACGAGCTTGGCTCTTTGCCTGAGCGACATCGCGTCCCCCTCGGCAGCAGACGCAAGTTGGCATCTCCACCTTGTTGGCGCCTCAGCGCTGTTGAGGAAGCTTAGCGACCTGAAACGCCCACTGGCTACGCTCGATGTGCGCCTTCTCGTCCGGCTCTACGTTTCGTTCAAGTCGATCGCTGAGAGCTGCGGCAAGCGTGTCCAAGTTGAAGCGGAGCTTTTCGACCCCGCGCCATTGTCCGAAGAGGGACGAGGCTACATTGACGACCTGGCCGGCTTCTCAACGAGCCTGAACCCGGTAATCCAGGCAATGCACGGCATTGATGAGACGCGGGAACAAGAGGCAAGAGTACCAAGGGTGGAGACCAACAGCTTCAGCTATGTATTCCTGCATGCAGCCCGCTCAACGCACCAGTATGCCCGACTCATCTGCCAGGTGGAAGACATGCTGCAAGAAAACACGCCAGTATTCAGATCCGAGATCGGCGAGTCCCTGACCGAGACGTCGAGACGCGACTTCGTAAAGCTGGACGAGGCGTACCATCACATGGTCCTACTGCAGCTGTACAGCCGCGTCGACCCAGACCAGCTGTACTTCCACGAATCCGTTCAGGCTAGCCTGCGGCATATCATGGACTGCATAGCAGCCATGGACATTGCCGCTCGGCCGTGTCCGGCTGTGGCCTCCCTACCGCCCCTGTTCGAGGCTGGATGCTGGGTGGCCTCTCAGACAGACCAGCAAAGGCTCCGCGATCTCTTACTTCGAATACGCGCATGCTATGGCATGGGAAACGTGACATGTGCGTTGGACTACTTGGAAGACGAGTGGGCGGCGGCGTCCCTAAACGAGGCTGCCGGAGCGAGGGCTTCGAAATCATCTAGGGCTTTGCATTTTTTGCCTTATTGAGTTGTCCACGATCCTAAAGTGTCACTTACCATCGTTGTTATTACGTTTTCGAGTGCCGGAAAACAGCGATGGGACAGTGCGCCATGCGTTTGTTCGAAGTTTTCTGAGCTCAGGTGTTGAGAGAGTGCAATGGGGAGGTAGAAAAAATAGTAGGTCGTCTTGTGGATGGCGATGAAAGTATAACGCTCCGGCGTGAAGGTGTCTAATTGCACGTTCATCTCAGACTTGCCCGAGGGCGTGCCGAGGTCACAGAGCTGACCCATCTCTGTCTGGAAAGAAGTCTCCTGAAACAATTCCATAATGGCCACGTAAGAAGGATGGGAGCCAAAGGTTTTCTTCAGCAGGACGTACATTGCCGCATCGAGCATAAATGCATCGTTAATGGTATTCAGACCAACGCCCTCTTCCCGGTGCCAGCAGTCCCTACCCCGGCGAGTCATGTTTCCGTCCATGATATCATCAGAGACGAGGAACGTAGTTTGAAGAAATTCAATCATCCACCCAGGGTCGACGATTCGGAGTACTCTTTGTGGTCGAGGGCCTACACGGAGTCAAGCACGGTCATGCCGCGGTTGCATTTGCCTCCGACTGGGTTACGTTCCAGATTCTGTTTCTGGCAAATTAGCGTGACCGTCTTCTCACCTTCTCGTCTTATCACTGGAGAGAGCAACTTGCACTCACCAGCTTGAACCAAGCCTTTTGGGTTTCGGGGAGGTCATAGAAAGCCGCATGGTCAATAACTGCGTCCCTGACCTTTGGATACTCGACATAAAATTCGGCAAGGGTTGTTGTTCCGGTCATGGTTACGGCGGCTGAATGGTTGTGTAGAAGTTCGATTAAGTAGGGAAACCACTGCACAATTTCACGTTGGCAAGCTGTTCTATATACAGTACGGCCAGGCAGACACCATTCCGGATTTCAGCGCAACCCAAGGCCCCGCCGTGTTGATCATGGACTCTTCTGCTCTTTCTTGTTTTGGCAGTTGGGACGCAAGCTCATGCAGAGTCCCAGTTCTCCACCACGGACGGGATTGGGCCGCTTTTGTTGCTTCGGTCTCTTCAGACAACGGCAACCTGTCGTGCAGGCATATTATTATTATTATTTTCCGAAAAGGCGACCCGGGCAGAGGCTGGCTGGAGGTGGTATTCTTTCGCTATTTGAAGTTTTTGCACGGGGCTTCGTGTAATTACGAATGAAATCAACCTTGTATTTGAGAAACGTCTCTTGGAGGAATTGGCAATATTGTTCAATGTTTAATCCTGGATAGAAGCCCTTGCGATGTAGAATATTGACATAAACCAGACAAGGCGAGGAAGTTAATCTCCACTTCAGCTAAATATCTACGCTTCGTCATGGCTAAGACTCATGGGAAGCACATAAGTCTTCCTTACTCCAAAGTACCACAAGGCACCCACTGCAATGGTAAAAGTGCCCCAGATCAGGGATGAGTAGTTCATATTCTCTGCATTCGTCGGGAGCGCGTATGGAAAACAATACACCACAAACCAGGTAATGAGATACCCACACGCCCAGATATTCACAACGTATCCCAAATATCCAGTCATGTAGAACTCCCCGGGCTCGAATGAAGATCGAGAGCGTGTCCAGAGGTAAGGTAGTAGCGCGGCAATGTACGAGGCGCTGGAGAAGAGTATGAAGCTTGCCACAAAGCCGTTGAAGGCGGTGCTATTGGCCAAGTAGATGAGTCCGAGGAGGCTCACAAGAACTGTCGTGACAAATGTGGCGGTCACTGGCATGTGCTGCGTGGGACTGATGCGGCCAAGGACGTTCGGAAATGGTGTCGCCCCCACACGAGCCAGGGTCCAGAGTGTCCGGCCGCAGGTCACATACAGCCCAAGGGTACAGAGCAGCGTTGGGGCCAAAATCAGCGCCAACAGGGCTGTTGTGGCAATTGCAGAGTGGCCCGTGGCCTGGGAGTAGACCTCGGCGATGGGCAGCTCCGCTTTGTACAGCGCTTCGTAATCGGTGATGCAGTAGAGCATGGTGATCAAGTAGGCCAACGCGGATACGAAGCCGAGTATGTATTGTGTCGCGATCGCCTTGGGCACATTGATGCTTGGGCGAGGGATCTCCTCTGCGAGATGGACGGCGGCGTCAGGCGTCCCCATGGCGAAGGCTCCGTTCAACATGCCGATAGTGAAAACGAATCCATTCGGGTAGCCTATGTCCGCTTCCCAAGCTCCCCAAACATCGTGGCTTGAGGCAGAACTACGGCCTTCGGTATTCACCATGGCAATGCACACAACGATGGTGGTGATGGCTCCGACGACTATGACGACCAACCCGACTATGTTGAGTCGAGGGATCATGGAGTTGCCAAAGCAAACGATGACGCAGGATAGCCAGCTCAGTATGATGTAGCATACGAATGTGTGCCTACGAGAGATGTTAGTTTAGGGGACGTCTTAAGCCATGTCCTAAGTGGCATTCAAACTCACCACTTCTTTGCGATAAAACTGGGATGCCAAAACGCGAAGGTCTGTACACACAGATTGCCTGAAGACGATAACATTGTTCAGTCGGGCACAGTCGTCGTCGGAAGTAAAAAGGGGTGTGCAGGGAGACAAGGTACACAAGGCTTTCCGAACGTACTCGCGATGCAGGTCACAGAGGCAACTGCGAAGATCCAAGCCAGACAGTTCCACCAGCCAGCAAAGTATCCAACGACCTTCCCGTGTCTGGGGCCCGACGTAACCGTCGCCCACAAATGGACGCCAGACGATGAAGGCAACGCAGAGGACAGCTCGGCAATAACCGCCGCCACGGTGAAGTAACAGAGAGACGCTGCTATGAACTCGTATATGACGCCGGGCGCACCGCCGTTGTAGATGGAGGTCAGGAGAGAGCCGCCGAGCGCGGGCCAAACGTTGCCTACGGCGACGCCTATACCCGCAAGCGATATAAGACTGAAGTTCTTCTGCACGACACCGTGATTGGGCTCTTGAAGCTCTCCACACTGGGGCGTGATGGTGGCTTCCAGCTCTATGACCGGCTTCTCCTCATCGCAGCCGCTCATCTCCTGGATCTGTGGAGCATTGTGGCATGAGGAAGCCATAGTGACGTGCAGGAACCCGAAGTAAATGAACAGTTCATTAAAGAGCCGGGGTAGTAATGATGAATCGAGAGACGGCAAAACGCGTCTCGAAAGAGGCGAAGATGTTCTATTAAGCATTTTGTGAAGCAAATCATGCCCAGCCTGGGGCTGTAAATGTAAATAGTCGATGCTGGCTATTTACAGCGGCTATCGCCATTGGGTTATCCCAACCTGTGGTCAGCGACGAGGAAACCGCCGCTTGTGCCCTACCTAGGAGGTGCGCGGAAGCCAGCCCTCCTCACTTGTTGAGACCTTTCCCAGTCGGGACAATATAGCCTACCTACAAACATTCATGCCCAAAGTAGCGTAAGACGCTTTGATACAGTAGGCTATTATCTATAGACTGCGCCATAACCGGGATTGTAAGTCTAAATTCAGAACCCGCAAATAGCCTATCCTAACCCGGATATACATAAAAATCTTGGCATTCATAAAATGTTTCTAAATTTTGATTTCCTAAGATATAATATGCCTGATTTTTCTTATTTATTACTTTATACTAATAATTATTAGTCACTAGCCTATACATAGGGTATAGCCCTAACAGCGGCATAAACATAAGGAACAGATAGGTTTGACAAGACAAAAGCGTATCCGCATGAACGGGGACCACCAATAAAGCAATGCCAACTAGATGTTATCAACCAACAAAAACAGGTGGTAAGACTCGATCAACGTTCTCATTCTCGCGTGTTTACTTAAGTTACGGTAGCATGGTCTTAAAGAACTACACGAAAAAAAGGCTAAGGAGTAAAGTGCCGATTTGCGAGAATGTTAGATACATAACTTATCATTCAATACTGCTACTCCGGGTATATGAAGGACCGCAATCTCTGGCATTCAAGCCATCGTCGCAGAATTTGACTGAGTGACAGAACCTCCAACCCTACCCATAAGTAGCAGAAACGTGGGATATGCATCTCTATTTAGAACGGTTCTTTACCAGCGTTGTGATGAGCTACGTTGCAGTATTAGCTGATATTCTCAACATCAAAGATGCAGGGATGTAACTTGCCTCAAAAGTGAATTCAGCAGCAGCAATTCCCGTGATCTCGGAGACGTCCATTCCGGGCAAAATCTCCACGACGTCCACACCAACAATGTCAAGCCCCTCAAGCGCTTCGATGATGACCTGAATAATCTCCCTTGGCATCCAGCCACCAGACGCTGGTCCGGCGGTGCCCGGTGCGAAGGCGGGGTCCAGAACATCAACGTCGAGGGAGACGTAGACTGGCTTATCGTGAGGCACGGTAGCCCTGATGGTCTCGATAACGTGCTGCAGTCCGTTTTCCTGCAGAATCGCGCCAGCAGGGATCGTGGTGAAGCCCATCTTGGCGTCAATATCCATGTCCGTCGCAGAGTCCAGCGTACTTCTGATGCCCGCGTGGACAGAGGAGTCACTGAGGAGGCCCTCGGTGCCTGCCCAGTAGTACGGGGTGCCGTCAGCAAACTGGGACTGCTCGCTGGGCGATCCGCGGGACCCGGCGAAGACTTTGGGCGACCAGGTATCGATGTGTGCGTCGATGTGGATGGCAGATATGGCGCCGTGGACCTTGTACAGCGAGCGAAGAATGGGGAGAGAAATGCTGTGGTCACCACCAAGAGCGACAATTTGCGGATGGGCCTTGCCGGTCTGTCATGAATGAGATGGAGTTGTCAGCAATCATCATAGTTGGACAGACAGCAAGTTGTGCTGTAATTTACCTTCGCCGAAATAATGCCATTCTCAACCTTACGAGTGAGAAGTCTCGAGTACCACTCCTCCATCTGAGCGAAGGCCAAAGCGTTGTCAAATGGAGAGATGGGAAGATCGCCGCAATCAACAATGGATATGTTTTGCTCAAATGGATTGATGCCCTGACGGTAGTTGTAATGACCTCTGCATTACATCCATGTTAGCTGCATAGGGACAAAGATTATATCAAATGACCCACGCTAAAGAAGCCGCTCTCGAGCCTTGTCTGACGGCGTTAGGCCCAAATCTTGTCCCAGTGCGGTACGAAGTTGCCGTGTCAAAGGGGAACCCGAGCACAAGGATGTCGTCTACGGTCCCTTCCTCAGCCAGACACTGAACAGCTGGAAGTTGAGCAAAGGTTGTGATGCCAGAGAAAGCGTACTTGGCATCTGGTTCCAGGTCAAACTTCTTGTTGTCTTGCTCTGTGTGGGCATTGATCAAAAGAGGCCATTGTGTGACCATTGAGCTGGGTGCACCCGACGCCAAAGCCACTAATTTGGCGATCACAAGAGAGTATAATGAGAGCATCTTTTGAAAAGGAATTTTTCAAGGTAATAAAGGATACGGATTTTGCGAGAAAATGTGGAAAAAACTGGACTTTGTAAGATGTTGCGCGTTTTGGTTGTTGAGACTTCTTCGCCATTTCTTATATATATACCCCATATTGTGACTTAATCTCTTGGGAGTAAGTCCTTACCGGAAAGAAAATAGCCTTCCAAGTGCTTCCACAAGGCGTGGTCCTAGACGTAGGCTAAAGCTTCCGCTCTAGGAAAGGCGGATAAATCTAGAACATTTTCACGTCGTTTGAAGTTACGTATCATGCAAGGTACACGACGTGAAATGAGGAGTGGCATGCGGGGTCATGCATTGTTAGGGAATGGTGAGAAGTCTAAAATAATGTCCGGTCCGAGACTAGGGTACACAATCACGGCTCCTCGACGACACTTGTCAGGGAAGATTCAAGATTTATTGCGATTTGACTGCATTAGTTCCGGGTGCAGCCCAAGATTTCGAGACATGGAAAGAGCACCTCTACAGCTGGCACGATGAAGTATACCAGATGCAAATACTGGAGAATACCATGCTTCTAAGACAAAGTAAAAAAGCAGACAGAGGACCTAATTTAGCGTCTCAAATTTCCAAGGTCAATATTCTGATTCTGACGTTGAAACTGAAACTAGAGACAGTCCGGAAAAGATATCTCCAGATTAAGATAGAATATCTCGGCACACCCCTACTCCATGATGTCTCGAGACGCATCGTTGTCTGACTCTCCAGATACATCTCGGGCAATCTTCTTCCAGGGAAGGCATACCACGCAGAGAGACTGCAAGATGATCAACCCTCCACTCCCGCAAACAATGCCAGCCCAAAGCCCAACGATACCCCATTGTAGTCGAAAGCACAGAGCCCAAGCCGACGTAAGGCCAATACCGTAGTATGCCAGAAAGTTGCACATTCCTGACAGGTGGTTCTTCTTGGCGCCTCGCAGGATTCCGCCAGCACCCCCGTTGGAGAGGTCCAGGACCTGAAACGCTGCCATAAGAGGTAAGACTTTGGCAGTCATGGCCACCGAGTCAGGGTCTGAGGTGAACAGATAACCGAACCGATTCCGTACGGCCATAATGAGGATGAACTCGAATAGGCCGAGACCCAAAGACAGTGCATAAGGCGAGAGAGCGGCACGACGGGCGTAGAGAGGTTCGTTGCGGCCGAAGAAATGGCCAATTCGGTGGCTAGAGGCAACTCCGACGCCCAAAGAAACGGTGGTAAAAATGAGGTCCGCGGACATCAAGATCTAGGTGGGAGAGCATATTCAGTGATCGATCAACTAGGTGGCATCTTTGTGAAGCTGTACTGACACTCTGAGCAGCAATTTCACTTGCCGAGAGACGAGCAGCCATCATAGCTAGAATCTCAAAGCTGTGTTATATCTTAGCATTGTTGTTTTCCCCCATCTAATGGAAGTAGGGGAGTTCTCTCACCTCCACCACTCCGTGGCAATGGTAGTGAGACCAGTCAAGGACAAGAAAGCATTGACCCAGAGGCCATCCAGTAAGCTTTCCCAAGTCCGAATAAACACTATCGTCTTTGTTTGGCGTTCTCTGCGAACCAGAAGAACGCAAAGGATAGCTACCGTCGTGAGCTGATAGATGAAAAACGCACATGGGGCACCGTTGATGCGGAGCGGCGTCGCCTTGACGAAGATGTGATTGGAAACAACCCCGACGATGGTCGCGGCAAACGTTGCCCAGCCCACCGCTGTGCTCTGCCCCTGTACCTGGCCATACTTTTTAAGACACTCGGCCAGCATCTGGAAGTAGCCAGCAGGCAGCATCAGGACCAAGAAGCGGTGTGTGCCTCGAGCGAGCCAAGCCTCCTGTCCCAGCGCCAGGAACAGGCGATCAGAAAAGATCCAGACAGGTGTGATGACCAGGATGAATAGTGTGCTGAGAACTATCAAGCTCTGTTGAAGATGCCGACCGAGGAGAGTCGGGGACTCATTCGTTTTGCCAGCGGCAGCCACGGCATGCGCGCACAGCGTGTCCAGCGCCGTGGCACCCCCGATGGCCACCATGCTACCAGTGCAGGTGGCGAACATATAGCCGTAGGACGCGATATCAAGCTCGTGGTGACCTAGGCTGCCGACGATGATGACGCTGACGGCCTGTACAATGTTCTGTAGCGCAAAGGAGGCAGTGATGGGGATCGTGGATCGTAAAAGGCGAAAGGCCTCCTGGGTGATGGACAGCTGAGTTGCCTCAGATATTTGAGAAGGGGTTCTACCCTCGTGCCTAAGCAGAGGAGATCTTTCGTCGTGGTCCATCATGATTGGTATGAATGATGACAGGACGCAGGGCCAGAGACAACTGGTTGTTTTGACAGAGACGTGCAAGAGGCACGGAGGAGCTTGTGTTTGAAGGATATTGGTTTTGGAAGACAAGATAAAGCTCTGGTCCAGGCCGTGGGGTCATGAACGGGAGCTGGTAAACTAGGCTTAATATCGGCACTCATTTATGACGGTTGGACCCCCATATGACCGTCTCTTATTCCTCGAGGCATGTCGCGGCCAAAATCGAGTGCCAATTGCGGCTTCAGAATCTCGCCGGGTAAACGGTGCACCGAGAAGGTGGCTCCGGCGTTTACAACCCACATGAGAGGATGTGATCTTCCGCAAGAGCCCTGAGACTCCTAGTCAAGTGTACCTTTAGCCACAATGCCTCGTTCTGACCCATTCCGCTAGACCTCGGACCAGAAACCAGGGTGCTAGTGCCGCTAGGCTGATTAAGGGAAGTATAGACTACGCCAACTTGAGCTATGATAAGGTCTACGCTGGTGTTCCGTAGAGCACAGGTCTAGGGTAGGGTGGAAGACGAAGGCGATGATGAGAGACAGTGTGCTTTGCCAACCAGGGTGCATAAGAAACTGAAACCTGGTCCTAGTCGGTTATCCCCATACTGTAGGCTATAGTGATGCCAGTATAGTTGGCGCAGAATCTACACGCAGTGACCGGGTCAATGCACCATGACCAGGAGAACATCGTCTCTTCGAACTTAGAGGAAAATGAGGCACCTCGTGTATAGGCCATAGCTAATTCCGAAACCCAGGCAGGGGTGACCTAATCGCACCCGTTAGCGAGTCCGCTTTGCTGGAAGCGGTCCACAATCTGTGTTGGTGAATCTAATGCCAATCCCGCAATCACTCTGGCGCAGAGGATCATATTAATATTCTCTGCAGTGATCCTCCCACGATCGCGAATAGACTTCCCACAATAATAGCGAGCTTGCAGCCGGATCAGTCCGCCAGGCGACCACCGGCAAAGCAGCCGAGCATAGCGCCAAAATACCATAAGAAATTAGATTCAAAAAAGCTTATAAAAAAGTTTATATCTAGATAATCATAGATTACATATAATAGTTCAGACAGCAAGGATACTATCAGGCCTTAGGCAGATAATAGCTAATCCTTACGTTAGAGGAATTGTATAAGGGTCACTACAGATTCTCAGCATATAGCTCACCTTTTTTTTGCCTTTTTAACCACACCTTATATATCTTCTGTTCACAGGGTGCTTTTGCTTCTAAAGAATTATTCCTATAGGAATTATTATAATAGGTGAATTTCTGAATTAATCAAAAAGATATACTTCCTAGATATCTAGAGCGAACTGCTTTTAACTAGTATCTGAGCAAGTTTAGTATACGTTTTTAAAGGGAATTATTGTCAAGGTCAATGTTTAACTCTTTCTAGTATAGTTGATATAGTAGCTTTTATCAGTATAATAGGCAAGTTTTGGAGGTTGTCTAGGGAAAAGTTCTATTTAAATTTATATTTCTGTTAATATAAAGGCACCAATCAGAGATAAGCTCCTAGGAACTTAGAGGAGTCTTCTATCCGAAATAAGCTATATCATTAAATCTAAGGCCCGGCATATATTGATAAGGCCACCGGATAGAGTCCTAGGGACATGCTGATACTCCTAGGAGTAAATTCAGTATAGAAAGTCTTAATTTTTTGGGTTTTATTCTACTTAATATTGCCAGAAAGGTATAAAGGCGAAGATAATGAAAAGGTTTCAGTTAAGTTAGAGATAATCGCTGATGGGTTATCTGCTCGATATCCAATGAGAATAAAATAATTTATATAGTTTATCTACTTATACATCTGCCTATATAGTTCTCCTAAATCGGGTATGCGTTAGAAGAACGGAGAATGCTTCTAGGAGCGTCATATCTCAATAGGTCCAACTGTTCATTAAAACAAAATTAATCATGTAAATCCTGTTTGCAAAGGGAAAGATCGCCAGTTAGTGGCAACTTCATGAAACTAACTCTTATACAGCGGTCAAACTAGCGTATCGCGTTTTAATGAGCCCGCTTACTCAGGCCACCTGGGTTGTAGGAGCTTAGTAAGTAACCTAGGATTGATCAGGTCAGGGTCAGTGATCAGATCATAGTGCTCAGGGCAGGCTCACTGAGCAAATCAGGGTGCTTCGATCAGGCTCACTGATCAACTCAGGCCGGTCAGGGGCGTACTTATTTCTACTCGGGGAGTAAAAGCGGCGAGGGGGTGAGCACTAGAACGGAAAGGGAAAGCCAAGAATTGCCAGACATTATCCGGTACGTATGCACTAAGTGGACCCTGGGACATGCAGCCTCCTGCCTACTCGTGTTTTCAATTCTACCTCGCCCGGAAAGGTCCTCTGTTTAGAATCAACGGTCTATCATTCAAGCTTCTGTGTATATCAAAACAGCAAGACAATTGACATCCCTTCGCCTAGCCGAGTAGTATTATATGAAACTTCAATTTCTACTAACATGCTAATAGTATACTAGCCAGTCCCTTCTACCATCTATCCAACGCCAGTTCGTTTCAACTTGAAGCTGAGTATATACAGATGAATCATCAAGTAATTTCCCCGTCATCATCATCCTCCAAGTCATCATCAGACTCATCCAAACCAGAAAGATAAACAATACAGTCTGCCAAGTCCTGCCTCAAGAACGCCTTAAGGTCACCCACCATTTTTCGTGTACTCGTAATCGATATCTTGGTCAAGGATGACCTGAACAACAGTCGGCGTCGTCGCAATGCAGCGAATTTTCAGAGGAGGCGCACAATCAGGTCCGTAGTATTCATCCAGAGATCCCTTCAGTATTGTGCAAACTTCCGAAAGGAGCCCCATCAACGAAGTATTTGCATAGCACGCGTAAACGATGAGTCCATCGTCACTTTCAGCGCGTGCGTTCATGACCAGGAGCTAGACTAGCCCGTCGGCTCGAGAATCCTCGTCTTCGACCAAGAACTCGTGGTGCCAGTGGAGATCATCGACCATCCTGCGCACGCTTGATGTATCTTCCATGATGCTTAAGTAGTAGTAGTGGTAGAGTACTAAGTAGCCGTGAAATTGATGATGATAGGACGCAGAGGAAGGTACTAGTACTGCTAGAAAGTAGTAATTTTATAAAGTCATACTACGGCTGGGTCTACGGGTCTTATATAGACTCTCAAGGTCAGAATGACTACTAACTACTTCAAGGTAGATGAAAATCAGAACTTGAACTCGCCCTAAAACACTTGTCTTACAGAATAAAGAAGTCGACAAATCCCACTAGAACATTGTCTTGCGGCACGGGAGATACAATGAAACAACTGTATACATTAATCAAATTTGGCGTCCAATTAGGTCCGGTATTAACAGTGTGCAAAAAGACCGCGCCAATTTAAAAACAGAAAAACACGCTATGCAAGATCAAACCACTGCCTTAATCCATTCACTTCATAAGCATAAAGATAAAGAGTTCCTCCTCCCCTCCGCCATTTGATCTGTCGTGCAAAAGAAAATCAACCAGAACCGGATATGTTTCAAAACTGGTAGTAACTTTTATTACGCAAATACGACGATTTCACCACGGTCATTGCGACGCAGTCGCAGACCTCGCCACAAATCCTTCTCGTCTTCGCCGCGGCGCTCACGGGAGTCCCGTCCATGGTCCTCTTGTTCGTCGGCGAAATCGCGGTGGAACCGTTTCAGGGCTTTGTTAAAGGAACAGCCACGATCGCTATCCCGAGACACGAGAGAAAGGAAATGGGTGGCCATTTCCCGTTGGAGAACATCCTCACTACGGGCAGGTGGCTTGGACGGTCGGTAGACTTCGACCTGGCGATCACGACGGGGGGATTGAGAATCTGAGCGCCGGCGCTCGTCAATCTGCTTCTGTCGGCGAGAAGGACGATCACCGTCAGTGGGGTTGCTGCTTTTACGCTTAGACTTGCGCTCGGCGTGGGAGTCCGAAGCATTGCGCGAGCGATGGGACTTCTTCTTGCGCACTTCCAGTTGGCCGTCGGCACTGGAGGAGCTGCCGCGACGGGCACGGACTAGGGCACGGGAGTTATCATGGCTGTCTTTGCTGCCGTTGGAAACAACGGAGCCGGTGCCGCCGAACATGGAAGAGACAAGGCGCTCGGCGCGGTTTTTGATTGTGATGCCCAAGCCAGGGTCACCGCCACCATTGAGCTCCTTGCCGTTACGGCGGGTACGCTTGATCGGGGAGGAGGTATCCTGATAGGTGGAGCGGCCGTGCTCGGGAGTCTCGTCGATATCGTGGGAAGGCGAGCGCATCATGCGGTTCAGACCGCCGGTCAAACCGGAATGAGCCAACACGGGAGTGCCAGCATTGTTGACGACGCTGGACGGGGCATCCATCATTGGGGTGTCGATATCCTGTTGAGGGCTGCTGAGCTCATCGCCTTGGCCGCGCTTGCGCTTCTTCTCGCTCGCGCTACCTGGGGCACGTTCCTTCTTCTCACGACGATCCTTCTTTTTCTTGGGCGCGGGGGTGACGAATTCCATGGAGGCATTGGCCGCGGAGGGAAACTTGGGCGGCGGAATAGGGTCAGCGCCGTAAGAGAAACCGTTTTCTTCGTATGCGATATCGTAGTTGCCTTCGTCATCCGTCTTCGGGTCTAGTCGCGCGAGGGCCTTGCTAGCCTCGAAGACAGATGGGGCGTGGGGGTTCATGGACATTTGTTCCTTGGGGGCTAAAGATACCTTCGATGCGTTGGGTGTGTCCTCTGTCACGAGGTAGTCGAAAACGTTGACAGGCGGGTCATTGTTCTTCACCACAGCCGGCGTGTGCTTCTTGTCGCTGGTGGGAGGAGGAGTGGGAGCAGGAGGAGGCGGGATGTTGGCCTTGATGATCTCTCCGTCAGAAGTAGCATCGTCGACTCGGGGTTGCTGGTTGCGCGCGTTGGGATTTGACTTCGCATTCTGCTTGGGGGTGTTTTGGTTGTTTTGGCCCTTGCCCTTTTGTCCCTTGCCCGGCTTCTCTTTGTAGAGGGCACCCTGGTACTTCTGATCCTCGGTCATGCAGCTCTGTAGAGGGGCAAGTCATCAGCGTCTATCATCAGAAGGAAGAGATGGTTATTGCATCCGGGTAATCCATTAGGAATGCGCAACGCATATCTGTAACAAGCACCAATGCACTCGTCTCGACCAACCCAATTAAATAACGACATACCGTGTGCGATCGATATTCAGTACCCCAGAAGTGAACCATACAATCGATACAGGTGAAAGACGCGCCGCGGCATTGGCTGCGGTGGGGATCGAGTTTTTTCTTGGTGAGGACATCGCCACACCCCTAGTAGAAAGCATTTATTAGCATCTGGACCTGATGACGCATGCGCAATATGTATAGACACCAGCAATCGGATGTTTCGAAACGATAGTAGGTATTGTCGAGGGTTGCTTACTTCGCATGAGAAAGAGACCATGTTGATCGCGGGCGTTCACTGGTTTTGCGGAGCGCGTAAGAAGAACAGTAGATGAGGGCGAGCTTATACAGCCAATTCACTCTGAGGATGGAGGGGTAAACCAGAATGCGCGGAGGCCAAAGCGACGAGGGGAGTCGGATTGGAGAGAGAAAGAAGAGAAGGAAGCAAGAAACGAGAGGAGAATAAAGTTATCCCTTGAGTCGCTGTGGCAGTCGCAGTTCGCATGCGCCAGTCGCTCTTCCCTCGTTTTTTTTTTCTTTTTTGCAGAACGCTAGGCCGAATCGGGTATCCACTAGGCCCAGTCGGGAAGTGTTATTATATTGTTGCAAGTATAAAATTGTATAAATTGTATACAATAGAGGGGAGTAGTAGTAGTGGTGATAGATGCAATATATTGCAGCAATAAAGTGGAGAGAATAGAACCACTTTACTCAAAATAAAAGAGCAGCCTTCCTCATTTATCCCCATGCGGTTTCAAGTCGCGCCTGGACGCGCGAGCGCGACCAGATGCGCCCGCGCCATCCTGATGTCTCCCCATTGCATTCTGGTTGGTTGGATTCCCCAGGGGACCCGTCAGGAGACCTGCTTCCCTCATTTGTTATCAGCTGAAGGCTTACCATGTCCATGCTGATCCCCGGAAGATTAGACTATGAAGCTGAGAGATTCTGGATTATGGCCCCCCGCCCCCCTTCTTCCCCTCTCGCCTCTCTCTCTCCCTTTCTCTATTTTTGGCTAAACTTAAACCCGCATTTTTGATACAGGAGATTCCCGCGATACGAGATGAAACTGGCATCATCCAAGCCTTTTCTAACCAGTCGTTGATTTAATATTCCTTTTTTTTTCTGTCTTGGGGCCGGCTGTTCCATGGTTAGGGTTATTTCGTTCTTCCTCCTCCCGCGGGGTCCATGTCCTCTCCATGAATGTCGTCATGGTGCTAACTAGTCTCACTAGTGTAGACTCTGGATTAAAGTCTTGTATCACGAGGCTGCGGCAGGACGATCGGACACACCCATTAGCCCTCCTCTTTGCAACATTGACGGCTAGCTCGTGTACTACCGATACCCCCCCCCCCCCGGGGAAACTTTTCGCAACCCTCTAGTTGGCGATGCCTCTAGAATGGTGGTGCACTGCAATCAACAAGCAAGACATCCCGGGTCATGCGCAACCATACAGGATCACCGGATGGGTTGATCCTGGTGCCGCCGCTCGGGTCATGCCCCGGGGGCGGCCTCGGATCGGCAGCGGGCCATCCCTGTCTTTGCAGCACAAGTACGGAGTAGTTAGCTCACTATGGCGACAAGAGGACCCCCGTGTGTGGCGGTAAAGCGAAACAATTAACCTTGTTGTGCAGCATCTGCTTTTTTGGTAGCTGTCGCTTCCGGCTAGATGCAGCTTTGTTCCTTGGCCGCGATCAGTTCTCGATATTGATATACCAGACAGAACCTAGGGATCGATGATCAGGAAAGGTGAGTATAGATATCTGGTGCTTATATAGATTCTGGAATGAAGAAGCATCGATAAATAGTCCTGTATCAGCAATAGTAGCCAGCATATCCATGGATCTTGTCAGTGTGCAAAACAACATGTGAGCGGGTCAGAGCTCCATCTATATCGAAACCCCCGGTCATTTACTACTAGCTGATCTTCCCTCTCCTCGTTTTCCCTACCTGTGTTCCTCCCAACAGAAGAACATATCATGCATTACATAATTTTCCGTCAAGTTTGGTTCATTCGCCGAGAAGGAATAACTCTCGGCGAAAGATCCCCCGAGCCCCGCTAGCCCCTCCTCCGCCGGAGCTATACAAGAGGCCTTGAAACTGGGGTACTCCGTTCAACATATCCATGGATCCCCGTGTCTCAATATGAGCCTGACAGATGAGCAAAAGGTATCTACCCCGGACGCGGATTATATTATGTGAGTTATCGCTGACGTGTTGTCAAAAAGACAATTGACGACCTCCAGGCCAACTGGATCTGGGTCCCAAACTGGGTTGATTCTTCAGATGCCAATACAGCTGGGAAAATCGTCCACTTCACACGCAGTATCAACTTGTCCTCGCAACCTGTCAAGTCAGTACTGCATTTCTCAGCTGACACACGATACAAACTCTACGTAAATGGGCAGCATGTTGCCGTCGGACCGACTCGCAGCAGTCCATTGATTTGGTACTATGATACTCTGGATATCACGCCCTACCTAAGAGAAGGGCACAATGAGATTCGATTCGTGGTTATGCGCTACTTTCACTTTTTACGCTGCGCAATGCCCTTTGAGCGGACGGCGCTTCCCGGTCTGACTGTTATTGGAATGGTGGAGACTGCAGCGGGGGAAGCCATCGATCTCAATTCTTCTCAGAATTGGCTGGGAATTATTGATCAAAGTGTTCAATTCCCGATGGGTCTTGCTGATGATGTTTTCTTACATGTAAGATTGGCTCTGGATTAAACATTGCCGGGATTGAGCTAACGCCTTTTCACAGATCAGCGAGCGTGTCGCTCCCGCAGATCCCAGCCCCACAGTGATACCGGTTGCATACAAGATGAGGACTTTGAACGGTGATATTCCGCCCTGGAATCTGCGTCCACGCTCGATTCCAATGCCCGAGTCAATACCCGCTGATGTCACAGCAATTAGAGCCTGCGAGAGTGTTGTAAAAGCTAGTGACTGGGAAGCTTTATTTGCTCGAAACCACTCTATTAACCTCCCAGCGAGTTCAATCCATACCCTTGAGGTACAAGCAGATGTTCACTCGACCGCATTTCTTCGATGGGCATTCAAAGCAGTTGCAAACGCCTCAAATATAAAGCTCAAAGTGACACACTCAGAGGGTTATGAACTCGAACCACGATCATACCCCTTCTTTCGCTCTAAGGTAGACAGGTTAGATGCAAGTGTCGGTCACATAATCGGACCATACGACGAGGTAACGCTCAGTCTTCCCAATGGGGGTGAACGCATCGTCTATGAGCCATTCTGGTTCCGCACTTTCCGCCTCTTGAAGATCGAGATCACAGTTGGCCATGAGCCAATCGAAATTCTATCATTCGACGCTACTCAGGTCAATTACCCTCTAGCCGTGAAAGCTAGCTGGAAACAGCCCGGTGATCCTCAGACCGAGGAAATATGGAATGTCTCTATACGGACGATGAGAAATTGTATGTTCGATGGATACTCCGACTGCCCATTCTACGAACAGTTACAGTAAGTGCCAGTAATATCCTAGATAACCTCATTGAACCTCGAATAACTAACACATCGAAATCAGATACTCCGGAGACAGCCGTTCCGTCGGTCTATTCCACTACCTCCTCTCAGGCGATGACCGTCTAATGCGGCAAGCGATAACAAACTTCGCCGCTTCAGTCACGCCTGAGGGTCTTACACAGTCGCGCTTCCCTTCACACGTACCGCAAGTTATAGCCGGATTTTCCCTATACTGGGTCTTACAAGTCTGTGATCATCACGTATACTTTGGCGATACGCGCTTCTCGAGAAGCTTTATTCCGCGTATTGATGGGATCCTTGACTTTTTCGATTCTCATGTCGACGACCTAGGCCTTGTCAGTGGATTACCGACGGTTGTTTGGCAGTACGTTGACTGGGTCACGACCTGGGGTGCTACAGACGAACATCCCGACAAGGGCGTTCCAACCTCGGGGAGAAAGACCAATCGACACACTTATTTCAGTATGATATATGCTTGGGTTCTCCAGAAGGCTGCTGTGTTGGTCCGTGATGTTGGTCGGCCGGGGCATGCCTCCGAATACGAAACGAGGGCAGCATCACTGATATTGGCCATCCGGGCCCATTGCTACGATGGGAAGTTCTTCACCGATTCAACAGCCGATGTCGTGGATGAGCTATCCTATTCTCAGCACTGCCAGGTATTCGCTGTTATTTGTGGCGCAGCGAGGGCGGGCGAAGCGACGCGGATCTTGACCGAATCGTTTACCAATGATCGGTTCTCGAAATGCTCTTACATGATGCGGTTTTATGCCTTCCGGGCATTGGCGTTGGCTGATGATGGCGATCTGTATGATTCGTTTTGGGAGAAGATGTGGTCTCCGTGGAGAGGGATGCTGGCTAATAATCTCTCGACGTGGGAAGAGGATGATGTTAGGCAGAGGTCTGATTGTCATGCCTGGGGGAGCGTGCCCATTTACGAGTACTGCACTGAGCTGGCGGGTGTTCAGCCTGTTGCTCCTGGTTCGTCCAAGATATTATTCAGGCCGCGGCTTCGTCTGACAGGGGCCCTGGAAGCAAAGGTTGCCGTTGGTAAGGACAACTTGGCAGAGGTCTCGTGGAGGATCAACTCCGATGGCGAGAAGATGGTTGAGCTCAGACTTGAAAAAGCGGTTGAAGTCGTCAGTCAATTGCCAGGGGGCAAGGAAGAAGGGCATGGCATCGTAGACTATCTCAGGTTCGTGTTTAAAGGCTGAATGGTAGTATTTCAACCATATCAAGTATATCTTTTGTGCTTTCTAGTTCAACATTCCGGTCCAGGTGCGGTCTTAACAAACATCAGGCACCCCTCCTCATGGGTTTTATAAGGTCCGTGTTCCATTCCAGGTAAGCGATATGCATAGGCACCAACACCCCATGACTGTCCGAGCGATAGATCCTCCAATCTCCCTTGAAGGAAGCATACTTCTTCAATGAAAGTATGTGTGATCGGCTGATTGGGTGTGGTAGTATATGGCTCCCACCATTGTAGGACAGCTTTAGATTCCCCCTCCCCGTTCAAGCATAATTCCCAAATTCCTTTCGCGGCGGAGTACCAAGGCTTTGCAGTTTCGGAGTTTGTAGGTGTGCCTGGGGCGGGAAGAGATGGGGGCGTGGTGAACTCCTTTTGTTGGAAAGTCATTTTCAGGTAATGATGAAGAGAATATAGAAGTAGTTCTATGGGTAGTTAGAAATGCGATTCTCTTTTTAAATACTAGTAGCAGTAGAAGTCTTGAAGTTGGCCATCGGAGAAAAAGAAGGTTTCGATGACTATTCTTCCCGACAGCGAATCAAAATCCACACTTCAACCGATCCATCGGCAAATTCGCCCCGAATATACCGACAAGATGCTTATTAAAATTAACTACATCGTCGGTAGCGGTGCTTCCTCAAAGAAGGCCAGGAATTAATATCCTGCTCGAACATGATAAATTCGCTCGTTATTTTCCAAATATTTCCTCCACATAACTCTCTTCATTCACATTCATGATTCCTCTCAGCTTGAACATCCAAATCCAAAGACTAAAGCTCTCAACTTCTCAGCTACCTAGTACACACTAGGAGTAGCTTCTCACCTGGACTACAAATACCTTTCAGCTTGTGTAGAATCTTTGAATATACCATATCAGCATGATGAAACTGCTGGTATAGTAATTCAACTCCGGGTGTATACCAGCCAATTTAGATTATGTCAGCAATGATGACATAAGGAAATGCGGTCTCTTATCGTCAACCCAAACCTTAGGAACCGCTTGGAATCTTTAAAAACACCAGCATTTGCTGACAACATGGCTTCTTTCCGACTGCAAGGATTCCAATCTGTCCTGCGTGGCAACTCTCGCCTGCTGCGCACCCCTCAACGTCGTTGGGCCCAGGTCCACGACGTGCGCTTCCTGGCCTCCCACCACGACCCCAAGTATGTGCAGGACAAGTATCGGTCGAAGCTGGATCAGAAGGCCAAAGAGTGAGTCTTTTTGTTTATTCCCTCTCCAATGAGATGTCCGCGAACCCATTACTGACTTCTAACAGGGAGGGTCACGAGTCAGTCGAGTCATTGAAGGAAGCCTACAACGACAAGATCCAAAACCTTCGTCGTGATGCATCCACCGTCGCAACCCCAGAGCCCAGCTCTCCGATGTCCAGCTCCGCAATTCCAGGCACCCCTCCCCCATTCCAAGCCCCTCCTCCTCCGGGTCAATCGGAGACCGAAAAGGCCGCACGCAGCGTCTCCGGCAGCAAAACCCCCATCAAGCCTCTCAGCTCATACCTGGAGCTCGACAAATTCCGTGACCTGCCGCCCAAGGAGATCGAAGCTCTCTGGCGCCTTCGCCATGCCAACACCGCCACATCCATCTGTGCCGTCATCTCCCTCGAAACATACCAGCGCATTGCTGCGGCCGCGCGCCAGAACCCCCAATTCGTCCTCCCGGTGCCGGTCCAACAAACCGTCGAAGGTCAGGTAGAAGGACAAACCGAGACTCAGAATGCTGCGGAGATCCACTTCCTGCAGTGGGGTTTCCACCCTCCGGCTGATGACTTTGTCGCTCCTCCCTCTGGTGCAACCGCCAATACACACACCTCCACTGTCATATTTACCAACCTTGGTGCTTTCAAGATGCACGGTACCTATGCCCAGCCACACACGACTGTCACGCACTACCTTGACTTGGCAGATGACAAAGGTCTGGTCCTTATGCACGGCCAGGTCATGCCGGACAGTGGAGTCTCTAATGCGGACGCTACCTGGTTGATTAGCTGTCTGCAGCGCTTCTATGACTTTGAGGGTCAGGCTAATGGCCGCAAGGGCGAGCTGGTGAGGATGTTCACTCGGGGTGATGTTGAGAACTTCAAGATTGAGGAGCTGCTCGAGGAGAGTGAGAAGATTCACTAGATTCGGACATACCTTGAATAATTTGTATAACATCTGTTTTTGACAATCTAGATAGATCTGGGCCAAGATGGGTTCAATCACATATAACTGTAACTATATTCAACCTCTTATATCCTTGAATTAAACCTATCATCTTTGATTTTCGTACCTACTAGTAATACTAGTATATGGCAATTGTCACAGGGCGAGCAATTTGCTGAAAGAACACACTAGTATTCGTAGGCAGTAACCAGAAATAAGCCGGAATACCGCTAAATAGTATACGTAGTCCGATGGAGCACCTCTCCCAAATATCTACTTCACACGCTTCATAACAACACCTGTCAAAGGATACTCAACGGTAGTCACCTTCCCATCAACCAGCGTAAAAACAAACAAATCCACCGGTCCCTCCTGATCAAGAGCCATCCACACAAACGAATCATCAAACAAACCACCTTTGCCCCCCTCAACAGCAGCCCGGGGTTCCACCGGCTTAACCCCCGGCTTGACCATACGATGAGCAATACGCATCGTCCCTTCACTCCTATAAAGAGAAGACAACGACTTGGAGACCGAGTTCAAACCAGTCGGATAGAGACGATAATGCGAACTATCGCGAGCATTTTTTCCTTTCAACCAGAAAGACTTCAATCCCAAGCCAGGATGACCACGATCCACGCTAAGCGTGACATTATTACCGGAATTCTTTTCATCAACGAACGTACCAGCTAAATTCCGAGCCGCATTTTCAGCCATAGCGTGTTCGGCCGCTGGAATGAATGTTTCCCCGACTAGATTGCGAAGCGGCCAGCGTGCCGGTGTGGCAGTTTCACCAGCGATCAGGATAGAGTATCCGATACCTTGGTCGGGCGACAAAGCGAAGATGGCAGTATAGTCGATATTTCCGCCCGCCTTTGTGTACAGGTCGGAGACTCGGGTTCGGTTTGAGCCGGGCGTGACGGGGATTTCGAGGCGGGAGATTTCCCACGGTGCGCCAACTAATTCGACTAATGTGCCTGTTGCGCTGCGCGGTTTCATCCATTCGGAGATTGTGGGACCTGAGAGGAGTTCTGAATTTAGGATTGAGAGACCTGCTTTGCGGAGGTCGGCTGTGTTGGAGTAGATGCTTCCGGTACTATATTTGATATTGAAAGTTAGTCTCCTGTTGTCTTCTGTTTATACTGTCTACTGTGGCGCAATGGTAAACCGGGATAACTTACGATGCGACGATTTCGATGCCCTGGCCCCATGCTGTTTCGTTCAGTTTTGACTTATGGGCAACAGGAGTGCGATCGATGGTGTTAAGGTTAGAGCCCTTTGGTACTTGTGTCGACGTGTTGTTCATCCCCAGGGGTTTCCAGAGAATCTCTTCGAAGCTGTCTGTGACAGACTTTCCAGATAGCCGGGCAAGAACCTGGCCTAAGATGGCAAAACCCCCGTCTGAATAAATGGCGCTGTGATAGGGAGCGATGACGGGCAGTCGTTTCTCACGGAAGAATGTAAACAGGTCTGATATAGCACGTGTTAGTCTCAATATAGGCGACGAGAGAGGTACCTCCACTGACCTTCGGGTTTATATTCTGATGGATTTTCGGGGTCGAGATATGCGTTGAAGAAATCTAGACGAAAGGAGTTAGAATCGGCATGCTAGTAATTATATCTGATACTAGACCTCACCAGCTATACCACCCGAGCCAGCTTGGTGAGCAGCCAAAGCTCCCACAGTAACATCCTCCCAGCGAACTCTATCCAGAGGATTACCGGAAGAATTATTCTCGAGCTCGGGGAGGTATTTGGTTACAGGGTCACTGAAAACCCCCATTCCGGCCTTAGCAATGATTGCATAGACAGTGAAGAGCTTGGTGACGCTCCCAGTACGTGATATCGTATTATCATTCAGTTCGCCAGATGTGATGGTTTCCTTCGACTTTTCTCCGACGTGCGAGTAACTGAAGATAGTATCGTTCGTTGCAGCTGAATATACATCAATGGTAAATGCCAAGTCTTTACGATCTAAATCGCCAGACTCGAATAATTTATCGAGAAGAATTGGAAATGCCTTTTTCGCATTTCCGATGGCTCTCGAGGTCGATGGGTCGAAGTTGGAGATGAAGGATGGTCCGATGAGGGGGACATCATCGCTGGCGATGATTCGAGCTGTTGTACTTAGGGCGAAGCCCAAGATAGATCCGACAATGGCTTTTCTTAAATGCATTGTGTCTTTGTTGTGAAAGTGAATTCCACACGTCACTTTCGATTGAATATTATAGAAGGTTGATTGTCTTTCTAGCTGAACTACAGAGAATCTTATATAGCTACGACCAAGTGGCTCAGAGCATTACAATGACGATCTGAAATGCATGTCAGCCAAGATCGAATTCCAGGCGGTGCTGGCTTGGCACACGTACGAGTATTTATTGTCTATACTTCGTAAATTGGACGTGTCGCCATCTACTAAACACAACCGACGTCAATAAGGAGAAGTCAATCCGGAGCTGATACCCACTTGGCGTTCGTGGCGGAGAACCCTAATCCTTGGAACCCAAACTGCCGGCGCGACATTTGTCCCAGAAGGGAATTTCAAGACTTGGCAGTGGTGACAGCTCAAGCATAAGGCCTCCTAGATGACATCACATTCTTCTAATTCACCTGATTTAATTCCTCCAGAGCTATTGCCAGCAAATTGAGGCTCGTGGTGGGGTCCATAAGGATCTTACATTGCGCCTGCCGCTTGCTTTTGGCAAGACCTTTTTCTATTCTTGTTATACACTGGCACATGACTCGGGGTTCGAGCTGCCCTTAGGCGTGAAGTGACCATTTCAAAAGAAAGAAGCATGTGGGTTGACTTATTATATTTACAGAATAGCAGGCCGAAAAGGAAATCATGTACCAATCCAACACCGACACAAAATCATATAATCAAACATAGAATTCAAAGGCGAGACATGAAGAGAACGCCGGGAAACAATACAAATCCCATAAGCGCGACGCCGGCGGAGAGTGCTGGAGTGAGCAGTCCAGTAGATGGTAGCGGGGAATGAGTCGGTTGGTGGAGCAAATGAATACAAAGGCCTGGTCTTGTCTTGCAGTCGTGAGAGGGGGTATCATTAAAGGAGGTGGGCTAAGACAGCCGAGACCGGGGACTGTTGCCGTGAAGTACTGTCGAGTTTGAAATGGAATGGAAAAGCGGATCATTTTTCGTCGGTCATGACTTCTTCTGTGATGAAGGAGTGGATGTGGTCGAAGTAACCTGGTTCGGCGACGGAATCGTTGTGCCCACCATTTGGTAATGTGCGCCAGATCTTGCGCTCGGATTTGCAGACGGAGAATAGCTGGGTCATGTTGGTGGGTGGAACAAGTTCGTCCTTCAGTCCGCTGAGGAAGAGGATTGGAATATCGGTGATCTTCGGCAGGGTTTCTTCACTGGACCAGTATTGATGGCATAAACGGGCAAGATAGCGTGCTGGTGGGAAGACACTGGGAGATGGTTGTCAGAGCTGGATATAAACTGGGAAGAGACGTTCGTTTTGATCACTTACGTAGGAATCAACTTGCGGATACTTAAAAAGGTATTCTCGAGGACCAGTCCACTAATATCACCCTCTTCCTGGTTGGTCGCGACAAGATTGATAGCCACGGCGCCGCCCAAACTTTGGCCATAGACGACGATCTTGGTGTCTCTTGTCTCGGGGCGTTGTCGTAGGTAGTCTAATCCGGTCTGGGCGTCGATCTTGAGACCCGCTTCGTCAGGGGTTCCCGTCGACAAACCATACCCTCTATATTCAAGCATGAACACATTGCAATGCAGGGTATCTTGGAGAGCTTTCGCAATGGGAACCCGGTGACCAATGTTTCCAGCATTACCGTGGAACATGAGAACGGTGAGGTTGCGCTGACGACGGCCCATAGGCGGACGGAGGAAGAGCGCATGAAGGGATTCACCATCGGGGGTAGGAATCTGAAGGTCTTCAAAGTCCTTGATACCGAATTGTCGGGGGCTAGGGACGTTGGTTCGAGCATCGGCAGGAACACTGCGGGGATATATCAATTCGCTGTGAGGTGATTAGAATGGAAAGCTAGGCTTAAGAGGTTGAAGGATCAGAGGATAGTCGCAGCTACTCACTTCTGCTTGAAATATAATAGACCACTAGCGACGACAGCCAGGCCAGATGAAGCCAGGACAGGCAGACGTAAGAACTGCATGGTGTTGTTTGCCATGGCGCTGATGCTCCAGGATGGGGGTGGAGGAGGGGATTCGGACATGGCGAGTCCCGGTAGAGGTGGGCGCAGTTCTAGGCTGAAGCTGTGGATATAGGTGTGATCTGAAAGAGTGACTTTTTGAAGTTGGAAGAGTAGAGACTGGAATTCGATGTATCAGCCAAGGAGTTGACTTTGCGGGGGGAGAGAGAAACAAACTGTTAGTCTAGGCTGCCTTCACCGCCCGGACGCGTGGGAGCTTCTGCTGCCTTTGGATAATCAACCACCTCCACCTTCACCTCCATCCCCCCATCAACTCCTTCTTACTCTCACTCCCTTCTCATCTTCTCATCGTCTTTGTCCTCTCTTCCTTTGGATAATCCCTATACTCAATATTCCCAACAATTCAGCACAATGGTCGCACCACACGGCGTCACCGGCATGCTGGGTGAAGGTCAGTCGAGCTATTCGTCATTCATCATCCGCAGCTAACCCGCTTCCCTCCTCCAGATGGCATCCACGTCGATATGCAGCACTTGAAGAGTGGTGAGGTCAAGTAAGTTGGAGTTCCACTGCCCCTATCATTATCATTGATCGAAGAGAAGGATGTTTACTAACCGCTTTTCCAGCCTGGGTACCTCGATGTGAGTCCAAGCTCCAACCAGCTACAACAAGCTCCCTTTAGCTGTCTTCAGCTCCTCCCGACTTCTCATCTAATCAATCGCCTACAGTATGGCCATCAACTTCAAGGACGGAGTCATTCTCGGCGCCGACAGTCGCACAACCACCGGAGCCTACATTGCCAATCGAGTCACCGACAAATTGACACAGGTGCACGACACCATCTGGTGCTGCCGATCTGGGTCGGCGGCTGACACCCAAGCCGTCGCAGACATTGTCTCCTACCACCTCAACATGTACGGAGTGACCAACAACGAAGCCCCCAGCACACAGGTCGCGGCCTCGCTTTTCCAGGAACTGTGCTATGAGAACAAGGATGCCCTGAGGTGAGTGACGCAGACCGCAGGGATGGCACCCTGCCACGCAGTTACGTTGGTGATTCCTATGCTAACCCGGCATAGTGCCGGTATCATCATTGCCGGATATGATCCCCGACACGGTGGCCAGGTGTACTCCATACCGCTGGGAGGATCGCTACACAAGCAGTCGTTCGCGATCGGCGGCTCAGGCTCCACCTACATCTATGGTTATACGGACGCACACTGGCGGGAGCAAATGACCGAGCAAGAGGGAATTGACTTTGTGCGAAGTGCCTTGCAGGAGGCTATTAAGTGGGATGGCAGCTCGGGCGGCGTGATTCGTCTGGTGGTCCTGACCAAGAAGGGAGCAGTGCGACATCTGTACCTGCCGGACAATGGCTACACGGGGCCTGGCGTGACCAATTAATGATGTACTAATAGATGCATATTGTCTGAAATGAATGGATTGGATTGGATTGGATTGGATGGAGTTGAGTGGTAGATCCTCGGCAAGAAGCATTCATTGTAAATGACAGCAATGACAGCACTGACAGCAGTCAGGGCTGACACTTTAAGTTACAGTATTGACTAGTTTCTGTCTAGGACTTCTAGTCCCTCTAGTTCCTCGTCCCCCTACTCCAGGGCTCCTGATCATGTTGATCGCGCCACTTTATACTTCCAATAGTATCGTACTTGATATCTCCACTTACTACCACGGGTGTCCACCCTGAGCTGTCATTGGATAGTAATAGTTGACACCCTCTGGAAGGAGAACCTCGAGATCCTATTAGTTAATTACTTGGGGTAATATACCGAGTGGGCACACAGTCATATCGGTGAGGCTTGATGTGATACGGATCTATCCGGAGCAATGCAGTGTAGTAGACAGTGCAGGCAGTACAGGCTGTACATGCAGTGCAAGGAGAATAAAGTAGTAGAGTAGAGAGAGGAAGAGTAAAAGCCATCTCATGTAGGAGTCCGTATAATTTGGACAGGTCGAATAGTAGTTAGTACTCTAGGATAAGCAAACCACCACCACCACCACCACCAAAGCAGTCCAAACGGGAATCCCCTATCCTTCCACTTCAACTTCCACTTCCCTCCTTCACCTCCCCTCTAACTACTTCACTTCACTTCCCTTTACTTCACTTCACCTTTTTCAACCACTTCACCAATCCATTCATCTCCTTTGGCCATCTGCAATGGCTGGCTCCACCCAACACTGCCAGTGAACAAGCTCCGGTGCGCTGATCACAAAACCTGGAAAATCGCCGGGTCTAGCTTTTCGTCATCCAAGGTAAACCCCCTCCTTTCCTTTTCCTTTCCTTCTCTCCACTTTCTGCTTTCTCTCCTCCTGAATCATCGAGAGTCAACGTCAAACTCAATCTCTTATATAACCACTAATTCATCCCCTCGCAGTTATTGCGACATTGCAACATCCTGGAGACATCCAGCATATCGTGGCATCGTTGACATCTGTGACATCTGTGACATCCCATCGTGATATTGCCACAGAAACCACTGGCCCTTCAACCACTCAACTCCTCCCTTCGGATACTCCACCCATGAATGAGCGCTGTGATCATCCCCCACCACGTGTCGGATCCCATCGATCGCAAGATGCTGGGAGGTTACCAGGACGGATACTCACGTCCTCGGGATGGCTCTAGATCGAGCTCCTCCAACACGACCCCCACCTCGACCGCCCCGCCAACCGTAGGCTCTGCTCGGCTTGCTGCGCAATCCAACGATGTCCCCGCCTACATCAATTCCCAAACTCCCACCTACCATCCTCACTCTCACCCCCAAACCCCAGACTCCCACTTCCCTCCGCCGCCCATGACCTCTCACTCTAGTTATGGGATTCAACCCGACCATCCGTCTGCCTCCAACCCTCAGCATGCCTACGCCCAGCCTCAACCCCAGCCTAGCCATGCCTCAACCGACCAGGACAACGACCACCCTATGACCTCCGGCCCTTCCACCTACGCTCAAAACTCCCCCGAATCCCCGCGTTTACACCCGACTTCCCGCTCCATGCAATCCGTACCTGGCTCCGAAGCCAACTCCCCGAGTCGGATCCGTGTCCAGAGCTTGTCGCACATCCAGAGCCTAGCCAGCGAAGACTTCCTCGCCCAGTCGCAGAGATCACATCTCCCCGGCCATGGACTCCAACCGCGCAAATATGAGATCAGCTCGATGCCCGTCACTGATATCATCGAGATGGTCGCCGGCCTTCTCACCAAAATTACCACCACCAACGATAAACACCACGAGGATATCCATCGCCACATTCCACCTCCCGACGGGACAAGCAATCTCAGTCCACAAGCGACCAGCGTTCTTGCCTTCCACGGCAAAAACGTTCCCAGCATTACCATCCTCAGCTATCTTACCCGCATACATAAATATTGCCCTACTACATACGAGGTTTTCCTCAGTTTGCTGGTCTATTTTGACCGTATGACCGAGCTGGTCAACCAGGACCAGTCACAAATTCGCTGGGAGGGATCCTCGATTGAACCATCCGGATCATCCGACAACCAACATCAACATCAACAACACCAACACACACCGGATCACTCGATAGTAACACCGCCATCATCCACGCGAATGACCGCACAGGACCCAAAGAGTCCCAACTCCTCCATATCACCCGGTTTATATCCCCAAGGCGAAGACGGAAACCTGTCCCACTTTTTCGTCGTCGATAGCTTTAATATTCATCGACTGGTCATCGCAGGCGTGACTTGCGCGAGTAAATTTTTCTCCGACGTGTTCTATACCAATTCCCGATATGCAAAGGTACGTCATTCATCTCCACCCATCTCGGTAAATGTTCAATTCCACGCAAGGGACATCAACTTATTTTTTTTTTTCGGAATCATGCAGGTTGGCGGCCTCCCATTAGTAGAGCTGAATCACCTTGAGCTCCAATTCCTCCTGTTAAACGACTTCCGTCTCGCAATCCCAGTTGAAGAACTGGAGGCCTACGGCACAATGCTAGTAGAATTTTACGCGCGAGAAGTTGTCGCGCAACAAGCCCAGGAGCGCGCGATGGCCATACCAAGAGCCATCAACCCGCCCTCAGATCCACACTCAGAGGCCATGTATATGCGCTCCTCCCGCGATAAACGACAACCAGGTCTAGGGCAAACACCCACCCCGCCCTAGATCAATTGCATCTTATACTGCCCTGCCCTGTCCTTCCGTGTCCTGCAAGCCTTGGATATCTGCTTGACTCGTTTACCATGACACGCTGAGCGTTCATCAAATAAACACTTTGGTTCTACAGGTGGCGTACGGTCAAATAGACCCCTGTCGCCAGCCTTCCATCTCCCATTTTCCTCTTTCCGCCTCCGCCTTCATTTACCCTCTACTTCCACATTGCTTCATTCGTCATGACCTGTATAGACTTTGACTTAGCCGGTGCTGGCTGATCGGGCTCTCATCTCTTCTGCTCACTTCTCTCTCTATTCCCCTTCTTGCACTTTTCCATACATTACACATCTATGGGCTCTTTCTCGTGGGATCCCTGTTTTGACGGTTTATTTATTTTCTTGTTCTCTCCCCTTTCTTCCAAGGTTTACATTTCTTTTCTCTCTCTTATTCGTCATGGTTTGGTGTTGCTGGCGTCTCCTTTTTTCACTCGTTCTTTTTGCATTGTCGCTTGGCGGATTCGTTTTTTTGGTTATAGCCTCGTGAATATAAGATCCCATTCGGATTTTTTTTTCCGTAGCTGTAGGCTACTAATGTGTGGCTTCTGCAGGCCTGTAATAGTACTAGTGCTAGTGCTAGTAGTACGAGAATGTAAAGCTTAATTTGTCTGGCAATATTCCCTGCACTCGTGTTCGTACTAGTACTAGTGAAATATGCGCAGAAACCTCATAAGGTATTGACGTAGACTTCAAGTTCGTCTCTTAATAGCTACCTACTAGGGATAGATGCCGGTATGATACTCAGGTATAATCACTAAACAGCTCGTAAAATCTCAACCATTCCTCGCCACTGGCAAATTCAAGCAACGTTCTTTTCGTATATTGGTCTGGAGAATCCCATGGTCTTATGCCTGCCGGCGGTCCCTGCGCACCTGCCCAGTGTATTGAAAGGTTATTGCTAGTAGTAACTAGCTTGAGCGTCCTCGGAAAATTTGGCGAATTTGTAGACTACTAGTAGTACTAGTAGTACCTATGCAGCTATGTGGACAGGGAGCTCAGGCCGCTTGCGTACCACCTGGGCAGGGCTAGCCTGAGGTATATATCCGACGTCCATGTCAGCCATTTTAGAGTCGGCCTTCTTTACAAGCCCAAATCGCAATACACTCGAGTATTTTTATTTATCACGAATTACTACTGTAAGTTGTTTTACAAAACTGATCTTCGCTTGTTTGAATGGTTGAATGATTGGTCCGGGCTAGATCAGCAGTCGTGGTACCATGTACCGACTTGGTGACCGAACCGCTAGACGCTAGCAAAATTAGATGACTTGAAGAGCAGGTTCCTGGAGCCCAGGGGCAAGCTATGTTTAATCGAATGATTTTGATTTTCCCCCTTGTATACTTTAGCGACACTCGTTATTGTCCTTCTCTCAGAGTCGCTCGGTGGTTATGGAATGCTGTGCTCTAGAAAAATCATTTTAAATTCTTGTAGAACTTGCAACAAGTGATTCTTCGCAGATAAAACAGATGAAGAATGTAATTACTACCCAAAATCACTACTAGTAGGGTTCAATAACTTGTATTTCAAATTTTCCAAGGTTCAAGGCTGATAGCAGCAAGGCAAAGGCTGTTGGCAATGGTAGTCCAATTGGTTCAGCCACATTCCTGGGCGCATTCCACGCATATTTCAATCCGCAGATGTTTTCCGATAGCACTAGTTGGTTGGGCTGGTTACCAACTTGAAAGCTCTCGTTCCAAGGTTCCAAGGCTCTATGGATCACATGCGGTTAGACTTGCTATGCTCTGTTGTATATTTATTTATTCAAAGCTCGGCTTCGGACATTTTCATAATTCATCAATTCAATAAAAAAAGTTTATCGTTCCTCCCGAGATCTGTGGCGTTTTTGGCGTCTTCAAATTCCAAGGTTTCCTCCGATTTCATTCTAAAGTTCAAGTTCTTTTCCATTCTTTACACTTTAATTAGTAGTCAACATGCCTTCACGAAACGAGTTGTTCGCTTTGTCTACCTTGCTTCTTCAGGCAATCGCTCATCCTGCACCTGCTGCACCCGAATCCTTTGACGATCTCAGCCAGAATGGAAACCTTGAGGTGTTTTTCAGTCAGGCCTTTGCCTACCAACCCAGTCAGGCTGCCCATCAATCCAGTGTCATGTATGGAGGTGATCCCGACGACCACTGTGGGGGCGGCGGCCACGGGGGAGGAGGCCACGGAGGAGGTGGAGGCGGATCAGGATCAGGATACCCTGGACCGCCAATTACTGTGACTTCTGATTGGTATTATTGAATATCTCCAAAGCCGGGTCTGTCAATTGCTAACTAAGAAACAGCCCACCTGCGCCTACAACTACCGTGACTATAACTACCGATGATAGTGGCCAGGGTACTGGAACCATCACCGTCACCGTCACCGACACGGTCACTGATACAATTAGTCAATGCACTGCGACAATCACCACCGAAGATGCTGCAGCCGGTACTGTGACTGAGACCGAGACGGAAACAGAAACAGATACTCTCATCTCAAGCATCACCGCATGTACCGCCACAACAACTGACTACACAACCGTCACAACCGATGGCTCAACAATCACCCAAACAGTAACAACCCCCGGTCCAACCAAGACGGAAACATCGACAGTCACCCAAGCCGCTGAGACGGTTACTCTCCCCGGATCCACCGAGACCAAGACCGAGACCAAGACGGACACAAAAACAACCACCAAAACCAGCACCGTGACCAACAATCAAATCGTCACCTCCACTTCAACCAAAACTCAAACGGAGACACTTGAAGTCACGAAGACCGTCACATCCGATGACTGCGGCGAGACCGGCGGCGGCGGCGGTCTTGACTACGGCACTTGCTCCGACCCAACTATCAAGTGGGAGTACGGCTTGGATGGCCGCACAGAGTATTCTTATACCACCAACAACCAGAAGGACTTCACTTTCGGCTCATCGCCTACCATCGGTGCCCCCGAGGATTTGGTCTGCAATCGTCTGAAGAGTCCTTGTAATGCGCCCCAGGCGACTATTGACCAGTGCTACGAGGCGGAGAAGGCTACTGCCGATTTGTCCGGACAGGAGGCTGCGGATGTTTGGAATGACATGATGACTTAGGTGTTGAGAATGCCTATCTAGTTCATATTTGGAATATTTGTATAATAGAATAATTTTTAATTAATTTCTCAGATTGGTTTGGTAATTTCAATCGTAGACCGTCTAGTGCCTCAACCCAACGTCCACAACATCATCCCCATGCTTATAGTTCGGCTTTGCTTCGAACACCGTCGGGTCAATTGCAAGAGAACCAAAACCACCACACTCGCAGAGTGCAGGAGAGTCGTAGGCAAAGCGAGACGCTAGAGAGGAACGATAGAACGAATAACAGAACCTTTCATAAGCAGTATATCTATACCGCAACCTCAGCAGCCTCAGTAGAACATTTCTTAAGGGGGAACATGCATGTGTTATTGATACTATGGAACGAACGCTACTTATTCTTCCGAAACTAAATTGCTGCCTTGTTACTAAGGCCCCAATCACCTGACTATGGGATAACGGCGTTGAGAGCGGAATCCCCCCATTACAATAGGTGTTTAGCTGCATATGGAATTTCCATCAAGTGGAACTGGACAAATAATGATAGGCCTGATCGGGAATATGACTTGGAGCCCTGTGGCATAGCATAATCGGATGCTTTTTAATCTCAAAAGAAAAAAAAAGCCAAAGAGAATAATTTTATTCGCAGATAAATTTGTTGATGAGTATGTACCGGGGTTTATGGATTCAAGTTCTCTCGTAGGTCCTTTCTCATCAGCGCCTCCCACACCTGAAAAACCTCACCATCCAAAGAGGTTGCCTCGGTAAGTGGCACGTCCTTCCATGTGACATAGCCAAGTTTCTCATACCACTCCTGAATACTGAACGGTGGCTCTACCATCCCAACTTTCGACCACAGCCCTCGCCATTCCTCATCGTATGTGTACCGCTTGCTCAAAGCACACAACGTGAGATAACGACAGCGTGGATCACCGTACGGCTTTGTGACTGCCAAATTTTCGAGTAGCTGCACCGCTTTTTTTCCGAGTTTCAGAGCTCGGTGTTCGGGTGATATGAAGAAGGTCTTTAGAGTGAGATCTATCTCGTCGCCCTGTAGTAAACCGGGTTCGAGCATTCCAGATGACGGATCGAGTGATATATGACCTGCACGAATAGGCTTGCTCTCATCCTCAGCATCCGAAATGGTGATCCAGAAAAGCTTTTTAAGGCTCGTGCTTTCTTTCCATGATTGTAGGGTTTGCTGCTCGTAGTCCCAGCCACAGATGGTTCGCTGTCTTTGGAGCTCGAGGAACTCAATCTCCTGATTGAGGTCGATAGGTTCAAGGTGGCATTGTAACGAGTGTTGTTCATTTGCCATGATTGATTGGAAATCTAGAGTCACCCCGCGAGTAAGGAAAGTATCAAGTTGATCAAAGGGTGATGTGGCCGCTAGGCAGACGGATCGGAGGTTAACGTGATTACGGATGCCAGTGGGGGCCAAGCCTAAAAATAGTAGTGAAACCTCAACTTGAATGGTTGGTTGACTATGGCAATTAGTAGTAATAGTGAGCCATTTTAGGCTCGAGGTAGTTATCTACTATTAGGAGGACTAGTACAGCATGGCGCCCACTAGTTAGTAGTATGGCGCCTTGGTACTAGTAGTAATAGTCACCGTATGCCGCCTAAGGTGACTATTAGTTACTACTAACTATGGATTACTACTTCATCATCACATACTTTGCAAACTACTTTTGAACGATTCTTACCTGAAGAATTTAACTATTTTTATCCTATAACCCAAAATGATAATTTCGAGGTTTCGAGACAAATACGAGGGCCATTGAGATTGATCCCTACAAAGGACTACCTCCAGGGCTAGTAGTGCATTACTAGATCAGAAATCAGAACTTATGCAACGCTATACCGCTCCAATCAGTGGATCTCAGGCATCTCTAAAAAAAAAACAATATAAAACACAAAATAATGTATGGCATGAAAGTAGACATCGAACGGGCATAAACTCGTAAGAAACATAAATAAACAGGCTATTCAATGCGTGGTGGGCTCCTCGACTTCTTTCCCATCGGGCTTCGACTAAGACTAGCTCTGCAAATACGTTAGCGGGAATAGAAAGAAGGTAAAAGCGGTTTAACTTACGATCTCCGACGCTCACCCTCCTTACGGAATCCCTCAATAATCTTAGCCATTTCCTTCCGTGAATGACTAGCATCAACCCTCTCCCCACCAAGACTCATGCTAACTTTCTCGTGCGCGCTAGCGCGGAGAAGGCGCTTTTCAAGGAGTTGGCGCATATTCACGCAGACGAAGACGCCACAGTCACTACCGCCATCTTGCTGGGGGGAGTCATTTAATGGCATGAAGCGGATTTGCATGTTGAGGAGAATTCCAAATTTGTGCGTTACTGTGTGCGCTTCCCAGACATTTCCCTGGTAGAGTGAATCGTAATGGAAGGCGATGCGGTCGACGATCGAGATTAGGAGTAAGGACCAGTGGGTTCCGCCTTCGGCTTGGGTGGCGTTGCGGCAGTCGTTGATTGGGAGGAAGACGTGGGAGACGCCGGCGAAGTTGGGGAGGGCGTCTTTGAGGGTGTGTGGGTTTGGAGTTTGGAGAATCATGAATGACATGCTAGGGCGGAGGAGGACGATGTTGGAGGATTTTTGTTTCGCGAGAACTTCGTGCTCTAGGTATCTGGATCCGATATGAGTTGGGGGGGGGCTCCAGGTTAAGGCTGTGTGTGGGCTTGGTCGGTAGAGACTTACTCCTCCCAAAATGAGATAACCTGTGATAGGTTAGCTTCTAGTTTAGACGGATGGTCGTGAGATAACCCACGTTGTCTGTCAGCCAGTCATTTTTTAGAGTCAGCATGTCCTCTCGTGTCACTATCAAAATGTAAGCTTGGTTTACAGAATGCGGTCATCACGATAACCGGCCTTACATCGAACATCATAGTCTGAATACGGCCAAAAATGCTTTCGTCAGTTTCATATGCCACGGACCCTTGCAAGATTGCCTTCGCGACACAACTCACAGCTCAAATAGGCATCATCTGGCGTCAACTAGGAAGAATCAGCAGCCAATCACAGAGGGGATATTCAAGATAAACTCACCATATCACTAAACCGTCCCCGCATTCGCTTATGCAACTTATTTAATCCCCCGTCTAACATGGTGGCTAGACCTGCTCAGTGGTACAATGAGATGAAGGTCATGCAAAAGAAGAGAATAATAAGACCTCAATGAGCAGGATACCGTAGTCGCCACAGACGTCCTGGCGCGCCACACAATCCACAACCACACAAGGACCAAACGCTTCCCCGTTAGGAGAGATCGCAAAGGAATCCGGCACCAGGAAGAACCAAAGGACTGCGGAGCAGCACAGCAAGATCGACAATGACAATCGCTGCTATAAGTAGAATAGAACAATGGGATATAACGGCTCGACAGATATCAAGGTCCCAGGCAGTCGTGCAAAGACCAGTGGCAAAGAGAGCTAGACGAGTATGTTCGTGGCGCTAATTTCGGGAAAAAAAAAGGCAAATGAATTGCGGCGCAGGGCGCGTCGTAGTCAAACCCCAGTTCTTGGTTTCTGCAGTAGGTGGGGCAGTCAACGGGCGCTGCGGATTGGATTGGACGGGGAGGCCGGGTTTCGGGGAACGATGCCGTCAGCCTTATGGTGACAATGAAGGTGGGCGCGCAGTGTAGGACGTAGAGGGGTAAGAAGAGTAACTGAATAAGGTAACGAATATGGGCCTTTTCTTCTGTTAGATATCACACGCCGGAAATCGGAGACAGGGAAGCGGGCGTCGCGCGACTGGTTCAAGATCTATTGCGGTGCGGTTCGGGCTTGGGCTGGGTATGCTCGGAAGTGTTTTGTCACAAGTGGTGGTGCGAGGCCAGAGTGCAGTTATGGACCGAGGGGGGTAATGTCGGAAAGCACAAGGTGTATCGGAGGAGTTATGGGACCCCGTGGGACTGTACAAGATTAAGATTGAGGTTGAAGATCATAGCAAATGCGAACTTGACTGCCCTGGCATTTCCCACCTTCCTCGGGTCACGTCACATGTAGGTCACGTGGGGATCGTTGCCTCTTTGGGAAGGGAAGGCTTCACGTACTTAATTCGTATACGTTTATATATCAACTTCCAGTACTTATAGATGATGTCTACAATAGTCGAATTTACTGTTTACAAGGATGAAGACAAGTGTAACCGAATTCATAAAAGAGGGGTATCTAAAATTACATCCCAAAGCTCCAGTAGATAGTAGATCCATCACGCATACCCTGAGAATACAGGAAAAATGAAGAAATATGGAAAGAAAAGGAAACAAAGAAATATGGCATATGGCCCGCTAAATAGAGAAGGAGAAATAAACCCGGTTCAGGGAAGCAGGGGCTTAATATGCGATGCATGAAAGAGAAGAGGAGTCAGAGGTTCTACTCTGAAGAACTTAAATCATGAGCCAACTTTGGAGAAATGCCTGTTCCAGATCCACCCGACCTGATGCAAGTCATCATCTTGGTTTCGCGCAAGCCATAGCTCACCCTTTTCACCGATGACATCGAAAATGTCACCGGATTCATAGGTGAGATATGGATATCCTGCTTCGCCGCGGCGTTCCCCCTCGTAATGGAATTGCTCGACACTGGCTGCGAGGAACAGCACTCGAGGCGCGCTTGGGTGGTGCTCAACCGGCGGGTGGTTGTCGACATGGTTCTCCTCGTGAGGGTTGTCAGACATAGGCATAGCGGAGGAGAAAAAGCCAGAGTATCGACCAGCTGGAGAGGTTGGTAGATTATGATCACTCGACGAGGCGCTGATCATCTCTGCGAGGAAAGGCGTGTCGAGACTCAGTCTTGGCAGACTTGGGAAGGACTCTGTCTCCACGGGCTTTGGGGCTTGCGCGATACTCGGGGTGGATGATGAATTTGTTATTTGCTGTAAAAGCTGACTGCGGCCGGTCTCTGGTGTTTCCGGGGGTGCTCGGCCGGAAAAGGTGGAATTGGCACGAGTGCGACTAAAGCTGGATTGACTGTCGATTTGAGGGGACTGGAAAAGCTGGCCAACGCCACCATAGTCGTGAGAAACTTTGGGTGAGTCTTCCGTCATCGAGTCGGGACGATGGGTAGAGCTGTTGACGGTAGAAGGTCGGCGGGGGGAATTGACGTTCGTTGAGGGCGTATTGAAGTTGACCAGGTTAACCGCGTCGGCTAGCAAAGATCCATTGCAGATACCTAGCGTGAGGACCTGGGCCTCGGCAAAACCGTGGTCATTGGTCCAATCGCTGAGAATCTTCTGGAAGTCCACGGGGAAGTCCACCGGGAGGCCCTCCACATGAGGCTCTAATTTCCTTTGTAGTGCCATAAGGAATGAAGACTGGAGATGGACAAAGTTCTTGAGGCAGGCTTGCGTGAGCTTCCACGACAGGTTGTAGAGTTGGGGAAGCTCTTCCTTCAAGGTTTCATCAATAGCTTGGAAATGCGCCTCCTGCTCCTTGAGCTTCTTGTCAGGAGTATCGCCACGTTCCTCAAGAACCTTGTAACGCGCGTGGTCAAGTAGTCGCTTCTCGCGCCGCTGCATGGCTCGAAAGGCTTTGGAGTGCATGGCGACTAGTTCTTCGATCGGTTGCCTGACAGCTTTCTGGACGGCTTCGATCTAATCAAATGTTAGTATACCCTGGCTCAGCTTGTTTCGGGTGAATGGACGGTGGAGTAACTGACATGCTCAGTGACGAGTACGGTGCGGATTTCAACGGTCGTCGTCTTGAAGTGACGCCACTTGCTCTCTAATTCGGGATAGCCTGTCTTTGCCACATCGATCATCTCTTCGATCGCTAGGGAAACCTCGAGTAGTTGCTCGGCGAATTGTTCAGCCTGGGAATTGTATAACCCAATATCTGACACGATCACCCGCAACTGTAACATCTTCTCGTCAAATCTACAAGCCATGGCAGCGTAGACTTTGTCATCGAGTATATCGGACAAGCCAACTTGTTGTCGCAGTTTCTCTGTACGGCGTCCAAATGCTTTGGTCAGGTTCGCACGCACATCCGATTCTTTACGGCCGCGCCCGAGGGCTTGATCAAAGAGTTCAATTCGACCCTTCAATTTGTTGAGACGTTCCGTCATCTCGTTTGTCTTTTGAAGAGCTGCGACGAGATTCACGTAGTCGGGATGATCCGTAGGCGTGGACTCCAGGAGAGAAGTTAGGAGAAGAGGGTATTTGAGCACGCGCTGGAAAGGCTTGACGAGTAGCGAGCTCAGATCCCAGGCATCAGTGAGATCGGACGCCCATTCTCGGCATTCATTCAGCCAGATTGTCACATTTTGTTTCTGCTGCATGGTTTCCAGCTTCTTATTCGCAGGATCGCGAGTCTTCAAATTGGTAGCATGGGCCTTTTCCATTTGCGAAAGATGGGCCAAAAATGCTTCACCGACGGAGGTCGATCGGTCCTTCTCGAGATACGACTCGCTGGTACTTGGGTTGGTCAAGCCATCGGGCCCACAGGATCCGGGTCGACCGTTTTGCGTACTGCGCTTGCTGCTCCAGCGCTGTGACTTTGGCATGACGTAAATGCTGCGAGTGGCCTTCTTCAATGTGTCCTGGAAGGCGAAAGAGAACTGCACAACCTGGTCGGAATTGCCGAAAATGATTCGAATGTCATCCTTTGTCAGATCAGAACACGACCCAGCAGTGCCTTTGTAAATGTCGTCGACAACCTTCATATCACGACCGAACTTGTACTCCGTATCGACTAGCTCTTTGATGATGTGGCGCCGCTTCTTCAGTCGCCTTTGTTCTGGGGATGGCGACTTGCGAGCCTCCACGTGAACGCGATGCTCAGACGGAGCTAGCGAAGTAGCTGAAGAGTCTGCTGCTTGCGGAGATTGAGTAGGTTCGAGAGGCCGGAATGAGGAGTCATCGCTACTGCCAGCACTATGGCTGACTCGAAGTGCTGGAGCAATGCTCGTCGGAGGGTAAGCAGAAGAATCGAAGGTCGTGTTAGAGTCAGCAGGCAGCTCTACTGGCCGGCGAGGAATCTCTTCAGGGCCCTTTTGAAGCGACAGACCAAGTCCAGATTGAGCATTACCAGGTTCGCTAGCCTGGGTGGAATACCCCATGCGAGGAGTTGGCATTTCTTCTGGTGAGAATTGCAGATCATCGGTCTGGGGAGTCGCTGCTTCATGCTCCGCCTGGATCTTCAGCCAGTCATACATCGACGGAGAAGCATGTTCCCAATCCTCTGGGCCTCTAAGGCTGGCACCAGGGCGAAATGTGTCATCTACGGGGATTTCTTGATACCCAGGAATGACAACGGGATCCTCCGTCAGAGAGTTCACACGACCATCGGTCCGGAGATCACGTTCATGGGGTCGGTGTTCCTCAGGGACAGGACTTGGGATATTCGTATGTTGAGTTCGTGTTAACTCTTGCAGATAAAGTTGGGTGGCAGCACGCGAGCTCCATCTCCCTTGTCGAGCAAGGCTTGGTGGAGTTGAGAACACCTGTGCGGGTCGAGTTTGCATGGCTTCAAGCGTGTCAGGCCCCATAACGCCAATATCCTGGAACGGGTAGTCCCCAGCTTCATCTGTCTCAGGACTGGACGAGGCTGCGGAGCATGATTGGTTGGTCGACTCAATTTCGTGCTGAGAATTAGGAGCATACATGGTCACTTCATCCCCACTCTCATCGCAAGTCGAGTTTTGGTGGCGGAGAGAAGAAGACCATGAACTCATACTCCACCTATTGTTTGGATGGACAAGAGCTTGAGTTCTGGGATTGATTGTCGATCCCGATGGGTCCTCTGCATTATTTGCGGTGCCCTCAGACTTGGGATAGTTCGAATTGCGAAGCATGATCTGGATCGACTCTTTATCTTCGGTATCAGAAATGCTACAATCAGGCTCATCGCAAGACTCGCTGCCGGAGCTCGGCTCACGAATTTGCATAATATGATCCAAGATGGTTTGATGGGATAAGCTAGGCTGTCGCTCCTGCAACCCAGACTGCGGCTCTGGGTCAAAGGTCGTCACATGGGTGCCACTTGAGTCTGAGGTTGTGGCAGAATGAGGAACGTCGTTCACCATTGGATCCGACGCAATCCGTGGTGCTCGAGACAGCTCGTCCGGAATACCCAGTGTTGGCGAATCCATTGTGGTATGATTAACATCGCTGTCAGGTACATTGTTGGCGGTGTTGAGATGAAGTTGGGGGACAGTATGAGGCTCATTTTCGGAAGCACCAGGTGGTGCGGCCGTCTCAGTTACAACCGTTGTCGACATTTCAAATGGTTGTGCGGTGGTTGTTGTCGCTGTATCAGGAGTCGTAACTTCGTCTTCGGCTGGTGAATCGACTTCTCCGCGGGCAGCGTCTCTTTCCCAGGCGCGACGTCGAAGCTCCACGGCAGCTTCTTCCTTCCGTTCATTCTCTTGAACAGTGCGATTTATTGCTTGCTGGATTCGTTGTCGACGTGTCTCGAAATCAACGTTACCCAGTTCTGGTAAGGGACGACCTCTAGAGCGGGGAGGGCGGGCCTCGGTATCACGTTCCGAGGATTTTTGGAAACTGGAGACTCTTTCCCCAACTTTGGATCGTGGAGAATTTGGTATACCATGTGAAACAGGTTGTCGGGGGCGTGAGCTGCGCAATGGCGGTGACTTTTTGGGAGGCGGTGCAGCGATGTATGCTTGGAGAAGCTGGTTCCGTTCGGGTACCTGGCTACGGGTCCGGCCAATCGTCAGGTCCCGGCGCCCACGAGCCGTCATCGCAAACGAAGCGGGTCCATCGGCCGCCATGCGGGTTGGGCTACTATCTTTAGAAGACGGTTTAGGAAGACGACTGGTGCCCTTCGGGGCCAGAGGAATGCCTGTCGATCGGCTGCTGAAAGTCGGATTTAAAGTCGGATTATTAGGGCCGGAACCAGTACTGAGGCGGCGCGAGGAGACTGGAATGCGGGACCTGGAATTTGGACTTCCAGGACTGCCAGGGCTATCTGGCGATCCATAGCCAGCTTTGGCCAGCTGCAAGGGTGTGGCGACTGCCATGTCAGGATCCCAAGGGTCCGTAAGGGATTGGGGTTCACGCGGCGTGCTTCCCACCAAGTCACTTCGCACTCTGCGATGACTGCTGGTCTTACTTGCTCCTGGCTGAACTGCTTCGAGAGAAGAAGCTTGTCCAAGATACCAAGCAGTTGGAGTGAGGGGAGAAAGTGCAGATGGCGGGTTTGACTGGTCGAGGAACGCTGGGTTCGGGCTTGGGAGACTGCCGTCAGAACCTCGTCGTTTCAAGTGTGCAGGAAGACCGAATCCCAAATTATTCAATTCAGTATTCACCGACAGCAATTCACCAAACAGCGGTCGTCGCGGGTATGATTTCGGGATTCGTTGGAAGAGAGGTGGAGGAACGACTTCTGCTGCATCGAGTTGTCCAGGCACGAATCTCTCTTCCTCGGAATATTGATGGGTGGAGTTGAGCAGAGGTTTTGGATGGCGGGTGATTGAGCCGTGCGGAGGAGAATCACGAAGGGTTCGACGTCGAGGAAAGGTCTGATGACGTTCAGAGCCGTCGGCACTACCGGCAGGGCTTGCAGTTCGTGATGTGGTTCGAGAGATAGAGGGTAGAGGGAGGACGTTGTCCGATGTGTTGTTGAACTTGTTAATCAGATCTTTGAAGGAGGATTGTCGCGATTGACGGGGCCTCAGGGAGGAGGCCGCAGATAATGCATTTGGTACGGGACCACCCAATGTTGGCGAATCAGATACGGAACGATATTCTGACCGTCTCTGGCGCGAAGGATCAAGGACGTTTGTCGGCAGTGGAGACACCCGATCATTCAGGTCGCCATAGCCCGATGCCATACCATCGTTCGCACCCGCGGTTGCATCGCCAAAATTGCTTGTCACATGAGGATCCTCCGTTGTCAATCGGTCTTGTTGTCGGTAGAAGTCGTCTGGGTCGGGGGAATCACGGCCAGATGGGTGGTGGTGTGAGTGATCTGGTTGGCCGCTTGACAGCAAGTGGTTTGCGGTGGCCGCGCGGGTCTGCCAGTCGAGGCCTGATCGAAGAGGAGAGGTATACGTGGAGTGAGGAAAGGTTGTCATCGGTGAGACCTCAAAAGTTGAGGAGCCATGGGGATCGTCTGGGGATTGGCTGAAGGATGGAGCGGATGATTGTCGCCCAAACGGAGGTGGCTGGCGATTCCGGGAGCCAAATGGTTGTTCAGGACCACTGCCAGACATCTTGCATGCTTTAGGCCGACCGACGTGGACTGGCGGACGGCCTCTCGGCGGGGAGTGGGTTGGAACTGATGCGATGCGCTGTTCCGGGATAGAGGCCCGACGTGGATGTCGCAGATTTGGGGGATGGGAGGGGAGGGACTCAGGCGACAAAACAATGCTGGGGTGGTGCACCCCGATTCAGCAGCATATTTGAGACACACAGAAGCACCAGTAAGCGAAGTTGAGGTCAGTCAAGGGTGTTTGCCGACGAGAGATGGAAGGACGACGAGCTCGGCCTGGACCGTGAAGCACTTGGAACGGGAAGCGTTGGAGGGAGTGATCGGCTGTGTGAAGAGCGCTGGGGACATTAGCGTAGGGTGACGAATGGGAAGAGTCGAAACAATTAGTGGCCCTGACGTTTGTCCCCAGTCAGAAGCTCGGGCTGTGATAGGCAGCTGGGAGGGGGGGGCCGGGGGGGATCCGTCTGCGCCAGGATGATAGTGCGCTGCAGAAAGATTCAGAATGCCGGCCAGATTGCTAGCTTGAGCGAGAAGGGTAGAGGATAGGATGTAGACTGCAGAATGCAGACTGCAGTGGTGATCAGGGAAAAAAAAAGGCTGGAAGAGGGGGATGTGATAGAGTCGAGTCGGAGATTGGAGAGCCGACAAAGCGGAGAAGGCGCTAGCATCGAGGCGATCGTCACAGAGTGAGACTCTTTGTTCTATCAGCACCGTAGTATAGTACAGAGTATAGTTATACAAAACGTAGTATAGTAATAGCAATGGTAATAATAGTAATAAATTATTCATTTTCAAAGTATTACTATACACACGGTATCATTTCCATACTCTATGCTCTACTCTATACTCTACTATACTCTACTATACTCTACTATACTCTACTATGTCTATACTATACCATCTCGGTTCATCCAGGCACAGGCACAGAACCAAAGCAAACGTGGATTGCGCAGTGGAGACGCAATGGCAATCGAATGGGCCAGACCGCCGGTTCCGTGGGTGGTCGCTTTAATTTCCGTTTGATTTGATTTTATTTCATAGTTTTTATTTTATTTTATTTTAACTTATTTTTACTTATTTTTACTTATTTTTTAAGTCCCCATTTGATTCCCAATTTCCATACCCATACAAAATATATGACTGAATTAGTCATAGTGAATACTTCGAGCAGCAGTAGCATTGGTGGTAGCAATTGCAGTTACCCGTGGCCATAACTCCCGCCACCACAGTCCTCCCTCCAGCACCCGCAATCCACGTGTCACCACATCCGCCCTGCTCTTGCCACGCCCTCTCCTCTCCCCTCCACCGCGACGCGTATCCTCCCATCGCCAACTAGACTATCTATGAAACCGGTTCTCTCCATTCCCTCTTCCCATCCCCCATGAACTCGTAAAAACTCCTCATGGCCAAAAAGCGAAAGAGACCCGGCCACCGGCCCACTTCTCAGCCTCAAACATGTATCAGCTCCTCCCGCCGTTTCAACCCTGCTGCACGAAACCCCCCCCCATCCAACCCACCCCGTCATCTCGCTGTACTACCGAGATGTCTTCACCCTGCGCCAATATTTACTACGCCGCTTGCCCCTTTCCTCCAAACTTCGCCGACGCCGTATCGCCTCTCTAGGTGTTGTTGCTTCCGACCCGGCAGCCACTAATGATCCCATCTCCCATCCATTGGTTGATCTACTCGATACCACACTGGTCGGCGTGTTAAAGCAGCCCTCGCCGAAACTCGCCTCCGAACGCCAACAGGCCTATTGCGCCTTCACCCAGTCCCAATCGCGCTCCATTCTCGTGGGCACGGACACTGGACCGGTCGCCCCCCCAATCTGAGGTATCTCCGCAGAAGATGCGACAAATCAATCAAATCTCCAGAACATGAGATAAGGAGCTTCGTGCTAACCAGCTTCGAATTGCAGCTCGTTGACTATGTGATATCAAACATCTTCGGAGATCAATCTTCTTATCGCGGTCCGCAGCATGTGCTGGCGCATGGCTTCCAACACGCGAGCGAGAATTCGGTCGATAGTGGTATTCCTGGTGTAGCCATCCAATTCCCTAACCGAAATGTACAGGCATTGAAGCAGACGCCATGGGCGGATGTTCTGGGACTGCTGGGTCAGAATGGGGAGGAAATTATGATTCATCTCCTACTTGACTGTGGTATCTTTGTTCCTTTGGATGCGTCAAAGGGCATTTTTTATCAACTAAGCGGTATGATTGGACTGCCAAGAACAAAGGAATGCACTCATTGCTTACCGACTGACATCTTCCACAGGAGTCCCATTATCGGGCTTGGAGAAAATCCACAATTTGACTTCAACGGCCAATAAACCAACGGCAGTTCTCGGGTCGCCGAAAATCAAGCATCAAGGTCTCGGTGGTCGCGTCAAGAGACGTTCCCCAAATACCATCATCTTCCCCCGTCGCCGTGTTCTTTATTGTAGACTAGCCGGTGGCTCAAAGCAGAAGTTACCCTTTGGGCTTGGAAGCAGTCGTATGTTTATTCTCAGCGCCCTGACCGGCTTTGGTCTCATTATTTTCCAGATGTTCTCAATCGCTTCTCATCCTTGGAATCGACCAATGAGACGATCCATTTCATGAAATACCTTTTCCCTCGACAGTTCGGCTTGGACAATGTCCTCGCCGTCTCGGCCGACCGCAGTAACAACAACCAAACACAGAGTCACGAGTTCCGTGAAAATGAAATTTCCAAACGCGACGATCACCGATACCATCGGCTGTCGGACCCTGCGCAGGATCGCACGCCGGCAATTACCAGAGATCAACTATCTACAAAACTTCCTAAGCGCCTCCGAGGCCAAGTTCTAGCGTTGACTCAAAAACTCCGAGTCCGCCACGCTCGATGTTCGTATGGTGCGCTGCTTCAGCACTATTGTCCGGCTGATGTGAGTTCTCACGGCTCATTTTTGACAATTGCCTGGCTAACACTGAATAAGTCAAATGGACCTTGGAGACTTCCTGCCTGCCCTGAGAATAAAGAACCGGCGTCTTCTACAGAAGAGGCCTTGGTTACACAACCTCAGTCTAAATCACCGGCGACGACTAAACTTTCTCTCAAACCTGAGCCCAATAATTTGACATTGCATCCCCGCGACACGATTGGTCCGAAGAATCAGGAGGAGAAACAAAATCATCAGTCACTGCAGCGGCCCAGATCCAGTGTTACAGACTATGCGACCCCTGCCGCAGCTGTCTCAGCCTTCTGTCGGGCTGTGCTGCAGAAGCTATTGCCTAGACAGTTCTTCGGAGATGGAGTTGAAGGCGAGACAAATCGCCGCATTATGCTGAAACATGTTGATTCGTTTATCAAGATGCGTCGATATGAGAATATCAGCCTGCATTCCGTATGCAAGAACATCAAGGTCACCACAATCCCCTGGCTGATACCACCCAACCTGCAAGACCAATATGCCGAGACCAAGCGAAAGATTTCCCTGTCGGATTTTCAGAAACGCACAGAGCTACTGCATGAGTTTGTGTACTATGTCTTCGACTCGATCGTCATTCCCCTCATTCGCACCAACTTCTACGTCACGGAATCTCAAACCCACCGTAACCGACTTTTCTTTTTTCGCCATGATGTTTGGCGGAATTTGAGTGAACAGCCGTTGGCAGATCTCAAATCAAAGACTTTTCAGAAAATAGACCCAGAACCAGGCCCAGGTCAGCAAAGAAAACAATATCTTGGATATGGGTCGCTTCGCCTACTCCCAAAATCAACGGGTGTGCGGCCGATCCTTAATTTGGGAAAGAAGGTCCTCCGGGAGTACATCAAAAATGGGAAGAAAAGGGCGTATTTCGTTTCCATCAACAGAACTATTACTCCGATATCCAATATGTTGATGTACGAGCGCCAGCGAGATCCCAAAAAGGTCGGGTCTTCTCTGATATCTATGGGCGACTTGCATCCGCGCCTAAGGGCTTTCAAAGACGGCCTTGATAGTCGTTCGCCCACCTTGCACACCAGATCCACCGCCTTGCCCAAGTTGTATTTTGTGAAATTGGATATCCAAGCCTGTTTCGACAACATTCCTCAGAAGCGGCTTCTACGTCTCATCACAGATTTGGTCACAGAGGAATCCTATCGGATCACCAAGCATGTTGAAATCAAGCCGTCGGTAAATGGAGCCCAGGGTAAACCATTTCGTAAATGGGTAGGCCGTGCCGCACCTCTAAAGCAACAACAACATCTGCCCGATTATCTTGCCAGTGTGAATCAAATTCAAAAGCCAAACACAGTCTACGTCGATGACACGGAACAAAAGGTCCAAGATGCTGACTGGCTCTTGAATCTCCTGGATCAACATGTTCAAAACAACCTGGTCAAGATCGGCAAAGAGTACTTTCGACAGCGAAACGGCATTCCCCAAGGCTCCGTTTTGTCCAGTTTACTTTGCAATTTCTTTCTAGCCGACCTGGAACACAATTCTCTAGAATTTCTGCAGCCCGCAAACTCCCTCCTCATGCGATTCGTCGACGACTTCCTACTCGTCACTACGGATGTCAACCAAGCAACGCGATTCCTACACACCATGCTACACGGCCACCCATCCTACGGCGTCGTAGTCAATCCATCCAAAAGCCTAGTCAATTTCACAGCATCAGTGGGCGGCACACACATCCCCCGTCTGGAAGGATCAACCCGATTCCCATACCTGGGCTGTTTAATCGACACACATACGCTAGAAATCCACCAAGACCAAGACCGCGCTCTGGAAGGCGGCGATCTCGCCGCCACCGCCCTTTCAAACTCCTTAACCGTCGAGACTAGCGCTCTACCGGGCCACACTTTAAGACGGAAGGTCCTCGCTTCTTTCCGTCAGCAGATGCATCCCATGTTCATCGACGACAGGCATAATTCCCGCGCTGTCGTTCTTGGAAATCTATACTCGCGGTTTGTCACTGTCGCGATGAAAATGTACCGCTACATGAAATCTCTACAAGGTCGGTCTCATCCCAAACCGCCCATCATCATCCAGACCATTCACACCCTCATGCTCCGGGCGTTTGCGATCATCGAGGAGCACCGCTCGTCCTCCGGGCCAGGGCGAACGCCAACCGCGACTGCCACTGCCACTGCCACTGCCACTGCGACACTGTCCTGTTTTGTGAAATTCTCACATGTGAGGTTCCTGGCGGCGTCGGCTTTCCGCTTTGTGTTGAAGCGGAAGCAGACGCGATATGGGGCGGTGTTGCAGTGGTTGGACGTGCAGTGGAGGGATTCGAGGCCGATTACGGATCGTGAGGCTGTGAATATGGGACTTGTTGTTCAGAAAGGGAATGCTCTGTTTGAAAACTGGCGCTTTTAGGGGGGTGGGTTCAAGCTGCATGCCAGGTCAAGGCCATGAAATTTAAGTAGATCATAATGAAATAATGCTTGTACTAATACTATTCAACAACATGAATCCAACATTCGAACTTGAATCTCGCGTGCATTTCCAAGATTCTACCTAGTACAAGCAGCCCTGTAGCAATGTCTTCAGGGCTTGTATATACACGTGGTGAGGTATTTACCGCATAATTTAGCACTCAAGGCTGAGACCTCTCGGAATGTCAGACTCTGTCAGAAGAGCTGCCAAATGCATGTCTCTGTGCCCGATGCCATCCCTACCTATATCACGTGATGCTGGCCAGAACGTTCTGCCGGGCTGGCAGGACGCAGTGATTATTGATTTTGATTCATCCCTTTCTCATTGTACATCATGCAGATGCCCAGGTGATCTGGTGCAGCTGCCAGTTTGTTTGAACTATACCGTGGTCACGATGGTAGTTGCTTAGGGTGACTGTCTGCTAAATATAGGGCAATATATATTCAATTTAGATGCGGTCTAATCCGGTTGCGGATCTTCTCCGACTCCTGCTAGTACCTAGGTACTGTTTTATTGATGCAAGTAGCGAGGAGACCTCCGCTATTTGAAGCATGGCGTTTCTTCAGCTATCTACTTCATACTAGTACTACGGAGTACTACTACTAGCAGTAGTAGTGCCAGTGGTATCTGAAAACAACTTGAAATTGTCTTGGGGCGTATCCAATGGAAGACCCTGTGGAAGAAGTGGGCTGGAGACTCTAGTACTGCTACTAGTAACTAGTGCCAGTGGACGAGATATCCCGAGGATATCTTCCAATGAGAGAGTCCCCCTGGTCAGGTCCGTACCATCAGCAGGCAGACCGCGGATCAACCGGCAATGGACAAGCACCCGAGTGGATGGTGCTTCTTCAACCTCTTGGATTGCTGGGGAATTCCGATCGAACTCCAGGGCTTGAATTCCTTGAGGATGCATCGAATTACACTAAAAGGTCAGGAATTTGCCAGGATCGACTGCGATGTTCCCCTTTCCAGCAGTCCCTGATCTAGCAGTGCCTACTGGATAGTGCCGGTGGAGTACGTAAAGATACTTGCGCTACCATATACTGTTGTATGTATTAGCAAGTACCTTTGTGTATCACGGGTCCCCCCTGTTCTCGGCCAGCCTGAGGCTCCGCTTGCACTCTTCCATCGTCAACTTTCTTTCGCATCCGTCTCTCTCTCTCTCTTCATTACGCTCTCTCACTCTCTCTACGCCCTCGTTTCTCCTGTTTTGTCTTTTATTTTCTTTTTCAATTCCATTCCAGTCCCTCTCTTATCTCTCCTTTCCGTTCTCATCCCCCTCCTCCTCCGACCGGCTTTCTCTTATGCTTTCCCCCCCCATAATCGACGCCTCCTGATCCTTCCTTTTTTTTTTGACCCCCCCTCGCGAAACGACTCTTGATCTGGTTATCATCCGCCTGTGCGCCTGCGCCTGCAATTCGTTTCATATTCTATTCACGTTGATCGTCTGTTTTTCCTGTTTCCTACAACAGAACGAATCCCCCCCCCCCCAATCACCTCATAAACACCGCCCCCTCCACCTCGTCCAGTCGAGACCCCGAGCCTTGCGTGCGATCTCGACCCCTTCCGCCCGCTTCGACGATTCTTACCCATCCGGTGTGACTGTCTGTGGGCATTTGTGTGTGCAATATTTTGGGAGACCGATGACATTTGCGAAGAACTTGCGTACTTGAACCGAAGTACATGAGATCATGACCACCCTCTGTTCGACCCCGAATTCCCCGCCTGAGCTGTCGGGCTCCAAATCCTCCAAGTCTTCCTCCTTCCATTCCTCTCAGATCGATGGCCCCGAAACCAGCTTCACCGACATTGGGAATTTCGAAGAAATTGGCCTTGAAGATGACGCTGAACTCCCGGTCGCCGACCCAGCAACCCCCTACGGCCGGTCCGGTCTGGCGGCGCGATCGGCTCAAAGACTCTCTAGCAAAAGTCCAGCGGCCACAACTCGCGATTTGACGGCGACCCCGAAATCGCGGCAGCGAAGTCCTCTTCCTCCAATTCACAACCAAATCAATGGGGCTATGCGCACTCCTCAGTCGGCCGGCCCCTTGTCTGCGAGAACTGCCAACCGGAGAGATTCAGGCAGCACGGGCAATTCGGGCGGACTGACACCAATTCAGCCTCGACGGACGCGATCAACTTCTCCATTGCGACCAATGTCCAGTCGCTCCGCTTCCAGCACCAGCTTGGCTCTCTCCCCGCTCTCCGCACGGGTTCCCCCTCAGAAACAAGCTTGGCAGGCATCCCGCAAGTCCGTGAAAGACCTCGAAGACGAGTACCACGATTCCGACGATGAGCTCCCGGATGATGCCAGTTTGTGGAACATTCCCATTTCCCCTCGCCCAGTTCAAGAACGCGCTCAGTCTCGCAACACGAGCCCAAATGGCGGTGCTAGTCCAGGTCGACAGCCCCTTCCCATCTCGCACACCGTTTCTGAATCAAAGGACAAACCCCCCAAACCCGGATCAGCATCCAAGGCCGCCCGCATGCAGCGCTCGCAACGGGCAAGTTCAGCTGGGCCTGAACGGGGCCAAATTTCACCGCGTAACCCCCGTGCCTATTCCTATAACAGCTATCTCTCGGATCTCTCTGAAGAAGCGAAGATTATCACGGAAGCTCTGGAGTACCATGCAGGCGAAGAAGAGCGTCAACAGGAGGAGAATGTGCAGAATGGTACGGCTCCGCGCAAGTCGAGTTCCGAATCACAAGGAGCCGCTGAACCGATCGAACTACCTCCTGTGCAAAAGTCGAATATCATGATCGACCCTCTGCCCATCAGCAAAGAAAAGGAGAAGGTTTTGACGCGGACACGCCCCAGCTGGCTGCCGCCGAAAGACCAAAAAGAAGAGAAGAAGCACTTGAAGGAGTACAAGATGATGATGGCACAATCTAAAGAAGCTGGTAAGTAGGACTCGTATGATCCACCCATCCGCATCCTTCTAACGCACAATGCAGAGAAACGGAAAGCGGCCCGAGCTGCATCCTCTCAATGCGAGAAGGACACCACCCGGGATACTCTTCAGAACCTCTGGGATGATTGGGTAGGCCCGAATTGGGATCGTGCGATTTGTGAGCCACGGACCCGGGAGCTGTGGTGGCGTGGAATCCCACCTCGCAGTCGAGGTGTGATGTGGAGACGAGCTATCGGGAACGAACTAGCTCTTAGCGAAGAATCATTCACCAAGGCTCTCAAACGTGCCAAGGTCCTGCGATCGAAAACCGACACGGAGCCGAGCGAAAGCAATAAACGACTGCTGGAGTGCTTCGATGCAATTGATGGAGACGTGTCGAAGGCCTTCCCTGACTTGAACCTCTTCTCGGAGGGCGGGCCCTTGCGAGATACCCTCGTCGATGTATTGCAAGCGTACTGCATGTACCGAAGTGACGTGGGCTACATCCATGGCCTTCATACGATCGCTGCACTTCTGGTCCTGCAATTCCCTACGCCATCATCCGCCTTCCTCGCCATGGCCAATGCTCTCAACCGCCCCCTTCCAGTCGCGTTCCTGACCTGGGACCGCGGCGCGATGTCGCGAACCTACGCCCTCGCCTCCGATACTCTGCGCTACAAGTTCCCTCGTGTTGCCACGCACTTGTACGACACCCTCCGTCTATCCGATGAAGAGATCTGGGAGCCAACCTTCCGCTCCCTCCTTACGAACGGTCTCGATCTGGAACGCGCATCTCGAGTATGGGACTGCTGGGTTTTCGAAGGAGACCGAATTATGATTCGCACGGCAGTCGCCATTATGGGCAGCATCCAGTCTCAACTCTGCTCCTTCCAACAGGTAGACGACCAAACCCGCCTCTCTGTACGAAACATCCTAGGCTGGGGTCCTCGCGATACCGGTGCGAATAACCAAAAAGCGAAAGATCGCCATAGTGCCCCTGCAGCCGCAGGTTTTGGCGGCGGCCAGGTTTCTAATCCTGGCGTGGCGGATTACTGGATCCTCACTGCTACGGGAGACGAGGACGGTTTCATAAAAGCTGTACGTGAGGCTGGGAAAGTTCGACAATGACCCCGACCCTCGGAGACTAGCTAGACGAAGCATTGCTAGCTAAGCTACATGGCCATTAATTGACACGGGCCTTTTTGTCTTTTACTTTATTTGATTGAATTGCATCACTCACTCATACCCTCGCTTCATGTTTATACACGCGACTATCAACCCAACACTCGTTTACTGAAGTATGTATTTGCGCCACGACACATATTTCCGTCCAGCTCAGCCTCGACTAATGACGACGGTGTCTCCAATCGAATTTCGCAGAGAGACACCAGATGCCTGCTGTCTATTGTCTATTGTCTACTACTTGACTGCTTCTGCATTTGTTCGCGGGCCTGGACTGGCCTTTCTGACTTACCATACATAGCATGCATGGAACATGGTCTGTCTTGTCTTCATTGATTTTACACCCGCAACGCAATCTTCTTTTCTACTCTGTATTCTTATCACGTCCAATGGTCCCGAATGCTTCAATCTCGCCTTGGCGTTACGAGGTGGTGCTTGGTATACGTAGCAATCCAGCCTTAACTGAACTACTCGTGCTTTGTCTTCAACAAAAGCTTGTCTTGAATACCACTGTGTAGTAACTAATTCTGCGCGGTATTTTACTTTGACTTTCTTAAATGGCTGTGGCGGATTTTCGTTCCCCGCATGTCTTACCCTCAGGACTGCACTAGTCGATCTGGATCTGGATCTGGTCGATCTGGACAGGCTGTGGACTCGGATAGAAAGTCTAGACCTGTATCTAAGACATGCCAAGACGGGCCCGGATTCAGTGTCCGGACAGGTGAAGGCTTGGTACATGACGATAGATAAAAACCTTAGAATGTCTTTGTTTTCTGTAATGTGCAGAGAAAAAGTACTTCACGAGCGGTCCCCATCTAAGTAAGCCCTGGAACGGGCGAAAATAGAGGGCCACATACTCGGTCTAGGCGGACGATAGGGTATATGGTATCAGTTTTGGCTCCCTAGTTTGAATAGGTATGAAGAAATTTGGTACAACTAAAGTAACAGAGGAATCAAGAACCATAACTTGAAAAAGAGATACAAAATCGAATCGCAACGTACTATTTGACGAACGGGGAAATTCAAGGAGATTCAAGAAGAGCAGAAACCTTGGAAGGAGATACAAAATGAGTAGCAACATATTTGACGAACGAAAATTTTCAAGAAAACTCAACAGAACCTTGGACTCGGAATACCTAGGTGTCAAAGAAATCGGAGAAGATCTTCGGCACCTAGAACCACCCAAGGTCACTAATACTTCGACGGGTCGGATGGAGACGGCGCTCTGGAAACTATAGTATAATATCATGAGCGTGGTCTTAGACATTCACACGATGCCGATGACTTAGAGTCTACTTACCAAAGACTATTGGAGTGGCCAACGATGACTCCTCGCGGTTGAGAATATTCAGAGTCTTCAGTCCGGCTTCTAGTTTCTCAAGCTGGCTGGTGTATCTTTCTCTGTCGCTTTGTACATGTGCTGGCTCATCGGCTAGCGATCGGATCTGTTTCGTGTCCATGTTGCTAACAGCTAAACTGGTGAAAATCCTTTCAAGAGGAAGGAGAAGACAATTTTCAATAGCAAGAATTGCGACATTGTCGATGAAAGTTGTGATAGAGATCTATTCAATATGTTATCTCGCCGTCTTTGCTCAGCAAAGTTCATGAGCCACTGTTTACTTACGTTGTAGTATGTTTCGACTTGGTCAATGATCTTCATGGCGGGAATATCTTCATCGCCATGTGTTGTTGTATGAGCGGCTGTGTCGATTTGGTCAAAACTAAACAGCCCCGGTTGTTCTGTTCCATTCTCAACAAGCTTTTGTTTCAGTACATGAAGTTGGCGAAGCCTCTGTTCGTTCATGATTCGAGCGAGGTATTCCCTTCTTACTGGGAGTGGGTGGCCATATTTTGAGTGGGAAGTCAACTCTTCAAGCTTTTCTAGCACAGAGAAATTGAGCTTTTCCAACTCAGGCGCAATTATATCCTTGTATATCGCCGAAAAGGTGTTTCTGTCAGTGAGATACTTGAGCACGGAACAGACGAATTTGGTCACTGCATCATGGGCTGTCTCGATGTGCATCCTGGCGATGTTTTCCCAAGGGGAAGACTGCTGACGGTAGAGCTCTCTCACCACAAGTGAATTGGGCTCACCAGGCATCTCACTTCCCCTCTGTAATACCAAGCTTTTCTTCGTCTCCTCGATAAGAACTTTCAGTTGGACGTTTTTGGGGATCCAACAGTCCATGTACTGCTTGAATCCTGGCTTTCCGAGATTCGTGAAGTGAGGTTCCACCGAGTTAACATAAATAATTGTCCGGCCACAACCGCGAATCGTTATAACATCGACGAAATATTCGTTGAGCTGACAAATAACGGCACGCAGTCGACGTCGATTATCATGAATGGGTGCGTCATCTTCTAGCTCTTTGAAAAAGTCATGGTTGTAAAACCCAGTCAAGCCTTGTGTGACAATGTTTGAGAATTTCGTGCTGATATCAACAAGGAATGACCGCTGCTCCTGAATAGTGGATCTTGGCGCCCCAAGATTCGAGAGGTTGTGCTTGTGACTAGCTATTTTGCCCTGGATGTCTCGAACCAATCCTGGGAAGTTCCGACGAACTTGGTCGAAAAGAACATCACTCAGACGGCGTCTAAGGCTCTCGATTCCCACATGCGCTCGAGAGATACTAGGCCATTTACCTGTCTCGAAGAACTCCTTCTCTTCCCTGTCACGTTCGTTGTCGTCAATGTTGCGCTCTGCATATGCTCTGTTTCGCAGTACATGCCAGCCCAACTTTAATTTCGGCTCTTTCTCATTCCTGATATACTCCAGCCACTCATCCTCTTCCTCAGAGCCTGAAGCCATAAGGTCAGGCGCTGTGACGATACCAAGGACCCTTTTAAACTCTGGGTCGACCTGCTCCGCTCTGTCGAGAATATCCTGATGGACATAATTGAATTTGGCGCTTAGAACTGCGAGAATGATACTGCGCTCGTTACGCATGTATTTCTCAGTAATCTTTTGAACAAATTGGATTCCTTCAGTGGTTTGTTCTTTGCTTTTAGCCTCATAAAGCCCTGGTAAATCGACAAGGGTGAGCTCAGGCTTTTCAGGGCCGGAGATTTCAACCTTGAGAACATCGTCACTGAACCCTGTGGATGATTCGACGGCACTGTCAATGCCCATCCATTCCTGTGCCCTTTCGACTAAATCCTTGAAAGGGGTATCATCGTCTCCCTTGGGAAAGACTTCCAAGCAAAATTTCTGAAGCCGCTCTCTATCCTCGTCCGATCGGGATTCCCCTGGGTCAATTGAGACTTTGAATCTGGGCTCTGGACTTCGGCGCAATATCACCTCCGTTGCAAATCTGGTACAGAGTTTGGTCTTTGTCGGAAAACGAACTCGAGAGATCGCTTCCAGGACGGAACTCTTTCCACTGGATTGTTTCCCACAGACGATGAGTTGCGGCAGTTCCACGAGGCCGCCTACCCCGATAGTCCGCAATTCATCAATTTTATCAAAAAGGATCTTTGCATTGGAAGACTGTAAGCCTTTGAGGGCTTGATCTTGGGACGAATCCGGCATCGCTAGTAGTGATTTCGATGTATAGGTATAAACTTGAATTTATCAAGAGTACTTGTATAGAAAAGGGTCCAAGGTTTTCAAAAAGGAATAAGACTAACAAGGAGCTGGTAGAGTAGGTAGGAAGAGAAGTTGGATTCCTGGATTGAAGAAGAGTTGAAAACCCGCACGATACCCATTTTTATAACAGAATACCCTTCCAGGGATCTTTTGGCCCCATGCATTGAGATCCCTGTATAGTGCCATCTGGATGCATTAGCCCCATGCCACAGTGCCGCCTTCCTAACACATGCTATCTTGTTTCAGTGGCTGGTCAGTTCGTTGGCGGATCCTATTTCATTTTATTAGGAAGGCCGATGCGCCATGTTTCATCGAGGCAATATCGATGCGCTGAAAAGGCGTTGAGGCTTGTAGTGGAATTTTGGACAAGCGTTTATGCATATGCAGATATGAGAACAACGCTGCGAAACCTGTAGCTTGCTGTCGGCGAATCAATTCTCAATCCAGCGGCAACTGATTCGATAAAATTTCATAAACACACTTGGTTGATTGGGGGGGGGGGAGCAAGATGTACTTTTGTTAGACCAAATCCACTTTGCACAGTACTCTTTCCCCATTGGGCATAGCTTGGTAGTCTGGAGCCATTGTGCGGAGGCACATCTTGCGCGTCGGCAAAGCGATGAACTGCATTTGCCAAGAGACTAGAAGTTTCATGCACTGGAGAACGTGACCCTAACGCCGAATCATCCCGATTACCAGTCAACCTACGGTACAGTACCGATGATCCTGGCGCTTGAGATTTCCGTGACCAGGTGTTCTTCACGTGCCATTTTGGGGAGGAGCAGGGAGGCATTGAAAAAAAAACCCCCGGCTGGGCTTAATGGAAGATGATGCAGTCTTGGATTCCCAATCAAGGATATAGGAAATTCCTGCTTGGGACATTTCTTCATTATCATATAAAGACATCTCCAGCCCCCAAAACAAAACACGCATAATATCATATGTCTATGTACAAAGAAGTTGCCTTTTAACGCCCTACCACTCGCGAGGGGTGATTCGTGTATCTGTTTGATGTTGAGGTCTTGGGTCGTGATTTGTGACTCTTACGCCATTGATCGACAATATAGCATGGGATTTCCCACTAAGCTTGCCGGCGCAGGAAAGCTTGGAAATCCTTTCGCTTAAGGGGCTTGACCAGGAAAGTGTTAATGCCGGACCCCAGAGCCTCCTTCTGAGCACCGGAGCTATCAAGCCCAGTTAATGCAGCGATGATTGTGGGTGGAAGCGCGTTTTGAGCTGATTCGGACAAACCGGCACGAAACTCCTTTTCTATACGTCTAATTTCCCGTGATGCTTGGAAGCCATCCATTACGGGCATTGAGATATCTAGTATGGTTAGTCTAAACGGTGAAAAGAAAATAGAATAGACCTCAGGATCAATGGGGAAATATGAAAACATACCAATTACGATGGCCTGGAATGATCCAGGATCGGCCTTAAATAGGTCAACTGCCTGAGCGCCATCCTGAGCCGACTTGTAGGCAATTCCATCTTTTTGAGCATAGGCACAAAGCAGCTGAAGATTGACATTATTGTCATCAACTAGCAAGATATTCCGTTCTTTGGTATCCTGTGTGTCGTTGCTCGGTGTTCCTTCCTCGCCGTTTAGAGGGAGTTCTGACAGAGAGGGTTGTTTTGGATCAGCCTTTGGACTTTCTGGGCCTCGACCAGAGCGCCCATTCTCCTGTTTGCTCATTGTTTCTGTGGTTGGCCGCTTGCTAATTTTCATCCGTTCTTGTGGAGAATCGCTGGCATCGATGTCTACTGGAAGATGAGAGGATTTAGGCACCTCTACCCAGAGAGTTGGCTCGTGACTTTCATCTCGTCCTTGTTCATGTTCCCGTTGTCGTTTGATGCACATATTCATGGCCCGACCCAGCTTTCTCGGCCCACAAGGCTGGCTCACAAACTCAAAGAATGTTGCTTCACTTCGGTTTTTGGAAGCAACATACATGCGATGAGCTTCCTCTGGCGACTGGCAGATGACGATGACTGGGGAATTATGAGAGTCTCCAAAACCCAAACGACGGGCAAGACCGAATATGTCCCTTCCTCCAACATCCTCGCAATCCAATTCTGTCTGCACAGCTAAGAAGAAGTCAAAATCAAAGCTTTCTCCCTCCGATGGTGAGATATTGGTCACTTCAAAACCAAACCATTCGCGGCACATTCGTTCTAATGACGAATACAGTGCTGTGTCACGTTGAGACCGGAAGGACTGTCCGAATCCTAGGATTCCCATTGTGTGTCCTTCGGTTTGGGCTTTCAGGGAGGAGATGGATCTCGATGATGACGAATCTGAAGTTGTAATTGACTTTACGAGTGGTGCGTGAATTGAAATTTGAGTGCCCTGCCCCAGAGTCGATTCAATTTCGATAGAGCCTCCGAGAAGACTGACAGCCTGGCGTACAATACTCAGCCCTAACCCACTGCCTGATGCAAGAGGATCCTCCTGCTTAAAAGGGCTGAACAGGTCGTTTTGTAGGAACTTCGGCCCAATGCCCTTTCCAGTATCTTTCACGGTGATAGTGACAGAGAACCCCTGCGTTTGCTTGCTAGGAGACTTCTTTGGTGTTGACTCGGAGCTAGAGATTGAAGATGTTTTCAACCCAAGGTAGATATAACCAGAAGAGGTATACTTTAGTGCGTTGCCAAAGACGTTCATAAGAATACGTCTCCAGGCACCAGCATGAGTCTCGAAATCCCATTCTGTGCTTGAGTCAATGTCAAAAATGACCGTGACCTGACTAGCTCGGGGGCCAACAGGATCTGCTTGCTTAGTCTGGCCGGCGGATCGCGAGGAAGACTCTGTAAGAGCCGGAGGAGGCGCCTGTGGATGATTATAGAAACAGTGACCAGCAAACACACAGTCGGTAACTTCCTCAAGAACAGCATCCAGCTCAACATGAGAAATTGATGGGTTCTGACCAAGGGGTATATTCCGGTGTGGGTTTGATTTCTTTCTGCGCTTTCCATTTTGAATAGTATCACCTTTCCTGTATTGATCGATGAATGTCAGATCAAGCAGGCTGTTGATAGTATCCAGCAGAGTACGACCACACGACTCGACTGTATGAACCATCCCATGCTGGAGTGCATTCATGGCTGTGTCACTCAGAATATCGGCCGTGCCCAGGATTCCGTGCAGTGGATTTCGGAGTTCGTGCGTAATGCTACTGACAAGGTTGCTCTTTGCCCTCTCCGCTACCTCAACATCAATGCGCCGAATTTCCGCCATTATACTGTTTGCGAAGGCAGATGTATAGACAAGTTCATTTTCCAATGTGAAGACTCGGTGCGGCTCATTTGTCCAGATCAATGCTCCCGCAAACCATCTTTTTCGATCTGAGTCCCAAATTGGTAAGACGAGGACGTTTCTGGCGCCGGAAAATATTTTGATCAAGTCATCAGCATGCCGCTGGAAAGCTGGTTTGCGTCTGCGTTTGCTGGACGAGCGACGTTCTTTCTCATGAGGCATGGTAGTGTTATCAGATCTTGACTCTTTCTGGGCTCGAAGGTCACTGTCCTCAGAGACCGAGCCATCTGAATTGTATGTAAATATTTTCCCTTGAGGGTAGCGGTTAATTAGAGAGCTAAAGAGCGGCTCTGGTACCGTGACTGCGCGCCCAGCTCTTGCCTCGTCATTAATGCTCGACACCCTTGAGCTTGAAAACCCTAGGCATTCAGACACTCTCGGGTTACCATTGTCAGAATCCTGGTCGGTGTCGGAAATAGATCTACGAGACGATGATTCTGAGCCAGTGCTGTCATCTTCGGCGCTTGACTTGGTATCATCGAAACCACCGGAGCCAGACACTCTTCGCTTGGTTTCATCAACCAGATCTCCGAAGCGTTGGGAATTTGCATCAAGAAACATCACCCCTTCCGCCCCAATTGACTCTCTCAGTAGATTTGCTGCACGTGAAAAAACGTTCCTTATGCTGGATGGGAAAGTGTCTTGGTTTAGACCACTGCCTGTTAGGACAGCTCGCGCGGAGTTCTTATCTTGAGAGAATTCTATTCCGGGTATTTGTTGTTTTTTTGCTTGGTCCGGTGGTGGTTGATCAGAGCTGTCCGATTTAGGACTACTGGCTCGAGGACGATGAGCTCTGTGCGATGGTTGTCGAATTGCAAGAGTTTTCCTGCCCGTTTCCTTTGCAAGCTCTTGTAAATCCTGCTGCTCGATGTTCAGCTTACCCTCTGTAGATTCCCCAGAGGTTTCTGCTGCAGATTGCTGAGCATGTGCCTCCGGCCATGAGTCGCGAAGTGTGGATCTTCCTTCGACAAAGCTACCAAGCCCAACAATCATGCGCTCTGCTCGGTGGTTTTTAACTGTCGCCTCTCTCATTGACAGGTGTTCCATCACAGTCGCAGCCATGTCCTTCAAAAACTGACGAGAGTGTTGATCGGGTTCTGATGATCTTGCCTTGCTGTCCATTACGGTTAGAGCACCAATCTTGTATCCCCGTGGACTGATTATTGGAACTGCGATAAAAGAGCGAATTTCCGATAGCCCAGCCTGCAGGTTTGAAGGGTTGAAGCGCTCATGGTGTTTCATATCCAGGGCAATGAAGACGTTGTCCTGGTCGCCTATATCTCCAGCCTGGTGCCCACTGAGACGGCGCGGTGTTGACTCGACACAATGACATAGCCCTCTCTCTTTCGGGAATATGCAGCTCCCCAAAATTAATCGCTCAGTATCATTTGCCATGCGACCACCAATTAAACTCAGGCTTGGAGTGGCCTCCGCCAGTACATGTTGGTGGGTCGAGTCAAATAGAGAAATAAAAGCTCGCTCAACGCCCAGTCGATTTGTAGCAAGCTGGGCGTAAGAAGTCAAGGCCGAGTCCGAGGAGGCTTGTGGAGTAAAGCCATCACTACTGGCACGGTCAAATGGAGCATAGCGCGACGAGGATTGTTCGTGTGGAATATATCTGTCAAGAACGAGCAATCGGTTAGCTAAAAGGAACTCAGACTAGCTGATATACCATTGCCGGGGCAGTCTCAAATGGTAATCAAGGGGTGGAATCATACTTGTGGAATTCTCGTTCTTGCGCCAGTCTATAACGCGAACGTGTACCGACACTTATGATGGCAGCCATTGTCGGCGACGATCATATGAGAGCAGTGCAGATTCGCGCGGGGCCCATGTTAAGTAGCAGCGTCGGGGAGTTATAAAGAGTATTGCAAATTGGGCTAACCCGGTTTTCCACAATTGTAAAAGGGTGGCGCCCAATTATGTCTATGGATTCTTCGTAGCGGGTCCATCCACTGGACCGACGTCATCGACAAATCGCCCACAGGGAATTATACTACTAATTTCGCAAAATCCACAGATTAACAATCAAGGGCTACGAATATGAGGAACAAAATAAGACTCCTAAAATGAATTTACTGTAACTGGCGCCCTCACAAAAGCTTGATGTTGGGGGAGGGGGGTGGCCGTTCAGGGTAGGACATCTCAGCCAAACATGAATTGCAACAAAACGTAAGAGGTTTCATTGGACCACTGGTCTAGCTAGTTGCGGAATCCTTCTCCCCTTTAATGTCGCCGAGTCCATTTGATGCATGTTTCGGAAAACGCTGCAATTGCGCATTTAGCGAATCATATAATTTGGAGCCTCTCGTTCTCTTGCTCAAGCTCTTCGCCGCGATCACGAAAAGCACAAGCGACGCGTTAATTCTTCTGTATCCAGTATGGGCACTGGGTGTGACTACCCTCCAAATCACCATGACTCTTCTTCAATTTTGCTAGCTCTCTTTGGGCCGCCACCATCTCGGATCTGAGCTTTATGTTTTGATCCGTGTAGGTATTGATCAAATAGCCGCACAGTTGATGCTCCTCTACCACACCATCAGCTTTCTGTTAGAATGAGCGCCTTGCCGAAACCGTATATTATTGAGTGAATGTCAACATACTCGTTGGATTGTGCCAAATTTATAGCGTCGTTTCTTCGATAGCCGGGGTGGGTGTGTTTGGTCTCAAGCGGATACAGCTATCTTTAACATCTTGCGAAAGATTTGATGAAGGTGAAGTTCCAGGATGAAAGACAGCGAATCCAGCCAAGCTCAGAGAGAGTGATTTATCGAAGAAGGCCGCGGGTAAAAGAAAATTGTTAGAGATTGGGCAGAAACCCGGAGATAGCTTCTCTTTTAAATACCTAGGCGCATTATTTGTTTCCAATTCTCGAAACGTGGCTTTTCACAGTAAGTATTGATCAATTAAACAAGTCAATTTCAACTAATAATTACATTTTTAAACTATAAAACAGTTTTCTGTTAAAAATTAAACGTTAAGACTCAATACACAAAGGACTGCGGAGTTAAACAGCCAAGTGGGCCTAGCCTAGGGGTCCATGTGTTAAACACCCACCATTAGACCTGATCTGGTCGAGTGTATGTTAAACACCCAGCATAAGGACTGATCTGGTAAGTGTACTAGTATGTTGAACATCTCTAAGTCATGTCACAATCTAGATGAATCTAGATGACAAACACCTAGGACTAGATCCAATCCAGTTGACAGTATGTTCAATACCCTCCAATGCTCCAAGCTAAACACCCCAAACAAATATCCAGATCCATGTGTTAAAAATTCAACTCTAAACTTTACCAATAAGAGTATATATTTAATGGTCACCACGAAGTCAAACTGCGTAAGTATTAAACAGCCTGGTAGACCCGACTTATTCTCAGGCGACCAATAGTAAAAGCCTACCTGATTAAACACTCCAACGTCAGATCGATGGATGGTTCGACTTTTGAACAAGATAATCTGCCCGAGGTCTAAATTCATCTTTCTCATTTAATTATATTTACCCAGTACTCTATTAGCTTGGATAACATGAAAGCGATGAACAAATACCCTGGCGCTTCTTCCGAAAAATAAAAGAAAAGCAAGCAAGGAAACACCAGGCTAAATTAGACACGTAGCCAAAATTTTACGACGTTAAGCCATGCGCAAATGAGTTACAGTCCCACAAAAAAATGTAGCTAAACAGACTCAAGTCGACGAATCACCAACGTTAAGCGTAGAAGGGGGGAGGGAAATGCGATAGTGAGTGGCAGATTTGATAGAACTACCTACGAGCAAGTTCGATATCATGCTCAACTCCGGTGAGCCGAGTGATATTGATCTCTACTTCTATGTCATGCGATTTCCCCAATTTCATTTCATTTACTTCGTTATCACTTCTAAATACCAAGTCAACTACCCCGGGAAACTTAAGTTCGACCTGTTTCTTTCCGATCGCGCGTATTTACCCAACCCTCGCCTATTCTCCTGCTGTGTCATATTCTTCCTCATAGCCTCCCCACAATAGCTTCAATTCTCATGGATCATAAACATGATTCTAGTTCTAATTGTACTCTTAAAAAGTCTAGTCCTGACTCTTGCGCGGCCCCAGGGTTAAACATCACTCCAGTCGAAGGGATCCGTGATTCTCCGCCTTGTCCAGAGTATCGGTAACACGAGAACCGTCTCCATCAAATAGCATACTGTCGTAAGTAGCCGCGCCGATGATGCAACCGATAATTGGGGCGAAAAGGGGCACAAGGAAGTAGTAACCAGCTGCCGAAAATACCTCCCGACCGTAGAGAATAGCAGAGAATAACCTTGGGCCGAAATCTCTAGCAGGGTTGAGGGCCTAGAGATAAATTTAGTCATTAGTCTCCATGTAGCTCACAGTAGTCAACGGCTAGTAAAAAAAACATACGTAACCAGTCTGCCAGCCTAGTGCTGCTCCGATGCTCAGGAGAAGCAGAAACATGGATAATTGCGGGGCAGGGAATCGCTGGGCATTTCTAGGATCCGAGATACTGAAAGCCCCAAACATCAGCACAGCTGAGCCAAGCACTTCAGAAAATACGGCTTCCCAGTTTGATGCGAAGGAGGCAGTGGGGTAGGTCGAAAAGATTCCTGCCGAATGGTGACCTGTCGGGCTTAGGATCGATCCCCAAGGAATGGTATACTCGGGATCCCAAGCCAGAATAGCCGATCGATAGTTGACATATACGAGCGCAGCACCGACGAATCCACCCAAGAACTGCGCTAGCAGCTTCCCTGGAATGGTTTTCCACTGGCCAGCAGATGGACGGACAAGAGCAACACAGATTGTCACGGCCGGGTTGATTGTTGGACTGGGATCGGACAGATAGTTGGAGAGACAGACGGCAGCTGCCCATGCGATGTTGATGGATAACCAGGTGCCATACTGGTAGTCGGACAGCAGACATTGAGCGACAACTCCATCTCCAAGGACAATCAGTAGGGCTGTCCCGAGGAATTCAGCCAGATATGGCTTCAACACCCGGCGAGGAATCATTCGAACCATTTGTATGATGGATGATATTCCCAAGGATTGTTCTGTTTATTCTGCCAGTGTATCCCGGACGGCGGAAGACAAAATTCCTGGGTGGTTTGTGCTCCTCACTTAAAAAGGGGGGTTGGGGCTGGCGCTTGACGTCATCTTAGATCGGAACTGCCAAGCACGGCATGCCGATCTAGTATAGCGTTGATCTATTGCATTGCATTGTTGTACTAGTTGTACAACATAAGATTACAGTCCATGTGACGGATAATTAATTTTCGCATGTGAACATCCGAATCAACGAAACTAATAATTTCACCCCGGGTCTTCTGCTACCTAACAATTTTGCAAAAGAGCCACATACTAGTTACTCAGTAAGTCTCAGAGCAAAGCAGACTCTTAGAACATGGAATGCAGAATTTGTAACGTGGGTCACTTTGATATACTAAAGTACAATCATTTCAATACTTTCAAAGGGGTTTCCGAGGTTGCTTGAAGGTTGATTTAAACCTTGGAACTTCCACCTTGGAGGTTATCGGCTTGCCGAGGAACGTACTATTTATATACCCCTTGCTCGGTTCGAACCTTCCGTATGGTACAGCAGTTCTAGAGGTTGACTCAGGCACCTAGTTCACTTTCTTAGAACATCCTTTCCTGAATGCCTTCAAATTCAAGTCATGGAATCATTTCTTAACGCTCTTTATTCGTCTTCTACCCGAGCTGCGAACTTCGAATTCCTATTCTTCGGCTTTGCCGCTTCCATGTGTGAAGGGTTTTTACCATCGTCGGCGTCGTTAGCACCCGTGGCTGGGCGAAATAAGCGAAAAGCCTCTATGATCGATTCGTTTTCCAGGGCTGTCGCCAAGTGAATAGCCGTCCTCTTTTTGTTGTCTAGGACGTTCCAATCGGCACCTCTCCAAACCAAGCGCGTTACAATACCCTCGTGTTGCTGAGACACTCCAAGATGTAGAGACGTATGCCCGTTACGATCCTGGACGTTAATGTGTGCTCCATGATCTAAAAGCATCTCAACAATGTGGGTATTTCCTATGGACGCTGCACAGTGGAGTGCCGTCCGTTTCTCCTGATCCGCAGCGTGGACAATATCGCCTGCCTTCTTGATCAACAACTCTGCAACTCTCATTTCTTGTTCCTCAACAGCCCAATGCAGAACTGTGCGCTCGTTGTCACCCCCCCTGTTTCGGATTTGCTTCTTTCTCAAGCAATAGCTTCACTACCGAGTCGCTTCCTCTGTACGCGGCAATGAGGCGTTAGACCGAGCTTTGTCTGCGCGTTGATGTTTGCCCCTTTCTCAAGCAAGAGCCACACAGCCGAGTGGCTTCCACCAGATACGGCGGAGTGCAACGGCGTCCGGCCTAGTTTTGTCTCCGCGTTGATGTTCGCTTGATTCTCTAAGAGCAGCCATAGGATCTGGAGGGAGCTATTGCCGTTGCGACATCTTTCTGCTACAAAGTGGAGCGCCGTCATCCCTTTCCGATCCGGCTTGCCGACGTCTGCTTGAGCCTGGAACAACAACCATGCGGTCATCGCCCGGTCATAGTTGACTGCCCCTCGAAGTGATGTCAAGCCATCCGCATCAGTCGCATTCAGATGAACTCGCATCTCAACTAGGAGCTTAATGATATCCTCCCGGCCCACTTGTGCCGCCCACCTGAGCAATGTCCACTGGTCACCGCTGGAGGTCTCGATCGATGCCCCGTGCCGGATCAAAAGCTTGACTATTATCTTATGACCCCGGTATGCTGCCCAGCGTAACGCTGTCCACCCATTTTGTCGCGCGCGTCCACTTCAGCCCCAGCGCGCAGCAGCATCTCGACTATCTTCAATTGACCGTACGCGGCCGCCCACCTTAGGGGCGTCCATCCTTGAGTGTCTTGGATGTTAAGATCAACCGTCCTTGTCAACAGTAATAACTTGACTAACGCCTCGTCCGCACCGTCTTTACCCACGATTTGTGAACGTTCCCCCTGACTCCATGCAATATATGATTGCCCCAGTACTCAGCCGCATATTTGCAGAACGGATAGTCACTGCAATCGGCGTCTAACTTATCCTGTGAGTTGGGTGCTTCATTAAATTGCCTGGGTGGTATATTGGGGAGACAAAGCAGACAAGCCTCGGCTATCGCTGAGTGTGCGTCCTGAAAACTTGCCGGGCTTTCAATTCTGAGGTATTCCTCTGCAGTATCGTGGGCCAGGCGGACCGATTTGCCTTTTTCAACAACAACAATGCCAGCACATGCTGAAGTGAGAGCCCTTTCAGTCCCAACAGTCAAATCAGCTTTGGGCAAGGGACGGTCCCAAGGTTGAAATCTAGCAAAAGCATTCTGAATGGCGATTGCATGTGTCAGTTCATCAATTGTCAATGCTCTTTCGGCAAAGACGAGCCATTTAAGCACGTTGATGGCCAGGTCACGGTAGACAGGGGTCTGCATTCTTATTCTGTCTAACGCCGTCCGGTATACCTCATCCGGCGTTCTTAAGAGCTCAGCTAAGCCACGTGTGAATCCCTCCAGGTTATGAGTATTCTCAAGGAACTGTATATGGAGATCAACGAGCAGAAAAATGTCAGCAAGACTTCAATGTATAGTGATAAATTGCTGAAACAAAACTTGCACTCCTTGAGACTTATCCACTTTGACGTCCAGAGCATTTTCTAAAAACATAGGGCTTTTCTTAAGCCCAGATTCGACCACCGATTTTAGATGTGAATGGCTCTCGATAGACCGGCGCAGGTATTCTTTCATCTTATTCGGATCAGCAGTGACATCCATTTCAAGATTTGCGTTTATCTGTGGCGCAAAGTTCAGGCCCGGCCTCGATGTGAAGAGCATATGAGCCTTTACTGGGAGCGCTCGAAAAGCTCCTAGAAAGCTGCTTAAAGTTTGATTTTTGACATCGTCAATGCATTCATCCAACGCATCAATGACTATAAAAACGTTAGAGAATGTCCTTATTTGAGCCTTCAGCATCTTCATGTACTCGTCTGGACTCGGGTAAGTGTGTCTGATGCTTCAAGCTTTGTATATCTCTTGGATCTCGGCAGACACAACATCGCGACCCAATAGAAGTTGCAGTAACAAAGTGGACAAAAGGTTTGTCGGGCTCTGAACTTGATGTTTCCTGTAATCAAAGTAAATGTAAATACAGGCTACATTCTGATAGTCCGAGTAAAAGGTCTGGAGGTGGTTGATGATAATCGATCTGTGACTTTGGAAATTAATACTTGAAGATTCAAGGGACCAGATATGAAGATCTTTTCTCGTACGCGAGGACGGTTTTCCCGATTTCTGCTGAGACCATTAATATTGCATAAATGAGAAAATTGGGTAGTATCTTCTCACGATTACCATGACGCCACAACTTCCTCATGCCCCCGTCCCTCCAATCATCTCTCCACTCAGTGAAACTTCGTGACTTAAGCAACCATTGCCCAGAGCCAGGTGTCTTTTTGGGAATTTGGAACATTTTATGCTCTACCTCCTCGAATGGCAGCGGTTGGGAAATTTCTTCAAGCCAACGTACAATCATAACTTTGATGTTACCGTCTTGCATCTGTAAGTAATATACACAATAAAAAGACTTCGTGGGGCAAACTAACCATTCGGATTGTATTGATTCGAATATTATACTAACTCGACTACACATCAGTTGATTCCTGAAAATCCGTCTTCAACCCTTCTTTAGACTATTCATGAAATCCATACCAAAGCTCATACGGCGGAGTGAAGTTTGTGTCCCATTGTATTTTCTTGATTTCCTCCTGTAGAAACAAATCCTCTTGCGTTGTCTGAGTTGGTCTAGGTAACGTTCGCACCCTTCGTGTCGAAGTCCGAGTCCGGCAGGGACGGCTCGACGGCTGAGAGCTCATTAATGGCATTTTCCAGCTTCACGGTCAGCCCCTGGCTAGTCACATTGAACAGCTGGTGGATCGCTAACCCTTTCAAGTTGTTTAGCAATTCCTGCATGAGCGTCTCAACCTTACGCGACTTTCCCAGGTAGACCACCGTTTTACGATAGAAATTGGCGAGGGCAGACCACTCGTTCGCGTCCTTTTCCTGTTTCATCGCTTTATCAAGCCCATCAAATATTTGATTCAATGCTAAGGCCTTCTCTTGGCAGTCATGGATGACAGGCTCAATTGCCTTCTCGGCAGATTCATCGGATGAGCCTTGAAGCTCCACGAGCAAGTTTCAAGGTCTCCTTCAAGAGAGGGAGATTCTGGACCACTCCTTTAAAGGCTTTCGGGAGACCTCTCAGGTACTGAATGGTGTTATACGTCGAGGATATGGATCCAATTATCGCGATCGTGGCTGCAGTGATGCTGAGGGGATCCATATTTGTCAAAGGCAATAACTCTCGCAAGGGATATCGGAATTGCCGTAGACCTGAATGCTGACTGCGATTAACCTCACCACACGAGTCTTACCGTGGAGAGTGAAATGGTTCTTGTAGTGTTGTACCAATTATTTCCGATAAAGGGAGGGTTTAATTGAGAAACAGGGGCGACTAGCGGAGCATGTCCGTGGCAAGGTTTTCAAGATTCCATACGTCTTGTTCCTACTTGCCCACTGGGCTTGATATGACGGGCGGCCCCCAACGAGGTTTGTTGGCCGAAGTATTAATGGCAAGTCTTTTAAAGTTTCTTTTACTGTCACCACGCATTTAACCGGTCTGGCAGCTTCAAGTTCGGATCGTTGTTGCATATGCGGCGCTGAGACTCTCGGCCTGCACAGGTGTATTACTAGTACTTACCTCACTGAGATGTACAATTCGTAACTTCACAATATTATCGGCAGGATACCGGCACAACGAGAAAATCATTAATAAAATAAAAACGTTGGAAGAACAATATTTGTATTTTCTTTCCAGATCTCACACCTGCAATTCTTGCCGAGCTCCTTGTATCGCGTGTTTTCGCCCCCATTTTATGCTACTTTTTCGTGTACTTCGCTTGCTTTTTGGTTTCACGTTTTTTTCGTGGCCAATATTTCCTCATGCATCTATGGCATCCATCAAACTTGAAGGACGTGGCCACCATTAAGTGGCCACTTCACGCCTATCTCTACTGCAAGTTGCTGCTATACTAGTGCCATCACATCCAATCCGGAGACAAAGCATCTGGCGCGCGGCATGGTGGCGGCATAATGCAGCAGAGATGGCACAGAGCAACCAGTCAACGGAGTCCACGTCCTTTCCTGGATTGCCATAACATGCCGTCAGCGTCGCTTCTCGCCCGTCTCCGCTTCTGGGTGCAGGAACTTGAATGTAATGGATGTAATGGTATTATATCTTGAGCATACCGTGATTTTCTGTTTGAACCATCCTATGTAATTACGATCACGTCCGTGTGTTCCCGTGCATTCCCGTTCAACTCGCTTCCTACCTGCTTCGACTTCCATTTGGTAACTAGTCAAAAGCTGCCTTGACCTTGACCTGAAGTACTGTCCATAAACTCCCATCAGTCGCCATTCAAGTTGCTGCCACCGAGAGGAAATCGTATCGTAATGAACGGTTATCTGTATTGCCCGGCCCTTTGTTCTTGCTTAATGCTTTCTTTCACATTTCAAGATCTGCGACCCGCTTGCTCTATGTGGATGGATGATCCATGCTCTCTCGCCCCGGTACGATGCCCCGCTTTATACTAGTCAACCATCAGAATTAATATGCAACCCCCGCGTGTTTGTGACCTCACCGGCTTGACAAGGCAGAGGCGCAGGATACAACCGCTGAAGGCAGCCCGTATGACTCACAGCTGAGGCTCAACACTGTCTCATGACATATCGCATGTATTGTCAAACTGAGGCTCTTCTTCCCCCGTATTTCTGTGGGGCACATGACAAAACACACTGCGACTTGTGGTTGCCCCCCCCCCCCTTCCCCCCTTCTCTCCTACACCATCTCATCCATATTGCACTCTCGTCAACACTGCTATCTTGACATATTGAGAATCAGTCGTCTTGAGTACCAACGAAAACAAGCTCAGGGCCCTTGGGCAAAGAACAGCACCAAATATATCTAATATCTGTGAGAGATCAAAGTGGACGATGGCTCGGGAAGACCAGCGTGGGCAACCTGCTCGCACCAGACGCGTTCGAGATGAGCGAGACCCCCAGACAACCACTCCAAAGGAGCCAAGTGAAGAAGACACTTGGAGCGACGACGCGAATTGTGGTGACCTGCCGTCAAAACCAGGCAATCGGCAAAGGAAACCAAAGCATGACCCAGTTTCCAACTCTCGTCGACATCGCCAGCGCGAGCCTGTTTTGCCCTCGAAGTTGAGCGAGCCTCGGAAAGAAAAATATGCCAATGACCCTGGTAGTTTTCGACAGGCTGGTGGCCAAGATGTCCCGTATGGTCGTCCAGTCTATCATGGCCATGAGCCCTTCGTGCCGTTATCTCAACCAGCACCCTCACCTATATCAACTCAATACCCACAAAATCCATATCTCCCAAACTGGCATGCGTCTTTTCAACATCCAATGGGCGATCCTACAATCCCTATCAGCGACCAATATATTAATAGTCAACCCGGGGCCCCTCCATCCTACCCGTATCCGATGAATCCGGGCCCCTATTCTGTGAACATAGAGCCCCAGACCTTTTTCCCAGATCCTGGACTTCAGTACTTGAATTATCACCACATTCAGCCTCAACCTGTCCCATCGTTCGAAGGTATGCCTATGGCGGGAAAACCGCCCCAAATGGCCACGCCCTCGGCCCTGGAATACGAACTGGAAGAAACCAGAAGGGAATTGGACGATATGAGAATAAGCCAGAAACGCGAGAGGAAAGCTCTGAAGAAGCAGAATGAAGCGGCAGCCCAAAAAAAGGCAAAGAGGGACTCGGAGGCGCGAAGTGTAGAGCGCCTGGTCAGAGAGGAGATTAACAAAGTATTGGAGCGAGAAAAGAGATTGATGGACTTCGAAACACAATCAGAGCCGGTCAGGGCAAGGGCAGGCGACGACATAAGAGGGTACCCGACACCTGCACGACATGCACATGATGCTATGCAGTATTCTAACGAAATACTGGGAGAGTCGGATCAGCTGCGGGAGGAGATTGCTCGACTGGTCGAAGGAAGGAGGCAATACTTGTCGCAGAGGGTACTATCGAGGGGCAGTCTGGATGCGCCAACCAGGACCAAACTTCAGGTAAGACCGAGAACTGCCTTTGGCCCTGTGAACGACCCAGACTTCAGAGACCGGGTAGAGGATGTTGTGATAGACCTTCTGCAGCGTATTAGGTCCAATGAGGATGAGAGTGAATGGCTACCCTCTTTATCGTCTCCATACCGGACAATGTCCGATGGCTACCCTGCAAGAGAGGGTCAGCAACGTCCACGGGACTGGCAAACTGGCACGTACGGTAGCAAGCCTATCGATCCTGCCATATATTCTTCAAACTTTGCCCACGAACGCAAGGATGACGCAAAGTTTTCTTGTTCGCCAAGGGACTTTGAAGCTCATCAGAATTTCGCTCGAGAAACAGGAAACCGGGGATATCCTACCAATACAGGGCAGAATGGCGGAATTTGGGAGAGACGTAATTCTGGCCGGTTTAGAGGAAATGAAACAGATGGCCGGCAGATGGAGAATTCAGACAGACTTGGGGGTCCCCGATATCCTGAAGTGCGTACACCATATCACCCGGGTTTCTCGGATGAATTGGACGACCAAGAGTTCTTCCCTGGCCGCCAGCCGGCTCCTTACGCATTTGTCCCCAATCGCTCGGGCCTGGACGATGGCTTTATGCCACCTTTGGCACCTGAACCCCCACGGAGGAGTCGAGATATTCCTTATAACGATCAGTTTAGATAACCGGCTTGATACATGGTCGGGTATGAAACAACAATTGTACCAAAGAAGAATACTAGCGGCAACTCAACCCACCCAGCTAGATCCAACATCAAGTAAGAGCTTCTCAAGGCCTACAATGAAATGAATCTAGTAGCTGCAGTTGATATACAAAAATACGGGAAACTTGTGTTAGCGCCGCCCTCGCTCTTTTCACCTGCACTTATCTCGTTCAGGAGAAAACATTATAGTACTGATTTCTATAGAAAATACGAACACGACAGAATGATCATAGTGTATAGGGCTAACGATGGCCTCGTACCACTAAAGAAACTTAGGCTGCGTACCATCATCCGTCATTTGCTTTTTACGATTGAAGGACAAAAGAAAACTTTACATTTCAGGTTGAAACTTGATCAAACTATCTCTAGCTGCTTGAAATTATGACTGAAACTGATAGTAGTTATCCTCGAGTTCTCTTGAAATTGATCGTCGGGCCTTGGCAATTAGGTTAACATTGATGCAGAATGGACTTAACTACCACATCAGCGTAACCTTTTACCATAATGAAGTAACCATAATGAATTAAAGGATCACCTACTATAACAGGTTTGTGATAGGATACGTTCCAACGCAGTTTTCAATCTTGAAGACCTCATGAGGCTTCATTTCCGGGGACCACCCAGCCAGAGTTAGTGGTTCACCCCCTCCAAGCGAGTATCTTCCGCGTTGTACAACAGCGGGAATGGCCAAGAACCGACGAGAGAATATTTACGAAATCGGTGGGCGCACTCTATTACCTCTTAGTCTGCTTTGCCTGATCAGGGGGGACTACCGAGAAGCGGAAGAAACCAGTTGGATATCTGATAGGTACTTAGGTCTTGACGGATCAAACATTTTATAGTCAAATGTGTATGATGCACGCGTTATTTGTCGTTGATGAGCAAGAGAACATCATTATTGCCAGTGAATTGCTCGAGTTCAGCCTGAAACTTGGGGGTGACGTAGAATTCTAAATGACATCCAACCGCAACCACGCCGTATTCAAGGATTGAGGTTGTTTTGAGGCGATATTTCCACTTCCTTGTCTTTTCCAGGGTCTTATTTCGATCCTCAACTCATTGGTAGGATCATGACTGCGGCCATTACTTCAAGCAATATGTTATATCCCGCGAAGGGTTATGACAACGAGCTGGGACGTGACAAAGCTCGCTTTCCGAGTTATATGTCTCGCGCTCTACGCGGTAGTTTTCGTTGATGAGAGAGAAGTAGAACTGTAGGATCTGGGGCCAGATTTGGTAAACACGGTGTTCGCGTCACCCAGCCGTAACTTGGTTGATGTACTTCTCGATTGGCCGGTGTTGAATCTCCTTAAAATGAGGACTGGTGAGTATCATGGTTTTTTTTTTTGTTTTTGTTTTTTCAATGAACAAAAGTGCATAATCTGCTAGCACAATAGAGAGAGGAGAAGGGAGAGAGAGTATTTATCTAGAGATGGAAAGCATTGTTTACCTGGTTGCATCAGGGAGGCATGCATGGAAGGCGCGGAAGGCGCGGTACGGCAAGCCTGATGTCTGAGGGACCCACGCTTCAATAAAGGAGTATGCCTAGGTAGTATAACTCACAGTGCCTGGAAGAGTCATATAATACAGGAATAAGTTGTAAATCGTTTGTATTGATAGTAGGTTAGTAGTAAGCTGACTAGTTCCCTTGCCAAGTTGCCGCCAGTGCTACCTGACGTATAGTCAACACTCCCTCCTTTCATTGCCTTAGATAAAAGTTTGAGTTAAGCTCGCTCTTGGAGTTATTATCACCGGGCCAATATTTCCGGTCTTTTATGATATAATTATTCCTAGACTTCTGAATCCTGGTCGCTTATAGGTGCCTAGCTGTCCACTCGGAAATTTTACATTCGCCCGTTGGCGAAACTTATCAATTTCCTCAGAGAAAAAATTGGAAGATCGGTGGCAATTTGAAACAGATCATCAGCTATATGTAGTATTGGGAACATATAGTAGGCCACTGGCAGGCCCGGGTCTTCGAGAGATTAGGCACCAAGTGCCAAGTCAAAACTATTGATGCTGACTGAACCCCCAAGCGATTCGGTCGCGAAGTTAAAGATGCCAAATCGATAGCCCATGAAAAAGTTCCAGGTCGTGTTCATGGCAAATATAGTTCCCAAATCAGTGAAAGAGGAACCATCTGTAGAATAACTAAACTGTGCGGTTGCATCACCTCCTGGTCGAATATCAGCCGAGGCTCGTAAAAATACCGATGTCTCGGAAAAATCCTTTGAGGTCTCCAATGCACCGATCGAATTTGCAGTCCAATCTGAATTCATAGTGATGTTTTTCCAGACAGAGACCTGTGCACTTTCATCGGTTTTGATGATGCCGATCCAACCGGAGACATCGCGGAACATCGCTAATCCTGCTCGATCTCCGGATTTCATATCGGAGAAATTGATCTCAATGGTAGCGATGCTCACCGGGCCAAGTATACGGTGAGTGAGAGTATTTCGCGCTTTGTAGAGGCTATCTGTCACAGTTGCAGTTCGCAGTGTCAATCCGTCATCAACGTCAAAGGAAGTCTCATCGGGGTTATGATTCCATTCCCATTGAGGTCCCAAGGAGGTTCCGGAAAACTCATCTGTACCTGTTGGCGAGGAGAGTACATTTTGATCCAGGGGCACTTCCACAGTAGATGGCCAAGAATTGACATCTGACAATACTGGAAAGTCGTCGTCATCAAAAGTAATAGAGGCGAGTACTGGGATTCTACCGCCGGGGTATGCATCGCAAAATGCCATATAGTACCAATTCCCTTGAGGGTCATCGACTATTCCTCCCTGATGAGGAGCTCCGCCTTTCGAGACGGGACATGAAGGGGCGTTTGCAACAACATTCCCACCGGTGTAGCCTTCAGTAGGAGACGAGGACTTGATAACATATTGGACGGCTGCACCTGGTGCAACGCCGAGAATATAGTAGAGACCGTTGATGTAGTAAAAGCGAGAGCCTTCAACATACTTGTCGTAGGTGTACACCTCGGTGTTGGAAACTTGGCTGGTCAAGTCGGATGACAATGTGGCAACTTGGATATTTGTCGACCCATAAGCAACTTGCGGGGTATCGTTCTCGTCAAAGACCAGTCCACAGTCGTAGTAGCAGGTCCCCTCGAAAGTAGCATGTTGAGTCCAAGGGCCAGCGGGACTACTAGCAGTGTATACATATGTGTTGGCAAACTCAATACAACCAATCCAATACCACTGGTTATCGCTCGGGCGATATTTGAGGCTGCTAGCCCATATTCCTTTAACATATGCAGTGTTTCCATCAGTCATGTTATAGGAGGAACCAAAGTCAAGGCTTGGAACCGAATGACCAATGTATTCCCAATTCTGCAAGTCTGTAGACTTTAAAACTGGGGCACCAGGCGAATAGGCCATAGTGCTAGCACTGTAGTAGAAGGTATCATTGACGCGAATAATTTCGATATCGGCAAGGTCTTCCCAAATGACTGGCTGGGAAACAGTTGAGATTGCTCTCTTGTTGGCACTTGAATGTTCACGAGCATCGTGAGGGATGAGAGATCCCAATGCGACGACAATGATTTCGGCATAGGTGAGAAGCGCGAGCCAGAGAGTCAGTCGAGACATCATTGTAACTCTGCGATGGCCGACTGAAGTCAAAATGAATAAGCTTGAACGTGAGAAATCTCTTTTTTCTTGTCATCTTGTCAATAGAATATTCAGGAGTTTAAATAGAAGGCTCGAAACAGTGGTTTCTCCCCAACCCGTCTTCGACTTTCGCAATGAAAATTGGCGTAGATCCATCCGAGGAAATGATCGACGATTTTACAGGCAAATCTAAGACGGCTAAATACAAAGCATTCTGGTTGAAATGACGGACTTGGCCATGATATAATTCATGGTGTGAAGTCGACGATCCTTTGTGTTTAGTAGACGGGACAAACTCAGGCGGAGGAGGAGACTTGTTATTCAGCCCGGGCCAATTTTCCGATGAAGCTGGGTTAAACGTAGGTCCGGTGGAGGCATCCCTTATAGGTGGATACGTTCAACCTTTTTTTTTGTCGGCTAAATAGTCTCTGACAAGGCTGATCCTGCACTGTGAACCTCCGGCGGGGCCGACGCGGCTCGCTTGCAATATGTGAAACGGTTCGGAGAGATCTTTGGCCGATTGCGGGGTTTGCGCAACATCTACTATCCCTAAGCCGATATTTATCACCCAGACAGCTGGAAACTCTTTAAACCCGTGCACCCTTTAATATATATCCATTTCTACATCTTGGATGGTTGATCGGCCATTTTAGCGCCTCCAATTTAGGCTTCCACATGACATCCTTAAAGTACTAGTATTGTGCTGTTGTTGCGTGGTTACTGATCGGCCCAGCACATTACTCACATTCTACTAAATTTGCCAAGACCCCTGATTCGTGTCAAAGAAATATATGAAATTTGACACCTTCGAAACCCGAGAATTAGTGGGGGGGAAAGAAGGGTCCGGGTTAAAAACTCTTTAGCAACTTGGAATATACTAGCATTATGCCCAGGTGCCGTGCACAATCTTGGAATATGCCACAATATGCCCAGGTGCTGGCCAGTGGACGGCTACGTGAAATCCAGGTTACCGACTTCAACATTCTCATTCAACACCCCGGTCCAATTCTGGCTTACATGTCCAAGGCCCCTGGAGATGTGCGTGAATACGACGGATCTGAAGACTGGTTCAAGAACGCGGAGGAGGAGAAGCAAAGACATTCACTCACTCGCAAATCTCTGGCATAATCTCTTTGTTTTTTTTCTCCTGTCATAATAAGGTTGCCCCTGCACCTTCTGGAATGTAGCTTGTGAGAATAGCTTGAGGCTGTTTGATTATGTTGCCCTGTGGTGGTTTAATGCACATCCCTTTTTACGGTATCACGGTATAGATCTGCGAGGATCGACATTTCTGTCTCAAAGAGCTAAAAGGATAGGTAGTCTTCAGCCAAGTCCAGGGACCATATGTTGTTCCTACTAGTTCCAAAGTTGTACCATTTTCCAGGGATGATTTATATCACCAATGCCGTACCCTATACATAGTATAAATACTGAGGTCAGCTAGAACATAATTAAGCCACTCCCGGGGCACAATTCAGCGTTAGGATGCGAAACCAATCTACGTCCTGAATCGAAAGATTTGAAAAAAAGAAATGCAAAAACATACAACAGCAGGGATTCGCATGTGGTCACCCACCATACTACTAACCTGCCGGCGTGTGGCTTAAGTACGGCTGAGCGGACGGGAAGCCCTGTTCTCCACACCCTATGGTCGTATGTAAGAAGTTATACTTGAATTAGATTTATATCCATATAACGAATGAAAGCCGCGCTTGGGACAAACTGGGGTGAGAGGGGCGAGTGCGTAATAAGAAAAGAGAGACTGACCCTCTCAGCTGAACTATCGTAGAAAGTAATTGGGTTTTCGTGGACACTCGGTCCCTGGCATCTGCACACGGCTATCTAATGGAAGTCGGCACAGCCCGAAAGTGGACCCCTCGAAGACTGAAAAGCGCCACGGAGGCTCCCCGGGCTGAATCCATGCGTGATTGCTCGGGTATCCCTGCATAAATCTGCACGGTCTTGAAGAACGTGGCAAGATTTGCTTCACTCTGGTGTGATGCGCATCACTTCTTACAACTCAATCTCTCTCTCCACACGCTTTTATTCACTCCTATTACTTTTGGTGGTTGAAGATGGCCAAATGGAAGAAACAGACTTTATGTAAATTCTGCGTCATCTGAGCTATATACAAATTGGCATAAGCCAAGGCTCTTCTTCTGGAATGGAAGGAGCTAACATGAGAATCTGGCCAAATACTACGGATCTGCCTTGGCTATATGTATGTGTCACATATTTGAGATTTTATTACTATTAAATTTAGCTAGTGTAAGATGGGAATTCTCGCTGGCAGTCTGTCAAGCAGCCGGGTCGATCACAAGAGGACAAAACCACCACACTCGCAGAGTGTAGGAGAGAGTAGTAGTAGACAAAGCGTGACGCTATCGAGATGCGACTAGCAAGACATTCTAGTCTTCATGGACAGGCGATATACCGATACCGCAACCTCAGCCTCAGTAGAAAGAAGAATTCATCGGCGACCCGAGAGGTGTTCTGTAAGTTAACTATCATCGAGGGCTTATATACTGCCTGTAAGGCCTAAGGCCTACAACGTCACCTGACATCACCAGAGCGATTCCCCTACTACACTAGGCAAAATTTAATGCTACTCCTATTAAATCCTTTCTTCATATTTATCCTTGAGATTCAAACTTGGTACCTATAACCATGTCAGAAGTCTCATTACCAGCGTTGGCTTTTTTGCCAGAGGATGAAGCAACACACGATCTAGATGAGTCATCCTTTCTAGTCTCTCCTCCGACAGCATTGCCCCAGAAAACCGCGACTCCGAGTCGGAGGACCTCATTTGACTTCAAGTTCTATTAGGATCCTTGAATATACTATAATTAAGGTTATCTTAGTAGTTAATTTCAAGGTTTCTGGGCATTCAAGTATTCATGAAGAAGGTCCCGATTAAGCCAACTCAGCAACTGGTTTGTTAGAACCCGGCATTTCAGCATGCATATCCGATTTCGAGGCCAATTCAGCACGCGCCTCTGCTGATAGTTCAGAAGGATTCGCAGGGGGCTCGGAGTACGTCGATGTTTGACTCTCTTCAGGTTGGAGCCGCTTCTTACGCCGAAGCATTGCGTACCAAACTAAAGCAATAACCACCGCTAGTCCAGCCACTCCACCCACCACTCCGCCGGCAATTGCACCGGCATTATTGCCATGCGACTTCTCGGTTGATGCTTGAGACGCGGTTGTTTGCGACGTAGTTGACTGAGACGATGTTTTTCTTTCAAATCCGGGAACACGTTTCTGTATCAAGGAGGCCAGCGTAGCATCTGCAAAACCCGCAGCGGGCACTGTGACTGTCGCTCCTCCAGTAGGTCTATATAATCATTAATTTGGGATGCATAAGTGATTGGTTTCAAACATACCCTCCGCCGATCTTGTTGTAGATGATTGATGGAACCTCATAGCTAGCACTGGTATTGAGGCTTTTTTGCCACTCATATGTCGACAGATCCAAAACACGCACTGGCTCAAACGCGTTACTGCATGCTCCGTCTGTGAGTGAATATGCCCCAGCGTGTACATCGCCTCCAAGGACGATCATCTGTGTACCCTGAAACAATTGGCATTCGCCGATGGAAGCGCGACCAATAGTCGTGTTAACTTGCTGTTCTGTATTGGTCTTGTTCGATAGTTCGGTTGCATCTATCCACTGGAAAGATGGAATCGAAAGAATCCGAACATCTTCGTACGCGCGCTGATCTGTCAAGCTCCATCCACCGTAGACTGAGATATGGAATGCGCTGCGGTCGGGTGACACCGCAGCCACAGCACAGAATGAATCTAGGTCAACGGGTAGGTTGCTACCAGACGTCTCTTGCATCCACCATGTATGAGAAGCGATGTCGTATACATAGACAGTATTCCAACCAGCAGGATAGGGCCAACCTGAATCAGGGCTCATTCCCTCAGTGACCTGATCCGTAAGTTAGCAAGATAAGAGCGAAGGATTATTCAGAAGCATGTTGTATTGCGGGGTAGAGGGATAGCTAACATTTCCACCTCCAAAGCTAATGAGCATGCCATCCGTACTGGCTGGAATATAGAGGAGAGTTCCAGCGTTTAGATTTGGCACATTGACGCCATAAGATCCCTGGTTGAGAGTCTCATTCGTCCATGTCAGGTTGTTCGGATCGGATGCATTGAATCGTATCATGCCTTCCATGTAAGGGCCACTTCCACCAAAGATGAACCCAAGACCCAATTCTGGAACACTGGCAGTTTGCGCAGTCGACCGATTCCCGAAGTTGAATTTTCCACCGCTCACCTCTACCTCTTTCCATACGCCAGACGAAACATTATAGAATGAAACTGTGTCAATGGCGGTATCGAATCCACCGCCAAAAAAGTACATGCTGTCATTCGTTCTCCACATTGCGCCGTTAGATCCTGGGTATTCGGTCATTTGATGTGCGACACTTATGTCGGAGTTTATAGTATCGGTATGAAGTGCGGACTTGGGAATCGTGCTTTCAACGGGGAATTGACTGTCGAGGTCCATATAATATAGCGTCGAGCCTGCCTTCTTAGTATCATGATTCATCGCTCCTATGGGGAGAGCTTACTAGGTTCGATCACTTGTCCATCATAGGAAACTGTGCTGTAATTCCCGCCCATGAAATACAATCGATCGTCCATGAGGCTAACTGTAGCGAATAAGCATCAACAACTCCAAAACCGAATTCGAGCGAGTAAGCTGTCATACTCCTAGGCCCAGAGATGTAGCAAATATCACCTGCTGAGCATGATGCTTGACGGGACAAGGCCAGCGCCCCGAGAACTGCGGAAAGCCATGGTCTCATGGCTAGGTGTCGCTAAATAGCGTAAAGCGATGTTTGGGAAAGAACAGCTCGAAGAGAAAACTTCATCTAGGAACACACCATATTGAAATATTTGGAGTAGGAAGCTTTACCCTTCAGGCGCGGGCCGCGCCGCTTTAATGCACATTTATTCAGGCAGGACGGCTTGAACGGCCCCCAATAGTGGAGACAGCGGAATGTTGCGATTATTTTGGCCCAACAAGGACAGGGGGCCTGAAGAGGCTAGAGAGTAAAGCGGCAATAGCAAAGTTACAACAGTCTAAATCGACAAAAAGAAATGCAAAAACATACAACAGCCATACTATGGCGATGCTCACCTAGCGCCCATCGTTCGGTGCTGGGCGGCTCGCCGCTTTACGCCGTCGGCCTTCAGGCGGGTTCGGGCGGCTTCAGGCGGCAGTTCACCCACCTGAATATTCTTCACCCAGAGGCCTGAATCCCTGTCCTAAAAAGGTGCTTTTGTACATTTTGATCAAGGGAAAGATTTCGCGATGCAGGAGCAGACACTATGTCCTCCCCTCTCAGGCGGTTGCCGCCAGTTGTCTGCACCTTTTTCTACTTTCCTTCCACTTCACTCCCATCCCTCTGCCGTTTCTCTCTCGCTGAAATACGAAGGCAACCATAACCAAAAAAGACCTACTGCTGGCCTATATATATACTGTGGTAAACCTGAGCGACTTTGATAACTCTGAAATCAGACGGGCAGTCCTGCCGCATACAGAGAGTGACTATGAGCGTATACTAAGAATCTTTGATAAGTTTGTGTATAGCTCTCTGTAGAATTTCACAGCTAACTATCTTCTAGATTCCTTAAGCTATATCCTGAAGCCAAGAACCCTCCCAACCTCCAGACCTATAAAGGCTTCCTTGCCTAGGCTGCTTAAGCGAAACGAGGCCGAATCGAGGCTTTACCTACCGTGGAAACTATGCAAAGCTTCCGAAGAGACTTCTAAGCCAGAATGCGGCATATACAAAGTGTTGAATTTTCGGTAGAATTTTCTACTATACTTAAAGAGGTTTAAGGTAAAATATACGATGAGATGTCTTTAGTAGTATATATTCTAACTAATTCTACCTAGTTCGTTATAAGTAGGCTTTGGGAAAAAGTCCTTCTTTCTACTGCTGAAATGGACTATAGTAGGTTTTTACCTAATAATATAATCATTGTCTTGACGCAGCTCTGGTGTTAAGACAGCCACAAGTTTCGTGGTGAGATCCCTAACAGAACGAGAGTGTAACTTAGTGTGGCAATGCTACTCTACTGCTTTACATCTATAAGGACAGGCGAAGTATATAAGTCTATAGCTCGGAGAGCCAAGGCAAGAATACCTAAAGAAGACAAAAGGGATATAGCACTGGAGGCCCGCATGATAGCGGCATACTATAAGGTGAGATTTCAAAGTAAACATACAGCATATTTTCAGACCTAATATATCTATCAGCATTTTACACTTACTATTGAGAGTATGGATAACGAGCCGATGCTAGTTCTTACCTATAACCGAAGATTTGTAAAAGGGTATTGGAGGAAGAAGGCACAGGATATTCCCACGTATACTTTCTATGAAACGTACCGAGAGGATGTATTCCTTTTCCTAAATTTGCTTATATTCTTCTTGCCAATGGTGTCTGCGGATAGCGCCTTCTGAGATTACTTATCAGTAGGAGAAATATTGGATCGGGCTGAGGCTTACGCTAAGGCTATTCCGTCGGAAAACAGGATCCTGGAAGTTATCTATTTTGCTGAGAGTGTTTATGAGACGCCAGTATTCCGGCCGTACACTGAGCTTCCCGTTGATAAGTCTACAGGCAAAGCTTGAGGGGCAGATGCCTTTAGAAAAGAGTTTGTTGAGCTAGGTCACCGTAGTGGTTACACGCGAAATATCATAATTCGTGCCTGCCGTAGATAGGCACTTATGCAAGTAGGTATTAGCAACACGCGGAACCTGAAGGGAAGCAAGTCTGCTTTGCTAATAGCGACACAGACAAAACCCAGTCGGAGTCTGCAAGGATAAGATTCGCGGGGCAGACTAACCGAGATACTTACGGGAGGTTCTATGCCCATCCGGCTAGTGAAATAGATAGACCAGCAAACTACCTTAGAATTACAAGTCGAAGTAAGCATATTAAAAACCGCCGCGGAATGGGGATATATCAGAGTTTGAGTTTCTGGATCGAAGTGATATCATGGCTCTAGACGAAGAAATACGCTCGCTAAGCGCACAACTATTATCTGCTACGACTCTTGATAAAAGACATAGGATTTAAATCAAGCAAAAAGTCGCATACAGCCACAAGCAACGGCTTTATAAAGAGGAGCTTAAGAGGCTTAGAGCCACCTAGTTAAATAAGCCTCTGGGCTCTAAGGAGAACCAAGTCAATATAGAGAAGAAAACTCTTTTCTTCTATAGGCGAAGGGTTCTGCCACAGAGAGACCTTTTAGCTAATATATTTCCTAAGAAGATTTCTCTGTAACATTATGATAGGAGACGAGCCCTGGAAGCACTAGAATTTATCTGCAAAGATATATACTCTGTTGTATATCGTGCTACTCTCCAGCCTGAGGATGGAAAATATCTTTGTAGAAAGTCAATTGATGAGTGAGTCTTATTGAATTAGTAACAATCCGTCGCTAATTAGCATCTAGCTTGCTTAGTAGAGTTTGAAAACTTAGAGGAATTGACCTATCACCTTATAGACGTACACTGCTGGCGGCCTCGACGTGAATCTCCTAAGAAGAGGAAGTTTGATCTTGAGGATACTTCTTGATTGGGCATTCAACGAGAGGTTTTGGTCGTGAAGATGTCAGAGTTGCTTCCTTGTCTTGATTTACTGTTGATATCTGTTGACGCATGATTTAAGGCTCTGGCAGACTAGAAGATACGAATTGCCCTATTGTTTCAAATTTACTTCTATCTATATTGGCTAAGCTGGAGCTCAACTGCTATATACCCTAGGCATACTTAGGTGGGAATTTAAAGGTGGATGGACCAGCCCAACTAGTGATCTCCTGGTTGGGGGCCGTAGGAGGTAGCTAATGGCTTAATGAAGCAGTGCTGGTCTAAGAATAACCTGATGTAGGAGGCTGGCTGCTGTTGATGACTTCATTTTGAGAGGGGGGGACTCCTTGTCGGAAGTCAACGGTGGACCTGAGTCAATGTTCAGTACCTACATGGGGGCATCTTACAGGAGATGGTTATCAGGTCAGACAAATGTATACTTGATAATGGCTTGCCACGTCATCGATAGTGGTAAACGGATATGGAGTTTTTAGCCGTCGGTACATATTTCATCTACACCCAGACCCGCTTTTTTGGATCGTGTTGACAGATGAGAGTCACTGATAGCTATCGAGAGCATATTTCGAGGGGAAAGAAAGGTGATAGTAACTCTCTTAGGCTCAAGGGAATATTCTGACACGTGAGTAAATGCTGTCCCAGAAGCATAAAAAGTCCTAAGGCTGGAGATATAACAAGTGGACTCGAGGTTTTTATTGGCTTGAGTGAAGCCCCTTCTGCATCCCTACTTATGCACTGTGATAGTACTAGTGTCCAGTTCTTTCCCGGGCTAACGTCTCACTGTTGGTCCTCGGGTATATAAAGGGCCCTCTTCCACCAGCTGCCGTTGTTCCTTCTATTTCTCTTCCTTCCAGATTACGGCGACTTTCCCCTCCCAAAGTGGCGACCACGGGCACAATGACAAGTCCTTCTGACACTATTATCATAGCCGATGATGAGGAATTACCAGCCCCTGCGCCAGGTAGCTCAGGTTACCCCTACCCCTATTTTAGGAGCATGGTATGTGGTAATGGTAAGACTCAACAATCACGGAAACGCAAACGAACTGAATCGGAGGAGACCCCTAACCTAGTACGAGCTCCTCGTAAGACCTTCTTCTTCCCTAGCTGATAAAAGGCCCAGGATCATGCTTTCAAGAAGCTTCGAAAAGCACTTGACCATGAACTTCAAGGATTACGACGAATAAACATAATACTTCGAGAGGATCTCCGCCTGGAGAGAAACAGACACCAGAGGGTGCAAGAGGAACTTTCACGGCTAAAAAAGGTGGAATGCAAAATCTGCTACATTGTCATGGTAGATACCCATACACGTGACTAGCTAGATATCTCTCCCTTAGGGAGAGGGGACAATAGGATCATCTTCTTCCACACTGGTCTTTCAGACAGTAGATCCCCCGACGGGGTTACAATCATGCAGCCAGATCGTGCAGGTCTAACCCTAATCGAGTACACATCACAACATAGTGTAAGGATAAACACAGAATCGCAGTCAATGCCTAATTCAGTTACGGCTCATATCTGTGCTTTCGCTTAATAAGGGAAGTCAACAAATTCGTGTTTACTCTTAATGAGGAATAGTGTTTGTACAGCGTTCTGGTTAGGCTCATGTGACTGAGACTCTCGGAACCTGCTTTTCGGAACGGAAGTTATATTTCCCGACCCCACCATGGAATATGAAGACTGCCAAGCACGAGATTCAGTCACCGTTAGTGTCCGCAGAGGGTCTTGCCACACCAAGCACTACCAAATAGGACGCCACTGCGGTAGTTTTATCAACAGTGACCCACTTCACCATGCAACGAACATAATGGGCCAATGGGATCCCTCCTCGTTAGAATTTGGGGGCTAAACCACCGATCCACCTCTGCAGCGGTGCCTTCCTCGTAACATTATTGGTTGACCCTTACACCTGTCTAAAGCCAAGTTAGTCTAGGATGGCCGTGCAGTGTTATACTTATACGGCTTACCAGTCAACATCCCCGCGACCACCAAAACGGATCCCTTTGGCCACCAAGTCTAATCTCCCATTGAAGGACCAGAAGTCCTCTGGAGACTTCTGTCCTGCCGGAGTCCCCAGTCTGGCTGGAGTCATCAGGCCGGGGAGCTTATAAGAGACAATGCCTGTCACGAGATGAGGTTCACAGCATTGAAACCCTCCTGGGACTTTCTTCCTGTAGCGACTACGCTCTCAAACTGGTAGACGGCCTAGGAAACTCTTTTCATACAGTATTGCATACCCTTCTAGAATAACATTCTCAGACTCCAGATACTCTCAATATCCTTCTGGTCCCGTCTGATCGGTCTGCCATTTCTGTCAGGAATTGGTCCCGCCGAGAACGTGGTGTTGCCACGTATAGCGCAAAAAGGCACAATGGGCTTAAACCGAACCCTCCGATTGTGTCTGCTCTCAGGCTTTGCAGCTGGAGACGATGCGCGATCATGTTCTGTGGGAGTGGATACCAGCTTCGTACGAGAAGAGCGCGTAGGTTTCAAGGAGCCCGTAGAGTCTGGGGAGTAGGTCTCCCCCCACCAAACTGTCATACCATTTCTTGTAATCCCGGAAAGTTTTGCTGCAGCGGTATTCAGCGGCTTTCTGCCATACTGCGCCATTGTCAACGAAGGATCTCTGACGTGGTCAAGGATGAGGGCCTGTCAAAAAAAAAAAAAAAAAAAAAAAGAGGATGTTCTGAAATAGATTAAGGGGAAGGTCCTATCTACCACTTGGAAACGTGCCGGCAGGAATTTAATCAGTGGCAGGTCACTCGAATATTGGTACATTCATTCATTCCCTGGATGGCTGGAGGTGGAGATTTCAGTTGAAAGTGGGGCTTTGCTGGCGAGGGAGGCTTGCAAATATGAACATTGAGCCATCCCTGGTGAATGTCCAATTTTCCACAGCCTATGAATTGTACTGTACCTATGAAAGCCTTTCATGCCTTTTCGCCTTCGGTCACTCGTAACCGCTAGATATGCAAATTTATGGGAGAGATGATGGACTATGCTGTAATTTCGCAAACAATATTTCATTTTTGCCGCCAGTTGAGGTGATTCAACATCTGTTGAAGTATGCGATCTAGATTCTGCGGCCAGTCTCGCGAAGTACCCCACTTCGAACCATGGCGTGTATCGATCTAGGCGAGGCGCCCCATTGGCTCTATCGGTAGCTTTCCGTAGATGCACTAGGGCAATCCACCTTTAGCTATCTCAGATCTAATTACCACCCAACCTCCAAGACGGGACCCTTGTATACATGCCGAGCCCGTAGAAGATAGTATGCAATTGCCAAGATCACAACGCCCACAGTCCCTACCACGCTGAAGTTCATATCCTCGAGGCTTGGGTTCATCTCCGAGGGCCAGAAACTGAAGAAAATGACGATGACCATATAGATGCACGCGTAGATATTCACCAATATGCCCCAGATTCCCGGCACGCGGAACGGTCCCCAGACAAGTGGTGCGCCGGGGACATTGATGACAGTTTCGGCGTTCTCGTCGTATGCAGCAATGTCTCCACGACAACGTCGGTATAGAAGTAGCACTGCGACAACGAGATAGGAAGTATACAGGCCAGAGACAGCCATCGAGGTGATATCGTTCAAAGCAACGGCCGACCCGATGTTGATAAGGCCAAGAAGCCAGGCGACAGTCATAGTCAAATAGACAGAATAGGTTGGGAGATGTCTCGAGGAGACCTAGAATTCTTTCAGTCAATGTGGAGATTAATGGGCCATTTGCGAGCACTCACCTGACTCCACAATCGCCAGCCAGGTACACCACGATCACGCGCAAAGGACCAGAATTGGCGAGATGTTGCAGCAAGCATGCCAATGACTGAAAATCCTCCGATGATGAGGCATATGGAAAGCATAGCCAAGGCCCCTGGTACGGAGCCTGTTGCTTGGTGGAAAATCTCGATATAAGGATAGCCGGTTGGAGAGTTCAATGCATCGTCGATATTGCCGCTACAGAATAGCATTGCGATCAACATGCCAAATCCGAGACTTCCATTGATCGCAACACTGAGCATGATAGCGCAAGGAATGGCTCGTGAGGCATTGGCAACCTCCTCAGCCATCTAGAATCGGATTAGACCTTGCCGAGATGAAATCCATCGTTATAGCACTTACGTGTACTGCAGCATCACCTCCTGCGAAGGCAAACACACACCCAGTCATGCCCACAAACCAAGAAAGACCTTGACTGGCAAAGTTACCCCCATTGAGGAACTGGGTAAAAACCTCCTCCTTTGTCTTATGGTCCGACATGTATGTCAGTGGGATCATAATGCCAAAGAATCCCAAAATATGAACGACTAGGATGAGGTTCTCGAGCCTCGGCAAGAACTTGCCTCCAACCAAGTTCACCCCAAGTGCAAGCAGCAGGCTGGCCCACATAATAAGTGTGCCTTGCCAGGCCTCAGCATTGTAGGTTTCGTACGCCAGGATTGCGGCACCTTGAATTTCAGTTCCGCACAGGTAAGCGGTCGATGCGAATGCGGCTTGCCATCCGATAACCGCGAGCCAGCCTAGCATAGTCTCGTCAGTATGGTGATATCCAGAGGTATCGAATGGAGCTTACCAGTGATGTAGCTGGAAAATTTCATAGTACTGCTCGGGGCAAGCATGGCACACCAATGGTATTGGCCCCCGGACGTAGGCGCCCTAGAATATGGTCAGCTCATACAGGTAGTGAGTACTCCGGAAACGTACATAGAAGCCAGTTCAGACAGCAAGAGAAAGCAACAAGTAGTTCCTGTCCAGGCAAAGATGAATGCGTACACAGCTCCCGCGGGACCGCCACTATTTCTCGGTCAGCGATGGAATGTACGCTCGCAAAGATCACACAAACTTGGTCAGAGCAATAACAAAAGTGCTGTAAATCTGTTAGCATTCGGAGTCATGGACTGAGTTGCGATAATTGCTCATCTTACTCCAACAACCCTTCCCATGTCGCGATGATAGTGCAGCTGAAACCCAATATGGAGAGAACACCAAAATTTCTCTAACCAAAACAATAATCAGTCACTGATCACATTAAAATTGAAATCAAAACATAAACGTACTTTTAGCACTGGCTTTTTACCTATCCTTTGCAAGTGAACATCGTCACGGTCGCGAACAGAAGGACCATCGGCAGGGGCCTCATGATTTTTGTATATAGGGATATTCTTCAATTCATAGGCCATCTTCACTCGGCTTGTTCTCAAGCCAAGAATGAGCGAACGAACTGTGGACGGCTTCAATGCATAGGGTTCAAGAACAAGAAAAGAGAAAGCGGAAGGGAGCAGAAAGGGGGAATTTGTCTAGAACTGAGGGCAAATCTCACTAAAGAGATCCCGCCTGTATTATCACGTCGCTTGTAAAATGCTCTTGAGGTTAGACGGGATTGAGTCCCACATCAAGCCCAGTAGTTTGATGTGCCAAGATAGCTTGTACACAAGGCCACGAAACAAAGTAAGCCCCATTAAACTCGCGGGGCGCGGGTTGAGTGGAGTCAAGTAGAAGAGCCGGAGGCTATTGGACCATCTAGTGATCCATAAGCGGAGATGGACATGGATTAGACGCATCCAGGATTCATCAGGATTCGGATGGTAGCCCAGACCGGATTCGCTGGTTGGACAAGGTTCAGCAAACCGCACCCATTTAGCCAGTGAGGGCTCAGGGCCAGGGGGCAGAGCGAACTCAATTCAGTCGCGAAAAATTTCCAACTACGAAGGCAATGGAAGTTTAGATACTCATTTTTCAAACTCAAACTCAAATAGCCAACCGTCAGCGGAATCGAAACACACTAAACCACGCTCAATCAAGATCCCTGTTCTAGATTGCGCGGCCGCTGAGCGGGTCGCCAATAGCTTGATGCTAAACCCCCGAAATGTTGCCATGATAACACAAATATTTACCCAGAACAGTACGGAGTTTCGAACCCTAATCTTGAGCAAAAAGCTACGCAATCCTTTCAGCCCGCTTCGTGAGTTGAAGCCTCTACCCGGCCCCCTGCAAGAGGAACAGGGCAACTGGCATTATGGCAGCCGGCAAAACATGTCCGCAAGGTCGATTGCCCTACAAGATACTTCATTCCTTGTTTGCCCCGATATGTGCAGATTGAGATTGTTTACTACGACCAACTCTTCATGGGGACTCGCTTCACAGGCGACAGCAAGGACCCTGCTGTCAACGTGACAACATGGTTCCTGCTTGTCGTTGTCATTCTCGGGGTTGCTGCTCGGCTTGGAACAAAATTCCGAATTTTTCGGAAGCTCACAGTCGATGACTACTTGATTATTGCTTCCTTGGTAGTGCTTCCACTTGATGGCCCTCGATAAAATTCAGTCTGACGTTCTCCAGGCATTATGCGTGACACAGAGTATCGTCGTGTCTTTGGCGGTTGGTTCGGGTTATGGAAAGCATCATACGAAAGTCTCGAACGCTGACTTTGATCAAGTCATGAAGGTGAAAAATGCTCGGCTATCCTAATACTTTTAGCCTTCAGATTCACTGACTTGTGTGCTCGAAGCACAGGATCTCTACGCCGCGTCTCTGCTCTACATATCGAGTCTTTGCCTTTCGAAGTTATCTTTTGTTGTTTTTATCCGAGGGCTGTCGATCGCGAAAAAAGACCACTTTCGTTCGACTGTCGTTGTGACTGCAATCGGTAGTTGGACGGTTGTATCATTAATTGGCAACGCATTCCAATGTGGACTACCGAGTACCTGGGACTTTTGGGGAGGAAAATGTATCAACTTGGTATGTACTCGTGTATTTTTGACCGAATTGGCGACGCGATACTTATTCCGCAAAAGACAGCATGGCGATACTTCGTTTGCAGCGGCAACATGGTCACCGAGGCGATGATGCTCGCACAGGCCCTACTTCTGATCTATCGCGTTCAAGCCTCTCTCAAGAAACGCCTTGTCTTTGCCGGAATCTTTCTACCAAGGGTTCTGTAAGTTGATGACCGCTCTCGGATTCCATTGTACATGGACTAATTCTCAATTCTTCTGAAGGGTAATCGGAGCAATAATCGGGCAGCTCTCCTTCATCCATACCACTGCCGACTCGAATGACCCCACGTATGACATGTGTGACATGACAATCACCGAAGAGATGGTGCAGTGCCTGAGTATTGTGACAGCATGCTGGGGGCAGCTGAAGCCATTCCTTACATGGCTAAAGTCCAATGGTGGATTACAAGTTCCAAGCACCGAGGCTACAACCTCATACAAACTGCATGACAGAACCTCCCGATTGCAGTCGCTGTCCAGATCAAGGAGCAAGCAGAGGAGGGACGTCGGGATTTTGACACGAAATGATTCTCTTGTTGTGTCCGTAATGCAGGACTGGGAAGTCGATAGTCAGTCTAGTCAGACACAGATCATACGGGAAAATCAGCATGGTTGGATGGGTGAAAGATCGGAGGTCATAATCCATGCTACGAACAAGCCGTAATAAGTGAAGATGTGAGATGCAACAGAAAAGCCATAACAAAATAAATCTTGAGCCAGGTAGATTCTAATGCAGAAGTCATCGCTCGACTGAACCCTTACACTTCTTCATAAGCAGCTGGTGGCTTTTTTGAAGAACCGGCTTCCATTATACGAGGCCAAATCGGAAACCTCGTTATAAGAAAACCGACATTATGGTCTGTCGACCGCGCTAAAGATGGAAAATTATGTCTATGCCTACCCGGGTATTCAATACGTTCGGCGTGCGTTGGACTTTGAAAACGGGCCCTTTCAACATCAAAGAACATACAGTGGTTACGGTACGTTGGATAGATCCTCAAATGCCACTAAGAACGAAAATGTAGTGAAAAATGTGAGAAGAAAAACTAAATTTTCTTAGCTTATGGCAAAGTAGGTCATTCTCGTTGAATTTAGACCTAGCGGCAAAGAAGGCAATAGTGTCTCTATTGGTTCTACGTACTATATAGATATACTACTCGCGCTCTAAACGAAGCATAAGTGAAGCCTCTTATAGGAATAATACTGCGTTAAATATTAGGTGACACTATTGGCACTACCCCAAAATACTGGCGGCACTACCTTTCTGCCTAAATTACCTAGTTTATGCCTGATTTCTACCAAGCCCGTCAATCCTATCAATTACGTTAACTAAACCCAAGGCACCTTCGGGAGCTCAGCCTCACGGGAACGGCACTGGTCAGTCAGGGAAGGAAAAAGTGAGCAAGTCAAAATGCGTCCGGGTTATTTCTAGATGCCCCCAAAAAATCTCCGAGTCAATTGTTTAACATGCAGCTCTCCATGAAACACTCAAACATGTCATGTAGTAAAGAGCGAACTAACTGATCAGGCACATAAGCTTTCACCTGGGGACCATAGAAGAAGGTAAAATGGGGGTATTCGCGGTTGGGAATGGCCTTTACAGGAATCATGCAAAATCCTCATAAGCCGCACAGGTCATGCGTGCTACGTTCATTCTGAACATTGACTCAGAACTCAAGAAGCGAAGCCACTTGTAATCAGCCAGCTCGCATCAGCATTGAAAGATGAAGCAGATTCAAACGTGTGAACACCACCGTTGCTCGCGATGTAGCCCAGGATGTTGTAGTGACGAATATAGCGAGTGGGATAGCTCCAGGATCGAATAGAGTTGCCCGAGCCGCTAAGTGCAGTCAGTGGACAAAAGGTGGCGTCCTCATAGAATAGCTGCGTATCTTCCAGCGCACCCAGGTAAAGCTCAAAGCCAGAGTGCCAAATATAGCTACCAGGAGTGTCGACAGAAGCAATCACTGTTGCCGAGGCCGGTGCGGACTGTCCAGCTAGCCTGCTGTTGAAGGGCGGTGTCGCTGCTGGAAGAGACGACCTGGGTATTGATAGTGGAGCCAGTGTGTGCGAGGTAGCGGTCTGTATAGCCACTAGTTGTGACCGGTAGCGAGATTGATTCATCTATGGCCAACTCCGGGCCGCTAGTCAGCGATGTAGTTGCGTATCCAGCATCGACTATATCAGCTTGCACTTTGTCTTCTGTATCATTATCCGGATATCCAGAGGTTATCACGCCCTTGTAGAATGTCCCCTGTGCACCATTGCTGTTGTCACCGCCAATGCCCAAAATCAGAGCACCCTCTTTACTCATAGGGTTGTAGCCATCCGCGTCCGGCCACTCTCCATCACAATATGTCATGAGCGAGTCAGAAACAGTGTTTGCACCCCGGATCGCCCACTGGCTCGACTCGCCCTTAAGCATCGTAGTGACAAAGCGGTAGTATATCGATGGGTCCGCTGAATTTTCGCCAGTATTTTCGCCGGGTAATAGTCCATTTTCAAGGTCGGCCGTAACCCAAGGACCACTGCCACTACAAGTTCCCCAGACGTCGCAATTTCCATGATAAATAGCCTCCATGTGGCCGTTACGGGTATCGTGGCCATTAGTTTCTGCGTTATCGTAGTCAAAACAGCATGCGTCATTGTAGTGTGACCCGGAGTTGACGCGTATTACCCTCCCATCTTCGCGAGGTCCGGGCTTTTCTCGGCAGCTTTTCCCAGCATACTTTAACCCCCCCGCCGGAACGCCAAGGTGATCGACAAGCGGACCCATGTGTATTTCAGCGTGCACTATGTGCCTCTGAGCTATTAGTTAGCGTCTGAAGAGAATGCCTCCGCATTCAGAAGCAAGAAATAGATTAACATGCCGAAATCAGGTTGAACTAGTGGTCTTGCATGCGCAGGATGATGTGAACCAATATTCCCCGTTTCGCACTGGTCATAGCTTTTTCCAGTCATAGAATAGGACGTAAAGATATTTTCTGATCAAAAAAACCTTGCCATTCAGTGGAACAAAAAGTGGATTGCTCTTGTAGCTCATCAGGCCTTCAAATATGACATTTTGTTCTTACCGATAAAAGCGTCCTGATTCGCGGGAGAGTGATGGCCTTAAGACGCTGGCTAGACGCGACCGGGATCTGGGTTTCCACACTGGCAGGGAGGGTTTGGGTATCGTACACATGCTGTAGAATAGAATGCATTAGAAATTGTTTAAAAATAAATATAATCATACTTTTTTACCTTAACCCGGCTACATTCCTCCACACGGCGGAATCTCTGGCCAGTGTATAATGTTCACCCAAATCATTCTAAAATATCATTAATATTAGCACCCCTCGAGCAGGTGGTTTAATTATAGAATACTCACCCTCTCATTCGGAGGCAGAACAAGCGTCCGGCCAATCACCTAGGCTACGTACTACTTATACCATTGGTTTGAATCGAGGATCTTTCATGGTGGTGATGTCTTAGGTTCCATCAACATCGATGAAAAATCGATGAAAAGGTGTGGGAAATTGGTAAGATTTGTGCATGGATAGCCGGGTGGGGGAGATGTAAGGAGACTGCATTTAATGGGTGGGCTAGTGTTTAAATAGGCCCACTTAGCCAGCTGATCATAACTTAAATCTACCACGGAAGAAATCCGTTCTATTTTCCCGCATAGGTTGTCCAAGATCGTTTCGTTCCGGGGTCAGACTGAACCGCATCCTGTTTGACAACCGCGGAGCTGGCTTCCCCGCCGATTTCCACTACCTCTCTTCATCACGACAGGCACCTCAGACACCACCTTCAAGGGCCGGAAGAGACCACTCAAATATTATCACGTCACTGAAAATACATCTCACGTATCACAAGGCACCACTTTCCTTTCTGCCGTCCCCTATGTACGAACCTGTACCTCCTCGGTACAAGAAGACACATATTACCCGAAGCCGAAACGGATGTATTCCCTGCAGACAGAAAAAACGAAAAGTGAAGCCTTCCCCGCAGATGGTTCGAATAGTTACTGATATGGCACGTCGTCGACATTAGTGTGACGAGAAGAGGCCTAGCTGTGGGCTCTGTTCACGTCTCGAAAACTATTGCTCTTTTCGGAATTCTCCGTTACGATTTAAAGAGTTGTCTTTCAATTTGGGGCGGACAGCAGAAGTTGATACTCGGAATTTTGACCACAATGAGGTATCTCGCACCAAGTTGCATAATCATCGACATACCCAGCACAGCACGATCAACGAAGACGACGTACTCCCGAATCCTAACTTCCACCAGGGGCCGCCAACTTCAGATTTTGAATAATCCTCATAAGCCTTTAATCGCTGTTTCCGATGGACTTTTCTTCACCAATACTTTTCCTATGTTATCACCTTTCTATCTAAAAGCATACGACTAGTTGTTTCAAGCGGGTGTAACGATCGAAGCTCTCTCGGTGCCTGAGCACGTGACGCAGGCAGCCGCTTATGTGTAGATAGTTACGATGGGAGCTTCTCTCCTTCTTCCCTTCTCTTCTCTCTCAGCTTAATACCTTCGTTCAATACTACTGCTATCTTTCAAAGCATCTGAGTCCTTACATAGTATTAAGCTCACCCTATTCTCATTTCTATTCCCCCTGAATACCTGAGGTTGTACAGACGTACGCTTGCTTTGCTTACGCGACGTCTCAGCCACTCGGGACCGTTCCATCCAATCAACCCCCCCGAACTGAATCCGATCTACGCGCTAAGATGGTCTGTGATTATTCCACGAAGCCCAAGAGCAGCGGCTTAAAGGCACGAACTAAAGAACCTTGTGTCGAAGAGGTTAGTAATGACGCTAACGGTTGCTCCGCTTACGATACGACTGAATCTGAACCTAAAGATAAACTGATTACTCCTATCCCTATAACTGTAAAAAAGATACTTACTGCTACTGCTACTATTAATAAGGATAAGCAGAGAGATAACCGCTACGGCTTATTCTTTATATTATATAAGGATAGCCTCTATAAGTTTAAGAACCCTAAAGACCTTTAGATATACCTCTAGGAGGACCCTAAACGCTTCTATTACCTAATCAACAATCAGACTAAAGTTACTGATTGATATATAACTGACTAAGAGGCTTTTAAAGAGATCTATTAGTAGGTCAGATAAATTATAAGTAATTTATAAAATACCTAAGAAGATCTATAAGAAGCTAACGAGGATTATAACTGTCTGTGAGAGGAACTCTGCCAGAGTCAGTAGCCTAAAGAAAGAATCCCTTATCGATCCTATTGTGCTTAAGAAGAGCCTGAACTATATATACGCTCTTACTCTTATTTACTGTATTAATTGTACTGTTGCTTACAGTTATACTCCCGAGGTAAGTCTTCGAAAACCTATAAGCTTACTGATCCTTCTGTCTTCTCTGACAGAGCTGGTAACATAAAGTTTCGGAGCTGGTATACTGTAATAGAGGGCAAACTATAAGCTAATAAAGATTACTTTCTGACTACAGAGCTCTATAAGGCATACGTTGTAAGCTGCCTAGACAGTACTATATATAATTAGGTTGTCTCAGGGCTAAATATCTTTAACAAAGACGATAATAATAATAATAGTCCCTTCTTTAATAACAGGGACAATATCCTAGATTATCTAGAGAATATCTACAGAGACCCTGTTCGCTAAGAGAGAGCTAAGTACAAGCTTAAATAACTAAAGATAAAGCCTACTGACAAATTTACTATCTTCCTTACTAATTTTATTTATCTGGCCAATAATGTATAGATCCCTAACCATAAGTAAGTATAACTACTCCAGTAGAAGGTAAATATAAAGCTATAGCATAAGCTTACTAGAAAGGCTACTAAAGCAGGTATTATCTTCAGTAAATATATTAATAAGGCTTACCGTACTGCTACTCTTCTAGAGATTATAGATACTGATAAATAAGTTTAAAAGTCTTTTAACCTAAAACTAAATATTAGTACCAACGCTAATTAATTATTATCTCAAAACTAATAATCAGAAATCTATTCCTCCTCTGCTGTAACCAGTAACCCTTCTCTATACCCTCTTAATATAGCTAAACGGCTTAAGTAAAGAACCGAAGGATATTGCTTTAAATATAATAAGACAGGCTATATTAGTAAGGATTATCTGAAGCGTATGCTATGTCTCTTAAAGAAGCCTAAATCCGTTACTGCTGTTAACCTTACTGATATAGAAGTACCCTCCCCTATACCTACTGCTGATATAGGAAAAGCCTAGGCCTAGTAAAAGTCTCCTTACTAGGCGGACCTAAGGTATCCCTAATAGATCTAGATTTATCTAAGTTAATAACCTTAAAAGCCTTTATACTAAAGCTATAGCTAGTTTATAATAGACGATTATTCTCTATTTTAGTCCTTAGAGATACTGGAGTATAAGGATATATATATATTAATATCTCCTTAGTAGTATAGTTATATATAAATAACAGTATATATATTGAGAAGTTTGATAATCTGATCCCTGTAAAGGGCTATAATAGATACCTTAGTATACTGATAACCTATTTTATCTAGTTTATACTATATATTAACAGATATCGATAGTTATAAGTCCCTATAATAATCACCGATCTAGGGTAATATAATATTATCCTTGGACAGGATTAGTTTAATTACTTCTAGATTCTAGCTAATTATTATAATAACTAATTAATCTGGCCTGATGAGGTATTATTACTAGATAAGGTTATAACGAAACTTGTTGTCCTAATACCCTATACAATATTAAAAAGATCTGCTGTTAATACTGACCACTAAGCAGATACTGACCGAAGAGATCTGTTAATTAAATCAAAAGCTTTATAAGAAAAAGATTATCAATATATAATAAAGAAGATAGACCGAGTAATCTCCTAAGGAGAAGAAGAGGAGGACCTAACAGAGGTAGAGTTTCTGGCTAGAAAATAATCTCCCCCTCTCCTAGGTAAGTAATTTCTTATTTCCCTGGTTAAGATTACCGTAATCAGAGCGGTAGGCTTCTATCGTTATATAAAGAAAGCAGATACAGAGATATTTATAACCTCTCTGGATAAGATTAATTAAGTTCTAGAGGATAAGCACAGCCCCCAGGAGCTTAAAGATGAAGAGAATTAGAAGCTGATCCCCCCTGAATATTATAACTTCCTTAAGGTCTTCTTAGTAATTAAATTAAATAAGATACTATTATATCAATAGGGTATAGATTACTAAATTCTGCTTAATAGTATCCTTGCCCCTAGATACTGTCTGCTGTATAAGTAATTATTTAAAGAACTAACTGTCTGTAAGAACTATATTATAGAAAAGCTTAATTTAGGCTTTATTAAACCAAGCTCAGTATCCTTTATATCCTCTGTACTGATAGCTTATATACTGAATAGGAAACTTTACTTCTGTGTTAATTACCAGAAGTTAAATATACTAATAAAGAAGGACTGATATTCCCTTCTGCTAATTAACAAGCTATTATAGTGTCTCTTAAAGGCTAAGGTCTTTACTAAATTAGATATCTGATAAGGTTTTTATTAAATCTGCCTATATCTAGATACTAAAGAGCTCTTAATATTTAGGACTTAATACAGATCCTTTAAATATAAGGTTATATCCTTTAGAATAACTAATATATCTATAATTTTTTAAAGGTTTATTAATTTGACCCTTGTAGAGTATCTTAATAATTTTACTATAGTATACATTAACGATATCCTGATCTATTTAGATTTAATTAAAGAATATACTAAATACGTCCAGAAGATACTCTAACGTCTCTGGGATACTAGACTTTAGGCCTCGATAGGTAAGTATAAATTTTATATTAAAAGCACTAAATTCCTTAGTTTTATTATCAGTACTGAGGATATTACTGTTAATTCTGCAAAGGTAGTAGTTATTTAGAATTAGGAGACTTCTACTACTGTATATAGTATATAGTTATTCCTAGGATTTTATAACTTCTACAGATACTTTATTAAGTACTACAGTTATATCAGTAAGCTACTATATCGTCTGATACAGAAGAAAGTACTATTTAAATAGTCCCCTAAGTATTAAGCTACCTTTAAATTCCTTAAGAATTATCTTGGCTCTGCTTCTATTCTCTAGTATTATAATCCTGATACTGAAACCAAGATTAAAACTAATACCTCTAAGGGCTATACTAGTACCGTTATATATTAACAAAATAATCCCTCTTCCCTCTAGCACCTAGTTACCTTTCTATCTAAGTTAATAGACCCTATAGAACAGAACTATAATACTAGAGATCAGGAGATATTAGTAATTATAAGGGTACTGACTAAATAGCGTCCTAAACTAGAAGACCTTTAGCGTATAGAATATTTTATTATCTATTCAGACTATAGGCCCCTATAGGCCTTTATAATAATAAAGAAGCTAAATAGCCGTTAATCTTACTAACAGGAGTTCTTATCTTAGTTCTACTTTATAATATATTATAAATCTAGCAAAAGCAATATTATCGCTGATATCCTATCTTAAAAGAAAGTATCTCTACCCTGTATTAAATAACCTGTATTATTAAAACCTAAGATACTGGGCCTATTACCTTTTTCAGTAATAATTAAAGCTATTATAACCCTGGTAGCCCCCTTAACCATTACTCCAATCTCTGTAGACTGTCTAGCCCTTAGAATAACAGTTAATCCGGTAGATAATATTATAGAGCATATCCTATTAGCTAATCAGACCTACCTATTGCTTAATAAATATTATAAATAGGCAGCGGATAAGGACAAAGCACAGTAGATAATTAAATATAGACAACTCTTATTTAAAGGCTAAATAGTTATACCTAACGATAGTAACCTATATATACGCCTATTAGACAAGATTCATCGGCAACCATTAACAATATACCCTAGTACAGATAAGATATTAAAGTTAGTCTAGGATCAATACTACTAGATAGGCTGGTCCGCCAACATTAAGCGCTATATCAATAACTGCTTAGTGTACAGAAGAACAAAAATATAGTATAATAAACCTCCTAGGTTACTACAACCCCTGCCTATTCCTGACCAGCCGGGGTAATATCTCTCAATAGACTTCTGCTTATTCTCTAAGGACTACTATAGCTATAATACTATTCTTGTCTTTATTAACTGTCTTACTAAGCAGCCTATTTTAATCCCCTGTCATAAGACTATAACTACTAGAGAAACTATACGACTATTTATCTGTTTTATAATACCATAGTTAGGTATCCCTAATACTATTATCTCTGACTGCAGAATATAATTTATATCTGTGTTTTAGCAGAAATTCAGCCGTATTCTAGGTATTCAGTATAAACTATTAATAGTATACTACCTACAGACAGATAGTCAAACAGAGATCGCTAATAAGTATATAGCGTAAAGACTACGTATGGTGGTAAACTACTAATAGAATAACTAGTCAGAATACCTTCTAATTATAGATTTTACTACAGTAATACTTTCTCAGAACAGTATTAAGTACTCCCCCTTCTTTACAGAGAAGAGGTTTAACCCTCAGATATCTTTTGACTAGATATCTAACGTTCCTAAAGTTATTACCAACGATACCTAGCGTACCTATAATATAGTTGATATTATACAATAAGTCTGGGAGAAGGCCTATAGCTCTATAAAACTTACCTAGAAGAGACAGAAAGAATAGGCTGATAAGTAATATAAGAAGGATAACTTTAAATTATATAATTAAGTATTTATTATTGCTAAACTATAGAAAACCAGATATCCAAACAGGAAGCTTTTATAATAAGTATATAGCCCCTTTAAAATTATTAAAAAAGTAGGTAATACCTAGAAGTTATAACTCCTAGAGAGCATAAAGGTCTATCTAGTTTTTACTCTAGAAAAGCTATACTATAGCGCCCGTTTAGCACCATTGACAGGACAGATCCCTGACGCTGAACTACCCGTCGTTATTAATATCAAAGAGAAGTATAAGGTTGATCAGATTAAGGACTCAAGGATATACCGAAAAAAGCTATAATATAGGGCTAGCTGGATCGGGAATGAAGATACTGTGTGGTACTATGCCAGCAGATTCAAAAACGCCCCAGAGAAGCTCACCGCGTTCTATCTACGCTATCCCAATAAGCCTGGGCCTCCTATAAGGCTTTTGATATGGCTAGACGCTGCGAAGAATGACGAATTTGAGGCGGATCACGACGACGACGACAAGCCGGTGATACTGGCTTGATTAATTGCGAACCTGAGGCCTGGGGCCCAGGCCTTTTAAAAGGGGAGACTATATAACGATCGAAGCTCTCTCGGTGCCTGAGCACGTGACGCAGGCAGCCGCTTATATGTAGATAGTTACGATGGGAGCTTCTCTCCTTCTTCCCTTCTCTTCTCTCTTAGCTTAATACCTTTGTTCAATACTACTGCTATCTTTCAAAGCATCTGAGTCCTTACAGCGGGTTAGATTTGCCCGCTCTTAGAGAAGCTATGGTTGCCTTCTCTGCCGCTTAATCTGCCTACTCCTTTGGGAACCTATGCCAGATACGGTCAAATAAATTATCCCTACTTTTTATTCAATTGCTGAACTCCTTCGGTTATATGATTTAATTGGTTAAGTAAGATACCAGTTAGATTAAGGATATCCTTACTGCAGTAATTTTCTTTATACTCTTTAAAAATATCGTTAGGACCGTCAGGACCTCTTACTGCTATTTACAAAGGCTAGAGACTCTTGACCTTTAGTACTACCGTACTTTATCTAGAACACTTTACGGCCGACTAGTTTTACATACGAATCTTTTTATCTGTATACAAGGGTTTCTTATTCTAGGGCCGTTACATAGAACACATTACAGCCAAGTTACTGACCGAAAGCTTAATCTTCTTATGCGCCGGATCTGTACACTATAAGAACTGCTCTTTATCATAATGGCAGATTCTATCTGTATATTATCTATTCCCTTTCTTCGGAGATGCTTACAGTCCCGCTGTGATAAGTTAGGGTTATTTAGCCTAAAGCTTTTAGTCCCTAGAGATAGAGAAGGTTATCTTTCTGGATGCAACAGCGAGTCTGAGGTTTACCGGAAGCTAGACGATCTTAGGTAATATATTAATTTTCTCTTTGCTCAGTCAAATTCGCTATAAAATATATTTCTTTGATATATAGCCTATCCGATATTCTAGCGAACCGATCTTAGCTACACAGAAGATGCTATTCTGCCTATTATATTTAAAAGCTGTAAAGACGTAATTGCTTGCGCGATGTATACATTGGTGTAGGTCCTTTGTGACCACCAAATACTTAGATATTTGCTTCTTACAGAGACTGGAGAAGTAGCTTTGCTATTAACTCAGTGGGCTAAAGTAATCCTTAGTATTGTAAAAGGATAGGATCTATCATAATACTTATACGAGGAGACGTATAACATAAATATAGGATAGATTGTAGAGTTGCTTTGTCTTCGCTGGCCCAATACGGATATATTGACCTATTTAACTTAATACCTCGTCCCTGGCCTTAGGTTAGCTTAGCCTGCCATAGAAGATACTGCAGGGGCTTTGGTGCTATTCGATTTACTAATAGATATACACAAATCCAAAAATGCCCGTGGACGCAAAGTCTTTGCTATGCACCTTGTCCTTGAATATTCTCCCAAAGAAAACGGATTCTTTCTGCCCAATCAGTCATTCCGTTTTGTTATCCATGGTTATAATGATGGTGGAGAGTTTTTTTATGATTATATCTCACCTTCAACTTGAGCTGGAAGTAAATGAAACTATATTCTCCTCGAGATTTCTAGTAGTTCATCTTCCGACAAACTCACGGTGATGATGGCAATAAACATCTGGATATGAAAACAGTTATTAAGGAGGAAGCATATTTCGCTAGCGACTGAAAATGATAGGGACTGTTGTGTGAGAGCCCCTTGCGTCGGGCCCACGATATTCCGTGCAGGACATCGCACAATTATCGCTTGGCTATCGAAAAGAACATCACCGTTTCGAGGGAGAGCCGGGCTCTCTCCGCGACGGTTTCTTTCGATAATTCCTTTGCTTGCAATGATGCGTCATAGTTCGGAGGCCCCCAGTCCTACTCCTGGGGGACAGACCGTCTTGGGCTCCTCGATCTATCCGCCGGAATATATATGGAACCTAGCAGGACAGACCAGCGCAGACCGAAAACGAGAGATCTATACTGGGATCAATACAGCCATGCCGACACGCGACTTCTGGGAGTTCCATCCAAGGTTGAGCCGTTCTACTCCCTCCCTACCCCGACCCTCCTCTTTTGGTTCCACTGGAACATCAACAAGTTCTGTGTAGGGTTTGAGGCCGTCTAAAGCATTAATGACCGCCATTTTGTCACGTGGGAACATACTCGGGTGATGATGATGTTTCTACGCTGCATGCAACTTTCCTATGCGAGTGGCCTGTTGCAACGTGTGTCTGGCTGCTGGCGGGACGTCTGGTTCCGTCCTGATGCTGAGCGGACGGATGGTCTTCGCCGGTGTGAAGGGTTGAGGTTCCAGCGAGGCATGGAGAAGTACGGGTATGCCTTGGTTTTGGAGAAGGTTGACTGGGATGCAATGGCTTTCCGCCAGCCCTCCGCGCAGTACATGATGTTCAACAGCCCTTCTCTGCAGGCAGCCTTCCATACGCGGTATGGGCAGATCCGAGACGTCCGCCTCGACTTCCTACGGGTGTATCAGGCACACCACTGGATGGAGGAATTTAGCTCTATTTCTCCCTGTCTAGATCTTCTCGAAGATTTCCTCCGACAACTTTCCTTCTGCGCGTTTCGGAAAGATGTCTTGTTACATGTGAAGCGACTGTTACACACGGACCACGTATTGTCGCTGAGAAAACTAGCTCTGGTTGCGGCCTCATTTCAATTCCCTCGGGCTTTCAAAATGTCGGCGATGCTTCCATGGTGATTTGAGAAATTTAGTCGCGCGTTCTTGGGTCCTAATGATGTCGTGGTTCAAAGGCTGTTTCGAAACAGTCTTTCTATTGACGAAGATTGCTAGTTAAACAAAGCCGACCGGATAAATCTAGTCTCAAAAATTGGTGCTTTAATTGAGACCAATCAAAGCAGATGGTGGGGTGGGAGGGCACGGTAGTAAATTACAACTATAAATTACAGTTCTAACATTTTAGGCGGGCTGGGCGATCGTGTAACTATTCCACAGCTAAACAACAATCCTTTTCATTTTCTGCAAATCGACATACGCCCCGCAGGGCCTGGTGCGTAGTTTGTGCTCTTCATGGAGCCCCTCTTCAGATTGTCCATCATCATCCCTAGTCTAAGTTCTTCTAACTAGATGTGGCGTACTTGGCGGCCACGATGTCGGCCTGCACCGAGTTCTCGGTGTCATCAGATGGATAACCGGAGGTCATCACACCCTCGTAGAAGGTGCCCTGTGCGCCATTGCTGTTGTCACCGCCAATACCCAGAATGATAGCGCCTTCTTTGAGCATGGGGTTGTATCCAGAAGGACGCGCACCGCTATAGTAGGTATCAAGCTCGCCAGTAGTAGCGTCACCACCGCGGAGTGCCCACTCATTCGACTGGCCCTTGAGGACAGCAGTAAAGAAGCGCGAGGTGATAGAAGGATCGCCACTATTATAAGTGGCATTCTCGCCGGAGAAGAGACCATTCTCCAGATCAGCCATAAGCCAGGGGCCGCTTCCGGCGCCAGTGCCCCAGGTCGTACAAGCACCGAAGTAGATAGCTTCCATATGGGCATCACCTGTATCGGTGTTGCTAGTCTCAGCGTTGCCATAGTCAAAACAGCACTGATCATTATAATCGGTTCCATCAAGTACTGCATACATGCCTCCCGCGTCATCGCCTGTAGCAATGCCGCTGGTGTTGTCATTACGGTAACCCATGCCGGGCTCAAATTTGACACCATACACTTTCTGGCCATTCAGCGTAATGGGGGCGCCGGTGGCGCTAGCCAGATTATCGTAGCCACCAGCTGCGGGTCCATCAAACCCACCGGGTGGGGCCTGAGTGAGGTCGTTGCCATTTCCAGATTGGTCGTAAATAATGGTAATGTTGCAGGTAGTGTTTTCGCAGAATGTATCTTGTGCAGAAGCATCGGAAACACCACCAGCGGTCACTGGCACGATATCGGTTGTGTTGCTGTCGGAGGCACGAGACACTTGGTAAAGCCCACCTGTATAGGCATCGTAAAGGGCACGAGTGGTACTGTGCGCTGCGACGCAAGGCGTATCACCAGCGGCGTAGATGTCGCAGGGTCCAGCGATAACAAGGGAACCTGTGGCAACGAGGGCAAGGGCCAGGCTGAGTGGGAAAGACATGTCTGACCACTTTTTGCGGGGATATATCTTGGCAAGGAATGGTAGAGAAGAGATATTTGAGGATCTTGAGCTTGTCCAGAAGCTCCGATTCTGCGGGTACGGGACACCTTTATGTAGTTTTGAGCTACATCGTATCTGGCTTCCGTTAACTAGTAGGGTGAGATCTTCACTTTGTCTTGCCTTTTCAAGAGCACCAATGGAGACATACACTCAGACAGTAATTAAGGAAGTAGTATCTGAATACTGTACAGCTCACATGACTCCACCTGCGTATACTCGCGGGATTATACTTTTTGTTGCTTGCATTCCCCACGGGGTCCATAATATCACCGAAGCTTTACTTGATTCAGAAACCATATTTTGTGATAGAGGTCGAGATATTAACCGAAGTTTCCCTTCCGTCATTTATGTCAATAAGAGTGCCAAAAGACTAGTCGGTAGTTGAACACAAAATAGTAATGACTAGTATGAATTTATGACGAATGAGATCAGTTGAAACCGATTCAGGGTGAAGCAGGTGATTGGATGAAGCAAATAAAGATGCACTCGTGAGCCAGGTTGAAACGCCTCCTGAATGCCTATCCGGCTGTCACAACACTGCGAGTGTCACTCAGTCACTCCAAGTCCATATCGAATTCTTGCCATCCTACCTCAAAAGATCTATTATCCTGTTCGTCGATCCGATAAATCCACCAAACGTAATCTGGAATAGGTTTCGGGTAGGGTGGATGATCCGGGACCACTTCCTCCGCAGGAATATTCCCGGCTTAGGTGAAGATTGGCCAAATTCTGGGGCAGGCACGAAGCGGTGCGGGGATCGGAGCTGGACTGTCATGGAATTGGCCGATTGGGCCAGCGTATCGATCACTCATTTATGTTTCTGAATGTATGCCCACATACGAAAGCTTCGGTCTCATCATAGGTGTAACACGCACTGCATCAAAAACGGGACATGCCCCTCTTCAGAATTCAAGCCTCGGGGTATTCTGACCAGAATAAACTACCCCACAATAAGCCCCGCGGTGCCTGTCGAGCACTTTAATTTCTGGTGCCTGTGCAGCGCCGAACCCCACAGTGTAGAGGTCGCCCAGCCTGATCGACAAAGCCACCCATAAGCCACCCACCCGACCATGGAAATATTCCTACGGAGAACTGCAAGAATTCATGGTCTGGTGTATAACATGGCATGCCGGCATTTCTACAGCCGCAATTCCTCATACTCGAATTCAGTTGTCAATGTCTGCTGGTATATACTGTATGAGCAGTTTTATATATTGACGGTCAGAGGGAGGGGTCAAATACCATTAGGACACTTCGGGATAGACCTATTCATCGTTCGCCTAATTGGAAATCTTCGGTTATTGTCGCATGTATAATACTGTACTGAATCCAGACGTATCGAGTATGTATCACAATACCCCGAGAATTACCAATCGGCCTAACCTGATTAGGCGACCTAACTGCCGCGCTGTAGAAGGAACGCCAAGGGCGATTTCGATTGACGTGTCATCCCACTGAGAGACTGGAAGACGCGCGTCTTCGGACGAATTGGGTGAAAGATGAATAAGCATATCCTGAAGGGTCCTAGTGGTCGACAGTGGCACCTAGGGCACGCATGGTCCGTAGCTTTTCGACTGCAAAGGCGTTGGAAGACGAATGCCAAAGAAGAGCCAGTACTGCCACCACTGGCTTCCACAACTGTCATACCAGGCTGTACTGTAGCTTCCCTTTAATCTCAGCCTGCTCAATCATGGAAGTCGCCATACGATCCTTATACTAGCCGGTCGGGTTCAAGTATTCAAGCTTCAGGAATGTCTTGGCATGGCCTTCCGGAACCACGCGACGGAGACGCACGACAGGCGTATTTCCAATGGCATCCAACGCGGAGTCAACAGGAAATGGGGGTGAAGCCATGGTGTAAGCTTTGCTGGTTCGGCTTGAAGTTGGAACTCGGGTCTTGACTGAACGATGGTTTCCGGGCTGGAGGGATGTCAGGAAGGCAAATGAATCTATGCGAACCAACGCAGTGGATAAGTGAGCCAGCAACACGTAATAAATCTAGAGGATATCCATTAGCAGATTTACGACTCGACGACCGCGAAACAATTTCCAATTTTTTTCAAACCAGATTTTGCATACGGGTAGTATATGCTTTAGTATGATATTCAGAGTCTCAGATACGCATATTATCCCATTATGTTGTTATGGCGCGGGAAAGTTGGGAATATTTTGTAGATTTTACATCGTCGACCATCGATCGGGTGGGGCGCGCGTGATATTAGACCAATGACAATTTTCTGGACGCGGGATTTGGCCAATAATGAATTTTCTGGACTTGGAGAAGCAGCCAATGGTAGGCGTACGTACGCCAAATACGAACCCCACCTTTGTTGATAGAACTACTCCCACTTTTGGATTCATAATCCTAGTAACCCCTATTGATCTGGATATTCTCATCGACATCGATACAATGGACGACAGACACACTCGCATGAGCAGTTATACAACTCGCACTATACTGCGATTTGTGGCGCTGTCCTCATGCTCTGGGTCCCACTCTTCATTTGGGGCAAGCAGATTCGCGAGAAGTCTATTAGCTGGCGGGTTATGCGGTGGGCGCAGTGGGATACCGACCGAGAGGTTGGCGAGTAAGGTGTTTTATGCCCACCCGATTACGACCTCTGCGACACCGACACTATCGGGCGGGTGGATGTCCAGCACAGACACAAATTCCTTGTTTCCTGATACTTTTGGGCCTTGTAGGGTGGTGGGTACCGGTGAAATTTTCGACAGGGTTGGAAGGAATGAGAAGAATTTGTCGCATAGCCCCTACTTAGGTTCAGCCAATCTAAACAAAGTCTTTGGACTGGGGTCACTATCATAATATTATTCTATAAACAATCATTGGATAATGACTTTAAGGTTGTTTAGGAGCGCAAAAGGCCATAGCCCGAATCTGCAGTGGAAGTCCAAACCGAGGTTATGGACATGCTCAAAGGCGGCCGTCGAGACCTCCATGCGAGAATATTGGTTCACCGTGATCCAAAGTGCGGAGCGTAGAGAGCTTAGGCTTATCTGCAGCCATTTATAGAAAACAAAGAGTATAATTTGTGACCACGGGACATAGAACGCATTTGCTTCTTGTTGATTTGCCAGGGCTGTTGTGATAATCCCAACTTGATCAGGGACCATCACATTGTTGATTCGCTGTACCGCAAGCAAGAAGAGACAGGCCAACGTCGCCAGCTTCAGTCGGTACGAGTTAGATGGCCATATATAAGGGAGGAAAAAGGAGTATGCCCTGACATACTCCCACCAGCTTCTAGTGGGAATTGTTGTCCAGTGAACGCCTGGGTCCTGCGATTTAGAAGCTGTGGGCAATGGGCCGCCATTTATTGGGTTGTACATCTCGATGTTGGTAACGTTGCCCGTCTGCGAAGGATCCAACGGCCTAGTTGTCTTTGACCGGTCACCCGAGGTCTCACCATCATTTGTAAGCAGTGATGACTTATTGGCGTAGAGTAGAACCAGAGTCACGAGGGCCAAGATGCGGACACTGTTAGAGATAGCTTCCAAGATTTTCCAAAGGTTTAAGCTATCGCGAATTGGGCCTCCTAATGGATCGCCAAGTGCTCTTTCACGATGGACTGCGCTTGAAATGACCACCTCGATAGGGATAGCGGCAGACCAACACGTCATTTGAACAGCCGTTGGGGACGAGGTGTTATCGAAGATGGATAAGAGTAGGACCATATAGAAAAAGGCAGACCCAACAATATAGTTCTGTAATGTTAGCCTTGATGAGCGCATATTGCATGAGAGCTATGCCTGCGTACCGCGAGAGATTGCCCGAATCACTATTCAGATCGGGCCATCACCAAATGGGCGACGAAGACCGCCGCGTCTCCAAAGTATGTTACAATCAACACGACCGACAGCCCGTTGAAAATTCGCTCTGAAGTTGGTGAGAACCTTTGCTTCTTGTAGGAGGCACCAGTAGCTTTGGAGCACTGTGGGAGTTGGCGACAATCAGTCCCCATTTTCAACAAACTCCCGTACTGTGCTCTAATCGTAGTAACCACATGGGCTCCCATAAAAAGGAATAGAAGCAGAATTTGGGGGAATGGGTGCAGAGACTCTAGGAGTTTCCGAGTAGCACGCTGTTCCATGATGTGTAGCCGAATCCAAAGAATCCACGAAGTAGAGAAGTGTGTTTCTGCACTGCTGTGGCGGGCCGGATATATGCTTCACCCCAGGAGGTAGAATTTGAGTCAATTGAGTGTGGTTTAGCTATCCCCTGTGTGTCCAAGAGAGAAGATAGCTAATGAAAAAGAGAGGGGCTTTTAAACCAAGGCAGCCGAAGACACGGTCTGAGCCATGCATGGATCGCAATGTGATGAGAATGTAGCCCCTGCAAGCGACCAAATGATCAGTACGAAGTTGACTCAGATCGGCTGATTCGGCTGTTTTGGGCTGGTGAGAGTAGGTCAGTGCTTGACCATCGGGGGTTAATCACTCCGAGGGAACTGAGAAGCTGCAAATGTGCATACAGCGAGGGTCCAGCCTTGACTTCCTAAACAGGAATGCTTGGGATCACCTACCCTCCTCTACACATAGAAAAGAAAAATCATTGATTTAGAAAGCCTGTTTTATGTTCTACGGATTTGGATTACTACTATTCTAGTCCGGGCATTCCAGCCTTAGAGCCCGATGTTGCGTTGGCTGAACTATCAAGATTTCACAAGCGGGCAAAGAAGGGGATAAGCCATTTCATGGCTACATAGTACTCGATTCGATTGACGTGTCAGAGATGAAAGTAGCCGAGCATGTTGGGTTCAAGGTCCTTCCACAAACAGTATGGTTTAGATCAGCCATCCTCCAGCACTTCGGCAGGAGGAATTAAGACATGGGCTTAAACTCTGCTATTGCATCCTCGCCTCCGTCCATGTCCTTCACCTCGGAGTACTTCAAAGTCAGCATCTTTCTTTCCTTTGATCCTTTCCATCGGATGACTTCAACTTGGAGCTCATCGAGAACCGGCAAAGGATCGCAACGGAAATAAGCCATCCAAACTTTGGTCACTTTGGGCTGGCCAATTTGTCCACTGTCGACAATGGAAAAATCCATTCTTGGTTTCACTCTGGAGGGGCACGGGCTCTGATGTCGTTTGTCTCCACACAGTATTGCTCTTGCATCGTGCTGTCCCCCTGGAAGGAAGGCTCAGGCCCATCTGAGACGGTACTCTATTCTGCCTTTAACGTGGGTCGATTCTGCGCACACAATTGCTCTTACACTTGATAGACCGAAGCACTGGAGAAACGACCAAAGTCCCATCGTAATTGGAGACGATTGGGAAGCAGACTGTCGGCTGAAACTGATAAGAAGTCTAGAATCATAATTGGGCCGGATGGGAGGTCGGGCCTTAAGTACGACACTTGGATAAGGGGCCGTCTCGTGCATGCCTAGGGTGATGCTGATCTAGTACACATCCTAAAGTTCTGAGGCCATCGGGTGTCTAGACCGTAGGGCCGTCCTCCGTTAAAAACTGATCTATACCGTTTCGGGGATGTTACGCGACAGCCCCTCTCAACATCCTGATCCGGGGATTTGACAAACTATTCCTAACCAGCATTATGACCCCTATCATGGCAGAAAGTCTACTAGCTGACTTATCAGCGCAACTGAATACCTTTATTTCCTTTCTCAAAGCTGATCTCTCTCCCGTTATCTTGGCAGATCCTGCGGAAAGGGGATGCCATCGCGCTGCCGTGAGGATAGAAAATGGATCGAATACATGTTGCTGGATACAGCGACTCCAAAAAATCCACTATTGGACCTACTTGGCTTTATGGGAGCAAGACTGGCTCCGACGGACCGGACGGAATGAGCCCACCCTAGGTTTAGGTTCTCATCGTCTAGGAACCATGTCTACGTTCATTCAAGCGGAAGGATTATTCGACGACCATAACACCAAAAAAGCACTCCAGTATGGGCGCAGGTTGATGCTATTTGAGACGGAGCTAGGAAGTGCAATTACCCTGCTTCTTATCCCAGTGCTACCGGACATTTGCCGTCTATCCTTAGTTGAAGAAACTAGGATATTGGAGATGATACGAGGCGACGACTTTACAGGCGTCAAACATCAGGCGCGAGCTCTGTCTAGGCTGAGACTTAAGTATCAATGCATTTATGGAAAATATCCTAGTAAGCTAATATCCATAATATGTCCATATCCCTCTCTAATTTATTATCGATAGTGAACTATCCGGCGCGCTCAGATCTAGCACGCCATGGGGTGGGCTTGGAGTAGATCCTCATGAAAGGAAAAGCTTCGGATGATGATGCCAGATCCGACCCCCATGGGTCTTCCGAAAATCCTTTCCAGACCAGGGAACCTCCAGCTGGCAGTGATATCTCCATCTTAAGTGCACCTCGCACGAATAATATCTCTTTCGATCGCAAATCAAAGTGCTTCGTCGCACCTCCTTGACGCGCGAATTCCGTACTGGAAAGGTGGTGGGACACAGGATAGAGCTTCAAGGTTGCTGATATCTCCTCCGGATTGCTTGAAAGAGCTCGGAAAACTGATATTCCTTCTCGAGACGGATGAGCGGCACCGATCCCAAAATCAGTTGGGTGGTCCAATGAGTGGATAATGACCGGGCCTTGGTGGACAAAGAAAGCAGGCCTCCCGATCACTTCTTCGATCCTCCTCTCCAACTTTCACGAGTATCAGTTCTGCTTTAGATGTTGTTTTATTGCAATTTTCAGTACCCAGTCCGTTTCTGGGTGAGCCGGAACTGATAGCGACATACGCTTCATGACAATTGCAAGTATATAAACACTTTCGTCAGTCTGGCGGGTGGCAGCCTCCATAGCGCATATCCATTTCTCACGTTCATCCCCGCTGTGGTACAACAGCCAATTTGTCTCCTTTACTCGATCAAATCGAGCAGCAATTATGAGAGGAGTGTCTAGCCCATGTTGACTGATTGGTGGCCAGCATTCATGGTCCCGAAGCCAGTCGAATAGAGATTCTGGGTCAGGGTGATATAAGGCGATCCTATTCCAAGTTGACAAAGCGTACTGCTTTACCGTAGATGCTAGATTGATCCCTCGACTCAGCATCCGGCTAGCCAACTCGGCTGAGGCAAATTGGCAGATAGAGGCATGTTGACAATGATCAAGAGATTCTGACAGATTCTCACTGGGTAAGACCCGACCTTTACCCAGCAGATAGTGAAAAGAATTTGGTCACTGGCCGCCAATTGAAAGATCGTTTCTTGAAAACACCCTGGCGTAATGTTGACAAGTTTAAGAATATGCTCAGAACTCACCATACACAGTAGCTCCCGAGCTATATCCAATCTTTTTGCAAGGAATGCCAGGGCGAAAAGGCTCTGCCCTGTACGATTGTAGTAAGTCGGGTATATCGCTCTGGTACGTATGAGCTCCGTGAAACAATCTGAACATTCGCATATACATAAGGAAACGAGGTCTGTGTGTGGCTGCGTGTACTGTAGGTTGTTGCGCGAGAGAAAAGCGTGTTCGTAATCAGTATACAAACCCCATTGCATCAATAGGAGCCCACGCGACCATTGCAAGAGTTGCAGAATTCCGTGCCTCAATTCATCTGTAACCAGATTGTATTTTTGCAGGGATCTCAGGAGATGTAATGCTTTGTGTGACTCAGAAGGTTGTCGAACGAAGAGTTTGTGGTATATTCCACTGAGAAAGACGTAGTCCAAGACATAGAGCTCTTTGAAGGAACCGTTTTGAACGGCCTGCAGGATTTCGTCAATATCGCGGTTGTCCATGATTTCGAATGCCTCAATCAAAAACAATTGCTGGGGAATAAGAACAAATATAGCCGGGAATACAGGATTATTATAGCCTCCATTGATCCCTGCCCGGCATTTTTCATTTTCGATCATCCGGTATTATCTGCAACGCTTGTACCAGGCCATTCTCCGATGCGACTGGGTTTCCTAAACCTTCCTATGACAGCCTAGGGCAGTCTACCAGATTCTGAAAAGGTGCTCACGAGCCGGGGTAAGATCCTGCTGACCGCCAGGCTGACTAGTCTATAGCTGATGAGCACCTCGCTCTATTCATGGCACAATAATTGAGGGTCCAAAGCATCCTCTACATTTAAACCTATCTTGAGACTGGTTGAGGATCCTGACTTAGAAAGCTTGTCACCTCCTTCACTAATACCCAGTAGAGAAGACATGTAAAAGCGTAATAGCCCAGGCTCGATACCTGAAACTCGCGTTGAAGTCACCGCTAGCATCTAGTAGCATTTCCGTGAACACCATATACAATAGGCCACTCTAGCCTATGCTAATCAGTATGAACAGTCCAAACTTGACCACTCGGCCGCTTTCCCATCCTTGTGGTACGGTGTGTCTTGGAGAGACCGAAGCATTGGAGAAAGAGATCGATGGAGAAAAGGACTGACTGCTTTAACTGAAAGCCATGAGGACCGGGAGATCCGATATTAACTACGACTCCCGGATACAGGCTATCTCGTCTGTTTCCAGAGGGACGTAGATCTCGGGCTTCTAAAAGTAATTTTGCTGTTGATGAAGTCGTAATCAATTTCAACGAATTAAATTCCAAAAATGGTATCGCTCAAATTATTACAGCGGATTTGAATAATTCAAGGCCCAAACAGTACCACACGAGTTGTAATCAGCAAGGTGACGGACGTATAAACAGCGACGCAAGTCCCCGGCATAAAGAAATGTAAACTGAGCTCCCGTATACACTCCTCCTTTCTATCCCACCTGTCTACTTTGATTGAAAAAGGTGTAAACGACATTCAGGGGTTCCTATCGTGCCGAGAGTATACCCGCTAAAGGTTGGTAGGGAGATTTGCATCTTGTAGTATCGACGAGAATTGTATCCTCCATTACGATGCGGAACCAACTGCTCGAATATTGCGTCTTCGAGGTCGTGTGATGCCTCAAAAGGGACTATAGTTTTCCCTTGTCTGCGAATCTCAATTGGCTGATGCAAGTAGGTCACAAGCTTCGTGAATTGCCCCTGTTCACTACCAGCAGGTGAAATTTTCTCCACAATGACCACACCTTGTGATTGTTAGGAATACTGAAAAGGATAGTTTCGTGGAATGACATACTCTGATCCACTCTTACCACAGGCCCAGGAGGGCCTTTGGTATCCACAAAACTAGCAGAGTATTCCACTGACGGAAGGTAATTTGAATTCATGCTTTCGGATAACATGGTTGCTGGCCAACCATGTTGGATAGGGATATTGGCCGAACTAGTGTAAGATATATTATCTTGCATTGTACAATTTTCAGGGGCAGAAAGTGTAGTCTTCCGATGGCTGAGAGAATTATTGTTTGGATGATGGCTTAGCCAGGACGAGGTATCTGGGAAAGACCTGCTTAAGTATTTCGACTCAAATTTCCACGATGGTTATCTGTGAACCAGGAGGTATTCATACTAGTGTTTCATGTATCTGTGGGTCTCTACATATATTGAGGGATAAATTAACTATGAATTCGCAAAGTAAGTCATTTAGCACATTTCTATATCAGCTCAGATCTGTTTAAAGACGATTAGAACTAATATAATACTGGCGACAAGCTGATGCACTTTTTCCTAAACCCTCGCTGATTTCATCCCAACTCAAAGCCTTGAGCACGCATCTGCAGAAGGGATTGCTTTTTCCCGGGAGTCCAAGTGGAAGGCCAAGGCATCGCGTACGATATTGATATCGACGGTGGTCATTTCAAGGCGTTGAAGGGGACCCAGCATAGCCTGGCCCAAAAGGTAACGTGACCAACCCCACTTTTTTTGGGCCATGCTAAGGTCGGAAGCCAAGCCTGGCCCAAAATTCTGGGCCATGCCATGCTAATATTTAGTGTATACTAGTGTAAAGAATATTTTTTCAGAGAGATTTTGCATGTTAATTAAGCCTTTTACAACCTTCCATCATAGATACCTATGCTGGAACCCGATAAAGGACAACACGCGACCTCTCACAAAAGTCTCTCCCTGTTTTTAGAACGCTCAAATACCCTATCAAAAAAATATACGCATCACAAACAGCTGCAAAATCGCGTAACAATACTACCTCCTATAAGTAAACACACTGAGCAGTTCACCTCACTATCCTATAAAATTCTGGCTCAAGTCTGCAAGCTCCTGGGAACAATTAGTCTACTCCGTAGTTTGTCTTAGTATACTGTTTCTTGCAGAGGTCAAAGGCCAGAGAGCATAAAGATCCAATTTTCTACGACTTCTAATTAGATCTACATATTTTCGAATCATTCAAGAGACAAGTAGTTTGTAGCAATACAATAGCCTCCTTACAGCTGAATGTTACTGACAAAGATTTCTCGTTTCAAGTACTTATATATCGGTTCACTTCCTAATACAGACTAGTTTAACCCTGGCATTCAGGTTCGAGAAACAATCGAAGAGTGTAGAGGGTGAAACCGATTTCCGGAAGTCGTGTATCAGTATGGACCCATATCTTTATAAGGCCAGCCCTTCTTGTCCTTTATGTACAACTGGCAGTTGTTGAGGAGTCGGTCCTGGGAAGACTGTTAGTAAATATAATAAAGAGAGGAATCGTAACGTACCCAAGGGTTTTTCCAGTGACCATATATCTTCATGGCATTCTGGCTGATAGAAGGGGTCTTCTCATACTCAATTACCGGTAGGCTGACCCAGAGGTTACCGGGTGGGCCTTTCTTGTCTCCAGTGAAGTAGCCTTTCAGGTCATCATTAGAGGGTTGTTTAAGTCCGAACTCCTTGTCAAACCATTCTGCAGCGCGTATCATATCCTTTGCATCCAATCCATAATCCTTAAGCTTGTCTACCCCGTTAACTTCGGGATAGTCCTTATGGTTTTTCCCGAGGTTAGAAACATCGCCTGTCTTGACGAAGATATATGCGACATCGTCAATGCAGATGCGAGCCTCGCTCAAAAAATCCAAATCTACCGTGCAAGGATCCTTGCTAGCAATTGTCTTAGTCGCTTTGACGATGAATACTTGCTCAAGATACCAGCTGGTCGCAACAATTGTTGACGCGTAGACTTGGTCGGCCACATCGTCGAATTTGGATTGATCAGAGCTATTTGGGGCTTCTGCAAATGCACCCCCGATTAGAATTTCGAGCGGAATAGTGTCGTGGTCTCCCCACGATCCGTTGGGCTTAGCGTCCAGGACCCCATTGGCCGTTTTACGGAACCCGTCGTGGCTTGCTTCTTGGATCTGAGCAATAGTATTTTTTATCGTAGCTTGGTCATCAAACCTTTTGTCGATCCTGGTTGTGATGCGGATTAGAATTAGCGCAAACTTCAGAGCGTGATCAAGTAACGTACATCTCGAGAGCGTTATCCGACAGAGTCGATATCCACCCAGCAGTACCGACGAGAGCCCCCGAAAGGAATGCCGCGGAACCAGCTGCAGCGGGACCAAGCAGCGCAGTCAAAAATCCCAAGACCCCGGCAGCAATAATAAAACCCGAGTTGTCCAAAACCTAGCGAGGTGTTAGCAATTTCCTAGAATAATCCATTCGGTATTTTCTATCCATACATCATCGATCTTATAGCTCGTAAAGTCCTTCATCATCGTCTCTGCCTTTCCGTTCCATACGCTACCTACTCGATCGAAGGCATCGGCCAGGTCCTTTTCCCATGTTTTGAAGTTTAATAAGCTCTTCAAGGCAAAGTATATAATCGGGTGCTCGTTGCAACCTTTGTCATCTGTAATGCTGATGTCGCAATCTACCGAGTTGCAGTCATAGTTCCCCATATTCCCGGTGATTTGCCCGAGATAAGAGGGGAAGGTCCCGGCAACCCCTTTGGTTACAACTTCGACACCGTTACCCTGGGGGTTCTTAGGATAATCTGACACGCTGAAAATCGTAAGTCTTTGTGTGTGGAGAGATACAGGCTCACTTACAATTGCTTAATCCAACCATCCATATCAAGTTTATTCCAAGTGTCTTTGTTCATGTGGGCCGTTTTGCAGAGATCAAGTTCCTTCGCCTTCGCAAGAACGGGATCTTCCTTGTCTTTGCTCTTGTCAACTGCCGCACCAACCGCGAAAAGAGCTTTGACTCTCTCCTCATCGGTTAGCCCAGAATCTGAAGCATCACGCTTCAACTTATTGTGAAGTATCTCATTTGCAGGGAAAGCCAATGCTTCCCGCGCTATATATATCGTTAGCATATCGTACGCGAAACGGGATGGCAGGTATAAAACAATAGCCAACGTACCAAGGATACAGAGCGGCAAGAAGAACAATTGAAAATGCATGTAGTCGATTGGGCCCAAGTTAGTGAGGGGGATCAAGAGGGTGGATGCTATACCTATAATCTTGACAGGCCGGAAAGATGCACTTTTTATATATTTTTACGGGATCGACCTGATTCAGGGAAAGCCCAGTTCAGCCAGATATGATGGCACTTTTTGGGGCTGGGGGGCCAGTCATTATTTTTCGACTCATATGAAAATATCATATTGGGGCCGCTACTTGTGTCAGTCTTAGAGCAGTGGGTATGATCGACATTATCTTTCCTTTTCTATCTTTGTTCGGGGTCCTGCTAATCATAAAAATATGATGTTTTCTGTCAGTGGTGGTTTGGCATTGCTCACAGGCTTCCTGGCGCCAGACAAAAAGATCAGCTCCGGTATTGTGGAACTCTATATCTCACTCCATTCCCCTAGATCGAGCTTTTTATATGTGGCTATTATAATCGCGTATGTAATAAGAGTCCAAGTAGAGTCGAGGTGCTATGTTCAATGCGTGAGCAATAGTCAGACTACACATTCGGCTACTAGTCCTCCGGAAATAGGTATCCATTTTTCAAGTTCGCACTCTTGAAACTATTTAGGAAACGCTGAAGGATTTTGCCAAGAAAAGCCCCAGGGTCCTTCCTGCCGGGAAACGCCTCAGGATCTTGCCAAGACCTTCTTGAGAATTTTCGTGGGGGCTGGACTTTCAGTTTGGAGATTAGATGTTGTAGGATTTGAATACCGAGATGGGTAACCGTATAGACTCGGAGACATATAAACAGTTTACAAGTCGGGGGGACGTGGGAGATGCGAGATGCGTAGCAGGGAAAGAAGAATTCTTCGAGATATCTATAGCAAGTGAGCGACGCTCAGCCACCGGCTCATTGCGGGCTGTTGGGGGAAGATCCGTTTCCCTATTTTTAGCCCCATCCATTATGGTAAGAACCGCATCCTCTGAAACCTTAGACTTGACTCCCCACACAAAGTCTAGTACTCCGCTCCTAACTCTCGCCGCCCCCGGGGCCGGGGTCTGGTAATGTATATCAACAAGTAGTAATTCATATACGAACAGTGCGGAGTAAAATCCTTCAGGATTCAAACCAAATTGCGACCCAAGGGCGAAGTGCACTGCCCCAATGCATATTATGTGCGGGGAATTCATATGCGGCCATCCCATCGATAATATCTTTCCTGCTGCAAACAGACAGTTATTTGATTGATAGTCGGAAGCCCATTCGATGGGCCGAGGTGCGAGCATCCAAATATGGTGTGATTACAGGGATAAGTCCAGTCTAGGTTTGAATATCGACGCAGGGAAAATGTTATCAGATGGTATGCGGAAGCGAAAGGAGCGAAGTCATGATAAGTAGTGGCCCCGGGGCCGCTACGAATTGTCTCACGTAATAGTATCTTGGCACCAACGTCACTTAACCCTACGATGAATTTTGATGGCGGAAACAATCGGTGGTACGATAAGATGGATTACCAGTCGTTCTTGTGAAGCATTCCCCAAGCATTGCTCAAGCTTTGGTTTCAAAAGGAGAACTTTTATCTCCGAAGGTCCAGGAAGAACCCTCTTAGATTCAGACTCATTTCCGCTTCATTTAAAACGCTTCAACGCTGCTTTTCACTTCCAATTCCATCCCCCCCCCCTCCCCTAATTTTCGTTTCAGGGCCGATGCGTGCAACGCACGCGTCTTCAAGTACGTGTACGCGAGGTCGTGGCGAAGAAAGCTTTGCGATTCATATACGATTCATATATGGATTGTCTTGTCACGCGCCTCTCTGATTCGCCCTTCGTCACGCTTTTGCATTACCCTTTTCGGACTGGTGTCTGATGGCTTTAGGGTTCTAGGGTAATATCTGCAGATTACTGCAAGTTCTGCGTTTTTCATTGCTTCCTGCTCTGCATGTACCCTGAAACGAACATGGGGAAAGCCTCTTGCATCTTGCCACGGGGTCTATCTTTGGGCCTTTTACCTTGTTCATTCTCCTTGATCCCACGATTTACAAGCATGTGTCTTCATTATATTATCACTTTTTACATTTGCGCTATTCTCTCGGCGATCTTGTGATAACTTTGCTCGCAAACTGCGTATGTTATTGAATCTTTGCCTTCTTGGCGGTCAGCGGAACTTACGCCAGGAATTGAAAGATGTCTCTGACTATGCTGCCACGAGTCGACCCTTTCATGCTGGATTATATTGAAAGGGCCCTTGAGGCTGAGTTTATTGGAGCGGGATTCGTGCCAGCAAGATAGATTTGCGGTGGCAGAGCGCCATAATGTGTAAGGTTTTAGGAGATGAACATGAGATTTGTGATTGGATTCCAAGTTAGGTTCTACATGAGACCATCTCAAGACTTGTTTATCTTCGCGGCCTTTCATGTAGCTCCACCTGCTAGCTCATTCGCGAACTCACCCATATTTGAGATTTTGCTTCTTTCCTTTGTTTTCAAGCTTCTAAGCGCCGAGTCGTATGGAGTCGAGTTCATCCATCCTGATCACTTTTGAACCACAGCAATCGCCTCTGTTGCAGAAATCTGTAACCATTCCTTATGCTCACATAAGCACCCTTTACAATCAATTAATACTTGTTGATCCTTCGAATCAAGAGGTCCAATTTTGCATTCAGTTTCATTTGGTAATTCACAATGAGCAGACATCCCCATATTTATTTCGAGATGACCCTTCCAGGTCGGATACTGCACGAGTAGGCTTGAAAACGCGAGCAGTTGCTCAGGACCATGATGAGCGACCATAGAGTGCAGTAATTACTTAGCTCCCAGGCGGAGAAGATAATCTCAAGGTGAATCAGTTAGAGCTTTAACAAGCATATCAATTAAGACATCTCGTCACAATGCATAATATACAGAGTCCATCGCATGCAGTTTAACCGATTTCAACCATTACTGCTTAGCTGGCAGATCCTGGCCTCGCATCCAATCCCCAAACTCCTTTCGCTTGGCCTGTGAAATAGTCAGCGCGTGTTCGACATCAATCCAAGACACACAGGAGCACAGCCGCAATGCCATTGCAAGAACTGGGTCGACCTAGGTCTGATATCGGAGAGAAAAGTGTTGGTCTTACCCGGATATCCCAGAAGCCATATCTCTCCTCAAGGCCGAGGTAGGGGTTTCGGGCACCGCCATCCCGCTCAATCTGGCCAGCCCAATCACGCCAGCTGATTGGCTTCAATTTCTCCGCACCCAGAACCAGTCCGATGGAGACGATGACGACCGCGACCAAGGTCTCGACGATGATATCGTGGGGGAGGGCGAGGCGCGTGTTGTTAAAGAGGACGGTGTGTTCGTGGGCGGAGTAGCCTCTGTCAAACGGGGATGCGGATTAGCCAGGGTGTTCAGAATTGTTCTCAGGATGCTTGACATACGCGTGTGTGAGCAGCACTAGACCGAACAGGGTCACGAGCTTGGAAAGGAAGCTCATGGTGATGTGGATATGGGGGTGGAGGTGGAATTGAGGAATTGATAGGAGCTCCAATTGCCTAACAGTGAACTGTCCGGAAGGCGGAAGGAGTTCCGCTGACCGCGCCGCACACCGCCCTGTCGCAACCCCTCGGTAGGACGGGCAGAAAAAAGCGATAGCGGGGGACTGTCGAGATTGAGTCAACTCGCCGTCGCACGAGTTATTCCTCCCTCCCAATTCCACTCAATCGACGAAAAACAACCCCGCCATCTTTTCCAAAAATGGCTGACGCAAAGAAGCTGGATGCCAATGCGCAAGCGCGCTTTGACCTGATCAATGAGAACCTCGACGAACTCATGAACCCCGAGATTGTTGAGGCCATTCTCGCGGAAGGCAATAATCCCAGAATTTAGTATGCTCTGTCTCTTGTTTCTTATCTGCCTTCTCCTCGCGCCCTTGATGACATGCCTTCTAACGACGCTTAATAGTTGGGGAACTGGTACGTTAAACTACACAATTCGAAATGGAACATAGACTCACTGCCTGGTCTGATCTCTAGCCTGCACCGGTCGGTAAGATAAAGCCAGCTATTCCCTCTTCTAAATATCTCTTCTTCTAACAGCCTCTAGTCCCCACACTGGATACCTTGTTCCTGCAATTAAGATCGCCCAGCTCCTAGCTGCTGACTGCCAGGTCGTCATCCTTCTCGCCGATATCCACGCCTTCCTGGACAACTTGAAGGCCCCTATTGAGCTCGTCAACGCCCGAGCCGAATACTACCGGAAGGTAATCACGGCCCTTCTCCAGGCCGTTGGAGTCAAGACCGACAAGCTTGAATTTGTGCTGGGATCCAGTTACCAAAAATCGCCGGAATATGTCATGGATCTTTACAAGCTCGCATCAGTCACCAGCGAGCACGACGCGAAGAAGGCTGGTGCCGAGATCGTTAAACAAAGCTCCAATGCCCCGTTATCAGGCCTTCTTTACTCGATCCTACAAGTCCTCGATGAAGAAGTGAGTACGGGTTATTAGTTCTCACACAGTCACGTACTAATCACGTGATCACTTCCTCAGTATCTCAACTGCGATGTCGAATTGGGTGGTATGTTGAGTTATAAACCTTCCCACGTCTAGCTCAAGCTAACAAACACCGAGGCCGCGATCAGCGGAAATTGTTCGCAGCCGCAGTGGAATGGCTCCCAAAGATCGGATACAGGAAGCGCGCGTGAGGCCTTCTTGAACTGCCTATTTATAAAAACCGATACTGATGTTTGACAGACACGCCATTACCCCTATGGTACCTGGTCTCCAAGGAGGAAAGATGAGTTCATCTGAAGAAGGCATGCGAAATTTATTTTACGATCCGCTGCATATACCTTACTAACAATCTTTTCCAGCGAGCAAAATTGACCTCCTCGACAACCTCGATGTCGTCACCAAGAAGATCCGCAAGGCTGAGGCTGCCCCTAAAATTGTCGAGAACAACGGTCTCATTGCCATGGTGGAATTCACTTTCCTCCCAGTCTCTAGCCTTAAGGGCAAGAAGGAATTCCGATGCCCGCGTAAGGATGAGGAGGATCTGGTTTACACCGATATCGAACCCCTGAAGACCGACTACGCAAACGATGTCGTACGTGCCTATCATTTTGACCACTAAAACTTTCGAAGTTTTGCTAACACTGTTCTAGTTGACCCCACAAATCCTTAAGGCGGGTGTTACCGCTGCGCTGACCGAGCTGATGGCGCCCATCCTGGCCGCCTACGAAGCCGACAAGGAGTGGCAAGAGATCACCCTGCGGGCTTACCCTCCTCCCGAAAAGAAGCAGAAGAAGATCAAGGACAAGGGTTCTCGTCACCCCGGCGCTAAGAAGCCGGAAGAGCCTGCCAAGGAGCAGGACTTGCCCGAGCGCCCGAAGGCTTGAACTTGAACGATGTGCAATTTTTGCAAGATTTAGGCGGAATCCTTATTTGTTGATATGCATACGATGCGAACTGGGGTGACTATGATCTAGAAGTAGCATTGGAATTAAGTGTCAAAATAGCCGAGTACGCTCAATACTAGAAGCTTTGTGTAGATCTATTTATACTACGATCATTGACTAGTATACGGCAACACCCGAGTGTTGATCAACAAACACAAAGTTTGGTAGACCCACTTGTGGATACGAGAACTTAGGTATATGCATGTACCTAGTGTACCCCAAGGAGATGTCCTCTCATGAGGCATTGCCTGGTATCGTACCTGCTGAGCACCTTGAGTGATTTGTCAGAATACTCCGTGGGTTTTTGAAATCCGCGGTGTACTTTTGTAACTTGACTCTGATTGGCTTAGTTAGTGAAGGTAGGTAAAGTATCAACCCATTGAGTTGCGGCACTTCCAATTGAATAAATGGAAGTAAGAAAATTATCCGGACAAAATCTGGCCATTAAATTAATCAATTAAATGGGCCGATGTACTTGGCCACTTACCACTAGTAGCACTAGTTCAAGTTGTTGGCCAGGTGGTCATGAATCATGTTGCAGGTGGTGCGCTCATCGACTGGCAACACGTCATTGACTGAACCGCGGGTACCCGATCCAACCACGCGACAAACTTGAATGCAATTACATCAGCCCATTATGTCGGCACTCAACATACCGGATTCTTTCCTACTTTCTTCGTGTTCATTTAAATTCTCTTCCCCCTGTTTAATCACATCCCTCTCTGCCAATTCAACTCCACGATACCTTATCACCACCCCCACGTCACCACACCAGCCAGATTGATTAAGTTGGCTTCTAACATGGCTTCGTCGGCGAAGAGCATCTCCGCCTATGGAGAAGCTCGTTCAACCGTGCAAGGGAAACCTCTCGAAGCCGAGGAGGTCCGCAAGATGACCGCTTACTTCCGCGCCAGTCTGTACCTATGTCTCGGCATGCTTTATCTCCGCGAGAACCCTCTGCTCAAAGAGCCTCTCAAGGTGGAACATCTGAAGGCACGACTATTGGGTCACTGGGGCTCCGACGCGGGTCAATCGTTCACATGGCTTCACATGAATCGCCTGATCAAGAAGTACGACCTTGATGTACTCTTCATTTCCGGTCCTGGCCACGGAGCTCCCGGAATTATCTCCCATTCTTACCTCGAGGGTGTCTACACCGAGGTATACCCCGACAAGAGCGAGGACGAGGATGGCATGCAGAGGTTTTTCAAGCAATTCTCCTTCCCCGGTGGAATTGGAAGTCATGCCACCCCCGAGACCCCTGGTAGTATCCACGAAGGTGGTGAATTGGGCTACTCCATCTCCCACGCTTTCGGCACTGTTTTTGATAACCCAAACCTCATTACCTTGACCATGGTTGGCGATGGCGAATCTGAGACCGGTCCTCTCGCGACAAGTTGGCATAGTACCAAGTTCCTGAACCCGATCGTCGACGGCGCCGTCCTACCAGTCCTCCATCTCAACGGCTACAAAATCAATAACCCGACTGTCCTTGCCCGAATCAGCCACGAAGAATTGACAGCACTGATGGCCGGCTACGGCTGGAAACCTTACTTCGTTGAGGGAAGTGACCTGGATACCATGCACCAAGCTATGGCTGCGACCCTCGAGAAATGTGTGCAAGAGATTCGGGAGTACCAACACCAAGCGCGTTCATCAAAGAAGGCGTTCCGTCCCCGTTGGCCGATGATCGTTCTCCGCACCCCTAAAGGGTGGACTGCCCCGCGAGAAGTTGACGGCAAATTCCTGGAAGGCTTCTGGCGGGCGCACCAGATTCCCATCACCGATGTCGCGACCAATCCGTCCCACCTGAAGGTCTTAGAGAACTGGATGAAGGGCTACAAGCCTGAGGCTCTCTTCGACAAGAATGGCTCACTGATCCCCGAGCTCAAAGAGCTTGCTCCTGCAGGCAACGCCAGAATGAGCGCCAACCCTGTTGGCAATGGTGGTCTTCTGCGCAAGCCCCTAATCATGAACGACTTCCGAGAATATGCACTCAACGACATCGTCCCTGGAAAGACCATCAAGGGCGGTATGGCAAACATGGCCAAGTTCCTGCGTGATGTCGTGGGCAAGAACAAGACGAACTTCCGCCTTTTCGGGCCCGATGAGACCGAGTCCAATAAGCTTGCCGAAGTCTACAAGGAAGGCAAGAAAGTCTGGATGGGTGATTACTTCGACGAGGACAAAGATGGCGGAAATCTCGCGCCTGATGGTCGCGTCATGGAGATTCTCAGCGAGCATACTTGCGAAGGCTGGCTTGAGGGCTACATCCTGTCTGGACGTCACGGATTACTCAACAGTTACGAACCATTTGTTCATGTTATCGACTCGATGGTCAACCAGCACTGCAAGTGGATCGAGAAATGCCTTGAAGTCGAATGGCGAGCCAAGGTCGCCTCCTCTCAACATCCTGATTACAGCCACAGTCTGGAGACAAGACCACAACGGCTTCACCCACCAAGACCCGGGCTTCCTCGACGTAGTCGCCAACAAGAGCCCGGAGGTAGTCCGAATCTACCTCCCACCGGACGGCAACTCCCTCCTATCCGTCATGAACCACTGCCTCCGCAGCGTCAACTACGTCAACGTCGTCGTAGCCGACAAACAAGACCACATCCAATTCCTCAGCATGGACGAAGCAGTCGCACACTGCACAAAGGGCCTCGGAATCTGGGACTGGGCCAGTAACGACCAAGGCGCCGAGCCGGACATCGTAATCGCCTCTTGCGGAGACGTCTCAACACACGAAGCACTCGCCGCAACAGCCCTCCTCCGCGAAAATCTCCCCGATCTAAAGGTCCGCTTCGTAAACGTCATCGACCTCTTCAGACTTATTTCTGGAATCCACCACCCACACGGCATGTCCGATAAACAATGGAAGGCCATATTTACCGATAACAAGCCGATACTTTTCAACTTCCACTCTTACCCCTGGCTCATCCACCGCTTGACCTACAAGCGACCGGGACAGCAGAACCTGCATGTGAGAGGATACAAGGAGAAGGGTAATATCGATACACCGTTCGAATTGGCTATGCGCAATGGAACGGATCGGTATAGTCTTGCCATTGATGCTATTGATCTTATTCCGGAACTTGTTAATAAGTCTTCGAGTGTGAGGGAGAAACTTGTTAATGCGAGGTTGGCGGGTAAGGCGGAGGCTTATGAGAATGGTGTTGATCCTAAGCATATTCGGAACTGGGTTTGGCCTTTTGCTAGGAAGTAGAGTCCTAACTTGAACTTGAATGTGCGGGTCGAGGGTGCAATCATGGATGTAATTGTTTGAGCTGCAATGCGGTACACGAATAGCATGATATTTTGATGAGACTACTGTTCTTGCCGATCCTGACATGACAGGTGCTGAAGAACCTTGCGTCTTCTAGTCGTCTTCAGGTTACTAGTATTGGCCCTGCATACTAGTAGTATAGGGCGAGGTTATGGCGGAAACACCACCACTGTGAGAATGTTCAGATACGACCATGTGCAAGATACGAATACCAAGCAGCCTGTAGCTTAGTGGTGGTTCGATGAAAGTAACAAGCTTGGAAAGAAGAAGAAGAAACAGAAGCAGGAAGATACTGGTGAATGGTGGAGGCCATCCGATCAAGGCAACAAGGCAACGACAACCAAGATTATGTGCAGTTTGCGGGTTGGCATCGTGTTTTTTGTCGGCGCAATAATATGTTAATTTGTACCTAGCATGTATATATAGTGTTCGACACGGCGGCTACCCGATCGACTTCGGCGCTTTCTTCCAAGGTTCTACTGGCTTTTCGTGAGGCGGTCCAACGCAGGTATGGTGGTTGGGCGCTTAGCATATGCAAAGTCGGCTGATAGATTTAGGAAATTATCTAATGATATAACTGTATACGTATCTCTACCTATATCTGCAGGAAACCGATTGATCAAGCTTTGGTATAGAGGCATTAATTTAAGTGCTTCTGGCCTTAGTATTCTATGCGTCTGATTAATGCTGCGACCAATAATAGTGCTCTTAATAAAGCAGTTCTGTATAGTCTGATTAAGTACATCATTTCGCCAGGCCTGGGTAAGCCAGCGGAGGGTATAATTGAGGCTTATTTTCTTGTTAGGATCGAGGTTCCGGTTAAGAATATTGATCATCTAATACATCTATTTCCTCCGATAATGTTATTTCAGACTCTGGATAATTCCTTAGTCCAGTGGCTGGTAAACTGACGTCGTATTTACCGGGAGAAATAGCACCTTAATATTAGACGGTGGCGGCGCATCTTCAAGCACGCTAAGATGCATACTGAAATTATCCAGTAAGAGCAGGACACGTCTTCCCTTGCCAATATGCTTATAAAAGATACAGAGCTATTCTGCTATAATACCACTACGCATCTATGCTTTTTTGTTCTAGCGCCAGGTATATCTAATCGCAGGGATATTTACCCCTCGAAGAGTATATGGTGTTTTTGCTGTACTAATCAACCATAGAGGTAATCGGTCTGAACCAGTAGCATTTTATCGTAACTACTATAGTAATTCGGGCCTTATCTTTCTTTTGACCAGTATGACTATCTGTCGATAGACCACCGTTTGGTATACGGCGCTAATAAAGCCCGGTCTCGTCTATATTATAGATATCCTCCGGTTAATACTGGTCGCAGATCGTTTATATAGGTTTTATCTCGTCGTATATTAAGGTTGGGACCGATACTCGCCATAGAAGGTATAATAGCAGAGGGAATAACGTTGTTTAAGTTAAGTAAGCTACCTATCAGAGAAAAGGGGTACTGGAAACTTAGCATATTCAGGGATTTTCTTCCAATATTCGATAGCTTTAAGCCAAAGTAGAGGGCCTATTATAGGAAAGCCGGCGTCCTAGTGTCGCCATTGCCATTCAAAGAGAGCTTGGTCTAATATAGGCCAATACGATGTAGTTCGAAAACACCCCTAGATCCCACACGCCAGCCCTCGGCGGTCACAACGCCGGAGCCGCAGCCCAGCGCAAGAATGCGTGCACCAAGCAAGGGATATTATCCAAGGGGGACATGTCCCGACAGCTGGAGAACAACGAGCCATGACCGGCATGTATTGGTCTTTCCCTGCAGGCGAACGGGGGTTTTCCAATATTCTGGATGCGCATATCGGGCTTGGCGCGTCAAAAAATTAGAGTTCCCCCCAGCACTCTCGGTTCATTCAACATCTTCTCACGGGGCCCACGGGGCCGATAACCTCCACAAGCCCAGCAAGCTGGTCAGGCCGATCATTATGGGCCTCGGATTGGCCTGCCCTTCCTCCCTCGTGATGGTTCCGGGAACGATCGCCAATGAGAAGCCCGGGGCCCGGCACTAATCAGAGTGTTGACCGTACGTACTAGCTTTCCTTGGACCGCGAAACAAAGCGGAGGCGTGGGGGAACGCGGGGAAATGGTGCCCCCACTGGTGAACGTTAACTCCCTTCGCCCATGGGTTGATGACGCGTGGGGTAGCCAGAGATAAATATTAAATACTCCCCCCCTCGCGTGAAGTTCGGTTGGCTTCATCTGTGTTCATTTGAACAATCATCCCAGCCATGGCCAAACCAGACTCTGTCCACGACGAATGCCCATCGTTGGCAAAGGAGGGCCAGGTGATCGAGACTGATCCCCCACATGTGCCCTTGACGGAGGAGGACAGCAAACGGATCTGCCGCAAGACCGATCGGACCATTCTGGTGATATTGATCTGGGTTTACTTTCTGCAAATTCTAGACAAGACGGTTCTTGGCTATGGCGCGACATTCGGTCTGCAGACCGATACCCACTTGACCGGAAACCAATACTCTTTGATCGGATCCATTGCTCCAATCGCCCAACTGGCCTGGCAGCCGTTCTCGTCATACCTGATCGTGAAGGTGCCGCATAAGGTTCTGATGCCTGCGCTGTGCTTGGGATGGGGCATCGCTCAGTCGTGTCTGGCGGCTTGCCATAATTTCCAGGAGTTGATGGCGGCGCGTTTCTTCCTGGGCCTGTTCGAAGCCGGGTGTCTGCCCCTGTTTGGAGTCATCACGAGTCAATGGTACCGTCGTGCAGAGCAGCCGTTGCGCATCGCCGCGTGGTATGGTACCAATGGACTGGCAACTATTGTGGCGGCTGCACTGTCCTACGGCCTTGCACATATCAAGTCGGATCTCTTACAATCATGGCAAATGTACGTCTGCTTGCTACTGAAGAATGATTTCATTTTCTAACCCGCCTTTAGCATTTTCCTATTTGTCGGCCTGGTGACTATCGTCTCAGCCCCAATTGTGTACTGGCGAATGGACAACGATATATCCACCGCTCGCTTCTTAACGGAGGAAGAAAAACTGCAGGGCATGGAGCGACTCCGGGCCAATCAAACAGGAACGGGAAATACAGAGTTCAAATTCAGCCATGTGCTGGAGGCCGCACTGGAGCCAAAGACCTACTTGTGGATCGGGATGGCGATGCTCCTCAACATCGGCGCTAGCGTAACTAACACTTTCGGCCCATTGATTCTTGGTGGCCTGGGCTATGATAAGTACACCACTAGTCTGCTGACCATGCCCTTTGGCGCGTTGCAATCTATCATGATTATGCTCGCTAGCTATCTTGCCCATACTGCGCGCGTCAAGGGTGTTATCTTGTCGGCGTTCATGCTCCCGGTAGTGGCTGGATTGGCTGTTCTCTACGCTGTCCCTCGAAACGATTCCGCGAATGGTGCGCTCCTTGCCGGATACTATCTTCTAGCTTTCCTCTTTGGTGGAAACCCGCTCGTTGTGACCTGGATTGTCGGCAACACAGCCGGAAGTACCAAGAAGTCGGTCGCGATGAGTTTATTCAACGCCGCTTCCTCTGCCGGTAACATCGTGGGCCCGTTGCTCTTCAGCGCAAAGGATGCGCCAGATTACCATCCCGGTCTTCGTGCCTGTCTCGGCATATTTAGCGCAATGGTTGCCATTGTACTCGTCCAATGGGCCAACCTATGGTTCCTCAACAAGCAGCAAGCCCGCCGCCGCGTGCGCAATGGGAAGTCTGCCCAGATCGTTGATCACTCGATGCAGAGTAACTTCCATGGCATCGAAGAAACCGGCGAGGAGGCTGAAACGGGACACCAAGTCACTCATGCGGGTGCACATGTGGCTGAGGATCTCACAGATCGGGAGAATGATGAATTTGTATATATCTACTGAGACGACCGAGGAATATGTCGATTGGGGAGGAGGATACTGTAACCCCAGCAGTGTCGGAACCAGCACGGGCAGGCAGTCCGATCGCGAATAGGAATAGCAAGTGTTCTGAATTGGAAACGTCCTCCGTACCATAATAGTTTATAGTTATAACATGATAACGACGGTAATATGTTAAACTCGTCCTATAGGAAATTAGCCATCCCTTCGATATATAGACCGGGTATTTTAGCGAAGCGGGTCAAAAATGGCGTCTAGCATCACGGGAGTGACGCTTAGTGGCGGGCTAGGAGGTAATATAGGAGGATTGGGATTGCCAAACAAAATATCTTATTGCGTATGTTAGTAATAGAACACTCACTATATTTTGCAAACTTGGCCATTTGTGACGTTGTGAGTCTGTTCTCGCTGCTTATCATGTGATTAGGGGTTGAAAGAGTATCTGCATGTTTGCGGCATGGGAGCCGACATCGGGCGCTGCTGTAGCCAAACAGGTGCAAATGATGTCTTCTCACTGCTATTTGTTTATAATGAAAGTCAAACCACTTATTGGAACTCATAACCTGCTCAGACCCAAGGAAAAGGTGGGAACTTGAAGGCAAATGTATGGAGTGTCAAGCAAAGAGGAAAATATAGAAGATGATTATTGCAAGTTTGGTATGGGGAGTAGGTAGCTAGTTCCAAGGTTATAAGTGGGCAGACGGTTGGAGATTGGCAAACACAGTGGTCGACATGCAGTATTCCTGTTTGCCGATGTACACTATAGTATTATGGTGGATAAAAGGGGTCACCAGCCCAGGAGGCTACATGCGTTCTTGACGGTATCAATGTATGTTTTCATCGGGGACCGATCATTTGACTCGGGTATCGGTGAACAGGTCGCTTAAAGTGACGTGGTAGGTGCCCCGTGCTGTAGCATGCTAAAGCGATGTCTTGCCCTGATATGGTAGCTCGGGAGTCAATTGGCAAATTAAATGACAATTCTATATAGGGCTGACATATCTCCTGGGTAGAAATGCAGATTGAAGTGAGGATTGAAGTGAGTTGGATAGTATGCACGAAACCTGGTTGCCTAGTAGTTTCGTCCAGAGAATCTATACCAAGCAAAGTGCCTTCACACACTGGCAAATAATTCACTTATCTATGAAACTTATTTCCTAAGGTTTGTCTTATGAGTCAATCGTGTTCAGTTTCAACCCAAATCAATTAATTCTAGATTATTTTTGACTCACGCCTTAAGCTCTCCTACTTGGACCCTCGGCCACATCGTTCCTCGTTCCCACGCCTCGGCCTTTAGGGAGCTGGCGGTGGAGCCGCGTTAAAAAGCTTAAACAAAGTAAACTGGAGGGTACGTCTTGAGGACGATTTTGGTTGGGCCAGTTATGCGGTTGCCTGGTCCCAGCCGTCCCATAGATGCGAGCGCTGCATCTAGTCATGTCAGTCTGGGAAAAGTCCCGCAAACTCTAATCCGCAAAATTTGCTCTCGGGGACTAAGAAAAGCAAGACACTCATAGAGGTCAGGTTTAGACGAGACCCCTTAATTAACTATAGGGACAGTGGCAGCTAGAAGCGAGCCTAAGGAAAAAATAGTCCCCCTCGTGGAAGAAAAATTGCAAGGCTAGTGGCTTAGACTGTGACCTAACCTTATCTTGCCCTAACTATACAGAATGCGCGAATTCCCCGAATTTCCCATCTCCGGCCATAAATTCTTTCCCACTGTATCTTTCACCCCCAAATCTTCACTTGATCTTGATTCTGTCTCCAACTTCATTTATTGTTTCTACCTTTCAGAAACAGCTTCCTATTTCGGAACATACTACATCTTCAAACTTCATCCTTTTTTCCAACGCCGAATGGCTGAATACTACTCGATGAACACACCTTTCTCAACCGGCCTCTTCATCCCAGACACACTGGCTGGGCAAAAGAAAATCTGCTTCCGCTCTGTTGAAGAACTAGAGCCACCTTAAGCAACCGTAACTCTGATACCAAACCAGCCTGACTATCCCGTTGATATACGTCCACGATGAAGTTCTTCCTCAGCCCAGTCTTCCGGTGTGCGATCGAAGGCACTGCAGAGGCTCAGCATTGTGCAAGCGAATTCCAGCCAAAGCCCGGCTCTGACCATGTCATAACAGCCATTGATGAGACTGATGATGCCGGCTACAAGGCCAAGTCCAGTCCACGACTTCTAGATCGATGGCTGGATGCGGCAGTCCGCTTTGCTGGGTCGGCGCCCGTATTCCTCTTGATCGTTGCAGGGCTACTAACCTGGGCCTTGCTGGGAATCCGCTTTGGTCAATCAGACGTCTGGGTCGCTGCTATTTCCGACGTACAAGCCATCATGTGCTACATCTTCGACTCGCTGCTCATGCGCCAACTTCTCCGCGAATATTCCGAACAACACGAAGCCATGGTCCAGATTCAATCTCGTTGTACAAGTCACCGTCGTATGCTCGAGACTGTCAAAGCAAAGCTGGGACCAGAGGGAATCGCCCGCGCAGCTGAACTCTGCAAAGATGAACCACCTCTGTCCCCGCTTGATCAGGGTCTGGACCGTGCCGCGGGCCCTTTTGCTCGCTTGGTGATCTGGTCGGCTAAGGCATTTGGTCATGTTACTACTGTTGGTTTGTACTGGGTGGGTATATTCATTTGGCTGGGATTCGGTCCTCATTGCGGTTGGTCTAGTCGGTGGCAGTTGTACATCAATGACGCGACATCTGCACTGATGATTCTCGTTTTTGCATTCCTTGCTTGTTTGCGCGAGTGTTTTGCCGACCAAACGAATATCTGCCTGGACTCGATTTTCAAATTGGACGCCAAGCTAGAGAGAGAGCTTCGTCGACTCAGTCGGGATGAATTGCCCAATCTAACGGTCACCATCGCGCCGCCGAAGGAAAATTACCTCCAAATGGTCATTTTCTACTACGCGGATATCATTGGCACGCTTGTGGGAATCATTATCCTGGTGCTGGTTGTCATTGCCTGGGTGGTTGTTGGCCCGGTCTTCCATTTCAACAATACCTGGTGGTTGCTCATTGGGACTTATGCCGGGCTGGTCGGGTTATTTGACAGTTTTGTGCTGCGGAATATTCAAAGTAAGGTTAATGAGTATGTCACTGAGCAAGTTGTCTGTCTCGAGAAGCAGGACATGATGTTGTATTCTGGATTATCGGTGCCTGTGCCTCGGGTTCAACTCCGACCACCCTCGCTCAGCCAGCGCGTGTCTCACTACATCAACACCATCAGCTCGCATCTGCTTATGGTTGTTGCCGGGTTGATTCTCACTCTGGGATGCATCGTGGCTTCTAGTGCGATGAAGTGGAGCTTGACGGGTCAATTGGTCTCAAATGTTCCTCCTAGCATTATTGAGACTTTCTTCATGCTTATCTTGATCACGGGTCACAACTATGCGGAAAAGGAGCTTCGTGCCGACTTAACCGATATCTATCATCGGCGGCAGCGTCTTCTGGCCTTCGTGGGGCATGCGGAGGGGGTAGTTGAGTGTGGAGAGGAGGTAGACTCGGTGAAGGAGGCAGCTGCTTCGGAGTGAATCGTTAGGGTTGTTTCGGGTATTGAGGAAGGGAGCAGGCATGGACCTTGGGGCTGGGGGGGGGGGGGATTGGAATGGCAATTAATAGTAGCGCTCATGCTTATAAGCAGTCATTGATGGAGGGGGTGAAGGAGATGGAGGAGGATGAGGGAAAGAAAGCTGTCGGAGGGAAGATATCGAGGACGACAAATGGTGATAATGCGATTGAAAAGTCGAATGTTTATTGGATTAGAACTACTACTTACTATAGTAACAGTACTATTCCGTTTATTCATTCTAAAAGTGCTTACTACTAGTAGCTACCAGTAGCATTCCTGGCAGTCGGCCCCCAGGGCTGGGTAGTATACTATAAACTACTAGTATACCCTGGGGCCGTTGGATGGGATAGTACTAGGGATAAAAAGAGGATAGAAGATAATACAATGTATTATTTCAAGAACTAGGACTCTTTTGGAGATATTCCATCTGCGTAAACATAATTCTAGTTGGACTTTTATAGAAGGGTACTACGGGCACTGCTATACTATACTTGGGTACTTGGGTGGATACTCGGCTTGTGCCTGACGCCATTGTATCATCGACTCTTGGTACAACTTTATCAGGAGTAAACCCAGGTACTTCCAGATGGTATATTAAAGTACTTTGGGATACGTGTAATTATCATATGACCATAATTCTATAATTGACTATCTAATATAGTCTGTTCCTATACTAGTAGTATATACTATAGTACTATACTATACTATACTAACTATGTGTACCTATGCTACTCGTTACGGCAGCTCTCCCGTGACCAGTGCAGTCCAGCCCAGTCCAGCCCAGCTTCATCTTCACTTCTCCATCTCCCCCACCCTTTCATCCTCCGCCCTTTCTCCTTCCCCTCCTTTCCTTTCTAATCACAGGAGATTATCCTGATCGCTCCCCGTGGGGCCTCACGGCTTTCTCCTCCTCCTCTCCTCCTCTCTCCCCCCCCACACTACCTGGTGACGTTGACGTTGACCGCTCCAACACCTCCCCTCGCCTCACCTTGATTCACCCGCCTCATCTCACCTCACCTCGACCCGGCGAACAGGTAATGTCGGCCCCTGCCAACCCATCCACAGTGGTTCGCAGCCATTCGACCTCTTCCAGGCCGTCTAGAGCTGTCCAGTCCGATCTACCCCATCGCACTAGAAGCGTGGCGGTCCGATCGACCAACTCCTCCCAGCCCCCTCCACACTCTCACTATTCACACTCCAAGACCCCCTCTCACGACCGTCGTCCCCCCTCCAACCATGCCGCTCTAGACACCATCGCCCGCCGCGATTTCGAAGCTTCCAACCCTGCCAGGATGCCTTCTCGTCGTGAGGCTTCCTCCGAACGTTCGCAAGAACGCCCATCCACCGCAACCCGGACCGAGTCCACCCGACGACACTCCAGAAACCCATCATCATCAGGACACAAACGAGAGAGCATGGACACTGCCGCCGCCACTGCGCCCGAGCGCGCTGTGGATTCTTCCCAGCATGCGACCGGCACTCAAGCCTCCCAGCCCTCTTCGTCCCAGCCTAGGCGTCGCACGACCATCACCACGCCAACGGGCCAATGGGCGCTCGGGAAGACCATCGGTGCGGGGAGCATGGGTAAGGTGAAGTTAGCCAAGAATATGGAAACTGGCGAGCAGGTAAATATCACCCTTGAATGCCATGATCTCAATTCGCTGAGCGACGCGCAATATGATGGATTGTGATGAGTCGAGGTGTGCTAATTCCGGTCGCAGGTTGCCGTCAAGATCGTCCCCAGACTCTCGACCGAAGAACACCGCAACAGCCGCGACACCGAACGAGCCGACCGATCAAAAGAAATCCGAACCGCTCGAGAAGCCGCCATTGTCAGCTTGGTGAATCACCCATACATTTGTGGCATGCGCGATGTGGTACGGACAACATATCACTGGTACATGCTCTTCGAGTATGTCAATGGTGGCCAGATGCTCGACTACATCATCTCCCACGGCAAGTTGAAGGAGAAGCAGGCTCGCAAATTCGCTCGACAAATCGCCAGTGCCCTCGATTACTGCCATCGCAACAGTATTGTCCACCGTGACTTGAAGATCGAGAACATACTAATCAGCAAGACCGGCGATATCAAGATCATCGACTTCGGCCTCAGCAACCTATTCTCCCCGAAGAGTCTACTCAAGACATTTTGCGGCAGTCTCTACTTTGCTGCGCCTGAGTTACTCCAGGCGAGACAATACACCGGGCCTGAGGTTGACGTGTGGAGTTTTGGAATTGTTCTCTATGTTCTTGTCTGCGGCAAGGTGCCGTTCGACGACCAGAGCATGCCTCAGCTACATGCTAAGATCAAGAAGGGTGTGGTCGAATATCCACCTGGTCTGACTGCCGGTTTGTGTCATTCTTCGTGCATTCATTCGTTTTGATCGCCACTAACAATTCTCCCCAGAATGCCGCCATATCATATCTCGGATGCTGGTCACTGACCCGAAGCAACGCGCGAGCTTGAACGAAATCATGAACCACCCTTGGATGAACAAAAGCTTCAGCGCACCACCAGAAAACCACCTTACCCACCGCGATCCACTGCAGCTGCCATTGGACCAAGAGGTCATCGACAAAATGACCGGATTTGACTTCGGCCCCCCCAGATTATATTGAAGCTCAACTGACGAAGGTGCTGGAGTCAGATGAATATCAACATGCAGTCCGACTTAATTTCCGTGAACATCCTATCGCCAACCAGGCAGAGAAGAAGCGTGGTGTCTTCGACTTTTATAAACGACGCAACTCAGCTGCTAGCCGTGATACTCTGTCGGCACCTTCTGCTGAGGCGGTGCAGCTGGGCAATGACCCCTTGAACGCTTATAGTCCCTTGGTCTCGATTTATCACCTTGTGAAAGAGAAGTTGGACCGAGAGCGGGCCGAAACTCGCCCAGGCGCCCTTGGTATTCGTCCGACCGCCGGCGAAGAGCAGTTGCCCCTAGTGGCGCCTCCCGAGGCTGCACACACCAATCAGTACCAATTGCCTGGAGAGAAGGATATTGGCCGTCGATCTCGCCCACGTGCCAGAACCCACGGTGAAGACGAAGTCACCGAGGGCATGAAGAGTCTGCACGCGCACTCGCCTTCAGCTCATGCCGTGCCAAATGTGGTGCAACCCGACACCCCCGCCAAGAGAGAGAGCACTGCTGCAGGTATCTTGAGACGCTTCAGCACTCGCAGGACCAAGGATCGCAGCCGCGATGTCGATCGCGAACGTATCAGCACCCCGAACACGCCTACGCTGAATGTCCAAGCTCCTGCCGACTCCGCATCTCCTATGCACCGCGGGTTCAGCGTGAGACGCACTCGACGTGCTGACCCGTCGCCGGCTCCTCTTACACCCGGTGGTAGCCAGCCTCAACAAGATTTCCTCGCTGCCCCAGGCTCGGGCGAACAATCTTCGCAGTCAAAGTTCTTGGGCCGATCTACTAGCGTCAACTCTGCCGACTACCGACCTCGCAGAGCCGGCCGGAGAAGTGATGCTGATACGCTGGACGTTGGTCAGCCTCCTTCGACTAGCGGGTCTGATCAGATTGGTCCGAATAGTCAACCTGACCAAACCGGCCTGAGACCTAGTACTCGCACGCACACTGCACGAACCATGTCACTCGGCCATGCACGCCGAGAGAGCATCCAAGCTCGTCGGGCTCGTCGGGAGGCTGCCAGAGAGGCAAATGTGCCAGAGGAGACTGATGCAGATATCTCTGGCGCAGGCACAGCACTGGAGAGCGCCAACGAAGGCGAGGATCTCTCCAAGCCTGTCTTCCTCAAGGGTCTCTTCAGTGTGTCCACCACCAGCAGCAAGCCCTTGCCCGTTATCCGGGCGGACATTATTCGTGTTCTGAGGCAGCTGGCAGTGGAGTATGTCGAGATTAAGGGTGGTTTCAGCTGTCGCCACGCCCCTAGCATTGACCTCGATAAGGTGGTCGATGTTAGCCCTCCCAGCCCAGATCGACAGGGTCAGATCTCGCACCGTCGCCGGATTAGCTTCGGTGGTCTTCTTGGACATGACGATTCCCGGGACGACAGCCGACATGATAGCCGCAGTGGTGCTAGACTGCAACGTCGCACCCAGGGACAACCAGACCGCAGTTTTACCACAAACTCGGACGGATCCGAGGAATACATTGCTCGAGAACAGCCCCAGGCCGCGGTAGGCGAACGTGTTGTTGGCGAAACCACCACCCGAGTTCAAAGCGACACCGGCGAAAATCTTGTGCTACGATTTGAAATCCTTATCGTGAAGGTTCCTCTTTTCTCGCTGCACGGTATTCAGTTCAAGAAGGTTGCCGGCGGTATGTGGCAATATCGTGAAATGGCGAAGAAAATCTTAGATGCTTTGCGCCTATGATGCAGCACCTGCTCGCCTAGCCTGACCCAACGAAAAAAAAAAATTCACGAAGGGGAAAAAGCATATAATCCCGCTTGTGGACACACATATCCTGGCGGTGCCCTGTCCGCCAATTCGCAAACCAGGTACATTTATCAACGACGCATCCGCATGATCATATTATCATTTGTCTTCACACCTTGCATGTCAAAGCAGCCCTTGCCAACGCCCCCCTCCCTTTTCATCTATTAGCCCCATTGTTCCGGTCTGCTCTGCATTTCCTTCCGCCTACACCCACCCGCGCACACTCGTTGCAGCATTTACTACTAGCCCATTCCAGTCCAGTCGCCGGGCGGATCCGGGCCTTCTTCTACCAGGAAAGTCTTCATGATGTACATTAGAGCCAAGTGAAGACTCATCATGTATTTCTTCCTCCGCGTTCGTTCCCCATGATTACTTCCTCACGGCGCGGGAAATCGGCGTTGTACAGCTTTGAGTCGAATCGATTGTTGTCTGTTATTCTCTTCCCCTTCCCCCTTCTCTATCTTTTGAATGATGTTGAATGCGATGTTTCTATGGGTCAGTCAGAGCCTCGGTATTTTCTTCAGTTCCACTGTAGATTTATTGTAGAGTGGAGTGGAACAGCTGGGTACCTTAAGGGTTGCTTGTTGCTTTCTTTAGATCGATGGAGTTTGTACCATGGATCTGACCGCTTAGCGGGTGATCGACCTTTACAACTGCAGTTTATAGAAGAAGGTGGTGGTTCTGTCCACAGTAGTGGACCAATAGATTACATTCGTCAACCTGTGGGCAATTTGTGGATTGGGTACTCCGTATTCAAATTTCTATATTTATTCCTAAGCTAAATACGAGATATGCATACGTGTAGGTGGATCTTCAAAGGGTCGCAAGAGAGTCTCTGCCCAAGGTATAAGGACGATTTACGAATCCACACCTGCCAGGACAACACAACTAGAAGTACAAGCAAGTCAGCTATCCAGCTACGATGAAGTGAATAAGCGTTAGAATGATTTTCCAAGTTTTTATACCAGTTCTAAATTAAGATAGTACTCTAGTATAGTGGTACAACAAGCCCAACTCCAAACACTTTTAAGACTTTCACCGTTCAATGAAATCAGGACAAGGCGCCTCACATTCCACAGCTATACGAATCTTCTTCGACTCATCCTGCACATCCGTAACAGATTGCAGCGTATCAATTTCATGCTCAGAATTGATCTGCACTTTACCCAAGAGTAAAGGGAGAACAGAAGATTTCCATAGGAAAGTGCTGTACTTGCGATTCTCCACCGAAACGACCAGCAACAACGCCACTGAGAGAAGAACCAAGATCGCGGGGAGCGCGATCCAGGCCCAGCGAACGTGGATGTATGTCTCTGCGCGGATTATTGTTCCTGGGAGTTGTTTCGCGGATGTGCTGGTTCGAATGTGGTCTGTCATGCTGTTGGTCATGGACGTCACTGAGTCGATTAAATTGGTGCTACTCCAGAGTATGAGGAGGGGATTAAATCCTGGGATTGGTTTTTCGATGGATTGTGCATCGGCTGTGTAGAGGGTTGAATTGAATAACCCGGTCAGAGTATGGGATAGATCCGCCCAGGTATTATTTTCAATGGTATAATTTGGGTTGGGCGAGAGAGCTTTCGTATCATTGGGTGAGACGAGCGTTGATAACCATATACCAGTGATGTTGGATTGGATAGTATCACCTAGGTAAAGGTCCTGATTCTCGACCGGCTCAATCTGTTGCAAACCATCATCATTCGATTCGCGTGTTTGGGTGTATTTTCTTTGACACATTGACATCGAGCATTCCGTCAGGGTAGGCTTATCCTCTGGCGTAGTGCTATTTTTAGAAGTCCACGTCGTTAGTCTTCCTTCGTATTTGGCACTCAGGAACGAGACGATTTGAGCTCGATCGCCCTCCTTGACGGCAGAACTGTTTGATAAGCTGACAGCAGACCACAAATTCGGAATGGCAAAAACTGAGTAATTGTCTTGTGACAACCACTTAGCATCATCGACCCAGATCCCCGGTGTTATAGAAGCTCCGCTCGAGGTCGTATACTTGCAGTCAAGCGGAATCTCGGCCATCCATTCCTGAGTGTAAAGTCTGTGCTGGTCCGGACTCGGTCTGCAAGATTGATTCGCCTCGTTCGTGACGTCCTTGCATTGAGAACAGACGCCCAATGTCACAAAATCGTCGTATTCACAGTCACCGGAGGGACAGATTGGATTGAGAGGGTTATTTTTGGATTGGGCTAGGCCGTTGAAAATCGCAGCTTGCATCGATGGCTCAAGTCCCCGTGTCGTAATATTTAGAATGTCGATTTGAGGCGCGACACTTCTAGTCCAGGCAGGCCAATATTGATCCGCAGACTGAACGGCAGATGTCCCAGTATCAACTTCCACACGACGAGAAGGATACGATAATATCTGCTGCGCAAATGGATCGAAAGCAACCGCGAGGATCATCAAACCCGCTCCCACAGTTGCTAGCCCCGGTGTCACTGTCCAGAGAGACTCCAACGCACCCACCGGACCGCGACTAGCCTGATCAAGCACTTGCATGTGGTAAAACGGAGTCGGATTGTGAAATGTAGTCCATTTGAGTTGACTGAGACAAGACGAAACAGGCACAAGCATAGAAGCTTTCGCGACGGTAGAAATCACAGAAACAACTGTATTAGGCGAAACGGAACGTTCCCAGCTCGCATATCTGTCACCATCAACGTATGCGAGAAATACGACGAGAAGCGCGATGCTCACGATGCTCAGCACGCATCCACCGACTTCCCAGGTCCATGATCCAACCCGATCAAATCGTCTTCCTGGTCGTCGCTTTTTGTGCTCGGAAATCGGCTCGCTTGATATGGGGAGAGGCCGTTGGTCTTGATTATCGTCTGATGTGCGCGGTTCTGAAAACATCTCGTGGAAATGGCCGCGGTTCGAGATGGGTGATATTTCTATTGGTGATGCCATGTTGTTTCGCGGTGTGTATCCTGGTTCGGGACTCGGGCTGTTATCATCGCGTGGTGGCACATTTTGGGCATCGCGCTGGTCGTTTATTGCTGAGTATGTGTATTGTGAATCCATACTTTGTGCTCTTGGTTGCTTTTTTCCCCTTCCTTTTCATATGGGTATTTATTCCCTGCAGACAGGGGTGTCAGGGTACGATATGTGTAAGATCGCAGATTGGGCTCCTCAGGTAGTGTAAGTACAAGTAGTTCCAGTACGGCCGGTAGGACTTTCGGCGTTGGGCGCATTACTAGTATGGCGCTTGACACGGGATATTCCCGACCAAGTGGGCTTGTCTGACATTGCTTGAGTCGAATTGAATGCGCCTCAGGATCCGCCTTGAAAATGTGCCAATCGTAGGGTGTTTATCAATAGATGCTCCGCCATAATTGTGGGGGCCGCTTGCACTGCCGTTGGGGAAAAGAGGGTTCACGAAAATTGCAGCCTTGCACGGAGTGTTCGCAGGACATACGATTTCGGGTTTAGTCAGTGGGCGATCATCTGGTAATCTGGATCCAGGATTTTAGTCTTTGGGGGGTTCAATCCTGGTGTGAGTTTGTTAAATTGGGTTAATCTCTCGCTGAGAGCGAAGGCTGCGCATTTGACAATCGGTGGAACCACCCCATTCGAAATTATGGGAATTACTAGTATTTAAATGTCTGTTTTGCTTCACTCTATTGATTTCTTATAAGTAAGTGAGTAAAGAAGGATCTCGAGTAACGTGTATTATTTCTCGTTTAAGACAAAAATGTGTACATCTGTGGGATGCCTTCCGGCTTCTTTCATCACGATCAATAACTCAACAACATCAATCTCACTCTTCTGTCTGGCCCCTCGGCATGGCTCAACCGATCACAGCTGCTCTGATACCCGTAATCACGGCCTAATCATCCATCATGGCCTTTATCTTCGCCCTCAAAGACTTCGGCCATGCCGAGCCTCGACTCTTCTGCTCCTTCATCGTCAATTCCATTTGCAATTCCTTTAACTTCTCCAGTTCAGATTGTCGCAATTGCTCTCTTTGTCGCGCCCTCTGGTTCACCTTCTCCTGTTCCGCTTCCAACTCTTCCTCCTTTCTCTTCATAGAGAGACGGATATCTCTGAGTAGCTCCTCTGCTTTGAGAGTGGTTGAGTCCATCTCTCCGTTCTTCTCCTTCCTTCTCTGCACCAACAATTCACCCAGGAAAGCCGCCTTTTCAAGTAAAGATCTCTCGGAAAATGCGACTACAAGCTGTTCAAGGTTCTCCAGCGTGTGGTCCAGAGGATTTCCATAAGCCTCGGTCTCATAATCCAAAGCCTGGCAGCAATTAGCTTCGGCGGCAACATATTTCTGCATCTCGATCAGCGCACGACAATTCCAAAAGCGACTATCCAGAGCCTCTTCATCTGTGGAGCCGTATAATCTGGCCCGTTTAGTTGCCGCGAGCTCAAAGTGCTTTTGAGCTAGTTCGTAATTCTTCATATTATATTGCATGAGGCCGAGGTTGTGACTGGCGCGCAAACCAACAGCAATTCCAGACCCAGAATCCTCTAATCCAAGTCTTTGGACGTTCGTGAGCACTGCGTCTGCGTCCTCGTGCTCTCCCATCTTTTCGTATGCTATCCCCATGTTGTACAAAGATTTTAATGTCTCCTGGTGTGTCGGGCCAAAGATTATTTTCTGCTCCTCGGCTAGATTTTCACAGACAATTGCCGCGCTGCTGTAATCTTCCATTTGAAATAGGCATTTAGCAAGCAGGTTTAAGGGGTTCAAATCGTGGTGCCCTGTCACTCCCAAGTATTTACTGATCGAAACAGCTTCTTCAAGGATAGCTCTCGCCTCGGGGTATTGTCCCAGGTAGTAGAGAGATTCGCCCAGTACAGAGGCTACTTGGATGTTGTATTTGCGGGAGAATTTAGGAGACTTTTTCAAGGTGTCCAGTACTTCTGTCAAGAATCCCACTGCCAGGTCGTACTCTTTGAGTTCGAACGAAGCAAAGCCGCTTCGACCCAAACATCTGGTCATAACTTTTGTCGCTTCTCCGGCTGTGCCTCGTCGTTGAGTTATAACAGACTGAAAGTGAAACCGTGCCTCCGCCCATTTCTCTTGGGAAAAGAGTAGTTGGGCAAAGTCATAACTTGTATGAATGGTATTGTCGTGTTTGGGTCCCAAAACCGCTTGTTGGGCATTGAGTGTTTTTCTGAGAATTGCTTCGGCCTCTTTTGAATTGCCCCGTTTAATCTCTGCACAGCCAAATCCATGTAAGGATAGGAGGGTGTCAGGATGATATGGCCCAAGAGTTTCATGCTGCCATTTGGCTGAGTATTTAAAAAATACAGATGCCTTCTCCAATCTGCTCAATCGAGAACAGACTTGTGCGACATGATAGGCTGTTTTCAGTGTTGCTTCGTTCGTCATTCCAAGGGCATCCCTCTGGACTGTGAAGTTATCCTCAAGCAACTCCGCGGCTTTTTCGTATTGTTTTATCCAATGTGGTTTTTCGTCATTTAACCACTCCTCTTCGCCAAAGAGATGAGATAGGCCCGCGATAATCGACTGCAGATCTGCAGCTTCACTTTCTGTGATGAGAGAGCGAGATGGAGAAGCCGCTGTAGAGAAAGCCTTTTGCTCCTCATTGTTGGAATTCCCAGTGTGACTCTCGTCCGGAGAAACAACAATATCCTCAGAAGCTGTCCACGACTTAGATTTCAAATCATATTTCAATCGGGTACCAAAGGATATTGCATTCCTTGTCCCATTTGGGAACAAACTTTTTTCCGGGGTCTGATCTCCACTTCGAGGCGACGGTAAAACAAACGCCACTTCTGGGCTTTTAGCCTCCACAGTGGTCGAATCGGCCGTTGAGCCTGCGCCGCAAGCTTCCGGTTGGACCTCCTCGACACTCTCATGACTGACAGGTTCCTCGGAATCGCAGTTGTCAGCACCAGGTGGATTAATATGGAGTATCTTTGATCGTATTGTGAGATCATTTTGTGGAGGCTCCAAGGTTTTGGGGGCGAGAAGCATATCTAGGTTTGTATTCATCAGCTCCCCATTGTTGAAGGCTACAGATACACCATTTTCACGGTTGGATATGGGAGTTGCGTATGGAGTCTCCTCACTAGTCGAGCTAGCCACAGCAGGTTTGATATCTTCGGGTTCATATTCGGAAGAAACCGAGGTATTATCTTGATTGGGTGATAGAGGTGCGTAGTGAGTGCCATCCCAGCTCATCTCATAGGGAGGGCTGGGGTCTTCGATTTCATGCTGAGGAGGAACTAGAGGTGTGTCTTCATCAATTGTCGAAGATGTGTTATGAGCTACATCCTGAGCCAGGCTTGCGAGAACAACCGATTCACCGAGAGGTTGGATTGATCCGGGCTCACACTGGAAAAGGGCTGAAAGGATCTCCTGGTCGGGTATGGGGGGTATGTGCTGAGAGCTGTCATGAGTCTCGACGTCCAAAAACGGTATCTCCTCGGGATGGTCCGCATATATTTGGCTCAGCCATTCACTTTCCAGGGCTCCCTTGGAAGACATTCTGTATCGAGGATTTCGTCCCATCACTGCTTCGAGAAACTGACGACACCCCAAACTCAAAGACGGAGTTATCGCCCCCGGAAACGGGAAATCGCTTCCTTCAACGTATCGTCTGAGCTTAATTATCTCCTCTAGCGAGAAAGGGTACTCGTGAAACAGTAGGAAGTATGTGGTCACACCGAGGGACCACATATCAATGCTTTCTGTAAAGCGCCAGGCTAGACTCCCTTCCTCTTCTTCTGGAGGCAGGAACCCCTGCATCTCAGGTGCCATAAATGGCCTCGTTCCAACCAAACTACAGATGCTGGAGTCCTCGCTCATGCGCTTGCTTATACCGAAGTCCCCGAGCTTGACACGCCATTCAGGGCCGATTTGAATCACAAAGATGTTCTACTCTCCCGTTAGTTCGACACCACCAAGCTTAAAGAACGTTATATATAGATGCACTGACCTTTGGCTTGACATCTCTATGCACAAAAGCATTGGCGTGGAGAAACATGAGCCCCTCTACCAACTGGAATGTGATTGACCTGGCCTCCTCTTCGGGTAGTGGTTGTTTTAGATGGGAGCTGAGATCCCCATGCTCAATATATTCCATGGCAATGAACAACGATGTATCATTTTCGTACCATCCCAAGAACTCGACGAACAGCCCGTGGTACTAGAGAATATCAGGAAATATCCATCATGCGAGAATGAGTGTCAGACCGACCTTTTGCTGCGAGAACTTGGCGATGGCCTCTACCTCTTTGTGGTAGTTAATCCTGTGAGCGGCCATTTGGGCCTTGTCAATCGTTTTGACGGCCTGGTATTTAGTCCCACCCCCATCGCCTGTCGAACACTGGTGCAGATACACATTGCCATAGGAGCCACGCCCCAGTAGCTTGCCCTTTATCCAAACATCTTCTCTCTCGCGACGGCGGGTATACCTTCCCGGCAAAGTGACCCACTCGAAGGTAAACCGGTGGTGAGTGGTTTGATGGAGTGTTTGATGAAAATCCACGCGAATTTGGGTGTCTATAACTAGGTCTGACAGCCCTGGTGGCATGTTAAGTCATTCGGAGATGATGGGGTGACCAGAGTCCGATCATTGAAAAGAAAGAAATGCTGTGGCGACATTGCGATCGAGAAAAGCCCTGGGGGGGGCTGATCGAGTGGCTTAGCGCTGATGCCCAGGCGAGTTGAGATTGGCGAGAAGGGAGATGGTTAGCGATAGGTTCGTGTGCAGAGTGCATCAATACGATGTGATGGTCCAAAAGGGGAATAGCGTGCAATCACTTTTGGGTTGAAGAGGCGACCCACGTGATTCCTCGGAGTATACTCTTAAGTTTGCAACAGTAACTGTCTAATCCTCGATGGCTCTTTTTGGCCCTATTTGTCTGCTATTTTTCATATTTATACCTTTCTTTCTATTGAACCGTTCGTATATTCAATAATCTCGATTGAACATACTGCTTAGTCACCATTTGACCGGTTTTGTGGTTCTGCGCGGTGATTGGGCATATCACGTGCCAGCCTGCCGCGCCAAGCCTCAGTTCTAAAGATGCCCCCAAAAATGATATCGAAGATAGGCGTCGACTCAAATGTCGTATAGACGTAATACCTATATCGATAGATAGAGAGAAGCATATTCTATCTGGCCAGGGTGTCGGCTTTATATACAATTCTCTTTTATGGTTATGTAAATCCTTATCCAGTTTAAAAGTGTGCGGGAACTCGGTGGGCATTTCTGCCCGCTCCTGGCGCCCACTTCTAACAGCTTTCTGACAGCTTAAAAAAAGCTGTCAGAAAGCCATCAACCAAAACTCCACAAAACATGCCTCTGCCCTGGGAGCTCAGAATCGTACATCAAAAATGACTAACATGATCGCCAAACTTGAAAAATACCTTACTTTGTACCTTATTTTATCTTTGAGTCTGTTTACACTTCCTTCTCGCTGACATCTATAAAATATGGTTAATTGCTAGTTGTGATGATATGCTGACTAATCATTTATATAGACCTGGTCCAAGCGCCCTCCACTCCACATGACCGCCCTCTCAGGCCTCTTCCTTTCCTTTCCTCTCCTCATTCTGCAAGCCTTGGGGTAATGTCACTTTAGTGCTCCTTAGTGATACTCGCCTACACTCTGTCCCCCCCCCCCCCCCAACCCGCTTGCTAAAGCCAATTCCAGGCCGCCCCGCCGCCCGCCGCCTTTGCTCTGTCTCTCACCCCCGTATTTCCCGGTTTCCCGACCGGCGCCTAGGTAAGGTTAGACATCGTCCCCCCAACCATTGGGAATAACCCCCTCCTCTTCATCGATTTTTATCCATTTTACCTACCTAACCTGGTCGAGGTTGTTCTTGCCAATATTTTCCAATTTCTATCTTCCTTATTTTCTATTATGGAAGTTGAGTATTGTGATCTTAACTAACTTTGCTATACGCGTTTAGGACGCGTCTTTGGCGTTGGCATCCACCGCCTGCAAGCTTGCAAAGGCACGACAACATGTCAAAACCTCCTATTATTGATCTAATTGATCTAACAGAGGACACTGACATGGACGATGATGTGGATGATCCTACGGTAAGTTCAAGTTTTACTTCCTTTTGAGAAGTGCCTTCCTCGCCAGTTGGCGGCAGATCGACGCTATCGATTCCTTCCTTGATGGGGAAACATTCTTAAACCTTGAACCTCCTTTGACATTCTTTGTCTTTTTCTTTTTTCCTTTTCCCTTTCTTCTCCCTTCTATTACCTTACCTCACCTTACTTCTCTTTTATTTACGTTTTCTTTTCTCCACTTCTTTGATGTGGATCCATTTCTTTCACCCTCGAATACATCAATGGCCTCGATCATTAGATCACTCACTAATTATATCGTTTACCAGCCTGGCCCATCACTCCCAGATGGCTTTATCAAGGTCAATTCTGTGACGCCCCAAAAGTTGGGTGATCTTGGGCCCGCCACATTTTCTTCCACTCTCGTCGTTTCTCCGGCCAGTGCCAACAAGCGAAAGAGCTCCGAACTCGACGATTCCGAACAGGAAACTCTTCGCTCGCCAACTGACCCCCCTCGACCCATGACCCCCACTAAAGTTCCTCATATTTCTTTTTGTGTCGAGGTCCCATCTCCTTCTCTCGCTTTAGACCAATACGTCAAGGTCGAGCCTAAACACGACGGTCTATCTGAAAAGTACTACCCGGTCGAGTCCGTCGAACGGAGTGAAGCTTTTGACCGCCGGTATCCGTACAAACGGGCTGTTAAGCGCAGTCTTGTTTCCCTGTCTGCGGATGTGGGTGATCGACGTGGCAGATATCCAAGCACGGACGACCTCGAGACGATCCAGCGCGCCTCTCTAACGCACAGCCTCTCTCGTCTACAGGCTAACGGCCCGGAGGTATTCTTCAATATTGAAAAGCAAAATCTGTTCATGCTTGCTGCGTCTAATTTCGGCTTCATCCAAGATTATGTCTTGAGAGATGGCGTTCAGCAGGTTCCAGAAGCTTTCAATTCCGGTTGTGAGTGTGCGGGAGGCGCATGTGAGCCTGATAAATGCAGTTGTCTTGCCACGGAAGAGGATTCGGAAGAATTGATCGTCCCGTATCAATTGGGGAATATGGCACTTGATCCGACCTTTTTAAAACGCAAATCAATGATCTATGAATGTAATCATCGATGCGGCTGCCGTGGTAACTGCCGGTTCAATGTGACCCAACGTGGCCGAAGATTCCGTTTAGAGATCTTTCACACTGGTAACCGTGGATTCGGTGAGTTTCATACCCAATTTCAACTATGCTAGAAAAACAGTTTACTAACAGAATAACCATCTAGGTCTTCGTTCCCCAGATGATATCCAAATCGGGGAATACCTCGACCGCTACCTCGGCGAAGTATTGACCAAAGAAGAAGCCGACCAGCGCGAAGACGACCAGAAGATCTCCTATCTCTTCGGCCTTGATTTCATGGTTGGCTCAACCGATATTTCAGAGCAGGAGATCTATGTGGTGGATGGACAGAAATTCGGGAATGCCACCCGATTTATGAACCATTCTTGCAATCCCAATTGCAAGATAATTCCTGTCTCGATCAATCACGGCGACGAAAAACTCTACTATTTGGCATTTTTTGCCCTCCGCTACATCCCCGCGGGAACAGAGTTAACCTTCGACTACAACCCAGGATTCGACAAGAAAGAGAAGATGTCGTCCGGGGCTGTAAAGTGCCTCTGCGGCGATAGGAAATGTCGCGGCCAGCTTTGGCCAAACGCGCGCAAACAGAACCAACAGGGTTTCGCGGCTGACACTTCTGCTGACTCTAGCAGCTCTGATGAATGATGAACTCCCTCCTCCCCAAAAGCCAAAAGTGCCTTTTTTGACTTCTTATTCCCCCATTGTTACACTCCACGTTTTGCATGATACAGCGATCCCATTTCCAAGCGAGCATTATCATGTTTACCTATGACGAATCACGACAACCTCCCCTCGCCTCACATCCACTCACCTCCACTCACCTCTACCCTACTACATAACTTCTATTCCGTGGGATTGGGCGTTTGGATAAACATCTGGTCGCAGTGCACATATTCTTGCAAAATCTCGACTTAGAAATACGCCCCTGTCCCATCGATCGAATTATCTCATCGAATAGCAATGAATGATAGCAAAGTCCAAAGAAGCCCTTCATGGCTTTGCAAAAATTTCTTGTTCTTTTATGCTTCATGTTCAAGTGTCAGTAGAAAAAAAAAAAAAAAAAAGGAAGGAAAGTGGATATTTGAACACTGTAAATATCAGAGCACGTCTATCGCTCATAAAATCTTGAACTTTCACAAAGAACATTCTATACAAATTGCCCTCAAACCCCCACAACTAGACCCGTTATTTCCATCGAACGCCAAACTATACACAAACCAGCCCCACAACCCCAACTAAACCCTTGAAAGCTCAAGCAAAGTAAGCAAATACTCAACTCAATTAACACCCATGAAACACCCATGAAACACAAACCGCAACTCCAAACCCCAAACAGAAAATGCCGATCAAACCAAAGAAAACCCCATCGCATAAAACGAGAGATAAAATGAAGTCAGGACCAGGACCAGGACCCTGACTTAGGCCCGCCCCTCCATAACTTCAAAAATGCCCCCCCATCACGAAGCGGGGCGACTGCTGCTGCTGAGACGAGTGGTGTTGCATCGAATTTCGCTCAGTGGCACTGGCACCGGCACTAGCCCGGGAAAATGGTGACAGCGATGGTAGCGGTGGTGATGCCAGCGCCTGGATCTGTACCTGCTGGCATCGCGCTTGCGCATGCAGATCCATATCAACGGGTCGGGGTTCCATAAGATCAAGACCCTGTCTCTCAATAGAGTCACAGGTACAGCGTGATCGTTCCTCGCTGAGGGCTAGGTCGATTGCTGAGGGGCGACGGCGTACTACCATCATTGATGATCGGCCGCGTAGGACCGCGCAGGGAAGTACACTCACCCCGCAGTGAGGGTGTGAGGTACCAGCAGTGGGATTGGGGGCGAAGTCATGGTTTTGGCTATGCTCGGTTTCTGAGTAGGTTTCGCTCCTTTGGTGGGTGTTTGGGTGGAAGGAGAGGTTGAAGAGGTGGTTTGGTAGGGCTTGAGTTTGGGCCTGGGGGAAGGGCCGGAGGTTTGAGGTTGGTGAGGATGGTGGTGAGGTTGTTCTTGAACTTGGTGGACTTGAGGTGTCGCTCGTTTGTCTTTGACGGCGGGTGAGCGAGGGAAAGGGTGAGATGAATTGTTGCATGGCGGCGAAAGTGAATAACGCGATTGGAATGTTTGTTTGGATTGTATTGGTTGGCGATGTCGAGTGGAATGTTGGAGTAGATGAGTTGAGTTAAGGTGAGGATATGCTCAATCCATGACAGTGCCAGTGGCTCGAATTCGAGGAGATCGAGAAGAATAAAAGAGAAAGGAAGCCATGGAGTAAAGTTGGGCACTGTGACGAATTTCAATTGCGCAAGGACGGGGCTGCAGGGAGGTTGAGACAAGGCGGACGCATGCGGGAAACGGGGGGGGGAGTGGATTGCCGAATGCGGATAACCCTAAGAGTACCTTAAGTACAATTCTGGGTCTACTTCGACGGGTTCCCCTGGATTTTTACCAATGACATTGTTTCCTGATCTACGCCAATTATTTCCCACTCATTCCATTTATTCCCGTCTGCCCGGTTCCGTCGTGGTGATGCTACAACTAGTCGTGGATACTATACTCTACGCGCATACTATCCAACCAATAGCGGCCCCACTGTTTCAGCCCCCCCCCGAGGATTGGAAACCGTTTCTAGTAATAATTAGGTTTGAAGCCACTTGTTTCCGGGGAAGAACTTCTTGGTATTGAAGGGTAGCTACTCCGTACATAGTGGCGAAGTACAAGGGAATCTCCTATCTAGGGGCTCGTCTAGAGATCTAGGTCGATGAGATTCCAAAATTATAGCTATAGGCACTGTAGTCATATAATCGATGTACACGCCAGATTCTATTGACAAAACTGAAAATAATAACCCTGTGACGAAATGGTAGCCCACGCCGTGCTATGCAAAATGACTCCGGATGCCAGGATCAAGGAGAGTGGTGGTGTAGGTGGTGGTGTAAGTGGTAGTATACAGCTGAGAGAAAAGGGGAGGATAAAAGAAAAAAGTGTCAAGACAAGAATCAATCAACCATCGGATACCTCGAGATGTCGAATCATTCGAGTATGCAAAGAATGTCCACGTAAAAGAAAAAAATAAAAACAAAGATGCAATCTCCTCTTCTTCTTCTCATATATCCAATATCTTCGTCCCCCATCAAAACATGTTCAACGCATAGGATCTTTCCTTGGAAAGAAAAACAACAAAAAGAAAATAAAAGGGCAATGGTAAGGGAAAGCGAAAGCGCAGAACCCTTTCTATCCTGATCGGTCGCTAGATCGGTCGCCCGACCGGCGCTGCGTAAAACTTCGCCGAATACTCTCACCCCAGGCGGAGTTATCAAGCGAGTTCATAACATCCCGAACGCTCATCGCGCTATTCTGTCGCGAATGATCGGCCGTCCCCGACGACGGTGTCGCCGACCCGCGACGCTCATCAACATCGAACGAGACCCGCTCTCCATACATATGCCGTGGAGTCCGCGCGGGGCTAAAGCTCGCCCAATCAGTCGGGGTATTGCCGCCAGACGATCGGCCCGTCAGAGTCGTGTCCAAGCGAGGCAGATCGGTATGACGCCCAGTGGGACTCGATTCCGCTCTTCGGTGCAAGGTCGATGTCGGCGACAGCATCGGCGCGAATGGCGAGTCGGGATCGGGCTGCGTTTGCGGCGTCATTACACCTGATGGTGTCTCCTCGGGTTCTTCGCCTGGGTCGTCGACGAAGATTTCCGGCACCGTGAACTGTGGGATTGCTGTCATTCGGGCGCTCTTCTTGCGCTCGATGGCTCGTCGGAATTGTCGGGACCAGTATAGTGTGTCGAAGAAGCCCATCACCGTGTTGCGGCGGACGGCTTCCTCCACGCGCTGGAGTCGCGCGCGACGACGCAGGAATTCCTCTAGTCGGAGACTCTTGCTGTCGCTGATGACGTTATAGTGTGCGAGGATCATCAGGATCTGATGGAATGAGATACCGCGGTCGATGTCGGCCGATACGAGGACCTCTTCGTAGAAGGTGTTCAACCGCTGTCGTCGCTCGCGGATGATTTCGACTGGGATCCGGTCGATGATACGAGACAGCTTCTCGATGTCAATGCCCTCTGCAAGGTCTGATGGCTGCATCGGGTTCAGGGGATTCAGAGATTCGCGTGATCGCATGGATTCGCGCGATCGCATGGGGAACGAGCTATGCAGTGAGTGGACTGAATCGCGAGGTGAAGTCCGACAATGTTCGAGAATTGCTCCAACGGTGAATTCCCCATCGTAAACCCGCATTGCAAATATACCGGAGAGCTCTCCGAGGAGACGAGGGAACTGCTCTTTGGTGATGAATCCCGATCCATCCGGGTCGTAGGTCGCCCAAGCCTGCTTGAACCGACGGATTTCCTCGCGGCTCAGAACGTAAAGGCCACTGCTCCGCTGGTACACGTAAGAGAAACTCTCGAAAATCAGAGACACGAACAGTGAAACGAAAATGTACATGCTGATCAAGTTCCACGCAATGAACAAACACCTTGCCCAGGCAGCGCTGCCGCAGTCGTCATCAAGGAAGTTGGGATTATAGGTGCAAACAGGTGGTACCATGGTGGCATAGTCTTCCATAATCGCATTCCACCCTTCTCCACAACTGCACCGGAAGAGTAGAATCAGGGCCTTCGGTAGGTCTCGGAAGTTGATGTTATGAGTCCCTTGGCTGCCGAACTTGGTCAAGCCGAATGCCTGGTTCATGGCGATACCGAAAACCAAGAAAAGAACAAACCAAGTCGCAAGCAGATTTCCGATCACGGGCAGACTAGCTGCGGCTGTCTTGAACAGCTGGTCAAGCTGATTGTTCCGGGGAATAAGCAGTAGAGTGATGGCAACCAGGAAGAGCTTGTTTAGTTCAAGGACGGCTTGAGTCCGGTAGGAGATATCCAGGATCGTGGTCACGAAAGCGCCGGGGACGGCGAGAAGAGAGTATAAATCCCATGAGCTCCGGCTGAACCGATGCCAGCCAAGGCCGATTAATCGAATGATCACATTTGCGATATAAACAAACATGAAGATGAAGAAAAAGACAGCTATTTCTCGTTAGCAAAAAGAAGATTAAACAGTCGAGAGGGATTGATGAGAAGGGGCATACCTCTAATTTGTTCCCACAACTTCGGCTCGGGGTAGAATTCTAGTACCAGAAGGAGCAAATGCACAACGAGGACGCACGTCACGAATCGTGCCCATCGACCATGCTTCTTCACCGCAATCCGGTAACACCACTGGCGCCACTTCGCGCTCTTCTCGTTGAATGACCGCTTGGAGGGCGAGATCTGCCGAAGCAACTTGCGCAATTCCAACCAAGAACGTTGTTCAGCTGTCAGGAAAGCAACACCCGTTTGTTCCGTATAATTGCGCATAAACACAGAAACAAACAGTGTCAGGACGAACACGGCGCCCAACAGGTTGAAAACGACGAAGAAGAGGCCATTTTCCGGTGCTGCGCCATCTTGAGGTTGTTGGCCGATGCCCGTGATTTGCATCACGCTATCTTGGACATCGATCCAGCCTTCCTGGGAAACAATTTGGAAAAGAATGAAGAGCGAGTTGCCAAAATTGTCAAAGTCGTAGAAGGGGTTTGCTGCGACTCGTGGTGCTAGAACAGGCCAGTTGGATGGCGTATTTTCAAACTCGTTGACGCAGTTTCCCAGGTCCCCAGAGAGGTTGCCATCATTGCATAATACCAGCTGTCCACTGAACAAGTTGACACCGTAGATAGCAAACGGTATCAAGAAACTCATCGAGACTGCAGCTGCGGAAATAACTTTCCATCCACCGACGATAATCACAGAGTGGAAGGTATCCTTCGCGCTGTCACTGACATTCAAAAGTCGGAGAGCCCTCAGCGCCTTAAAGGCGCCAATTGCCCGAGACACACTCCAGTCATGCCTTAACGATCCACCAACGTTGATCCAAAGAGTGATCAACACCACACCGTCGATGAAACCCCATGAACTTCGGAAGTATGCATTGGGGGTCCAGAAGAAGCCATCAGCGACAACCTTGATGATAGCCTCGCACGAGAAAATAATAGCAAATCCCATGTCCGTGTACACAAACCAATTGCGATTAGTGCGGAAATAATCTCGCTGGTAGAGCGGTGTCGTGATACAAGCGAGAACCACCATAGCCACGATGGCCGCGTAGATGAATGCCGAGAAAGCGTACCAGACTGGTTTGTAAGGATCCACACCCTCAACTCGCTCGTGGCCACGTCCAGGTCCGACGATCCGTTGGCATAACTTGCGGAGCGGATGAGACGGCGAGAAGATGTACAGTGATTTGTTGTAGTTGGGATGATCGACGAGATAATTTCGCTGGGCTCGCTTTCTCGCCTCCGCTGCTGAAACAACCTCTTTTGCCATTGTCCTAGGGTCAAGCTCTTCATATGCTCGGGAAAATTGGAGCTTGGCATAGAACGGGTTCGGCTCCCGTCCCATAACGAGAGACATAGCCTTAGTGTATAGTCGTGAGAGTGTGCCTGGCTGAACTACCTGTGCGTTCGCGCCGTCGGCCAGTGGCATCCCACTGGCTCTACGTGCATTATTAGGTCTCTGTCCTTCTCCATCCCCCTCTTCTTCCACGTCTTCTTCTTCGTCAAGGAATTCGCGGACAACGGCATCTTTCAACAACATTTCCAGCGCGGCAGGTCCATGGTCCAGCGGATCTTTATAACGATCCGAGTCCCGACCTAATCGAAGAATCTTCGAAAGGGCCAGGTTACCCTGTGTTGCACTGCCAACATGTTTTTGCTCTAGAAAAGCCCGCACCTGCTGCAGTCGCTTTTCGTCTTCAGAGACATCGAAACTCTCTTGAATGACAGCAATAAACATGTTTAATATGATGAAGTTGGAGACGATAAACCACAGGATGATGAACGATGCGGAAATCCAAGCAGTGTTGAAATGAACTGTGTAGGAGGTTGCGTTATACAAAATGTCTGTCCAATTCTCACTCGAGAGAATCTGGTACATGCCGAGGAAAGAGTTGTAAATATCACCGAAAGTAATGGCGATGGATTCACCATCGACCTCATTGGGAATCTGGCTTCGAAATAGCTGCGTTGCGAAAATGGAGGCGAGGAATGTCATCAAGAACAAGAAGAATATCAAGTTGAGCAGACCGACAACATTGCGAAACACAACCATGATGAGCTTTCGGGTGACAGGAAATGCCATAACAACACGATAGGCACGCATAATTTGGAAGAGCGTGAGAACGGTATAAGGGCGACCCGAGTGGCGGATTGCGGGTATCTGGATGATGCACGTAATGACGACAAGGAAGAGATCGAACCAATTGCGACGACTCCGGTGAAACACACGCCAGTCCGAACCGAAGCGTAGCACGATTTCGACGAGCATGACTAGGGTGATGACGGTCTCGGTGTTATCAACGAAGGAACGGCGGCCGTCTGACATGCCAGAGCTCCTCAAAGCTTGAACAATAAGGTCGAAGATGATGATCAGGATCCAAAACCAGTACGTCTTGTCGTAGAGCTTTTTGATGGTGCTTATTTTGCGATTGGAGGCTTCATCATTGTCAACCTCGTCTATTTGCTGAACAGCGAAAGCACTTCGCTTGCTCTCCTCTCGGATGACTTGGAAAGAGTGAGTGATGACGGCAACCAGCAAGTTAACCAGCCAGAGACTCAGAATGACCAGACCGAAAGCAAAGAAGAGCGCGGAGGCCATGTAATCACTGTCGGTGGTGTAATATAGGAGATCAGTAAAGGTGTTGGAACTCATGATGACAAAGACCAGCTCGAGTGATTGCACGATGTTATCGAAACTCATGGTCCCATTGTTTGGATTTTCACCTTCAATGCACATGGAACCTCGGGGGCAAATGTACCCTTTCGGCTTATGTGCATCAGCAGGAACACCCAGTGTATCAATCCATGACATCTCCTGGCCGGTTGTATTGTTAAAATAACCTCCGCAGAATTGTTCGGTTTGGGTGTAGTTCGACTGGCCCTCGGGGTCAATCCAGACACACGTCCTTCTGAAACTAGACTTGAAACTTTGGATTCCCACGATGGCGAAAAGGAGCCAAAAGAAGCAGATAAGAAATGCGACGTGAACGAGATTTGGAGCAGCACGTTTAAGACTTCGAAGAATTACCTGGTATGGTCAGTCAGAAAGTTCATCGACAACGGGTTGTATAGTAGGAGATCTCCTTACAGAAGTGCCGTTTGTGAGAGCAAGAAGACGCAGAATTCGAAGACAACTCAACATCTTGAAAATGTACAATTGATGGGCTTTCTCCACGCCCTCCATGGAAAGGAAAAAGGATATCCAGAAGGCAACGATAGCCACAAAGTCTAGTCGATTAAATGAATGTCGCAGAAATGCTCTATGTGCAAGTCGAATCCGGCGCTTTTGAAGAGGATCGTCATAAGTTGGGGTGTCCAGCGCATTCAACCCGGTAAATGTTCGAATGATAGATGACTGTGGTTCGCTTGGAAGAAATGAGACCTTTTTAGTGGTCGCCTGTCGGTGAGGAGTATTGAGGTTCCTGCCCTTCTCCGCAATCGCCTTCCTGATGCCCAGGGAGCGATTGACAGTGCTATACTCCATCGGGTTAAAAACGAAACCAGAGACCAAAATCTTTGCGCAAATCTCAAGAGTATAAAAGATGAAAATTATAAGAAAAACCCAATCCAGCGGAGTCGCAGACCATCGTGCTGCGATAGGTTTGCTGAACACGGATTTGGAGGATTCCACAATAAGTAGAATAGTTTGGATGATGATAATCAGGAGGACAAAGGGTTCCATAAATGAATGAACGAGGATATCGCAAAGCCAAAGTCGAAGTGGGTGATTCGGTCCAAGGATGCCGAGTGACCTGCCTCGGAATGGGTTGTTCAGATGCTTCCAGGCCGTTGCTGAATTGCGCTTGTCTCGTCGGTCCTCTGCACTTAATTCAGGGCCAAAATCGACCATCGCGGGGAGAACGGGAGGCCCATCCATTCGCGCATTTTTGTCCGACTCCTCCCTCTCGATCGATTGCTGAACAACCTCCGGTTCGTTACTCAAATTGACCACACGTTGCGACATCGATTTCACCATGGAGCTGGCTCGATGGAGGGCGCCTCCGGTAGAAGGTGACAAGGAACGGGATCTAGCACTGCTACCACGTCCACGGCCAAGACCAAGACCTTCTTCGACATGGGGAAGGTCATCACCCAGCCGAGAACTGCCTGCAGGATTTTCGCTACTGGGTCGTCCCTCCGATGCAGCGGTACCACTAATCGGTTGCAACCATCGAGGATCGGTTAATCGTACATCTTCCTCGTCCGTCGCGGGGGGGGTAAGGGGCGTAGTGGTCGCGGTCATGAGACTGGTACGTGTCCAAGGGCACATTATCGAGGTGGTCGGATGCGGAATCGTTAAAGTCATGGTTCGCTGGGAGACCAGCAGCTGAAGATCGTGAGTATGGCTCATCGAAGCTAATGCCAAAGGACATGGCCTGTGCGAGTTGCCCCAGATCGTGGTGAGCGATATCCTCTTCGCGCGCATCGGCCGGTTGTGGGAAGGGATTCCGGTTCGCCGATGGCGTGTCAATTGGCGAGTCCGCAGCCACACTCTGATATTGAGTCTGGGGCCCCGTTCGCATCATCGAAGGTCGTGAGAAGATGCCACCCCCCGCGTTGTTGGCGCTACTTCTACCGCGCTCGTCGGCGGGGTCATCGTGTCTCGAGAGATCCTGAAGCGGGATCTGGCTTGAGGAGGGGCTGTCATAATCGCCAGGGCTCTGGCTATTGGGTGCCATCGTCAGGCAAGATTAGGGATTATGGAATCGCAGACATCGCCAATTTTGCGACGCTGATGGGTCGAAGACGCGCAACGGGGGCGTAAACGGGGGCGTAAACGAGTGCGTAAATTTGGGCGACAACGCAGGTGACGAGGGCGTGGTGTGTAAGCGATGTGGAAAGAGGGAGGACAGAGGAGAGACGAGGAGTGAAGAGGAGAGGACAGAGAGGACAAGCCAGCTTAGACCAAAAGACCAGACGAGACAAGCCAAGCCAGCGCGATTGGGGCCGGCAGCTGAAGAAGACCAAATCCCCCGTCGGCCGCAGGAACTAACGGGACACCCCAGCGGCAGATGATTGGCCAGTGTCTGCCCTGAGTTCGTAAGCGTTGATAACCTCGTTAATTGCGAGTTCGTTCTACTGTAGTAATACTACTAGTAGTTACAGCCTTACATGGTAACTAGTAATTACTTTGTTAAAACTTTGATCTACGCATTCTCCGGAAATCCAGCCCTACATAGCGAGATCGTCAAGGCTGTCTCGCAAAAAAATAAACAATCAATGAAAGGTGTTGCCTGGTGGGGGGGGATGTGCCAAAAATAGGTCCAAGTAAGTTGCAGCCATAAACAAAATGCATTTCTAGAATTACGCTGTCTCACGTTCAGTCCGTCTCCATCTGACCCGACTGGTCCTTCTCATTTTTAACATGTTGCCGAACGCCATCCAGGAACGCATCCACTGCATCTCCCCACCAAGCGGTACGCCGCCTCGTCGCATAAACCCTCCATTGGCCACGGGCACCTGCAGAGCCTCGCTGATACTGGGCAATCCACCATCCCGTAGAGCAACGGTGAGACTAGCCAAACTCTGGATAAATTGTGGGGACCGGAGCACTTTGCGAAGAATATCTTTCTTTTGGGGGAGATCGAGAGATAACAAAGCCGCCTGGGCCAGCTCCGGGTCCGTGTCAGCTTCCGAGGCCTCCGCATTACCCTGAGCCAGCAGAAGCAATGCTGGCGGCAAGAAGTTCAAAAGGTGGTCAACCGCGGCCTCATCGGCGGTTTCAAGGAAAGGCAACGTAGTCGAGGGGGGAAGAAGGTCTTGCAAGGTCGTAGAAGGTCGTTCGGCATCCTGGGACTGGGACTGGGACTGGCTTTGACCACCTAAGGACCGTAAAAAGTCTTGGACAACCGATGATGGATTTGAGTCGGCAGCTGCACTGTATTCGTGAAAGAAGGAATGGTTAGAGTCATGGTTCCAATGGAAGCGGGTAGAGATATGTACCTACGCTCGTCCACCATCGGCACCGCCTTCTCTCGATTCCTGGCCCTCCTCGCGAACATCACCTCCGGTTGCGTCCGGTCCGGCTCCGCCACTGCTTCCACCGTGGTTATGGCCTGGGTCGTGGTCGGTGCCTTCCACATCCTCCATGGTCTCATCGTCGTCACCGCCAGAAGATCGTCCTCGAGTGAAAGTGGCGATTTCGTGTTCCACGTCAACGTCTTCGCCCTGCAACAGAACATCGACAATCTCCCCGAGCTTCAGATCGCGCGGGGAATAGTAGCTCAAGTCGCCATTTTCGTCTTGGGGCTGGGACTGCAGCCAGAATAGGTATCGTTGAGAGCTGGAAGAGAACTTGAGAACAAAGATGCGACCGTTCGTAGCATTCTTGCCGGAAGGCTTGTAGGGAGTGAAGCTTCCATCTTGAGGAATCATCATCAGATCGAGCTCGGGCTCATCGAGGGGGGGCGCTGCGGGGGCGCCAGCAGAAGTGCATGAGATCATCTTCGGAGTAGAGGTAGATATAACCAGGAGTCTGCTTGGGCTTCACACTGGGAGGAGAGGTGGAGGTCTAGTAGATAGTACGCAATTGATCAGTGAAAGGTTCTCCTGCAGCCACCAAGCCAGAGGAGGAATCGAGGTCGCCAGTTCAGCTTCAACACATACATCGAGGTCGCAGATACCTGCTTTGAAGGTGATGACGGGAGCTATCGACATGGCGGATGGTGGTATTTATTATGGCAACCAGGAAAGTATGATTCGGATTGAGGAATTAGGCCACACCGGGTGGATGAAAGGGATGAAGATGGTGGGCACGGCAATGACAAGGTTGGGATTGAGATTGAGATTGCGGAGAGGAGCTTCTGAGGATAACGTCAGTTGGTTGTTTGTGCTGAACAGCTGACCTGCGCCTGCGCTTGCTGCTTCTGTGGACTCCCGTAGTGATTGCTGCCTGGGTGCCTTATGCCTACAATAGCAGTCAACGCCACTATTTAATTTCACTAATGAATCCTTGCTGGTACTTTTATTTACTTTGGGGCCAAAAAACCGGCCATTTGTTAATTCACTCAGCCCCCGGCTGGTGGTGATTCCGAATTCACCGTAAAACCCCGCAAAAGCCCGGCGCGATTCTAGAGCGGGCAATCTAGATCTGAAAGTATATATGGGAGTGGTGTGTTGGGTCAGCCTCGTATTTCTAAGGTTTCGAACACATAATTGTTCTGCAGGTAGTAGTGCAGGGCTCCTAGTACTACTAGTACTCGATTATTTCTTCCATATAATTCGAGTTCCCTCCACATAATGCCATCTCTCAAGGTCCTTATCTGCGGTGGTGGTTGTGCCGGGCCTGCTCTGGCATACTGGCTGGCAAACACTGGTCATAACGTCACCATCGTTGAGCGCTTTCCAGTCCTGAGAGCCACAGGTGCCCAAATTGATCTACGTGGCCAAGGCATTGAAGTCGTGAAACGCATGGGTCTCAACGACATCATCCGCAGCAAACTCGTCGACGAGGAAGGCACAGCATTTGTCGACTTGAATGAAAATATCGGAGCGACTGTACTGGCCAACAAGTCTGGCAAAGGGGCACAAACCTTGACTTCAGAGTATGAAATTATGCGAGGTGATTTGATTCGCATTTTCTACGACGCAACGCACCACAATGTGAAATATATCTTCGGCACCACGGTTGAGAACTTCGAACAAGATGACCAGTCGGTCACCGTTCGTTTCTCGGACGGCTCGTCAGACACGTACGATCTTCTAATCGGAGCAGATGGTCAAGGATCGCGTATTCGAAAGGCGATCTTGTCGCCCAACTCCCAAGAGCCTTATCGCAAACTCGGAATGCATATGGCGTACTGGTTCATCCCCCGCGATGAGACAGACGACAATTTGAGCAGGAGCTACCTCAGCCCCGGGGGTCGAATGATCAAGCGTCGATCTCATAACGAGACCGAAACGCAAGTTTACTTCTTTCTCAAGGATGACTCCCCCGAGTTGCCAAGTATACATCGCGCTTCGGTCGAAACGCAAAAGGAGTTTTGGACTCGAAGGTTCCATGGTGCAGGGTGGCAAACTAGTCGTTTTCTTGAGGGAATGAAGACTACGGAGAATTGGTATTGCCAGGAGGTTGTTCAGGTCCAGACGGATACTTGGTATAAGGGTCGGGTAGCTCTGCTTGGAGATGCATCGAGTTGTCCCTCGCCATTCAGCGGCATGGGGACAACTGGAAGTTTGGTGGGTGCATATGTTCTCGCCGGTGAGATCAATCGACATGCAGACGATCTTCCTCGAGCTCTTGCAAACTATGACGAAGTTTTCCGACCATTTGTGGATGAGGTCCAGAATATCAACGTTTCTCTCATGAAGCTGGCTATTCCGGAAACGCGATGGGGGATCACAATTCTTCACTTTATTGCTTGGCTGGTCTGCTTTCTCCGCATCCCTGAACTTGCCTCGCGGTTCTCAAAGGAACGAGATGGGGATTGGAAGTTGCCGGATTATCCAGAGTTGAACCAGAAGGGGGAAGAGAACAGGAATATAAAGAATTAGTATTGCGTATATAGTAATTGGAAGGATAGATGGAAGGGTAATGACATTTCAGTCTTTAATAATGCTTCACAGTCTATAACCATGTGAATGAATTTGTAAAAAGAAAAGAATAGAATAGAAAAGGTTTGGTGATACCGTTGGGGTAATAGATGAGTCCGACTCTGTCCACAATAGAGCTTGTAAGTGGGCCGGGGAATCTTATCAGCTTCGTCCCATGATTAAGTAGTCCGGGTGCCCTAGTACATGAATGAAATAGTAAATTACCTCATGCTGTAACTATGGAGTTAACTATTGAGTGTACTCCGTACATAGTGTAGTAATAGTCTATTGAGGACCCACCGGCATCGGCGCTGACTCATCGCCGTCGGTTCGGTTAACCCGTATCACGTGAGATAGGGCTCACACAATTCGGAACCCTCACCCTCAAACTGGACCCATAGGCGTCCGCACCGCACATCATCAACCTCAACACCAACCCCCAACCCGACAACCACCTACACCATCTTCGTCACCATGTCGGACGGCCAGACGAAGCAGTTTGGAAAGGGCCAGCGGACTGTGCCTGCCCAGAAGGCCCAGAAGTGGTACCCCGTGGACGATCAGTCGCAGCCCAAGAAGGTCAGCATACCCGGGAAAGCACATGGCCATACATCGAGAAGGAAATACGGACATGCGTCGATTACTGCGGATGGATGCGACACGATTTTCGAGTTTGTGGATTGAATGAAGCCAACGGAAAAGACTGGCAGCCACACATCGTTCAATGTTCAGTTCAATTCAACACCGCAAAATCAATTGGCGATCGGTGAAATTCGAACCAACCACGATCTCGCACACAAACCAAGTCGCATTCATCCGAAGACAATAGATCCATGCTCGCATCGCCTCCTCGAATAATTAGGCCACGCTTTATTTTGGTGCTTGTTGAAATTCCAGTTTCTAACCTTTGATTTGTGTGTACAGGTTCGCAAGACTCTGCGTCCCGCTAAGGTCCGCGAGAGCCTCCAGCCCGGTACCGTCCTGATCCTCCTCGCTGGTCGCTTCCGTGGCAAGCGTGTCGTCCTTCTCAAGCACCTCGATCAGGGTGTCCTCCTCGTCACCGGACCCTTCAAGATCAACGGCGTTCCCCTCCGCCGTGTCAACTCCCGCTACGTGATCGCCACCTCCAAGCGCATTGACGTCTCCGCTGTCGACGCCAAGGCCATCGAGAAGATCTCCGCCCCTGAGTACTTCACCAAGGAGAAGAAGGCCGAGAAGAAGTCCGAGGAGGCTTTCTTCAAGCAGGGCGAGAAGCCCCAGGTGCGTTTTCACTCTGAGAATCTTCTACCCGGTTAGAAGAACGACATGGAGAAATTCAACAAGAATACTAACATGGTACTTTTCCCATCTACAGAAGAAGGTTGTTGCCTCCGCCCGTGCCGCCGACCAGAAGGCCGTCGACCAGTCCATCCTCGGCAGCATCAAGAAGGAGGAGTTCCTGAGCTCCTACCTCGCCTCCACCTTCAGCCTCCGCAACGGTGACAAGCCCCACGAGATGAAGTGGTAAAAAAAGTGCGAAAGCGGCGGCCGCGGGTTCGGTAGATTAGTTGGGGAGGACTCATCTTTCAAAAACGAGGGGGCGGCTCTATTGCAAATCGGCAATTCCCCTCGCGTGGACGGGAGGATTGGGTTTCACGAATCATGTAACTCCATGCGGAGAAGTTCCGTTTGTTAACAAAACCATGCTCTTCGCTTTTTTCTTCTTAGGAACTGCGGTTTTTTAATCTCCGGACACCCATCCAGCTGTGTTGTTCTTTCAATGTTTCCAAAGAAAAGAAAGACCGTCTCTTTTTCTTTTTTTCCAAATCCCCCCCATTTCCTTCCGCGCGTGTGTGTCGATTATTACTCGCATGACTCCCTTCTCTCGCTAGAAGGGGGGACCAAGCCGTGATGATGTGAGAAGGACCTTCAAGAAAAAAAAAATTTCAAAAATATCCCGATCCAGCTTATCCGCTGGATCTCTTTTCTCTTTTTTATGTTTAGTATGACATACATCTTCAATTCCCAGGCTCAGGCGGCAATACAAAAATCGGGTACATTCTATAATATTCCAAGGTTGTCCTACTGGCGCTAGTCACGTAATCGTACACATAGACATGTGGCCAATAGAACTACAATAGAACAAATGGAAGTCTAGATCGGCAATTTACTGGTCGAATTTCCATTGTGCGGTAAAAACGACGTAATTGGTCCGGGGTAGATCTGCCATGTGCTACTACGTAGTGCTAGTACTACTACTAGTAGTACTACTATAAACCCCCCCTTGTTCGGACGATACTAGATACCCTTCTACACTCGATCTATGACGAGTTATTAGAATAGTTCAAGGATTCAATGAATATACTTTTCAGTTTCCCCAAGATCAGTCGAATAATTAAAATTTCAAGCCTGCTTGAAGCATACTAGTAATAGGTCCACAAACCCCAACTACCCGCCCCGGCATTAGGTGCAGGACCCCTGCATATATATCCACATCAAATTGAACTTGAATTCAACCCGTGGACCTTGGAAACAGTCAAATTTACATTCAAAATTACTATTTCGATACGATATTCAATATTAAATTCGATCTCGATATAAATGCCACTCTCAATTCATAATATATCACTAGAAATAACCAAATACGCCTCTAAACCAAACAAATCATTTATCCATCCATTCCGAGATTTCATTTACCCAACGCCCGAATCGAGAAAAGTCCTCGTTCCAAACGCCCAAACCAGAACCGACCAGCATCATAGATATACCAGATTAAGACAGACGACTCTTGCACGCTCGTACCGATGCACGACAAGATGCCTAGAACCGATTGTGCAATCCACATCGTGTCCTTGGGGGAAATTTGCTTCCCATATAGTATAGTGCGAGTGAACCGCGAGATTTTACCATTTCCAAGAAGGATGCAAACGATTCCTCAATGCAATAAAACTTGAATGCATCAAGGAAACTTGAACTAAAAGTGGGCGGCCCCATAAGGTGGACGGCGTTCCCGTTCAACTTCCCGTTCTCGATACGGAGATTTTGATTTTCTTCTTGATCGAGTCGGAGAATACGCTCTCTTCGAGCGCACTGGGGACCCAACCCACTTTCCATATCCAATTTGAACCCATGATGGCTATGACCTTTTCGTAGTAATAGTAGGGCCCCATTTCGTCGACTTACTACTGCCACCCTTTCCACCCTTACCACTCTTTCCACCATCACCGCCACCACCACGCTGCGAGCCCAAGGACCCACATCCATAACCCTCATTATAATGATCATAATGATGATGATCGTCATCATCATCACCACCATCACCCTTATAAGTCCCAGCAAGCAAATCCCAGAAGCCCCAGGGCGAGTAATTACAATGACCGTCGTCGAGATGCTTCTCGACGCGAGCACCAATGCCCGCCAACCCACGAACCGGGTAAAACCTATACCCGCAATGAGAGAATAGTTCCTCGAGGGAGATGATCGCCAGATAGACGAAGAAGACAAGTGCGTGGAAGCGGAATAGCGCGGCGGGTAGATACATCGGAATGAACTTGTGAACCAGGTAGGGGAGGGGGTGGTCGTAGTGCGCTGTAAGTGGGTATGGAACCCTGAGGCAGTGGTGCCAGGTTCCGTGCCGCCGGGAGAGGAACGGAGACCTTTCGTTGTGGAGGACGAAGCGGTGCAGTAGATACGAGATGAGCTATAGAAGCGGGAACGGAAATGTCAGTAAAATTGGGTTGGGGTTAAGTTTGATATTCACTATGAAGCTTGAGAAAGGATTCTGCTGCTTCAATTTCACTTACTCCACGAAGAGCTAGCCCCAGTAAGAGGTGCTTGGCCCATGTGCCCGGGAAAGGTATAAACGATGAAACCTTGAGCATAGTTTTCCGGCCAAGAGTGTGGTGGAAGAGTAGCTCTAGCGTGCCTTGCAAAACGATGCTGGTAGCAATGTTGAATAATGACCATCCGGCGACCTTGAATTCCCTCCGTCGGAGATTGAGTGTCTTTCTACCGCCGGGCAGACCCTCGACGCCTCTCCACTTGAAAGCCGCCGCCGCGGCTGGCAGGAACATGTCGAAGAGGAACATGAGGGTAGAAGGCAGGGCGTAGAAGATGACGCGCACGATTATGGTGCCGAGAATCTCGACTCGAGTCGGGGAAAATGAGAAGACGAAGGTCGTCCATGTTAGCCAGAAAAAGGCGGCGTTAAGGTTGGTGGTCCAGTTGAACATGAAGGGCAGGAGGAACACCATCAGAAACGATAGCGAGAATATCGTGTTGAACATGATGACAGATTTATGGGCGCGACCCGAAGACTAGTGGTGATTTTTTGAACGATTCGTACTGAACAAAGAAATGTGGTGTAGTCCTCGAGTCCCTTTGAGCCTTTCGAGTCCCAGGTGGAAGAACCGGGGTCGCGATGAAAGGCCTTTGAGTCAATCAAAGAAAAGTGCAGGTGATTTGAAGTTCCCTTGATTCCAGGAGTGCAACCTGAGAGAATTGTAAAATAGGGCTTTGGGGTGATCAAAGAGATGTCCCACTTGTAGATATCGAGTCAAGTGGGTCGGTGCAGAGTGAGAATTGGCGGCGCGATCGATTGGATGCGCGGTCTCGATGACCTGAATGAATATGAAATGTGTGATCGTAGAGAGTCAGAGAAGCATTATCGAATACTCTGCATCCGCACCGAGCAGAGAATTCGAGAATGTCTCATTTACGAAAAAAAGGTGGCGGGGGAGATGAGATGGCGCAAATTGGAGTGGCAGGAAACGCGCGAGATCCACTACGTCACCCCGCATTCCACGCGTCTGGCACGATACGACTGCGACTACATGGCATACTAGTAGCCACTTGAAAGAGAGAACGAAAAGAAACTGACTCTGGACCAAAAAATGCAAAGGGTTCATTAATCACTAATAATACTAATAATAGGTCGCTCTGATCAGAAGAACCTTGAACATCAAAAGGGATTGATCAGAACAAACGAAATGGAGCGCCCCAAGGGCAACATCGTGGGTATAATACAATCACTGCAAGACAGAGGGAGACAAAGGATGGTAATTAGGACGGGGGAGTGGTAGTCTGGGGGGGTCTCGTCCTCTTTCGCCGGGATAGACATTGGGAAGTCCGTTGGTCTTGCCCCAGTTGAAGGCTTTGTTGCGCAAATCCGGGATGACTTGAAGGAACACCAAGTTGCTGAGCCAGCTAAGCACAGTGTCGCCGATGGGAGCGTTGCGGGGACTCGGACCCAGAGAGGTTCCTTTCAGGATATTGCCGATAAACATTGTCGTAATCAGATACTCGCCACGCTCGAGCGCACTGATGGAGATCTGTGCAACCTCCTCCGGGGTTTGAGGCTTGTCGGAATCTTCGAGCATTTTGGTCAGCTCGGGCTTGAGCTTCTGTTCGTTGTCGAAACCAGTACTGAGGATTCCCATGGGGAAGATGGTGTGAATCTTGACATCCGCAGCGGGGGCGCTGTTGCGATGACGCTGGGTAAAAGCTCCGTTGTACATCTCGATCTCTTGACTGAGAGTGTCAGACAGGGAGCGAATGGCAGCCTTTGCAGGCGAGTAAGGACCGTAGCCAGCGATAGGAGTGAAAGCAAGAGTGGAACAGGTGAAGATGAGATGGCGACGGGGATTCTTCATTTGGGCGCTGGGGGGAACGGGAGCAAGCCAGTTTCGAAGTGTGGCATGTGCCGTGTTGGCGGCAGTCCAGTAGACATTGTCCATCTGTTGACGTTGAATTGAAATGGGCACTTCGGTGAAGAATCCAGGGTGGCAGAAGCCTGCACAGCACCAAACGACATCAGGACCAGAGCCATAGTTCCAGCCTGTGACCTCAGCGATCATTCGATCACACTCAGCGGCGTCAGAAAGATCGGCACTGATATAGAAGAAGCGTTGCTTCAAGCTGTTCAGGGCAACACGCTAGAGAGGATATGAGTAAGTCAAAGTGGGATAGGGTCACAGGAGAAAAAAGCAATCTCACTCACTCGCATGTCCTCGACGGTACTCTGCAACTTGGAGACTGTACGTGCCACAACAACGACATTTGCACCTCGGCCGGCCAGATTCGTGGCGACGGCTCGGCCCATTCCATCAGAGCCACCGGTGATGACGATAACCTAGTTGATCGAAGTCAGATACGAAGTTCCCAGGGAAGAAAGAGGCTACACTTACCCGGCCCTCGACGGGGAACTCGTTCTTTCGACCGAATCCGAACATGTTGATAACCGTATAGGCGATGACTGTGCAGACAAGTACAGATATTCCCAAGGTCGGGATGGAAATGTTGGATAAGGAAATGAATGAGGGGAGTTGAGGCATGAGGGAAGAAGAAGAAATCAAACTCGAAAAGAAGACAAAAAGGAGGGGAGTGCCAATTGGGAGTGCCTTCCTTCTGTTCGGTTGGGTTGTTGACGGGGGCGGCGGAAGGTGAGATCCTGCGATGCTGCGCTGCGATGTGGGAGTGGTTTGCACATTACCAACGTACAATACGCACAGCCCGGCATTACTGTAATTAAACCGTTCTCATCTTTCAAAGCCTGCAAACCAGTTAAACCACCCCAATTCAGACTAGCGTAGCCCAGGCGGTGAGGGCGGTCACGCCAAAAAAAATTATTTTGGCAGCGGACTTTCGCAGAGGATATCAGCTACAAGACGACACAGCCAAACTCGTCATGGCGAAAAAGAGAAAGGCGGGCGGTCGCCCTGCGGCCAAGACTGAAGCCCCTGCGCGCACCAAGTTTGACGTCGAGGAGCGTTTCGACGACTCCGAGGATGAATTCCAGACCGGCCGGGATCAGATCTTGCTGGACGAGGCTCCTGATGCGAAGCGCCGACGAAGGGTGGCTGATGATGGTATGATATATGCAAGCCTCGGTAGAAGATATTGCGCCATATAGAAAACAAGCTGACTTGCAATTGCAGAGGAGTTGCTCCAACCTTCCGACGAAGAAATCCTTGGCTACGAATCCGTCGACGAGGACGAGGATGAGGACGATGTCGAGGATGAAGACTACGACAGTGAACATGACGAAATGGGTCGACCGAAGAAGGGAGGTGATTCAGACGAGGAGGAAGAGGGCATTGCGGCTTGGGGTTCATCCAAGAAGGATCTCTACGATGCTGATCAGATCGAGACCGAAGTCGATGCCCTCGAGGAAGAGCAGGAAGCCAAGCGACTGCAACAGAAGCAATTGGAAGCCATGGAGGAGGCTGATTTCGGCTTTGACGAGTCTGAATGGGCGGACACCAAGGAGGCAGATGATGAAGATGCTGGAGTGGTTACCGAAGTGCTCCCCCAGCTGGAGATCACCGACGAAATGAGCAGCGAAGAAAAGTTGAAGATTCTGAAGTCACGATACCCCGAATTCGAGCCTCTGGCCAAGGATTTCACCGATTTGCAAAAAACCCACAAGGAGCTACAAAAGGAGGCATCATCCACGAAGACAACGGTAGTCGATGACAGCGATGAGCCCCAGCCGGCTTCCGTGGCGGTCATCAAAGCGCGCGCTCTGTCCGCATACCTTGGCACTATCAGCATGTATTTCATGCTTCTGGCCTCATCTTCCGATGGAAGCAGTGGCAGTGTCTCTATGTCCCCCGCCGAACTCCGACAACACCCTGTAATGGGATCTCTGGTCAAATTCCGCAAGCTTTGGGAGAAGGTCAAGGACCTCGAGGAACAAGAAATTGTGTCACTTTCTGACGACGATGAGTCCGAGGAGGAGGCTGAGCTTGCCACCAAGACGGAACCTACCAAGCCTCAGAAACAAGCGCCCAAGACCAAGAAACTGAGCAAGGCTCAGCGACTTGCTCAAGAAGCACAAGCCGAGGCTGACGCCCGCCGTGCCGAGCGTCTCCGCGCGACTGAAGCCGGCCTGGCCGATCTCGACAACTTGATCACCGAGCCTACCCAGAAGCGCAAGACGAAGAAGACTAAGAAGATCTCGAACGAAGACGATGACTCCGACTTCGGTGACGAGGGCGCCCTTACTGCCCGCGAAGCCGAAGAGAAAGCCAAGCAAAAGCGTTCTCTGCGTTTCTACACCTCCCAGCTGGCCCAGAAGGCCAACAAGCGGAACACTGCCGGTCGCGACGCAGGTGGTGATGCAGATATTCCTCACCGCGAGCGTCTGCGTGATCGCCAGGCTCGTCTCAATGCTGAGGCCGAGAAGCGTGGTCGTCAACAAGCCGACATCGGCCAAGAATTGGGTGGCGACAGTGACGAGGAAGACCGTCGCGTCCGCAAAGAACTCCGCAACGACGGTAACCAGTCCGGCACCGACGAAGATGAGTACTACGACATGGTCGCAGCCCGATCCAAGCAACGCAAGGATGACAAGTCAGCTCGCTCAGAGGCATACGTTGCCGCTGCCCGTGAGGGCGGACAAGTTCTTGTCCAGGAGCAGGTTGGAGCTGACGGCAAGCGAGCGATTACATACCAGATCGAGAAAAATAAGGGTCTTACGCCGAAGCGGAGCAAGGACTCGCGTAACCCGCGTGTTAAGAAGAGAAAGAAGTTCGAGGAGAAGAAGAAGAAGCTCGGTAGTATCAAGCAGATCTACAAGGGTGGCGAGAGCCGTGGTGGTTATGGTGGTGAACTTACGGGTATCAAAAAGAACCTGGTCAAGAGTGTCAAGCTCTGATGGGTATACTAGTGGATTTCATGGATGGATTTGGTTACTTCAGGCGTCTAATATTTCATGGAAGATACAGGCATTTATGTATATAACTTTCAATTTCACTGGTTCGACATCCCCTTGGAGTACCACTACTAATACGAAGATAGAAAATAGTAGTAGTACACTAGTAGAAATATTATACCCAGTGTAAAATGATTTGGGACATTCGCGTAGCCTGGAACTCGAAACGGGGTCTTTATCTGAGAGCTGCTAGTTGGGCCACCCTTTTTGCTAAATGGACCATGGTCCTTCAGAATTAAGATTAGGAATTTTCGATAGAAAGCAGCACAACCAAAGTTTGTAACCCTCTATTGCCCACTATCATTGACTACCTTTTTTGAATAGTAGACAACTAGTAGCTACCTAAGATATAATAAATATGCCAATCTATTTCATCTTAGATTGCTACTAGTCTGCTATTCAAAGTCGGAAGACCAAGATAGTCTAACAAGAGGTTGCAAACTTGAACTTTTACTATGATACTGTATAACAGAATCTAAATTTGTATTAGAAATATATACTAATCTAGATTAAGAAGGATCATGGTCCAAGTAGTAAGAATGTGGTCCAATTAGTTAAAGGGTGGTCCAAATGGCAGCACTCGGATTTACATCTAATGATATCAAAACAAACACCACACTCGCTCGTTACCCTAAGCCTTCTTCGAACGCATAGGGAACATCGGCAAACCCTCAGCAAACTGGGGACGACCAGGGATTTCCACAACATGAGATTTGGTCTTCTTGCCTGAGGTTGTACTATAAGTATGGAGTAAATTAGTCCAAGTTATATCCAGGATTCGAGATAAACCCCATGAAATTGACTTAGTTACATACCTTTCTGCGGAAGTCGGCGACTTTGGAAGTTCAGAATCCTTTGTAGAGGTCGAATCCTGGGAACGACGACTTCGCTTAGGCACCATATCCTTCGAAGCGCGACGGAGTCTTTTCGACAGGCGCTCCGTAGTTCTCGTACTGGAATGCGTACTTTCCGGCTTCGGGGTCTCTTGTTCTAGATCTGTTACCGGGATTGGTGCCGCGTCTGATCTTCGTCGGGTATAAGGAGGGAGTGTATCTGTTGTTGATATAGTCGTGTCCATGGATGAAAGTTGTCGGGTATGGTTTGGACGATTGGACTCGCTGGTTTGTGATTGTACGACGGAGGTAGTCGCCCTTATAGATGGATGGTTGTTGATCGTTGTACTGCCAGATACCTGATTGCGGACGATTTGTTTATACGTATCACCATCAAATCCGAGACTCTGGGAGAATGGTAATGGAAGTTGCGGCAGGTTGTCTTCGGTGAGTCTATTCTGGTGGGTTGTCGTGAAGTCGATTGTTCCTGGAAGTAGGACGTCTCGATATGCCTGGGTTAGCATTTCTGGATTTTGCATTTGTGTTGTAGGTAGGTTTGTCTCCTCTGCGCGAGTAGTATGCGTTGCTCCTCGACTCTCCCCTTCAAATTCTGACTCTGAATCATGTTGTAATGGAATCAACCATGCATGATCCAACGCATCTCGAGCCGGTAAACGACTAAAAGGATCCGAGGCAAGCATGGCCTTCATGAACAACAAGGCTTCCGGACTAGCTTGAAATTGTCCTATGGCTCCTAATGGTAGCTCCATTTCACCTCTCTGGTATGCAAACAAGTTTTTTTGACAGACAAAAGGCAATTGTCCGGTGAGCAGGTGGTAGCTGATCGCGCCAAGTGACCATAGATCCATCTCTGGGGCGAAATTTGTGTTAATCCCTTGATTTGTTTCGCAAGGCTGCCATGTGTGTTGGTAGACTTCCGGCGCAGTAAAAGCTGGCGTGCCGTTGAATGATTGAAGACCAGTTAAGCCTTCCATAACTCGTTTACTGATACCAAAGTCACCGATTTTGACCCACCAGTCAGGCCCTGCCGAAAGCACTGAAATGTTCTTGAGCCGTATGTCAGTTTTTTATCTATAGAAGAGATATAAGGTTGGAAATGAGGTACGTGATAGTACCTACCTTAGGCTTGAGATCCCGATGTGAAAAGCCATTACTATGCATAAAATCCAGGCCCTCGAGAATCTGGAGCGTAATACTCTGAGCCTCTCGTTCCGAGAAAGGTTGAACAATGTATCTTTGCAGATCTCCGGCCGGAAGATATTCCATCGTGATAAAAAGCGACTCGTCGTTATCGAACCATCCAGATGACTTCACAAAACAGCCATCGTACTAAAAGTCTTGTAAGCGGGGACAAAAGCTTGGCAGATTCTTCCATGGGGATTTGATTTGCTACCTTCTGCTGCGAAAGCTTGGTAATTGCTTCTAGCTCACGAGTATAGTCGATAAGCAAGGAGTTTGGACCGACCCTGCGCACCTCCTTGACAGCCCGCAGGTTCCCTCCGCTATCGGACACGCATCTCTCCAACCAGACGGTGCTAAATGTGTCGATTTCAAGAGGTCTTTGTCTTTGCCATACTTCCTCACGCTCTCGACGCCGAGCGCGACGGCCTGCGAGGCCTGCGATGTGGCTTGTTTCGAGAAAGGTGTGGGTGGTACGTTCGGGGTCGAGTTTAGTGGGCAACCTGGCGTCCTTCACGAGTTCGGACTGCGATTGAGACATGTGGGTCAGGAAGGAAGGAGGGGAAACCCCAGATTTTGAATTAGATGGAAATTGATGATAGAATTTTAGACGAGCGGATATAATGAATACAAAGGTTCTCTGAACTGTAAGGGTATCGGCGCGGGGAAGGTTCAAGTTCAGGGCAATTCGCCATCAGCTGCAAGCCACAATTCACAGCCTCCAAGTCATTACACCAGACTGGGGTAAACCGGGGTGAATTCGTATGATTCGGCCCCCAGATCTTTGGCCCCGGAGTGCATGCGTACTGAGCGAAACAGAGTGGAGAGGATTGATCGTAGTGTGCTGGGAAGAGTATAGATCGACGGGTGAAGTAACATGGCGCGCTGGACCAATTAAGAATGTTGACACAGCAGGGCGCAGAGATCAGCTGTGAGGTGTAAGGCATAAATCCAGAAAGCGATCCGTTTTGGTTTACTTTTAGGTCTCACCCCGATGCTTTAAGTAAACCCTGCAGTATGGTCTTCGTTCCCTGTCGGGACCTCATCTGATCTGAGAGGTTAACTGCAAGAAAGCTTCTTGCTAGCAAATCCTATTGAATTAATCAGTAAAAGGAAGCAGCTGATAAAAGGCTAGACAAATCATACTGCATGTTGAAGGCATTTGGATTCTTCCGTGGACAAGATGGCGCATGCGGCGATCAGATTCTCGCCCCGAGCCGCCAACGACGCGATCTCATCCGCGCGGGCGACGATGGCCGCATCAATACCGTTGATTGCAGCACATCTGTGTTCCAATTGTCAGTATGTAAAGATGAATTACAACGTGGAAAAAATTTCTGACATGGTGCCGAAGCTCTTGCTGCTACGGCCTGAGCGAAAGCTGCATGACGATTAGCCCCTCATCTAAAATACCCAATCGGACAAAAGGACTTAGTGAGAAATACTTGTACAAATACGTCACCTGATCCTCCGCCTCTTGAGACTCCTCGGAGACTTTTACTTCCATATGTCCCAGTTGAAGTCTTGGACGTGGTGCTAGAAAGCTGTTCTCGAAGATCTCATGAAAGTGCGTGGCGGCGATGACCTTCGGAGCATCCTCCATATTTAGCAAGTACTCAAGCACGCCACAGGCTAGCCCAATGCCATCTAATAAGTTTTAGTGACAATGCAAGGTGTATAGATGAGAGTGCGGGTATAATGGGATTGCAACTTACCACTTTCATTCGTTCCCTTTCCGAATTCATCGATAAGTATCAGGCTGCGTCCTGACACTTGCTTGAGACAAAGGGAAATCTGCTGGAGATCGCTCATGAAAGTACTTTGTATCTGAAGGTTTTGTCAAAATCTTCGCGCATTCGCAATATTGATCGCAGTAGGTACCTTTGATACACTTTCTTGCGTGTTGATTTTGGTCAAGATCTTGTCCGTGATGCCAAGCTCGGCACTCTCTGCAGGAACAAAGCTACTATGCCTTAGTGCGAAATTCTGGTCACATGAAAGAAGACTAAACGTACCTCCCAATCTGAGCGAGGTAAACGATCAAAGCAACTTGCTTCATGTAGACGCTTTTCCCAGAGTAGTTTGGACCCGTGAGCAAGAGCATGCTTGGAGCTTGATCTGCCTGAGAGCGGTCTTTGTCAGAATCGGAAGCTACAACGCCACCTAGAATCAAGGTATCATTTGGCACATAAGAGGAAACGGTCAACTCTTGCAGCAAGTGACTGGGAGATGTCAGAAATGTGGCATCTCACGCAATGGGAGTATTGTTACCGGCCGCCCTTGATTCTAATGACGTTCTCTGATACTATTCGGGGTCGACAGAGATTGTAGGACAAAGCTGCTTGTGTGAGTGCAAGAGTACTGCAGAATTGGTGAGCTAGGTTACTTCCTGTGGATCAAAAGTTTGCTTCAATTTCGTACCTGTCCAGCTCTCCACAAATATCAGATGCCTCCACGAGCATTTCCTCATACTGGAGGACCTTCTGCGCAAGTTCGTAAACGATCTCAATTTCCTTCTCTGTATCCGGCCAAAAGGGTTAGGGTAGCCCGGCGATCCTAGGGGGGAGTACGCGCACCACAAATGAGCCCATAGATATCTCCAAGCTTCCCATCTAATTCCCTCATTCGGAAATCCTTGAAGTAGGCTCTGTTCTCCGTGGTGAAAACAAGTTCCCAATCCTCAGTTCCGAAATACATGGGCTGTTCCCTGTCATTGAGGGGAATGGCAATGTTAAAGCCGAGTTGCGGGAAGTAGATCACGTTCACATCGATGTAGAGATCTTCGGGGATCGTCACGGCAATCTCGAGGGCGACATTTTTTAAGAGGCTGCCAAGACCATCGTACCGATCCTTCATCATGTCGAGATTACGGTCAAGGCCTTGTTTCACGACAGCTCTGCCTTGTTCCTCTGAGTTGTCGATGTCGACCTGCGAAAATTAGTCGGGGTCCTGTGTATGAGTTGATGTTTCACTGACAACTTCCTGAATCATTCGGCCCACATTGTATAATTGTGCCGTCTCGAATATTTTGAGTGCCTGTTTCTCGTAAATACGTGAGCGGGCCAAGGTGACTTTGCATCCGAACCTTCACCTGTAGAGGTAGATTTTCTGCACCTGATACCTCTTTGAGAGAAGACTGGATATCAATCGAATAGAATGCAAACTTTGAAATGTTAGTGATAGTTCGGCGATTGAACGGTGATACGTACAGCTAGCAGACATGCCCAGACCGTTGTCTTGAACCCCGTAATTTTTGCGCTTCCAGTGCTGATCCCCTTGTGAAGATTGGTCATCACAGGCCGAAGATTCTTGATATGCTTCATTGCCTTGGTCATCCTGTCCAAAGAAGCTTGATTATTTGGTCTTGAAAATACCCCGATGAAATCGTGCCGCTGTAAGATGACTTTGGGATCCAAACTTGGTCGAATGAACATCTGTTTCAGTTTGAAGCGCCCTTGAGGGCTATGCGCAAAACGTTGAAATAGACCATAAATGGACAGCCCCTCTTTGCTAGAAGACGACTTTGTGCCTGGACCCTGATTGAATAGGTTCGGGTGAGACTCGTGTTGAATGATTTGGAGAGATTGAAAGGTGTTGCTTCCAATCCACCTTTGACCGCATCATGTTAACCAACTTGATAGCGGATCATTGCTTTTGAAAACAATGGCTTACATTGTGTTCTCCAAGCTAAACATTTCCAGAGACCGAACTTGAAATGGACATTCGTCCGTTGGCCCGATGGGGTCTATACTTGTACCCGTGGCCCTGCGTCGCTGCAGGTAGCCAAGGACAGCCCCGACGCAGCCAAGTGTTATAGGATTTTCCATATCAACTGAACTGGATATATGCAGCAGCCTACCCTCGTGAACTGTAAAACCCATGTCCTCGGGATTCATCTCTTCGGGACCAGAGATGCCGCTATCGGGCACAAGAAAACGAAGTCGTTGCTCGTGAGCCGATGAAACTTCGAGGGCGACCAATCTGTCTTTGGCGTTCGAAACACTGAATTCTTGAGAGGGACGCGCATCGAGCTGATACGGGAGGTAAGAGGAGGTGTCTGGAGATAACAGAATCAGCCCGGAAAATTTATCACATAATCGAAGTAGGTGATACCTGTTTCTTGAGCAGCAGTTTGGTTTTGCTCCAGCAGACCAGGCAGATCGACACGAGAGGAAACTAGAATGACGGTAGGTTTGATCTGGTGTATCACTGGTGATGCAGTCAGTATCCATCCAGACACAATACCCCGAACTCAAGAATACTAGACATACAAGCCTCAATTGTTTCTCGTTCCCCCAAGCGGCTGTCCGCCAACAGGTACATTCTCTCTTTCTCCGCTGAGTAGTATGCACAACCCACAGTCCCAGAATCCTTTATATCAATGGCAGCGATGACATGGCCGAGATCGTCCTCATTGGACAGCTGCGAGCCTTCAAATTCGGCCTGGGACGCTGCTGGGAACGGAGATTGTACTTGTTGACCCCTAGAAGGACCTGGGGGCTGGAATGAACCCTCGAGGTTGATGAAAGCCCGGCTTGATGCATAAGGTGCCTTGCCGGGTCTGGATCCATAGGTGCGGGGAGTGATTGGGTGGCGCCGAGAGATTTCTGGGGACCTTTTTCTTTTCTGGGACGAGCGCATCTTGGGGAAGCCGAGACTCAATTCAGTGAAAAGGCGGATAGAAGTTCGGTGATTTGGACGAGATGGATGGGAGAGGTGAGTGACCGAGAGGCAGCAACTGAAGGCAGGTGGTCCTTCATTATCAAACTACGAGCAACAGCAGTATGACCACGGCAGAATAGAAAAAAACCGAGAACAATTCAGGAAGCTATAGAGACCAACTCAGAAGTTACTAATCTAGGAATAAATATTTGACCCCGGTAACATTTTCTAGCCACTGAAGTATTACAGGGAGAAGTGTTGTGAGTAAAATGTCATTACTATACAGTTGAAAGGAGTGTACTCTCCTTGCTAAATTACAAATCATGAGAAAATGTGAGTCCGCGTATAAATACAACCTGAACACCACAAAAAAGGAATGCCCTTATGAAACACCTGCTAAAATGAAATCAAGCATTGTCTTGAACCTCAATTTGGTCAACGGAAACTTCGAGAGAAGACTTGTCCGCATTGAGAGAAACACGGGCGGTCTGCCCAGAGACGATTTGGCCACGAATGATCTTGTCAGCGAGGCGGTTGCCAATCTCCTTTGAAATCAGACGGTTGAGAGGACGGGCACCGAATCTGGGATCATAGCCTCGCTCGCAAAGCCAGTCTTTGATTTCGCCATCCACTTCCAAAGTCATGCGACGGCTATCAAGACGGCCCTGCAATTCCTTGATCCGGATATCGACGATATCTCGTAAGGCTTCCCGGGAGAGGCGCCTGAAGATGATGAATTCATCCATTCGGTTGAGGAATTCAGGTGGGTATGCATTCTGTACAACATCCATGACTGCCTTCTTGATATCTGCCGGGATCTCCGGGACGCCAGTTTCCTTATAGGAGTGCAAAGGATCGGCGCCGACAAGAATATCAGCGCCTAAGTTAGAGGTGAGAACGATCAGTGTGTTTCTGAAGTCAACCTTGTGGCCCTGGGAATCAGTGAGGAAACCTTCATCCAGTACCTGGAGTAGAAGGGCGGAGATATCCCGATGAGCCTTCTCGAACTCATCGAATAGAAGAACAGCGTATGGCTTGCGTCTCACAGCCTCAGTAAGCTGTCCGGCATCGTCATAGCCAACATAGCCGGCAGGAGAACCAATAAGACGGCTGATTGTGTGCTTCTCTTGAAATTCACTCATGTCGAAACGTACGACTGCAGTCTCGGTAGAAAAGAGGAATTCGGCCATTTTCTTGCAAAGCTCCGTCTTACCCACGCCGGTTGGCCCGAGAAACATGAACGACGCCAGCGGGCGATTTTCACCGCTGAGGCCGGCTCTCTGCATGCGCACAGCATTGGCAACGGCAGACAGAGCTTCATCTTGCCCACGGACCGATTTTCGCAAAGTATCTTCCATGTGAATTAGTTTCTCAACTTCACCGGCCATGAGCTTGTTGACTGGAATGCCAGTTGTTCGAGAAACCACGTTGCCGATGTCGTCAGGGGTGACAGAATCATGGATCAAGGTGTCTGCCTTTTGATCCGCACCCTCTTTCGGAAGTTTTGATTCGAGATCAGGGATGGTGGAATATCGCAGCTCTCCAGCTCGTGCGTAGTCACCCTCGCGTTGCGCTTTGTCTAGTTCGAAGCGTGCACGCTCTAATTCCTCCTTGGTATTCTTGATCGAGTCAATCTCTGCTTTCTCCTTTTCCCACACTTCTGTCAGTTTGCCAACCTCCTCCTGTTTGGTTTTCAATGTGTCTTGTAACTGATCGCGTCGTTCGCGGCTGCTGACATCTGTTTCCTTGCGTAGAGATTCTAACTCAATCTGAATAGTGGTGATATCACGTTCTAGTTCACGAATCGTGTCTGGTTTCGATTCCTGTTGCAAACGGAGTGCTGACGCAGCCTCGTCTACCAAATCGATTGCCTTATCGGGTAGGAACCGATCAGTGATATATCGGTTACTATAGGTAGCGGCCGCAATGAGGGCCCCGTCTGTGATCCGAACACCGTGGTGTACTTCGTACTTGTTTTTAATGCCACGCAGGATGGAAATCGTGGATGCCACTGAAGGCTCGCCTACTTGAATAGGCTGGAATCTTCTAGCTAGAGCAACGTCCTTCTCGATCAAACGATACTCGTTCAAAGTGGTGGCGCCGCAGCATTGCAATTCACCCCGGGAAAGAGCAGGCTTGAGAAGATTACTAGCATCGATGCTGCCCTCGGCCTTACCGAGACCTAGTAAGGTGTGCAGCTCATCAATAAAGAGAATCACTCCACCATGAGCATCTTCGACCTCCTTCAGCACCGACTTCAGGCGTTCTTCGAAATCACCGCGAAACTTAGCACCGGCAATGAGGGAGCCCAGGTCCAACGAAATCACCTTCTTGTTCTTAATACTCTCAGGCACATCCCCTTGCACAATTCGTTGGGCCAGACCTTCCAGGACGGCTGTTTTGCCGGTACCAGCTTGTCCAATGAGGACCGGGTTGTTCTTGGTGCGTCTGGATAAGACCTGGATGGTTCGATGAATTTCCGCATCTCGTCCAATGACTGGGTCCAGCTTGCCAGCCTTCGCTTTCGCGGTCAAGTCCACACCGTATTTTTCTAATGCCGCCTTCTCTTCCTCTCCACTCATGTCCATGCGGTGCGTACCACCGGGAGGGTGAGGACGACCATTGGCATAATGGCGCACGAAAGAGCTCGGCAAGATTCGAGGCGAGGGTGTAGGTATAGGGAGATTTGTTGGAGTCCGGGGAAGTACGGAGGCACGAGAAGTCGCCAGTGATCGAGTCGTGAGCAGACGAGGGGATCGAAGCAGTCGAGCCCGACTGGTGAGGGAGAGTCTTGTGGCCATCTTGCCGTGGGATAGCACTACTGTCAGCTGGAAGCAGTGATCAACCGGGGGTATGGATACATTTAAATAGCTAGATCCACGGAGGCATCACGCAGCTTCTGGAAAGCTCCACTGAAGTGCTTGGAGAGGAGAGCTCCTTAGTGGCGGAGAGTGAGTGGAGATGGCAAAGCTCCGTCACCACTTTGAGCCTGGCCGAGTCACGTGAACTAGCGCAGTGAAAACCCGCTGCTAAAATTTTTAAGTGCCCCTCCTTCCTCCTCTTCTTTTTTCCCCTTTTCCACTCTTCCATTCACAACTACCTTCCTTCACAATGGGTTTCACTGATTTCGTCTCCGACGCCGGCCTGGCTCGTACGCACTCCTTCGCCATGCTTGATTTTGATGCTTGATTTTGTTTGACTTTGGAACGTTGAAACTGACTGTTGCCCCCCCCCTTTCAGTGGCCAACAACTACCTCTCCACCCGCAGCTACGTCGTTGGGTACGTCTCCCCCCTTGAATCTGAATCTGATTTGAATCTTCTCTCCCCCCTTTTTTATTTGTTTTGATCTCATCTTATCGTACTCGATGGATGTTGATTTTCTCAATTGCCTGCTTTTATGATGAGAAAAATTGGTCCGTGTTTAGGAGGCGGATTTAAGACCCCGCTGCATGACTACACTCCATTGCGAGCAATCGCGTCTCTGATCTCTATTGCATTCATCCTTGAATTTGCCAATCATCAACGCCACGTATCGAACGTCCCAACTGACTGTTTTCGATAGCTCTTCTCCCAGCCAGGCTGATGTTGTGACCTTCAAGGCCTTCAGCGCTGCCCCCGACGCTGCCAAGTACCCCCACGTCGCCCGCTGGTACAAGCACATCGCCTCTTATGAGAGCGAGTTCACCACTCTTCCCGGTGACTCCTCCAAGGCTTTCACTGCCTACGGCCCCGAGGGTGCTGACCTCCCCGCCAACCCCAAGGACAAGCCTGAGGAGGATGAGGAGGAGGACCTCTTCGGTTCCGACTCTGAGGAGGAGGATGCCGAGGTTGTTGAGGAGCGCAACCGCCGCCTCGAGGAGTACAAGGCCAAGAAGGCCGCTAAGGGCCCCAAGCCCGCTGCCAAGTCCATTGTCACTCTGGAGGTGAAGCCCTGGGGTATGTTTTTTTATTCTTTCTTTTTGCAGCTTTGATCTCGGTGTTCCGTGTTCTAACTTGTTTTTTTTTTAACAGATGATGAGACCGACCTTGCTCAGATGGAGGCCAACGTCCGTGCCATCGAGATGGACGGTCTTACTTGGGGTGCTTCCAAGCTCGTCGCCGTTGGCTTCGGTATCAAGAAGCTGCAGATCAACCTGGTTGTCGAGGATGAGAAGGTCTCCACCGACGATCTCCAAGCCCAGATTGAGGAGGACGAGGACCACGTCCAGTCCACCGACGTTGCTGCCATGCAAAAGCTTTAAATTGAGAACATGTCGGTTAACGTGGAAATGGCGTGATGATGGAATATTGATGTCTTAGGAATACCTAGTTACGAACCTAGAACCTAGCCCGAAAAGAGGCTGGTCTTGATGAAAAAAATTAAAAATTTCATGACCATAAATATTTTGATGTATATATTAAAATTTACGAGTACTTTTTCTCAGAAGTTCAAGTTGCCCATTTCCACCGTGTGTTTTGGCTCTGTTGTTCTGTCAACGTGTTCCGTTGCCATGGCGGGGCAGAGATTTTTTTTTTCTTGGTTCAAGTTTCTTTTCTCTTCTTTTCGCGTCGAGCGGGGTTCCAAGGTTGCCAGGTTGCTTCCTCCCTGGGTATAGTCCCCACTAGGGTACCCATAATGGCCTTAGCAGGTGCTGGTGGTGACCGTTGGGCATCCTCGGGCCTTTACTGGTTGAACCCAGCCAATCATTGCGGATCGATCTCAAACAATACACCACCGGGGGGGGGGGATTCTAGAATAATTGATAGCTGGGAGTTCTTTGTTGAATACGATCTGATCTTCAGTGGGATCTATATCATCGTAATTGTATGAGAGAGACAAAGAAGTAGCTATTTATAACCTCCCTGTTCGCGCCGGTTTATTGTTCCGTGTCCGTGGAGTATAATAATGGGCAAAAGCATGGGTACTCTAATTCCATACCGATGAATAGAACGATGAGCTACTAGTACTATATGGATGCGCTGAGAATACCTGCCAATGACTTGGTGAGCGATTTGGGAGATCGAGGAGCTCGGCAGGCCCGGAGCCAAGCGGACTAGGCATACTATGTGGATTCTGCTATTGGAGAGTAGCTTCACCCCGAGGTTGACTGCTCTTGCATAATGGAATGAAATATTACCCATCGCGTTGAGTCAAGAGGAGCAGTTCCCTAAAAAGGAACTGCCCAGGACCTTTGTTTCATTTTCATGATGCTGAAACGTGAACCTGGCGCTTAACCGAACGGGGAAGATGCATTGACGCCCTCAAAGACAGTGGCGCTACCCCTGGCACTACCACCACAATTTCGCGCTTTGGAATTGGCCATTCACGTCAAGCGTGGAGAAATGACCCTGAATATGTCTAGATTGTGATACATAGTATCTATGCTCAAAGGAAACTACATACCGAGCGCCATATTGTTTGACATCCTGGAAATCTGGGCTTTCAATGGAGCAGGGAGACTCTGGCATTATTATAAAGTAAGAGCATGCAGCTTTTGCCGCTTTGCTATTCTACATATCGCAGAAATTCAATCCTTGATACTTCGAGTCTGGTTACTCGGTTCCATTCATTCTCTTCCTTAATCGTTGACTTTTGATTCTACCGGCTGGATCGGTTAACATAATCCTTCTTTCTTGAGACTTGCTGTGATCTTGAGGTAATACTTTCAAAATGCATATCAAATTCCACTCTCTTCTTTTGGCGACTGTGCTTCGCTTGGCCTCTGCAAAGGACTCTCGAACCTTTGCTGTCAACCACTTCTACGGCCAAGGCCCTCTGACTGAGGGTCGCATGGATCCAATCGTTAATCCTGGCGTCCCAGCTAGCCATGTGCATGCTATTCAGGGCGGCAGTAACTTCAACTTGACAATGGGCAATGTGGACCTGATGGACTCGCATTGCACTTCGTCCTTGGTTGATGCGGACAAGAGCAACTATTGGACGCCGTCCCTTTACTTCCAGGATCCCACCAATGGAAGCTTCATCGCGGTCCCATTTTTCTACATGAATGTTTACTACTTGTCTGTCACCCATAAAGTCATCCCCCAAAATGCCCTTGCTAATTGAGTTGCGAAATAGTTTTGAACCTACCGACGATGAGATCAAACCATTCCCCGTTGGACTCCGCATGATGAGCGGCGACAAAGACCTGAGAACACCGCCAACAGGCGGAGCCGCAAACGTGCTGGATAAAAACCAAGGAAAAATACAACCTGTTCAATGGACATGCCCTCGAACTTCATACGACACTCCTTCATACCCCACTGATTCCGACGGGCTTCACGGCGTTGGAATCCAAGACCCCAACAACAAGGGAGCTGGTGCTGGTTTTCCAGACGCGAACTGCGATGGATATGCGTCTCCATTGCGCGCGGATATTCACTTTCCTTCATGTTATAACCCGAAGGCTGGCTTGACCGATTACAAGAATAACATGGCGTTCCCAAGTGGAAAGGGAACGACTGATGGAAAGGCCAATTGCCCCGAAGGATGGATTCATCTTCCGCATATCTTCTACGAGGTATACTGGAATACTCCCCTTTTTGCGGACCTGTGGGAGCAGAACAAGGGCACGCAGCCTTTTATTCTGGCAAATGGTGATCGTACTGGATATTCCCTTCATGGCGATTTTGTGAGTTCCCTATCATGACCGAAACGCAGATGCATGGAAGACTTGACTAACAAGATGAAATAGATTGCTGGCTGGGACGAAGACGTCTTGCAGAAGATCATCAACAATTGCGATGCTGGCGATAGCGGGATGGACAAGTGTGCCGATGCTGGAACAATCAATGATTCGTCTCAGACCTGCAACATCAAGAACCTGGTACCAGAGACCATTTCCGGAGTCCTTGAAAAGCTCCCAGGAAACAATCCACCGTCAGGATGGGGTCAAGGCGCAAGTAGCAGTTCATCCAGTTCATCAGAGGATACCGGCTCATTGACTACGGCGACGGCAACTGTAAAGTCTGCAGTCTACACCGACGCCCCGACATCAGAGAAAAGCTCCGATAACGAGAGCAATAACGACGAATGGTCATACCTCGGCTGTTATTCTGACAAACTCTCTGCTCGAGTGCTGAATGGGGTTCAATTCGCCGACCTTGGCAAAGTAACTTCAACGGGTTGCATTAGTTACTGTGAAAAGGCCGGGTTCTCGATGGCAGGTACTGAGTATGCTGGCGAATGTTTCTGTGGAAATGATCTAGGAGGCAGTTCGAAAATTGCAGCTGATCAGTGCAACATGACATGCGATGGGGACGCATCTCAGGTCTGTGGTGGAAGTTTGGCTTTGAGCGTGTATGGAAAGGCCAGTGACACTTCGTCGAAGAAATTACGGCGACACCTCTCCCATCACCGCTTTGGTCGATATAGTCACATGTAAAACTGACTTGGTGGCAAGATTGGAAATGTTGTATAACCGCTCGGAGATAGTGGGCGTGAGAGAGCTGCTAGAACATCCGACAGAGGTCAATCGGTCTATGTATATTATAAATTTGTTCTTTCACATTGCCGTCGCGCCCATTATTAGTGGCTCACAACCTTGAAAGTATTGGATAAAGAGCTTGAGTATACAGTTTAAACATACCAACACTGTCACATTACGGATGGTTACCCAACTAGTAGCAAGCCCGGGCCTCTTAAACGTTGAAGCTGAGTTTGTGCATTATTATAGAATACATTCTTCTCTCCTAATTAGCGTGTATAAGGATTTGTATTTACATCATGTACTACTAGTAGTAAGCCTATTGACGTTTGGTGAAAACTAGTTGGCATCCATCCTGGAATAGTTCGAATGTTAGCAAACTCAAGTCCCAGGTGTAACGCGTCTTGTGTAGAATGAAACTTAAGGCTTACCATGGGGAATAGTGTCGCAAAAACCTTGATCTCTTCCGATTTTTCTGTCGGATGGTGCTTCCAATCCAGCTCGAGTGCTGCCTTCCCAATCATGCCAGCCATAGATAGTGGCACATATCTTCTAGCAAGGCAATCATGCGGGCCCGCGCCGAAAACTAACCAGTTCTTGGTCTTGGTCTCGGCATCTCCGGTAATCCAGCGATCGGGGTCGAATGAATCGGGATCTGGATAAGCATTGGGATCATGCAGTGCTGGGTAGCATGAGGGAATGATCATAGAACCCTTCGGCACCGTATAGTTAGGCGTAACGGGAAAGTTTTTCGTCGCAAGGTAGGGCACAAAGATGACGGGTGGTCTATGGCGAAGAAGTTCCTTGATTACGGCGGTGGTGTAAGTGAGAGACTCGAGCATAGGAAGGTCGAAGGATTTGTTCCTGTCGCCACCGCGTGCAGCTAGGTTCTCTTCTCGCAGTCTATTGAGTACATCCGGGCGTTGGGCTAGGACTTGGAATAGCCACGTGGTAGCACTGCTAGACGCGTCTTGAGATGCGAAGAGGAATGTGAAGAGGGTTTCGCCGATCTCCTCATTTGTGAATTCTCGAATTAGATTCGTCGGCTTTTCAACATCTGTCTCCTCGGCGGCAATTCTCTCCCGGTATCGCTCCGACTCCATCATGTGAAGGACCCAGTGATCCACGATGCAGGTGGGCTTCGCACCCGTTGCCATGTTTGCTTTGCATGCTGCGGCGCATTTTGCAAATTCGACATGAACAGCATCGGCAGTTCGCTTACCCAGCCAGGGCTTGGTGAACGGAACGTACATCGAAAGGGGAATGTTGACTAGCTCCATAGCAGCAGTGACTAGATAGAAGTCGTCGGCGATCCTTTTCACAGCATCTTGGGATATGTATTCGCCAAAAAAGGTGCGACAAGAAAGGGCACAGTTTATCTCGCGGAATATGGGCATGAATGAAGATGGCTGCATGGAGTTCTCTGCACTTGTCGCAACAAACTTTTCAAAATAATGTTCCAAGACTCTATCTTGGACGGGGAGGTAGGTAGAAATGGCCTTGTTGGTGAACAACGGGGTGAGTCCCCTCCGATACTCCGCATGGGCTCTGCCTTGAAGGAACACCCATGCTTTTCTACCCAGAAGGTCCTTTGCGATCGGGACAATGCAAGGCTCAGCGTATGAGGGTGACTTGAACACTTTGTGGGCGATATCTCGGTCGGAGGCGAGCACAACAAATCTGTAATTTCGGATGTGAGAATTATTTCCTTCTATTGGGTGATGATAAACGAATTCACTTATGAAAGACAGAAACACAACTGAGTGGCCCGCTCGCCCACTGTGCAAGATACGCTTCAAACTTGGGGTTGATGGCTTGAAGAAATGGGCCCATAAGCGGAATCTTGAAAGTGGGCCCAGCAATGGAGCCCTTGCGCTTGATATACATGACTGCCCGCAGAATCTAGTCAGTCGAGATCACTCGGCAAGACTTGGACATCACTTACTTTGATCATAGAGGATTACACCGAGGATTGCAGTCACGACATATTGCCAAAGGGGCCACGTTGGAAGAACGGCAACTGTCGTGGAGAGCGCGTGAGTCTCTCCCAGCCTAAGCTGATCAGCATTTGATATGTTGAGTATATCAAGTTCCATTTTCCAATATTGAACAATGCCAATGAAAAGAAAATCCAACATTAGGAAGGAATTGGGGAACTTGGGCTTCTTATGAAAAACGTTCGTTGTATACTGATTACCCGATTAGGATTAGACTCCGAGCCTGCTAATGAGACCACTTTCTTTGTTACTTGAACCGAGTCGACGTACACCAGCAAACCCGCCTCGGGTCAGCTCCGGGCAATGTTCTGGAATTTACATGTTTGTTCATCTCGTGCCTGTTTCAAAAAGACCAGACTGGAATAACGATTTGAAATCACACAGAATGGAGACAAGCTTCAAGTCGCATGCTGGGGCCGTCCACCGGCCCTGAGCCTGAAGTATGCAGACGTTCGTCCTTTGGAGTTAGGCGATTTCGAGAGGCCAAACATCCAAATCAAAAAATTTATTCACGCCACCATGCTATCGAGAATTATCGGAGATATTGCAGAACTGCATCTGACGGCAGACGGGGCTCGGTATACTTCAGAAAAGAACTTGTACCTAACATCGCGAGTAATTTGTGAGCCTGAATCCCAAAAATAATATTCCCAATCCGTAAATCCCGAGTCAATCAATTATTTTGCGAAATCAATATGGTGGTCATTCCTGACTCAGATCACACTGTGCGGGTCAAGTTAGTACTCGACACTACAACATATTTAACTGGAATCGCAAATGTCTGTTGTTCCAGTGGTTGCCGGTCAGAAACGTTTTCCTTTTATGATTTCGCGTTCCTCATTGAAAACGAACGTCTTGGAAAGAAGGTGATGTTTGACCTCGGCACCCGCAAAGATTATTGGAATCTTGCCCCTGCCGTCCAACGCGTCTTTGGCATTGATAGTGTCATGACGGTAAAACAGCTCAAGATCCATTGGTCGGAGGATTCTGGAGAGATGGGAAGCTCTGGGACTATGGGGTATTTAAGAAAGCTTTAAATATACCTTCACTGTGATTATATGTACCAACTGATATTTGAAATATTCCTTCAGCCATTAATTCGACAAGACAAGTTCATGAAAATACCTAGGTAAACCGAAATGCCTTTTTTCACTAGGGTTATTGGCTTGGATACCAATTTGTCATCATTGAAACCCCGAAATAAGGATATCGGAGTCTAGTCCTATTTAGGAAATCTGCCTAGGATTATATTCGAAGCGTTCTGACTCGCATTGACTCGCGTAATCGGGTGCCCCCACCGCCCTAGGGGTGGTACCATTTACATACATCTCTCCCCAAACTCCTCATCTCGCGACTCTTTCAGAATGCGACAAACACTTCGGCGATCTTGTGCTGCATGTGCGAAGCTGAAACACAGCTGTGATCTCCGGTTACCGCGTTGCTCAAGATGTGTCAAACGCAAAGTTCTTTGTGTCTATGCGAATGAACCTTCCGCGACGCCGGTAGCTACCGGGACTAACAGTTCCTCGTCAACAGGACCCCCGATTGGAGCTGTGTCATTATCGGGGTATACATTTGGATCCATTGACCCCTTTGACTCGTATCCGCCAACGAGACTTCCTCGAGAGCAGATACAACGCCTCATTTATAGCTGTAGGTGCCAATTCCAATCGCAAATCGCAAGTGAAGTAAAACTTATTTGGTCAGTCCATCACAAAATAGCATTTCAATATTATCCTCTTGACCTCGAGGCGACCTCAAATCCATTCCTCATCTCATGGTGGCCACTTGCCCTTGGCGACCCTGCATTATTCCATGTCTCATTACAGACAGCATGTCTTGATGAAGAGCGAGCGGCGCAGAAAGGGTTTCGAAGTTCAGAAATTCTGATGGCCGACTCTGTAACCCTATTACGGCGTAAGATTGAGGATACATCTCTTGCCGTTCAAGACGGTACTATGAACTCCGTGATTACATTGGCAACAATAGAGGTAAGATTACGTTCAGGGATTTATGTACGCGTCATTATTCCCTGGCCATTATGCTGACAAACTGAGATTTTTTAGTTCGGCAAAGGAAACCATGAGATCAGTCAAATGCATATCGAGGGCGTGAAACGACTTGTCACGTTAAGGGGAGGCATTAACTCGGTGAGACAGACTAGTCCACTAACAGCAAGAATGATCACTTGGTCAGTAATTTCACGGCACTCCAAATTTTCGTATACTAATTCCCGCTCAGGGTGTCAATGCTCATCATGGGCCACCCGCAATTTGGGACCCAAGATGACTTTGGAATCGGAGATGGCATACCCCCTATCCCAGAATGGCAAATCGAACCCACTTTCGTTTACAACGATTTGGATGAAAATCTCGACATGGAGGGGGGTGATGAAGTGATGAATGTTTTCGTGCGTCTGCGCAGTGTCTTCCAACGGGCCAACCGGGGCCCGTTCCCAAATACACAACTTCACGATCTCACATGCTTCGTCGTGCATCGCCTTCTCATTTCAACTGCGGGTGCCTCGATATCTGAACTATCACCAACCGCTGAGTGCATCCGATATGCTATAATTCTCTATTTATTCATTGTCCAAGGGCCAATCTATTATCCCCACGAAGTAATGGTCAATGTGATGGTCGCCAAACTCATAGAAAATCTAGAGCAACGGAGTCACAAATCACACGAACCCGCGTCGCTCGATTTTTGGCTCATTGCAGTTGGGATGGTGGCTTCAACAGGAACATCACAATACGAGTGGTTGTCGAAACAGGCGACAACAATCGCCGGTTCTCTGCATATTGAGAGTGCCCAAGAAGTCCTCGATCGGATAAAAAGTGTTTTGTGGCTTGATAAGCCACAATCTGAGTATATGTTCAGTGTGCAGTGCGAAGGCTTTCTCACTTCCCAATCCCGGTTGAATTCGCCAGATCTTCAAACAACAGTCCAACCGAGTGACATCATGACCGAGTTTCTATGACCAAAGAACTAGTAATAATATATCACAGCTACCACTGGTAGTAGATCACAGCAATTAATGAAAATCAACATCTCATTCGACACCAGGGAGAAATCTGTGGGAACGGGTTATAGATAACGGATCTGTTCACAATCTTGAAGTTTCCAATATTATAGAGCACTATATAACTGATTTGGAAGACAAAAGGCCTTGAATTTACTTTATATCCATTTGATGTCAGGGCGCGAACATGGACGAGAACTTGCGAGGTTCAAGTTTTAGAAGAGCGTTAGTCGCTCGGATACCAAGTTTTGTTCCAATCCTCAGTGCATTTTTCCAAGGCGGCCCCCATAAAATTCCCCGACGCACTATGCATGCATGAATCTATGTATCAACTTGAGAATGGCGCTAATCCAACCCCTTACATACTACTAGCACTAGCACCCTTCGTCGGCAGCCATCCCCCAAAATCCCGAAATGAATTTTTCGATACCCCACAAATCGAAATTATTTTAAATTAAATCGTCACTATCTCATATATCTCAGTTTCAAACTGCCGAGATGCCTGCTAAGCTCCGATCACAAACGGTGGAGGAGTTCCGGTCGCCGATCTCGCTTAACCGCTGGCGTGTTTCATATTTCCCGCCATGTACTATGAACTTGCATAGCGCCACCTCAGGCCGCGCGCCAAATTTGTTTGCTCAAAAATTGAATCACATCTTGGCGAAAACAAACTGGGCCAGCGATCGATTGTTCAAAAGTACAACGAGGACCTGTGGTATAGCTTCGGCGAACAATGGTGCCCTACGCCTATTTTTACATGAAGGGCCAGATGGAGCCGATATGGTTGTTTAATCCAAGCTAAGCACGGCATACAAACAATGGTGAAACACGCCAAAGAAGAACATCATGAAGAATGAATCGCCCCTCGATGCGCCTTATAGTGACTTGATCGGAGTTGTCGCTTTGTTATTCTAACTCGGGGCTGCAGGATATCCACATTTTCGACCGCTGAATTATTATTGGAGGACTCGAATAGCCGACCCCAACGGCGTGTTTGAGATACTCACAAGGCTCATGACTACCAAGATGAAGGAAGAAAGGACGAAGAGAGCCTCTTCGGGCATTTAAGAGGCAGGCCTCCTGGCATTTCCTACTTCCTGTCAGAACTCCGGCTAGACACTCTCACTTTCCTTCACTTCACTTCTTTTTCTCGAGCTTCATTGACTGAAGTCTCTTACATTCTTTCCCCAGCTTTATATCTGTTTGCGGATATCATCGCTCCTTTTCAACATGTCTTTGTCGAAAACCGCGGGTTTGCTTCTCGCCTCGGCTGCGCTGGTCGCAGGCCACGGCTACGTTACGAGCATTGACGTTGATGGCACTACTTACGGCGGATATCTGATCGATACGTATTACTACGAATCCGATCCTCCCGAGATCATTGCGTGGTCCACCACTGCTACCGATGACGGCTTTGTTGCTCCCAGCGCGTACGACTCATCTGACATTGTCTGTCATCGCGGTTCAGCTCCCGCAGCACTATCTGCGCCGGTTGCCCCCGGCGGCTCCGTGAAGATGACCTGGAGCACTTGGCCAGATGACCATCATGGCCCAGTGATTACCTACCTCGCCAAATGCGATGGCGACTGCGCAGATGTGGATAAGACCACACTGGAGTTCTTCAAGATCGATGCGGGTGGACTCATCAGCGAGACTGCCATTCCTGGAACCTGGGCTAGCGATAAGCTCATCGAGGATAGCTTTAGCCGGACTATGACTATCCCATCTGATATCGAGGCTGGCAACTACGTTCTCCGTCACGAAATTATCGCACTTCACAGCGCTGAGAACACCGACGGTGCCCAGAATTACCCCCAGTGCATCAACCTGAATGTGACAGGCAGTGGTACTGCCAGCCCCAGCGGAACTCTTGGAACTGCTCTCTACAAGGCCAGTGACCCGGGTATCTTTGTTGATATTTGGAACACTCTCAGCACTTATGATATCCCTGGTCCCACACTTTATACCGCCGGTGGAGCTGCTACTGCCACTGCTGCCGCAGCTACATCGACCTCAACTTCCACCGAAGCTGCTGCTGCTGTTGAGACTACCACTGCTGCTGCTGCCACTGCCGCCGCTGTGACGAGTGTGGCTGCTTCTTCTCCTTCCGATCCCACGGAGTCAGTTCCGCAAGTCGTTGCTGTCGCTAGTTCTCCTTCCACTGCTAGCACCTCTGCCTCTACCTCCACCTCCGGTGTTCTCAGTGGGTCGTGTAACCAGGAGGGATACTGGTATTGCAATGGTGGTTCTGCTTTCCAACGCTGTGTCAACGGAGAATGGGATGCTTCTCAGAGCGTGGCTGAGGGAACACAGTGCACTGCTGGAATATCTGAAGATCTTACCATCTCTACCACGGTGCAGCGCCGACAGGCTTCCCACCTTCGTCGCCACAACGCTCGCATCGACCACGTGTATTGAGACCTTTACCAGGTCTTCATAAATGCTTTTTGACAACTTGAGTCACAAAGGATCAAAACATGGGGGCTAGTTTAGGGTTCACTTAACCACCGCACTAGCACATGGACAAATGTAAGATAGTATGTGCTCAATCTGTGATATCCTGGTGGGATCATGTAGTATACTCTAAATTTTCTATCTTTCCGTTCCAATTGTATAAGTAGTAGGGCATACTGTGTCGTAACGGAGAATCATTGACTTCATGGGTCCAGATGTCCACTGGCTTATCTTGGCCTTTAGCGTCAGATATCTACGCTAATACGTGCCACAGTAGAGCAGGGCTCAAGAGGCTCTAGTCGTGGGGCTAGCCGAAGGAGGAGAAATCTAAGACAAACTACGTGGATAGGGAATGGCAGGGTCTCCCTATGGAAATTTTATAATGAATTCATGCTGGGGGCCGTGTTCAGAGATTTGAAAACAACTTGAATCGCTATTTGAATAAAATATATTCATTTTCCAGTGCTATTCATCTAAATCCTAAGGTAATTTTGATGCGGAGGTTATCTTTATAGATCAGGCCTCGGCGGACCAATGAGGATCTCTCAGTTGCCCCACTCTTTGCTTAGTCAGTCAAGACTTATCCGGCTTTTTTGAAAGTCGAGTTTGACTTGCTTGGATGTTCCGCAGACCTATACACACAATGGGTAAACGCGGCGGCAAGAAGGTATGCGCAGATATTCCGATCCAATTGGCATACTCTCCCCGAGGGCCGACTGACATTCTCTTTGCAGTTTAATCGCGGTGGCCGAGGCGGCGGTGGTCGCACCAACTGGTCCGAGATCGCCAGAACCAACGAGAAGCTTGAGCGATACTACAATGAGCTGGGTATAGTCTCAGAGGCCGAGAAGGAAGATTTCTGGGCCGCAATGCGTCGGGATCTGCCCAACAGCTTCCGATTCACCGGCTCTCGTGGGTGAGTTGGCGCAATTTCGCGCGTCCCCCATCGCGCTGCGAATTTCTTGCCTCTCTAGCATCATTCTAACCGTCGCATTACTGTATTGTAGACATGCTCTTGCTGTCCAGGAACGCCTCAAGGACTTCTACGTTCCCCAGATCACCGCAATTAAGTATGAGGGCGAATTCGTCGAGCCCCCTCGTCCCGTTGAGTGGTACCCCGACCAGCTTGCCTGGGCCATGACCACCCCGAAGCAAATTATTCGACGATTCGCCCCCTTCTCCTCCTTCCAGAAGTTCCTTGTCGCTGAGACCGAGGTCGGAAACATCAGTCGCCAGGAGGTCGTTAGCATGATCCCCCCCTCTTCTGATCGACGCTCGTCCCGGCATGACTGTTCTGGATATGTGTGCCGCTCCCGGCAGCAAGTCCGCTCAATTGATGGAGCTGCTTCATGCTGGCGAGGAGGAGACTATCCAGGAGGCTTCCCAAAAGGCGCGCGAGGGCGCTGTTGGTCCCGAGCCTTTTGGACCGGAGGGATTGAGCGACGATGGCCGAACGACTGGCCTGCTGATCTGCAATGATAGCGACTACAAGCGCGCGCACATGCTTATCCACCAGATGAAGCGTCTCAGCTCGCCTAACCTGATTGTCACTAACCACGACGCTACCATGTACCCCTCCATCAAGCTCCCCCCAGCACCCGCTGCTGAGGGCAAGCCCCAGATGAACCGATACCTCAAGTTCGACCGTATTCTTGCTGATGTCCCCTGCTCTGGCGATGGAACTCCCCGCAAGAATGTTTCCGTCTGGAAGGACTGGAACCCTGCCAATGCTCTTGGACTCTACGTCACCCAGGCCCGGATTTTGGTCCGTGCCCTTCAGATGCTGAAGGTCGGTGGCCGTGTGGTCTACTCCACCTGCAGTATGAACCCTGTTGAGAATGAAGCCGTTGTTGCATCTGCCATTGAGCGCTGCGGTGGATCTGTCAATGTTAAGATCATTGACTGCAGCGAGGAGCTGGCTGGTCTGAAGCGAGCCCCCGGAATGCGTGACTGGAAGGTTATGGACCGCGAGGGCCGTATCTGGAACAGCTGGAAGGATGTTGAGGAGCACAAGGAGAAGGAGGGAATCGACGGTCTGGCCCGAATTGCCAAGGGCATGTTCGCCCCCGGATCCGACAGTGATCTCCCTCTCGAGCGCTGCATGCGTGTCTATCCTCACCACCAGGACACCGGTGGTTTCTTCATCACTGTCCTTGAGAAGACCCAGGAGATTCGCGCTAAGCCAGAGAACGTTGCCGATGTCATCCCCAAGGCTTCAGTGGCGGCTCTCGCTGATGAGCTGGATGCCCGCAAGAAGGGCGACAGCGACCTCTACAAGAAGCTGGATTCTCTGGACGACCTCGTTGCCCCTGACCAGGAAGCTGCCAAGGAGGTCGCAAAGAACGCGACTGTTGCCGAGTCCAGTCACCAACCCCCATACTTCGTTACCCTCGACGCGTCTAACCCTGGCTCGCCTACCAAGCGCGCCGCGGATGACTTTGAACCAGAGATCCCTGCCAAGAAGACGAAGCTCGACAATGGCGAGGAAATTCTCCTCGGAGACCGTCCCATCCACAAGCCTGCGGGTGCAGTGGAAGCTCGGGCCGTTGAGACCTCAGACAGCAACACCCCTGCTTCATCTGCTCCCGCTGCCTCGGCTAAGGTTTTGAAGAAGAAGGTTCACCAAGAGGAGCCTTACAAGTACCTAGCCCCCAACCACGAAGAGTTAGAGCCTATCTACAAATTCTTCGAGCTGTCGGAGCGATTCCCCAAGGACCGTTTCATGGTCCGCAATGCCGAGGGCAACCCCACACGCACCGTTTACTACACCAGCGCTCTCGCTCGCGACATTCTCCAACAAAATGAGGGCTCCGGTATGAAGTTCGTGCACTGCGGTGTGAAGATGTTCGTCAAGCAAGACGCTCAGCGCGAGAACGTTTGCCGCTGGCGCATCCAGACTGATGGTCTGAATATCATCGAGCCCTGGATTGGCACTTCCCGCTCTGTCACTCTGACCAAGCGAGAGACCCTGCGCAAGCTTCTGGTGGAGATGTTCCCCAAGGTCAATGACGAGGGCTGGAAGAACCTCGGTGAGATTGGCGAGCAAGTCAAGGACATCCCCATGGGTTGCAGCATTTTGCGTGTTGAGCCCACTGGCAAGGAAGATGGCCTCACGTAAGTTATTCTCTCGGCTCTATTCCATTTTACCACAACTATATGCTAACATGAACTAATAGCGAGCGAATGGTGCTGCCTCTTTGGCGATCGCTGCACTCCCTCAACCTCATGCTTCCCAAGGAGGACCGACGCGCCATGCTTCTCCGTATCTTCAACAGCGACACCCCCCTCATCAATGCCACATTGAAGTCGAGCAACCAAAGCCCCGCGGTTGCGACTCCCATTGAGTCTACCGCTGGCGCAGAGGACAAAGCGCTGCAGGCCGAGAGTGAGCAACTGGGCGAAGTCGAGCAGGACCACACTGATGCCCGTGAGACCTACACCAAGGCTGGCGATGAGGAGGACCGCACCAACACCACGGTTTAAGCGCCGACTAAGTTAAAAGGCAAAATATGAACTGGATCTGGACTATAAGATGTGATTGGGTTGAATTTATTAGGAAGCATTGGCTCACCGACTGTACTAAATAAAAGCAAACTGGAAATTTACCGTTTCAAGCATTAAATAAACTTCCCTCGCCGTTCAAAGGTAGGACCTTGAGGTCGTATCGGATGATCAGAGCCAAGTTTGAGCGATCTGCATCGTACAATGCCCTACGAGTACAAGCCCGGCCTCGGGGAATCGTCGGCAGCGAAATAGCCCGGGTAAATTCATACTCTTGGACCCCGCAATTAGCTTGCTTCAGTTTGAACGAGATGGTAATTGCATGCTCTAGCTTCAACATCCGGTAGGTCCGGGGGAAATTACGATTATACATCGGCATTAGTTTTCCCGAAGACCCTGGCACCTGGGCATACTGTAGCCCTAGTTACAAGGACTATCTATACTTGCCCATAGTAGCACCAGTACTACTCTCTCTATATACTCAGAATACAATTCAACCTGAATTATAATTTATTATCACAAACACCCCCATCCTCCAGTTAATAAACAGCTATCACAATCTCACATCCATCTGCAAAAAACGGAAAAATTGCGGTGGACCTCCACAAGCCCACCCCGCAGGAGGCGCGTGGGGAGAGGATCGTCGGTCCGCCTTCCTGGACAAGCAACATCTCCACCACACCACTTGGGGCTAGAAGGCGAGGTGCATGTATGCAACGGAGCTATGACCGAAATTCCCCGCTGCCCCTGTCGATGACGATATTCCAATCATGAATTCGAGTGGCATGCCACCCCGGGAATTGGCCAATATATGAATCCGCGTTGATCCCTACCTACCTGCATGCCAGGGGAGAGCTTTTTGAAATTCCCAGCTCTCGTTCAAGTTACTGCGCGTGTGTGTTCATCCTGAACCATGAAGCTCTCGTCTACGTTGGCTATAGCTGCATTGGCTGCGCAGGCTGCTGGTGCTGCGTTGAGCCATAAGCTTGATGGGTTTACAATTACTGAGCATCCGGATCCTGTGAAGCGAGCTCTGTTGCAGAAATATGTGCGTGGTTCAACTGTTTGACTGCAGACTTGAGACTGGGGGAACCTATTTGCTGACTATGGTTGTTTATCATGCAGGTCACCTGGGATGAGCACTCCCTCTTCATCAATGGGGAGAGGTTGATGGTGTTCAGCGGTGAAGTCCATCCCTTCCGGTAGGTACTTGGCTGCAGCAATTGAGATTCGCCAACGTAATTCCATCTAACACTACTCTTCTCTAGTCTGCCCGTTCCATCTCTGTGGATTGATATCCTTCAGAAAATCAAAGCTCTCGGCTTCAATGGTGTCTCAATCTATATCGATTGGGCTCTTCTCGAGGGTAAACCGGGTCACTACCGTGCGGATGGAATCTTTGATCTCGAGCCATTCTTTGAGGCTGCCAAGGAGGCTGGAATCTACCTACTTGCGCGACCTGGGCCTTACATTAATGCGGAGGTTTCTGGTGGAGGCTTTCCTGGTTGGCTCCAGCGAGTCAATGGCACCCTACGAACTAGCGACGAGGCCTACTTGAAGGCAACCGATAAGTAAGAAAGCCCTCGCAGTCGGACACGAACGAATAAGTGACTTACCTGCGCCTATAGTTACGTTTCCAACATTGCTGCCACCATTGCCAAAGCGCAAATCACCGAGGGCGGCCCGGTCATTCTCTACCAGCCTGAAAATGAATACTCTGGCGCTTGCTGCGGAGTGGACAACTTCCCCGATGCTCCTTACATGCAATATGTTGAAGACCAGGCCCACAAGGCCGGAATTGTGGTTCCTTTGATTAGCAATGATGCCTATGCTGGTGGTCACAATGCCCCTGGAACTGGTGAAGGCGAGGTCGACATCTACGGACATGACAGTTATCCCCTAGGATTCGATTGTGCCAACCCGAGTGTCTGGCCTGACGATGCTCTGCCCACCTACTTCCATGAATCTCATCTGGAACAAAGCCCCTCAACCCCGTACTCTCTAGTTGAGGTATGTACATACTGCCAGGCTACCTTAGTCAATAACTTACCCTTTTTTAGTTCCAAGGCGGTGCCTTCGATCCATGGGGAGGAAACGGCTTCGATGCCTGCGCCGCGCTTGTCAATCACGAATTCGAGAGAGTATTTTACAAAAATGACTTTAGCTTCGGTGTTGCTTTCCTGAATTTATATATGGTACGTGATGGATTACCAAAGTGCATCGTTGCCTTTCACTGGCTTCAGACATACTGACAGCAACAGACATTTGGCGGTACGAACTGGGGTAACTTGGGTCACCCTGGTGGATACACATCCTATGATTATGGCTCCCCCATCTCCGAGTCCCGCAATGTGACGCGTGAAAAGTACAGTGAATTGAAGCTTCTCGGAAACTTCGCCAAGGTTTCTCCGTCGTACTTGGTGGCCACCCCCGGCAATGCCACCAACGCTACCTATACGAACACCGCCGACCTCACTGTCACGCCATTGCTCGGAAGTAACAGCACTGCATCGTCTTTCTTCGTGGTTCGACATGCAAACTACTCTTCCCCCAACTCTGTTGACTACAAGCTCAAGGTTCCCACCAGTGCTGGAGACCTCACTATTCCCCAACTTGGAGGTAGTCTGACGCTGAGCGGTCGCGATTCGAAGATCCATGTTGTGGACTACGATGTTGCCGGTACGAACATTCTATACTCAACTGCTGAAGTTTTCACATGGAAGAAGTTCGGCAATGAGAAGGTTCTTGTGTTGTATGGTGGCCCTGACGAGCACCACGAGCTTGCGGTTTCTGGTAAGGCTTCGGCTTCGGTTGTTGAGGGCTCGTCGTCAGGTATCACCACCAAGAAGAAGGGCAATGCCGTCGTCATTGCTTGGGATGTATCTTCCACCCGCCGCATTGTCAAGGTTGGCGAGCTAACTATCCTACTCCTCGGTATGTACAGCCCCAAACATTAGACTGGACTCGACAACTGACTATTATTAGACCGAAACTCTGCCTACAACTACTGGGTTCCTCAGCTCCCTGCATCAGGCAAGGCCCCAGGATACAGCACCCAGAAGAACACTGCCTCGTCTATTATCATCAAGGCTGGCTATCTCGTGCGAACCGCCTACCTTGATGGAAGTGATCTCCACATTACGGCCGATTTCAATGCTACCACCCCAATTGAAGTGATCGGCGTCCCATCAAAGGCCAAGAACCTGGTGATCAACGGCGAAAAGTCCCACGTCAAGGTCGATAAGAATGGAATCTGGACTACCAGCGTGAAGTACTCTGCCCCCAAAATCAAGCTCCCAACCCTGAAGAGCTTGAAGTGGAAGTCCATTGATACCCTCCCGGAAGTCAAGAACACTTACGATGATTCTGCCTGGACTTCTGCCGACCACGCCTATACCAACAACAGTGTCAATCCTCTCAAGACTCCCAAGTCTCTATACTCTTCCGACTACGGCTTCCACACTGGAGCACTCGTCTACCGTGGACACTTCGTCGCCAACGGCAATGAGAAGGACATATTCCTGCACACGCAAGGTGGCTCGGCATCTGGCAGCTCGGTGTGGATAAATGAGACATACGTAGGCTCCGCGGTTGGAATCGACGCAGCCTCAGATTCCAATGCTACCTACACTCTGCCAAACCTCAAGTCAGGCAAATCCTACGTGATCACCGTGGTCATCGACAACATGGGCCTTGACGAGAACTGGACCGTCGGCCAAGAAGAAATGAAAAACCCTCGTGGAATTCTCGCCTACGGCCTCTCCGGCCACTCCGCCAGCGCAATCACCTGGAAGTTGACCGGCAACCTGGGCGGCGAGGATTACCAGGATACCGTGCGAGGCCCACTTAACGAGGGTGGTCTCTACGCCGAGCGCCAGGGCTTCCACCAGCCTCAACCTCCAACGCAGAAATGGAGTTCTGGCAGCCCGTTCACTGGTCTGTCGAAGCCGGGCATTCAATTCTACAGTACAAGCTTTGATCTGGACCTGCCCAAGGGCTGGGATGTCCCGCTGTATTTCAACTTCGGGAACACTACCGCACCCCCGGCTGCTTATCGGGCTCAGCTGTATGTTAATGGATACCAGTATGGCAAGTATGTCAACAATATTGGCCCGCAGACCAGTTTCCCTGTTCCTGAGGGTATTCTGAACTACCGTGGTACCAATTGGCTGGCTTTAAGCCTGTGGGCCCAGGAGGATGGTGTGAAGCTTGAATCTTTTGAATTGGTTCATACCACTCCTGTTCTTACTTCTTTGGGTGAGATCGAGTCTGTGGATCAGCCTAAGTATCATTCTCGCCGTGGCGCTTATTAGGCGTGGGCGCGGCATTGGTTGGTGATTAGCTTCTATTCCTCCTGTAGATGGGGTAATATTTTTCTGTTCAATTAGCTCATAGTGAAAAGACAGATGAATTATTTCGGATCTAATCAGAATTCCTTCAATCTTAAAGTAGAGTAGAACCCTAAAGACTACCCTAACCCCAAAGTAGAGAAGACCCACTGATGTCGCTCCACTCCGCCGATCCCCAGCCACCGCGTCCAGCCTTCTTCCTTGTGTACTCCGACACCTCCCCTCTCACTCTTACTTTCACTCTCACTCTCACCTCTCTTCTTCAAAATTCCCACACAGCTTAACTCCATGTCCCGGTGACCTCAACGACATTCACACCCACACCACATCCACACACTCACAATGGAAGACCTAAACTTCCCCCTCCCACTCGCAAACAACAACCTCCTCCCCTCCCCGCAAATAAACACAACCCTCCAAAAACGCACAACCTTCATCTCCAGCGACCTCACATCCCGCTACACAACCGTCTCAATACCGGCCTCATACGGCGGCCTCACAACCGGCCCACCACCAGGCACGGTAGCAGGAATCGTCCTCGGCAGCGTCGGCGGCGTAATAATAGTCCTCTACCTAACCTTCCTCGCCCTGAATCCCGGCGGTATAGCGCGAGGCGGGGGCGGAGGCTCATCATCCATCGACGAAGAAGTCGTCGTTCGCAGTCGTCGCGGTGGCTCGTCGCGGCGTAGTGATGTGATCGAGGTTGTTGAGGATCGTGGTGGTCGACCGAGGAGTTATCGACGACCGCCGTCGCATGATCAGGTTATTGTTGAGGAGTCGGTTACGGGGACGACGACCTCGGATGGGAGGGATTTCGTTGAGGTTCTTGAGGAGGAGTCTTCGGGGGTTTCTTCTGCTGAGCCGTCTAGGAGGGGTGGGCGGGGGTATCGGTCTGTTGATCCGCTTGCTTATGGGGGTGGTAGTTCGCAGGGGAGTCGGTATCGATGAATGGGTTGGTAGAAATGGGTTGGTTGGGTTTATGGGTTGAATGTCTTTATGATGTTTTTTTTTTTTTTTCTCTTTCTTGCTTTTCAAGTTTTGCATTGCGATACCCTTTCTATACTATTGTGGGCGCGAGTTATGCTGCTTAATTCCGCCATGTGTGATGTTTATTAATGAGCCAGATGCTGTATATCACAAACTATTTTCAGCCACATATAATTTCCCTTTCAGCTTCGCAGTAATTGATGTTCTTACAATATCATGGTAGATGTGGTAGAGAGAGTGAGTGAATTGAGGATTATACAGAAGGAAGTGTGAGCGCATAACCAAAGGCCAACGCCGCATCCTGTTCTTGCGCCGGATGATAGAAGATAGAAAGCAGGGAATAGTATGTACGAGCGCGGAAAGAAAAAGAAAGACAACAAAAGAGAGCAGAACCCCACCACGCCCATCTCAAAAACACCAAAAAAAGCCCCCAAGCCGAGCTTTCGGAAACGCCAATTGAGAAAAATGAAAGTCGTATAGGACGCGTTCTACCCGTCAACCCCATCATCCCTTCATTTCTCGATCGTTGGATCTGAGAGGAGGGGATTTTTCATATTCCCCGGGAAGAGAAAAGGTACGTGCCAATCGCATAACTTGCGTATCGGAAGGGTCGATCGGATCAAGACAGCAGTAAGGTGCACTCCAGTCAAGCCCTCTAGAACAAAATGTCCAAGCAACAACAGCATGCCATTGCAGCCATGATACCAGCACAAATGCCACCAGCGCCAGATCCACCCCCGCTGTGACGGCCGCGATCGTCTTGGTACTGCTGAGTTGGGTATCCTTGTTGAGGATATTGTTGTTGCGGGTATTGCATCGGGCTCTGACCGCCGTAATAACCACCCGGTTGTTGCTGAGGATAACCACCGCCGTAGCCTTGCTGCGGATACCCTTGTTGCTGCGGGTAGTATCCGACCTGTTGCTGCTGACCGCCGTAATAATCGCCTGCGGCGCCAGGTCCGGGACTGGGGCTCGGCGCGTTCTGGTGGAAGTTGCCGGAGTAAGCCGGGGCTTGGTAGGAAGGGGGCGGACTGGCCTGTGAGTGATGTTAGAAGGATGCTTAAGGTCGTGGATACAGTTTGGTCCGTGAATAGGGTCGGGAGGGGGCTAGCGTGGGTGGACGAACCGGCTTGTTGTAGGACATGTTAGAGGCTTGTGGAAGTGGATCCGGGGGTAACAGATCTGGGGATTGTGGATGTGGATGCGTTGATATAGTTGTGACGTGTGTATTGATGGGGGTGTATAAGAGGAAGGGTAAAAGGTAGAGTGAGTAAGGAGAGAGAGAGGTCTTGTCAAGGAGGGATGTTGGGGGAAAGCCAAGGGCCAAGAAGGTTGAGCCGTAAAAAGTTGACTACGTTTCTGTAGAACGCGCGGTTCGGGAATCGTTGTGGCGCAGCACCGTGGCGGGGTGGGGTTCCGAGGTATACCCTGCCTTGCATGAGTTAGGCTGTCATATTCATGATTCATGAAGAAATTGAACCTTGGAAAACTTGAAATTATTAATCTAAAGGAAATATTCAAGATCAATAGCCGAAGACCTAGGGAAGAACTTGAAGTTTCAATATAAGTGACATACAAGTTGAATTGCTCGTAGAAAGATCGCCGGATTTCGAGTGTCACGTGCTCTCCAGGGCTTCTACTACGAGTCTTTCTGCATTGTCTAACTAGCAATAATCAATTATATCTTCAGTCGTATCAACAAAAGAACAGCAAAAGTGCTTCTCGTCTTGAATGTAGAAGCATGTGGCTTTTGAATCACATCGGAGGGGAAAATGGCCAATTTTCGAAAATAACAAACAAGCAATACTCAAAGTCCTCGATTGTCTATAGTCAATTTCAAGAAGTGAGTCAAAATTCATCGAAAACCCCCCGTCCTCGCGTGGCCATCGAGTATTTAGAGTGGTAGACGTTTATAGGCTCTTCAGAAAAGACTCTTGCATCGGTCGATTCCAAGAGATTCGACCAGGAAGTTGTTGACAATTTGACAGGCTGGGTCCATCTTTTCTTGGATATCGAGCCAGGAGTTGATCTTAGGGTAAATGGTTGAAGCATAAGTCTCATTGTTGAATATCATCTTGTTCCAGTGAGGCCGGACGTTGTGCTTCTCGCCAAAGGTTGGAATGAACTGCTTGACAACGTCTTGGTAGAACCACTGAAGAGTATAGTTCTTGTAGCTTGGAATCCAAGAATACTCCAGAGTGGCAAAAATCCCGCTGGAATTAGCAGGCAAGTTCTGCTTGTTGACAGGGGATAGCCAGTTGTCGTCTCCCTTCACGAAGCGTGTGATAACGGTCACATCGTCACTTAGATATCCCTTCATGTCATCGTTTACAGGATCCACAGTATGGTAAGGCTTCATACGATCAGCTTGGGACTGAGCATAGTTGAAATAGTCTTTGCCAGCCTCAGCCAGGTTCTCCATCGGGAAGAAACGCTCGAATTGGCCCATAAATGCGCGATAACAGATTCCAGACGGAGGGGTAGCAATGGCATAGTTCTTGTGGTCATAGTATAAAATCACGATCACAGCGACCACAATCTTTGGTACAGAAGTCCACTGAGCAGTTTGTTGCTCCTTTGTAGTCGGTTTCCTCCCAGTAAACCAATGGCAGTTGAGTTTGAGGATCAAGCTGCTGGGTGGTGTAGTTCCATTTGAGATTCGGGCCAATTATATTGATCTGCTCATATTTTTGGCCAATTCTTGCAATCTCTTCATACATCACAGTTGAATCATCGGGTACTTCCACGACCTTAGTAGTACGCTTCAGAAAGGTCAAAGGCTCAGCCTGCAGAGTCACCTCGACTACGATCCCCCAAACACCAAGTCCGATTCGGAAGGCCATGAGCAGTTTGGGTGTGGTTTCTTCGGTAAGTACGGAGGAACTGCCATCGCTTCCAGTGGTAATATCTACTATAGTGATGGTGACCGGCAAGAAATCCGCAACGGAAGATTTTTGTGGATCGATGCCATGTGGCTTGATCATCAGCAACGCCGATGGATGTGCGCATCTCAGCTAAATCATGGCGATCGTTTTGTCCAGCCGGGAAACAAGAGCTTTACCATTCATAAGCCTATGTATGTCTACACTATTGAGGTTGGTGAGAGACCGCCCGCTTTGGACCATGCTTAAATGGTCGAAGACCTTTTACGAAGCCTACCAAGTACTGGTATCACTTGAAGCTTTTGTGTCCCAGAGAAGGAATTGATTGAGTCCGTGATATTTCAGTCAGAATAGTTCATATTACATATGCAATTAGATGATAATTGGAAAAAAAAAAAATGATTCTGCGCAGAGATACTTCTTCTTCCTTCACCAAATGATTTATGTTTACGTTGTTTACATTATTGACGTGTGGGTGGGACCAGCCAAGTGTGATATGATACATACCCCGGGTTACCCCAGCCTAGGGTATAGTATAAAGCAAAATATTAGTATAGTAAACAAGCGCACTAAACTAGGTAGTAGTACTAGTAAAAGGATACCTTGAAATAGCTCCAGAAACTTGGTTTTTTATACCCGAGAGATGTGTATTCTGACTGGATATAGCTAATAGCAGTAATACGATCTCCAAGTCTATATCATATGCCGAATTATGACGCCTTGTGTTCAAGGTATGATGTCACAGGTTAAAGTATCACAGCGAGAATGAATAATGAATCCCCAGCTAACTATACTAGGTCTTGCAGAAAGTGGAACCGAATGGAGAAATGGAGGGTACCTAGTACATTCCAACTTGAAGGTGAATACCGCCAGAAGATGGCATTGGGTAAGCTACAGGAAGGCTCCTGGCAGGGGGTGGAGGTGATTGACTTTAATCAAGTTAAGATTATCTTTACAAGCACCGGAATATACAAAGATCTCACCAGTAAGGAGGTATCGATTCGGACTTTTGATAACACTGTCCATATATAAACGCATATTATAATGCACACGAGCCAAGATAAAAATCAAACCAATAAGAATGCTAGACAAATGCTAGACTGCTCAGATGTACGTAGGAAAATGCAAGAGAAATGCACATTTCACTCAACTTCACTCAACTTCACTCATCGACACTTTGAAACACTTTGGAAAACCAAAAATTAAAAGAAAAGAAATACTTATTCCTTGTCCTCCAGCGAAGCCTTCTTCAGCTCATCAGCCGCATCAGCAGCACCATCCTGTTCCTGGGCCAGCTCGGCATCGGCCGTGGGGGCAACGTTGGCCTGCGCCGGCTTCTTCGCGGCGTCGGTGGCACGGCCATTGGCCTCGATCTTGGCCTCCTCCTCCTCCAGGCGGGCAATCTCCTCCTTGGCCTTCTTGATGTTCTGTGTGGGTTGTTAGTAAATATCCCAAACATAGGACGACGGAGACGCTTGGGCGCGACATGTTACTCACCTCCTCAGTCTTGCTGGCCTGGTTCTTCTTCCACTCAGTAATCTTGGCAGCCAGCTGCTCAACGGAAGCAGGGACAGCGGCCTGGTTCATGGGAGGGTCGATCTTGACCTTGGCGAAGTCCTCGATGACACCAACGTTCATGTTGAACTTGCCAGCAGCCTCGGCACCACCAGCGGCAGCACCACCCTTCTTGCCTTTCTTGCTCTTCTTGCCACCGGAACCAGCGAAGTAGTCCTCCTGCTCGTCCTTGCGGACGACCTTCATGCCCTTCAGGGCAGAGTCATCAACGGTACGGCCAACACCGGCACGGAAGTTGCTTCCCTCAACCTTCTTGTCATCAAGACCCAGAGAAGCAAAGTCATAGGCAGGGTCGAAGTGACGGATCAGACCCTGAGCAGTCAGGATCTCATCAGCGTAGGCAAGAGCAGAAGCCTCCTCGAGCTTCTTATCAGCGACCTTCTTGCGTTTTTCACGCTCGAAAGCGTCGCGCTCGACCTTCTGGCGCTCACGGCGCTGGCGCCAAGCCTCATCCTCATACTCCTTGTAGGCACGGCGGGCCTTGTAGTAGGCGTCCTTGATCTCCTTGATGGCGACGTACTTGGCCTGTTGGTCGTTGCGGAGCTTGGTGCGCTCGTCACGGAGCGAGTTGAGGTTCTTGTAGACGCCGTCCTGCTCGGCCTTGATGGTGTCGAGCTCCTTTTGAATCTCGGAGTACTTGTCGCTGAGAGCCTTGGCCTCGGGGTTGTCGAGGGTCTTGCGCAGGGCAGAGATTTGAGCCTTCAGGTCATCGATGCCCTTCTGGGCGTCTTCCAGACCGGCGAAGCCCTTGCGCTGCTTGCGCATGTTGGAGATATCGCCCAGAGCCTTGCGCTCGTCGACCAGACGGAGGGTACCAGAGTCGACCTGCTTCTCGAGCTTGGCGATCTCACGGTCAATCTCATCGACGTTCTTGAAGGCCATCTTGCCGCGGGAGTTGTTCTGCTCCGCAATGCGGGCCTTGAGGGTGGATTCGATAGCATTGATCTTCTCCTGGGTGCTGGAGCGGGAAGACTTGAAGCCGGACTGCTTTTGGCGGATGGAGGACAGGTCGGCGCGGAGTTCCTGCTGCTTCTTGACAGTTGGTGAGTCTTGGTTGTTGGGCTTGGCGATGTCCAACTTGGACTTGATTTGGTTCTATTTGCGCACGTGGTTAGTTATGGACACAAGAAAAAGCAGTGGAGTCGCAGCAGCGATCGCCTCGGGAGGAACAGATTGGCGGGACGCAATGCAATGCGATGTTTCCCCGAATCAAGAAAAGGAAAGGAAACATTGGATCATACCAGCTTCTCCTGAGCAGCAGTGTGCTCCTTCTCGGCCTGAGCGAGGCTAATCTTGTAGGCCTCCTCATCGGGCTTGGTGGGCTTAACCGCCACAGGGGCAGGGGAAGCCATTGCGAACAGAGAACAAGGAACAATTCAAAAAAAGAGAAAGTGGGGGATAGAGACAGAGAGAAAAGAATCAAGAGAACTGAAGAAACCCACGAGGGGGAAAAAGAAAAGGAAGTCGGAGCCGTCTTGACAAGTTGAGCGTCCAGTGGAAATCCAACGGTTCCGTTGGTTTCTCCGCTTTCCCGGCAGAAAGTTCCCGCCGATTTTTCGATTCGACCTCACTTCACCTTCACTTTTACATTGACACTTGCACTGCTCGCAAGCACCTCGTTTCTTTCTTTCCTCTTGAGCAGCTGCACTTCGCAATCATGGACGGAGATGTGTCTTCACACAGCCAGGAGGCTGAGAAGGAAACCACTCGGCTTTGGCGCACCTTCCGGACTGTCTATGAGATGCTCGCAGACCGAGTGAGTTTTGCAATCGCACCTGGGCAATGCCTTTATTGCTTTCGCATAAATGAGAAAGCACCCGAATGGTAAACTAACACATTGTCTCCGTTGCAACAGGGCTACGAAGTCTCCGACGACGAGCTGGCGATCTCACTAGACGAATTCCGCCAGAAATACTCAGACCCCATGGGATACCCCGAGTACGCACTTCCCACGTCCTAGATATACACTTGTTTTGGCTGGAATTGCTGTGAGATGCGGACTAGGAGCTTTCTAGCTCTCCAATCACGATTTCGCAGCAGTACCAAGGCCTTCGAAAACTTGATCAAAACAGAAATGAAAAGAACCTCCAAAACTAACACCACCGCAGCCGCAACAAGATGAAAATCCAAGCCCGCCCCACCAAAATCATGGAAATGAAATACACCCTCAAAACCAAGTCGAACCCAAACCCCACACCCGACTGCGGTACAGTCTACGTCGACTTCTGCCCGGACGCCTCGGGCGTCGGAACCAAGCAAGTGCGCGCCTTCAACCACATCGTCGGCGAAAGCAACTATCACACTGGAATCTTCGTCACGCAAACCCCGATCTCGCCCTCTGCCGTCCGTCTGCTCTCCAGTCTCCCCAACCACATCTGTGAGCACTTCCAGGAGCAGGATCTGCTGGTCAACATTACGCGCCACGAGCTGGTCCCCAAGCACGTCCTCCTCAGTCCCGAGGAGAAGGCGCGTCTGCTGGAGCGCTATCGTCTGAAGGAGTCTCAGCTTCCGCGTATGCAGGTCTCCGATCCTGTTTCTAGGTATCTTGGTCTGCGACGTGGACAGGTTGTGAAGATTATTCGCAAGTCTGAAACTGCTGGTCGGTATGCCAGTTACCGATGGGTTATCTAAGGGAGGGAACGCGATTGATAAAGACCGATTTCTCGGGGCCGGGAGATGTGAAGCTTTTCTTTATCTCCAAGGCATTGGTCCGTCTGTCTATTCCCTTTTTTTTTTCTCTGTCCTCCGTTTATCCTCTCCTCCAGTCCCATGATGGACCTCAATAGAGGCGGGCGGTGGAGTCCATACCATACCATACCCATCTGCGCATCAAGTCCTTTCCAAGACGGTCCTTCCCTCGCTCGCCAAGCTCAACTCAACTCAGCCCAACGAACGACCGCAAGCACAAACACAAACACAACAAAGCACCTCCGTGACGGGAAAGGGCCGCAGGATTGGACACGGAGTTCTTTTTCTGCTCATCAAACATGCAAAACAAAAAAAGTTGGTTCCCCTTTGTTGTATTATGGGCAGCACGGCGTACAGGCGAAGTTTCTCCAACATCCACGCGGGGGTGAGGCGGCGGGGGAACTGGTTGTTCAGATCTGATTATGTGAACTGTTCTTTTTTTCTTTTCCTCACATAGTAATCTCTATCCCCGTGTTTTGCTAATTCAGCTAGATGAAATACATTGAATGTCGATATTTCAAATTCAGTTCTTATTGTTATGCATTTGGTCTCGTGACTTCGTTGTAGTAGATAAATAAGGGTTGATGTACAAATTCAATCGATCGATCAGGAGATCAAAGCGTTCCGCTCCGCCTTCGCGCTTGAATAGATAGATAAACGGATATGGGCAGATTGATAGTATGAACACCTCCGACGCCAACGCTAAACAAATTATGGGGGATATACAGGACAAAAATAGACAGAAACACCAACGCAAATAGGGTATGAGGGTATGTGGAAATAAAAATCCAACAGGCAATCCAAGATAAAACCAAGAATCAAAACGCAATCAATCAGAAATAGGGCGTGCGTAGTGAGCCAACTGATGTAGTTCATCGATCGTGTGTGGGAATATGCAAATATACGTCATGAAAGGGGCGCCCTATTCCTGGATAAGAGGCCCCCGACATCTTGAAGTTCGACATCGACATCAAGCGAGACGACGGGAGAAGCTCGGTAAGGTGGAAGACTGTGGGATAAAGTATCCAATGAAGCTGGCGATGTATATGCTCTCTGTGTAGTGGATAGAGTTGGACGAGGTAGAACACCGAGATCTTCGAGGAAAGCTCGACTCCCGCGTCGATTCCTTCGTGGTTCCAGATTGTTTTGGGAGGGATGAGATGGAATGAGAGTGAAGGAACGATGGATAGGCTGAACTTGAGGCTCATCTTGGTTCAGGAGACCGCCGACATCGAAGAAAGAGACACGAGGGGATGAGAGGTTTGAAGAAGCGGTAGCTGCCCTTTCTCGTGGTGATTGGTTGGTTTGTATATACTCGCGTGGACTAACCTTGATGTCAAGGCTATCTGGACTCGAGGCCTGGTCGTCCGATGAGCGGCCTTGGTCGAAGGACCAGGCTGGGTCTATGGAGCCGGTGCGGGCGACCAGAAGTGGCACGGGAGGAGCAGAGACTGGTACATTGCCTGCGGGTGTGGAGGAGTACAGTTTGGGGTCAAGTTTGATTCCCATGCCGGTGGCGAGATCGGAGTCACTTCCCCAATGAGACTGCATGACAGTATTGCGCCGAACGGTGCTGTTGTCCATGCTTTCGCTGACGGATGCAGAGCCTTGGTCGCGTTTGTACTTAAGTTTCTTGACACCGCTATCTCGAACGAAGGAACCGATAACAACCATGTTCGAGACAGCTGTGGCGGCAAGGATTTCGAATGATGCAATCAGGGAGCGGTATTGCTGTGAGCCAGAGTGTTCAATAACCGACGGAACCCGATAACAGGTGATGGCGACTAGGATCAGAGAGAGACAGAACAGGATGGTGAGGGCAAGTTTGCGTTTGAGTGGGATTTGGGCCATGAGGATGATCGGGACAGGGAAGGCGACCAAAAGTAGATCAGTGATGACATCGCATGTGCCCATCGTGATGAGGTTGGCATATCCACTCCGACAACTAGGTCCCGGGTCTGGGATGACCTGCCAGTAATGTTCGAAGGGCTGGCATTCGGCTAGCGTCGCAACAATAACGGCGACCAGGGTTGATATAAGGAAGAGTTGGATGAAGCGTAGGAATATGGAGAAGGGAACGGCGCGTGACGATTCCCGTGACGCGTTTGAGGAATTCACAGACCGTAAGTTTGGCCGTCCAGATACTATCGATGTGGTCAGTAAAGTTATACCAACGAGCCATTGCTCCATTGAGAAGAGTTATCTCACAATATAGCATAGAAGATCCGAGCCGCCAGAACCAATTTGCTTCCCATTTCCTTCCTTGATATTTCATCCGTCGTCACCTGTCCGAGCTGGGTGTTGTTGGTGCCCCAGATAAGGACGAAATGGATAAGGACCATGCGAATGGTTAATGGGATCACGCTAATCATCATGACCTTGTCTTCAGGGAAGAATCTCTCAATGCGGATATACCGACCACAGAGGCGGACGATAATTATGGCTAGTGAGAAAGCCGTGGCCCACCAACTCATCATCAAGGTAGGGTTTATTTGGTCGCGCGTCTCATACTGTGGTGGGATCTGGGGGGTGAAGGCCTTGCGAGGCCGCTATATTTGTTGCCATGGGCCCGGAGAGGGCCTTCTCCAAAGAGGAGGGTAAAACCGTCGAAATATATCCAAATCCTCAGGAGGCTGGCGATGCTGGAGCGCGCGATTTACATGTCGCACGTGAGACAAGCCGTGTGGGGGAGGGTCGAAAAGAGGGTCCTCGGGGCGATCGGAGGGGAGGGTCGCCGCTAGCGATCGTCGTAGGATGCACAATCACAGTAAGATGAAGCCGTATCCCTCAAGATAGAGAGTTGAATGGTGGTTGAGGGAGCTTGTATAGTGTTCAAAATATCACGAAAGGGAAACCCGGAGAGGGGGGATGAAGGGGAATCCTTGGTAAAAGCAAATTCAAGCCATCGGTCGGTCTCGGAGGCCACATAAGAGCCACACCGTGGTTGAACAAGGATCCGAAAGTCAGAAAAGCTCAGTGATAACGGCGGGCCCCAACTTTGGAGCAGGGCCAGTGATAATCCACGGGTTTATCGACGGGGCGTGCATCTTCCCAAGGGTTGGACCCGCTGGCGTCAGCAATCACCATTGCCATCTGGCAGGTGCCAGGAGCTCAACATTACACCAATGCTGACGCTTCGGTTGAAAAGGCGATAGACCGTATCGATGTATCGCGCACATCATTCGAGCAGCGGTGACTGGGGCGGGCCACCGGAGTCCGGGAGCTTTGGCCCTCGCTTGCGGGGGATTTAAAGGTGTCATCGAATCAGAGCCGCCGAGCAATCAGGGGCCACAGTGCTGGCCAGTGATGGCTGGACGTTGAGATGAACTCGTGATTAAGGGCGAACTCTTAGGAGGAGGAGGAGTGGTCGTCGATATTAAGTGGAGTGGAGGTTGGATTGGAGTTCGGATGGAGGGATGATGGCTTCTTGCAGGGGAGGTCTCGCAGTTCTCGCACGTGGGTGGTTTCCTTCCTGGGTACTACTGGTACTACTGTACGGAGTATACTAGGAGCAGTTACCAATCATTATTTACAATACAGTATCTATCTCTTGTAATACTGGGCTAGTCTATTATAATACTAGTAGTAGGCTATTTCTTAGCATTTCATACCATTCCAGGTACATGAGATGGGGGCGATGGCATCAATGGCCCTGTTCTATTCCAATATCTATCTTTTATCTCCAATGAAGTGACCCTGCCAAAAGTGCCTTAAACCATGATCAAGTGATCTCCTATTTCCAATTCGATAAACATCCATGTCCCTATGCGACTACCGCAGCCGCCGCGTCTTCCCGCTTCTCCTCGTCACGAAGCGACTGAACGCCAGTCCCGGCACGAACCCCGGTCAAAACCAATCGCAGCTCCTGCAGGAACTTAGTGACCTCGGCTTCCGTACCAACGGTGATACGCAGACAACCCTCACACCCATACTCCTTACCACGGAACCGCACCACCACCCCACGCTTCTCCGCCATCGCCTCATACGCCGCCAGCGCAGCAACATTACTCGGACGCCCCTCAGCATCCAAAATCTCCACCAGTAGGAAGTTCGCATCGTAGCCACCGAGGAATCGGCCTACGCCGGGGATCTGCGGTAGCTCGCTGATCAGCCGGTTGCGCTGAGCGACGATCTGCTCGCGGAAACGGCGCATCACGGCCATATTGGGAGCTGTCAGGGCGGCGGAGGCGAGAGCACTAGTGGGGCTGGAAATATTGTAAGGCGCTTTGAGGCTGTTCAACAATTGCGTAATCTCGGGACTGCTATAAGCAACTCCGAGTCGGATACCCGCCAGACCAAAGGCCTTGCTGAGTGTTTGCATCACGACTAGGTTCGGCCACTCGGTCACCCACTCGGCCAAGCTGGATCCTTCTTCGGCAAAGTCGATGTATGCTTCGTCGACTACCACGACACCGTTCCATGTTGGGTGTTCTAGCACCTTGCGGATATCTTCTTTGCGGATGAGGTTTGCGGTTGGGTTACCCGGTGAGCAGATGTAGGCTAATTTGATGGAGGCATCGGCTGCGAGCGCCTCGTTGACCTTCTCGGGCTGGAGGTGGAAGCCGTTTGTGGAGTCCAGAGGCACCTTGACGATCTCGACGTCATTGACCTGTGCGCTCACGCTGTACATTCCGTATGTTGGTGGGCAGGTGAGGATCTTGTCCTTTCCGGGGACACAGAAGCATCGGAGGAGCGCGTCGATCGCCTCGTCTGATCCGACGCCGACGAAGAGGTTCTCAGGCTTGAGGGTCTTGGGTGTGTGGTGGTGAGTATTACGGAGGTTGCAGAAAAGCTGCTTCAGTTCAATCTGGTGACTGCATGGACCGGCATTGCGTTAGAATAGCCTGTCACGCAAGTCTCTGTGTAGAAGAGGGATGTTCACTCACGGATCGGGGTATCGGTTCAAGCCCAGGAAGTCGATTTCGGGCTTGGAGGCGCCTGTCGCATTGCCAGTCTCGGACGCCTGCAAAGCACCTTCGCTGTTCAAGGCCAGTCCAGGACCGTAGGCATTCTCATTCGCGTCGAGGAGGACATTCGTCCCATCGTCTTTGTAGTCACTGACTCATTAGCGGGGATGCGGCGTCTTGCGGTGGGGTGGGTGACATACTCTCTGGCGCATCGATAGGGTTGCAATTGCAAAATATTGGGCCTTGCGCATTTCGACAGGTCGAATGGTGATGTTCGTGAAGCCATTGTTGTGGTGTGCTGGAGTGGAAGACTGAGAGTCGAGAAGCAAAAGTTGGTGGGGGGGTCGGGGGAATCGGAGTGAAAGCGGAAGCTCGTACTACAACCTTGGAATGCAGTGAGTCACTGTCAATTGGGTGGATAAGAATGGGTAGTAGATATTTTAAAATAGTAGAATGAAGAAAAAATCTTGCAGAACCACTTCTCTCTTTATATACCACAAGAATTAGCAATAAGACCGTGACCAAGGCTATAGTAGTAGGAATGAGTCAGTCAATAGAAGGGCCGATATATCGGAGCTGCTTTGACGGGATGCTTATTGTTAGTACCCACAGCACTAGTAGTATACTAGCAGATCGCAATTCGTTCAAACCTTGGAATTTCGTTGAGAAAAGAGAAAACACATATAAAGCAGGAAATTTTCAAGTGCCGGTTAATTTATGTACACTCATCTACCAAGCACCATACTACTAGTACTCTATGATGCGATCTTTTGTCCTTGACATGGATGAGTCAGCAGTGGTTGCCTAAGGTACCAAGGCATCCTTCCTCGAAGTAGATGGTTCAACTAAACATTATCTGGTTCAGTCCAAGTCCTCTCCTCCTCTGTAATTCTCTCCAACTTCCATACGACAAACTCGTTGATGCTGTCTCGTTGATCTTGTTACTCGAATTTCATATCCATTGACCATGATGTGCCGCCTTTTCACCAAATCCCGAATTGCAAAGAAACTGCCGGGTCTCTTCTCTACGTCGAGAAGAGCCAGCAGTAGCACCTCACCTCCGACTGATTGGAATTCCCATTCCGAGTTCTTCGACTACACAAACGCTAGATTTGTATGCAATGAGAAGTACGAAATGGAAATGCGACATGTTTCTTTCGACATGAACGAACTGGCCAAACTGGCTGCGAAGTCTGTTGGTGCAGCGAAATGCGTGAATGTCGAGAAATTGAGTGAAGGCATGTTCAGCAAGCCGTTCCTGTTTACGATGGAAGACGGCTCCCAAGTCGTGGGTAAAGTGCCCAATCCAAATGCAGGCCTGCCGCATTTCACTACCGCGAGTGAAGTGGCCACAATGGATTTTGTAAGATCCTTGATTTACATTGAGAGGTTATATGCTTATACTATTGTTTACTTCCAGGTTAGGAATGTCCTTGGCACGCCGGTCCCGAAAGTTCTTGCTTGGAGTTCCAAGGCAAATGAGAGCCCCGTCGGTGCGGAGTTCATCATCATGGAAATGGCCCCGGGAGTTCAGCTTAGTACCGTGTGGGGAGAGATGGGTCTCGAAGCCAGATTCAAAATCATCAAGACCATTGGGGGCATCCAAAATGAATGGGCCTCCACCTCCTTTCCTCAGTACGGATCTCTATACTACGCATCCGATCTTGATCACCCGCGACCATGCATTCTCACGAAACGGGATGGTTCCCAGGTAGAAGAACCTCGCTTCGCTGTCGGTCCGTCGATGGGCCGGGAGCAGTTTGACGATGGCAGAATAGCCGTGCAGTTCGATCGAGGCCCTTGTTAGTTATCTTTCTCTCCTTATTGGGGTATTCTAACGATGTGTTCTTAGGGGATACTGTCGAACAGTGCAAGCGGGCAGTTGGTCTTCGGGAGATCGCTTGCATAAAGGCCATGACAACCCTTCCCCATTCTCCTCTTGGGCTTTATGGACCGGGTACATATACTCGATGCCGTTCCAAAAAGCTGGGAGCTGCGCAGAACTACCTTCAGATATTCAAATATCTTCTACCCACAGATCCATCACTTTCGGCATCCTTTTTATGGCACGACGATCTTCATGTCGAGAACATTTTCGTCAACCCCGAAGCACCATGGGAAATCTCGAGCATAATTGACTGGCAATCGACCGAGCTTCTCCCTCTCATGGATCATGCGCGGCAGCCATTTTTTCTGGATTACGACGGACCGCCCCCGGATGGCCTCGAAGAGCCACAGATGCCGGCCAACTTCAGTGAAATGTCGCCAGATGAACAAGCGGCAGCCAAAGTTCTGCACTCGCTCAGGTCACTCTCCGCTTTATACAAACTACTCATGTACCGTGACACTCGGAACTTTTACAAAGCGATGGAATTCAGGGAGACAGTATCTTTCAAAATGTTGATCTACCCGAGGAAACTCCTGACTGATGGCGAGGCATTGTATCAAAAATGCATTCAGGCATTAGAAGAGGAATGGACAAGCCTTCCCGGTGTCCAAGCCGCGGGAAATCCACCATTTCCAGTCAGATTTTCCACTGACGAGGTTACGACTATCGAGCGTGATGTCGATGATACTGAGCGAGGAATGGGCTTAATGCAGAAATTGGAATTGTCGCTCGGTGACTTGCGCCCGGAGCATGGCATGGTTCGCCATGATCAGTATGATGATGTGAAATGTCTTCTCAAAGAGCACAAGGCAGCGATGATGCAGCACTTAGCATTCTCCGATGAAGATAGACGTGCCTGGGATAATTCGTGGCCCTTTGGCAATTAACGGGGACGTATGACGATTTGAATGCCCCGGGTCAACCATTTTCAAAAGGAAAGAACCATAGTTAGGAGTATGACTTTCTAGGCAGTGATTTACTATTGGCTATTTGATGATCGCAGCTATACAGTATTATCCAATTAGGCATAGAGCTAGATAAGCTCTTCCATAAGTCAGGTCATTGATGGAGTCATTTGCCCATCAAAACAGCAGCTGCGGCGATCTATAGCAACCGGCTCAGTAGGCCTGCCAGGCCGACGCGTCCCAAAACTATTAGTGCGCCTTGTATTTAAGACTCTGCCCCCTCAGTATAGCTATTCTATCTATACGAATTCTTTGGTCCTCATAATGCAAGGTATTGATTATAGAACTGGGTAGGATATTGAGTAGGATCCCAAGTAGTATGACGCTATACCTCAAGTTATATCTTTAATACCAGTTATCTAAACTACTGCCAGTGGTATACTAGCGCTAGCTAACTTGAAGTAGTACTAGTTATGCCCTGGCCTTACCTAGGTACCTATACCAGGTACACTGAAACTATTTACACAATACAATAGTTTGTCTCCAAAATCATATAGGGAGCACTGGTGACTTCGGGATACTGTCAGCCTGGCAAGCCAGGCCTTCCAAGTCAATTGCCGCTATGAAGCACTGTAGACAGTCTCAATAAGAAACCCCATCAGGCTCTTGAGACTATTCCCACCTAGGTAGGCATCCACTTATTTATTGAAGATGAATCTTTCCATGTCTATTGTTCCGCCGGGCTACAGATAAGTTCTCATTTCTGCCCTGGTAGGCAGTAACCTGTCCGATAATTATTTAAGCCTCGATCACGACTCAGTGGTAGTCTCGACAAGCTTTCTTCTTTTCCAACTCGTGATAAGCTTCTTCCAAATCTCGACTCTCAAACACCCTTGCACAAACCGCTACAAAATATCTCCAAGTAGTATTGAACCTGCAATCAAGGTAGCTTACCCTTTCATTCCAAAGTTAGATCTCTGAAAGCTACTAAATATATCGTCTCAGTCAAAATGGCTTGCCGTGCAGTGCTCAGTGCGCTGACCAGTGTCGAAGAACATGTGCTGGCCTGCGTTTCGCGCGGCCAAACGCTACTCAATGGCAATGGGATTGCCGGCACTCCAGCCACCCCCAACCGAGGTTCGGACCTGACCAAGAAATGGGGGATTTGGATCAAAAACGGCGAAGATATTAAAGTGGGCGACGAGGTGCGCAAGCGTTATCACCTGCAGTTCTCTAAAGACGCGGAAAATCCGACCATCAAGAAACTGGCGAACAAGGACCCCAGCAAGAAGTGGTCGTACGCGGATATTGTGATCAATCCCAAGGTCCCGGTGGATGGGGAGGTGGCCCTTAAGCAGTTCTTCACCGACTTGCGCAACAACATAGTTGATTGAATCCGTCATACTCCTCACTCCACGTTGCAGTCGCCCTTTTTTTTTCCCGAGTGGAGTTTATCGCATAAGAGTGATCTCTAAATTCCCTTCCTTCTAGCTACCGTTGTTACGTTGACTGGGCAGTGTGTGAGGTTTATCACAAAAATCAAGTCTCTCAAAAGGCTCTGTTATTTTTTTACTGTGATGTCGGTTTGCTTTGTCCTTCCTGTTTCTAGCTTCGTGGCTTTTTCCTGCTTTCTTTGTTGAGTTAGTTAACTAGAGTACACAATTTATGGTGAAAGCCCGGTCTCTCAGTTTTAGTTTCGGCGTTCATTTTTTTTTTTCTGATCTCGGTTTTATTTGTCCGTAATAGTAGTATTCTATCATGAGCACGCAGTTTCAAATATGAGAATATCCTTATCGTGGCCCATGATCTATGATTGACAAGAAGCAAAGGTGTGTCTGGGGTCATTGCTAGCCATTCATAGTAACAAAGATAGTTACTTAATGTTTGCCAACTTACTAGTTAGTAACTAGGGCTTTCAAGTTCCACATGATTACACCCACCGTATGCCTCACCTGTGTAGCCACCTCTCCTTCTCTGTTCATCGTTCTTGATATTATTTTCTCCCGAGTCTCCTGTACACAGCCATGGCATCCGAGTACGATTAGAAAATTGATTCTCCGCTAAAATGGTGTTCTCATTTATAAAATCACATTGAATTTGCTCTAATACTCTCGTGCCTTCCTCTTGTAGATATAATTATACCAGGTTTATCATCGAGGCCATGGATCTCCTCACCAAGCTCGGCATCGGAATCGCCTGGAAACACCCCCAAGCTTACTTTCCATCACTATCCAACTCATGAGATCAAGAAAACAGTCCAGTTCCAAGGTTGACACAGGTATTTCCGGTCCACCCTCTTCCCACCAAAGTAGTATGGAATCACTGACATGATAATCAGTCAACATGGCCTTTGGCAAACTGATTAAAGACGTCCACCAGAATCCCAATATCTGGAAATCCTGGAAAATCACTTCGGATGCTCGTGGCCCGGGAACTGCCGTCAGTCCAGTTCCACCGCGTGAGTCCTCAGGGGAGTTTGGCACTCCCTTTGACCGACCGCATGTGCCTCGTTCGCCACGCGATTCCTCAAAGCTAGTACCTTCGGCAGCGGCTCTTGCAGAGATGAAGAAACCACGGACCCCATTGACCCACGGGAACGTTGAGAGATTTGTCGCCAAACAGATAGCTACAGAGGCCTGCACGCTGAAACAAGACCCTTCAGGGACCCGGGTTATTGAATGGCTCAAAAAGGTCTCTCTACTTTGAGTGCCTTATAGCAAACATCACTCGACATAGTTCTCCATCTTTCACACTTCCGGACGCCGGGATTAAGGGATAGCTGAGCCAGTACCGGGTACTGGTAGCAAGTTTCATTCTCCTCTCGATTTTACCATAGATTGTGAGAATGGATGAGGCATTTCGTTTGCGATTGAAAACATCTCAAACGAATGAAGTTTGTATGTTTGTCCAGCAAAGTGACTGTATCTGTGCCATTGCATCACATTCCGGCATCCAATTCTTGGTTAAACATGATTCATTAATATCTCGTTCGTAATACCCTCCCTTCAATATGTACAATATCATTCCGAGTTTGGGGGGAAGCTGCGTCACATTCAAGAAACCGAGACAGGCGCCTGTTCAAGCCACGCCCATTCCATCAAGACTCGACCTTGATCAACATCCGCCACTTTCTTGAACACAGTCTCCGTAACATCCAGATCGGTCTCTTTACAACCGACACAGCGATCGACGACCTTAACATCCACACTCGCGCCATCGCGCCGAAGTCTCAATTTCATTCCGCATAGTGGATTTTCATTCGGATTCGATCCCGTTGAAGCCGCGTCAAATAGGACATGCGAGACGGCACAGATGAGGTCGGTGTCGGAGTTTGTGTAACCGCACGAGCCAAGGCCTGGATTGTAATATGTGAGGTCTCCGCTATATGGGCCGCCATGAGAAGTCGGGAGAGCGAGGTTTGAGCTCGAGCTCGAGTTTCTGTCGCGGTAGTCAGTATATAGTGGCACATATGGGATCAAAGTACATTGCTCGCTCACTTTTTGCCCACGGTCAGTCCCACTGCAAGACCTATAATCAGCGCAAGGAGAAGCACGCCGGCTATGGCTGCGCCGATGATAAGATATTTGCGCTTTTGCCTTTGCGGGGCATCGCGATACCAATTGAGGGTCAGAAAAGCACTGAAACTGGCCCCGAGCCCGGCTAGCTTGGTTTTGCTTTCTGTTTCTTTGGTGGGTGAGTCGGCGCCGGTCGCTGGCGCTGGCGCTCGCACTGGTACTGGGACGGGCTTGCGCTTTGGCATAGAGTTCCAGGCATCGTGCGAATAGTTGCCGTGTGGACCCGATGGGTCGGAAATTGGAGACACGGGGGATTCAGGGTCTGCGGTGGAGTGCTGGGGGTGTTTCTCTGGTGAGGTGGTGTCCATCGCGCCGGCAATTCATAACGGGAGTTCAAGCGGGGATAAGCGGTGCAGGTGGCAGACAACAGGAGGATGGTAGACAAGACAACAATCAACAGATCTTCGATTTTGGGCTATGGTAGCTAAGAGTAAAGTAGGATATAGGAAAAGGCGAGGGGAGAAGAGAGGAGAAGAGGTGGAAAAGAAAAGAAAAGGTGGGGACGGGCCGTTTGCCGCTGCTGGGGATTTTGGGTTCAGGGGTACACTTGGTACACTTAGTACAGTACACTTGCATGCAGATAACCAGCTTCATCTGATTCGTCCATTGAATCCCTGCTAGCCGCGGACTCAATTCACAGGCGATCCTTGATTTAGGGTATGCCGCCACCCGTTCTCGCAGCATCCTTGGCCCCCACCCTTAGGACATTATTGTCATGCAGTTTACGGACGTTAAAAGACACATAATTATGTTGATAAATGTGGACCAATCACACCGACATCTTCCAAGACCCTTCACGTTTCCAACTTTGTTTTTGTTTTGTGCTCTTATATCCTCCAGACCCCCACAAGACTGATCCAATACCCAAAGAAGGAATGTCGAGTTCGTCACTTTCACGGTCGACTTGGAATATCTGGATTGGGGGCAATGGGAATGGGAGGATCATGCATTCTTATGTTTGCTTGGATTGTGGCTGGAGGATTGGATATCGTGCACGCCGAATCTTCAAGAAATTGTTCTGCTGTGTGAGTGGGCGAATGGCGATGAGTGGTGCCCTAGACTGAGGGACGAGGCCAGGGAGCTAGGTGTTCGAACTGGTGTTTCGCTTGAGATTGTTCTCTAGATAAATTTAGGGACGTTACGAACAATACTAGGTTATAATGAGCAAATTGTATATAAGAAAAGACGAGATATTTACTGAATAATGATAAATGGAAATTAATCCGTAGATATAGTATCTTTACTGATTCAGTTATCAAATCTCAGTTGATCCATTACCAACCTTGGATTGGATGACCAGACAATGTGATTCATGGCTCATAGCCCAGGTAGATCCCACAATTATATGAATTTATTCGGGTTTTTTGTACTCTAGGCTAAACCTACGATAGCAAGCTAGTCGCCGGGTATTACCATCTCCCGAGCGCTTCATATAAACAAGGTTGAATATCCATGGTCAGACTTGGAGGACAAACTTTGAAAGGCATCTTGGCAATATAATGATCCAGATTAGATTCTACTGCGGTGGGTATTACACTTGGGCACATATCGAAATTGTTTTCGTACGGAGTCTATTCCTGCATATATACATCGAAGTCTCTATCGCACGTCACCGGGGAATACCTGATCCCCTCTGGCCCTTGAGTTTAAAAAAAAATTTCTCAAATACACAGTCATCATGAAGCATTAGAATCGACAGTCCCAAGTCCGTCTATTTGGTAGTGGACCCCTGACGTTCCTCTGGGTCACGGTGCTCGGCATGTTCAAAGTTTTGCTTCTGCAGGGTTGCCTCCACGTCGGCCTTTCTCTGTATTTCATCGACAGCCCCGAACACAAGGTCCATCTCTTCCAGAGTCTTGCCCTTAGTCTCCTTCAAGAAGAAGGTGACGAAGACTCCCATGCCAGTGCAGAAGCATCCGAACATGATGAAAGTCCTCCAGCCAATGGAGTTGATGGCACGCGGAGTGATCTCGGTGATGACGAAGTTGAAGAGCCACTGAGTAGCAGCTCCGAGGCCGACACCATATGAACGAAGGCGGGTGGGGAAGATCTATACAGAAATTAGTAAAAGAATCCAGTGAGATATAACAGACGGATACATACCTCGCCGAGATAAACCCAAGGTGTGGGACCCCACGAGAAGGAGTAGCCGATAACATAAAGATAAATCATGGCAACCATCGCAATGGAGGGAGAGGAGACTGAAGTAGCACCCGCAGCCGGTGGGTGAGTGGCCAGAACAGCGCCGATGATGAACATCATGACCGCCATCCAAGCGGCGCCACCCATCATACTATACTTGCGTCCCCACCGGTCAATTCCAACCAGGAGGAAAATAGCCGTGGCAATAACCTTGACCGTTCCATAAATACCGGTCGCGAACAGCGATGTGTTTGTGGCGCTGATACCGATCGAGTTAAAGATCTGTGGAGCATAATATCCGATGCTGTTTGTGCCAGAGAACTGCTGCCAAAACATCATAACAAATGCAATCATGAACCGGTATCGATTGCTCGGCTGCAGGCATTCCTTCCAGGTCACGCCCTCTGTGGCAAGAGTCTCCTCGTCAATGGCAGCACGAATCTCGGCTATCTCTCGTTGCACTTCCTCGCTGGCTTCAGACTCATTGCGGATGTAGGCAAGGGACTTGAGTGCCTCCTCTTGTCGGCCTTGCTTCATCAGCCAGCGCGGAGACTCTTTAAGGAAGAACAGTCCGATCAGCATCAAGCCGCCGGGAATGAGCTGGATGGCAACGGGAATCCGCCATTGGCTAGTGCCTTCGGGGATGCGTAGAGCCACTCCGTAGTCGAGCCAGTAGGCGAAAGTACTACCAATGACCAAGAATTCCTGGAAAAGACCAGCAATTCGACCTCGCTGTTCGGGAGGGCAATTTTCGCTAACAAAGACAGGTGTAATACTAGACATGCCACCAATACCAAGACCGGCGATGACACGTCCCGCGTAGATTGTGCCGATCTGGTGGTGGGAGCCAACTTGAACAGCTGCGCCAATCAAGAAAATCGAAGAGAAGATCATGAGCGAGTAGCGACGGCCAATGCGATCGTTGATATATGCGGCAAAAATTGATCCGAAAAAGCAGCCTGCTGTCAATAAGCTGACCACATTTGAAGAAATCGAGGCGTTCTTTTCGTCAGAGAAACCGGACTTGTCGTCTGGTAAGCCGAAATCTTTCTTGAAGCTGCTCAGGGCGAGCACCGAGCCCATAACACCCGTGTCATATCCTAGAATAAAAAATCATCTGTTAGCTGATATTTTTCATACTAATTGGAAGGGTAAACACAAACCGAAGAGTAGGGAGCCCATATAGGCCACCGAGGTGAGGATGTACACCCGGTAGTTCTTCATGAAGCGAGGCTGCACCATAATGGCGGATGTGTGAGAATTATCTCACTGTTATGGGTGGGTGGATGGATAGATGGGTGAAACGGGGGGGAATTTGTGGGGAGTAAGCAAGCTGGCGACCTAGCTCCTCATAAACTGGAGAAGAAAAAATGAAACCCATCTCCTCTGGGGATGGTCTTATATATTCCGCACTGGTTCGCCCTCTGCAACGGTACTAGTACTAGTATCAGTGGGCCAGCCGATGACGGCTTCGGCTAATGCTAAGCATCGAAGAGATCTATTGGCACTTTTGCCTGCAAATATGCGTATTGATCAAAGTTTTGGCTGGGGACGCCACACCAAACTGGGGGGAATATGGGGCCGAATGGGGGAAATTGGGCGGGGAGAAGCCGCGGGGATAAGTCGTGGGGAAATCGCCGGTCTCTGGACTTCATTTTTCCGTCCAGTCAGGGCTTCAAGACGAACCTCTTGGCAGCCCAGAATAGTTAGCATGTGGCATGAGGTCCCTCAGGGCCCCCAAGCTAATTGGCTTTTCTTCGGCGTGCATGGCACGGGCCATTCCACGCCTCTCGGGTGATCGGGTTCAGAGTGTGCGCTTTGATTCATGGAATTCTGGGGAGGAATTTGTCCGTCGGCCCACTCGGGATGTTATCTTCTGCCATAAAACCTGGGGATGTCGCTGTCTGGGCATCTCACTACTTCTGCATTCTTGTGTCGACAATTCAGACTAAAAACTGATTGCAATTAGATGTTTGCTTCGCTTAGAGCTATTTCAAAGACGATCGTTTGCCGATATACCCACTAATGCTACCCTAACTTTTCAAATGCCGTAGTCGGCAAAAATGTCAATTGCCGACTGGGCTCAGGCCGTCGACAGGCAAAAGACGCAGTGATATGGCGCTTTGGATGTCTTATATTTATCTTGAAAGATGAAATCGGTCGCTTCAAACCCCCTCTTGTCAGTACATGCCTTCTCATTGGAGATCGGGTAGCTAGAAATGCTGCCGAGCAATTCGCATCCACCATCAAAAGTCTAAATAAGCCATCCAGAGCCTCGGAGTCGGCGTGGGAGTGGGATATTCAAACTTTCGAATCTTGATCACGGCAAGTAACAACTATGCTTCTGTCATACAGATATACAAGAACTTTAATATGCATCGTTTTAATTATGCTTCGACGAGTACCCTAGTCCTTCCACCCAGTCAAGATAGCTCTAAACAGCCCACCTCCTTTCGAAGACTTCAATGGCTTCATCCATGATATCAGCTAGACAGATAATTGCTTATGCATAATCAGTTGGTTTTCCCAATCCCTTTGTTGGTATATAATATAAACGTCGCTAAAGGGGCATTTTTTTGCTTCTTCTTTCTTTCCATTTTCATTCTCACTTAGTTGCTGGGATTACCATAGATGAACCCTGAATTTATGATTCATGCCCTTCACAAATATCTTGATAAATTTCAGCAGTAGTAATGCTGCAATCTTTGGTTCATCTGGATGAGAGCAATTTTTCTGTACCTCTTCAACCTTTCTTCTCTTTCTGTTTTTACTTTATTTTTGCCCGAATTTTTGCCCGAATTTTTGGGTAGCGTCCTATTTAAACGATACTTATCATTGGAAGTACTTCAATGTGAGCCCTGATTTACTTGCAAATATCCCAAAGTTGACCACAGTGAAAGATGATTTGCCGTGTTGACGTTGGTTGAATTCTCTTCTCAGTCCGTCTCCACAATTGTCTTGGCAAAGATGAACCCACATTTCATCAACAAGCTCGCGTAGCTCAGTTGGTAGAGCGCGGCACTAGTAATGCCGAGGTCTTCAGTTCAAATCTGGACGTGAGCAGTCAATTTTTGCAGTTTCATGGCTCCCGTCGTTTAATTGCTTTTTTTGGTGGCTTGCCTGTCTCGTGTTGAAGCGCTGAGGACGGAACCCGCGTCTTGAGAACCCCGAAAAACTCAAACAAGGGGGTAGTGGGATCCAAAACCAAAAGCATCTCCTAGACGGCCCGACATCGATTCTACCGTAACCCTTCGAGGATTGATCCTTTTAGATCTACAGCTTGAAAGACTCCGAGGGATGAAAACAATACAAGCAAAGCCTGGCGGGAATTTTGAAAACGTGAAATCGTGATTGGAATTAAGAATATTATTATCTTCATACACACATGACCACCGATTCTCTCGACTGCCTGGACTCAGGAGCTTCATAGTGATTATTAGAGATATCATCATTACTAGCATAGTCTTCAGACGCATCAATGATTCTCTTTCCGTCGATAGAGGAGTCTCGCCTTCTCGCCCGCGTATTATGAGAAGAATTAGTTGCGTGTCGGGAGCTGAGCTCATGAGTATTTCCACTACTTATTTTTCGGCTTTTGGACGAGCGGAATAGTGACCGAATGCATGGGACTGAAGCTGTTATTATGACAAGGTAGGTTTCGATATACAACCACCGATCGTAATTGACGGTAGCAATGGTTGGGTCACTGTCGGAGGTTCCGAGGACGTGGGTTTGGACTGTTTTTATGATGGCTGCGACCATGGCACTGTAACGATTATTGGTTAACATGCATTTCATGAATCAATGGAAATTTTGGGACGAACAAGATACCCATGCCCAGTAAAGCTACCAGGCCTAGCTTCACACGTAGTTTCAAGTTCAAGTACCAAAAAACGTATGTCGAAAAAACGGCAAGATATAGATCTGTCGCGGCATTGAAAGCTATTCGGCAGTTCCGTGGTTAGTACTGGAAATTCAATCATGTCTGGAGATATGCACGACTCACCTCCTTGGAAGTAACCATAGTATTCTTGGACATGGAGATCCCAGCATTTCGATTTGCCTGAATGATCCCAGATTGCGGACGCATGTCCAGGACATTGAACAAATATTATGATAATCACCATGCCATTGACGATCACCTGTAGAGCGACCAGGGCCCAGAGAACGATTCGTTCCGACCTCCTCTGAACCAGAAGCCCAACAATGAAGACAATAAAGGATATTCGTCCGAGTGTCCCACCCGCAAGACTGAATGTCTGCGAAAGATAGTCGTACATAATTATCTTCGATACCTCCGAGTCATTCTCGGACGCCGGCCGACCGAATCCGTATTGTGTAGCTAGGGTAAGCAGAATTGACCCAATCAAAGCCAGACACTGATGATAAAAAGGAGTTAGGGTAAGTCACTAGGGAAAGGTGAGAACCGATTCTTCCACTCGGGTCTCAATTGCGAGTAGGAGATGTGGGCTGACCAAGGCAAATGTCATGAGCAGATCATCCGTTCCGAATTTCCCGATCCTCAATTTCGCAATGATCCTCAAAATGACCATCAGAATAGCCACTGCCGTTAAAGCCCAGACATCTCTGAGTAATTGGGGGGCATGATCATTCGAGGAACTTCGGCGTGACAGAGGCATCATGATTCTGCATTAGAGCATGACAACCCGCAAAGCCGACAAACAGCCCATCAATTCAATGATTATATGCTGAAAACCATATCAATCCGTTATCATCAAGGATGAGACGAAATCTCGACCATCGGAGATCTCCACGTTCTCCTTATATTCGAAACCCTGACTGACTAACAATGTCTGGGTCCTGGAATAGGGTTTTTCGGAGGTCTCCGCATTTTGCCTCTTATGCCTAGTCCACGCGATAAGAGACCACATCCGGCAGTCTTCGGGTCACGCGACGTGCGCGAAAGCTTATTGTTACCAAGGGTTGTGATAAACTTCATAATCTTGATTTGACTCGTCTGGCCTCCCAGGAGGTCATTGATATGTCGGTTATCGCCTCGAGATACAGCGGTCGCACAGACCTATTTAACCCGCAAGCCATCGACAGATGCGATGAACAATACTATGTCTTCCTGCTAGATAGTATATCACAATCTCTCGGTCTTTCAATTAATGCGAGTGAAGTTCAGTCATATCCCGTCAACTTGACCTTCTGCCAGATACCTCCCGATTTCCTCTCGCTTTTAGAACCCTTAATGATGACCGGTCATTATGCTTCATATGATGGAGATTCTTTTTCTTTAATTTCCATATCCATTTTCGTTTTATTCCCCCTCCCCGCGGCGAAGTGGCTCATTATGAAACTAATAAAACTACTAGCCAGTCGGTAGGCAGGTATGCTAGTATTGAAATCTAGCTCACGCCACCCACGACTTTTACCATCGTTGAATGGATATTCTGTAAGCCTCAAGCGAGCCGTCCCAGGAGCTTGAGCAGGAACAAAGGTCAAATATTCTAGGTCTGATCACCCAGAACCAGAATTAGGAAGGAGATGGCGATACGACCGGCCCGGTCATTTCCGCTCGAGGCTCATGGGTCAAATCAATAGCAAACTACTAGTAGTCTACTATCACAGACGTTCAATTTGGAGGCAAACAGGGCTCACCGCAGAGTGATTGATATGTTCCAACAGCTTACAAGTCATTAGGTTCTTTAGGGTTACTACTAGTAGCTACTACTTAGCTAATGAGACCCAAAAGTGGCACAGAACAAAGCTGGTAAATATCGATTTTACGACAGAAATTTCAGCAACTATTTAGGTGTACGGTAGGGCCTCTAGGCATAGATAAGCTGTCTTTATTTATTTCGCATCAGTGTGTTTGAAGATTGAGGCTGGAAATGTCGAGGTCCCCCGGTCCCCGCTTACTTTGGGGGCCATGTTGTTGTGTACATTGATTACTGATTTTCTCTCTGGGCTGACAAATTTCCACATTAGCTTGGCGGACGAATTCTCGGGCAAATGCACGCATGACTCGCGTGTCCAATAGCTACCACGATGCCAGGATAGTGCTATCCACTGTCAGCAAACTAGCACTCAGCTCAATCCAGGATATTATCAAGTATAAATAAAGCCTTTCTGCGACCTCCTGGTCCCATTCCTATGATTAACTTTACTCTAAAGAATGTCTATCGCAAAACTTTGTAGCATACGTTCGCAGTAGTTCCCACCGACTGCCAATTTCACATTAGATGATATGTTCTCGCAGGAGGGCAAGGTGTTCATTGTGACAGGTGGAAATACCGGTGTTGGATATGAGCTCTGCAAGGTTTTGTATGCAACGGGTGCGTTAATATACATGGCATCACGATCAAAAATAATTATTCTTTGCTTCAAGCTAGCGGTTTTTCCCTTCGGTCGCGCAAAGCTTACTATCGGCAAAGGAAAAAGCCGAATCTGCGATTGAATCGATCGTTTCTCTCACCCCAGCTCCTATCACCCCGGGAAGCTCAAGTTCCTTCACCTCGATCTGAATGACCTTGAGTCTGTGTTACAAGCGGCCAAAAGCTTTTCTGAGCAAGAATCAAAACTCGATGTTCTCTGGAATAATGCAGGGACTGGGGCCAATATGGTTGATCCTGGGGCGAAAAGTGTCCACGGCCTCGACGCTATGATTGGCATGCACTGCGTAGCGACACTACTTTTTACGGAGCTCCTCGTATCGCAGCTTCGAGCATCTATTAGATCCGACAATCCAGGATCAACTCGAGTAGTTTGGACATCCAGCTATCTAGCTGAGGGTGCCTCGCCCATTAACGGGATTTCGTTCGAACATCTTCAAAATCGTATCTCCGACCGTACCGCCAACTATGCTGCATCAAAAGCAGGAACATGGATTCTGGGCCGTGAGTTTGCGAACAGACACGGGAACGAAGGAATTCTGAGTGTTATCCAAAATCCCGGAAATCTGAAGGCGGGCTCATATGCAGGTACGCCTGCGCTCGCCATGTGGCTCATCAATCCTTTGCTCCATCCGCCTGAATTCGGGGCTTATACCCAACTATATGCTGGTATATCCCCCGAAGTCTCTTTGGATCACAACGGTGCATATGTCATTCCCTGGGGAAGAATTCGACCCGATAACGATTGCCCCCGACAAGATATCGTAAAGGCCATGACATCGACTGAACAGGGAGGATTAGGCTATGGCAAATTGTTTTGGGAATGGTGCGAGGAGCAATGGAAACCATTTATGTTGTAGACTCTGTTTGTGTGTGGAAAATACGAGTCGGTTATCAAGCAGACAGAGCGGGCTCGAATCTCAAAAGATAATGCGAATTTGGCTAAGCTTATAATGTGAGGACTATCTCGATGGTAGGCCTGGAATATCTGTTTATCTTGAAAGACCCCTACCGGCCCAGGCCATGGGCCATCTCTGAAATCTGGGGAATTCGCGGAGTGAAAGCGAGCAAGTCCATGCGCGGGGTCTTTAACTCCAATCACAATGCAAACATTTGGCCGATCGCGGGTTGAGAATCCACAATCCCATTTCGAGGAGTCACAACCGCGCGTAAGCCACCCGTTTCAAGCATTCCGCCAAAGTTACATCATGGTGAAGGCCTCACTCTAAACCCGATTGGGAGATTCAGAAATATCGCGGATGAAGTGGAACCACAACCTGGAGAACTTATAAAAGATGTAAGGTATCCCCAGATAATTGTTCCTGTCTAAATCTTCCACCTTTCCAACGTCTTTACTCCTCCCAACTTAACAAAATGCGATCTACCTTCTTTTCCCCGCGCGGAATGCTGCTTGGGGCAGTCGGCCTCCTTGCTGCCGCAACTGAATGCTCCGCCATGGGAACCGCGAAAAGTCTCCTGCTCACCCAGATTGCCGAGACAGTCCAGCTTCCCATGTTCACCTGGTCCGCCAATGGAACCCACACTGCCAAGGGATTTACCACCAAAGAAGCGAACGTCGCCAGCGTCCAGGGTCTGAAGGAGGACTGCGACAATATCAACCTGAACAAGAAGCTTTCGGTTGACTTCCGCAGTGATGTCTTCGGCGAGGGCCTCATTGGCTTCTTCTACAAGTGCGAGCCGATCAGCCACGATACCAATCTCTACTGGTTCACCATTAGCTCCAGCAACCAATCTCAAATCGACAGACTCTGCGGCCAGAAGTCGAGCTATCCCATTGTATACGATTCGCAACACAACACCTGGTTTGTTGACGAGCCCTTCGACTGTACTCAGCGTACAGCTCCCTCAAATGTATTTTAGTTGCCCCAGGCTGCCTCTCGATGTATTGAAGGTTCTTGCGCCGAATTAGGTGTTAAATGACGATTATCCGAGTACAAGATATTTCTCCACCTTTTCAAGACTTAGTATACTTAATAAAATCCAACACAATTTGTATCTCCGCGAACACCGAGTATTGCTATAACCTATCGATTACTTGGGTGACGTTGAGAAAAATCTTTTTAGAGACCGAAAATCCAATTTGTGCAATTACAATCAAATACAGAAAAGTCAAAGATACAGATACAATATCACTCAACGCCATTCCGTACTTCAGCAACGTCCAACCCCCACTCAGACTTCATTTCAGCTGTGAGAATACCCGACTTTCTCAAAATATGTTCCGCAAGCGCATGTAAGGAATCACTTGTCAGAATCTCGAGAATCTGAAGATTGGCCTCCAGCTCTCGGGTGATCCAGTTTCTAATTTCAATCGCAACCAATGAATCAAGACCGTAAACTGAAATGGGTGCTGAAGGATCCATATCCTCCATGGGACGCATGAGAATGCTTGAGATTTTCTGGGAAAGAGCGTTGACTGTGGCGGCTTCAGCACTCTCACGGCCGCGAGATTGGCGAATTGCGGATGCAGGTGATATCTCGGTGTTGGACTGCACGGAATCGACCAAGTCCCCTGCGCTTGCGAGAGTTGATACTCGTAGTAAGTGCGATAGCTTGGTATCGTTGACCCAGAATGGTTGCTCGCTAGCAGGATATTTCTTGACACCATCGAATCCTACTACGCAGTGGCCTGCGCAGGTATCAAGCATTTCCTTTCGAATGGCAGCGGCGACAAGGCCGCGGATCTCGGCTGCACAAACAGACTCTGTTCCCAGTTGAGAGGAAATCTGTTCGCGTTTCTTGTCATCTGAGAGATATCCAATACCACGAACAACAGGGAGGTCGATTGTTGTGCAGGGAATATTTGAGACCTGCGAGTATTGAGCGAGCGCAGCCATGAATGTTCCACTGGCTGCGTATGCTGCCTGGCCCATATTTCCGACAAAACTAGCTGCTGAGGATAGTGTAACAAAGAAGTCGAGGTTGCCCTTCTCCAGGTTCTGCAGGGTATTTTGCAAGTTCCAAATTCCATGGACTCGAGGTCTCATGACTGTCTCGTAGTCGTCGAAACTTTGCTTTTCGAAAAGCATGTCCTGTTTTTTGATTAATACATTTTTTTCATCAAACCCTTCTGCTGAGTACTTACTCGAAGAACCATCGCACCGTATACAACACCTCGAGTAGGAGGTAGGTCGGCGAGGAGTGGAGACAAGTTGTCTTTAACGCTTTGCTGGCTGGAAATGTCACAGCGACATACGTCGACAGTCACGCCTTGTTGCTCCAGATCGTGGATCGTGTTCTGAGCCATCTCAGTGGCCGCACCGCTTCGGGATACTAGTACAATATGGCGAGCACCCTTTTGTGGCATCCAACTGGCAATATCAAGGCCGATTCCACTAGTTCCGCCCACAACGATGTAGGTAGCGTCTGGTCGTAGAAGCTTTTCTTCTTTCCGTGCCGGGTATACCTGCAATAGCAATTAGTTCAACTCCTCATGGCTATCTTATAGATTGTAACCCACCTGGACCTTAGAATCATTCGTGATCGAGACAACCATCTTGCCAATAACTTGTCCGCCTTGCAGAGCACGGAAGCCAGCTTCCACGTCAGATATCGGGAGTGTAGTAATAGGCCAGCGCGACTGAGCTCTGGAGTCGGCGAAAATCTGGAAGGAATTACGGAAGAGTCGCTTCAGAAGCTTGGGTCGCTTTTCTCTCACGATGCCCAAGTCTACCGATGCAAACGAAACGTTTTCATTGAAGTGGGACATCTCAAGCCGGGAGTTAGTCGTGATATCTCGCTTACCGAGCTCAATGAATCGTCCAAATGGCGCGATACACTCGAATGTAGCCTGTAGGGCATCGCCACTCAACGAGTTCAGGGCAACGTCCACACCTTCTCCGCCAGTGGCCCGGCGAATGCCTTCAGCAAATGATGTATCACGACTGAAAAAGATCTGCTCGTCCTTGAGATTGTAGGTGTCCATCAGGAATTTCTTCTTTTCTATACTTCCGACTGTTGCATAAATTTTGGCACCGATGCTTTGAGAAATGATAATTGCGGCTTGACCAACACCACCGGCTGCTGCATGGATGAGAACAGTCTCATCTTGCACCAGACGACCCAAATCAACAAGAGAATAGTATGCTGTGCAGAAGACGGCTGGAATTGATGCTGCGATTTCAAACGACATATCGTCAGGGATGACCCATGCGCACGATGCTGCACAACGTGTGTATGTCGAGAGGGAGCCCGGGGACATGGCACAGACTCGATCGCCCGTGGCGAAATTGGTCACTGCCGAACCAACCTTTGAGACGACACCACTGCACTCTTGACCTAGTTTGTCTCCACGAAGCTGGCCCATAGCCATAAGAACATCGCGGAAGTTGAGACCTGTGCAAGTGACTCTGATCTCAACGTAATCTGCGGGAAGTGGATCGTTACGTGCATCATCATCGGTAAAGTACATTTCATCCAAAGTCCTGCTATCTCCAGCAGTGAGACGGAGTGGACGGTCCGCTTGCTTGAATGGTTGCAGTGCTGGCGGTGCATCGGCTGTTTCTTGTTGAACGCTGATATTGAGCTGATGGTTGTCGATCAGACGAGGAACACAAATATGACCATCACGGACAACGAATTCCATGTCACTCTGCATGAGTTGCGACTTGTGACAGTAGACTCCTTTGAAGACATCTAGCATGTGGTGAACGGCTTGGGCATCCGACATGCTCTCCTTTTCTCCCAGGTCGAGCGTTGCGAAAGGCATGCCAGTTTCAGACCGAACGGTGCGAGCCAATCCAACAACCATGTTTGCTCCGAGGGACTGACGATCCAGGTTGGTATGGCGCACAATCCATAAAAGACCACGAGCACGACTCATCAGCCGTTGGAACTCTTGGAACTTCTCGGGTGTAAGGTGAGACAATAATGACTGATCCATGCCACCGAGGAAAATGCACCATTTTCCAGACACGTCAACCGATTCGAGATCAGATACGATTGTCGGCTTCACGCCAGTTGCATCGGCCAGGCCGGCCTCAAGACTCAAGAAGGAAAGGCTTCCAATGTTCTCACCTCCCACGACGACGATATCTCCAGGGTTTGTGGGCCCAGCTGTGGGACCATTGGCGGTTGACATGATCAAGCAACCAGACTGGAAAGAGGCTCCCGGGTATTCTTCGACGCAGAGATCGACCCCAGAAAAGTCGTTCGCTTTCATGACATCGTTCCATCCTTCACGAGTCAGAAGGGGCCCATCTGGACGGACCTCGTCGCTGGCGAGCCACCACCCAGGCAAGAGAGCGAAGGGGAAATGGCGGGGTTTGGATGCAGTCTCTTCAATCAACATGATCTTACCACCGGGTTTCAACAATGAGCGGATATTGGCCATAGTCTCGTTAATCTGCGGTGTGGCGTGGAGAACATTGCAAGCGATGACCATGTCGTACGATCCAAGCTCAAAGCCCTGGTTAACAGGATCAGTAGAAGCATCCAAGGTCTGGTAAGTCATAAGATGACCCCAATCCTCGAACTTCGATTTCGCCTTCTCGAAAAATCCAGGGGAGATATCGGTATAAGTGTAGTGGCCAAACCGGGGGGGGTTGAGCCAGGCTCGTTACCTCCCAGGCTCTTCAAAATCGGCATTGTGGCTCCTCCCGTTCCAGCACCGATTTCCAAGATGTTCATGTCGCAGTTCTGATGGGCGATCTTATCAATACAAACCAAGGCATTGGCGTACGCCTCGCGGAGGCCATCCAAGTCCTCGTAGTATTTACTGAGCAGATCCTCCTCAAGCATGAGAGTAAGTGCATCAACCTCGCCGCGCAGAATCTGAGGGAGTAGCTCGCCAACTTTGCAGTTGAATTCACCGGCGCCGTTCGCATTGCGTGTCTGTTCAATAATTTCTGCTGGTAAGTCTTCCACCATTTCTGCCTCTCTGCACGTTTGCTGTGCCCAGCGATAAAATCTTTGCTGGTGATGTGGCAGAGAGGGGACTTTCTCTTCGGGAACAGCGCTCAGCATGCGTCGCAGCCAATTCTCCGCGACTCTGTCAAGCTGGTGCATTCTCTGAGTACCCTTGCCACCGTCACTGACATCAGGTCGCGGGAGTTGACGGTAGGTATCTTCTGAAAGAAATTCGAAACAGGGCTCCCAGTGAAGCTTGTAGCAGATTTGGTTTGGCGCATTGTCCTTCGATCCTTTGATATCATTCGAGATAGGGACCAAGGTAATGCCATCGATTTCCACCGCGATCTTGGATGGGTCATCGGAGTGCGTGGCGAAAATTCGGTTGTTCAGAGGCCTGCTGGCAGACTCCACGCCAAACTGAGAGCCGTATACATTTAGCGTAGCGCCATGACCAATCTTGGAGTCCAGTGATACAGAGACGTGCTTCACGTGTGAAGGAACATATGTCACATGTGGACCGGGCTCGCCAAATCCCTGTAGCAGCCACATTGTCTGGGTGCAAAGGTCCAGAGTGACTGGGTGGATGATGCAGTCGGTTTCGTGTTCATGGGGCATGCACTCCTTGGTATTGGGGACCTCAATTGTGGCGACGGCTCCCTTCGTTGTGTTGACGGAAATATTCTTCAGACCTTGGAAGAGAGGGCCATAGTGAATACCACCGCTGGAAATATTTTCATACAGGGTGTCCGTATTCACAGCCGTACCACAGGAAGAGTTGATTTCCTGCACCGTCCTTTTCATGGTACCAGTTATTTCCATTTCTTCCCGGGAACCGCTCACGGGATTGGCTTCTTTTGATTCCTGCACCATGACGAATCCGCTGACATGTTGATCCCAGCCTCTACCTTCAGCCCAGGAGAAGACTTTGAACTCATGCCAGCCTAGAACAGCTCTTCCCGGAGCATCAGGTCGCACAGGGCGCAGACTTAACATTGTTTCTACCGTCGCGTTGTCAGGAATTGCGAGGACCCGACTGATGAAAATATCCCGAAGCTCAATCTTTCCAGGTTTCAGATGATGAATTTGTGCTTGCTGGGAGATTGCTTCCATGGCCATGGCCAAGAAACCAGTCATGGGATATACATTGCTGTCATGGACGCGGTGTTGTCTGATCCAGGGATGATCGTCTGCCCGAATGAGATTCCTCCACCGAGGCTCGAAATCAATGTTTTCGATGGAAAGCTTTCCCAGAATATCATTTCGGGCAAATTGAGGTCGGTACAGGTTATCGCATAGCCTGGCATTAATCCAGTACCTTTCCGAGTGGTTCCAGGGGTACTTAGGGAGATTGGTCAAAATAGCGGGCTTCCGTTCACAGGTGTTGAGATTCGGAAAGTTGATCTCCTGAAAGTTGAGGGTCATCATGCCAGAATTAAAGAGGGACATGGCGAGGTCCTGGACAGCTTCTATGGCGTCGAGCTTTCTGTTCAGAGTATGTTCAAATTGCATGTTGCGGTTGGGAGCGTGGGTATGGACAATGTCTTTCGTAGGTGTTTGCAATGCAGGATGGGGACCGATTTCGACCAGCGTATCGATTTGTCCTGTGGGCTCCTCGGTGTTGAGCAGGCTCTCCACTCCTTTGACGAATTCTACTCGCGAGACAAGGTTCTCAACCCAGTAAGAAGCATCAAGCACACTTCCCGGGACAAGTTTCCCATAAACGGTCGAATGGAATGAAACACGAGATGGCTGGGGGGCAATTTTTCCGAGCAACGACTGGTACTGCTTGGATACACTTTTCATGTGGTGGGAATGATAAGCGACGTCAACGTGAAGCATGCGAGTAAAGATCCCTTCCTTGTCCAAGGCGACTTGTAGATTTGAGATGACGTCCTTGTCACCGGAAAGAGTGACACTGGTATGACTGTTCTCACATGCAATGACAGCCCGCTTGCCTTTTATGGCGTCTAAGATCTGCTGGATATCGGAAGCTTTAGCACCGACAGCCAACATGGCACCATGGATGCTGTCATCATTGGCGACAATGTTGGCAGCCACACCTCGACAGTATGCCACGCGGACACACTCTTCCAGAGTCAAGACACCTGCAGCGTATGCAGCAGCAATCTCGCCGCTGGAATGACCCACAACTGCCTTGGGACGTATACCCCACGACGAAAGAAGATCTACAAGAGCCAGTTGAACTGCTGTACATGCGGGCTGGCTCATGTAAGCGGCGGAAATCTTGCTCGCCGTTGAGTCCTCTAGCAGAAGTTCGTCTGAAAGATAGTGTTAGGAATCGAGCCAAATATCCGCTGTGATAACACGTACCGATGATGGAGAAAGTTGATCCAAGAGATTTCAAGCATGTATCCACATCCTGCATCGTCTTCCGGAAAATGGGATATGTGCTCAAAAGCTCTTTGCCCATACCATGCCATTGGGCGCCTTGTCCAGTGAACACGAAGCCGATTGATGGCTCACGGGATGATCGAACAGGCTCTGGGATTTTTGCCCAGGATGCGCTAAGGTCCGAATTGTGTGAAGATGCCACGGCCACGCGCCAAGAGTGGAAGCTCCGTCGTTGGCCAAGAGTGTAGGCCAAATTATCCATTAGGCTGTCATTAAAGATGAACGGGTTGAGATCCATGTATGTTGCGAGTTGTTTGATTGTATCCAGAGCCGCCTTCTTGTCGTTACCAGATGCAACAAACACTTTCCGTTTGAGAGGATCCGTGTTCTGCGATCCTTGACCTTGATGGCGAGGGGCACGCTCCATGATAATATGGGCATTGGTCCCGCCAAAGCCGAAGTTGTTGACGCTTGCGTAGTTTTTACCCCGGGGCCAGGGCTGCAATTTCTTCGGAACCTGCTTGAAATGAGCAAATGAAATGCCCATGTTTATTGCCACAACTTCTCACCTTCATATTCCACTGATCCATTGGAATCTCCTCATTCGTCTTTTGATAATTGCAGTTCGGCAAGACAAATCCGCGTTCCAGCATTAAAGCCGTTTTGATAATCGCTACAATACCGCTGGATCCCTCCAGATGGCCCATGTTCGATTTTATGGAACCAATAAGTAACGGTTGTTTCGGCGTCCGTCCTTTTCCAAAGACAGCATTCAGAGCCTTGGCCTCTAGTGGATCGCCAACTTTGGTACCAGTTCCATGAGCCTCAACGAATCCAGTGTTGGCAGGGTCGACTTTCGCTTCCTTGTAGACGGCTCGAATCAATGCCTCTTGGGCCTCTCCATTTGGCATTGCGATACCTCTTGTCCGACCATCCTGGTTGATGCCGGTGTTGACAATAACGGCTCTGATGGCGTCTTCCGCGGCTTGTGCATCCTCAAGGTCCTTTAAAACTATGCATCCCGCTCCTTCTCCACGACCGAACCCGGTTCCTCTATTATCGAATGCATATGATCGACCAGAATCAGCGAGCAGTCTACATTTCCCTCAGTCAGCACCACAAATATCAAAATCAAACAAAGTACTAGGTGCTCAAGTCTCACCTTGACCGCGTCATAGAAATAAACATCTCAGGAACAAGATTAAGATGACAACCCCCCACAACCGCCATCGAACATTCTCCCTTCCGAATACTTTGCGCAGCCAGGTGTAAAGCCGACAAACTGGACGAACAAGCAGTATCAACCGTAATACTAGGACCGTGAAGATTGAAGTAGTAAGAAATGCGATTCGACTGCAACGCAACCGAAGTTCCCGTCGAGTCGTACATAGGAATAGAATCCGCATCCTTTGTGTTGTTTACCTCATAATCCGGAAACGAAGCACCAGCAAAGACACCAATATCCTTGCCAGTAATCGAGTGATTCGAGAAACCCGCATTTTCGAACGCTTCGTAAACACATTCCAACATGATGCGATGTTGCGGGTCCATCGAGCGCGCCTCTTGGAGAGTAATATTGAAGAATGGCGCATCGAATAGACCAACGTCTTCGTGTAGGAAGTGTGCTCCTTTAGGGTTAAACGAGCCGGGTCGATCGGGGTTCGGATGGTAAAAGGCTTCGGCGTTGAATCGGCTCTTCGGCATGGGTGACCAGGCGCTTCGAGCTCGCGAGCAGAGTTCCCACAACTCGTCTGGTGTCGTCACCTCGCCTGGAAGTCGGCAGGCCATGCCGATAATGGCCAGCTTCTTCGGCGCATCGCCGAGGTTTTCCTCATGCTGCTGCTGCTCCTCCTCCTCCGGTTGTCGCTCCTCGATACCACCGGGAACTGCTGTGCCAGTCCCATTAATCGGCTCTAAATGCATTATTGAGGTTTTCGGTTGAGAGCGTCCGTCTGGCTGTTCGAAAATCAAGTTATGTACCCTCCACTACCGATATTGATATACGGCACGGCACGTGTTGACAAAAAGAAAACAATGAAAAGAGTGGCAAGTGGTAGGCGAAAAGAAGAGTCGGAAGATTTTCCGTTTTTTGGGCTGGGGAAGAAAGAAGTTGTATGTTCACAGAGAAGCCATGAGCCCCTTCCACGATGTATGTGGCGAGACGCGACAACTAAAGGCAGGACAGGGCCCTGGCGGAAGGATGGCCCACGATAGGGCTTGTTATGGAGTAGATGTTCGCCCTTGCATGACGATCAGGTGCATGACTGCAGATCAGTGGACAACAGAGGCTCTCCAGCCGGGGGATTTTCGAGACACCGTCCAATGATAGGTGGATCGAAGGGTCCATGCCTTCTTCCCTTGATGACGCGGGCACAAATATAGTAGCTCGTCCTGCACGGTTCTACCTGCAGAAGGGTATCAAATCCCTCGTTAGTCTCTCCCCCGTGTGTCTCTAGGGTCGCAGATCCGTTTCTCCAGGATCTGATCACACCACACACACCATTCTTTGGCGAAGCTCCTCTCGCGCGTTGTTGTTGCTGTTGGTGGCCCTTGCTCAAGTGAGGGTGCATTCCAGCGCAGGGGCAAACGGTCACTTCTCCCCGGTCCTAGCTGGTACTCTCGCAAGGGCCTACTATTATCTGGTGGCGGTAAGCTTTCTAGTGCATATTTGCTTCCTTTGAGTATCTTGTTCCCTTATTACATAGGCTGCCTGCCTGGGGCCCTTGAGGAGCTTTGAACCTCGTTCATATCGCCACTATGAAATTTCTCTGTTTGCCGGGGGCCTACTGCAGTGCAAAGGTATGCTGTGATTCCAGATTTGCGTGATATGTGGATTTAGATTTTTCCATAACTAATCACTCCTACCATGCAATAGGGATTCACGGCGCAGCTCGGTAAGTTGGGTGAAGCAAGACGTCGACAGTCAAGCCACTGGCAGTCAAGGATGTCTGTATGCTAACGGAAGCATCCGCTGGTATCCAGGGCCGTTTATCACTTCTCTTCAACAGAATGGAGAAGCCAACTTCTTCTTTGTTCAGGGAGAGATAGAGGTTCATCCCCCTCAAGAACATGCTGCGTTCTTCGGGCCTCCTCCATATTATTCCTTTTGTCAGGCCACCAGGGGAAATCTAGGCAAATTCAATATGAGCGACTTCCCCAAGCGCGAATCGGCCGAGGTATCCATGAGAGAAGCAATTCAGATTGCAGATAATCCGACGTATCTTAATATCGCAAGTGTCCTCGATCGCTTAATCAAGATCGTTGATGCAGAGGGTGACATCGATGCCGTCATTGGATACTCTGAAGGTGGTCAGATAGCTGCATCTCTGCTTATTGAGGAAGAACGGCGACGGAAGGAATATGGACGAGAGCCTCGTCTAAAATTGGGCATTCTGTTTAGTGGCTGGCCTCCCCTCGATCCAATCAAGGGACACATCATGGTCGGAGATGAGGACGCGGATGAGTATGAGATAACTGTTCCGACCTGCCATGTTGTCGGGGCGCAAGATCCGTTCCTGGATGGGTCGATGGTTCTGTATAACATGTGTGACCCCGATACTTCCGAGATCTATGATCATGGCGGGGGCCATATGATTCCTCGTGTGAAGAAGACGGTTGATGATCTGGCGAGTTTTGTTCGGGAGCAGATGGACGCAATTGTGGGAGCTTGATAAATCATGTACATTCTAGTAGTACTCGTACTTACTTCTCTACTTCTCTTGTTCATGTCACGTCCACATAGTTATCCATATCCTATACAGGGTATTCGGAACTTGAGTGCAATCATTTTCATCTCATCATATCGATTCATTTCATGTCATTTCATAGCCAAATTAAGCATTCAACTCACATTCCTTCTAAAAGAGGTCTTGTCTCCGAGTCCCCTTCATCCAGCCCTTCTTCCCTTTCCCCTTCCCCTTCCCCCTCCCCCTCCATCCACTCCAGAAGCCCGTGACACCCTCTCATCCCGCCGCCCAAATATAAGTCCTGACACCGAAGCAAGCAGACCAATATCCAGAAACCCCCGACCATCCAGTCGCTCATAATCAGACTCCTTCCATCTTCGACGTACCGATCTCACCAAGCAAAACCCAACAACCCCCATACCAACCAATCCCACCAGCCCCACCACCGTCCCTACAACAGACAGAAACGTCAAAGTACTAACATTACAGCCAAATGGCATTGTCCTAAGTTCCCACCGCTCCTTGGAGCCGAGTGGACAGATCTGGGCATTGCGGATGGGGGCTAGGATCGGTAAGCGTGCGGCATTGGGCACGCAGGCTGAGGACTAGTTTGGATACGAGGTCAGCAATGGTGCAGGTCAGATGGGCAGGACAAGGCTTGCCCTGGAGGGCGCAACTGGTAAACCAAAGTACGGAGTCGAAGGAGGAGAGGGGTAAATCAAGCCCCCAACTAGGGCAAAGCAGCGTCGAAACTCGGAATGGGGCGTGGGAATGCAAGGGAGAGAAAGGTGAAACGGTATGTCGGGGGAATGCGAGAGTCCCACGAGAAGGAGAGAAAACCGAATAAACAGGGGGGGTGGAGAGAGATGGTCTAAATAACCATAAACTCAAACAGCCTGAGGTTCTGGGGTAAACTCGGAATAGAATAGAATTAAACATTCAACAGTCAAGGTTCGTGTCACATACAGTTGCACACCAGCTGCAGGCAACATCGCCGGCCAGACAATACGAACATGACTGGCGGCGCCAGCAGACGTGGAAGAGCGGATCGTTTGTGTCGAGGGTATCTAGGGATAGATATAGGGACTCGGATTCAGATTCGGAGGTGGTGTGATTCCGAGTCCTGTATTCAAGTTCGAGAGTCATGTCGATTCGATCTTTCATGTAAGGTACCACTCTGCGATCGGGGATGTCTTCCAAGGAGGTTCAAATTGGAGGTTGGGCGGTTTTTCCTTGAGGGTTGCCAATATATAAGCTCCTTACATGCAAGACCATGCAGCAGAGACGAGATGAAAGTAAAGGAGGAACAGAACAAAAGTACGAGAGGAGTGGAAGTGGAAGTGGAAGTGGGATGTTCAAGTTGGGCGGAGGAGGGGTGTGTAGTGTTCTTTGGGGAAAGAAAAAGGACCACCACGACTCGAAGAAGCGCGGTTTTCAAAGCCCAATCCGATATTAGCATTGGGATTGGGATTGGGATTGGGAATCATTGAAAGTCCTCTGACTGGTTGCCCTTGACTATTCAGGCTTAGTCTTGCGCCGCTTTCTGTACGAGGCATTTCTCGGCGTTGTATACATCTCCAACTACGCTGTTGTGGCTGGTGGTACAGGTATATTAGACTATCAGAAGATGTTTGCATGGCACCATGACATAAAAAAAAAGTATCAATCATGAGAAATGGTTGGAACACAAGATGGTCACATTCCCAATATCCACATGCAGACCGTCATCGCTCAGCAACGCATTTCATTTCTTTTCGACAAGGGAAGTGGTAAGAAGGTGGGAAAGATTTAGACAACACGCTTGACCTATAAATTCGACACGATCAGATCAGTATACGTTCACTCCATAGACCCAGGGGGGATCTGCATGTGCAGTGCAGTGCAACTCACCTCGAAAAAGCGCTTCAACCACCACACCTGGAAGATACCCTCTCCAATAACAACAAACAGCTGGAAAAGACTCCACCACTTAACACGACCGTTGGTGCTCTCGGCTGTATTCCGGTGCACGCGCTCGCGAACAACAATGTACCCCTGCTCATCGCGGACCTGAGCCATATTCTCGGAAAGTTTGCGGACCTCTGCCTCCAGGGGATCTTGCGACATCTCCGCCTCGGGCACGTAGACGATTCCGTGGACGTTGAAGGAGACTTCCTTCGAGTTGGAGGTCCAGCCCTCGTTGCTGAAGCAGTAGTTGTATTTTCCGTCGGTCTGGGCAGTGAAGGAGTAGTCCTCGTTGGAGATGGCTTGCTGGTAGTATTGGCGGTTGCGGAGAGGGTCCTCAACCTAGAGGGGGGGCCAAACAAGACAATGGTTAGCAGGAGTTGGGATATGGAGATGAACAAATTGATTGGAGAACTTGAAAGGTTTGCAATTCACACTCCCTTTCATTCAATCCATCCACAACTTGAACCCTTGAACCAGGGGAAGGAGGGAATCTCTAGCGGAAGAGAAGACGTACCCAGAAATCAATCTCCAGATTGCCACTGCCTCCAAACTCACGATCTCCGACCTGGAACGTCACGGTCATGAGATCATCCTTGTGTAAGGCTTCGTGGAAGCATTCGCGCGAGTGAGCCTTGAGCTGGATGGTGTGTGCGGTCGCGACGGAGAACCAGCCCAGCGCCGAGACGAGGAGGGTGGCGGCGGAGAAGCGCATGGTGGATGTGATCGAGTGAGCGAGTACCCGTACTAGGCGTGGGAGGGATGGTTCTCGGAGCGACAAGGTGTCTGGTGGGGTGAAGTTGGAGTGTTGATGTTCAAGTTGGCTCGGTCTGCGGAAGGTGAAGGTGTCAAGTCGCCGGGAGTGGAGACGCTCGGACCACTTTGTAAACAGCAGGGCCCGGAGTGCTATCTAGTACTAGAAGTATTGGGCAAATTCCAGTGGGAGCCAATATTATTATTCAATTGAGGGAAGTGACATCGATAGGAAGATACTATTACTAGTACTATCTTACTATCTCTCAGGTGTGGTTAATTGTTCAGTTCAGGTTGGTCAGAGACTCGGACCTGGAGGAAATATATATGGGCCCAAGGTCATTACTAGTAAAAGGCAATTTCAAGTTGGAACTTAAATGGACGTCGGGACTCACGTCAACTTGAATAGGATGGATACTAGTTCATAAATACTACTCAATTATCTATATCTAGGTAGAAATACTATATGTTCATGAAAATACTGTAGTACTAGTAATGCCATATCACTATTCAAATACTACGGCTGTAGCAATGGTATCCCAGATTTGGCAGGCGTCGGCTACCTGCCTTGCCAGTGGCAGGGCCCCATCAAAATCATAACAATGGTCAGAGAATAATTGTACCTAGGTAGAATATATAGTAGTATACAATAGCATCATGATACTAAGAAGACTCGAAAAGTATTTTCTTCAAATATACTAATACTAGTGCTACTAATATAAACAAGAAAATAAAGAGCGGACGTATTGATTAATATGTAAGTTCAACTTCAAGTTTTAGAAAAATGTAACGATGGGACATGAAAATAGGTGAAAATATACAGTTGGGATGGGGGGGAGGGAAGTAGGAGCATGTAATATAACATAACAGAAACAAAATAACCAGAAAATAAAAAGTCAAAGTCAACTTGAATTATCGAACAGACAGAACAGGGTGGTATCAAATCAAATCCGAAAGGACATCACAAATCACAGATCTGAGGGTGGTGAGAAGAAAGAAAAGAACGAAAGAAAAGAAAGAAAGAAAGGTGGGTGGATATGTAGATATGGGAACGAATGGTGGGGGACCTTGTCTTGTTTTTGCAGGTCGAGTGAATTGAGTTGAGTGAGAGAGGGAGGTAGGTGGAAGGGGTAAGGGTAAGTGTAGATGTGAAAAACAACGCTAGAAAGAAAAGGAAATAGAGATAGAAAACGAAGCAGACATCAACTAAATGACACGGGCATGATTTCCAACAGTCTAAAAGATGATCAGAGGGGAGGGAAAACGGAAGGGATAAAGGGGAGGGGAGGATGGATTCAAGTCGAGTTTGAGTGAAGATCAGATCTCAGGCTGAGCCTGAGCCTGAGCCCGAATTTCATTTTCGATCTCAGTATCAATCTCAGTCTCAGTCTCCTCGCCTTCATCCTCATCTTCATATTCACCCTGGCCCAAAACCTCAGCATCAGCATCAGCATCAGAATCACCCTCACCAAGCCCCCCCAATTTCAGCCAACGCATCCGCATCAGATGTAATCCGTGGACCGAACGGTCCATCCTTGGGTGAATCAGAAACAACCCCATCAACAGTACTCTCAACATCATCCGCAAAGCTACCCTCCTCGTAATTCCCCGGCTCAGCATCATGGTCATAACTCGAGCGACGGAGCAAAGGGGGTGTCTTGGGCGGTTCAACGATAGGAGCCTGAACCTCCTGACGAGTCGAGCCACGGCGCGGAGTAGAAGAATTGAGTCCTCTCAGCGGCCGAGTCTCGAAAGTGGTGGGAGTAGACCGACCCGGTCCCGGTCCCGGTCTCCCAGCAGCAACAGAACCACGCGGAACATTAGAGCGCGCATGCGAACTGGGCGGAGTCAAGAGTCCGGAGAGAAAGCTGCCCGCATTACTAGATTTGGACGGAGTGTTCTCGGCAGAGCCATTCCCATTCGCCGCGTCACGGGATTTGCGCCAGTTACCCCAAGCCGCGGCTGCGGCGAGGGGGAGGGCAGCGCGGGGCGAGGCGGCAATGTCGGAGATAGATGGTAGGGAAAGGGGCGAGGAGTGGCCTCCTGTAAGTGCACGTTCGCGCTCTTGTTGTTGCATCTGTAGGTTGGCCTTTAGGCGGATTGCGGCGTCGCGGACGGCGTGTTGGTTGAAGTTTGGCTGGGAGACTGTTTTGATTATGTCTGTGAGGTCGTCGATGCGGACGCCGAGGAGTTCGCGGAGCCAGTTGATTTCAGTGTCCTTCTCATTGATCTTGTTGGGTGCGTCTTTGTCTACGGATGCGGCTTCTTGCTCGAGTTCTTCGATGCGGGTCTCGCGTTGTTGGAGCTGGTCTTGCAGGACGAAGATGGATTCACGGAGGGCCTGGGGGGAGATGCGCTCTGGCTCGTTGGATCCCTGGTTGAAGGACATTGAGGGTGAGTGTGCGTGTCTTGGTGCTGGGGCTGGGGCTGGGCCGGGGGCTGGGCCGGGGGCCGGTGCTTTGCCCTTAGCGGCGGCAGCAGCATGGCGAGCAGCGGACTGGGCGATTTCGAGCTTCTCTTCGAGATGTTGGACGCGCTCTTGGAGATGCGTGACTTTGTCGTTTGAAAGAGCGAGGCGGTCTGTATTATGGGCTTCGCCGCGGGCACGATCTTCAGAGGAGTTGTGCAGAGCACGGGCGTGGCGTTCGCGGAGATCGTTGAGGACACGCTCGTGAGTCTTGCGCTGGTCGTCAAGTGCAAGTTCCCGGGACTCCTTGGCAGCAGCTAGAGAGGTCACCCTGACTTCGTTGGCTTCTTCCAAGAGCATCTCGTAGCGCTCACGGGAGGTATCAGCATCCATGCGAACACCATCGAGCTGGGTCTGAAGACGAATGACCTGAGCCTCAAGTTCAGCTCGGACAATGTTAACCTGGCTATTGGAAGCTTCGATATCAGCCTCCATTGCGGTGCGTGTGCGCTGGATCTCAACACGGCTGCTTTCACGAGCTTCGTTGAACTCGCGCTCGAAGCGAGCAGCCTTAATCTGCAAGTCGTGGTTTTCGGCGCGCAGGCCTGCGACAGTCTCCTCAAGCTTGACGTTCTCTTGTTGCGATTGCTCGTGGATGAACTTGATTTTCGCAGCTTCCCTCTCTTGCTTGGAAAGCTCGACAACCTCCTGCTCAAGCTGTTCACGCAGCTTAACTTCCCGAGCGTGCGATGCACGAAGCTCATTGTACTTAGCAAGTTGCTCTTCCTCCTTTCTGCGGAAGTTGGCCTGCTCAGTAGTAACATCGGATGTGACGGTCACCATATCATGTTGGAGACGATCAAACTTCTCAGTGATGTTCTGGCGAGCAACCATGCTATCCTCAATACGAGTCCTCAAGTGATCAACAGTCTCATGGAGAGACTTATTTTCATCCTTGGTAGTCTCAAGCTGACGACGGAAGTGATCACTGGAAACACGGTACTCGTCCAGAGTTCCTTCGAGGGCAATATTCTTAGAAGAAAGCTCGGCAATCGTGACCTTGAGAGTCTCGCTCTCTTCACTGAGAGACTCGGTACGGAACTGCATCTTCTCCAAGTGAGGGATCTTCTCCTCCTTGAATTGCAGGAACCGGGTCTCGGCATCCTCGGCGGCAGCGCTGTGCTGAGCAGCATCCTCTTCAGCAATTTTGAGAAGACGCTGGAGCTCAAGTACAGAGTCCGATGCCTCGCGACGAGCCTTGTACTCAGCCTCGGCGCGGTCATCGGCGTGACGCAGCATGCTCTTCAGCCCATCAATTTGCATCATCAAGCTGTCGGCGCCAATTTCCTCGGCCTCGGACAGACGAGGGGTCTGTTGGGCGAGCTGTCTGGCAAGAGTTTCCTCGAGGATCTCACGCATATCGCCGACCGGATCTTGGGCGAGCTTCTTGATAGTCAAAGCTTGCAGCTCGGCAATGCTCTCCTTCAACAGCGCCATTTCACTGTGGCTGGAGTGCTGGATGTTGCGGTGGGGGAGTTCATGAGTGAGCAGAGCCTCTGTGACAACACTCTTCAGCATCTCCAGCTTACGATCACGCATGTGGTGAGGCGAACGGTCACGGACAGTAACTTCGCGCTCCTCGCCATCGTCTTCATCGTCGGCATCGCTGTCCTCCACATCTCCGGAGACACTGCGAATTGCTCTCCTGCTAGCAGATCCAGAGGCGATGGTAGCCACAGAAGTTTGAATGACAGCCAGAGCACGCTCCATGGGGCTAAGACGATCATCGATAGCGGAACCAACAATGTCGTTAATGCGGCGATCGAAGAAGCGGTTCCGGTTGAAGAACTTCTCATCCTCACCGGAGGAAATCATGTCATCCCAATCACTGACATGGTCGTTCTCGGTAATGAGATGGCGAACTGGGGACTGGAGACGAGAAACAATGCTCTTCGGGGAGAGAAGGTAAAGTTGCTCTGAGCGTCGCCATCCGAGCCAATATTGGGAATATCGAGCTTGTGCGTCTTCGGGCCACCACCAGGGCTGGGGCTGGGAGCTTCGGTTCGGCCCTCTGCAGGACCGAACTGGCGTTCCTTTGTGGGAGCGGAGTCCGAAATCAGCTGGCGTGGCATGGGGGTAGTCTGTCGCATGATACCGACGTCAGAGTCGTCATTGAGTTGATCCATGACAGCGTTCAGCTCATCATCGTCGAGAGATTCATCGCCAGAATCGGAGTGGAATCCCTTGTGAATTTGACGGGCAGGTGTCTTCTCTGGCTCAGGGGTTGGTTGCTGAGCCTTTGGTGGACTGGCAGTAGCGAAACGCGACGCCATAAGACCACCAGTTGGCTTCTTCTTCTCAACAGAGTGGGGCTGCTCGGGTTGGGGTTCGGGCTCTGCAAAGCTGGACGGCTCGACAGTAGTAGGGAGGAAACTGGGAACAGCCGGCTTGAACTCGAAAGGCTTGGCTGTTGCCGACAGCGTGGTGCTCTTCACGGAGCTCTTAGAATCGGAAGGACCATGCGCGGAAGCCTTGTAGTCAACCTGAAGACCGTCTGCAGAGCGTTTGCGCTGGGGCTGCTTGACATTCTCCTCGGTCTCCTCGGTGTGTTCAGCCTGGATAGGAGATGCAGTGTGAGATCTGGCAGCGGCACCTTCGGTCTTGTAATCGAACAAAGTCCATGTCTCGGCCTCGCTGTTGGGCGTGCCCCTGCGTTCAATGGCCTTCTCATCTGGCGAAGCGTTCTCCTTGCCCTCGGCAACCGCATGAAGCGTAGTCGATGCCTGAGCATTACCAGTCTCGCCCAAGGGGTGAGTAGAAATGCTATAGCGGGCTTCACCTTCAGCATGGCCGATTCCGCGACGAGCACGCTTATGACGATCGGTAGGAACCGGTCGATCGCCATCGTCATCAGCGGCTTGGACTTCACCGTCGGCATTCGCAGCTTCAGATTCATCCGGTCGGACAATTGGAATCGCCTTGGACTCCTTTGAGGGTTTAGAGATCTCATTGAGGTCGATGTCGCCGAAGATCTTTGTCCGATTGGCAGCTGGCAGCTCAGAGCTAGCGTTGGAGGTGATACTGGCACCGGGGTTGAAAACAGGCGCTTCAACGTTGAAAGATGCTGCAGAGAATTTGAATGCACTTGGTTTGGGAGCCGGGTTGTGCTCGATCTGACCACCCATCATGCCATTGGGAGCAAAAGGGGCAGGGGAGGGGGAGCAAAGCCGAAGCCTTGGTTCATACCACCAAACTGGAAAGCGCTGTTGGCAAATGGCGCGGGTTGAGATCCGAAGGATGCAGTTGGATCGAATTCCTTGGCCTCCACATTTAGAGACGAAATCGAAAGCTTGGATTGGTGGCCAAACGACTCGTGGCTTGGCTTGGAATCATGCCACGGGCCGTGATCGGGCTGAACTCCGCGGGTATGGGGGGGTTCCAGCAAGGCTAGGGTTGGTATCGATGTCGGAGCCTTCATGGTGGTTGTTACCCTGGCCGAATTGCTCATGGTAGAACTGGTGTGGCTGTTGGGAGAACGGGTGCGAGGGATGGCCGGATTGGTCGTGCATCTGATGTTGCTCATGTTCTGGCATACCCCAGTGAGACTGAAGCATGTTGGCATTTAGGGCATGATGAGCAGCATCGCGGTCATCCTCTTCTAATCGATGGTCAGCAGATGGATCCATGTGATAATTATTGTGGTTCATCTGCTCCAGTCCTCTCTGTAGAGTTTCGCTCAGGTTATGGCCATGACCACGCGGGGTGGGGTGTGCGATCTCAACATTTGATGCGTGGAAGTGATCAGGGGCGTTCACAGGGGTTTGTGGAGTCTGGTATGGGAGACCCTGTTCCTGACCCATGTGCGCAAATTGTGCATCAAACTCATTCTTCCCATCAAATCCACCACCATGGAAGCCACCCTGGTCGTTAAACGGAGACACGGGGGACATCATCGAGTTGAAGCTGTGGAGCCCTCCAGGGGCACCAGATCCGCTTGCTTGGCGGAGATTGATCAAGCTTTGAGGTGTCATGGTACCCTGTGCAGGAGGCGTAGGCTGGAATTGGAAGGGGAAACCAGGCATCATATTCTGGTCCATGCCCAGGAATGGAGTCTGGACACTGAATTGTGAAGCCGGCGATGCCAGAGAGCCAATGCCAGCACTCGTAGTCGCAGACTGACCAAAGTTTGGAGAGAAAGGATGAATGGAACCGAGATGGTTGCTTCCTGCCGAAGCGGTTGGAATAGGTGGCGATGCGAGGCCGGGGAATGGCGTTTGAGAAGCATTGATTGATGGCGAAACAGAGGGTTGGGGCTCAGGCTGACCGAAGTCGACACCTAGAGCTCGTAACTTCGCCTCTTGAAGCTCATTCACGTAGTCATCCCACACGGCCTTGTCTGGGAATTGGATATGAGCCTTCTGGCCCCTAGTTTCCTCCCACAACTCAGCTGGGTCCGGGTACAAGGCACGGCTGAGGCCACCAAGCACAGCGGGTTGGGATTCATCGACCGCATCGCCAATGGTGAAACCGCGGGTATCGTATCCATCCTCCTCCCACTTCTTCATCCGAGCTTCGACATCGGCAGGGGTCAAAAGGTGGATACCGGATTGTTCTGTACCACGTCTATCGTCCGTAGGCAGCTCAATAATGCATGCTTTCCCGCGCCAATTAAGCTTCTTCCTTCTCCTAGGAGTCTGAGCCGCTGATCGATTCACGGCTTCGGGTTTTAACTCCTCCAAAACTCCAGTCTTTGTATCCTCCTCCACGGTACTTGACGGGGGAGGCGGCAGTGGCTTCTCTGACGGTGATTCGGCATCAAATATCACCTCGCCGGGAGGGTGAGATTCCTTGGTATCCGACATGATGTTTTTAGACGGTTCCTTATCGTATGCAAATCCCCAAAAGTCTTCCTGGCGCAAAGTATCGGTGCGCTTGTGCACGGTTTTCTTTCCGTTGGCACGAGCAGCAGCTCTTCGACCGACGAAATCGGATAAGGTCGGTGTTTTCAGGAGGTCGTTGTCACGGATATTATCCTCCAGACCAAGCCAGTCGTCTGAAAGGTCGTCTGCAAGGTGATTCTGCGCGGTAATGAACGAGGGCGCCTCGCTTCCCGAGTCGTCGCTCAACCAGTTGCTGCGCTCGGTTCTCGGTTGACCGGAGAGATACTGATTAATCCAATCCTGGGTAAAATCCCGGATTGATTTACCTCCTTCTTCTTCTTCCGCTGGATCGTCGAGATCGGCTGAATTGACTGCGACGCTTGCTCGACGAAGCTCTGGGATTGCGACCGAAGGGGCGGGCGAGCTGGCCTCGGATCCGTGGTCGATGCCGGCAAATTGGCTTAGAGTCAGAGAGAGGCGACGGGTACTCGGTGCAGCATACGGGGATCCCCAGGCCGTGGTATAGTAGACACTGCTCTCTGCTCTAGTGTTCTCGGGAGAGGCAGTCAGAGATTCGACGGGCCGACGGTTTGTCGAGAAGAACGGCAAGGGCGGGGGATCGAGAGTGATACTCGGAGAGAATTGTTGGGAGGGAGAGCCAGTGTCCGATGGGCTGCTCGAGTCTCCTGAGGAGGGAGAGGACAAGAGCAACTCCGGGGCCTGGCGTGAATCGTCAGGCGGGATGCGCGCGTCCTTGTGATGGAACGACGGGGAAGATGCCGAAGAGGCGGAAGAGACGGAGGGGTCTAGATCTGATAACCCATGAGAGGTGGGATGGTTAGCATTCCATGACAGTCTTCCAGGATCTCCCTTTCTTTTCTTTTTCTGGAAGTGGAGGAGGGGTTTCGAGGAATGGGATGAAAGGGAGAATCGCGTGGCGGACGCGGGTAGAGTTGGTAGAGTTGGGGTCTGACCCCGTATACAGGCACAGCAGATAACTCCCTGGAAATTGAAACGGGGGATATAGAGAAAAACACACCTTCCGTGTCGACTCCTGCAGCAAGCACTTGCTTGCCGCTCCGGTTATTGTCCAGAATGTTGACGCATGGAACGGGCAGTGAAGAACAGACAACCCGTGATTGGCGGTGCGAAGGATCGCGTTACCGGATGAAAAGGAGGGATGTGTTAATTGAGAGAATGCAAATTGGCAGAAGCAGCAAATTGCAGACACAAATCACAATCACAAATCACAAATCACGGCAAGACCTGAAGCATCGCGGGAGGCGTGGAAAGGGGAAAAAAAAGAGCGTGTGGCTATTATGTCACGTCACGTTGAACTGGGGAAGTTTCCCTCGAGAGTACACTAGGTACACTAGTGTTGGTCACTAAGTCACTGTACTTCCGAGGTGCCCCTTTTCACCGTATCGTGCTAAGTACCAGTACTCACTAGTACATATGGATCATCTCGTTATTCATTCCACTTTAGTCTTTCGTGTTGGTCTTAGTGTGAGGTAGTGTAGGTGGGCCACCCTTGCCTGGAAGGGATATTCACTGTTCAACGGTGTACTGTCTGTTCTCTGCGCTCTGTACTCTCCTGTACACTTCTCTATTCCACTCTACTCTACTCTACTCTACCAGTACCCACTCCCTTGCAGCAGTGCAATGCCATCACAGCGCATCGCAGTTTCAATTGAATGGTAAACAAGCAAGTTCGGTTCGTGGGGGGGATTTCAGGGGTAGGCGAACCACGGTTCTGCATGACTAAGCTTGATTTGCAATGACATAGTACAACATAGTAGCACATAGCATAGCATATAGTATAGCATAGCTATAGGGTTAGTATATAGCATTCATACTATAGCAGCAGAGAAAATCTTATCACTCTGCTGCAATCTGCTCCCTGCACTCGGCTGCACGCTGTCACATTCACATCAGACACGTCAGGTCAGGCCGAGGTGCCACACTACTCGTACAACTACACCGCACTCATGCTGCCCAAGATCACCAAATTATTATTTCCATTCGGTTCGATCAGATGCAAGACCCCATCCATCTATACAGGGTCCACAAACAAAACATACAAGCAAAAAAGTAACAGCGAAAAAAAAAAGTCAACAGCTGTATCTACCCTGCCACTCCACTCAACAGATCCGCTTATTGCTGATTACTTATTTCGGGCAGCTGGTATCAAACTTCTTCACGCGCTTATCGGTGAAAAGACCCCAGTGCTTCTCATCCTGAGGCTTACCGTTGTCACCAATGCTGTCAGGCTTCCAGGACTCGTCAAAGGCCTCGAAGTAGAAGAGATCCACGTTCCACGCCAGCATGCCGCAGATACCGTGCTTCCAGAAGGTCTTCGCATTATCGGTGCCGGCCTTGGCGGCTTCGTAGTCGGAACCACCATCTAGAAACAGTCAGTTAGTCAATAACCTCTACAGATCACTGTCACAGGGTCAGTCTAGTACATACCAGTAGGCCAGCCAGTCTCGCCAGTAATAACGCGAATCTTGTCAGCATCGTCTCCGGCAACCTTCTGGATATGCTTCATGGCACCGCTCATATCATCAAAGTAAGTCTGGTACGCCTTGTCGGCGGCGGTACCCTGCCAGTAGGCAAAGGCATTGGCGAGAACATAGGTGACCATGGGGTTGTCATCGGTGTTGGTGGTGAACAGATCGTCGGCGGTACCATCGGCGAACTTGTTCCAGGAGTCGGCAGTACCAACAGTGATGCTGGGGAAGGCCTTGCCGACGGTGCTGATGTATTTGTGGAGCTGGGGACCGGTCAAATCACCGCGGTACAGGGTCTCGGATCCGACGGTGATGGCCTCGACCTGGCTCTCGTAGCCGGGGATGTATTTCTTCAGGGCAGCGAAGTCCTTGACGAAGGATGGATCGCTGGTGCTGGTGTCGGTCTTCTTCTGGGCGCCGACCCTAGCAGAGAATATTGTGTTAGAGGGAAAATTGGTGGCCGTAGTGACAGTGATGGCGGGGGGATATACCAGATACCCAGAACAACCTTGAAGCCCTTGGACTTGGCAGCAGGGAGGATCTCTTTGGGGGTGTCGCACTCGCTGCCAGAGTAGGTGCGGACCAGGGTGGTCAGGTCCTTCAGGGCCTCAAAGTCCTTTTCGTAATCATCGGTGGTCTTGCAATCACCGCTGGGCAGCTTGTCGCCGAGGGAGAATCCGAGGGTACCTCTGGCTGTGACGGCCGGGGCCGCGGCCAGCATGAAAGGAAGAATGCTAGAAACGCGCATGGTGGTTCGTGGAGGCTCGAATCGAACCTAGAGAGAGTGTGGGGGGGGAGGAGGGGAAAGAATTGATCAAAAGAATGTGGTTGATCAGAAAGGAATGTAAAGGGTAGGAAGGACGTGAATGGAAAGAGAGCAGATCAGATGTGGAGGAGGAGAGAAGGAGACCAACAACATCAGCCTAGTCAGCCTAGTCCTAGTCAGCCCAGTCAGTCAAGGGTCGACAGTCCCTGAAAGTCCCCTTTGTGGGGCTCAGGGGTTGCCCAATGACAATCCTTGTAGATGAAACATCCAAGGGTCTGGACTCCACTCCTTTTCACGAACTGTGCTGTTACACCGTTTGTTATGATCTTTGGTTTTGAGACTGGGCAGATGCAGATGCAAATGCAGGTGTAGTGCAGTGCAGTGCGGTGCAGCTCTACACAGATATTTGGGTACAGATAGTTAGGCACTCGCCCCGAACACTTGCATTGAACGAGTCTTGCGGTCGGATGTCCCCGATGCAGACGCAGCAAGGGATCCATCTGCCCAATGGAACAGTACTACGGAGTACGTAGTAACGATTACTAATTTATATTCAACTCGCAGCTACAGACATCGGAAGACTGTTTTTTATAAAGTATACTAGTAGTATCATAACAACCTGAGTATTGTGGGGTTCCCCACAACAATTGGCCTTTCCATTACCATGGTCTGCTGGATCTATACCAAGATTCTAGCACCATTTCATCAGGGATAATATCTACAGATTAGACCTCATCTGCAGCTACTACTAGTAATAAAGTCCGAGTCTAGACAGGACCCTAGGTCCACTTGAGTAAATTTTAGTCTGGGTTCAGTGCGTGTTCGAACTTCTCTCTAGTGGTGTTGCAAAGGGTTAAAACCCCCTATGGCCCACCATTAGAAGGAGGAGACGAGAACAGTCAACATGGGATTTCAAACTTTTGCAACACCACTGTATGAAGACAAAGCCCATACAGAGGAGAACAGCGGAAGTGAATAATCAAGACATAGCTGGGCACAAGCGAAGTCATTGCACTGGGTTAGAATGTTCTCATTGGAAATCGAAACTATTTGGAATGTTTATTCAATGCTTAGCCGGTGGAGAACTGCAATATCAAAAGAAAATGGCCTTGATTTTGCTTGTGAATTATCCCCGGGGCCAGTCGAAGGTTCCCAGGCGAACAAGAATAAATGGCGCATTTCAGACGCTCATTGGAACATTGGAACAAGTTTGATTTGAGTGCGGCTCGCTTAGAGCCAAGGAGATACTAGGTAACCAGCCTAGACAGCTAGCTTGTAAATCCAAGTTCCAGACATACTGGGGTACAGGGAAACCGGATGACTGGTGTGATGGTGCAAACTCAAGTCACACAATTACAGACACCTCGATTGTCGATGGCGAGCAGCCACCAACCATTTTCTACTCAAAAAAGGACACAGACCCTAAGTACATGGATGGTTGCTCTTATGATCATTGAGGGCACTCATTTGGGTGCGACGGCTGTAGTGCTAATTGCCGGATCGTTACCTCCGGTGGAACTAATGGCAAAACCGTTGCGACATGCGGTAAGATGGATCATATCGAGATGGTTACTTGCATTAAAGAGGCATCGTCGACGACAACTACACAGACTATTAGAGCCCCTGCTACATCTACAGGAGCAAATCCTGCTTATACATCAGGATGTGCTCAGAAGAACTTTGACAAGGCGACCTGGGATAAGGAGAAAATGGATGACTTTGTGCTTGATCTGTAAGTGGGCTTGGAATGCTTTGCCTCATGAGTGAGGTCCATGGCTAATTTTACAACATCCAGAGCCCAGAAAATGCCCTCGGATTATGATAAAAGTTTTATTAAATGTATCAATTCTAAGATTTCTGGACCAGCAAACTTTTGAGTGCGATTTGTGAGTCTTTGAACTTTCTCTTTCCACGATTTATCTGAATATTAAAGCTAATGTTTTTTTATTATGGAAATGAAGATCAAAAGATGGAAAACGTGATTCCTGTGACTTTCAGGCAGCAGATTGCTCAAAGGGAGATAATGCTCGATATATATTTCTGCAAACAGCAATCAATCACTATTTCAAGTTCACCAGCACACTTTTGGCCGCCATTAATAATGCCAAAGTACAGTTTGCCTCAACTTCGGCTGACATAAATCAGGACTTTGTCAAGACTGATCTTCCCGATGTAAGTAAATCCATAATTCCTCAGTCCAGTGAGTATATTCTGAGTTTAATTATTAGGCGTGTGACACCTGGGTTGCGATTATAATTGGTGGAGCACTTGGTGCTGTTGGGGGAGTGTATGGTGCTGCGGCTGCAGCTATTCCAGCTATGGCCAAGGCCGGCGGTATCACTGCTGGTGTAGCAGGGGCAGCAAGTGGTCTTGATGGAATTGGCCTTGGAATTGCTAATACTGCGCTACCAGGAACCAAAGGCGCTAGCCTTTCGGAATAAGACTGCAAAATGAGTTCAATGCCGAGGCAAAACTGCAGAGTTATATGACTAGCCAGCTGAATACTTTTTCAGACGCAACATTTAGTGCAGCAAACAAAGCTCTCAAGGGCAAGGCAGCAAACCCGAACCCCGCCAAAGACAGAAGGTAGGGATGCCACTCGTTACCTGGCGAGGTAAAGATCATAGTCAGGGTTGACCCCCGATTTCCCAGGTGTTTGAATGGTAGAAAGCACGAAGCAGTTGCCACTTGCAGACGAATATACGACAGCAGCATCTCCTGGACTGACTTTGTCAAGGCAGGCCTTGACAGAGCGTTCAATTGTTAGAGTTCGTATCCCACCAGCACCTGTGCCAGTGTTAGACCATACTTATAAGTTTTACCGCCAAGGTAGAAACGATGTACACTCACCTGCCGAGCACGTCTCTTGAAATTTCCGACCGTTCTTTCCCGAGACAACAACACCATTTCCTTGGCCTGGGAGGAAAGCATTAGTAAGACTTCTAAGTGGTTGACAAATAAATAATTAAGATGTTCTGCCGAAAGGTACCACGGAAACTGGACCGTTCTCGTAATGCTTCAGGATAGCCTTGGAATCAGCGAGGTCGGCTTCGTTCTTTTATGAGCCTCCTTCAGATTGTCTAGTTCCTTCTGACTATCGTCCTTCTCCCGCTGGTAGGTCTTGCTTTTGGTGTCTAGGTCGTCTTTCTCTTGCTGACAAGCCTTGATCTTAGCTTCCAGTTCACGATTTTCAGCCCGAAACTCGTCCTTATCCCCCTCAATATATCTTATGTAGTCTGCCGTGGCGGCAAGTTCACCTCGTACGGCCTCGAGTTCATCTTCACATACTCCACGTGACTGAGTCAACTATTTCGTCACTGTGTCATGTCCAGCCTTTCTCTCTTATAGTCCCGCTATACCGACGGATGTGATGTCAAGTGCCCGGGAGTCACTTTGTTCAGAATAAACAATATACTATCCTAGTAATTAAACCCCCCTACATAGGAAATTGGGCCCCAGGGGTCGCACAGGAAGGACTCACTTTGCTCTATCGAGTCAATTTTATAGTGAGAATTTGATGGTACATCAGTGATTTGAATGCCAAATGGGGCATATATTCATCTACTATGTCAAGTCTAGACATAAATTACTCCTTGTTTCCGACCAGTAAAACCCAAACTCCATTCTCCATTGCAAAAATGCCAAAAAGAGGAGAATTTTAAAAGATAATATGCCGCTCGTCCCGGTAAATATCGCGTAAAATCTTTAGCTGCGTCACCGACATCGAATCGGGCAGAGCACTGGGTAAATCGATAATAGCCCGGTGAAGAATGTATACACCGAACTGGCCCCAGAAACCGATAATGCGATCGCCCGAGTTGTACAGCATCGACTTGATAAGCATGACATGGGTATCTGTGATCTCGGCCGGAGGGATGGAGAGGAGTTTCCGGATAGAGGACCAAAAGATGGTATTCGGGAACGGATTCTGACGCTGCGCTTTGCCAAAGTTGCGCAGTGTGATAGCAGCAAATCCACCGCCTACGGCAGTCATTCGGTCTAGATGTTGCTGTTCGCCGATGTGTTTGCCTAATTCTCTTCGCCAGCCAAGCGCGTCTCGGCCAGCTTCGGTATTGGGGTTGCCGTTGAAGCCCCACAGGGCTGGGCAGATGAAGCGGATCTTTGCCCAGAGGATGTCGGACATGTGGATCCCGTTGTACATGAAGTTTTGCATTGAAAAGATCTGGGCGGCGATGATGCCGATTGGTTCGGCGTGGGCGGGGTGGAGGGATGCTTCGTTGATGAGGCCGGAGATGAGCTTTTTGGAGAGGATGTGGAGGCCGTAGATTAGGAGGGCGGGGACTGGTTGTTCTGTCTGGGCGATATTTTCGGGAGGGAATGCGAGGAATTGTCGTACGTCGACTGTGGGTTCTGGGACGGTGAGAGCTTGTTCAAGCTCGATGCGAATGTCCTGGGTCTAGGAGGTTGAATGAGTTAGCATTTTACAAAAGATGTACACGTAGAGGGGGGGGGAGGGGGTCCGAATTGCGTACCTGTTTCTTGTTCGTACCCTTTCCATCACGAAGTTGACCAACACACTTGGTAATGTTACGACGCATTAAACCAGCACTCTTCTTGAACGCGGGATTCTGCTTGCCATAGTCATCGAGCAGCCACTTGCGGAACTTCTTCAGATCTTGATGCAACTGAATATATCGCTCATGCACCTTAACCTCTTCGGGGGTGAGTGTGCTACCACCGAGTTTCTTCTGCTGTTGAGCTTGTTGCTGAGCTTGCGCCTCACGCTCAGCCTCTTCCTTGGCTTTCTGGGCATCTTCAGCTTCCTTGCGCTTAGCAGCTTCTATCCGGTCGCGCTCTTGGCGTTCTTTCAGTGCTTTCTCTTCGGCTGCAGCTTTGCGAGCTTTCTCGGCCTCTTCCGCGGCCTTTTTCTCAGCGGCTAATTTGGCTTGTCGTTGAGCTTCAGCCCGGGCGGCTTCTTCTTGCTCTCGACGAAGTTTCTCGGCCCTTTCACGCTCAATGCGCTCTTGTTCCTTGCGTGTTGCTTCTTCCTTTCGTCGGCGCTCTTGTTCTTCGGCGCGGACATACTCTTGTAAGGTCTCTTCGGCTTCCTGGCGGACTTGTTCGTGGTAGGCGGCGGCTTCATCGAGGGCGGCTGTGTGGACGGCTTCGCGTTCGCGGTCGACTCGGTCCAGATTTTCATAATAGGAGTTTAATTCGTATTCTTTGACCTTCTTCAGGTCTTCGTTGAAAAGTCTCACGTTCTCGAACTCGCGGGCTAGTTCGAGGACGAGTTGTTTGGATGGACTGTCCAAGGGTGGGACATGGATCTTTGGTCGCGTCATGGTAGTGTTTTCAAAGCTCGGAGTGAATATGAGAGGTGTGGGAAGGGTCGCTGGAGCGGAGTCTTGAGCCTCAAGGGCGCGGGTGGGGAGGGGGAGTTGAAACACGCGGCGCAGAGGAGATGGGACGAATGGTGGAGGGAGCGGCGGAAAGAGGTGCGGGCTAGCTTGGGGAGGGGATAATGTTCAAGGCGAGAAGAGAGACACGCAGGACATGATCAATTGGTGCTGGAATGGTGAATGGTGGTGATCGTGTGGGTGTGGTCGAGAAGTTTGGGAGTTGTCGCAGCTGTCGGGGCTCCGAGTCAAATTGCCCAGCCACGTGGGTGAAGGAGCGACGAGTGGCCCGATGGGTTACCAACGATGGTATCAAAGGAAATGTAAAGTCACCAAATGAATAAGGACAGGAGGGAAGCTACCACGAGTAAGAGGAGTATAGAGGCATAGCCATAGCCAACAAGGTCCAAAAGGGTAAACTGATACTGATAGAGACAAAATAAAATACATGAGTCAGCAAGACCCACCACCAAGTTTGGTTCTTCTTTGCATCATTGTCATTGTGAGCATCATCCACTTTCTCCAGAGCTATAGCTCTGGATAGCTATACCTAGCTATGGTTAGTGATAGTTTACTATTAGATATATATGACTGTACAACTTTCCAGCTGCCTAGGGCTGCTATTCATTATTCCTGATCCAGTACAGCCTGTATCAACTGGTCTTGTCGCAGCCACTCGGACTATTCCCTTAGCGCGAGCCTGTTGCTCCAGCTTAAATGGCCCTAACGCCGCAGACTTGTCACCCAATTGTCTTTGATTAGCTGAACTCCATAATTGAGAGACATAATTCCGGAATCTCATATCTCATAAGAGAAGTAGAATTTCCGGCTTTGGGTTCTTCAGGATGGACATCCCCGATGCTGCATTGGGATAATGAAGAGGTGGGCAATGGAGATCATCCACCGCATCCGCCATTGGAGAGTGTTTGTGGCAGGTATGAACGTGTCCTGACGGGCGGGAGTGGTGTGAAAGTAAATTTGATTACGAGTAATGACCATACCATTTCCATACATACGTATCCCCCACACCCGCTTTGTATGGATCCCATCATCACCTTTTGTCTTCTCCTTTCCCCCCTCCTCGACTCCCCTTCTCTTCTTCCCCATCTCTCTCTCTCTACTCTCTCTCCCCCCCCCATCGTTCCTTCAGTTCGATTCGGTTGATGCTTGCATCCTCCGTCCTATCCCTCTTAACAGCTCTTGTTGTCATTCTCTTCGGGGACGTGCAACCAGTTCTACCCGTTTGCTAGAATTCCCGGCAATCCTCGCCGACCAGAGCTCTCCAAAGCTTCCTGTTTCGCCCTCTCGAGGCCCAACCCCGCCAGCTCTCGCCATTGAGTGACAATTTTGATTTCATCCCACACCTTTTTGTGCCTCGGTGTCGTCGCCGTGCGTTCCTCTGCACCGGAACGTCATCCGCCGCCTCGGTCCCTCAACTCCTAATCTTGAATCGAGCAAGTCTCGTTCCTTTCATTCGGTTCGAAGGATTTCCCCGTCCCAGGTGCTTTGAGCGTACAATTGACTTCAACTGTCCGTTGCGCTCTCGACACTCTGACCGCCGACTTCCTTTTCACCGCTTCATTGGCCTCTGGCAAATTTCATCTCACGTTGGAACTAAGCGCAGACGTCATTTTGGAATGCTAGGGCTCCGAGCTTGTCATTAGTTTCTCTTCCAGGTAAGGGCTTTCTTTTTTCGGTGTTTTGGACTTCACGCAGTCCCATCTACCCATCTCCAATGAACAAATGACTTGCGTGATGCCCTCGTTGGCTGCCCATCGCCCCTCCCTGTTCATCCCCTCCTCCTCTCCCCCTCTCCCACATCTCCCCAAACAATCACTTCCACTCCTTAAACTTGTTTGCTTGTTTGGACTCTTGCCCAGCCGTGGAACTCGATCATCGTAACTGCCAACTTCATACACTTCCCCTACCTGGCGCCTTCTGTTGTTGATTCCCATTCACACCACCGGCCCATCCATCCCTCTCCCGCCTTTACCGTCCCCATTTGTTTTCATCCCGGAATCTCTTTCGCCATAACTGACCCACTCGTTTCTCTATCACTACAGTTCATCACCATCCTTGTGTTGAATCTTCGTACTTCGAACATACTCAACCCATCTGCGATCGGTTTGCGATCTAAATAACTCGGTTCGATTGCCTTTGGAGGCAACGCCAGTCTCTCCTGAATCCGGATCCTCTCCGACACTTCGCATTTTACAAACTTCAATAATCGCCGTCTTCATCTAAGGATCATGGATCAACAAGGCGGCCAGTCCGGGGTGCCAGGCCCCGGTGGACGCAAGCTCCATATTGCTCACCGGAGAAGTCCCTCTGAGCTGACTCCTTTGATGAGTATGTCCTCCACCTCCTGATCGAGAGTTGTGGTTGCACCTCGACTAACCACCTCCGGTGTTTTTAGTGGAACAATTGGCCATTCAACAACAGATCGAGCTGCTTCAGCAGCAACAGCAGCAAATTGCAGCTACACACCAACAATACGTAAACATGGGACTGTTGCAGCCTCAACAGCTGGGCCAGGTTAACGCTTTCCAACAGGGTGGCAACATGGGTGGTGTGAACCCCCAGGTCAACGCCTTCCAATTTCCGCAGCAACAGCAACAGGGACAACAACTGAATGTTCCCATGAACCAGCCCGCTCAACACTCGCACCGCCGTAACCAATCCGCCCTTCCGGGTCTCCCTATGGGCCCACCTCCTGCCCCGTCCTCCGGAGCTTCTGGTTATGCCGACTTCCAGCAACAAGGACAGAACCAGAAGCCTGAGAATAACAACCACGGCCGCGGTCGCGGAGGTCCCCCTGGCGGTGGCCACCAACGTCGTCACTCCCTTGCTCTGCCCGAAGCTAAGAAGGCGGCTGAGCTTGCTCAGCAAAAGAGAACTGCTTCTGGCTTCCAGTTCCCCGCTCCTTCCCCCGGTGGAGCCACATCAGAGAACCAGGCCACACCAGACGATAATCCTGGCTCCAGCACCTCCCCAGCACCCCAAGGTCTTGGTATGCAGCGAGCCGGAAACATGCGAGCTAGCGGCCATGGCCGGAGCCAGTCCATGGCTATCGGTGGCAACCGAGGTTCCATCTCAGGCCGTGGTGCAGGTGGTTTCCAGTTCCCAGCACCCAGCGATGGCGGCACCGCTGATAACCAGCGCCGAGGCAGTCAGCCCGGCGGCCACGCTCGTTCGGGATCCCGTAACTTTGATGGCAACTGGCGCCAGCCCAACAACCAGAACCAGGGTCAAGACCAGCAGAAGTCCTTCGGCCAGCAGCAGCAACAGCAGCAGCAGCAACAAGGTGGTTTCCAGCCTGGTCACCGCTCGCGGGGCTCCGTGAACCAGTCGATGGGATCCATCGGCCAGTTCCAATACCCTGGCCAGCCCCAGCTTCTCCAGCTGCCACAGGGCATGGTCATGGCACCACCTATGTTCGCCGGCAACCAGCAACTGAACCCGATCCAACTTGCCCAGCTCCAGGCTATTCAGCAACAGCAGCAAAACGGACAGGGCCTGGGCGGTCTTCAGGCTAGCCAGCACGCACCCCCTCAGCTGTCTGTTCAGCAGCAACAGCAGCAGCAGCAACAACAGCGCAAGACGCTTTTCACTCCTTATCTGCCGCAGGCTAACCTGCCCGCACTCATCAGCAATGGCCAGCTTGTTGCCGGTGTTCTCCGTGTTAACAAGAAGAACCGCTCGGACGCCTACGTGACTAGTACGGACTTGGATGCTGACATTTTCATTTGTGGCAGCAAGGACCGTAACCGTGCTCTGGAGGGTGATTTTGTCGCCATTGAGCTTCTGGATGTTGATGAGGTCTGGTCTCAAAAGAAGGAGAAAGAGGAAAGAAGAAGAAGCGTAAGGATATCACCGACGCTCGTTCCGGCAGCAATGCCGGAAACGACAAGCTGGGTCGATCCGACTCCAACAACGAGAAGCAAGAGATTGGTCCGGATGGAAGCATCCGTCGTCGTGGCAGTCTGCGTCAGCGCCCTACCCAGAAGAAGAACGACGATGTTGAAGTCGAAGGACAGAGTCTTCTCCTTGTTGAGGAGGACGAGATCAGCGATGAGCAAAAACCTCTCTATGCAGGCCATGTTGTTGCAGTTGTCGAGCGTATTGCCGGCCAGATGTTCTCTGGGACTCTGGGCCTGCTGCGTCCTAGCAGCCAGGCGACCAAGGAGAAGCAAGAAGCTGAGCGACAGGCCAGAGATGGTGCCCACGGTCGCCACCAGGATCGTCACCAAGACAAACCCAAGATTGTCTGGTTCAAGCCCACCGACAAGCGTGTGCCCTTGATCGCTATTCCCACTGAGCAGGCTCCCCGCGACTTCGTTGAGAAGCACCAGGACTACGCCAACCGCATTTTTGTTGCCTCCATCAAGCGTTGGCCCATCACATCTCTTCACCCCTTCGGTACTCTCGTCGAGCAGCTCGGAGAAATGGGTGACCTGCGGGTTGAAACTGATGCCCTGCTCCGTGACAACAACTTTGGCTCCGACGACTTCTCCGACGCCGTCATCAAGAGCATTGGCTGGGAAGATTGGACTGTTGCCAACGAGGGCGAAGCCCTGGCATCCCGGCGTGATTTCCGTGAAGAGACCACCTTCACCATCGACCCAGAGAACACCAAGTCCCTTGAAGATGCCTTCCACGTCAAGAAGCTTGCTGATGGCAAGGTTGAAATTGGTGTCCACGTTTCTGACATCGCCCACTTCGTCAAGGGTAACTCTCTTGTGGACCGCGAGGCCAAGAAGCGAGGCACTGCAGTGTACCTGGTGGACCGTGTTATGAACATGCTCCCTCCCCGTGTCTCCAATGAGCTTTGCTCTCTTGTTCCCGGCGAGGATCGCCTGACAGTCAGTGTGGTCTTCCAAGCCAACCTTGAAACCGGCGCCATTGATGACGACGTCTGGATCGGCAAGGGTATTGTTAAGAGTGCAGGCCGTCTCAGCTACGAGGCTGCCAACTCGGTCATCACTGGCAAGTCTAGCATGACCGGTACTGATGTATCTCCCGAGAACATTCAACTCCTGAGCACTGTTGCGAACAAGTTCCGGGATTCCCGTTTCGGAAACCGTGTCGCAGACGTTCCTCTACTGCGTCTGATCCAGCAGCTTGACGATGAGAACGTGCCTGTTGAATTTAACATTTTCGACTCCAGCCCGGCCCATGAACTGGTCGAGGAGCTGAGTCGCCAGGCCAACTACTTTGTCGCGCGTAAGCTATCCGACGCCCTGCCCGACAAGGCCTTCCTGCGCCGCCAGCCGTCCCCCAACTCTCGTCGCCTCACTTTGTTTGTTGAGAGAATGAACCGCCTCGGATACAAATTTGACTCTTCTAGCAGTGGAAGCCTGCAGAGCGCTTTGTGCAATGTCTCCGATGTGGACATCCGTAAGGTATGTAGATGGATCGCTACCAAATCCAGACCTGGGAACATTTACTAACAATCTTCCTCTAGGGAATGGAAACACTCCTTACCAAGGCCATGCAACGTGCCAAGTACTTCGTTGGATCCGGCCCTGCCGATGAGCAGCGTCAGCACTACACCTTCAACGTGCCCGTTTACACTCACTTTACCAACCCATCTCGTCGCTATGCCGATGTTCTCGTGCACCGTCAGCTTGAGGCTGTCCTGTCAGAGGGCGCCATTGAGTTCACTGATGATATAGAGTCACTGAACAAGACTGCCGATCTGTGCAACAACAAGAAGGACTCGGCTCACAACGCGCAGGAGCAGAGCGTTCACATCGAAGCTTGCCGCAACATGGACAAGAAAGTTCGTGAGATCGGCGGTGACCTTATCAGCGAGGGTATTGTTCTTTGTGTCTACGAGTCTGCCTTTGATGTTCTGATCCCCGAGTATGGCTTCGAGAAGCGAGTGCATTGTGATCAGTTGCCTCTCAAGAAGGCCGAGTTCCGCAAGGACTCGCGCGTGCTCGAACTCTACTGGGAGAAGGGTGTTCCTTCTTCTGCTTACATTCCCGAGGATGAGCGCCCCAAGCCTGCTAACTCTCGCGCTGCTCAAGCGGCTGCTGCGGCACGTGAGGCGGAGGCTGCCAAGGAGCGTGCCCGTGAGCGCGACGAGGCCATGCGTAAGCAGACGGAGACTGGTACCATGTCTGCGGACGATGTTGATGCTCTCTTCGATGACGACGAAGAGGATGTCGACGAGGTGACTGAACAAGTTGCTGGTGTCTCTCTGAGCTCGACTGACCGGTCGACCCAGAGCATGCCTCCGTCGCCTACTCGCAACGGCCACCACCAGCAGGGACCTCACCGCACTCGCTCCGATCCTAAGATCGCTTCGAGCACCAGCGATGCTCCTGAGAACAAGCTCACCAACAAGGAGAAATATCTGAAGCTGTTCAAGCTGAGAGAGGAGGACGGAGAGTTCATCCAGGACGTCACTGAGATGACTCGCGTTCCCATCATCCTGAAGACTGACCTGAGCAAGAGCCCGCCGTAAGCTTCCCCCACCATGATCCCCCACATAGAACCTCACTGACCGATTTTCTAGATGCCTTACTGTTCGGTCTGTCAACCCTTACGCCCTGTAAGGATCGTCTCATAGGTGGTTTATATTCTCCTTGGGAAATATTATTGCATGCGTATCCTGCAGATTTTCGGGGCTGTCGTCGAATCCCTGTGCTTTCGCAGACTGGTTTGATTGACCATACCCACGAACATAATCCTCACCCCTAGGCGCGGATCGAACATATCATTATCAAAGACTTTCTTGTCTCTTGGTACCCCCCTATTATTCTCTTTGATCGGTGGCTATTCCATTCCAATCAATGACCTCAATTCCCTCTTCCCCCAATGTTCGAACGTCCCCCGGGGCTCGTATACTTATTTTTTTGTTATATGCTGTGCAGCGGTTGTTTGTCTTTTTGTGAGCTTTTCAAATCTTCAGGAGAGAGAAAAAGGAAGAGAAAGTATCCCATGCTTGAGCTTGAGCTTGTGTCTTGGTCTTTCTTTTACCCAATCTATGTCGTCGTGATGGTCATTGATTGATTGCTGGAGAGAGATTCGAGGGGAAAGATTGTCGCTCGATAGTTTCCAGAGTGGAATTCAAGTAATCCAGGTATTTACATAGTTCTTTGGTGTTGGACCGCTACTAGTTAGTAGGCACCCGTAGTGCTTGTAGAGGCAGACTGAGTAGATGGTACTAGTAGTTAGTACTAGCTTCTGGGCGTCTGAGCAGGGTTTCGATTCAAAATTTGAAAACAGATTCTCGTGCTTGATTAGTTCCGAGAGTACATAGTAAAAACATTCCAGGTTGGCATCAAAAAGGCCTTTCCAGGTTTAACCAATGACCGTGACACCTGTAAGAACTTGAGGCCCACACTTCCCAATTTCAAGGTTCAAGATAGCCTCGAACCCCATTACCACTTAGTGCTGTTGCTATCCACAAGAATACAGGGCATACAAAACTTCAGAACAGCCAAATGCAAAACAAAATACTAGTAGCAACTGGGCAGAGATCGCTTGAATAAATAAATTTCATATTTCAGTTCCTTCCTAACTCCAAACGAAAATGCAGATCTAAATGTCTCAAACATATTGCGGCACGACCATTGGGTATCAGATTAAAATCACATTCAGGTCACACCATCCATCCATCCATTCCAGCCGCAGAAAACAAAACAAAACAAATAAAAAGAAGCAAGGCCGACGGGAGAATTTAAGCAAAAATCCCATCTTACAAGACAAGAAATATCCACCAGATTACTCCTTGAAAGCATTGTTAAAGGATGCATGCACAGCATCTAAAGTCGCCTCACACCGATCCTGGGCTTCGCCTTCTGTACACCTTTTCGAGCACCCGAAGGAACCTTTTTCATGACCTTTGACTGTGTCGGAGCTGCGAGTGTTGAAATGGGGTGCATTGCACTGGCTGTATTGGGGGTTGAAAGAGGTTCTATTTCACCAGCACCACGGTGCGGGCTGGGTAGTTCTTGAACACTGCGCGACATTCCGGGACCAGCCGTTCCGAAACGAGTTGAGAAATCGGACAAAGTGCGGTCTGGCACGTCCTCGTAGATTTGCATGTCGTCTGTAAGTCGGAAGGGAGGGATTGTTTGGGGGGTGGTTGTGGCTGATAGGGCTTGTTTGCCGAGGAAAATGCGTTTGGGGGATTTGCGAGGGGAGCGGGAGCGGGAGCGTGTGTTTGGATGATGGGTATTATTTGCGGTAATATTTTGTTCGGAGCTTGATGAGTGGTGGTTATGTTGGTCTTGGTCGTCGTCTGTGTCGATGATCATCATCTCTGTGTCTTGGTCGTCGGGGTACGGTATTGAGAGGACGGAGAGAGGCCGTTTGCCTAGGGCTTTGCGGGGGCTTGGTGGGGTGAGATTTTGTCGAATTGGTGTTGGGGAGAGGGAAGGGTTGTTTTCTTTGCTTGCGCTGGCTGGGTCTTCGTTTTCGCTGTCGCTCATGTTTTCGTCCTGAGGGGGGGTTTGGAGCCGGAGCTGGAGCTGGAGCTGTGGGTTGTTGGTTGGTGGGAGGGGCAGTGGGAGCTCTGCGGGTGGGTTTCATTGTCGTTCCGGTGTTCAGACGAGGTTGCTTGCGTGGACGTGGGTGGGCTGTTGTCTCCTTTTCCTCTTTCTTCTCCTCCTCGGAAATGGAGTCCAGGTCTTCGCCTCTGTATTTTGCCTCACGGACGGCGGTTGCATAGTTCGGTGGAACGGGGGCGTGAATGGAGGTCATCAGTTTAGCTTGGTGTGCGAAGGTTAGAAAGTCTTCTCGCAGAAGAGCTCCTGCGCTGGAATTGAGGGCGGAGTCTGGGTTTGGGTTGATGAGAAGGCATGAGATTGTCTAGCGGGAAGAAGTTAGTACAAACATCATGGTACATCGGAACAAATGAAGTTTTTGACTAAACCACTTACCACAAGGACGTCACGGAGGGTCAGTTTTGACTGCCAGTCCCGTTTCAATGTGTCCACGCATACTGCGCCGGTGTTCTCTTCGACATTGGGGTGCCAGATTTTGGTTCGAAAGGTCGCCTTGGGAGGGCTCTTGGGGTAGTCTGCCGGCATCTTGAGATGTAATCGCCACAGACCCTGCGCATATGGAGTACCTGCCGGTCCGGCCAGAAGGATATTGAGTTGTGACAGGTCATCGGCGAAATGGCCGTCATCTGGTGGCAACATGTAGTACGGCGGAAGCTCGTTGTGGAGGGCGGCATGGTCTGCGGCCAACCGGCGGAAGTTGGAAGGCTGAAGAGGATTGTTAGAGAAGGGGGCATAGGGTGCACTGAAGGAACACTAGAGAACTTACCATAACGAGTCTGAAGTTGCGACTGATGATGCTGCGACTGCGATGACGATGTTGGCTGATAACAACAAACAGAGGAGTTGCTTCAACGACGGGTTTGGGGCCAGGCCGCTAGTCCCCTTTGGGATCACGTGTGAGGGCGACGCGACGCGTTTCAATTAAGACCCAATTAGGAAGGTGCGACTGGATGCACTACGGATTTCTCTGCTCGACACTGCAATTCTGTCTTGGGACACTTGCTACTACTAGTAGTACTACTACGCAGTAGTTATTGCACAGTATTGCACTTTTTTGTACTCTTGTACCGCGTATTGACGATCAATTAGGACCTCACGAGCCACACTCGACAGGGCTGAGTGGAGACATCACATTCCACATGAAGTGGATCTATCTAGTTGATCGGCGGAGATGAGTTCTCGCCCAGTGCATTGCATGGTTAACATTGCAGGAATAAAGTTAGATGTAGCAGGTGGACGTATCTCCTGCAATGTACAATACCCTGATAGCTGACTCTACATCTAGTTCAGATCGATCACCCAGGGGAAATTGTCATCGATTGTCACCAATCTTCTCATATTGACCTCGAATTAAGCTAATCATAACCTCGAAACCATCCATGAATGTAAAAGAGTAGGAGCAGGAGGTAGAGTAGAAGATGCAAACACCATGAATATGCCATCACATTCACTGCTTGATAAAAAAAATATCAAAATCAAAATCACAAAAAAACAAACCAGGGCCCAGTGATGATGGAATTACATGTCCCCCAAAATTAATAAGTGTCAAAGGAAAGGAAGAAAAGAATTATCTCGCTTGCATTTTCATATCCCTCGTCTCGACCCGGGTACAGGAATAAGCACTATACCCCAGTCGAGTCCGCCATTCAAATATCTCCTAGCATAGCTACAGATGTGTAACTCGCTTACAGAGCGAAAGCAGCCAGGGCAGCACCGGCAATGAGGCCGAGAGCGGGGCCAGCAGTAGCAGCGGCACCGGTGGAGGCGGAGGTAGTGCCGGTCTGGGTGCCAGTGGCAGTGCCGGAGGAGGAGGAGTCAGTCGAGTCGGTGGAGGTATCGGTGGAGGTACCAGTGGCAGTGGACGACTTGGTGCGAGTGCTGGTGGTCAGGCTCTTGCTGCCACTGCCAGAGGCAGAGGCAGATCCAGAGCCGGTGGCCGAGCCGTGAGCTGAGGAGCCGGTACCAGTAGCAGTGGTAGCAGTGCCAGTGGCAGTGGCACTGCCAGTCTGGCCAGGGTAACCAGAGGCACCAGAGGGCTCGGAGGTCAGACCAGCGGGGATGCTGGCAGCGGGCTCCTGGGAGGTAACGGCGGCTGCCTGGGAGGTGACGACGTCAGGCTGGCCGGTCACAACTCCGTTGGAGTTGGTCTCGGTCAGATACTGAGTGGCAGGGTTGCTCTATTAGCTCTGAAGTTAGAGGATGGACTCGACAAGGTTGGTTGATGTTGATAATGAGTCCTGAGTGGATACTTACCTGGGCAACAGCACCCTGGAGGGCGAGAGCAGAGAGAGTAGCGAAGACGACGGAGTAACGCATTGTGAAGGTGATTAAGTCAACAAGTAACGAGTGTTGAGTAGAGTAAACGGAGTGAACGACCGTGGGGTGGAAGTGGAAATGGGAAGTGAGATGGAGATGAAAGGGCAAGTTAGGGTAAGAAAACAAAAACAAGAGCGGGTGGCCAGGAGACACGACATGGTCTTATATGCCAGCCCCCATCGGCCCTGAAATGGCTTCAGCTTTGGCCAGTCACTCTCGAATGGACCAGTCAGCATGCAGACTCCAGTCTGGCTGCAGTTCTAGTGCGGCGCTGGATCTGCAAGGTCGGCACCGGCTGCTATTTTGGTTTGGACCGGGGGTCACACCGGCTGCCTGCCGTGCTGCCTCGATACGTAAGCCGTTGAGAATTGAGTACATACAATACTCGTATCTGCTGTTGTTTCCTTTGATTCTCTCACGACCCGTCGATTCTGCTCTGGATTACGGGGTTTGGCTTCCAAGTTTAGCATCGCCCCACCCGTCATCTATTCGCGGGACCCGAGCCTAGTGGCGTTGTTAGGTCAAAAGTACAACACAATCCTGCCGAACCCAGCTAGAAAAACAAGAAATGGCGTGGCAGTGTGGCAATGCCTCCTCTACACCCTCCCCGGAGACCCTTCGGCCTAATCCAGGGTCACTGTGACCCTGGATGTTGCGTTGTTGACTTGTATCATCTGGGGTAACTATACGGTACCCTCTTGAGTGGACCGCGTGGAGGCATACGAATCTCGGGCTTCGCCAGCCACTCACCATCGACCCACAGACCGATGATCCAAACATTTGGCTTCCTCGGTCCCAAGTCCGATTTTCCAGCTGTTAGAGGCTAGACCTATTCTCGATTTTCAGTGGCGCGGGTGAGACAAACGAGGCCACTCTCCCGTCTCCAGCGATCAGCACCTGAGACATCACATTGTCCATTCTTGTTTTTTTATTAGCACTTACATGCTCATACGTAGAGTTTTCTTTTGCTGTTGCTGCCTTTTGCGATGTCGCGATCGACGGAGAAAGGATCGCCTGCATCTTTCACCTGACTCAGGCGGGATGGCGTTTGATTATTGCAATATTGTGTCGACCCTGCCGCAATATGTAAGGCTGTCCCTTTCTTCAAGGTTCTTTTGTCTTCGACAGAACTCCACCACTTGCTACCCTACTGACTTTTCTCCGCTCATAAGGCATGGATCGACATCGATGTGTCTTGGAGAAAGACAACGCCAACCTATTAATATACCTAGCCTATACATGCTCGTCATGCGTTTCTCAAAGTTTCATGCATTCATCGCGAGACCCTAGTCCATTATTCTTAAGTGTCGCTCTGTCTCTCCTGCGTAAATATCCAAATAGTTTCAAAACACGCCTTAGAACCTTAAGCCCCCACCCAATGTCCAGTCTGTTTGATTCTCCGCACCGCCTTCCTTAAATCCTCCATGTAAATATCATGCTGCCGCTGCTTGATACTCTGCGGGATCCACGGGTACATGATTCGCGTAGACGCCACAAACGCCTGATAAGCAATCCGGCTCGCGGGAGTGGGTTGAAGATCATATTCCTGCGCCAGACGCTCCGGCAGCCAGTTGACCGTGATAATCCGCGCTAGTGGCATAGATGCAGCCACACTGAGCGGGAGGTTGATTGGATACATCAAGTCCCGACTCAACTTGCGCGCCATATCAGTGACCTCTAACGTGGCGATATTATGATCCCAATAAGCCCAGAACTCGGCCAGAGTGGCCGGCCACATTTCTGGCGGCATGCGAAGCGACGTGCCGAAGATAGCCGACTCTTTGAGCAGAACGTCCATCTCGGTGTCGGACATCTTGCCGAAAAAGGCTTCGCGGACTAGGATGATGCCGAAGAAGAGAGTCGCTGCCGTCCACTTGTGTAGCTCGGGGTCATTTGCGTCGTAGTCATCGCCCTTGACGCGGGCGTGGTACTTGTGGATGACGGAGAAAATGGCATTCTTTTCTTCGGGGGGTTCCGCATACAGCGGCGTTGAGGAATCGCGCGGTGTTGCGGAGGCGTTGGGGGATCCGGGTTGCGAAACTAGAGTGCTTATAGCTACCCTTGGCGAGGGCGGGGTGAGCGAACTGGCATAAGATGGCTACCTGTCCACCTAGTAAATAGATGTCGTTCTCCACAACGTTCCGGAGTTCCTTCGGTTCTGTGATGGTTTGGAAGACGGGCGCGTCCGTGGCTTTCACTGGGGTCTCTTCATCGTTCGACATGGTTTTTCCTTTGTGCAATATTCTCAACGATCACTGCAATCTACGCCAGGCCTTTGCAGTTCATGCAAGGCGTACGTGTGGAGATATATCAGATCCTGTCAGTGGTGGAGCCGCGGACCGAGGATCGTGGGATGCTAGACTCGTCGAGTGAAAGGGTCTGGAGATCGTCTGCTGTTGGCTCTGCATATGAAGTTGACTTCCGCTATTTGGCATGAGCCTGAGCTTCTAAGGTTTTCCATGAGATAGACTCGGGGCTCCCCGTGATCCCCATCCACGCGAATCAATTTGAGGGGGCTTGCCCCCTCCTTCCACGGTTCCGGCTGTCACATGCTGGGGAAATGTATAAATCTGTCGATCACTGCATATTTTCACCAGGCACTAATTTTCTTTTCCGTCGGAAAGACTTTTATTCAAATATCATGACCGCAACTATTTGTGATTATGGCTCCAAACCTTCGAAGTTACCAGGTCTCCTAATTTAACCATAATTATGCCACAGCCTACTCAATACTACAGCGGATTATATCTCAATATCGAGTTACCAATCTTATTTCTTAAATATGGGTAAAACCATGAGCTTTCTCATACACTGAAGTAGCTTTATAATAGTTAGCCTGCTTAACTACGTGTTCATAAACTCTTCTATTACGGAGCGATCCCCTCTATCCTGTCTTTAATGCGTAGACAGCCTATTATTATGTAAACTACGCTATCTACTAGGGACCAACTGGCGGAGCAGCTGGGTAGTCGGTGATAGAGTTAAGTGACCGAAATATAGTTGAATTATTTCAAGTTGAGGTCTGAGGTACAATAAATTACGGAGCTCACAAGCCTAGGGTGAATTCCGAAGACCTGCTTCGTTATGATATGGTGGCGACCGTTCTCTCCTTTCATTTCCGATTCATTTAGCCTGAGTCTCCTGATCCGCCTCTTCTTTCCTCTCAAGTCAAATGGATACTTGATGTAACCAACCAGCATCTGTATGCTAAGTAGCTTTTACCAAACGAACCATCAAATCTGGCATTGGCTTCGCATAAAATGATTTGGCTGGCTCAAAGGTTTGGTCCGCATTATCCAAGAAAACCTGATAGTGGCTAAAAAGTGCGGCTGTTAAACATGCCAGCTCTAGTCTAGCAATAGACAAACATAACCCTGAGATCCACGTGTCATATTCCACAAATCTTAGGGTGCCTCAAAGTATTTCATACAGATATAGAATTATCTCTGGCGTACATAGCCGGTAAGGAATAGAGTGTGGCTTGCCGAGTCGGATATCTGGATATCCGCTCAACAACATTACTAAAGACTTATCCCAACCTGGTACTACTCTGCTGATGATCATTTACCACTCTCGGTTTGGAACTGCATTATAAGCTAGGTCAAAGGAACGAATCGACTCTCGGACACTAGTAACTAATTCAGCCGAAAACCTCTCATTCGTGGACGGATTTCGGGCTAATTTCATGGCGACATATTCAACCCCATACCCCGCAATCCTCGCATCCACCAGACACCACATGCTATGCCAAGGTGCATATCTATCTACTATCCTGGTAAAGTGTATATTTTTGTAAAATACGCTATTCCGGAGCGGAAGAGCGTTCATCCAAGATACGTATAAAGGAGCGGATCAGATGGCTACATCGAAATCCCATCTTAAGTGTCACAAATTGCAATGAAAATTAGTATGTTTGATAAATTGATTATATCATCTCTGTTATGCCTGGCTGCAGCAAGATATACCGACTCGGCTCGTGAGTCAGCGTTGAGAGTCACACTTCCAATATTCACAGTTCAAGGCGTGGCTTCGGATAACTCCTCGTCGGTTCGCGTTTTTCGAGGTGTCCCTTACGCCGAGCCTCCTCTTGGGGAGCTCCGTTTCCGACCTCCAGTAACCAAGAGACCTGTATCCGGTATCATCGATGCGACAAAATACAAGGATATTTGTCCTATCTGGAACCAGGGAGGCCCGAGTATTTATAGCGAGTATATTACTGGCGATCAGCCTTATCCGTACCTGGATCAAGGAGAAGATTGCCTTCATCTCAATATATGGACCCCTATCAATGCGACATACCACAGTAACTTAACAGTCATGATTTGGGTTCATGGTGGCGGGTATGTGTTTCTACCCAATAACTCGCATGACTAGAGCTAATAATTTTGCGAGTTAGGAATACCGGTGGTAACGCCGCCCAGCCCTTCAAGGAAGGAACTTTCATTGCTCAGAATCAAAACGTTATTGTAGTCTCTCTAGAGTAATCAACTTCCCATTTTCCTATTCTCTAAAATCGGGCAAATCGGGCATCATTTATTCGGCTAATATTGCGACTTCTTAGCTACCGACTGAACATTTTCGGTTATCCTGGCTATGTACCCGCGTTTGGGGGCAGAAATCTGAATCCTGGCCTGCTCGACATCCGAAAAGCTGTCGAATGGACCTATACTTATATTAAGTATTTTGGCGGGGATCCAGAGAGCATGGTTCTATTTGGGCAATCTGCGGGTGGAGCGAACGTTGATTACTACACCTACGCGTGGTCAACTGATCCCCTTGTAAAAGGATTCATTTCAGAAAGCGGCGTTGCAAGTTCATTCGGGAATTTTGATCTGCCTGGCAACAACTGGACCTATGTGGCCGACCACTTCAATTGCACCGGCAATCAAGATCAGCAGCTTAGCTGTCTCCAAGAAGTCCCGTGGAGAGACTTGATTGACCTCTCCTACTCCTATAACTCGACATTAAATGGCGGCAAAACACTGAGCTTTGGACCTCAGCCTGATAATCAAACGATTTTTAGCAATTACAAAGATCTCAGGCGACGTGGACAGTATGCGAAGGGTGTAAGTTCGAGTCGATTATTCTTGCTATACTGAAGCTAAGGTTAGAATAGGGCTATCTGACTGGTAACAACGCGAATGAGGGCGAGAGTCTTATCACGCCATTCTCCGAGACAAGCGGACCAAACCAGACCTTAGTTTACATTCAGTCCGATCTACTTTTCAATTGTGCAAGCAATTCATCAGCAACGTGAGCTGTTACTATCCACTGAATCCTTCAATCAGTACCTAACATCAATTCATAGTGAGCGCTCGGAGAATGAAACTCCACAATGGAGATACTATTACCGTGGGGTGTGGCCAAACCAAAATCCCTTCCCTTGGCTTGGGTCCTATCACTCAAGTAAGCAAACTTCACAAATATTGCGCACGGGTATTGACTGATTCTTGTCTCAGGTGAGATCCCTCAGATTTGGGGTACAGCGGAAACATGGGGAGGTAACAAGCTTGGTGGTCCCAACACCCCTGAAGAGGCAGCTTTTAGCCGCTACATCCAGAGAGCATGGGCAATCTTTGCGAAAGACCCCATGAATGGTCTCTCCACTTTAGGCTGGCCCAAATACAACGTGAACGAGGAAACGTTGATTCAGCTAGCGTATAATGGCTCAACGATTCCACAGTTCGTAAGCCCTATGGTGGCTGATCAGAACTGCACTTTGCCAGGACACTGTATGTTGAGATCTTATTTCTAGCGTGCAGGCCATTATTCACTAATAGAAATCTAGCGGCTTAATCATTGAAGAGTTGGTTGTTTATCGGATGGGTTCAGTTCATTATTATATTCAACATCTGAAAGGAAAGAATTTGTCAGCCAAACTTGAGTTTCGAAAGATTAAGATTGAGATCTACTAGGATGCTAGCAATAAAAAGGTTGGTAGCCTGAAGATTGGTCTCCGATGTCTCACCACATCATGCTGCTAGTATTTTCTCCAACCCACTCAGACTATGTTGATATGACAGAAGAGCTATTTCACATGATCTTCTAAACCTGCTGGAGCAATGCTGTATTCCTCCAAGCAAGATAGTCTCTCATTTGAGAAAGTTGCACTGGTACCCATTGATGTTATTAACACAATAATTTGGCAGCTTCTGAAACCCAGGCTTTTTCCTACCCGCGCAGGTCGGGCCATTTCTTGGTAGCGGCCAGCTGAAATGGCAATATGAGTAGAAAGGTCGAGGAACCGAGTACTTACATCGTGCCGACAGTGCATGAATAGCCTTCGGTATCAACGGCGAACGAACCAGCATTCGTTTGCCATTCCTTTCTAATCGAATGACCCGTTCCTGGCCCTTTGCATTCACTGTAACAGCCCCCCTTGAAATTGAAGTCATGGCACACTCGGATCTTGACACAAACACGCGGCTCGAGGATTGCGGCCTCGGGTTCGGCTTCAGGTATGGCCGCAGGAATGGGATCAGGGTCGGCTGTAGCTTGTCAATGAAAGTGCATATAGGTAGGACTGATTGGGGAAGTGCTTCGGGTCACCTTCGGCCAAGGCGATGGCTCGGTTGGTCAAGAATGCCAACGTTGCGAATACGGCGAAGAGCTTCATTCTGGCGACTTGAAGTTTTCTTGTGATTGGGTAGAAGCCTAGTGGATGAAATATACCCTTCAAAGCCAAAGGCTTGTTTGAGAGTAGGTTTCGGGATATCTATAACCTTTGAGAATTTTAATTATCAGCTGTGTTACATCCTACTCTCTTGGCCCTGAAGCTGTAATGTTTTAGTTGCATGTTGGAACAGCAGAGATTTCACGGTATTTAACGTTCAAATTTAATATGCAATCCAATAACTAGTTCAGCAGCATATACAAGAGGATTACATGAGGCGCCCCAATTTCTATCTCGCCCACAGTGTCTCTGCATGTTTGCCCTGTATATCTATGCGGCCTCCCGCATTTTTGAAGCCAGTTGGTCGCCTGAGCCGCACCGAGTAACTGCCATGGGAAGTTGAAGGGCTTTTCCAGGCCGCCAAGCTAAAATTGCATGTCGTTTGTAACAGAAATGCATCCTGTAAATTGGGCAGCTTCGTATATGTTCGTATATGTCGCCCAATAGCCAATCGTCCTACATACTGTCTCCTTCTACTTCACGTGCGTTTCAATATACCTCAAGGCTCCTGGTAGAGAAGTAATTTCGTGATACATGCCGACAGTCCAAGATGGCCTTGATTTAATTTGTCTTTGGTTTTTACTTCGTTTTTTAATTACTTATGACTTTCTATTCTCAGCTTTGACAGTGAAGTGTCATTGGATCGCAGAAATAGTGCTCGGTGGAGGACTTTCACGACTCGTATTCTTCAAATGACAAATCAGATGTAAACAAGTCTGCCATTTGAAGAGCGCCGTAGAGATAATTCCTTGTTTCCGCGTCCTCGCTGGTCTTATATCTCTGATCCTCATTAGATATATCCGAAATGCTTCCCATATCCACCGACAAAATAACATCATGCTTAGCGACAATATCTTGATACAAATCTGCCCAAAAGCCACCTGAGTTGAAAAATGGTGTATTGGTATTCACAGGCGACGGCCCTCCGAAGAAGATGGTCACGCCAATGGCGAAGAGATGACCTGGAAGGGATAGAACCCATTGAAAGAGAGTACCCATACGTAACCCCTCATCTTGGCGAGGCCCTCGTGATCTCTTGAGACTCACTCCTTCAGCGTTCACACTCCTCGTTATAGAAGCAAGTGTAAATGCCGGCGGTTGTTGGGTCAACATGTGGCGCCAACTTGCTTCAGGACGAAGATATGCAAACTCTTTTAGGGGATGAAGAGCAATATCAATGGTTGTCAGATCAACAAACTCTGTTGGCTGGTTGATCGTTCGGTTGGTTTTTGGGATTAATGTGGGAAACTTAGTCGCTAGAAGCGGGTTGAATATCGGCGCGGGATTGTTGTCTTTTGGGCTGATTGGGGCAAGGAATAATTTCGCCTGCAGTGAGGGAGTTTCTTTAATGACAGTTCTCCACATCCGAGAGACTCGCTGGGCAGAAACTAGCAGTGTATGCATGTCTAGTTCTTGTAAGACCAAAGTGAGGATCTCTGGCACAGCGAGTGCCCTAGACTGGGCAGCCATCTTGGCACTGTGTATCGTTGGCTCCGGGGGTGAGGTAGCCTACTGATACTTTCCGCAGTATAATGAGATGATGAGACTATTATTGTCCGAGTAGTGGGTTTCTGGAAATAAAGAGCGCCCGATGGGATTGGCAGTGTGTTATGAATGTTAAGGTTGCCTGATCAGCCGCATTGTGGGGTTGTTTACGCGTTGAGCACGGTCGTAGCCTACGTCAAGGCGACCACGTTTTTATAATTAACAGCTATCACTTCAATTCTACCGAGAAATCCACTTTACTATATGATAATATTGCGCAAATTTATTTTTTATATGCGTGGGTGAGCAGTGCTTCATTTCAGCAAGAGGGTAATTGTAATTGTCAATCTATTTGGTTCAGACGCGAAGGCTTGTGTAAGCAGTCACATCACCAATTCTGTCTAAAATCTTTCCAAAATACATTATAGATATTAATAAACATTGTCTCAGGACAGAGTCGCCAAACCGGAGCTATCGACGTTTCCATAGATCCACTGGCTAAAATTGCTCGGGGCTGCCTGGTTGCAGGGAATGCCGGAGCCCTTCTTGTTGACGAGATTTGTGCACTGGAACAGTTCACGCTGAATATCAGTGCCATAGTACGGAAGACCAAGCGAGGCGTTGACGCCTGTGATGTTCACGTTGTCGAAAGTGATGTTGGGGCAGGGACGCTCATCAGAACAGTAGAGAGACGCAGCAATGTTGAATCGCGATGTTCCGCGAATATCTTGCCACTTGACGTCTTCAATCTGGAGCTTCGATGTGTTGCAGCCTTTGTTGGAATCGGCTGAGTAAACGCACTGCGACATCTGAATGGGCAGTCCCACATTCTCCATCGTGAAGTTGCGGAAGGTGATGTTCTTGACCAAGCCAGTACCACCGCCACCCCAGTCACCATTGCTAGGGGTGTAAATGCGAGTTCCTTGCCAAGTTTTGATATAGGCTCCATCCATTGCGTTCTTGATGTGAACATTTTCGAATGTGGTGTTGAGGTTGTAGTCGGGGGTCTCGGGGTACTGGCCAATGGATCCAATTGTGATTCCGGTACCCCCTTCACAGTAAATGTTCTTAGCGTGCAGGTTTGTGGTGTTGCCCTTAGCAGCAATACAATCATCGCCAGTGATAATTGTAGCATTCTCCACAAGGAGATTGTCACTCTGCCAGGAATCGTAACCATCGCAATTCATCGTATACCACTCGCTGTCACTGGTGGCGTTCACGAACAGATTGGTCATGGATACATTCTTACTGGCCCAGACAAATGTGGCCCAAAATTGAGGTTGGATGATCTTCAGCCCATCAACAAATAGGTTGGTTGAGTTATAAAATGTCATACTCATCGGGCGTCCGGGCTGGTTCGATTCGTTCCTGTTTGCATTGTACCAGGCTTGGCCTCCGCCGTTGTAGAAACCACCTTCGCCATAGAAGTTCACGTTGGTACCTCCGAATAGCCAGGCAGTGACTTGATCTTGCAGAACGACACTGATGGCATGGGTTCTCCAGTAGGGGATGTTGGTAGAGAAGCGCAATTCTCCGCGGAGATGAACATCGCAGTTCAATAAGTTGGTGGTGTTGAGAACGGTGTTGACATGGAACACGTTCTTTGAGAAGATGACCGTACCGTTAGTGCCACACATCTCAAATGCTTGCTGGATAGATGGCGAGTCATCGACAGCCTGGCCATGGTGGACAAGGGATTCAGGGTACAGAGTGCATGTCGTGCCTTGGTTGTCAACCCAGGCTGCAACCAGGGTGACCCAGAGAGTAAGTCCCAATAACAAATTCATGGCTGTTCGTTTCGACGTAGTAGAAACCCCTATTCAGTAAAGCCTTGTGGCGGATGGCAACCTCTATATACTACTACAATGCACAATCGCTTGCGGTATTTTCCGCCGTATACCCCACAGACATGGAGTGAGTCGACTCGGACGCTACATCATAATATCCACTGTCAAGTATGGTTAAACAAATAGCCTGCAAGTGCACATATCTTCAGAGAAAACGGCAATTGAGATGAAATGTTTCAAAGGCCTAGTCAAGCGGGGTGACTAGGTCGGCTATTCTCCGAAGTTGGTGATTCGTTCCTTGTTCAGGGTGTTAGTAAAGCCCCCGCCTCTCCAGCCAGGGCCTTGGCGATAAAAGGCTTAGCTTCGGAGTATCTTCTGAGATTCTACGCCACTTACGGTATCCGGGGTGATGATCTTGATATCGTTCTCTTCCTTTCAATGGAAATTTATCTTCGATATATTGATCTGTTCCATGTATATAAGCATTTTGGGGCATTGCTAGCCCGAATTGCATGCAAATCTCATTGCACTCGTAGGTAATTTGTCATATGGAGCTGAAACGAATAATTCTCCGGCTCTTCCAAGGTTCATCGGGTTCTCCTTCATCAACTAAACTACCCCCACGAGACTGACCAGGACACCCGCACCCGCACCCCGGGACTTCTCCCGAGACAGAAATTTTCGCTACATTCTCGGGCCCAACCCCCGCCTCGTCACGAATTCTGACCCGAGATCGGCACCTGGTGACTTCCCCGAAATCGAACTGATCGGCGCCGAACTCGGCAATGAATCCATCTGTACGGAGTACTCCGTAACCGTCCGTGAATTCTACGGCTTTTACTCCTCAGACTCTACTCTTCAGGCGGCCACGGATGGCGAACACAACCACTTGATCGAATTGAATTCCTAAAAGCTACTATAGAGACAGCTGAAAATTCTTTGTCTGCGTCCAAGAACTCCTGAGCTTGTTAAAGCTTTCTATCGAATTAGACGTACGTTGCTCAGTACGCGCCCTCCCGCTTGTGCCACTGTGACATCGGACTCATTTCGATCGGCCGGGGTAACTGCTTTGAACCACAGGACCAGCAATCAACTCTAAATTCTCCACTTTCCCACCACCCTTCTCTAGCGCCCAGAGACTGACACCGAGATGGTTTTCACCATGGTAGTCCCAAATGCCTTCTGGAACCGGGAAAATATCTTGTGGTCCGATATTATGAATCCATTTACCAAATTGGTATCCATTCACATAGACTTGGCACCGGATACTGCTAGTTGTGTCGGTGTTGTTTGCAAAGGATAACGATATCGGGATATCGTATCCAGTCGGCATGTCAAGTTTGAATGTGGTCGCGTAGAAGGCCACTCCTGGCTCACTAAGCCCTTCCATGGGGCCCAGATTGCTGTCATTCCAAGATAAAATTGGGGCGCCGGGTAAATGGTAGCCTTGTCGCTCTGCAAATAGTCCTCCTGTGGCCGCGTTAGATGCTTTCCAACCAGACACTTCTATGAAAAAGTTTAATCCTACCTTCGTTAAGTGGACCTCGAATGCGATCACTATAGCTTTCCCCGCCGAGATTTCCGGTAATTTTCCAAGACAAGTCCGATTGTTTGAATCCAGAAAGCGAATAGTTCAAAATTCCGCGTGGCGTTTTCATGTCGCTCGACCCAGCGGAACCATTTTCCTCATATCCCATTTGGTCGATCAGAACAGTAATGGTATAGCTCTGGCCTTTTTTCGCTGGGAGACCGAATGTCTGATTCCATGAATAAGCTGTAATTCCTCCAGAGAAAGAGCCCAGAAAAGTTTCGTTGAGCCATACGGAGTGGCCATAAGCTGATCCACCCTGGGTTTCTAGGTAAAGACTCTCCTCTCCATTTGAGGTGAATCTGGTCCGGTATAGGATATATCCCGAATGGAATCCATAGTCTGAAGCATAGAGGGACATTGGGGTACTAAGGTTCCGCTCAGTATTGTTGCTGCTGGACAGTGAAGCTTTCATCCAATGACTATCATCGTATTCTGAAATATATCAGTTTTGAGCTCCTTCAGGAATTGTAGGTGATTGTTTAGGTGTTCTGACCTTTCTGAATCTCTGGCAGGGTGTCGAGTACTTTCCAGCCAATCTCCGAGAGAACAGGCAAGGATATATTAGGTCTCTTGAAATTTACCGTAGCTTTTATAACGCCATGGCTGTCTTGCTGGAATTCAGTTGGCTCATTGTTCACCACTAAAGTTGAGGTACCATTATCGGCACCAATGATCTCGATCTCTGTAGTGGAATTGAAATCTCCCATGAGATTTATAGTTTTGTCCGTGGTTTTGATGCTCCGAACCAAATAGCCGGCCTTGACGATTGGACTCGAGAGGAATGTGGTAGTATTGGTGTAGTTTCCCGAGACGGGATCACTTGGTAGATCCATAGACCAATAATTGTAGGCAGAATAGCGATCTAGATATAATGAGAAGCTGAAAACTTACTAATGTTCGAAGGAACACTCACCAAGTAGATAAACGTAGAGGCCGTTCGATAGCTCAACAATTGTTCTCTGATCGCTTGCAGTATACTGCATGATTGTCGAGTCCTGCTTCTTACCAAATTTGACAGAATTTCGGCCCCCCTCCACAATGCGAGTGGTTCCACCACCTTGAATCCCAAGCTCGTGAGTCTCGCCTGGTCCACCATAAACGACCAGAACATGGTGACTTCCAAAATTTCTCCATGTGAAGATTTCGGCAGTAGAATATAGCAGGTTGATACCGCCAACATTATAATCTGTAACATGCAGTTTGGAATCCCGACCGACAAGAGACAAGGATCCTCCAAGCTGTGGTATGGTGATATTTCCTTTGCTCGTTGGAAGTGTGACATGATATCTTGCTGTCGATGTGTCAGTATAATCCGCATGTCGAAGAACAAAGAAGCTTGTTCGGTTTCCCAAAACTGCCGTCGTCGCTATGTTGACGTCGCCGGTATAGGAGCCGCTCGCATGTGTGTTGTTCTGCGGAATCGCAGTCGCATAAGCAGGAGAAGACTGAAGGAACATGGCCTGTAGCTTCAACTCGCTAAAGTTCTCCCGCTCAACGGTCCTCATCTCAGTGATTGGTGCACCGTAGTCATAACTGGTATAACCTTCTGGGTATCCCATATTTCCCCAGTTAGTTCCACCAACACCCATATAGACATTGAAGACAGTGACCCCAAAGCTGTAGAAATTCTTGAAAAAGACACGCTGGTATTCTGGTCCCTGCCTTGCTGCTGTTTTGTTGTAGCCGTATCCACCCCAAGGATCCCAACTTCCACCCTGGCATTCAATCACCGAATACGGCGTATTGGGTGCCATTTCTTCGTGTAAATCTCCATAGTTAGTCGGAAGTGCATCGACGGGCCATTCTGAGATGTCATCGTTGAATCCTATCACGCTTTTAGCTTCACACTGATCACTCTCCGCTGCCAGTATATCTGCAACATACCCATAGGATAGCTGTCATGTCCGTAAATCGGCCATTCCGGAGGTCCCTGATCATAAAAGTACCCATGCGGGCTGTTATCATTGCTTATGAAAGGAACAACGATACCAGCATCTCGATATTGTTGCTCAACAGCACGAAAATAGACGGGATCTGGAAAGGGTGGGTCGCCTGATGAATACTCATTCTCAGGCTGCACCAGAATAACCGGACCCCCGTTTGTAATCTGCGCTTTCGCAATAATCCCGCCGATGCTGGACACATAATTCTGGGTTGCATCCATATAGGTCGAGTTCCGCGTGCGAAGCCCGGTCGGAAGGCGGGCCAGCCATCCTGGAAACCCACCGCCACTGACCTCTGCATTGATGTAGGGTCCAGGTCGTGCGAGTAGATAGATACCTTGGAGTTTATATTAGATTTGTAATCGTTCTGGAGTTTCCAAGGCGCACGGCCGATGCCTTACCGGCTGTCTTTGCAGCATCAAAGAAAGGCTCAAGTGCAAATACCCCTTCAGCGGTGAAATCTCCTTCTTTGCCTTCAAGGAGAGCCCAGTTGACGTAAAAAGAAACGCCATTGAAACCCATCGCTTTGATCTTTTGGAATACATCCAGCCATAGCCCGGGGGCTGGGAGGCGGAAGGGGTGGAATTCCCCAGAGAAAAACATCACGCGCTGGCCGCGAACCATGATAGAATGCTTGAGACATATATTAGATTTGAATGTTGTTCAAACAACATCAGGGGTTTCATACCTTATCCCATGTCACGATATCCTGAGAGCCCCCGCCGAGCGATGTATTCAAAGCAGCAAGCTGCTGCATGAAGATACATGCCACTGAGAAGGTAGCGAAAATGGTTTTTAAAATCATGATTCACTGAGAACCGGAGTGATGTTCCCCGGTTCTTCGAATTAACTGAGAAGTATTTCTGAAAAACGCAATGTTCTATTCTTTCCACAGATGATCCAAAAAAGTGTGAATGGAATGTACTAGTATCTCTAAAACTAAATTCTGGCTTCCTTGCAATGCATTTACTAGTCTAGAAATATAAACCTGGTCGGGTTATTCCTTAGCGAATGCAACTGCACAGACAGTACATTTTGGATATAGAGTTTGGTATGTAGTAGATCTGCATCCTCGCACTGACACTAAGCCTGTTCAGTTGATCGGAGGAGAAACCCAACGGCCTATGCGGGTCTACCCCAAAAGGCATTTAATCACCTCGTAGATATGCCATTGGTCGCTTTATTCTTGAATAACTCAGCAGCATCAATGCGCTGGTATTAATATTGCTAATAATCGGGCTAAATCCCGCCGAGCATACAAGTATATGCCACTTCGATAACAGGGCGTTCAACAGGCCTGCCTGACAAATGGTAGCGGTTACCACTATTATTTCAAATATTAGGTCCATGAAGACTATGAAGCGGAGATACTATCTTATTAGGTCTATTATGTACAGTATTGTGGGTCATAGAGCTGAGGGGTAAGAGTTGAGAGGTAGAGCCTGAGAAGGAGGGATAGTGGGGATAGGGAGAGAGCTTGAATGGGCTTATCTATCCAGCCCAGTTGCTTGACACTAAAATTTTGGAAGTTAGCGAATGAAGTTTGGATGAACAGGAATTTGATACAAACCATTTGCCAGTACATCCCCTTCTTGCGCAATAGCTCCTGATGCGACCCCTGCTCAACTATCGTGGACCCATTGCCATCCTGACTCTCTCCAAATACGAATATGACATCGGCTTTCTGGATAGTTGCCAGTCTGTGTGCAACAGCGACAATTGTCATGCTCCTCCGCCCAGCCAGTCGCTCGAGGGCAGCCTGGACGGTTTTCTCTGAATGCGAGTCAAGGCTGGATGTTGCTTCGTCTAAGAGTAGCAGGGTGGGTTTTCTTAACAAGGCGCGTGCGATGCATAGTCGTTGTCGCTGGCCACCACTGAGGGCTGTCTGGGCCTTTATTCCTAGCTCTGTTGAATATCCCTCAGGAAGGGAAGTGATGAATGTATGGATCTCGGCATCGATGCATGCTTGGATTAGTTCTTCTTCGGTGTATTCCGAGTTGTCAAGCCCGAGAGTGATATTGTCACGGATGGAGCCTTCGAATAGACGTGGTTCTTGGGCGACTAAGGACAAGGATCGGCGATAGGAAGCTTTGTTAATAGTGGTGATGTTTTCTCCATTCAGGAGAATAGTTCCCTGGAAAGGATCGTAGAATCGCTCGAGCATCGAGATAGTTGTTGTTTTGCCGCAACCCGAGGCACCCACGAATGCAACAAATTGGCCACTCTCTATGCTGACATCAAGATCGGTAAATAGCGGTTTTTCTTGCGAGTCATATTTGAAGGCCACCTTTTGAAATTCGATATGGGCGCCAGACCCACAGGACTGATCAGTCTCACGCTTCTCGGAACAATTCTCAGAACCATCAAGGGCGTGACGGAAGTCCAGGATTCTGTTCGCTGCAGCTGTTCCCTGGGCAATATTGGGTCCATAGCTGAAGAACTGACCAGCTTGCTGCCCACCTAGAATGATGGACATGTAGACAACGAAAAAGGAAGTAGGTTCATACTCTCTAGATGCGAGAAGCTGGCCACCATACCAGAAGGTAAGGGCCATCGCACAAAGCTCAACGCTATCAGAGAATGCAAACACAAGGGTGGCGACCCAGGCTTTTCGGAAAGCTTTATTTTGCTGCTCTTGCAGAAGGGCCGAGTAGCGTTTTAAAATGGAATCTTCCATGGTTAGTGCCGAGACGGTGCGAAACGCCTCGATAGCTTCAGCTGCAAACTGAGAGCTGCCCGAGTAGACGGCAGAGTTCATGGCATCGAATTCCAGCTCATACCGGATACGCATGTAGGCAGCGAGGAAAACAAAAGGAAGAGCAGCGAAAGTGGCCACAAGACTCAGTTTCCAACCGAAGGAGAAGGCAATTGCAATGCAGCCAATCATACTGCATAAGGAAATGACGGGGAAGATGCCATTAAGTCCTATCAGATCTTCGATCTGCTTGGGGTCGGTGGCCAGGCGCGAAACGAGAGATCCGGAGGCATTATCACTCAGGTCGTAAAATGGAACAGGCTTCCGAAGAATATTTTCGAAATATTCTACTCGCGAGGTAGAGGACATTTCCTAGGCTACTGTTAGTTCCAATAATGGGGCTCAGAGTTTGATTTCACTGACAATCCCGAGTCTGTTGGCCGCGAATCCAATCGATGCATAACAGGCTGCGACGCCTAGAGCGAGGACAAAGAACCACAAGGACCAGAAATTGGCAGCGTCAACCAGTTTCTGATCTGTATAGCTAAAGACTTGAATGAGCTTGGCAAAAAGCCAACTCTGTAGAGGGAACGCAGCTGGTCCAGTTAGTATTAACCAAGGAAACCATATTGCTGGAGCAATACTTACAAGCAGCACCCAAAATGGCGAGTAATGCTAGCAAAAAGAATCTCCAGTGCCTTCGCGACTCATACATCATAAGTCCAACACTTCTGAAAAAGCCACGCTTGCTATCTTTCTTCTTGTTCTCATCTTGTAAATCTTCCAAGACCGTGTGAGAATAATCAATCTCCTGCTTCAAGGCTTCTGTAATTTCAACCGCATCGTCGTCCTCATCTGCAGCGGTATCAAGTTGCTGAGCATTGACGAGGCCTCGATAAAGGCCTTCGTCCATCGCCAGAAGATCGTCATGGGTTCCTTCTTCGATGTTAATGCCTCCCCGGAGAACGATAATTTTATCAGCGCGCCGGACAGTGGAGAGCCGGTGGGCAATCACAATAGTTGTTCGGTTCTTAGAGACACGATCAAGGGCTGCCTGAACGATCCTTTCTCCACGGACATCTATTGCACTAGTGGCCTCATCTAGAATCAAGATAGTCGGTTCTTTAATAATGCTTCGAGCTATGGCCAGGCGCTGTCTTTGACCGCCGCTCAATTTCGCGCCATTCTCACCAACCAGAGTCTCGTATCCCTAAAAATTGTTAGGCATGAAGATTAGAAGGGACAAGCTGATATACCTTTGGAAGTCGATCAATGAACTCTTCAGCAAATGCTTCTCTGCACGCATTCTTCACCAATTCCAGTTTCACAGGGTCGGGCTCATCTTCCCACTTGGTACCAACCAATCCGAATGAAACATTTTGGAAAATAGTGTCATTAAACAAGAAGGGTTCTTGCTGTACAAGCCCAATATTAGATCTCCACCACTTGAGATCCAACTCTGCAATGTTGCGCGGTCCGACTGAAATACTCCCACTTTCTGGCGAGTACCACCTTTCTGTGAGTGCGACGATCGTGCTTTTCCCTGATCCAGATGGGCCAACAATGGCTGTCGTTTTTGCTAGTTCAAATCGTGCATTCAAGCTAAAGAGAATTTGTGTGTCAGGTCGCGCCGGGTATGAAAACCGAACATCTTCGAATACGATATCTCCCGAATCCAGCGCGTCTGTATCCCGGTCACCATCGGCCGCAATTCTCTCCGCGTCAATTATTTCGAAAAATGAACTTGCAGCACTAGCTGCTTTGGAGATCATCATCAATGGCGATGCAATGTTTCCGAGAATGCTCACAGCGATCATGACAGAAAAGAAGACCCTGTAACCGATTATTATGATTTGTGAAATTGGTATGGGCAAAGGGACAACACCTACGTGATGACAGTGTTGATGTTCGGGATGTGGCCTTCCCGGAAAAGTTTCAACCCTAACCAGAACGCCAACGAATAGCTGGCATACATGGCAAAGAAGAGAAGACCAAACTGGAAACCCATAATCACAGATAATTTGGTCCCTCTTTTGCGCGACTCCTCGACCCATTGACAATACTTTTTGGCCAGCGGAGCCTCGGCACCAAGTGAAATCACCGTTCGGATGGATCCAAAGACCTCCGCTGCGATCGTTGAATGCTTTTCATTCGCCTTGTCCACCTCCTGCTGGATCTTCATGATCGCCGGAATTGTTAAAGAACAGACGATCACAATGAAGAGGATGGCAGAGCTAGTCGCGAGGGTCAGAGCCCATGAATATTTGAAGGCGATGATGTAGGCCGAGATCAATAGTGCGAGTGATTGGAATAGGATTGCCAGCTTGTCGGAAATACTTTGCTGGATCGAGTTGGATGAGGTAGTGATTGCATTGACAACAGTGCCGACTGAAACTTGGTCGAGTTTGCTAATGGGCTGAGCGAAGAGTGAGCTCATGTACTCCAATCGCAATGCCGCTGAGACTCGAAGACTAGTAACGCGAAAGCAGTACTGTAGTTAAGATTTGAACCGGTTAGCTTCAGGTTCCTGTGATACACCGGACTTGTGAATGGTCAAGCCCACGGGACACTCATTTTGCGGGGACTTATATACCATGGAAAAATACGTCAAGACGAATTTCGCGATGAAGAGATAGACAATAAACAAACTTTGAAGGTTAGCCACCTAGTCGAAATGTGATAAAAGTTAATTCCACCTACCTAAGGCGACTGACTGAAGCTTTGAATTCGCTTTCGGTTGTTGTTGAGTTTGGAAGAAAATAGTCCCCGAAGTTACCAACCAGTTGACCAAAAATGATATTCATCAGAGGCAGTGGCTAAGGACAGGTTAGTCTCTTTTCTCGGGTAGTGTTCAAAAGATTCCTCAAGGCGCGATCAACGTACTACTCCGGAGGCCATCGAGGATACCAGAGCGACTGCCAGAACAATGCGATCTTTGATGGTCAAGTAGGACAGGATTCTCTGGGTAGTGTCAGCGAAACAATGCCATATGGTTTATTATTATGTGCATCTCAAACGTACAAAATAATGGCCTAGCGAGGCAGTCTGCTCGGCCTCATCTTTCGTCTCTGGATCCTGCTTGGGATCCTGATCGACCTCGACAACATCGAGTTGTTCGCCATCTGGTGGAGATGAAGAGTGAGACTCTTCCTGTGTATTCTGCCTCTCTGTCACAGCAGCTTTGGGTTCATCTGGAGCGACCCCCATAGTAAGTAAAGTTGATTTTGGGGGTATGATTGATGAAAAAAAAATCATCAATCAAAGTGGTGACATTGAAGAGTTATATTCAGAACCTTCTAGGCAGACCCTCAGGCTACTACCCAATTCCTGTTCGTTTGTACACACTGCCAAGGAGATCACCGGACCGAAGAATACGAAAATATCCGGACATAGCTAGTGTGTTAACAGTTTCCCGAGTCCTGATTGGTCCACATGGTGAATAGACAGCATGGGAGTCATAAATTCATAATTCCCGGGGCGCCAGGTGATTCCTAAACAGGAATGGCGTGTCTCCTAAACGGGAATGGACACTCGGGGTTTCGGGATTACCGAGACACCGGACCCACTCGGCACGGGAGACGTCAATGCGTCCAATCATAGTGGACCAAAGAGATTAGGGGTCTTTCGGACTTTCGGTCTTTTCTCTTTCCCGCAACATCCCCTGGGGCCCATGTCAAGATAGCACACATCACTGTTTCCACGATGGATACAAGGAGCTCCTTAGCTAGAATTTCGGTGAGACTTTGGCTTAACACGTGGCTTGACCCTATACTGACTTGATGTTATCTTAGTGTGGACGCTGTCAATCCAAAAAGGTATCCCGACATAGTCTTGGCAGCCATTGCTACGAAACAGGGCAGCCTGATTAATTGAATATCAGATTCGCTGCAATCGAGTCACCCCACAATGTGACAAATGTGAAGCAGTGGGAGCGCATTGCATCTTTTCAGCGCGGAAACCACGATCCAAGAAGAAAGAGTATTATCCACCTGGGAACCAGCCCCAAATACTTTCGGCAATAAATTGACGAACATCAATAGGCCAGAAATTTCTGAAAAGAGTGTTCTGTTGGAAGTTCTCAAGCGCCTTAAACGCCTAGAGGAACATTGCGGCTTGGAAGGAACTCCAAATACTCGCGCCCAAGATAATGGCGATGGCGACGATTTAATGTCTATTTCGTCCTCTGTCGAATCAGACGATGACCAAAATGTGCCCCTAGTGGAATCGGGAGACGCTCCAAATATACCCGTGACAGATACATCAATCCCGGTCACACTAGTTCCAGCCGTGGTCCGTAGTATCGTCGGTCGTATAAAAGACGAAGGCAGCCGATCCATGCTCCTTTCCAGCGTCTTTTGTCATCTGCGCTCAGTGGAATCTTGCTTTTTCGAAAATGAACAATGCATCCGTGCCATCACGTCGGCAATGTCAGAGATCGAGTTCATGCAAAGCACGCAGGCAATCGAGCCGCTAAGAGACCCGGTCGTTCCAAAGGACCAAGCAAAGAAGTTGATTGAAAGTAAAACATTTCCTCTTAATACTCTGCCTTCAACGGTGTCCTAATATTTGCTAACAATGACCAGATTACTATGGCTGCTACCAATTCGAAGGCTTCAAAATCCCTCTCGAAAAGTCCTTCTTGTATTCCATCCCGGATCTAATCGAGATTCCCCACGTCAAATTGGACTATACCGTCCAGATAATCTACTACACAGTCCTTCTTCAAGGTATTATTATGGACCCAGAAGCCTATCCAGGACGGGGTGGTATCATCCGAAATCTCTATCTGAGATGTGTCGCTCTCAGCGATGGGTGGCTGGCTAATATTCAAGATACTGCTGACGACCTCTTCGCGGCGTTTCTCATGGTATGCATGACAACATTTCGAATACGATAAACACCACAGGTAGCTAATGTTTCATATCCAATAGATCTCAATGGCTTTAGAAGGCTGTAATATGGATTTATCCTGGAAGGCGTTTAGCCAAGCGTGTCGGATATCGAAAGCACTAGGATACTTTGCCGTCGACGAAACACCGAGCGAGAGCTCCAACCACTCAGAACAACCACAACAACCACACCTGACAGCCCCGACCCCAGCCCCGGAATCGGCACCGGCATCAGAATCAGAACACCACAAGGCGGAAGTCGACAAGAATCGAAAAAGGTTCGAATTCTGGCATATCTTGCGCATAGATTGTCTCTTCCGCATGTCATTCGGCAAGCCAACACTGATGCCCGCCGGATCCTGGAAAGTGAATTTCCCCGATCCAACAATCAACGGCGTAGACGATGAATCGTCGCGATTCGTACAGATCCACTTCATAGCGTCTATGCGTCTTGCACTTATCGTCATGAAATATTTAGACTGGGTGGACTGTGGGACGGATCCCAATCCCATCTCTCATGACGCCACCATTGATAGTTTTATCAATGAGGTCCAGTCAATATTATCAGACTGGGATACGGTGGGTTTTTTATCCCCCAAGTCTCCCTACCTAATCAAAAAACCACTCAATTAACTCGTGCCATCTTTCGTTTCGCTAATCCACTTTCTATCTACAATAGGAGGGCCTCCTCCAAATGGCCACAAATCACGTCGACATCTGGTTCTGCGTCGACATCCTATTCAGCAGTTACAAAATGCTCATCGTCCTCTATCAATCGAAAAAATGTAATCGGAGCCATATCCTGCCCCGCCACGCTGTGGATATAGCCCGAAAATCGGTCACGAAGTTTCAAGCACTTCTCGGAGCCTCATTGCATGCTTTTTGGGGGATAAGGTACGTGTAAAATTCTAGCCTGTGGAAATGGGAAACATCTCCTTTGCCATCGAAGGCAGGTGTCGATTATCTACATTTCGGTTTATGTGTCACTAATGACTTGCTTCCTTTGGTTAGTCTCATCCTACTACATCAGTTTATCCCATTCTTTATCCTCTGCTTGGATATCATTGGGAACCCTGATCATGATCATCTAGACGCTGATCTCGCCTCGGTCACCTGGATCAGCGAGTATGTGGAAATAGTTGTTGAGGAACGCGTTGAGCTGAGGCCGATTTTGATTATCATGAAGGCGGTGGTAACTGCTTGTCATCAAACAAAGATGGATCGTCTTTCGCGTTCGGTCACCGAGACTGTATAGATTCCAGCTTGGAGTTTAATACACATGCGCGATTTTTGTCTCTTTTCAATTTTTTTTTTTTTTTTTTTTTTTTTAAAAAAAAGGGAAGATATTAGATTTGGTATTATTGATCGGTCTGGTCTATTCAATTCATTCAGTGGAACCAGTCCAAATTTCTATTAATCATTTTAGCCTAGAGCAGTACCCCAGACAGGTCTAAAAACCCAGTCATATTCTAGCAAATGATCGCTCGAAAAAATAAGATGCTAAGAGATAACATAAAAATAGCCGCCAAATAACACTCAACATCAAGTTAAAAGAGAATAGAAAGCAAAAGAAAGAAAGAGGGTATTCAACCATGCATCAATGTCCCTGTCTATCAATCCCCACATAACTCCCAGTCATGTCTTCATTTTTTTTTCTCCCGTTTCCCTCTACCACGAAGCCCATGCAACCGGTCCCTTGGGGAACAGGCGGACCAGCAATTTGCGCAACTCGTCCATAACGAGAACACCAAGTGCAAGGCCGAGAGGGATGAACCAGTACTGGATTGGCACAGAGGCCGTCTGGAAGAGTGACTGGATACCGGGGACTTCAGTGACGAAGATAGCGATGATTAGAGAAATGAGCATCGCGAAAGGAAGCCAGGGGTTGCGGCGGGCGGGACGGATTGGATCGGCTTGGAGAATAGACATGCGCTTGCTGCGGACTGAGAGAACGTTGCCCCATTGCATGATGACCAGCGTGACGAAGTAGACACACTGGCCGGTATTGACAAAGTGGTTCAGTTGGTCTTGCGAGTAGCCGTGGAAACCAGCTCCGAATTTTTCAAAGGAGAAAACAAGATCGGAGAAGGGAATCCCGGCTGCTTTCCACATGTAGAGGAAAAACATGGCGTGGGCACTGAAAGCCTCCATAACACCAACGAAGAGATAGGATTGGCCATAAATGCGGAGGTTGATGAGATGGTCTTCTTTGGGACGACGAGGCGGGATGCTGAGCAGGTCGAATTCTTCTTTTTCCATGATGATCGAAAGAGAGACAAAGAGATCGGTGAAGACACAGATAATGATCATCAGGAATGTGCTCAGGGGAGAAGGTACTCCGAAGAAGACGTTCATGAGCACAGGCCAAATTTCGGACCAACTTCCTGCGGGGAGGAGGTAGGCGATAACCTTTTGCAGGTTCTGGAAGACGAGTCGACCAAGGCGAATAGCCTCCACAATTGAGTCAAATCCACCCAGTAGAACCAAATCGGCTGCTTCAATGGCTACATCGCTGCCAGAGCCAATGGCAACGCCAACATCTGCGGAACGAAGAGCGGGAGCATCATTGACACCGTCACCGGTAACAGCAACAATGTTTCCTTTGGCCTGGAGCTCCGAGACAATCCGAAGCTTCTGCTCAGGACTAGTACGAGCAAATACAATCTCATCGTAGCCGCAAATTGTGACCCACTCATCGTGTGTCAGCGAAGAGAGGCTGGTACCCTCAAGAAGCAGACTGTGTCTCGAACGAGGAGTCTTTTCTTCCAAATCGTGATCCCGAACATCATCGATAGTATCTGGTTCGGCAGCACCGTCATAGATACCGATGTCCCTGGCGATAGCAGCTGCGGTAAGACCAAAGTCACCTGTAACCATGAAGAAACGAATGCCAGCGCGGCGGCATGCAGCGACGGTTTGGGCTGTTTCCGGTCGGGGAGGATCAATGATACCAAAAATACCAAGAACTGTCAAGTCGTGTGCCCCAGAGTTCATGATTTCATCACTAAACTCATTGGAGCCAACCTCCTGTCTGGGGATATAGCGGCGCTGGCAGAGAACGATGACACGCTCCGCACGGCGAGACAACTTGGCCTGGAAAGCGGAGAACTTTTGACGGGCCTCGTCATCCATTGGTCTGACAGCGCTGTGAATTGCCGACCAGTAGGAATTGCAGCGAGGCAAAAGGACATCCGGAGCACCCTTGACATAGACCAAATATCCTTCTGCGCCTGTTGGATCCTTGTGCATGGTCAACATCCACTTGTTCTTCGAGTTGAACGGAATTTGGTGCACGCGATCATACGATGCAAGGTTCTTCGGGGATGCGGCGCCAGCGCCATCTGCAAGACGTAGAACAGCTGCGTCGGTGGCATTGCCGTTGACAATGCGATCGTGGATAGGTCGGTCCAAGGTTGTCGGATCATATGTCGCATCATTGCACAGAACTGAAGCGCGCATCATGTTGGCCAGACCATGGGAGATCTCCATACCAGAGGCTAGATCATCGAGACTATATTCCCAATCGACCATGCCAACAGACTTGACGAACATGCGATTTTGGGTGAGAGTACCGGTCTTGTCGGAGCAAATGACATTCACGCAACCGAGAGTCTCGACTGTTGCGAGGCCCTTTGGCAGGATATTGGTCTTCTTCATGCGCTTGGCGATCATCATGAGAGTCAACGCGACCGCAACAGGAACACCTTCGGGAATGAATGCCACAACACATCCCATGACGTTGTTGAGCATGGCAACAACGCTCATGTATGTTGGGTGATCCTTTCGCAGCCAGCCCAACCAGGTGAATAAGATCAAAAGGGCGAGGCAAACTGTCAAAATGACAATAATGGTAACAAACCGAGTAATCTCCTTCTGGATCAGGGTGGGCTTTTGCTTGACGCCAGCAGTCATCTTCGCGATACGGCCCATAACAGAGTTGCTTCCAGTCAGCACAACAATTCCAATAGCATTGCCATTTGTCACCAGTGTTCCCATCATGGCGATGTTGCGCGTCTCCAGGAAGTTTGCATCGGTAGCATCGGTAGCCCCGTCGATCTCGTCAGACTCGCCAGTGAGAATTGCACGGTCAAATCGAACATCACCCGAGCTCTGCAGCAAACGCATATCCGCTGGTACCTTATTTCCCACGCTGATCTGCACAATATCGCCAGCCACGAGGTCGGTCGCGGTAACACGAACCAGCTTCTCATCACGCATCACCAAGGCTTCCGAGGGGAGAAGGTCCAAAATCGAGTTCATCACTTGTTTCGTGGACCAGTCTTGGAATGCGGAAAAGCTGGCTTGCAATGCAATGACGATCAAGATGAGAACGGCCATGGCAAGGTTGGTAGGAGACGGTGGGTTGCTGAGAGGCTTCCAACAGATGAAGAAGATGACGACTCCCACCCACAGGACAGAGCAGAATCCACCAAAGACATAGAAGAAGATCTTCTTGACATAGTTCTCACGGTGGTGGGCGATGACATTCTTCCCGTCCCGTTGGAGACGCTGGGCGGCTGCGCTGCTACTCAACCCGGTGCGCTGATCGACATTGAATTCCTGGCACACCTTATCCGCGGGGATCGAGTGGAAGTCGAGAGTTTCGAAGTAGTCTTGGTTGGGCAGTTTCTCCTTGGGCAATTCCTCGACAACTTGCTTGGGAGCATTCTGCGATTCGGAGATCTGGATCGAAAGAGTGCGGAATTCGATGGGGAAACCAGCATTGGCTGCTGCTGCCGTCTGACTGCTGCTGCGAGTGCTGTGGATGGTATCTTGGCTGAGGGAACGAGTGCGCCTGAACCCGGGAGGTCGATAGATAGAACGGTTGACTTCGGCATCGGTGGTCGAACCATCCTCGAAGGCAATCCGGGTGGAACGTCCCGTACGCTCCACGTCAACTGCCTCGATATCGACCTCAGTTTGGATCTCATCGAGCTTGCTGTGGGTGGAGCTTGGGTCCATGGCGAAGGCTGTCTTGGGGAGTATGGAGATTGGGGTGGTGAAGGAAGCTAGAAGCTAGAAAGCTAGCGAGGGAAAAGAGGAAGAAGAGGAAGGCAGACAGCCAACAACCCGAACGGGCACAGCAGAGGAGAAGAGGAGAGGACGAAATTGAAATTGATGTTGAGGTTGAGAGAGAAGGTGGCAGGTGCAGGCTGAGGGGATCTTATGTAGTTGCAGGCAGGCTCCAACTAAGCCATAGTTGGATGGCCACGATCTGGTCATGGCTACTTTGGGTAAAAGGGACGAGAAAAAGGAAAGAAAAAGAAAAACTGTTCTCGTATCACTTCAAGCGGAGCCACGCGAAGGTATCCACGAGGTGTGCCTGTTGTAGCCCGCCGTAGCCCTGCTGGAGCCCTGCTGTTAGTGCTGCATTGGGAAGCCCGTTCCAGCAGGTGCACGTCGCTGCATCATAATTTCCCGAGCTCAGACCTGGTGGATCCCGATAATCCAGATAAGGTATGGAGTACCTGGGAAGTATAGGAGCTCTCCATAGCTCAAGGGAGTACCTAGGAGTGTTCCTGTCGTCCAGGGAAATCCCTCACGTTGACTTGTTTGATATACATCTGGTACTGTCTCTTACCAGCTGTTACCGTTATATTACCGCGCGAACCTTCCCCTACCCAATGATAATTTAGAATTCATAGACTGTGACAGTACATGACCCACCTCCCTTATAGTCCAGCCCTAAGGGAAAAAAAGGTCTACGCCACAACAGTCTTTTCAACCTTGGGAATTAATTCGGGCGGTGCAAAAGGTTACTCATGATACTGAGAGAAAGAAATGGCGCATGCAATCTCGCCTACTAAACTACTGCCACTGAAAAAATGAAAAAAAGCGGGAACTGTCACTGTCAGATTTTCCCCGGGTCGCTGCGCGATTTTTCCTCGCCAGAGAATTTTGGACTATCGTAGGAGAGAAGGGCAGCCCACTCGGGGGGGTTTCAACTAGGAGAAAAGTCTGTCCACAATTGGATTTTTTTTTTATCGTGTTCTATTTTTCCTTTTTCCCTTTTCCCGCACCAAGGTTATTTCTGACAGCTTTCATTCATGGCCATAAATCGCTCAACCATCAAACTAGTGTGGAAGACAGCCGCGATCATCGATTGCGCGGTTTGCCCGGGCCAATCAGAGCGTCCCCCAATAGTTCCCATGTGGCTGGCATGTCCTGCGTGGTTCTCGGACTAAAACAACCACCGCCACGATCGTAATGGTGCAAACGGAGGGTCTTGTGCTCTTCCCCTGTCCGCCGTGCTCCTACTTTGGTTATGTCTTTGCCTAGATTTGTCTCTTTGTGTTACGAGGGAATATCCGTAGACGACTCATCCATGGTATTCATCGTATCCATGGATACCCCCATGTCATCACTAAGGTGCTGTTTTATAAAGGCAGCCAACTGATAGCCAAACTTCATTTCAATTGCTTTGTTATTTAGTTACTACAACTCCACGCCGAATCCTTAATTTGAAGTTTGCCTTTCTTTTTCCTTTTTTTTTGCTTCTTTCTCCTTCTATATTGTAAGCGACCCATCCATGAAGGATAACAGTCGTCACTACGACGCCTGGACTGGCATCGCCGTGCACCGACCCAAACTTGCCACGCATTATCACTACGTGACACGGCCAAAGTGGTCGCCTGGCGCGCAAGATGGAAAATTCCCCAATAGTCAAGGCGCAAGGAAACACAGCTGGCCCTTTTTTGGCAACGAACAACCAGCCTTCGCATCTGTATCGACCGATCGACAGCCTTTAGTTCAGCCAGATACGAATGCCACAACCCCCCCTCGAGATCGAATCCACTCTATCCTTTACGGAGAAGTATGGCCGCTGTCTCCAAATAATACACTATGGATCCAATAGCACAACCCGTCTCCACGAAAGCAAATCAGCCCACTGGCACTTATCCTCAAATTCCAAACAGCCTCCCCGATTCTATGCAATCAAAGTATACCGCCACAATATCCTCGACTCAAACAATCCTCTTTCTCACGCCCCGTCATGCTCTCAACTCTCAATATCAAATCTACACCCAGACCACCCCAACATCCTCCAAATAACAGACCTCCTCTACAACGAACGCTCAGAACTCTGCCTCGTTACACCCTTCTGCGGAGGCGGCGACCTGCATGAACTCCTATCCCGCCACGGACCTCTCCCATCCAACGAAGCAGACTGTCTACTCGCCCAAATTCTCCGAGCCCTCTCTTTCCTCCACGACCACGACACCGCGCACCGCGACGTCCGTCTCAAAACAATCCTTCTAACAGCCAACGGCGCCGTAAAACTAGCCGGTTTCGGCAACGGACATATCGGACGGCTATGGAACGAGTCTGCCATTCCAATCCCCGAAGCCGAAGCTGAAGGCGAAGGCGAGGGCGAGGGCGAAGGCGAAGAATCAGCAACATTCCACTCTTCTCAACACACCCACTCCCACTCCCAGCCATCGAGTTGGTCATTCTCTCTCCCCTGGCTTCTATCCCCATTCAAACACGAGCATCAACACCAACAGCATCAAGCAGCCCGTGGTAATGGGGATTACTCCAGTTCCTCAGCTTCATTTTCAGGAATCAGTATGCCTTACATTCCACCCGAAGGCTTGCGGTATCGAGCGCATCGCTCCGCGCACGAATCGGACGATGTGTATGATGGTGATGATCCCAGACCAGCGGATGTGTGGTCTGCGGCGATTATTTATCTTGCTATGGTTAATGGTCGGCTTCCCTGGCGCTCTACCCGTCCCCGCTGTGAGGATACGAGGTACTTGGAGTATCTGAGTTCTCGACTTGATGAGGACGGATACCCGCCTATTGAGGCGTTGGGAGGGGTAAGTTTCTTCCACGGTTTTCTCTCTTTTGTTCTTTTCCCCTTCTTTTTCTTATCAAATCTTGATGTAATACACATACAACTGAACTAACTAACTTTCGCTTTTACAGAGACGACGAAATGCGATTTATGCGATGTTGCACCCCAATCCGAAGAAACGGATCACTTCAAATGCTATACTAAAGTCGGAGTGGATGGATAGTGTAACTATCTGTGAGGCCGGGGAAGTAGGCTATTGACGGAATTCTTACTAGTATCTGGGATACTGTCTGTCGTTTATAGATACGTACGGAAGTATGCCTGTATGAGATAACTAATAGTATCTCTCGATGGCGATTTATGACTTTGATATGGCTCGAGTTGATTAGAATGATGACGAAATTCTAACAACCTAACTGATTGATATTGACCCGCCCATCTCTACACTCCCAGCTCGGTCTAAAATTTGAACTAGCAATACAGCTCCTACGCATGGGTCAAAAGTCTTTAGTCTTCAAAAGTCACTGGTTCAGTACCGTCTGGCTTGGATATACTTTATACACAAAACTTTGAACCCCCGGAAATGATTCAACAACACCGAGCTCACAGCCCACAGCTCACAGCTTAGCCTTGGATGGAAGAGCCTCGCTCACGGGAGCAACCTCAACCATCATTTTTCCAGTATTGACACCCTTGTACAGGTCAACCAGAGCCTGAGGGGTCCCCTCAATTCCACCGGGAACAATATGCTCCTTGCGCTTGAGCTTACCCTGCGCTAACCAAGAGCCCAGCTCCTGCACAGCAGAGGCATATTGCTTCGCATAGTCAAAAACAATGAACCCCTTCATCGTAACGCGTTGCGACTACCAAACCAAACTCATTAGCATCTCCATCCGGTCAGCAGGGGCCGGGGCCGGCGCAAACTCACAATAACAGTCATAAAACTAGCCGGACCCTTCGGCTTAGAAGTATTATACTGCGAAATAGCCCCACAAATAACGAATCTCGAATCCCGATTCGCGCGCGCAAGACAAGCATCCAAAATCTCGCCACCAGTATTATCAAAAAAGACATCAATATACTCGGGCGTCGCCTCCTTAAGCTGTTTCTTCCAATCGGCATCCTTATAATTAACCGCCGCGTCAAAGCCCAACTCCTTGACCAGGAATTCGCACTTTTCCCGACTCCCCGCAAGTCCAATCACCCTCTTCGCACCCTGGATCCGAGCAATTTGCCCAGCAACACTCCCCGTCGCACCCGCAGCGCCAGAAACAACAACCGTATCCCCCACCTTCGTCTTGCCCACCTCCGTCATACCGAAATACGCCGTCAATCCCGTCATTCCGAGAACGGACATCGCGTCCGTTGGTCGACCACCGACCGGTACGGAGAATGGTTCGACTTCCTTCGCGCTGAGGAGGGCGTACTCGGTCCAGCCGGAGTAAGCGACGACCCAATCGCCGGATTTGAATTTTGAAGACAGTGCCGAGCCCACGGTGATGATTTGGGCGATGCTTTGGCCGCGCATGATGGCGCCGAGTTCGACGGGGGCGATGTAGGAGCGTTTGGCTGTTAGCCATTGGCGCATTGCGGGGTCAAGGGAGAGGTAGTGCACGCGCACGAGGAGTTTGTCTGTTGGGACATCTTTGTCTTTGGGTTTGGGGACGGTTGATAGGCGGAATGTGCCGTCGGTGGTGGTTAGGGAGGGGTTTATGGCGTCGGTTGGGGGGGGTGTTGTAGAGAATTTGTTTGTAGGACATTTTGGTGGTGGGGAGTAGGGTGGTTGTAGTTAGGTAGGGGTCTGTATGTGGAATGTTGAGTCTGGGGAAGGGTAAATATTATATTAGTAGCCCCAGTAGTACTAGGAACCTCGGTCAGCAGTGAAGGTGCGGAGTGCAGGACGGAGGTACCCCAGATTAGGAAAACTGCTCCATGGACCTCGGCTGGTCGGGGCTGGGTCAACTCAAGTTGGATGCGATTATTCAACAATTGGGATGGAGCATTAAGTAGTATATCTATAATCTACATTTACTACAGTATAGTGGTACTAGTAACACTTTACTCGCTGAATTCAAATTTAAGCTGATCTTACAGCAAAAAGAGTTTATAGCCTTTATCTGAGATCAGGCTGACGTCATGATTCATGATCGCAACCACCGGGCAGTACTTGTAATATATATAGTTGTACTCCATATACACTCTACTATATACTAGTCTCTATACTCACCTGGACATCCATTCATCCATAGATATTACTACACTACACTACACTACACTATATTTGATACCATGACCCACCGCAACAATACCGACACAACCGGCGCCGGCCTCGCCCACGGCTCCTCCACCGGCGCCCCCGGCATCCCGACCGGCGTCCAAGATCAACGCGCCCAGTACGATCCCGCCACAACCGGCGTCAACCCAGCTACCGGAGCCTCCTACACGAAATCCGACAAGGGCGCATCCACGAAGAGCTTTGATGTCGCCGCCGGAGACGATCGCATCCAGCACGCGCCCAGCACCGCCCAGCGGGTCCAGATGGACGAGCAGCAGGAGAAGGCGGCGCGCGATCGGGGGTCGGGCGGTACGCAGATGGGGCAGATGGGGGAGGATGTTGGGCGCAAGGCTCATGGAGTGATGGCGGGTGTACATGTATGATTTACCCCATTATACTCGGATTGTTGAAGTATCTTCAGAGAGTTGTGCTAATGATAATGTTGCAGGGAGCGGGCGAGTCGCTTCGGGGGGCGCTTACCTCGGCAGTGGACCGCGCGTTTGGATCGGATGAAAGCGCGGAGTGGAATGAGGAGATTGCTCGTCGGGGTGAAGAGGAGTTGCGCTCGGGCAGATTGGGCAAGTAAAGAAGGGTAAAGGGATGAAGATCTGAGCGGCTTACGCTTAGCTTACTTGGCGATAGATAGGTGGGATAGGTGGGATGGTGCGCCGAGTCAGATTTAGGTAATTAAGCTTTACTTGTCTTTAGTAACTCTTGACTAGGATTAACCGGTTCCTGGCCTGCACTAGTTTACTATTACGTAGAGTCGAGTGGATCGGGTATCACCGCAACACGAGTACGAGTACAGTAGTAGAATTAGCTGCTTGTTCATACTCGGCCGTTCAAAAAAAGAGGTGAATATAGTCCTCAGTGCCCAGTGCCCAGTGCCCCGTCCTCGTACCATGGGGCTCCAGCGATCCCCGTTATGCCGATCAAGCACTACTCGTATACATCCAATGGCCACAGTAGAGTGATACTAGTACTCTACTACTCTTAGCCAATATAGTACTATAGTACTAGTAGTATAGTACTACTGTAATCGTTGGATGTATACTGTACACTGTATACTTAATCTTCACGTGGAAAAAAATTGAAGGAATCCATCCGGGCCACCCGAAGGCTGTGCTGTGGAGTGGAACCTTAACGAATCCTCCGTTTCCGGCTTATAATCGCCCCCAGTAAAGTTCAAGTTCCTCGTCATTTTAATTTACATTTTACATTTGCGTTCACATTCACATTCACATTTGCATTTGCATTGACAGTCTACCATCGCTCAAGTCACATCATTGTACCGAGTACACTGCACTACACTGCACACACTACATCATAGTGGACCTGAACAGCCCGGTTTGGGAGATCTTGGAACATCCTGGAGACCCTGGAAGACCTGGAAGAACTTCCCACAGGCACACAGCACTTATACGGCTTCATGCCCTAATCAATCCCTCCTTGCTTCCGGAGTATACATCATGGCATCGACCTCCGACCATCCCGCACCCGTTGATCTGCCATCATCGCAGCTGCAACCCCCACCACCAGCGCAAAAACAACCAATCTCCTACTCCTCCGAATCTTCCTCCAACGTCCTCGCCTCGGATTCCCCCTCGCCCTCCCAATATTCATCCTTTTCCAGCTCCGACAGTGATGGCGACGACCACATCCCCGGCGCGACGGAGGTCATCGACGAAGATGATGCCGGTGACGTTGTCGGGGTAAGCATCGGTCGCTTCCAAAGCCGCATGAAAGCCCGTGCCACGCCCGCCGAGGAGAAATCGCGCGTGCTGGAACAACAGGGGGGGCTATTTCACCACCGTGCCGGACAAAGTCGGCGAGGACGGCCTCTTCACATCTGAACTCACCGCCGAACCCGAGTCCGTAGACCCCGAGCTCAGCAACGAGAGCGACAAGCCCGAGCGCAAATGGAAGAACCAGCGGGCTACCGCGAGAAAGCCCGCCACGCTTCCTCCCGCCTCTTCCATTCCAGTGGAGCATCGCGCGCCGCGTGGCCCCCACAAGGAGCTCTCCGCACCTGCGCCCAGGTCCGAGTCCAAGGATAATACTTCGAATCAGCGCTCCAGTTTCACCCGGTCGTTACTGAAGACCTCGTTACCGCGGAGGCCGCGTGCTTGGTCCGGGGAATTGAAGAAGTTCCTGCCGGACCTGGGATCTCTGGCGAAACGGCCTTCGTTGTCTTTTCGCTCCAACAATGGCCCTCGAGCTCGGAGCCAGACGGTGGCTGCAGCCGCAAAACGAAGCCCGGAGATCGGTTCCACAACACGCTCTCTGAATCGACACTCGCCATCGCCATCGCCATCGCGGACACTGAATGGCAACGCGGATTCATATGTTAATGCCAATGCCCATGTCAATGCCAATGAGGAGGATGAGGGAGATGATGCGCGGCCACTATCAGAGCTACGATCGCTCGATGGCGCATCAGCTGTGAAGCATTCTTTTACGCGGCGGCCGAGCGCAACGCCAAAACGGCCCCCGAGTCTGCGGAAATCTTCTTCGGATCAATCGTTGTATCTGCGCGCTTCATCCACGGCGTCTTCTCTAGAACAACGACCCCTCTACGAAAATGTACACTCGCAGGTCAATAGCCGGTTTAAGGCCATCAAGGATAGTCTACAGGATTCGAGCAGTCGTTTGTTGAGCATGCCCTCATTGCATCTGCAAGATATTCGTTATGATTGGGGATCGCGCCCATCTTTCTTCAATGAGAATGGTCTGGAGCCAACCACCGCCGCCAGAGGGATCAACAATGGCCCATCTGTTCATACCGCACCGCCACCCCCACCGCCTAAAAGTAATACTCAACCGACACATCCGATCTTGGAAGAGGCCATGTCTGAATTGACCGGCGATGTGGTGATTCTGGGAGGCTACCGCGGCTCGATCCTACGCTCTGCAAAGCCGCCACACCGGCAATTATGGGTACCGATGAAGGTGGGCCTGAATCTGCGTAAAGTCGATCTGGAGGTTGGTTTGACTCGCGAGGACGAGGAACGTATGGAAGAATCAATTATTCCATCCGGTGTGCTATCCCACGTTGGACCCGTGGACGTCTGTCGCCGCTTGATGAAGCGATTGCGCAAATGCGACAATTGTGTGCGTGGAGACCTTCGGGTTTGGGATTATGGCTACGATTGGCGATTGAGCCCCGAGCTGCTCTCTGCAAGATTAATTGCCTTCCTGGAACGTCTGCCCTGCAACAAGCCATCCTTGGATGGGTCCTTGAAGACCAAGCGTGGGGCTACAGTCATTGCGCACAGTCTGGGCGGCCTCATCACCCGGCACGCAGTGAATCAACGACCCGATCTCTTCGCCGGTGTCATATACGCAGGCGTGCCGCAACACTGCGTTAATATCCTCGGTCCACTGCGCAACGGCGACGACGTCCTCCTCAGCTCGCGAGTCCTGACTGCACAAGTCAACTTCACTTTCCGTACCAGCTTTGCCCTCCTTCCCGAAGATGGCCACTGCTTCATCGACAAGCAGTCGAAAGAAGAGTTCCGTGTCGACTTCTTCGACGCGAAAAATTGGGAAGAATACCGTCTGTCACCTTGCATGGGTCCAGCTCTCCAACCACCCACTGGAGGGGGTGTCTTCAAAGATTTCGCAACGATCAGCAAACGCTTCTCCCTCGGCCCTAGGGATTCTCTCCCAGACCTCCAAGATATAAACGACCACAACACCACCACCACCACCACCACCACCAGTACCGAAGAAGACCGTGACCCCCACACTTTCAACCCCCACCACGACCGGCATCACGGCATCCCCAATCCAACCGACTCAGCCCAAAACAAAGCCTCCGACATCCTCCTCCAACCACCATTAGAAGGAATCGTCGGCCCCTCCGCACCACGCAGCAGCACAAGCACAAGCAAAATCTCAACAACAGTAACAATCCCCCACGCCATCGCAGAGGAATATCTCCAACGCACTCTCTCCGAAGTAAAACGCTTCAAATCAGAGCTCGAATTCCGCCCCGCCCACCAAGCAGACAACAAATACCCACCCGCAGCAGTTATCTACGGAAAATCCGTCCCAACTGTCTACGGCGCGCGCGTTACATCCCGTGAAGCGATCAAGCAACAAGACTGCTATGATGATCTCGCCTTTGCGGCCGGTGATGGCGTTTGTCTTGCTTCGGCGGCGATGTTGCCACCCGGGTATAGGATTATTAAGAATGGGCTTGTTAAGAGTGATCGGGGTCATGTGGGGCTTTTGGGAGATCTTGAGGGCGTCGGGGAGTGTTTGAGGGCTATTATAAGGGGGAGGAAGGAGGGAGTTGGGATGGGGAGTGCGACTGCTTCAACTGTGGCTGCATAAAGCGGTGCGGTGCGAAGCAGTGCGGATTGGACATATAGGAGGATTTGGCGATGGTTTGCATTTGCATTGGACTATATATTGCGCTTTTTTCCCTTTGTTTTGTTTTTGATGATACCACCCGCCATGCATTATGATGATTCTGGTGATTATTGGATTGGATGTGATGTGATGTTTGGCTGAACTGTATGATAGAGTTGATGTTTATATAAAGAAGAAATAAAGAGCAAATACAACAAATTAGAAATTGCCGTCTTTCACTCCAGGGCTGTAGGTCATGCATGGTATTACTACTTCTATCCTGATTATTTGTGTTTCAAGTCTGTGTTGAAGCTCGGATCTCTCTTCTTCATGCGGACTAAGGTACCATCTTGCTTGCGTATATGTAAGGATTATTTGACATCCTAGTAGGTTCATAAAGGTGTAGCTATTGATCAAATCCCAGTAATTGTATCTTAGATGACTATCATCGAGTTAAAGGGGACGAAATACTGAACTCATTCGTGCCTATCACTCAGACAAAACCCATATGTGGTTGATTAACTGCTTGCCTTACCGCAACCTTCTCTGTACCTAGTTCCTGCTTTCTTCTCCCACGTATCCTTCGCTTTCCAAGCCTATCGATTAGGTCAAGCCGCCACTACATGTTGCCTGGTAGTCGTATCTTCATCTCCGCCGTACCTAAGCATTCTCACTATCACCAAGGCGGCGTCAAAAGAAGTAAAGGAGGATTTTCGGATTTAGGCCAGTGGTCATCCTCCGCAATTCCATCCGACCTTGAGAGATATTTCCATTCCTTCTCTCTCTCCTCATCCCATAGAGCGTACCCCCAACCCCAATTAACAGTACGCAGATGGTCGGTACTCAGACTCTCTGCCAAGCCATCCTCCGGAATATGCCCAGACATACATATTGCTTTCAACGTGAAAGAGGGTTGCTCCAGAGTGGGCAGAATAGACCAATACTCCTCGACGTGCGGCCGATCCTCGTGTCGATCTGCGGGGTAGAGAGATGCTGGGACCTGCGTCTATTTCTCAATTTCAATTTACTCGTCTTTCAGTCTCAGAATTTACTCAGAGAGGATCTATCGCCTATCTATGCTCTCTCCTTGACCTACTCTGCGTACAACTCTTAATACGCGGCTGTCTAAGGGTAATTTTACACCCTTGTTTATAACGGTATAGTCATTGATAAACTCCCAGTCTTATATTATACACTATCGAGAATCGCAGTCCCCGGTCTTCGCCCATGGAAACTCGCCGCTGCGAATTCATCTTTCCGCAGCCTTTATTAGGCTCTGGTCTGCGGCGATAATAGCGTTGATGTCGTGGTCAATCATATCAAATACCTGCCTATATTTGGCGTCGAGATATATACACACATAATCCCTTTCTTGGTGCTCTTAATGGGCCGGTGTCTTCAAGTTATAGAAGGTATGATAGCCTTCAACTTGTTCATCGTCCAGACCCGGCCCCTTTACTCCGGCTGCACATGTTGATCGAACAATCGTAAACTAGTAGAAGATATCTTGATTCTTGGCGTAAATTAGCAAATATATGCTGCCTCCTACGTTGAAGTTGCATAGTTTGTCAAAAGAATGTAGGTAGAATGGATGCTGGCAAGGAACTTGGAGCAAGTCGTTTTTGTCAACGGTGATCAAGCAGTGTAGTCACTTCTGATAGCCGTGGAGACCTTTAGAGCGAAAATCCAACAGAGCTTCAGGGGGGCTGAATAGATCTTGATAAAGACTCATAGCCTTCCCATAGAGAAGTAAGGCCGGTTTATCTGGTATAACTCATGAATTCTTCGTGAAGTAAGGGCGGCTGATTTTAATGATTCCATGTCTGTGGCTTCTCACAGAATGAGGACGAGAATTTCCGTTAGGAAGGCTTTCGGTCTCTTCAGCCCCACGAAGACTAGCTCTAGAGAGCCGATTTGATGGTCCTTGCCGAATTCGGTTGAAGAGTTTGAAGTTCAACCAACGCACTTTCAACCGCATCAACTGCCATTCCATACCCAGCTTGGAATCCAGTCCCTCCAGCACCGTAGTTGTGAACAACGAGGCCCTTTCTCTTCAAACCATTTACCTGCACGATTTCTCTGGCAACTCGAGCACCTCCCTCCCGTGATGGTCGCAAGCCTGCAAACGCTGCCAGTATCTCCGTGTCGGGCGAATCAAGCTCAGGTAGCATCGCCTTGGTCCGAGATAATATAGACTTAGTCTCCTCTCCAATTGTATCAGGCGTGCTGTAACAGTTAGTCTTTGAATACTAATGATACTATCCAAAAAGTATATTTGGATTTATGTTGCTCACCTGACTCCTTTCTGCATATATCCACCAAGGATCACGTTTCCCTTCGAGTATGGGCGTGGTATAACGTATGTCTCATAATCCTTCCCGTGTCTCATCACACTTTGGTTGATGTTTGTTGCCTTGGCAAGCAGAATTTGTCCTCTAGTTGGATAGCACTTAGGGTCCTCGACTCCCTTCAGAGCACGAGCAGCGTTACCGGTGCAGTTAAAGACCACCTTCGTGTCCTTGTTGAGGAAGCCTGACGTGATATCTGAGACTTTCTTGCGAATTACCTGGACTCCATACTGATGTCTGAGTCTCTGAAGAAGATAGTGGACATGCATCGGGGCATTGAAGGTTATCGTGGTAAATGTGATACCAAATGCAACACCTTGCGGTAGCTCCTGCTTGGGAATCTCTTTGTACTGTAGCATTTCCTTATTAGTGACCCAGATAAAAGTAGGCAAATGACCAACTGTTGGTAACCGACTCACATCCTTTAGGTAGCTGGCCATAGAATCGAGCTTCATGCGCGATGGCATTTCATCCCAGTACTCGGTTGAGGGTGTTCCCCGAACAAATGCCCGCTCCCCGTCCTTTGCGGCAAGATTGAGGAGATGATTGTACCCCATTTTATCCCATCGCAAAGCATTCTTATCGCTTGCAGAAATGGCGGAGAAGTTTGCGCCGGCCCTAGATCACGTTAATATCAACGAAAACAAAGAACGTATATAGAGCTAGGATTAAGGGTGGGCATACTCACCATGGCGAAGTATAGTTTATGGACGTATCACCTGGGAGGTGCTCGGCTATGATGGTAGTTTGACTGGCATAGCCTCTCTCGGCGAGGACCAGGGCAACGTTCAGTCCAATGATGCCGGCACTTTGCGGAAATCTGTTAGTGAGCTGCATGATGATTTCCATTGAAAACGCACCCGATAATTACCACAGATTCGTTCTTCATTGTGACTAAGCCAGTGTCCACGATCTCAAGCAAGTGACTACACTCAGTTCGTCTAGACTTGGGGGGGGAGTCTTTAGTTTAAAAGCACAGAAAGACAGGGAGGACTTCTCGGTTTCCAAGGAATAATAAATTTTGGCTCGTTAAATTCCATGTCCCTTATCTTAGCTCTAGATTTCAAGGATTGGGATATGATTAACGTGTAAATGAGCGCCTATCATGGTCGGGGTGAATTAAGAGCTGCTCCGATTGGCGGCATTCATTGTGGGGACACGCGGCATAGCTTGTGGTTGGTGCCCGTGATTACAGCTTCGGCTGAAGCATTGGAGTTCAGCAGTGGCGTTCCAGAACGGTAAAGATATGCTTCAGCGAGGAACCACTGGCCGCCATCAAACTCTTTATATCTCAGTGTATAATAAATTAATACCACTGAGGAAAAGGGATACCGCCCGGGTGAAAAAATTATTACGTCGAAATCTGACCAGCAAACCTTTTGCCAGAATTACGCCTTTTGCTATATTTCAAGCATGGCCTGAGAAAAACTTGGGGGGGGGGGAATAAGAAAAAAAAAAATTAACAGACAGTTGGTTGAGATGGCGCATCTCATTACTATTTGCACGTGCAATATACGGAAATAAGGTAGTAAAATTAATAAAAGGAAATATATTGGATACTGTAGGCTACTTCAATGATCTGACTACTATGGTTCGCTGTGTTTGCCACAATCAGCGAACTGTGTAACATGTTCCCTGTTTCCTTCAATTGGAACCCCTTCGATGAGTCCTGAAGTATCCGGATCAAGCGAGTCACTCTTTCTGAAGCAAAGGTAAAAACCACACCCCGCGACAAAGCCCACAATTGCTAGAGATCCATACATCCAGACAAGATACGGATCTTGCGACACTGGGGTTAGACCAATGCAGATTGCTGCCGCAATGGCGATCATGAGCCAAAAGAGTGCAGAGATAAATGACCTCAGGCTGAAGTAAGATGTTAGATTAAATTAAAAAAATATCATGGGGGGGTTGACTCACTTTTTCGGGGCGTGTGTGAAGGCAAGTTCCAAGCCAGTCACAATGACAAATGCTTCGGAGATAGCGACAAAGATATACGCAGGGGCTTGAGTCCACACGTGTATACTGTTCGCCGGAGAGATATAAATGTAATGCTGTAATACGCTGGCATAGACCATGGAGACCGAGACAAGTAGGAAACCGGTGAAGATCCGACAGACTGGACTGAAGTTGATCTTCAACTTACGAAGGAATGGATAAAGGCCCACTAGAAGTATAAATGTGAGTAGATAGTTTGTTGATATCATCATGTTGGGACTCACAGTCAAGGAGTGGAATAAAAATACACAAGGCGATCGGGTCCAGGTTTTGCAAAAGGTCATTCGGCGTTCCATGCAACGCCATTTGACCAGCTTGTGAGATAAGATTGTTCCAAATCTGGACCCAACAAACGAAATAGAATGGAAAAAATATAAACATCTGCAAGGCTTATTAGCATAGCTCGAGGAAAAAGTGAAGTTCGACTCACTCTGCAGCTTCTAAAACCTCGCCTAACATCTGTGACGTACTGATCCGTGTAGCGCGGTGAAGATGCAAATGGATACTTGCTCAAACGGCCTGCAGCCTCTAGAGCTGATGGCTTTGCGTCTTCGAAATGATTTTCCTGTCGGACAATATTCAAGACCTTGCATGCATCGATAATAGCGGACCCCTGTGGAGGAACTCTGACATATCGCTTCTGGCCGGACAAGAAGACAATAGCCGAGAGAAATATTGCGCTGGAAGAAATTAATGGGTGTTACATAAAATGGTCCTTGTCCCAACTTACATCAATGGAATCAAATAGGCGAGCCAGAAGGAGTTCCTGGCCTCAACATTGACTGTAATCAAGGGCGAGAGAGCCCCGACATTGACGACCCAGTAGAACCACATGAAAAGTCGCTGGACGGTCAATTCAGGATCAACAATCACACGCTCGCCTGATTTGAGCGTTTTAAGGATCGGCTTTGAATTTTGGTATTGCTCAGCACACATGGGAGTCACGTTGGCCTTGATTCCGCCTGTTCCCAGGCCAATTATGACCATTGCAGCAACCAAACCACCAAAACCAGCATGGCTCTGAATCCCAGCTGGTGTCGAAGTGGCAACCAGGATGATCAAGCCCACGATGTAAATTCCTAGAGAGATTATGATGGTTTTAAATTTGCCTATATATTGATCTGGTGGACTAATCAGCAACAATACTGCAAGCTGCTTGGAGGAATAAGTAGTACCTGCAATGATCGCGCCAATGATGGTGGAGGCGTAAGCCCAGAATTTAAAGAAGTTTCCAAGCGCGGATGCGACTGCTTGTCCTTTGCCAAGTGCACCAGGGAGGTCTGACCCTGGATCATAGGGATTACTAGATAGTGAAAGAAGTTAGACGTAGTTCCCAATATATTCACTAGTTTTGAGCCTCAGACTTGACGCACTTGATGTAATTCTGCATTGGGCCACTGAGACCAAAGTAAGTAAACCGTTCGCCAAGCTAGTAGGTGTTACTGTTGTGTACGAGCTTGGCTATCGACATGCGGTGGCGGCTAACATACCTCGACAACAAGGATCAGTAGTGCGACAGGTGGGAACTTGTCTGGGATACGCCGGTATCCATCATGGAGACCTGTGGGAGCCTGGTCAATTTTATTCAGGCTTTCTTCTGGATTTTCTCTCCGATTATCGGCTGAGACAGAATCCATCTCGGCGGAACAAGATGTGTATGTATGGTGCGGTATGTCAACGCGAGATGAGAGAAGACAAAACAACTATCCTCTACCCCATCATGAATCACAAGAGGAACGACGTGTTAATTTAAGCAACGCTTCGATGAGTGGAACTTTCGAACTTGGTTGGGAACGAAACCCGAGGTCTGGGATACATGGCCCACATTGTCCCCGCAGATAGAAAGACCCCACCTCAATGCCTATCGGGTGGCTTCCTAAGGTTAGATCGGAGCCGATATTTGCCCAAATGCCGCCAACCAGAGCCTTGCAATATATCCGCAGTGCATCGAAGGGCAGGTGAGTTGATTTACGAACACTCACGCATTTTTGCTGGCTTGATTAATCTTAGTCATTGGCTTAAGATTGACCATTTATCATTCTCTGCCTTTGCAACTTCTCTTTATCACAAAGCCAATCGCTTCCTGGGCACATTACAATGTCCGGTACAAATACAACAACCGTGGTAGAAGAGAAGAAGAAGAATTCACGCTTGTCTATACCAGACAAGCTCTTGGGTGGTTTGGATCCCGAATGGATAGATCTATGGGAAAAGCACGGCAGTCCCATGGTGAGAGCCGACGAGCTATCTCTTGAAGAATTTCGCAGAAATCCCGCTGCGTACAGCTTCACCTACCCGACATGCCTTGGTAAGTCTGACTTGTGAGCTTCGGTGGTTGAAATTAGGATCTTGGAGAACCCAATTCTGACTTCGATCAAGGACCGCCGGTTTTTCATGTTGACGACATAGAGATCCCGGTTTCGCAACCAGCTGGAAAGATCATGGTCAGAGTCTATACGCCGGAAGGTCCAGGACCATTTCCTGTCCACTTGAACTTCCATGGCGGTACGTATATTCTGATGCTGCATTGCCACTCGCCAACATTGGCTTTCTGACTCCTGTTTCTTGACTCTAGGTGGATGGGTTCTTGGAAATCTCAACTCTGAAGCTGCTTGGTGCCGACACATGTGCAACAACGCCCAAATTAAAGTGATTGATGTCGACTATCGACTGGCTCCGGAGTTCCCCTATCCAACCAGCATCTACGACTCATGGGATGCTGTGAAATGGGTCAGTTGAATGCCCCGTGCCGTTGGTAGTTTGCTTCATTGACGCAGAATGTTTGTACAGACAATCACCAACGCTTCTAGGCTTAATATTGATCCATCTAGTGTATCTATCGGTGGCCTCTCAGCAGGGGGTCAAATGACTGCAGTAATTGGGCATTTTGCCCGCGACAACGGCGTTAACCTGAAACTTCAGCTGATCATAGTTCCAGCGACAGACATGCGCTATTGTTTAAGAACCCGGGAGCTGAACGAGACTACATGTCCCTACGAAAGCGTCTTGCTATACAAAGATGTACCTTGGGGGCCCCTGGGCAGAGAGCAATGGTTCCTAAAGTATTGGCTAGGCGACGACGACGGTAAATCTTCCCTTTCTTGTTCCTTTCTTGAGAATCACTTCATGTCTGTACTAACATTTTATAGATACCCAAGAAAGGATTTTGACGAAGGATTGGATCTGCACACCTGTGCTTGCTCCTTCATTTAAAAACCTTGCGAAGGCACACATCATCACGGCGGAGTTTGATCTTGAGCGAGATGAAGGGGAGTTTTATGGTCGGCTTATGCAGGAGGCTGGGAACGATGTTACAATGAAGAGGTACCCAGGCATGCCCCATGCATTTGCGCACTACAATCACCCAGAAAGAGGACTTTCGCAAAGCTTTGTGTACATCGAGGATACGAGTCGACTCCTTCGGGAGGTGCATTTTGGTAAGCGTGAAGAATAGTCTTGGATACAACATGTCCACACATTTAACATGAGAATGAATGAATATGTCGGCAGCTCTTAGCCCACATAAATAATTGTATAATTCGTTTAAAAATTTTCCCATCCCAACACTTAGCCAGAAAATATTTTCAATTTGCCCTCAATAATCTTTTCTGCTGCTTTTGCCTGTGGCTATTCGCCCCTTTAATATTCTCAACTTCCTTCGTTCTCTGCCTTCTCAGCTGCATAAGCCGCTTTTCTTCTCGAATTCAATGAAAGATCTTGCATCTGAAATTAACTAGAAATTCCATGGCTAATTTTAAATCCTCCCCCGCAGTCGGCTGCGCGGGAGATGGAAAACTTTTAGCGGAACGGACCCTTGGACTGATAACCCTTAGATTCCAATTCGCATTAGTCACAGCCGCAGCTCATGGCCATTAGGTTTACTTTGATGTATGCACTTCTGGATTTCAAATAAATAACAAGACTGATCATGACAATGATGAATCTGTAGTAGAAAAATAGGGTGGTCAGGGGCAATCGAAGACCGGGGAAACCTCCTCTTTGGAAAAGTGATAGGATGCGGTGTTTAATTAATATCATTGGCTATAGATCACAAATTTCCCCACCTGTCCTACCCCTCATCACTTGCATTCCCTAATACCCGGACCACCCATGGCCCCGTTTGGCAGCGTCGGCGAGGAAGGCACTGTCAGGTCGAGCCCGTTGAGCTCCGCAGCTTGCCAAATGAATTCTCGAAAGTCCAATGGCTTCATCGGGCTGGCGAGATGAGATCGATCTGCCACTGGGTCATAGAAGTGTGTTGAGGCAAGTCTGCCTCAGGCATACAATGCCGCCTTCTGTCAAGATAGCCTCTTTATCCTTTCCATATCTTTGTCGAAAACAACCACCATTCATCAATATCCATCACCTTCATATCCCCCCTTCATCAAGACGTAGTCACGTGGAAAGTGGCACCCTTGGCATCGCCCTCTCGAACGCCTAGGGTTTACCGACTAATACATGTACTGCAGCCAATTTTGTCAATGCAAGTATGTCAGGAAGAGGTCGCAGGTACATGAGTAAGCGAGATCGAGCTTGTGATTCCTGTCGGGCTAGGAAGGCAGCTTGTCGCATTGATAGAACACCTCCTTGTTATCTTTGCACACTTCACGGGAAGGAGTGCACATTCGTGCAGCCAACCTCAAGGCTACGGCAACCCTTTTCTGAGGTGATCCACCCACAGATCCCTCAACAAGCTGAGGTAGACCCACGCTCAGGATTACATGAAGTTTCACCAGTTAGTGACCCAGTTCACTATGATAATTTGATGTCAATTTATGGTGATGGGGTGGACGATTCAGTTGACGCTGTACCTGAAGGATTTCAGGACTTTTTTGAGGGAGCCCGAGTTTCATTGACAGGTGGCTTTGGGGATGGCACATGGGCCACTGGGTTCAGTCCAGGGAGCTTCAATTATCCATCCCCTGAGCTGCCAGGGGCTCGACATTTGGAGGATGGAGGTTCATCACAGGCTGCCTGCCTGCCATTGCTTATCCAGGAGGATGGCCCCTCAATTTGCCTTGACACCCAAGATGAAATGACACCACAATTGCTCGGCAGTAGTGGCGACATGGACCCTTTTCTGATGAGTCGCTATCAATACGACACATCTGGGGCTTTTCACTTCAAAAACCTCAATATCCAATCTGTATCCTCAGGGTCCGACCCAACGCAGTTTTTATTGTCAAAACGGTCAATATTTGCTGCCAGCAGAGAGGAAAATGGATGCGATAACCTTTCGACGGTTGAGTTGAAGCAGGAACTCGAATCCTTGGTCCCTGGATATATTGGCCTCAGACTCATCAATATATTTGAGAGGATCGTCGCATCGGATTACCCAGTGCTTGGTCCACCAGGCCAACTAAATCCCGCAACCAGCCCGCCGTATCTTCTTGCGAGTGTATACCTAATAGTCGAGCCCTTCACTAAATTCGACGAAAAACTTTGCATTGATCTCGCATACGATAAGCCATCAGGTGCGGCACTTTATGAAATTATCAACAAAGCGCTTCCATATGAGATACATGCACCGAAGCTATGTATCGTACAGACAATGCTTCTTCTTACCATTCGACCCTATCCAAACCCAATTATATTGGATAGTGGCTTCAAATTATCCCAACTCGCCACTCTTATTGCTTGTGCTCACACCCTCGGTTTGCATTTGGATCCAAAGTCGTGGCGAATACCTTCATGGCAAATTTCTCAGCGACGTTGCTTGTCTTATTTCATCTATTCGACAGACAAGTGGCTTGCATTGAGTCTTGGTAGGCCGCCTTTACTGCATTATGATAATTGGCTCGTGACAAGTCCTAGCAAAGAGGATTATCCTGTCAGAGGCCTTCACCCTTCAGCTTGGTCAAACATTAAGAAGCGAGCGGAACTTGATTCTCTTCTCGACCGTGTTCTAACCCAGTTGTAGTAAGTGAATCCGCTTGTCCATTATTTTATCGTTATTCGCAACTTACCAACATTAGCTCTCCTCGTGCCATTAACGCCATGCGTGAAGATTATGAGAAGACCGCCGCATCGACTGGTCCACTGCTTCAAGATCTCTTTTCGTGGCATAGCCAGATAGTTGCACCATCGCGCAATTCTTCATCATCAGATCAAGACAGACCAGTGGCAATAGAGAGAACTCTCGAGATGAACTATCATTACATTCATTTGAGTATTTGCAGAGCTATTCTAAGGCCATTCCTGCACCCCAGTGTCGAAGAATTGAATAACTCATATTATATAATTGCGCGTGAGCAGGCCCGAAGTCGAGCAGAAGCCTGCATCTCGGCAGCAGCTGAGTTTATTCATGAGTTAAAGGCCGAGGACCTTGAGACCCTATGGCCGGCCTGGAGTGCGACCGCATTTTCATCCATCTGTTTCCAAATTCTGCACATGGCCACAAGCTCCCTTGATAGGAGCGAGGCGGATAAATGGGTCACTTGTCTCCACCAAGTGCGCCGGGACATGCGCTTGAAGGCCGATGTTCTGCCTTGCCTCCGTCTTGGCCTTCTGCGAATTGACTCCATATTCTGGAAGGGAGTAGATAATGTGCTTCATTTGGAAGAGCATGTCCGGCAAGCTTTTACGTCAGCTTCTTGACAAAATCGGTCCAGTTGAGTGATCATGCGCTGCATTGATATGTAGATTTTAGAAATAAACTACGCGCATTCTGCATGAACAACCTCTTAGGTAAATCGATTGTATGACGCCCTCCGCCAATAGGGCGATAGAGCAAGCTAGGACCCTCAGGATGTGTAGGCCAATATAACAGGTCCTGGGGCGTCAGGTCATGTTCTCCCCGGCCTTCGCCCATAGAAACTCGCCACTGCGAATTCATAGTTCCGTAGCCTTTGATAGGCTCTGGTCCGCGGCGATGATGTTCTTGATATCGTTGTCTCGTGTCAAAGCTGTATGCAGAGTACAGAGGAAAGAGAGATGTGTTCATCCTCAGGCCTGCTTCTCAGTCAGCCCACACAGCCTTTTTGTGACCTTTGTGGCGTGTTTGTCCTTTGATAGTAGCGTTATTATTTAGTGTTAGCTACTAGTATCGCTCCGGGGGCTTTTATGCCAGAGGTGCCAGTGAATGTCGGCATAGCACCTGGGCAGCCACGCCCGGAGTACACGAAGAAAGAGAGATGCAGCCACTCACCCCTCATCATACAATAGTTGGAACCATTCATACTCGATAAATGCCCAGCTGTTATACTACTATTCTTTCTTTTCTTCTTGGTACTAGACATCAAGATGGATGTGACTATCTAATGGACGAGTCAGAAAGGTGAAGGGTATATAAGAACAAACTTTTGCTATAGTTTTAGACTCGCTGTATAACCCCCATGCGTCTATGTACGATGTTCATTTTGATTTCCCAGCATCTAGCAAAAAATAAAACCTGAATCATGAAACAAACAAAAACTCAAAACGGCCGGAACACAAATCATTATCCAAGGAAAAGGAAAAGGACGAATACAAAATGGAAAACGCCCGAAATAAAAAGAGGGTCTGGCTTCACAGACCAAGCAAACAAAATCATCACTATTCATCCTCTACTGCCATCGATACTGCCATCGATACTGATGTACTATCATGGCATACTAACCCAGAGAAGAACCCCTAATCCGTCCGGGAGTTCGCGATATTCAAAACAAGAATATCCGTGGCACCGACCTTAATCAAGTCATCCATAACGGTAGCAATGCGCTTCTTCTCCACCATCGAAGAGACGGCCACCCACTCCGGCTCCTCAAGAGCAGTGATCGTGGGGGCGCGCTTGCCGGGGGTAATCTTGGTAGCAACGGGCAGCTCAGTGCGGGGGATATTGTATTGGCACAGAACAAAACGCTGAGCGGTAATAACACCACGGATACGCGCGGCGAGCAAGTTGAGGAGATCTGACTTGGAGTTGCGGGACTTGACGAGGACGGCGGTGCTCTCGACGACGGTATCGATGGCCTTGAGGCCAGCAGCCTTCATTGTTTCGCCGGATTCTGCGGGAGGATATTAGTCAATCGCAATCTCCATAAGATTCAGAACTATTGCAGCTCGGGATCGGGGGTAGGATTAAGGTTCAACGTACCAACAAGATCGACAATACCATCCGCAACGCCCAGCGCGCAAGCAGCCTCAACACTACCGCCAACATACTTGATCTTGGTCTGCAGCTTGGAGCCAGGCGCAACACCTTCCAGCTTAGAGAAGAATGCGTCGGACAGCGCGGTGAAGCTGGTCACGACGTTGCGACCAACCAGCTGGGAAGCATCGGTGATGTTCCCCTTCTCCGGGACTTGGACCTGGAGCTTGCAGCCACCGAAGCCGAGGTCGAGGATCTCCTCAACACCGGAAACCTCGCCAGCGGGCAGGGTAGCATCGTGTTCAGCGACCTGGTCGCGGCCGGTGATACCGATGTCAACGCGACCCTCGCCGACGAAGGTGGGGATGTCGGCGGCGGGCAGGAAGATCAAGGCAATGGGAAGGTTCTTGACGAGGGCAATGTCGAGGCGGGTTTCGCGACGGAATTGAACGTCAGAGCCGGCGAGGAGATCGAGGGTTGCTTGTTGGAGACGGCCCTCTAGAGAGTGTGTTAGTAATTGGATTCGTTGGTTGGTGAATGACCGCCCCGATAGGAGAGCAGTGTTGGAATTGGGCACGACTTGCTCTTTGGCACGGCGAAGAGGAGTCTTCCTTCGAGGCTGAATGAGGTGTTAGTGGTGGAATGGTATAGCTTCTTTGTTGGAGTGACTCACTGGTTGACGAGATCCATTGTAGCGGGGGTGCGGGGTGGGAATTGGTCGTGAAAATTGAGGAGGGGAGGGGAATGAAGGTGGAGGGAAAGAGACAAGAGATTGTTAATCAGTCAATTGCGCGACAGGAGTAAAGGGCGTGCAATTGAGAATTGAATGGTGAAGTGAAGAGGGAAGCTTGATGCGGCAGAAATTGGAGGGGCAGCCGATGCCGGCCGGTGTACCGCAGTAGAAGGCAGAGGCGGAGCCAGTGACAGCAGTGGACGACACACGTGTAGATAAGAGGGGGGAGGGTAGAAAGTGAGTAAAGCAAGTAAAGTGAATACAATTGAACTCTTTCAAGTGAATTGAAATGAATATACTCCAATTTTATCCTACTAAGGAACTATTGAAATTCAATTTCTACCAAAGTTCTACTGCGTAGACCCTAGTTCTGCCTGACAGGTAAGGCGGTAAGGCAGTTAGGCAATCAGGTGTCAACCCCACCACGTGAGTCAGCAATTTTGAGTCATGTGACTCTCAATTCCTGAGTCAGCATAGCTGACTCACCTTGCTGACTCACTTTATGCCTGCCGGGTCAGGTGTCGACAGCCCTGAGCCCTCGCGTAATTTGGAACCCACACAAGGCAAAATCATCTTCAACCACCAACTTCCGTCTACCCCGAAACTACCAACCTCGTTCGAGCTCACCTATCCTCTCCAAAATGGATTCCGCAAAGCAGCCCGTCAAGCTCGTCAAGGTGACCCGTGTCCTCGGCCGCACCGGTACGTCTATCCTCCAGCTCTCAGCACCGCAAATTTATCCCACAAATTCGAATTCGACCTCCGCCGGGCCATTGCCCTCCAACGATCGCCGATGGCCCGGATAATACTCGAATTTGGAATCGCGACTCTTCAAACGGCAGTAAAGGCTAACTTTTGTTCGATCAGGCTCCCGTGGTGGTGTCACCCAGGTCCGCGTCGAGTTCATGGACGACACTTCCCGTTCCATCATCCGTAACGTCAAGGGCCCAGGTATGCGATTCGATAAACCCGGTGCGATGCAGTGTCCAGAATTTCCAAACCGTCCAAGAAGAAGAGGAGGAATCACAAATCACCAAGGAAAAACAAACGACACCAATGTCACATTTGAGCGGCGGACCAGCAAATCATGAAATGCGGAATTCTGGATATGGAAATTTTGGACACCCGCATCCCACCAACATCCCACCATCCACCACACACAACCCCGCTAACCCACCAACAGTCAAGGTTGACGACATCCTGTGCCTGCTCGAGTCCGAGCGTGAGGCCCGCCGTCTCCGTTAAAAATCCCCACCAATTCACTCGCGCCATGTCTTTCGTCTCTCTTCGTCTCTCACATATCCCTCTCGTCCGGTTTCATTGATCGTTCTTCGGCCAAAACTGTGTCCCACGCTTTTTCTTTCTTGCCGTATCTCTGACTCCCCGACCCCCTCCACCTCAACCGCCGCGCCGCCCATTTGCACTCGCCTCTTTGTCGTCTCGAAACCGTCCTTCTCCGACTTTTGATGCTCCATCGGGCGTGGTGTTAAATTCTGGGTGGATGGACTTTATGAAATAGGAAAGGGGCTTTCACCCCCCCCTACTCCGTTTTCAGAAAAGTTCCTGAAGTCGATCTGGGCTCCGTACGGGAGAGAGAGATGGAGAGAAAACGAGCAGATTCAATTTTAAAAAAAAGACCCTGTTGATATGAGAAATGAAATGAGGTTGCGCGATCGCTGGTTTGTGGAATTGTGGGATTGGTTAGGTCTGGTCTGGTCTGGTCTTGGTGTTTTAATACATTTATGCGTCCAATTTGGCGTGTGTGCATGGGCTCAATGCGACAAACGAGGTTGTGATGTGCATTTCTTCTTTTCTTCGCTTCGAGCGATTCGAACCTAGAAAGAAGCCGAGGCTCGAACCAGGTCTGGCCGACAAAAAGAACAATGGAATCCAAAAAAATTTGAAAATCCGGTTCTACCATGTCGAAATGGTAATCCGTAGCACCTGGCGAGTACTCGGTGTAGATTCCACCCACTTGGCGTAGATAATGTGCTTCAACTGATACTCCAAGTTGATACTTGCAAGTGCCCGATGTTGATGTTACATTCGTCGAATAACCTTTCGGGTTAGTCATGACCAGCACTTCGTATAAAACCTTGACTTAACGACTAGGATACTTCACCCTGGGCATCAGGAAAGCAAAGGAACACAAGGGCCTTCAAACAATCTACTTCTAGTATCCTACTACCCATCTTCCAAGGTCAATTTAAGCTCATCCGACACAATGGATAAAGATCAACCGGTATGTGCTAGCAGCCCGACACAGCCAGGCCAACTACTACGAACCGAGGGATATCCAGTATTCAATCGTACCCGGTCAGATATCGTCGAGCCATGACTCAACCTTGGAAGAACCTTAAAATAATCACACCAGATCTTAAGAATATACTAATAACTACACAGAAGAAGATTGTCACCGCAGAGGAATACCAAGAAGCGCGGAAGCACCTCCTCAACCAAGAAAAAGCATCAACCCACCTTCTCCAAAAGCTCGCCGAAACCCGACGCAACCTGCCCATGGTCCGAATCACCAATCCCTCCAGATTTAAATTCGATACACCCAGCGGCGAAAAGACACTCCTCGACCTCTTCGAAAACCGCAAGCAACTGATCATCTACCACTTCATGCTTGCCCCGCACGAGAAAGCCGGGTGTGTGGGCTGTTCTCTATGTATGGATCATATCCCCCCCGCTAGGCCATTTGCATAGTCGGGATACATCCTTTGCGGCCGTGGCGACTGCGCCTATCAATGAAATCACTGCGTTTGGCGAGCGGATGGGGTGGGATTTTCCGTTTTATAGCTCTGCCAAGACTCATCGGGCTTGGGAAGAGGCTGAGCGTGATGGTGAGGTGATTACTTGGAAGCCTGGAAATGGGTATTTTGGTCTTTCTTCGTTTTTGAGAGAGGGAGATGAGGTCTTTCATACTTATGAGACTTCGTCGAGAGGGTTGGAGATTATTCTTTCGACTTATCATCTTCTTGATATGACTGCCTTGGGAAGGCAGGAGGTGGGGAATGGGATGGGGAACTTTCGGCGAAATGATGAGTATTGAGGATGCGGAGGGGAGTTTCCATGTTAATTGAATTCAGTATTGTTATATACTTGGGGGAAAAGCAGGGATATTTAGTACACAAAGAATGACTACAACTGCATTTTGAATGGTACAAATGCGCAATCAATTGAAGCACGGAATCATCCATCTGATTTCCAGTATAGTACCATTGGCGGTGCGAGCCTATACAATCGCGTCCATTCTTCCACCGAACTGAATACCAGCGTTGAATGGCCGCATCGCGCTATTTTTCGCAGCTCCAAGCCAACCAGGGAAGAGATTGCGTGAAAGATTTTCTCGAAATTTTCGACCTCTCAGGGCTCACTAAACATGCTAGAAACTGTTTTATTCGCAGCTTCAGATCGTAGTGTGGTGATTGTATTCACCATTTTCATCGCATCATCAGTTCGACCTATTGATTTCCATGTTTCTGCCAGATCTTCCATAGCAGCTAATGTGTCTTGATGATGCTCTCCAAGGGTTTCTTTTCGTAGGTCAAAGACCCTCATCTGTAGCGGCAAGACCTCACGCCACCTCTCTTGTTCCTTGTAATTTGTTACCAACCTTTCAACATGATGCATTGTAATGGAATCGTTCTCGCCATATTGTTCCGTTGCTACTTCTACGAGCCTGGCTAGAAGCGGCTCTGCTTCTTTGAACCTCCTTTGGATTTGGTAGATAGTCACCAGGGTGCTGAATGTAAGCATTTGCGAGAATCTGTCTTCTTCAGGCTCTTCAATTTGATGGCTGTCACCTCGAACGTTCTTTTCCAGTGCCAGTTGTGCGTTTCTCAATACCGACTCAGCCTCATCGAATCGAGAAAGCAAGCAATAGGCGTGCCCTAGTCGTGATGATAATTTAATGGTCGCTGAGTGCTGTCCTCCAATCAGTCTTTCGCATATCTCGATGGTTTTCTCCAGTATCGGTACAGCATCTTGTAATCGACCTTGTGAGTGGAAGAACTCAGCCAACTCGGCTGAAGACTCTAGCGCATCTTCGTGTCCGACCCCTAAAATGTCAAGGTAACCGGTATTGGCTTGGAGGTAAAGCTTCACGGCCTCCGCAATATGTCCTTGTTTGTTGTATGTCCTCGCCAGAGCTTGGCGCACCTCATGCGTGCGGATATTTTCTTTCCCAAAAAGTGCCTCGCAAGAATTCAGCGCCTGTTCTTGCAGCGCCGCAGCCTCTTTATATTGCCCTTGAACAAAATACAAATGCGCCAGTACAGCCATTAGGCCCAAGGTGGCAGGGTCCTGTTCTCCAAATTCTTTCACCGATTCCTTCATCGCTCGTAATGCTAACTCCTCGCTTTCGCGGTAACGACCTTGTCGGAAGTAAATCTTTGCGAGACCATGCATGCAGATAAAGCTGTCATGTCCGCTTGCCCACGCTTTGCTTGATGTTCTCTCTACCGCTTCCTTCAGTAGTGCCTCAGCTTTCAACAGTCGGCCTGTAAAATGATAAAGAGTCCCAAGTGAGTACATGATATTGACCTTGGTATCTTCCTTGCACGAAATTTCGCTATCTGCTAGCGCAGTCTCTAGAATACTCTGGGCATCTTTATATTGAGCCCCTGTGATCAGTGCATTTCCCATCGTAGCTGAGCTCCGAAGGGTAGTGTCATGTTGGAAGCCAAAAATGCTCTTCCTTGCCTCTAATGCTTTAGAGGCCATTCTAATACCATCTTGATGGTTCGAATTTTCTATGGCATAAGCTGCTCCTCGATTCATCAAGCAAGCCCACAATTCCAAATATTCCAGCGAGTCTGGGCGGTGATCGAGTGCGGACTTGACATGAGGGAAAAGCTCCTGGTGCTTTTTCCATTCAGCATAGGCAATTCCCGGGGAACCAAACTCATAGCTGATATTTTCAATAAACTGATTTCGCCATCGGGAAATTTGGCTATGGTCCTCAAGCCATAACCGTGTCGCAAGTTGCACTAGCGAATGCATTTGAAAGGTATGTGCATCTTCAGTTGAGGATATGAAGGAGAAATCCTTCAATATGACGATATCCTCTCCAAGCTCATAATCTGCGTCGGATTTTACATCGCTATCCGTCGAATCTCGTCGCCTCTTTCTGCAACTCGTCTTTTTAACCCTTTCTGCGTGAGAAGAAATGCGAAGAGCACTCTCCACAATGCCCTGACGATCGAAAAAACTCATGAGAGAGAGAAGATCTGCGGCAGAGGCTCTGGTTCGCCGAACGTGTTGGAAAGATATTTGCCAGGTAATTAGTATTGAATTCGAGGCCTGTTCGTCGCGTTGAAGACCTTTCCCTTCATGCTTGAGAAGCCTTGTTTTCTTGCAATCATTTTTCCGGAATTCATACAGGTACTGTAGGACTGAACAACGGGGTGCTCGTCTCTTAATATATGCCCCGGCTTGAGTAATTGCCAAAGGCATAAACTCAAGTGCCTTGCATAGCTCTTCGATACCTTCCTGGCTGAATTGATTTCCTAGACTGGCCCGCATGAGAGATGATGCCTGTGAGCTGTTCATCAAATCAACGGTAACGATGCTATCATCCCTGACCAATCTCGAAGCCACACTCGCACTCCGAGTAGTGATCAAAATACTACCGTGTGGGACGCGAGGTATAAATTGTAAAAGAGTTTCGCCTGAGACTCCCGCACGGTTGAAGCCATCAAACTGAGAACCCAAATTTGCCTCAGGGGACAGCGGGTTTTGAGAGCTGAAAACCAGAGGCTCGCGAAGATGACTATCATCGTCGACATTATCCAGAATAAGAACCCAGGGTCCGTGCTTTTCATCGCAGAGCCAGTTAAACACAAGTCGAAATATGTTAACACCGGGGCTCTGGCACCCTGGTATCTTGACCCTGTCGGCGAGCCTCTGAAATCCTTGTTCAACCCGTGCTGCATTACTAGCATGGATCCAAAATACCCATGTCTGAGGAGAGGAGTCGCGTAATCGGTATGAACATTCAATCGCTAACTGTGATTTTCTTTCGGAAAGTCAGTGGTGCAATCAGGTGAGCTTCGCTTTGATATCACGAACCCAATACCCCCCAAACCGACAAGAGCCACTCTCGCACCCGGTGGAGAGAGCTTCTCTTGAATATCAACAAGCAAGGTTCCACGCTCAACGAAGTCTGGATCTCGAGGGAATGGAACCGTAGATAGTGGGTTTGGACTTGGTTCTGGCTGTTCTGTGGTAGAAAACGGTCATCAGCTCAGCCCCGCAACAGCCATTCCAATCTGATACTGCGAACCAGCGGCATGGTAGTGGACTGAGCCACTATTGATCCCTAGCTGAAGGCTCGCATTCCCGCTCCCGAATGATATGTTTGACATAATGGAGACCGCATAAGCTAGGCGAGGTGGGAAAAGAGGTTCAGAGAGCGTTCATCAGCCGCACTTCGCATTTGGCCCCTCGAGCGATGGTCTGGGCGTGGCGCGGCAATCTATTTGGCATAGCGTATGTATTATACAGGGGTCCTACATAATTTAGTAGACAACATGAGTGCCTCAAGCCTAAGGCTGACAAGAGATGTTCGTCGCCTCAAGTGTTTATCGTACCCCTACTAACCTCAAGCTGCCCAGGGATATGTGGCCTTAGGGCCTTGCATCTACTGAATGCCGCTCAAAGCGATTACTAGTAGTAGTGCCTAGTGATAAGTTTGGTATAATTTTATTTTGCTATCCAAACTCCACGAAAGCCTCAAAAAACTAGTCATAGTAATGAACTACTCAATGCTGCTTATTTTCGCATAAAAAGACACCAGGAAACACCCATGCCCGAAATAATGTACAACGGTAAGATAAATGCAAGGCGAACACAAGGCTAAACAAGCTCAACACTCGCCATCAATCGGTCAAGTAAATCATCATTAACACCATCCCCATCACCCTCGTCCACAATCTTTCCAACAGCCCCAACCAACCCAGCAACCCTTTTCCTCCGAATCGTCTCCTCAAGCTCCGAACTCTTCCCCCTCGCCACATCCAACACAGAAGCCGGCAAATTCGCCAACCGAGCCACATTCAACCCATAACTGCGATGCGCCACGCCCTCAGAAACCTCATATAAGAACGTAATCTCCTCATCGCCCTCAACGCCAGACTCTGTAAACCGCATATGCACATTCCGCAACTCTTTATCCGGGAACGACTGAGCCATCCGCGAGAGGTGCTGATAATGCGTGATGAACAGTGTCAACGAGCGGATCGAGCGTACCATATAATCCAGTACAGCCTGGGCAATAGCGACACCGTCATGCGTGGATGTTCCGCGACCTAGTTCGTCAAGAATGACCAGCGAGCGCGGCGTAGCTTGCTTGAGAATATCTGCTGTTTCGGATAATTCGACCATGAAGGTTGATTCGCCGGCAAGCATATTATCGAATGCGCCCATACGCGTAAACACCGCGTCTAGGAGGCCTAGTCTTGCCGAGGCGGCGGGTACGTAGGAGCCTATTTGGGCCATTATTGCGATTAGGGCTACCTGGCGCACGTAGCTTGATTTACCGCCCATGTTGGGGCCTGTCACGAGGAGGGCTCGTGTGCCTTCGCTTTCGAGGTTGGTGTCGTTTGGTACGTATGCGTCTGTTAATATGCGTTCGACCATTGGGTGGCGGCCTTGTTCGACGTGCAGGCAGTGTTCGTCTGTGAATTCTGGTTTGGCGTAGCCTGGTTGTTGGGCTATGGCTGCGAGGGAGAGGAGACAGTCCAGTGTGGCGAGAGACTGGACGCAGTCTCGGAATGATTGGTATTGGGTTGCGATGTCGGCGAGGAGGGACTTGAAGGCTTTGTCACAGGCTGCGGCGAGTGCTTCTTTGTGCTGGTCTCGCTGGCGGATCATTTGGATGACTGCTGGCGTGTGGAAACGGGAGACTTTCTTCGTGCCGCTGACTTTGACCCATGATGCTGGGATTTTCCGGATGGCGAGGGAGTTGTTTTCGATTTCGATTAAATATTCGATTCCTGCAACTGTGACATATTCAATTTTCTTTCGGCCTATTTGCTCTTCGGCCACAGCGCGGTGTTCTTGTAGATCGTGCTCGATGCTGGCAATTCCGCATTTTTGATCGCTGATGTCCTCGGTCTCTTCTTCCTCTCGGAAGAAAGCATATTTATCGTCGCTTCGAGCAGCATGCATGTTTATTTTGTCCAAGAAACGAGTGACATCTTCCTGGATAGTAGGTAGGGAGGCAATGGCTTCGCTAATGAGAGTCGAGTCAAAGCCTGTGTCGGCTGGTGACTTGATCTCTGAAAACTCCATTGCGATTGTCTGCATGGTTTGCAGAACAGTGAGAAGCTCAGGTCGAGTACACTGCATTCACTGGGTTAGGACAAACTGCCTTTTGAGAGAGGGACAAGGATACCACTTACCTTCCCATAGTAAATCCGAATCAAGCTCTTCTCCAAGTCACTCTTGATCTTACCCAGTAACCTCGTAACACGCTCCACAGGAACCGCTCGAGCAGGGTTTATCAACTCTTGCACGCCATTTGTGCGTTCCTCCAAGCGTTGTCTATCAAGCAAGGGCCGTCCAACCCAATTTCGAAGAAGTCGCTGCCCGAACCGCGTCTGCGTCCGATCCAGTGTCCAGAACAAACTACCCTTTGCAGAGTGGTCATTCTGATTCTGGTAAATCTCCAGACTAACCAGGGTATTCCCATTCAGCAACATATGCGATCTCGCCGAGAAAGGCTGGAAGTACTTCGTCAGATCAAACACATGTTCCAATCCGTACTCCGTCATATGCTCAATCATCGAAGAAAGACAAATCGTAACATTCTCCGGCAACCCGAGAACATTCTGAAGCAACTTCGCCGCGAGCACATCCTCCTCCTCGCCTGTGGCATTCATCTTCCCAGCATAAAAGCCCGAGACATGACTATGCGCCTCCGCAGCCGCAGTCTTCTTCTTCCCCATCCGTTCCAAGCGCACCGCATCGCCAAAAACATTCATCTTACTCCCAGATAAATGCCGCACAAGCTTCTCACTCGCCTTCGACATCTCGCCCACAATCAAAATCTCACACGGCGCAATGTGCAAAAGCCGCGTCTCAATCTCACTGCGCATAAACCCGTCCTCGAAGTCGTCGTAGATCACATCACCCGTGTTCGGCTGCACTGCGACAATTCCAACCTGCACTCGCTCATCATTGCCCCAGCCCTTCGCATTGTTCTCCGTAATACAGAGCATGTACCCCGTAGCTGGCGATGCACCACCAGCCGCAGGCGCAGGGCCCTGCAACCCCTCCACATCGTCGATATAAGTACCCTTGGTGTAGAGATTGGTCAATTTGCGCACGAACGGTGCATTGCGATTATCGCCTGCAGCCTTGAGCGCGGCCGTCTCGATCTGCCTCACAACGCCAACCTTGTGACCCGCCGTAATGAGCCGCTTAACATGGACATGTAACCTGTGCACGGGAATACTCGCCGAGGCAAAGCGGTCGAGGTGTGCCTCGGATGGATCTAGAATGTGTGTCAGCAATGAACTAGATTTCCCTTGCAGTGTATGTCAAGAATTGGAGATGGGTCGGACACACGCTCATCGAACCGAAATTTCCCCGGTATACAAACGATGCCAAGTTCCTTCGCCGCAACGCGCGCATCGTCTCCGAAAAACCGAAACTTATACCCAACCTCAATGACAAGCACCGTATCCAGGTGTTTGCGCTTGATCTCGATAACTTGTTTCTCCATCGGTGTAAGTTTGCTTCCGCCCTTCTTGCCCGCTTTGCCTTTTGTCGGTGGTGGTGGGGCTGGTTCATCTTCTTCCTCGCCTTCTTCTCCCCTTTCCCTGTGCCGGGTCCATCGCCGACATTGGTAGGAGCGGCCGTTCGCCCAATTCCAATCAAGCAGCCTGCTCCTCCTAGTTTCCGGACGAATTTCTGGTGTAGTTTCTCTTTTTCTTTCCTTCGTTGTACGTCTTCGGGGTCTTCGTCTCTCGGAGGTGCGATAGCTGGTGAGCTTTGGAATTTGAAGATCTCGGTTCGTTGGCTACTAAGCTCAGATGTCTGGCAGGTGGGTGGGAGGGGTTGAATGATGTCTTTCGAAACGGAAATTGCTTCTTCCTGTTTTTCTTCGAGCTCTTTGGTCGGGACATTCAAGTTGGAGGCAGAGGCAGAGGCAGATGCGGAGGTGGAGGCGGAGGTGACTCTAGCACGCTTAGAGGGCCGAACCACAATGTCGTCATCCTCGTCGTCGTCGTCGTCTTCTTCGCGAATGGAGTTCGTTTTTGCCGGTTTCTCCTGTTCCGGCGAAGCTTGTCTCTTCTTAGGCCGTTTTTCCTGGGTCGTGCTGGTCGTTTCGGAGGGTGTTCGTGGAGAGGACTTTCCGCCAAAGAAGCTGGAGATGGTTGCTTGCTTGCGCTTCAGGGACGGCGATGGTGCTGAGGATTGTGAGGAATGGGGCGCCATTGTGCCCGTGAGTCCTGGACCCTGATAGCTAGAAAAATACACCAGGGGTAGTGGGTTTCTTTAAAGCCAAGCTGCAAGGTCAAGATGGAAACCCCAGTTGACTCCGCAATCGCCGAGCTTCGACGCGTTGACGCGTGGAGGCGTTAATTGGTTGCTGACTAAGATGCCCTAACTACGAGTACGGAGTATAGGATAATTATTACTCGAAGTTCGAGCGAATCAATCATACCGCAAAATATTAATACGGAGGCTTAATACGCTACATACAAAGCATAATGCTTGCGCTGTGAAAAGATACACTTAAAAACAAAGTCCCACCCCCATATCCAGTCTTCAGTCTCCAGTCTCCAGTCTCCGAACCCCAAAACTCGAATTTTCTCCCAGGGTTGATAACAATCTCCAATCCCCCCCAACCCTTGACCTAACCATCAATTGATAACCCCGTCAGATACACGCTCATAGAAAGAACAGAAGATAAAAACCAAGAAAAGAAAGGAAAAAGAATGTTGAAGTGCAGCCAGCTCGTGTGTAGTCGTCTTGCTTGGCTCCTCCTGATGCACAACAATTGAGCGTGATCGACAGCCCATTCAACCCCAGCCCCGTATTCCGTCTACTCTGTGCCGCCAGCCAGATACAGCCGGGCAAATTCCTGGTGATCTTCCTCTGAAATGGTCGCTTCCGATGATTGCGCTCGATGCATGTTCCAGCCGGTATCCGCTGCAGAGAAGTCGTCATAGCAGCCGTCTCCAAGGAAACTCATGCCCCCAGTCCTGAAGGTCGGAGCAACCAATGGATTGCACTGGAATGCACATTTTCCATCGTCTTCCTCCTCGTCCTTAACGAAAAAGAATTCAGGTGGGTAGTTGGGCTGATTCAAGCCGGTTCGCTTGCTGAGTGGAGAGTCCCAACCGCCAATATCCATGCATCCGTGTGGGTTGAGAATTGGCTCGATGTTTTCCTTCTCCTGCGTTCCTCGGCCATCACTCTTTCGCCCGGGGTTCTGGTTCTTCGGGGTGTTTCCCCTGTGGTCCAACACGAGCCGTGCTGGAGTCAAAGTGTCCTGTGTCGGATGTTGCTTGGAACGCTGGCGGCCTCGGAAAGCGTCCTTGATGTCGTGGTCGGAGTCTGCGAAGATATGGAAACCGCTCCGCGGTCCCTTTGCACCCTTTGCAAAGGCTTGAACAGACAGCTGGAAGTCCTGATCATCTTCGACGTAAGATGGCCTGATACCTGCCGAGCGCTGTGAACGGCGGCGAGGCGTTTCGACCACCTGAACAGGCTCACGATTCTTTGAGGTGCCGGCGACTCCCTTCTTTCCGCTGCGTTTTCTAATCGGCAGGTTGGGGTCATTCTGGCCAAGAGGTCTTCTCTTCTTGGAGCGAGGCGGACGCTGTTTTGGGATGGGCGTCTCGCCTTTCAGTGGAGTCTGGTTTTCATCCACATCGCCGGAAATGAAACGCTCTTTCAGCAAGTCGCCCTCGGGGGAGAAGATCTGCTCGGTGGGCTCCACAAGAAGTGATGTGATCTCCATGCGTTTGATAACGGTACCGTCTTTCTTCTGGTTACGTCTGCGTCGCATTTGGCCCGTTGCTGAATCGAAGATATCCATTCCGGGCCACAAAATACCCTTCAACCTGGACATTTCATCTGAACGCTGTTTCTCGGCTTCGGTCATGGCGTCTTCATGGCGCTCAAAGTTTGATTCGTCATCTGCGTCGAATAGAAAAGGGTCAAGCTTCTCCTCGTCGAGTGATTTCTTGGACACGCAGTTTCGCTTGGGTCGACCTCTGGCAGTGTTGGGTGTGACCGGAATGATAATAGGGTCCATGAGGCGTGGATCCAGATAGTCTGGTAGTTCAGCGTGAGGCGGAGTGGTGGCGATAGGTTTCTTGACGCGACAAGACCGTTTGACTGGCGGCTGAGAGTAGACTTCGTCATTGTTCGATTGGGACTTCCGCTTGTTCTTTCGTTCGTCTGTGGCGGTTATTCTTTCGGAGAGAAGAGCTGCGAGGTTGTTCTCTTTGAACCAAGCATCGTATTCCTGCAACAGTTGAGTAACGTTCTCATCCTGGTGGCTGCGGACTTGAAGTTTGAAAGTGTTGGAGAGGTGGCCCTTGGAGGAAACATGAGTCAACAAGTGCGAAACATCGCTAAACCGAGGATGCCCAGGACATATGGTGCAGTTCAAATTGGAGGCGTTCATTGGTCCAATTGGAGGGGATTGGATGATCCAATCCAGCATGCAGATGCAAGCGAGACCAAGTCGGGTAACAAGATGTCAAGACTGAATTGAATGAACAAAAGATCAGAAAATGCAGAATAATAGAGAAAGACGCAAGAAGACACGTCGGATGTGAGAAATAACAGAGTTGAGCGGAGGATTTGTTGTGATTTCTCTTGTTGTGGTCAAATGGCAGCCTCGAGTGGTGGTGACGAGGAAGGCACGCAGCAACCCTGGAACGGGGAAGGTGCAGCCCTCAACCTGCAAACTTCCCACAAGGAAGGAGCGCCCCAGCATGTCTATACAACCCTTACCCTTACTAACCAAATTCTATAGAATCAATCAATCAGATTATGGGAATTTTGAGCTTTGAAACTTGAGACTTGAGTTGTCATATTCAAAATAGGCTATGCTAGACGATATGTAAGAATGCAGATGTAGGTAGATATGTAAATGTGCCACGATGTCTTAACAGCCTTCAGGCAATTGTGGGAGGGTATGAAGCGGAATAAGTCAAAGTGGAGATGCTCTCCTCCCACATTGTATCCCATGATCCATGGAGCAAAAGAATCATGGGTTATTAGATTGTGGGAGGGATGGTCCGTAGGACGAATGGTTTCAAATGGTTTGTCATGAGAAGCATGAGATCAGGTATGAAATATTGATCACCTGGCAAAGCACCGAGCAATCACAGATTTAGGCATACAACTGGGGTGGTGTTAATTCAACTTGATTGCAAAATATGATGGCGAGGGGAGAGAAGGGGCGCCGCTTACTATACTGGATCTACTTCCTGCAGTCCCTCCACCACACCAAGCAGACTCAGGCCAGCCAGACCGAAGTTGGTATGATAGACATCAACCATGTTTCCTGGTCGGTCAGCAAACCCACCGGCTTCGGGGTCCTGGATTCAAATGGTTAGACACAGAAAAAAAGAAAGAAAAACGAGGTTGTGATGAGGGGAATTGTGCACTAACCTGGCATTGCAAGACAAAGGCAGAAAGTTTCTGGCGATCAATCCAGTCCAGCCGGTCGATCATGGCTAAGCTTGAACCAACCCACCAAGTATAGCATGCATCAACGAGCTTCTCTGGGCGCCCATTAAAACCGCCGTTGTCAACCTGCCGTTCACTGAGCCAAGCTCCGAGACGGTCCTTGTTCACCAGATCCAGACGGCCTGCAATGGAGAGAGCACCAATGCAAGTGAAAACCTGGCCTGCATGAGACTCGGTACCGGGGGAGATACCATAGGCACCATCAAAGTTCTCGCAACTCTGAACATAAGTGACAGCCTTGGGAACATCGACAAGGTCCATGAGACCGAGCAGTGAGAGCGCATTCAAGGCACCATAGAGGAACCGGGTGTCGGTTTCACCCCATTGGTCTCCCATGAATGAGCCATCATTCTTATTCTGCAAACTGGCAATGACTAGAACTGTTTAGTACAAGGGGGAACAAGAGAGAGGAGAAAATCATCTGCGACAAGGGAAGTGAATCGTACAAGACGCAACTTTCTGTTTACCGCCACGGTCCTGTTTCTCCAGCTCATCCACAGCATCAATGGTGACCAGGATCTGGACCGCGGATACGGTGTAGAGCATGTGAGCATCATGGCCTGGGGCAGCTCCGAAGCCTCCATTGTCCCTTTGGCAGGAAAGAACAAAATCAATGGTTTCTTGGCGAGCCAAGGCATCGGGATGGCCGAGAAGATGAAGCGCTGTCAATCCCCAGTATACGCCATTGAGGCGCAAGTGCTCGGTCAGCCAGTATTGCAGCTCATCCTTGCGCTATTGTCACCGTCAACGGATTGTCCATAAAGCGGACCACCGCCATAAAAGAGTAGGACGCACAGTATCCAAGTTTTTGATGTACGCCACATGTTTCAAGGCGTGCAGTTCCTGATCTGATGAGGAACCTGAGAGGCCACCAGCCCTACCAGGACCATGTGCCAAAGACATTATATGGTTTGCAGATGATGATGGTGGCTGGAAAGCGAGGAGAACAGTGATTGGGCGAGGGGGGTGACAGGTTAGTAATTGCGGGACACCGACAAAGAAAAAGAAAAAAGACTGTCAGGGTTAATGATATCCGCGCTCAGATCATGCTGTCATTGAGCGAAGATGCATGAGCGGGGGGAAGCTCTCAAGGGCAGTTCAGAGCCGCGACGCTAGACTAGGATCAACCGAGTTCAGGCTGTCTTTTTCCAGTGGTTGCCAATGGTTAGCCGCAAGGCAAATTGTGGCTTGGAGCGAGGCCAAATCGGGCCAGTTTTGTGTGTTTGTGTGCACGTGAGAGCACGTGAGTAGAAGGGGGCACATGACTTCACATGACTTCATGTGCCTGTCTACTCGAACTGCTCACATGATCCATGCCACCCCCGTCAGGCCAGCCACCTTGGAAGGGCTGAGCTCCACTTGTCTTTGAAATCCACAGTGTCCAACTCCACAGACGCCACAATCCTGCCCCTGAGGTCGCACTGTACACTGCTCCGTGCACCCAAATCCACCGCTAGTCTCAGATCGGCCATGCCATGTTTCAGAAAGGACCACCCGGAATGCCCGTGCACCGCCATGTCGAAGCACATGGAAATGGCAGGCAGAAGAATTCGCTTCGAATATTCGACAATGTGGACACTTGAGGATGAGAATAGCATCTGATGAGGAAATCACCGTTTTTAGCAACGCCCAGCTGTCTCCACCTCGCTTCCTCGTTCTCGCTGTCAAGTACCTACTAGTAATAGAATGGGCGACCGCCTGGCAGTTCCTTGCAATCAATTGCTGCCGATCCAGGATGCGCGCGATATATATATATATACTATATATATACATTAGCATACTACATTACGATAAGCCGCTGCATGCGCCCGGGGAAATTGACTCCGGACTTGGAGCAGTATCCGAGTGCTATCCTCCGTGATCAATTTCGAATAATCTCGTGCATGCATTTACTACTATACAGTACAGGCCCAGATGGCTGATGTGCGGCAAGACGACTGCAATTGTTACAGAAGACGCCGGAGTGCGGTGACAACCCCGGAATAACTCAGGCGCAGGCGCAGACGCGGACGCAGCGCAGACCGCACTTCCCCGACAGGCAATTAGAGCAGTGGCATGTTTGCTTAAAAAAAGAGCTCAAGGCCCACTCCAAGGCAGTGTAAATACGGAGCCAGTGTGGATGTGGATGAACGTGAGTGGGCATTGACTGAAACTCGGACCAACGATGTGACCAAGTGGAGGATGGGGCCCTCCTCAAGCGCCCGGACACGTTTTTGTCTGACGACTGCTACCCCTGATCCGATCCTGTCAGAATACTAGTCCGATGCAGGAAAATAATGAATTGGAAGTCCCTCTTTGTCGCACGCCCTTGGAATTGAACCTTGCCAATTGATGGGGATCAACTTGGGGATCAGCAGGAATTGACAATGATATTCATTTTCCCCATGCAACAACAGCCGCTGGTTCGCCCGGCCGAATCGTCCATCGGTCGACCAGACAAGCACAACCATGGATTGACGACAGGAACAGAATGCACAGCGCAGATTTGTCGAGAGGGCTTATAATCTCCACTATCCTCCGGCTGACCGGCCAATCATCTTGTTCAATGATGCGACGCAAGACAAGCACATCATCCCGCCCGTGGCTCTAGCTGCTAGAACCAATGGTGACTGTGGAGGTCGATCGGTGTGACTTGTGTGTATTTTGGGAATAGAGGTGAACGAGAGCGAGACAGTTAGCGATCGAATTAATGTACATGACAGGGCGATAGTGGTGGAGCAGAACTCGGTACGAGGAATGCTGGCGCAAGAACTGTAGGACACCAACTCCGTAGGAATGTGGAAGTGGAAGTGGAAGTACCGGACCGAACGGACCCCAAAATGGATTGACAAGTTAGATCACCGTTTTGTATCTCTACTTTTACATCGGCAGATGATGTTGCGCACCGTCACTGTTGGCCCCCCTCTTGTCCCATTCGGAGGCAACCCTTGGATAGAGTGACGTCGATCCCAGGGGAGCATCAGATTGGCCCGATTGTATTGTTTGGAAGAAGAAATTAAACACGTCCCCACAGGGGTTTTTTTCTCTTTTCTTTCTTTTAGGCCAATCTGTTTATTAGTTCAGATTAATTATATATGATAAGGTAGAAGAAAAAAAGAGATACGATCGGCTTCAATCCCCCCCCCTTCTTCGTCGGGCCTTATTGCATGACTCTTCTTCTCTCTCTCTCCGCTGTGGAATGTTTTCCCTTTTCCTTCTCCCACACAACTTCATCCCCATCCACTCTCTTCCCCTTAGGTTGACGCCGCATCGTCCTAGAGAGGTTTAGTGGCTGACGTCGAATTGGGCAATTTGATTACTGCTAGCGTGCAAGTGCAACTCCCCTACCGCCGCTACGCCCAACGCTAAGTCCGTTAGGGGACCTGTGCAGCCTCTCACACACTCTCTCCGGTCATATTTCTGTCTTGGTGCTTCTCCTTGATCACCAAACCACACCCATATCTTCAGCTGGCTCTCCTTTGAACCGGGTTGACCGTTTTCTTCTTTCTTTTCACTCCCTACGTGAAAGGCTCTCAACCACTTGGGACAACTTCCCTGTCCTGTCGATCCCTTGACCCGCCTAAAAGAGGGGGCTCCGAGATTCCTCGTCTGGAATCAACTTTGCAAAGGGGAATCACTCTGTCTTTGGGACATAACATGAGGGGTCTGGTGAGTGTCTTCCCTTTGAATCGCGTCTACTCCATTGTTGTTGGTCACAGTCCATCCTGGTACCTGGCCATGTCAATCAATATCTCCTAAACGGTCGTCCTTTGAACAACCCCCCTCCTCCCCCGTGCCCCCCCTGCATCTGTCATGGCTCTATGCGGTTTCACCGGTCTTTTTTTAGATGCTCTGGTGACCCTCTTATCTGTCGGAATGACCTTACTGACCGTATAACCGTCTTCTGCAGATCCTACACCCTCGATAGCATTTTCTCTCTGCCCATCCCCGGTGGATATCCCAACGACCATCCCGGCATTATAGACATCGGCAAGACCGAACAGCCCAGACAAAGTGCAGCAGCTGAAGGTCAGACACGAGAATATAGGTGATCCGGAGTGATCTGGAGTGATCGGGTACGGCTCAGCTCTTCAGCCCTGGTCGCCTGGTTTTAACACGCACGCTGACCAAATATCTCCTACAGCCCAACACCCCGTTCAACCTCCAACGTCACACTTGAAACCCGCGCAACGAGCCCGGAGCCTCTCGCTTATAACTCCATTCCTTCCCTACTATCGTGGCCCGACCTCTCCCGACTAGCGCCAACATGCCTTCCCGACAGTCGACCGTGCCGAATCTCGACTTAGGCTCGTTGAAAGCCGACACAAACAACGGCAAACTTTCGTCGCCCATAACACCTGGTGCGCAGAGTTCCGACCTGCCTAGCCCCTTAACACCATGTTCGCCCAAGTCCGCGTCCAGCTCCCCGTTGTTCAAGGGCGCCACTATCCGTCCTGTCACCCAAGAGAGCAGTAAGGTGAACAGCCCGACAATTCCAACCTCGCCTGGGTCTGTGGCAGCCGAGCCCCCAACCCCTGGTCTGACGGCCATCCCTCAACAGTTTCCTTCACCCAAGGACTCGTCAAAACACAGTCGCGATGCTTCAAAATCATTCTTCGGCACGCTGAAGGCCCCCAAGACGTCTCATCGCCCACAGAGATCAGATGGTTCAGATCACTCGACCGAGCCCCCCCAAGAGTCGTGGAGGTTCTCGGGATCGCAAATCGCAGATGCCACCCAAACTATACGAGTCGAGCCCCGACCTGCCAACTGTAATTGCCCAGGCAGGGGAGAATGAGAAGAGTGAGCTAACGAGTATACACCAATCATATGTTCTAGTGAACTAACAATCATGTTTTTTTTTCTCTAATAGATGAACACCATACGAGTGAAAAGAGTACGCAACAAAGCGGCCACAAGAAGGCAGGGCCCGATCCGGAGCAGGCAGCCTCGAAAAAGAATAAACCGAGATTCGGCAACCTCCTGAGCCGCTCTCGGTCGATTCGTGTCGATGAATCTTCCGGGAATCGGGCCGCCGGTCGACGACCCTCGATTGGTCTAGCGAAATTGGAGGAATTCAGCCAGAAGGATACGGCTACTGCCCCGCGTGCTGCAACAGTGCGCCCTGAACGACCCCAGCAAGGTAGTTTGCAACCTCCTCCTAGCCGCGGAGGAGATGGTCATTCCTTACGAAAGGAGAGAAGCCACGGAGGATCAATGGTCACATCAGGCTCGCTGAGCCAAGTTTCCGGTGCATCGGCCGCAATTTTCAACAACCTCAAGCAGTCGTCGTCTGGTGCAGCGGATCGTCTAGGCAAAGCTGGAAAGGGATTCTTCGGCAAGATTACTCGGAGCGGAAGCACGAACGAGCGCGAGCTAATCAATGACGACAACTACGTCTGCTCTGTGATCAACCTCCCTCTGATACAGCAAGCGAGGAAGACTCGCATCTGTAAGAAGCTGGAAGCCTGCCGGGACAAAACCGAGTTCTGGATGCCTGCGCTTCCATACCGTTCTATCGATTATCTCAACTTCAAGGGCTGCGAAGAAGAAGGTTTATACCGGGTACCAGGAAGTGGCCGAGAAGTCAAGCACTGGCAAAGGCGCTTCGATACAGAGCTTGATATCGATCTTTTCGATGTTCCGGATCTATATGATATCAACACGATTGGGTCCTTATTCAAAGCTTGGCTCCGTGAATTGCCCGACGAGCTGTTCCCGAAAGCGACCCAAGATATGATCGCCGAGAAGTGCGAGGGCGCTACAACGGCTCCGCAATTGCTGAAGGACGAACTCTCCAAATTGCCACCATATAACTACTACCTTCTCTTCGCCATCACCTGCCATCTCAACCTTCTCCACTCATACGTGGATCAAAATAAAATGGACTATCGCAACCTGTGCATTTGCTTCCAACCCTGCATGAAGATCGACGCATTCTGCTTCCAATTCTTGGTCTGCGACTGGAAGAATTGCTGGCAGGGCTGCTGGACCGAGAAGGAGTATGTGCAGAAGGAAATGGAAATGGACGAGGCGGAACAGAAGGTCGCGGCGGAGAAGAATACCGCCAGTCGCAGCAGGCCCGATCTTCCCCAGTCTTCTTCCAGTCACGAACGCGCCGTTTCTTCCAGTTCCAGCTCACAGGCCGAGGAGGAACGGCCTCGACCAAAGACTCGGGGTGAGGCTCGACCAAAGACTCGGGGTGAGGCTCGGCCAAAGACTCGGGGTGAGGCTCGGCCTGAAACTCGGAGTGAGTCTCGACCTGACACTCTGGGCGAGCCTCGAACACGAAAGGCGAAGCCTCAGAACATCGAGACCGCACATACACGAAGCATCTCCCAGCTCCCGGAACTCGGACCTCCCCTTTCTCCCATCAAAATCTAATTTGCACATTCACATGCACCGCACTTTCCGCGGCTTGACATGGACTTGCATTTCCCAACACAATAAACCCATACATGCCACACATGGCCCATGGACTCACTTCCGGTCCAAAATCATGGGGTTGCCATCACCCATTCGGCTGGTCCGATTCGGGTCAACCCATGACAAGTCTTGAGATCGTCAGAGTCTCTTGACACCATCCTCTTCCTATTTGATCAAGGATTGGTCAAAGTTCAGATCCTCATCTCAATTCTTTCCCTTGTTGCTCCATCCTGCACTGGGCGTTGTTTGTTTAACCTGCCAATTGTCATTTGGTCTTGAACCAGCATTTGTCGGAGGGCATGCCCGGCGTCTCTGGCATTGATTTCTTTCTTACTTTTCGATTTCTCCGTTGTATATGTTGTTTTTTACTCCATGCACTTCTGGTCCAGGCGAAATGGGAGGCGGATTCTCATTCTCTCATGCTCTACTTTGTTCTGCTGTTTTTTCCTCATCATCTTCTCTGATTCTCACTATGCACGCGCTCTCCTTGGTCACGCTCTATTTGTGGCAATAGAGCCAGTTTGCTCTATGCTTTTGCCTTTTTTCGATCTCTGTTTCTCATCTCAGATTCCCCTCGACGGTCCTCTATGTCTATTTCTTTCGTGTTCTTTGATCTTGTCTTTTTTTACTTTTTACTTTTTTACTTTTCTTGTTCTCATCTATGGCGTTCTTCGCGAGGCTTTGTACAATAGCGCAGTGGGCAGGCAATTTCTCTCGGTTCAATGATGACCAATTTGGTTTCAATTTTCAAGTTTGATCTCATTCAGTACTTCGTCTTACATCTCCAGATTTTTGTAGTATATCCATAAATATTGGTAAAATTAATGGCTCTAATACTAGTAAACTCTGACCCGTGGACTATGTTCACTACTTTTACTGTACTCGTAGAAATCAGGATGTCATAGACTAGTATTGATGCAACACATATCATTTAAACAATGCTTTTGATGTAGGAAGATTCGATCGTCATAGGATAGGCCCAGACTCCAGCCCCAACGCCAAGGACATGAATAGAAAAAAACAGAGGATACGGAATGTACAAAAAGGTCCACCAGGCAAGGTGGAAGAAAGTAGTAGGTAGGCCAGCAAAGAATAGCAAGCACCCTGGGGGTGGGCTATCTAAACTCAGTTACTACCCTTCTTGTTGTTGGCCTTGCGGTCATTAGCCCGCATCTTGCGCTCATTCCGCTTAAGCTTCTCCTTTCGCTCCGTACGAGACATTCCCCGAATATTGCTACCCTTAGTAGCAGCATCCTCCTCCTTCTTCCAATCCTTCTCATTAACCTCGACAAGCCACTGGTTGTCCGAATCCTTGTTCTTGCCCTTGTATCCCCACTTGGGCACCCACTCACCGCTAGCCTCGTCGTAGACGAGATTCTTACGGCGCTCCTTGTCCGCCAGCGTCGCGCCGGGCTTGGTGTTGAACTTGCCGATACCCTTCTTGCGCGCGAACAGCTCCCACTTGGTCGGGGGCTTGGGGGTTGGCAGGGGCTTGTGGCGGGGTGTTTCGATTTGGGCGGCGGGGAGGTTCAGCAGGACGCCGTTGGCGGCTGTTGAGGTGATTTGGCAGGTTGTGAGCAGTTGGTTGAGGAGGGATTGGGTGCCGTCGCGGGCGATTGCTTGGAGGGAGGTTTCTAGGTTTTCGGATGCGGGGAGTTCGAGCGGGTTGGGGTCGTTGGCGAGGATGTTGCCCAGGTCGAAGGTGTATGGGGTTGGCTTGGAGACGGTGATGGGACTATTGGGTGTTGGAGTTAGTATTGGTGGTTTTTTTTTGATTCTCTGGATTTGAGGTTTCATTTTGATATTGGATAGGGCAGAGAGAGGTGGGGGAATTCGTACAGCTTCTCCGGCTTCGAGTCAGCAGAGCTGTTGGCCATTTCGACGTCTCCCATTTTGAAGACTGGGGAAATAGATGTAGAGGAGGATTTGTTTGGGGCAAAAATGCGGCGGTGACAATCCGTTACTCTCGCGAACTTTTTTTTCTTCGGGATAATCGCCGTTTTCTGCCGGATGACTAAGGAGTTGAGGTAAGACACCGCTTCCCGTATTAGGGAATGAGGAATTCATCAAATTATTATGGGCAACTCCGGACTTGCTCCAGGGCCTTTGTCAATTCCATCAACCCTCCCACCTCTCAATTCCTCGTCCCGAATTGATTCTTGCACCGGCACGACTGCCGGTGTTTCTGAACAATGGCTTCCGCCTGGTGCTGGAGCTGTCTCTCGAGACTGCGCCCGACAACACGAGCAGTTCTCCCTCCGCCGTCCGCTATTCCCCGGTTAACGAGTGCCCCCTTCCACTCGTCTGCGGTTCAATATGCCCCGCCTCTCAAGAAGAAGTCCAACAGTATGACTCAAATGAAGTACCGACAAGGTCAGACTCTGCGGAGGAAGAAGAAGAAGACCGTTGAACGCGCGCGTCCCCCAGCCCCAGGCGAGCGCAAGGCGTTGCGGAAACGCATTATCCTGAGCAACCCCAATGCTTTGGAAGTTGAGGGTATGCAGGAGATCTCAGCAGAGAACATTGTTGATGCTCGTCTTCGTGGTTCCGTCCTTGGTCTGCCTGTTCCCATGCTTGACCAGCTGCGGGCTGTGCAAGCTTTTAAGCCGAAGCAGGGTTGGTCGATATTCCGTCGGCCTGGTGCGGTTGTTCGTCGTGATACCGTTGAGATGGGTCGTCTCTTTGAGAAGATCTCTGGTGAGGGCGATGCTGCTGAGAAGGGCAAGGTCGTTAAGAAGGTCGTTACTGGTACAAAGGGCTCTGGAAAGACCGTGCACCTGCTGCAGGCTATGTCCATGGGTTTCTTGAAGAAGTGGGTTGTGGTTACTATTCCCGAAGGTAGGTTCTATTTTTATCGTTAGCAATTGATATATTGCTTCTTGGGAAGGTGCTAACTTTGTATTCCCTAGCTCGCGAGCTTGTCTCTGGTGATACCGCCTATGTACCCGTCGAGGGCTCCAAGCCCACCCAATATATCCAGCCCGGCGCCACCTCTGCTCTGTTGATGCGCACCGTCGAAGCCAATCGCGAGGTCCTGTCCGAACTCAAGGTCTCACAGAAGCACGATATCGCCGGTGTCAAGCCCACTTCGACTCTTGAGAATCTGGCCAAGCTCGGATTCCAGGACCCCGCCCTCGCCTGGCCTGTTTTCAAGGCCCTCTGGACTGAGCTGACTGCTACCGCTGCCGCCCCCGGAATGGAGAAGGACTTCCAGACTCGTCCCCCGATGCTCGTGGCTGTTGACGGCCTCGCCCACTGGATGCATGACAGCGCTTACCGCGACACTGATTACAAGCTCGTCCACGCGCACGACCTTGTCTTTGTGAAGCATTTCCTCTCCCTCCTGCGCAATGGCCAAGCCGAGCTGAAGAACGGCGGCATGCTTCTGTACGCCACCTCCACCTCCAACAGCCCCAGTGTCTACGCTCTTGAGGTTGCCCTGGACCAGATGGCCGCTCGCCAGGCTGGCACCAAGCCTACCTCCCCGGAGTACCCCTCAGCCGAGGCATACAGCAACGCCGACCCCCGTGTTCTGGACCTGTTCAAGCCTATTGAGGGCAAGGAGCCCCAGATGGAGCTGCAAACATTGGGTGGACTCACCCGCGACGAGACTCGTGGCTACCTCGAGTACTTTGCCCGCAGCGGCCTGCTCCGCGAGCCCGTCAATGAGAACTGGGTTGGCGAGAAGTGGAGTATGTCCGGTGGTGGTATCATTGGCGAGCTGGAGAAGCTGGGCCGTCACGTCCGCAGTGCGGCCATTCCTACGCCTGCTGCGAACTGATGTTGAATATATCCATCCTTCCCAATCATTGGGGGTCCGTAAACGGATCTACCATGCTGTACTGTAAATGGGATGTCTGGGATTTCTTTTTTCTGTTTCTTCCGTGTACTTTACAAGTTTTATCTCCCTGGTTCGTGTTTTGTATGCATATAATGAATATGTTTCCAAAAATCATTTTTTACTGGTTCTTATTCCTGCCACTATTCTACTATCTGAAAAATTTGGAGGTAACGACCGTCACGGTAGTAGTTGATCCCAGTACCTACTAGTACTATATCTATTCCTCTCAACCTCAAACCTCCTCCAAAGTCTTAACCTTAGGAGCCCTCACCAAATCAGGATAATCAATCCTAGCCGCAGAATTCATGAAGGCCGAATTACCGGGATGCGCCTCCTGAGACTGACCGCGGAAGAGGAAATTCATGGGGAACCCAATATCAAACTCATAAGCACCCTCAATCTCCTCAATATCCGCCTCGGTAAGCTGAACCTTCAACGCATCGATATTCCCTTGCAAATGCTCGACCTTACGCCCGCCAACAATCGGATACACATAAGGTGCTTTGTGCATGACGTACGCAAGCGCAATGCTCGTGATAACGGTATTGTGTCGCGCTGCCACCTTCTCCAAGACCTTTGAAACTGCCACGTCGATCTCTCGCGGCTCGACCTGTCGTCCAGGATTACCGTTCTTTGCAAGCTCTTCACGTTGGGCGGTTGTTTTGAATGCGCCGCCGCCGAGGGCGGCCCAGGGTGCGAGACCCATTCCTTCGGCTGCGACCATGGGGATGATTTCGCGCTCGAAGTCGCGTCGGGCTGCGTTCCATTGGCCTTGGTAGACGCTGAAGGGGCGTAGGCCGTGATCGCGGGCGTCTATTTTGCATTGTTTAGTCTCTTTTCATCATGGCCTTTTTACTTCGGCGAGAGGTATTTGTACTTACATTGGTTCGCACGGCTGACAATCCACGCTGGTGTGTCGCTAATTCCCAGGTACAAGACCTTGCCGGATGTAACGAGCTGGTTAAGTGAGATCATGACCTCCTCAATGGAGGTGCTGAAGTCCCACCAGTGAACATATAGCTAGACGGGCATTTTCTTTAGTTCTCACGCTCTGCTAGTGTTCTAGTTGTTTGGTTCGGTTGATCTTACCAGGTCGATATAATCTGTCTGTAAGAATTTCAAGCTCCTCTCCAAGGAAGTTTTCAGACTCTTCGAGTTATTGCCGACGTAGTTGGCTTGGATTCCCTTATTGGTGTAATTTTGGAAGGGCGAGGTATACTTAGTTGCCAGAACAATCTCGTCGCGCACGTCTCGGGATTTCATCCATTCGCCGAGCCATTGTTCAGAGTCTCCGTTTTGGTAGTTGTTGGCTCTATAGACAGAAAAGAAATGTCCTTTAGCATTGGTTTGTCCTAGCAAACCGAGGGCAGAAGAATCTTACGTGTCAATGAAGTTGCCTCCGTTCTCGTAGAATGTATCGAGGATCTTGAAGGAGTTTTCCTTATCACATTCACCTAGCCTCTCCTTCCAGCCTTCTCCAAAGTTCATCGCACCCAAGCATAATGGGCTAACCTTCACGCCAGCCGATGGCGCAAGAAGGCGGTAGCGGCCAAGATGAGATTTGGGCGGCGTTGAAGCGGGGAACATTTCGGCGGCTTTTGAATTGATGAGCTGGTTTGTATGGCTCTGAGTTTCACTAGGTTAGAATGAGTCGAAGTCTCTCAATTGTTGAAAACTCGAAAGACGGTGTGGGCTGCAGGAGCATTTATAGTAGTTACACCTAGCTCGGGGTTATGATGTAAACAACGGGGACCAAGCACGGAATCAAGAATCATTGTACATCAATTATGAATATTGAGCAACAAAAGTTTCCGATTCGATGTATGATATTCCATGTTCCACTGACAGTGGGGCTCCATGTACGTTGCTCATTCGTCTTGCTGACAACTGTAAAGGCTTTAATATCGGAGTCTACGAGTTATCTCCGGTGGATTGCTTCTACCCCGCTATAGGACGACCTTATTATTAAGCCATCAATGGCATACGTAGGAGGTCGTAGATCCGCTTTATTAGCCTAAAGTCGCAATTGAATCATATTTGAGTTTCTCGTATTCATATCATGACGCTCCTCATCGCTATCATCTGGATGTGGCTAGAACACACGATAGACAAAGAGAAGGGCCAAAAAGGACGCATTATAGCTTAGAAATCTCCGCTCCGATCTGATTGAGAATAATCGCATGATCCTGACTATATGTGTCACCGTCTCTGGAGATCACTTCTCGCACCCAAGGTCCACGGGGATAGAACGAAGCTTTAAAAGGCAGCGATCGCATAACTAGGCCGTAGGTACATGCAATCGGGTCAACGACAGTAGGCTCACCGGTCTCTTCGGATATTCCGGCCTTGATTTCGAATGACCAAAGCAACTGAGCGACAACGATCCAAATAATGTTGCGGGCAAAATACCGTCCAGGGCAAATTCGTCTACCATAGCCAAAGGCAGCCGGGGGTAGAGCCTTGAGTGTCTGTTTATCCCCGTCGTCGAGCCAGCGATCTGGTACAAAATCCTCAGGATCTGGTCCGAATAAGGTCTCTTCTCGAGAAATGGTCCAAACATTGGGCACAATGACGGAGCCCTTGGGAATTTTATATCCTTTGTAGGTAGTCTCTTCCTTGTTCTTGTGAGGAACCCCCTCGGGCCCAGCGGGCCGCCAGCGAAATATTTCTTCGACGATGGCGGTGACGTAAGGAAGGTTGGGCTTGTCATCTGGGACTGGAAGTCTGGCACGTCCGACAAACGTATCCAGTTCTTTCCGTGCATTGGAGATAAACCCCTGATCTTGTGTGATGCAAGCTACCAGAAACCACATAAGGCTATCCGTAGTTCCGTCCAGTGCGGCGTCGATGATAGTGCCAAGTTCAAATTCAAGCTCGTTCAAAGGCATCTTGAGACTGTCTTTCTCGATGCTCTTTTTCAGGTACTTTGCGATATTCCATCCGCTCGAGGACAGGGCCTGCCGGAAGTTCTCGCCTTGCAGATTAACCTTGGTCGTGTAGTGATTTTCCGCCTTTGCTTTCCATGGGGCTAAGAAGCCGGGCAAATTATTGAGGACGGGGAACTGATCAACAATACTTGCGCCGACTTGAATAAATTCTGAAAACTCCTCGTTGAGTTTAACAGCGACCTGAAGAACCGGGTCGTTGCAGTCTTTGACACGGAAGCCATATAGCAGCATATGCATGATACTTGCGACTGCTCGTTGAAAGTGACATCTCACATCAGTACCAGCATCACCGGCATTTATCAGAAGATCTTGCATCAACTGCTGCGATTCAAGGGTTTGTAAAGGGAGATAGGCGGCTGCCGGCGTCGCATTCAACACCGAGACCTCGAGCGTTTGGTGTCTTCGAAATTGGTCTGTATAATTCATCATAAGGATATTGAGCCCTTTCAGAGCTAAGTCATTTGCCAACTTTATTCGTGTTAGCTCATCATATTATCAGAGATTATAACAGGGCTTCTTACAAAAAGATGAGGCCGGTCCGAAAATGTGGCCCCACGCTTCGCGAGGAGATCATGGGCTACTTGGGAGGTGTTCAAAATAACGACCGGCTGTCCAAGCATATTGACATGAACGATGGGTCCATGCTGTTTGCTCCATTTTTGATATGTTATCCAGGCGTGGGATGTGGGAGCTTGATGGATATTGCCAATGATGGGCAATGGCTTCGGGCCCGGTGGTAGAGGCAAAGAGGAACGTGGATTACGCCCTTTGAGGAAATACACGCCGATTATTAGACCGAAAATTGCTATGAATATTGTTGGAAACATTTTGGATCGAATTTGAACAATTGACTACTATGTAAGAGTGAGAAATGGGAGCAGATCGATTAATATAGGTCTCGCGATGGGAAGAGAAATCAGGTAATAGCCCCAGCTGGAAGAAAGCACCTAGGCAGAGTTATTCCTTGGGCTTACTTCGAGGTGCTTGTGTTTGGTCAGATTAATGCAAGTGGGCCCTAAGAGCTATCAAATAACGGGTTCAGGCGACCAACCAAGCTTTCCTGTTGGTCTTCGCAACTTCACACTGCTTCATGATTGGAAGGCATTCTAAAATAACCGGCTAACCTATTTTGGCAGGCAATGCGATCATAAACCGGAAAGTCACCATTATCGCGTAGTGGGATGGATGTTATTTTTATAATTTTTACTTAGCAGGCAGATTTGCCTAATAAATTTGTTAAGCTCTACTCCCTAGATAATTCCGTGACAGCAACCATTCTTGGGAATAAAACTGCGTGAATGAATTTCTCAAATCAATCTACATTCCTCCCATAAAGGCTGCAACAAATGCTCGTACACCGACTTTCGAAAAATTGGATCATTCCAGTCAAATTCCGCAGGGCCACTAGGACTCATCGCAAAGTTACATTCCACGCACCTTTTAACCACATCATGATAAAATGGCATGATGTTATGAATACTCTCGTCCACCCATTGACACGCGGCGTCATATCGACATCCAATGGTATTGGAAGCCGTTATCTGAGAATTGGCAAGAAAGAAGGCAAAGGTCTGTTGATGCCACAGCTCGAGTAAGAATATGCCCAATTCTAGCATTGTGCGCCGAACACTGCAATGCGGTTTGTTAATTGTAGCAAATATGGAGTTGTGTTTTATCAAAGGCTGCAGTGGCGTAGCGGGTGTTATGGGTCCGTCTGGAATCAGATAAACCATTTTCACGTTCAATGGCAAGTAAATCCAGAGCGTGGAATTGAGCTGCATCACAGATGAAGCCACACTTAGACTTAAAGTCATCCGCTGGTTCAATGATAGATTTCCCGCCTGCAAAGCGTCCTCGAGTGGTATTAATTGGGCAGTACCCAAGGTGTTCATTGATGATATTGCCTGTGGAGAAGAATGACAGAGAAGACCTCTTTTGGACAGAAAGAGTTCTTCAAAACTCAAGCCTGACGAGTGTTGGCACAAGTCCTCTATAAAGCTGAGCTGTGGCGGTGAATCTTGAGGTGCATCTGGAGGCTGAAAGGATACTTTGGGAGTTTTGCTTCTTTTGACACCAGGCAGGGTAGAAATGGCAGGTATGTGTGATTGATTTGCCGAAGTGCTATTTTGCTCACTCCTACCGATGATTTAGTCCCAGTTCAAGCCCACAAGAAAACTATTACGCTTACCCATCCAAGCAATACGATTGCTCCTCTTCCAATAATTTGATCTCCGCCTTGTAGCATAGTCTCGGTTTAGCTGGCCCAAAACCTACTGTAAATGCCAACGGTATCTTTCTGACTGATCTCGGCTTTTTTATTGAATCTGCTCTGTGTTGAATAAAGAATTGATCTTCATGGTCTGCGTGACATTGTTCTGTATATCTAATAGAAATAGCAGAATAAAGACGATATGCATGCTCGGCGACCACATCGAGAAATGAGGTTATTCTTGAGACCGCTCGAGAAGCTGATGGCAATGTCATTTTGATATTTGACTTGCTGTATCGTCGAATTCGCTCGAGGTTTAATGTATTACCATCCAGCTCTTTGATCTGACGCTCCAAATCGTCCTTGGCGATGCTGAACATTGTTTTTCTCGAAAATTCGTAAAGCCCACTTCCGCTTCTCGGAGGGTAGATCTGAACAAGGGATAAGAGACTCTGCTGTTTGAGAATCAAATTTTAGACTTGAAGCCATGTAGTGGTTTTCTGTTGAGTCACTCGGCTCGAAATATTGTACCGCGTGAGGGACGTACTTGATCATTCGAAGCCAAACCAATAAGCTTTTGGGCTATTTCCATCAACTTTACCTGACACCGGGCTAGTGCTGTCATACAAGTTGAAAACGTCCATAGCTTCATCCACCACATTCATCTTCTAGTCTTTCTCTTAAACCGATTCCAATGGGTCACGTCACCCACGTACTCCAGCGCTAGAACCGGCACAATCTCCATGGGTTCACCAGGGGCTCTCGCTATTTGCGGCACATCGACATGCTCCATCATATCGTGGTCTTCCATTTCTTCCGCCAGTTCCCTGATTCTTTGCGTGTTTCGGTCTTTCCTGAGAGCCGATCGTTCCTTCGCTACCCACTTCCTGCTTTCCTCGCCTGGTTTCCTCGGGACCATAGGAATATAATTCTTTTTCCTCCTGGCCTGTGTATTTACGCTGACGGATCCAGCTCCGCTCGCTACAAAATTTCTCCGTACATTTTCTTCGACTTCTTCTTCGAGCGTCAGTAAACGTCGTATCGCGACTCTATCCTTATCGACTTTGGCATACTCCTCGTATTTCCTTTTCTTGCGTTCCGGAAATTCATCCTCGTCCTCTTCGTCTTCATCTTCCTCCTCTTCCTCCTCCTCTTCCTCCTCCTCTTCCTCCTCCTCTCCATCCTTTGCTTTCTTTCCGCCCCCTCTCCATCTTTTCCACGCTTTTATAACGTCAGACTTTGCTTTTCACTTGATCTCTCCCTTTATGGTTGATGGCTTACCTTGAAATCCTGTCAATCTGACACCTGAACTTTCCTTTGCAGCCTCATAGCGTTTGGTATTTGAATTTCCGCCACCACCACCACCATCATCGTCACCAGAGTTAGACGAGGACGATAACCCCTCATCTGAATTTTCTTCATCCAAATCCATTTCATCTTCATGATTATGCCCCGCATTGTTGGGGCACAAACAAGGCCCACCGAGAATCTGCCGGGCATCGTTCTTAGAATCAAAATGTTCACATTGATAGCGGATGCGAATTTCCTCCCCTGCCCGGATGTCCTTATGCGCCCAAACGATCACCCGGTTCAAGATTTGCGTGTCGTAGGCCCATTCTGCATTCTGCATTCCCGCGCACGTATGATTAAACATATTCAGGCCTGGGAAGAGATATAAGTTCATAAATGCAGGGTCCCATTCTTCGAAAGAGTATCCATTCATGAGCCTCCGCTTTTGTTCTGCTGGGGTTTCAAGTTTTCTATCTTCCTCCTTGGGATCTACAGCACGGACGTCTCCACGACGTTTCATGTCCCAAGGAACGGCGTTGACAAGTAGTTTTCGCAAAATGGTTTGCAAGGCCCAAGTGTCAAAAGTGAGATCGCGGAAGATGTTAACTCCCAGGAACGAAACTATGTCGAACGGGATAATGATGTTCGCAGACATGGTGAATGGGAACCAACTGTCCCGCCACGACTCGCTGTTCCCACTCATAATTAGAAGTTCGTCGATCTCTTGCGGAGCTAGGCCTGGCTCTTCATGATCTTGTCGGCGAAGGAGAGTAATTTCAGTCACGCTTTTTAGAAGTAAGCTCAAAAACGTCCCATGGACCTCGTTACTGTGGGAAATATGCTCCAATTGTCCCCATTTCCACACATTCGGCCGCATGGTATCATATAACCACTTCCAGTCTCTACCACAGCCATCGTAGTGGTACAAGTCATATGCAATGCTCACACATGTTTTTTCCTTCGAACTTGACGGGCAGAACATGACTCCTCTTTTATCGGAGGGATTACGATTCCAATGTTTCGCACACGTGCAGCACGGTTCTTCCTCCTCGTCATCAGAATGTTGTGAGCGGTTATCGTCCACGGAAGGTCTTCTAACTTTGTCATCGACCTCGACTTTACAATTATCACATCGTATGTCGTCCACGCATCGTGATGTCGTTCTGTCTCTGTTCAAACGACGGGCTGGAAGATGGCCTCGAATAGTGGGCTCTTCCCAGTGAATCAATTCTCCTTTCTTGATATCTTTCTTTGCAAAGACGCCGAGTCCTTGCTGATTTGGGTTGTATTTAACCTCGCAAATGTCCCTTGGGGCAGTGGGGCTTTCTGCTACTTCCTGTTTCTGCTGGAAGATTTCTTCTGTGAGTTTTGTCGCCAGATTCTTGTTGGCCGAAAACAGATCCAAAATATCATCCTTCTCGTATGGATATGCGGTGCCAGCTGAGACTGCACCCTGGTGTCGTTCAAACCAGAAAAGGCCCGGGCGGCGCTTCTCCTTTCTCCATGCCTTCTCTGCCTTTTTCGATACTCGCTTCCGGAGATCGGCCACGAACCTTTCTAGATAGAGACGGTTGGTTCTAGCAGCTAGTTGTCTATGGTAGGAATCAAAGTCATCCCAGCAGTTAAGTGCTTCCAGGCTGAGACAGATGATATTGAGCAGTGTTTTCTGCATGGTCGAGATAAAGGCGTACATGCCCTGGGGTTCCCGCATCATGGTAATCAACTCTGACCAGTATTTATCTTTATCCTTGGGTTCTACCAAGATATGCTGCTCCATTGCATGGTGGATCTGTGTGTGGAAACCATCTTTCAAGAAGCGATCCTGTACCTGTTCGATAGTATTGCAGAGAATCTGTGCGCGATAGGCGTCTCCGAGTGCCAGATCAAAAAACCCTTGTTGGTAATGGCAGTAGGCTCGACTAAGCCAGTAAGTGGGATTATAAGGACTGAGGTGAATCGCAAAAGTGTACATGTCGATTGGAGTCATGGCTTTGTTGGTCGCTGGCTGTAGGATGTACTTGTTGCTGCGCTTGATCCCCAAGTGCGACAGACTGGATACAGACATGACACCACAGTGTTTCTGAATCTCATCTTCAATAAGCCGCTGCCCGAGCTCTTCAGACTTTCCAACTTTTGATAATCCTCTTGCTTTCAACTCCGTTTTGATGGCGTGGGTGATCCAGTTGGCGACTCCACGGATCGAACTGTCAGCTATGATCTCGTCTTTCATCGATGCAATCATGGCCGCAGTATCCCATGTTTTCTTCAAACCCTCTTCGTCAAACAGCTTCTGGGCATCATTCCGATTCAAAGGCAAGACTGCAAAAATCATTAAATGCTCGTAGACGTTACGTGCCAGTCCTGGTTCCTCTGCCTCGGGGCTGGGGTTGTGATTTGGGCGACTTTTCCATGCTTTTTCAAGGGTGTCATCTGCCAACTTCCATATATGATAGGCCAGCTTTGCATCCGTCTTCGATACAAGGGGGCCGAGGTCGATGAGCTTTCCGGTATTATTTGGCCTTGGGGGCCATTCTGCGGATTTGATGGAGGTCCATGGAGCGGTTGGCAGGAATGATTCATCGAATCGCTTGAAACCTTGACCACTCGACCTGATTCTCCAATCTTGATCGTCTTTGACTTCCTGGCCGTTTTTTGGTTGTTTCTGGTCCATGATCGCCCTTCTTCCTTCCATGGGAGCAGTCTAGCTTATGAGACGGGTAGGTAGGTAGCACGGTTATTGCGAAAGCTGCGTTTTGCATGAAGAGTCTGGTGAAGTGGAAATGACTACGCTAGCATGAATGTAACTGGAAATTATCAAGGGTTTAAAGGGGATGGGGTGTGAGGTGTGTCAAAGAACAACGCGACAAAGGAACCTTGATTTTCTTTCACGTTTGCCATGCCTACTTCCTTTGTTCAGTTGGGCAAGTCAAGTCAAGTCACTACCATCTATCGCGGGTTTAATGGAAGCAAAGGGGCCAAATTAGAATATAAGTGTCGGTTATACGGAATATAAGTAGCGAGTAGTGCAAGTAAGTGCGAGTAAGTGCGAGTAAGTGCGAGTAAGTGTGGTGGTTAGTTTGTTTCACATGGTGCAACTTTGGGGCCGCCGGGGGGGGGGGGCTATATGCAAGGCATTTAATTCGGGGATATCCACTCTACATTCCTAGTGTCATCTGGAGCTCTAGTTTGTTTCTAGAAATAGCAATAAATACTCTACTGTCCCGTGTGACTGTTTTGTACATCGAGATGTTGTATCATGTGCCACTATCATCGGGGCTGATTATGGAGTGTCACGTAGTACCTAGGGTACCTGTCAGGAAATATCAAATGATTTTTGATTTCAAATATATTATTAAAAATTCCCCAGTATCCCAAAACATAATTAAACCTTGGAAACCTAAGTTTCGCGAGATTGTAGTTTCGGGTTTCGGCTTACGGAGTACATGGGGAGTCTTTTTAAGGTGGAGTCGCCCCCAAATCGAAATCGAATGGAGAAAGTGCTGAATGCCTTGGCCTCCGCTCCGCTCGACCTCTCCTTTTTTTTTGTTTTTGTTTCTTCTCTCCCCCCCTCTCTCTCTCTCCCTCATATTTTTCGAGCTCGCCTCTGGAGTTTGGTGGCCCAGGGCGACGATCGATGATGTACGGCCAACCACCCCAGTCCGACTCTTCACAGCCAGAATGGCGACTCTCCCCACGCCCCGCCAGGAATGATGCGCCTTTACCTCCACCACCTCCACGTCCAACTAGCGCAGTCTATACGCCAGCTACTTATGGCCCGATCTCAGGTTCGAACACGGTATCGCCAATAACTCCTCATTCTGGATCAGGCAACGACCCAAGGACGTGGGGGGTGCGATATAATAACCAACATCCGCACATCCACCCAATCCATGCCCCGCCTCCACTTCCGGTAGGGAAATGCGCCAACCTCTTGTGATGATAAGAGCTGGGCTGACCCTCTCTCTGAATAGCCTCGACCATCGAGTACAAACGAACAACCCTATGCCTATACTTATGCCCAACCATTCACTCTGTCACCACCACCCGCGCCTGCGCCCGCTTCAGCTCCAGCTCCAGTACCAGCTCCAGCTCCGGTCATCAACACCCACTCCACGCCTACAGCACATGGTTACGAATCTTTTGGAGATGCCCAGCCCCCATCGACAATTAGCACCATCCCGCCACCATATACACCTTCACATGGAGCCTCTGCCCCTGTTGTTCCGGCCCCGCCCCCAAAAATTCCTCAGGGGTATCAGTATGCACCAGTTCATCCACATAACCCAACAGGGCAGCCCCCATTGCTTGCCCAGGGTGTGGATCCTGCTGCCATGCAAAGTTCTTACGAATTTCGGCCCCAAAGGATGATAAGTATAGCTCCTCAAACAGGCTCATCGGCTTTGGGGCCAGGCACCCCATCTGATTGGGAACACCTTGGTCCAACCCCCGGCGATTTTGACGATTCGGCATGGTTCCCACCCAGACAACCGGAACCGATCCCACAAGAGGTGATTCAAACTCCTCCGGGCTATTCGTCCGGTATACCTACTCCCGGCCCTACTCCTGCACCTGCGGCCGATCGGGAGAGTCATGCCACTGGCTCGCTCCCACATGTAGATACCAATTATCAGTACCAGCATCGGTACCAGCATCAGGCTGCCCCACCTGCGGAATATCAATTTGATCACGCGCGCCGACATGACTCGGTTTCGCCGATTAGTCCTATGACTATGCTGGGTGCTCAGAGTCCCCCACATCCTCCAGCCCGAATGGGCAGTACCAGCTCAGGCGCATCCATGAGAAGCCATGCCGACAGTATCGACAATGTCATCGATGCATGGGTGAAGCCTTTAGCGCCTACTCCTCGGGCAAGCTCATCTAGCCAGGCCGATGCGCCATCTCATTCGGGTCCCGCAATGGATACCTCCCAGGAGGCTCTTCAGGAGGCCTTTCAGAGTAATTTGAACACACCCGTCGAAGCCCCGCCACCTCTTCGGAATACCCAGCCTCCGGTCCAAGACCAAACAGCAAGTCCACATGCAATGACCCCGGCGGAACCTCAAGGGGCCCTTCCAGCAGCCAGGGCTGTAGATCCGTATGAGGACCTTGATCCGTGGTTCAAGTCCTCTCTCACGCGTTATGTCGCTACTCTACGCAAAGAGGCAGTTGCTGACTCGGATGATGAGCGCCATAAGATATTCACGGCGTTCATGGCGAAGGAAACCAAGCTCCGCGAGATCCTCTACAATATTGAACCAGAGCCACAACAGTTCGAGCCATCCCCCCCGTGTCTCCGCGCCATCACGGCGATTGTCATCACTCTCAGAGGACCGTACTTCGACCTATGAGTCAGGCCTCATTCCGGTGGAGACAGAGGACATGGCTCCCCCTATCACGCCAAGCACCGTCACAGACGAAGGTAACGATATAGATGACATGGGAAGTGAGTATAGCGCCGGAGGGCGCCCTATCTCCGCCAAGCGAGCACGCCGAGGTTCCCAATGGACACCAAAGCTTTCCAGTCTAGGCCCTGAAGAGAACCCTGCGACTCGCCTTTCCAAGAGTTCTCTGGCGCAGCTGTCTGAGGAGAACGCGCAAACACATGACTTAGCACCTCTGACGATAAACCCTCCGCGGCCTATTTACACCCCTTTTCGGTATACTGAGGGTCCTCAGCGCGGCTCGGATAAGCTTTCATTCGGCCGTCCCGCCTATCAGGCCTACTCTGATCTACGAGCATCCGCTGTGAACGGTCGAATTATGGCAAATGCTCCAACACCCACAAGTCGCTCTCGGTCGGCCACCTTAACTTCTCCTGCTCAGAACGAGCAAGATGAAACTTTCCTTGGGATGATTCGTCACAAGAGCTCTGCCTACTTGGAAACAGCAGCTAATCGAAAGTCTATGCCGGCTGCCCTGTTGCCGGAAGGTCTCCGCCAGGGACAAGGGAAGCCAAATGTTGTCGAAGAACTACGTGCCATGGTTTGGACGCCACTTGACAAGCAGTCTGAAAGTTCATGGCATGTCACTATCCGAGATGGCCTCGTCAAATTACCCGATGATTTCTCGTATATCCAACAGACCATCGATGAGTGGGAAAACACTGCGAAGACCCGAAAACAGAGTCTCGATCAGGAACGCACAGTCCGCCAAGAAGAGTCTGAAGAGCAGATTGACAAGCTTTTCAATGAAAAGGAGATCGGCTATGCGGATATCAATACATTAGAAGAGGACTTCAGACAAACAGAAGCTCGCGTTCAGCTGGATGAAGAGCGACAAGAAGTGGAGGACTTCGTTTCCCAAGTCTTCAACCCACTAGATGAACGACTCAAGGAAGAGATTTCTACTCTTCGGAAGTCCTATGACTCCGCGCTCCAGCAATTGGAACGGGATCAGAAGGGCAAGAGCTCGCCCGTTGAGCAATGTAGCCCATCCGTGACGATGAAGATGGTCAATGAGACCCACAGCAAATTGGAACTTCGGTTCCAGAAGCGACTCGAGATTGCTCTAGACTGCGAGCGCCGCCGTAAGAAGGCCGAGCGTCGTCCGCTAGTCTTCATGGGCGACATGGCCAGTCTTCGCAAACTGGACGGAGATTTCGATCGAATGGAGAAGCGTAACATTCTGGAGGCTGCCAAGGACCGCGACGACCGTGCCAACCGACTGATGGATTCCTTCGATGATGCAATTTTACACGGCTTAGGTATGAATCAGAGTTTACTGGACGAGCTTGTTTCGAAAGTCGCCCAGCTGGAATTCACGACCCTCCGCGCATCCGGCGTACCGGATTCTGAAGTTGAACAGATCCTCAAGGCCGCGGCGACCTTCGCCGTGTCGCTTCGCGCCGACTCCGAGGCCATCCTGCGCTGCTCAGGAATTGCCGACATGGCTCTCAACGATGCCGATTACAACGTCTCCGTCGCCGAAGCACGCTATGCCAATTCGGACACGGAAATTTTCGGCCGACTGGAGGATGAGAAGAAGAAGGAAGATGCGATCTTAGAGACCGATCTGAACTCGAAATTGCAAAGCATCAAAAAATCACCGGCGGAGATTGAAGCTGGCGTTCAGCGCCTTCTCCAGGAGTTGGCCGATGCCCCTCCTGCTTCCCCTCCTGCTGCGTTATCTCCAAGATTTGTGCCGGCCAGTCAGTCTATTGATGTCCCACCCCCATTGGAACTTCGCCCGGGTACGGCCGCCCCCAGTCGAACCCCGGCTCCCGCGTCGGCCCCTCCGGCGGCTTCTCCGCCAGCTCCAGTTGACCGAGCTTCGGGCACGGAATCAGAGCATCAAGAAAGGTTACGCAAGGCGCTGGAGCAAGCAAAGAAGCGCAACGCGGCAAGGAACCCATGATCCTTTCGCAGCCTCGTTATTTTATTTGGAGCATTTGCCTGGGCAACTCTTATGACGCGACGAATTTCTTTGTGTCTACAATATCCCCCTCATTTATCTGCATGCGCATAGCCATGGCATATACACGGCTTCCTTCAAATCAGCTATACATATTTTCTTTTGGTTGTTTTGACTATCGATACCCACTCGTTCTATGCGGTGCCGTTCAGCCACATCGTAACTCCTAGAATTCCATGCAATATGATTTGACTGCACGCGTATCTAACCCGGTTTGATTATCAACAGCCCTCTGTTGTACTGTAGTTCTGTCGAAAGTACTTGTTGGATGGGGCACAGGCATAGGCACAGGCACAGGCCAGCTATGAGTGGACACTTTCTTCTGCAGGGTAGGCCGGAGTACTTTTTCCGTGTAACACAAAGCATTCATCAAAACCAACACAAGTCGCTCCTCGCATGCCAACAATCCAACATCAATCAAAACACCGTGACAGGGTCACAATTCCTTAACCGCTCGATTTGACTCATTTACCAACACTCTGTACAGCAAGTCAGGTCCAACCTCTTTTGATCCTGCGTCGAAGCTCAGCGCCGCTCTTCTTTTCTCTGCAAAACATTGTCAGCGCCACTAAGTGTGGCTGCGAAAAGCAGGGGCCAAAGACGTTCTCATTTTTTGAAACCCTGACAAAAAACGCACAGACGAATCCTGGCACAACTTCGGAGAGGGGTTTAAAAGTTCATCCAGTTTCCACTTGGTCATTTGATCTCCCCGGACGCCCCGTGTGAATCCGATCTGATGCTGTGCAGACCAGGCACATTTTAGGCGCCCGCCCACAATGATTGGCGGCCGCGAGCCAGTCAGGTTGAATTAGACGCCAGTTGCTCGCCGATCACAACGTCTTTGCGCAGACGTCGATGATCTCGCCCTCAACTGTCCCGCAAGCCTCTGAATGGGATTGGGCGATGAAAAAAGTCTACTCCATCACTTTCCTAGTCCAGAAGGAACTCAAAAGGTCGAAGAAGAAAAAAAGCAAAAAGAAAAAGAGAGCAGGAGGCCAGGCAGTATTCAGCATCTCCAGACCCAACGCCCAACCCAGCGGGTCCTGCTGTGCTGTGATGTGCTGCACTGCGCTTTGCGGCACAGCAACACTAAAGCACGTCCGCAGATTCGCCAAATCACCTGCCCTAAACGTCAGACTCGAATCTATACATCTAATTAATACGAACTATTGCCCGATGCCGGATCGATCGTACACAGTTCGCGGGCGCAGGAGAGAAACGCCTATCACGCCCACCTCGCTTGCCGTTGCCGGTGCCCCGTGCCGCTGCCAGTCTCAACGTGAGTTCTTTGCCAATTGACCTGGGGGCGATATGCAAGGTAGGCTCATTGAATCACCAACGGGCAATTTCTTCGGAAGAAAACAAAAATGGGTGGATTTGATCGTGTGGCGGATCTGGCTTACTCTTTTTGGTATCGTTCACCCAGTCAACGCCTGTCATAGGTATATATGACCTTGGAGATTGAGAGTGCCTTACTGTGCTGTGCCGAGATGGACTGAGCTTTCAGGCACGCTCACGCGTACATACTCGTACTTCTCAACAGGGCAAGATCTCCATCGCATCTACCCTCCAAATCACGGAAAGAAACGAGTATGCAAAGTGCAGTGCCAAGGTAGCCCCCCCATTCTTTAATGACTCGCCTGTTGGTGTGGATTCGACCTTGGCATGACAGGGTACGGAGTACTCAGGACATGTATAAGGATTCATTGCAACAAAATCACATCCGAGATATGTTCCCCACCACTCACAAGCTAGGTTCTTTTTCGGCAGGATGTGCTGCGGCGAGACCACGGCTATCAGGAGCTAACACCAGGGTGGAAGCAAAAAGCGAGAAAGAGGGTGGGGGGGGAATGAGAGAAAGGGGAACGGGCGGGTGTGACGCCTCACACTAGGACCGAAGGGAAGATCGAGATTCGTTCCCCGGCTGGACGATCGCAGCACAGCAGCCTGTGCCCCAAGCGGGCTGGCAGATCATCCAACCAAGACATGTCTTTCTGGCGCAGCATAGCACAGCACAGCACAACACAGGCCAAGCTAGCACAGATAAGGAGCTAAGCCCAGGTCGAAGTTGACACTGATGCCATGTTGATGTCAACACAGCTCGCTCTCATGCTTTGTGCATCTCAATCGACGGGGGACCCATCCACTTTCCCTTTATTTCCGAGCCCGGGCCCTGACCCTGGCCCTTGTCCCCAGCAGATTCGCCAACGGCGTCTACCAACCTGCGGCATGCATCTAGCCCTGCGCAGGGTCAAGTAGAACCAGTCATTCCCAATGATGGAAGCTCTATTGGGCAGATATCTCGCGTGATCCCGGAGAGTGGCTCACCCAACAACTAACTATGCACTCGCTCGGGCAGTATCCCGGTTCAACTTTTTTTCTTTTCTTTTCTCCGTCCTCCTCCCCTGCCGCCACTAAAGAGGGTTAGGAGAACCGAGATCAAGATCAACCTGTCGGAAGGAGAGCTACTCGCATGAACCCCAGATTTGTTTTCCATTCCACACGACGTCTGTGCGCGCATGCTGCGGATTAGTGTCTAGTGTCATTGGATTGAGGGACCTAATTAAACGGTTCGGCCTTGTCGAGACCTCATCCCTTCAATTCCTGTGCACACCCTAATTTGCTTTCCCCTTGCCACCCCTAGAATCCTATCCTTACGCGCCGTTGGATCTTTCAGTTGACTGCGCCGAACGGAAGTGGACATGATTTTTTTCTCTATCGATTGACCTGATAAGTTACCGGACCAGTTTATTTGCCATTTCCATTTATTTCCATTTATTTTCTATTGCCATTTCTTTTTCTTGTTTTTTTTCTATTGTTTTTCCTGATCTAATTATTTTTCCACCGATCTTATTCGATCCGTGAGCTCTCCAACCCTCTTTTTTTTAAATTTTTTCCCCTTTCTTTTCTTCCTCCCCCCTCTTCTCTCTCTATTTTTTTTACATACTCACTCCGTTCGTTCTCCTCTCTCGGAAGCCCCGTCTGCAAGTGAACCTAGTCACCGCGTCGGCGCAGGCGCAGGCACAGGCGCAGACACAGGGTAACTATTTTACGCTTAGTGTCCCAGTGGTGGATGCAAATGACGAAGATCACCAGTCAGCATTGCTTTGCACTGCTTTACTTTACAGAGCAGATGTCAGTGGACCAAAGAGCAGGACAAGCAGGACCAGCAGCAGCAAATTATTTAAAGCGGGCGCCAGGGAAGCCCGATCCATGGTTCAGGGTACCCGCTTCCGTCCTTGGGTCGGAAGAACTCTCGTGAATCCAAATCCACTCGAGCTCTCCTGTGTATATTTCACCCTCCCTTCCCCCCCTCCCTTTTATTTCTCTCTATCATGCCTCCCCCAACAAGGCAATTCCACCGCCTCTCTATCGGCCAGATGCCAGCGCGGGACTCTAGGTCCGCCCGCGCGGGGCGGGCGGACCCTTCCGGTGAGAGACTTCGTGAGGATAAGGGTGATACTTCGCCAGAGGAGAGTGAGGAGGAAGAGGACAGTGAACAGAGCAGTGACGAAGAAGAAGATGAGTCTGAGGATGAGTCTGCTGCTGCAGGCATTTCGACTATCTCGGCCCATTCGGGAATTACCTATGACCTCAGCCATCTAGATACCCAATCCGAGGCTCACGCCTTGGTGGGTTTGGGAGAACAAATCGACGTCCTCAATGCCCGCTCGTCATCTACTGGATATGACTTTGAGCTTGTGGATAGACCTCGAGTTCATGTTGGCAAGGATTCTACCACTTGTACCTGCTCGGCTTTTCAAGAAAGACCCGAAGCAGCTTGCCACCACATATTTGTGAGTTGTTCCAAACACTGAGAAAAATGGAGAGGCGGGAAAAAGAAGACTGCGGCAGAGACTTCAGTGGATAGGCTACTGAAAGCAATGCTAATCCAGCTCCATATGTAGTGGGTTCTTGACCAACTCCACGGTTGTTTCCCCTCCAATCCGCAACCGCCCTCCGACGAAGGTGTAGCTCTGTCTCCCGACGGTCGACCACAGGTCGGGGCACGCATTGAGGATCTCCTAGAAGGCCAACTGGAAGCCGTCACAGGCCGTTTGGATTGGCAGTATATGCGAATTGACGGCGACGGCAGACGAACCGGCATGACACGCGCAGAGAAACTCCGAGACATACTCTCAGCCTTCAACTCGAACATTCTAACAGAGAGTTTTCGCCAAGATCTCGTTGAGAAAACGACACACGCGCGCACCGCCGAGCAGTGCGTCGTACAGGGGGATGTGGAGGCAACAATCTTCCGCCTAGCCATGCTGAACGACGGCCTATTCATCGACCTCTGTAAAGCCCAGCCCGCCCAAGCCTGTGCATCGATCTACTTTGACAAAATCCAAGAACATTGCCGGCGCCTCCTGCGCGATTTCGACCGATACTGCGCGACGGGCGAGCGGCCGACGGATCCCGGGAGTCCTGGTAGCAGTATGGTAGAGGTGGACGAGGTAGTTGCGCAGTTGCGTAAATTGGTGCAGCATGTTCGGATGAATATTGCGCTGCGCTCGCCGCATGGTTCGGAGGGTGCTGCGAAAGCACTTGTTTCGATTCTTGAAGCGGTGACGGCTCGCAATAAGGATCCTCTGGATGGAAATAATTGGGGCCGCTCGTCTTTTCACGGCGAGGATGAGGATCAGCGGAATTTGTACCATTTGCTGATCGGGTCGGAGGATTCGGATATCAATTCTGATGAGGAGCTTTTCGTCATTGATGCGCTGGAAAGTCTCGCCCCGTCTGATCTGTATCAGTTCATAAACCAGCTGCAGCCTATTCGGCAGCGAATGGAGGTGAATCGTGCGCCTAAGGCGTTCCTTCTTCGGTTGGGAGCTTTGGTTCGAAAGGCTCAGTCGGCTGGTGCTGAGATTGCCTCTGGATCTGGACAAAAACGGCCAGCAGTGGGGGGTTCGGGGGGGCAACTCGAAACGGACTCGTTGATTGATTCTTTGCCTTTTTCCACTTACTTCTGCTCTTCATTTCTTCTTGCATCACTATCATTGTGTGGATTTCTGATACTCTGTCATTGTCATTCTTGGGCGGCCATCGCATTCATTCCAATCAAATACCCCCTGCATCGTTTGTTTGACCCACAGCGAGACTCCAAATGCTTGTTTCTCTCTTTTCCAGAATTCCACTATCATTGCTTTACCTTATTAGTGTGGCTACCCCAGGTTCTAGCCTGCAATCATCATCCATCTAATCTGATCGATCTCAACTCGTCTTATCATCGCATTGCCCAGCTTACCACTATACATAGTAGACTTTCTAACTATAGCATGAGTCTTCCTCCGAGTCTATGCTTCAATTTGCATTCTAAACCATTTTCCCTATCCGCATCGCCACAATCATCAAAAACCGGCTCATTCACATCGTGCTCTACTCTGGGAGCCAACCCCAACCCCGCAAACACAGCATAATGACCACTATACAAAATTCAAGACAAGGGTGTCAGGTGTAGCATGGCGTCATAAGCCCTCCTAAAATTCCAGCGCGCCGGGCTGGGGCCCCCCGCGCCCATGGTCCGGCACGCGCTTGGGTCGTGTCACTCTCGCCGCTACATGGGTGACAGTAGCCCGATTTGAGTGCTCGAACCGTGGAAACTTCACCGCGTTTTGGGCTTGGATCCCCACTTTACTGCACGGCCTGTGAAAATAATAACATTTGGTTTTAAATTGGACGAGTTGATTATTATGTGATGAAAGTCAGTAAAGTAGCGCATTTAATTTCTCTACGGTGCGGAGAGCTGGCCTTGTTTATGGGTGAGTGGGTGGGTGGGTCTATTGATTATCTGGTTGGTTTTGTTTCCCGCACGATTTTTCAATTTCTTTTCTATTGGAAATTCATATCACGGAAGAGACAAGACTCGATAATCGAATGAATTCAAAATGAGATAAAATGCAAGTTAAAAATTAGCCTCGAAAATGTCATCTTCTCTTTATTTCTTGGTAAGTTCCCTATGATAGATCGGAGTGTTGGAGAAAGAATCGAGTCGTTAGCTTCTAGCGAGTGCGCAAGCTTTAAAGTGTACGGTTATGCCAACTTGAAAATAACAATCCCTGTCGGTTCTACGAGGACATATTCTATATTTTTTTGGCTAGTTATTTAACCTAAGTCTCTCGACGGAAATCCTGTTACCCTTACCATATTCTGGGGGCATCTCGGCCCTGTGAACACTCATTTTCCAATAAATCCAGTCGCGTCTACTGCAAATAAACACCATGCATTTACATCTGACTATCATCATTCTTCTCGTCATCTGGGACAATGGCACCGCATGCGTCATAATGTGCGATCAACTTGGTTCTAATCAACTACGGGAATATCAAACACAGGGGAAATTCGGATAGATTATGGAATACCAGCGAGAGCAAGTCTTGAACATAAAAATGAAGAGACTATAACATATTATTTTGATGGAGTATCATAATATAGCCATCATTAAGGGTATAGGTGGTTGATAATTCTACAGCAAGATTTCTATGTGTCACGGTGTGTAGTGCGATTGTGGAGTCGGCGGGGAACACGGACTCGGCAATTGCGCGGACTCTACCAAGAATTTCAAAAAGTGACAGCATTTGAATTTCAATTCAGGGAATACTGGGTGTGTTGAATTCTCCATCTGAGTTTGGGCCTCTCCTTGCTCTCGAAATCCTAATTGCTGCAGAATGTGTCAAAATATACTACATACTACTCTAGAAAATTGCACTGCTCACTTCTCGTTCCACTCTTGCCCGCTTCTATATTTTTTTATTTCCACTTAGTATGGGGCCATACAATAATTATTTTGTGGTGAACTTTTCCCTTTTTGGTGGTCTAAAAGCCTCGGGCTGGTCCGAGCTTTTCGGGTGTGTGTGGAAATTAATACAGCATTGTCCGCTTTTTTTACTTGCCCGAGCGGGCTAGCTGTGTAGATTCTGGCTTCTTTGGGAGCTTTGCGGACAAGTGGCTTCTTTTTTGGTGGAGTCTGCTGCTAAGGCTTTTTCTTCCGGGTGGGGATGTGAATTTGATCGGGTGGCCTGTGTTTAGTGGAGGGTTGGTGGTTTAAATTCGGAGATGTTGGGTTGGGCTCATGTTTTATGCAAGTGTTTTCCAGGAAGGATGGTTGGTTGTGGATGTTAAATTTCTACATTGAGAGGTATTAATGGAACGGAACTACTATTTCTTCTCGCCGATTCACACTTCATTTCATGCTGTGTATAGGCCATTGTCGTCGGTTTGAATGGAAGCTAGATCAAGGTAATAATCGCCCATTCCTTTCGTCGTATTTTTATCAACGTAATATTCTTTTCAATCATAATCCGTGGTTACTTGGTGGCTCTCACATTCTTCTGGTTAGTTTATGCATTATTCATGGAAATAATCAACCCTCGCGCCGGAGGTTGGCTGAGATCAGAATATCCGAGTCAGGCATGCATTTTCTATATCAAAACCTTGGTACAGCCGGAAGGTAGTTTAGGGTAACATTACGCTTTCCTTGATAATATTTGCATCAAAAGGGCTTCCTCATCAATTTTTTTTGGACATGGCGAAGTTACGAAGTGCCGCGGCTTCGGAATAGTGGTTGCCATGGTAGAAAGGTCGGTCATGCTTCAACTGCTCTCATCTGGCGGCAATGCCCGTAGTGCTTATAGAAAATAAAACTTAGAATCCTCTGAACTGATTTGTTGGTTTGAACTGTAAATTCGGTTAAAAAAATAAATTTGAAGTCTGGAATTTTAAAAATCCAATCCAACTCATATCAGGGAGACTGAGCACCATGAACCCAGTGGAGACCAAGTATATATATCCAGCAATAACTGGGACTAGGATTTGAGTCCGAGTCAAGTTTCAACTTGTTCCAGACTATCCCAGCTAGTCAAATATGTCCCGATAATATTTTGAGGGGTATCTAGACTAGTAAATTGATCCTTAAAAGGAGTAGATATTATGCTAGTGGCCATTTGACTAAGTGATGTGGAAGAATCATAGAATATCGTATCCCTTGGCTGATAGCGGCATAAGTGGAGCTCCAATATATACACCAGGCCGGCTGGCCCAATGGCAAGGCGCTTGACTACGAATCAAGAGATTGCAGGTTCGACCCCTGCGTCGGTCAACTTTTTGGAGAATTTTCACTTTTTCCTTATCTTTCTTCATAAGGATGACTTTTCTTTTTTGCGTCTGTTATGCACCGAATCCAATGGGCAAGTCTCTTCATTTTTTGCTCCTCCCGGTCATCCCTTACAGCAATGGCGGTCTACGAATCAGTTTAATTGAGTCGAAACAAATGTATGATACTAGTAATATCGCTTTATTTAATTCATCAATGTATACACATACCAATACGAGAGTGCCTTAATTGCTGTCGAGTGTTATCAGCCTGAGAGGTCTAGAACGACACGGCCCTGCAATTTGCCCTCCGCCATCTCCTGGAAAACAGAGGTCAAAGCATCCATCTTCTCGACCCGATAGTGAGCCTTGATAATTCCCCGAGCAGCAAATTTCAGCGTCTCAATTGCCTCAGTGCGATTCCCGACCGCCGAGCCCGTGATGGTGTAGTGTTTATTGATGAACGACGACGGGAAAGCCGTCGCGATAGCCTTAGGCTCATGCTCGGGGATACCCACGCAGACCAGGGTACCGTTGAATCGGAGCAGTGGCAGAGCTTGAGCATAAGCGGCATTCGCAGCTGTACAAACGACAGCAGCATGGGCACCCAATCCATCGGTTAGGGATTGGACGTGTTTCTGGAGGGCAGCTCCGTCATCATCGGTAGGGAACTGGGTGATGTCGACGAAATGCTCGGCCCCGGATGCTTTCACGAGCTCGGCCTTGCTGCCGTGATCAATGCCAATTACACGCAGTCCCATGCCCTTGCTGGCGAGTTGCACAGCGATATGCCCCAGACCACCGCCGGCCCCGGAAATGATGACGAACTGGCCAGGCTTCGCATTGCTGCGCTTTAGAGCTGCGTATACTGTGACACCAGCGCACAGCATGGGAGCTGCCTGGGCGGAATCCAAATCATCGGGGATTGGAGTCACATAGTTGGCGGGCCCAAGTGCGTATTGTTGGAACGTGCCAGGGGTATAGTACCCCGAGACCTTCTGGTTGAAGCAGAGTCCATCGAAGCCAACCTGGCAGGGCTCTGGGGGATTTCGTTAGCAGGTAAGGCATATCCGGTGTGAAAGAAGAAGTTGCTTACGGCAGTTGCCACATGCACTGGAGACCCATTTGATACCGACGCGATCGCCAACCTTCAAGCCAGAGCTTTCGGCGCCTTCGCCAAGCTTGACGATCTTCCCTACACCCTCATGGCCACCAACCTGACCGGGCTGAGTGGGGAAAGGGAGCATGCTCCACTGTCGTAGATCAGAGCTGGACACATTCTATCACGAGAGGAAGACCTACAGTGTTGGTCATGATGCCATAGTCAGAATGACATACGCCGGAGTGTGTCCTGCAATTGGGTTAATTCTCGACCAGTCACCAGTAGTGAATGAAGGATATACGGACAAGTTGATAAGAACTTCACCCGCACCAGGCTCAGGGACGTCAATCTCCACGACCTTTGTCGAGACCTTTCCCGGTTGGTCGAAGACCACGGCCTTTTGCTTCTTGGGGATCTCAACCATATTGAAAGGTTGATACTAATATATCGCAGATGAGAGTGTAAGAAAATGTCGAGAATTTCAGCTCGAATGATGAAAGAAGGAGGAGGTTGTTCTAGGATCGACAGCAGGCTATTTGAAGGCTTTCCCCGCCAAGTGAAGGGGAGGTCCGCTTCATGTGGAGAGCGGGGCGTAGCCTATCCGAATGCACAAAACCATCGGGGCCTCGGAGGCGGAATAAGTCCTGAGCAGAAGAGACCGACCATACGGAGTACTTACGTCTGTTTTATTCGTCACTCTAACCGAAAACAGGGGGACGCTGATGAGGGGTGCGTGGTGGAGTCATCATGAAGCCTCGGTTCCCTAAGTGCGACCAACCTGCGATCAAATCAAAGAGATGAGTATGAGTTATTTTAATCCAGCTGATATCGCGAGAAAAGATTTGAAATCGGCATATTGAAGCCGGATTGACTAGATCTATATAGATCTAGGCCTCAAGGTCCTCGGTCCCTTGCACCCCTGGACTGCATTTGCATTGCATCGCTGCTCGCTCGGCAAGCCCCGCATCCCCGCACGCCAGCACGAGAATATTAAGATTGGAGCGACAAGCGGCTACTCAGGGTTGCTTTAAACATTAAGAGGATTCCAATTGTACAAAGATCACGAAAAGGAAATAACGCTAGTACATTCTATACCTACTAATCTCCACTATTATAGTATAGGGTCTATTCCACCTTTACATCGAAAACTCTAGCCGGTTTCCTGCATAATCCCGCGCGAAAAAAACGAGTGGGATACTCCTTTCCCTTTGTACCTGCAAGTAAAAAGTAATTCAGTCAAAATACAGACCCGGTGCTTTCGGGGGGGGAGGGAATGACTGACCAGAATCCACCTCTCCAGGTTTATCGGCCGTCAGCGGAGCTGCCGGCCCTCCCCGGACATGGTGATCATAAATGGATTTCTTGAGCGCCTCCAGCTCCTCACGGCTGTTAACCTTGAAGCATGGATGCCGGGTTGATTTCGGATCCGCGGCGTTGTGGTCGGTGATGTGAATCTGCTGTCCGCTGGAGCCGATGTTGAACCTGCGGGGCATCATGCCAATCAGCCAGAGCTTTGGTGAGGTTTAGGAGAGCGGGAGACTTGGTGTCACTTACCAGCATATTGTGCCAATCTGGAGCTCAGGCACAGGTGCCGATGTCAAGCCAAGAGTCTTCACATAGAATTCCTCTGCTTGCGCCAGCGTGCCGGGCGTTACCGTGAGATTGATGTGTGCGATACCGGAAATCATGATGGATGTCGCGAAGGCTGAGAGGAGAGATCCAAGGAATTCGTTTTATTTTTTGAAGGGTGTTTGAAGCAAGATAAGCGCGACGGACCGAGAGAAGTTATATTTCTCTAAGACGCGGGGTTTGTAGTACGTGGGGTGACGCGGGGGTGACACCATTTGGAGGCTCGGAAACCACATCCCGCTGATTGGTGATCTGCTGCACTCCACATTGGAGTAGATTTCTCGCTGACACTGGAACGTTCAACCGGGATTGGCTTAGATGCGAATCATGAGTGAGTCACATAATCCCCTCATTTTTGAATATCGGGGTTTATATTAGGTGACCGGGTCTGTTCGCAACGGAAACTTTTCCAGAGGACCGGATTCAGATATGGCCATGTTTTGTCATTCCTTGTTAGGCTATGGAAATATACTAGGAACTCCCAGTCATGGCGTCATCCATGGATATCTAAAGCCCGATGCCGATTCGAATTCCGAAGTAGCAAACGCCAAAGTTCACATATCGCGAACACAGCCCTAGAGAGATTGCGCGCGAGACAGTTGCTTACCCGGATAAAGACATAACCGATACCAGGGAGTCACGAACCGGGAATTACTCACCAATCCCGGTACAGCCAGATCCTGAGTGATACGACTATACATACACCGACATGCAATCCATGCTTTGCTAGGCCCAAGCTCCGACAATGCTCATGCAGAAGGCACCCAGGAAGACCAGAATGCAGGCATACACTCGCTTTCTCCCGCGAAGGACACGCCAGCTCTCATCACTGAGAAAATCTTCAGACATGAGCTCGACCAGGGAGGCAAAAATCAAAAGTCCAGACGACATAGCATTCATGCAACCAACAACCAGCAGGCCGACCTCCGAGTCGGGACTGTATAGGGTGTGAGTGGCAAGGCCGATAGCTTGTCCGATGGGGGTTCTGCAGACAGGTCAATTTACGAAGAATATTTGATGGGGCAAGATGAAGCGCAACGTACGTGCAGCCATAAGCAAGGGACATGATCCACGGCTGAAGTTGGTCCTTCCTCCAAGGCAAAGAGGCGATTCGCGAGCCCAATGCCAGACCTTCGAACGTTTCTGTCTCATTTCGTTAGGCGACAGAGGGCACTTAAACACCACATGAAGATGAACTTACGATGAAAGACAATGGCAATTAATAAGACCACAAACTCCTTACCAACAGAAACACTGAGGGACATGCCAATGAAAACACTGTGGAAGAGAATACCCATCTCAAGGAGATAAACTTGCATCGTCTCTTTTTTCTGCTTCTGTTCTGGCGATAGGGTGTATGAGTCGTCTTCACGCTCAAGGTCGGTGTGAATGGTTCCATTATCCTTCTCATGATGAGTTTGGATATTGGGGGCCGATGCGACTCGAACGATTTCTTCATTGCCTTCGCCCATTCGATTGATGGCCCTGCTGATACTCGCTGATCTTCCGACAAGCGGACCCATGTCCCGCAAATGGGATCCAGCGTCTAGCCCCATCGGCTGGGAAGAAGTTGGTCTTGGAATATTAGCGTAGAGGGTATTATTTGCGGTTGGAGAGGAACTCTCTTTCTGGCCCGAGCGTGTTGTGTCAAGATCGGCTTTGGGGGTTCGATTTCCTCCCCGGCAGACATGTCTAGCTGGACTGAAAACCATCTCGATAACCGTGACAAGAAAGATTCCGCCCAGTGCAATTGCCCCCGGCATTGCCGGGTAGTCCTTTGTCCAAAAGTCTGACAGGCATGGGTCTCCAAGGGAGGTGAAGGCAGTTGGGAGAAGATGTACGAAAGCTGTGGCGATCAGAACGCCCGTTCCGAAATGACTCACAAAGAAGAGGAAAGAGGCGGGTACATGCAGTCGGGGAAAGCGTGTTGCAAGGATCGGAAATGCACAGCCAAATCCCGACACGAAGAAAATGATGAAGAGAGCGGCAACGTGCAGTGGCATATCATATGTATCGCCGCCGACTCCTCCAGATGCGCATCGCGATCGCTTCTCCGGCTCGACAAAAGATCTTTCGATAGACGAGTTCTCGACGAGCAGTGGCTGGGCTGAAAATTTATGCTTGCTGCGACCAATGCGGGAGATGAGAATTGACATGCAAATAACCGAGAGCAGCCACAGTCCCCAGTCCTTGACGCGTTGGGATGAGATAAAGTTGTTGTTTTTTGGAGATATTTTCTCAGAGACCAATTCAATTGGGCCCTTTCTAGAAGCGAGGCGTCCTATTGGATATTTCAGTAAGTAAGTCGATGAACAGAGGAGAAGGGGATGTCCCGTTCATACCTGACTTTGTCAGGGACGCCTCGCTCCGCGTAAGTGGGTGATCGCGCGCATTGGATTTGCCTAGAGACGGTCGATGTGCACAATTCGAGCTACTTCCTAGCAGCTCCAATCCATTCTCATCTGATTGATTCTCACGAGCGTTTGAAATTCCGATGAGGTCTTGGCGAGTCGTCAGGTCCGGCGCGAAACGGGGCGGGTTCTGGTTCCAGTCATCGTGTAACCAGGTGTTGTCGGTGCGGGAGGGGCAATTCATCGTTTTTATTCTTCTAACTGATACCTTTAGTCTGCTTACTGGGACACAGAAATGTTACAGGGGCCCTATTTGTGCCACTCGCGACACAAGGCAGCATCGATTCTGGAGGCTTGGCAGGCCGGTCCGACTTTGCTTGGCAGCGGAGGCAGCGGAGCCCTGTTTGCCTCCGTGACTGGCTTTGATTGATCCATCGGGCCGATTACGCAAGCTTTAGCGTTTTTAAACATGGATGACATGATAGATTGAAGATTATTGCAAACAAAATGGCCCCTTCTTTGCGAATGATCGTCGTAAATGGTAAGCTCCTACCTCTACTATGTTGGAACAGGTACTCGGCTTAGGTTATCCATGTGTTTGTGTTCTAAATCTCCCTATAAAAGAGGCCCAGGAATCAAACTTTCGTTTAAAAATTGATGGATCTATAACCGAGCCTTTGTCCTTGAATTCGGGCGAAGTATAGTTTGTTGAGTCATGCTTGCCAAAAGCCGACCATTCGAATCCCACACGCGCCCCTTGCTATAAACTCTTGCATGATTTTCGACAAAACTACTCTGTTCTGGGTAATCCCATTCCTCAAGATCAAGTTCATGTTCAAAGAAGCGGAGGGAAAAGTCTAAGCTTGCACAAGCGCTCGCTTCGGATGGATGATACCCAATATTCAAGGCAGGAATGTATGCGAGACCTTTATCCATATAGAATGAAAGAGCAGATATTTGCTTTGCTTCATTTTGAAGATGATCACGAGCTCGAAACCTTTCTGTATGGATCGACTTTGAAGAAAATGTTGCGGGGCTCTCTTGCTCATGAATTCGTGAATCTACTGGGGCGGTACCGCGGGAGTGCGGTTGCATTTCGATAAATCTCTCTATATAGTGATAGTGGTCGTTATCCGAGCAAGATATTTGAGAGGGGTTTTTTGGGGGCAGCAAGCACACCATGGACTTGGGTTCCATTACATGGAAGTCAGCTAAAGCGACCAGACAAATCTTGGAAATTACATCTTCATATTCCTGTGAGAGGCGAGTCTCTTTTGTCTCAAAGCTTTTGCTCTGTCTAACGTACTCGACGTAGCAGAAAAGCTTTCGATCGGTCTTTGCTGGCCGAATGAAATAGCCTGAGATAGAATAGAGGTGAAAGTGTCTGCGAGATTCTTGATATGCGGCGCTGGTTGCAATTGCCAGAGAACTACCACCAAATCTAGTCGAGGTCAGAGACCCTAGCCTCGCTGGATGACACATGGAAGCGAAGCATCCAGGGCTTACTGAGTGCACCGCAATTTGTTGACCGAGGGTAGCCGCTTTGTGGTGGGCATCATGGAAACCTGACCGTTCTGACCGGAATGATTGAAGAAGAAAGAAAAGTGAACATTCAGAGCCCCGAATTCGGGAATAATACTGCGCTGGATCTCGTAAGCCGGAGAGGTAGTCAGTTGTCTCTGGAGACTTTCAAAGTTGTCATCGGAGACTCCGATTTGTCTAAAGTGTCCGAGATGCCTAATCACCCCGATATTAGTAGAAATCTGCCACGGACTAGTACTGCATCCATAATCGCTGCAAAGCCAGCTAAATTGATGCTGCATCGATTAATTGCACTGTGGCTCTCCTCTTTCTCAAGATAAGGATATGGCCAAGCAACCAGACTTTTAAAAATGAAGTGGAGTTTTCCAAGGTTCCGAGTAAAATAGAAACGTGAGAATGAATATATATAGGTTGATAAAGCAGCTCAAAGAAATCAAAAGCTAAGATCTAATTATTGGATCATCACACCAGTCTTCAGCTTCATCTGCTTTTATGTTTTCCAAACGCGTGACGGGGCCAAGGCCCGGAAATAAAAATACTGGGGGGTTTAATGAATGCAGATTTGTTCTGAAATCTTGTATTGACGAGAATACCGTCGTGTCTACTGTATTTTAAAGCCTGCAGCGGCCGGGGTGGCATAATATTAGTCACATTCCTACTAAGGACTTTCAAGTTCTTACATGGAGACCTTTACCCGGGCCCTTCATCGGAAACTCCTTCACTTTTCAGTATATTTAGTGCATACCGTGACTCAAAACTTTAATGCACCAGTGGCCATGGAAGGCTATGATATCTATGAAATACTATTCACACGTCCCAACGGCCCAATATGTCAGGATGATATCAGTCAGATCAGTCAGAAGCGAACTATTAGCCCCGCAGTGGCCGACAATAGTGAGTTTCATACTATCGCCATCATACTATAATGGATGCCACTGACTTCCCCGAGGCCTGGCTTTGGACGATTCCTCAGCTACCTGTCAGATATGCCTAGAGTCGTTGCAAAGTGCGTCCGTTTATCGAGAGCTTTGCTGTTCGCACAGTTTCCATATTCCTTGTATTGATGTTTGGCTGAGCCGGTTTGAAGGAAGCTGCCCGACCTGTCGCATGACATTTTGTTACATACGAAGGCCCGGGATAAGACAACGACTCCTTCCAGAAAGACATTTAAGAAGACCCATTGAAGGGGAACCTTTGCACGGTATCCGACGTATCTTACAGTCAATCTCAATCTGGATTCGGGGGGTATCCCGGGATTCCTAGTAATACTCTCAGAGACAAATAAACACCTTTCGAACGGGGGATGTTCGAGAAGAATGAGTCTTTTTTTGCACCTTAATGAACTCGATTGGAGAAACATAGAAATGGAATGTACGGAGAATTCAAGTATCCTGGAACCGAGGTAATGGATTTTCCATGCGTGAGAGGGAAGTCGAGGCTGAGGGCAATTGCGGCAATTGCGGAAACTATACGGGAATTTTCAAAGGTTTTGATGCAACCCACCCAAGTGACCTATATTTTGACTCATTTTCAAGCTTCCACGAATCCGTTGCCCTAGAGAAGCCCTTCTTCTCGAACCGCTGGAGTTAGTCCTTTCAACAAACCAATCGATCGATATTTGCTCCGAAGTTTCGCTCCCTAGAACTTGAGCCGGTGTTCAATTCTTTATACCGGCGATGCGGCTGAATCGAAAGCTCGACCAACAACTAGACAACGAGAAGAGTGACCTAGAACACGCATCCGCTCAACCAGACCAAATCCCCGATGGAGGCCTCATAGCGTGGGTGCAAGTTGCTCTGATGCACATCGTATTTTTCAATACCTGGGGCGTCGCCAATGGCTACGGCATCTTCCAGCAGTACTACACCCAGACACTCAACCTGTCAGAATCGGCAGCATCATGGATTGGGAGCGTACAGGTCTTTCTTCTTTTTTTCATCGGTGTTTTCGCGGGGCGTCTTACTGATGGCGGATACTTCCGAGTCATATTTGCCTCCGGTGTTTTGCTTCAAGTGTTGGGGATTTTTATGACATCGTTGACGACAAAATACTGGCAAATCTTCCTCGCGCAAGCTATTTGTCTCGGAATTGGCAACGGGATGGCATTTTGCCCGGCGTTGGCAGTTCTCTCCCAGTACTTCAAAAAGAAGCGAGCCTTCAGCGTTGGACTAGCGGCTGCCGGTGGTGCGGTTGGCGGACTTGTCTATCCGGTCTTGATCAACTGGCTGATCTTCAAGGATGGCGTTGGATTTCCATGGGCTTTGAGAGCTATGGGATTCATTATGCTCGGAACATACATCCCGTGCTTGATATGGTTCAAGCCACGCATACCACCCCGGAAAAGCGGCGCCTGGATAGATACATCTGCATTTGCTGAGATGCCATTTATTTTCTTTTCTTTGAGCATGTTTTTCAATTTCTGGGGACTTTATTTTGCATTTTTCTACATGGGTACCTTTGCCCGGGATCAGCTTCAATATGCGGAACCAATTTATCTGTTGATGGTTCTCAACGGCGTCGGCGTGGTCGGACGAATCGCGCCATCGATCATCGCAGATAAGTGGACGGGTCCTCTAAACGCTCTAATACTGTCGAGTTTTGCATCAAGCTTGCTTGTATATTGCTGGGCAGGTATACACTTTATCGGCGGGTTGTTTGCCTTTACCGTTGTGTATGGATTCCTTGCAGCTTCGCTCCAAGCTCTTCTCCCAGCAGTCGCGACTACTATGACACCTCACCCAAGCAGGACGGGAACTCGGGTGGGAATGATACTCGGTTTTGTTAGCTTTGCAAATCTTACCGGTCCGGCAATTTGCGGTGCCCTGATCAGAAGACAGGATGGAAGCTATCTGGGTGCTCAAATGTTTGCAGGATCATCGATTCTTCTCGGCGCCGTAATGGCCTTGGCGGCAAGGATCGCAAAGACAGGAATAATCCTAGGCGCGAAGGTGTAGGCAATAAAACTCCATGTTACACGCTTCAAGTTCGGGTGCATGTCTCCGGCTGAATCCTAGACAGTGATATTTTTTCTCCTGTTTCTACCCGCAGCCCAAATCCCCCGAATGTTGTAGTATCGCGAATGTCTTCATCACACATATCAAAGGAATGAAAGACCAATTGGGGGGGGGGCTTTGCTCTCGTACCAGTAGCTGTGGATAACCGGGCCACACGGGGAAGGGAGATCCAGTCCTCGGCGGCGACTGGCCGATGACCGAAAGCTTGAAGTTTTCCAACTTAGCAATAGTTGAGTCGTTATCAAGGGAGAACAATGAGTAGAACTGATTTCCCATTCCAATATCTCTAGAAATTAATTCGACCTTGGGAGCGGTCTCGGGTCTATCTGGCGGCTGAATGTTTTGCAACTTTTGTCCCTGCACGGCAAGAGTGACCCTCCCGGCCACTAGGATTTAGCGCTCAGGGCCTGGGACTTAGGGCTCAGGGACACAGTCTGGGGGGGCTCATCAGCGCCCACGCGTCATCTGACACCGCGTGTTGATCCATTGAGCACCAACACCGCTGAGTTCGGCGCACGGCAGAAAGTTAAGCTCCGACAGGACGGGAGGAATCGGTAGTCCAATCAGTAGGCATTTGAGAGGTGATAGCGGGCTCCGTGGTTGGTCGGAGAATGCCGATAGTTGCACTTTACAACGCTAGAACTGCCTGGGGTTAGTTCGAACCCAAGAAAAGCAGAAAAAAAAATTAAAGAAAAAAAAAACCTGGTAGCACGATGCTTTGCCGAATTGGGGATACGATTCCCGAGGACGATGTTGGTGATGATTGCCAGGCTGACTGATTGATTGCGGGACACAACTACCTCTCTCGTCCAGTTGCAGTCCAGTGCAGTCCAGTGTAGTGCAGTTGTAGCTGATAAAGTGATAGACGGCACTTCCCCCTCCCCCAGAAACGATCCGCCTCCGCAAAACAAGGCAAACAAGGGGCAGTAACGACCATTCAAATTTATTTGGGGGCACTCACCCATTGGAACGAGCCAAGAAAGTGGAGCGAATGCTTAGCGAAGGAAGGCTGGCCTCGGCAAACGCTTTAAAACTTGAAGTCCCCCTGCCCGTCCCCCTTCCAACTCCATCTCGACTTTCTTTCCACAACAGGAAATCTTGACGCCATTCGAGACTTTCTGGAGATTTATACACATAATATGTGTGGTATAGAGGCACAAGTACCTTTTGCTTTCTGAAAACCGTCTCTTCTCCAAGAATTCAAGAATTCTCGGGTCGTCGTGCCGATCACCTCTCCATCATGAAATTCGACTCCGGTCTTGAACGGACCGATGACCAGGCTGCCCTGGCTCGGCTCGGCAAGAAACAAGTCTTGAAACGTCGGTTCGGTTTTCTCTCCATCGTTGGTTTTGCGATGGCCGAGTTGATCACTTGGGAAACCGTTCTGACTCTGTTCAACCAGTCTTTCGAAAATGGTGGTCCGGCGGGTGCCTTTTATGGCTACATCATTGCCTGCCTATCGACTTTGTCCACTTACACCGTCATTTCGGAACTTGCTTCGATGGCTCCCATCGCCGGTGGCCAGTATTATTGGGTTTATATGCTCGCCCCAGCGCGCTGGAAGAAGGTCTCGAGCTACCTGATTGGATGGCTCACATGTCTCGCGTGGATTGCGACCATCGCAACTGAGACAATTTTCCTCGGTACCATGATCGAAGGCTTGATTACCCTGAATAATCTAGAATTTGCCCAGCAGCGTTGGCAAAATACCCTTTTGGCCTGGGCCAGCATCGCCGGAACATTCTTCATCAACGTGGTGTTGCCCAACGCGCTTCCCCGTTTCGAGATCGCAATGCTTGTACTGCATCTGGCGGGTTTCGTCGCCATCATGGCTACATTGCTGGCTCTATCCCCAAAGAGCACCCCCGACTTTGTTTTCCACACAAGTCTGAATGAGGGTGGTTGGCCTACCCAAGGGATATCCTACTGCGTTGGCTTCATCGGTAATATCGCAACCTTTGTCGGTGCAGACGCCAGCGTACACATGGCCGAGGAAGTCGCCAATGCGGCTGTTGTGATTCCACGGGCCATCATCACAGGCATGACATTGAACAGTGCCCTTGGCTTCGCAATGATGCTCACTGTTCTTTTCTGCATTGGTGATGTTAAATCCGTCCTGGGGTCCAACACCGGATTCCCTTTCATCCAGATCTTCTACAACAGCACACAGTCGTACGCAGGTGCGTCTGTCATGACGGCGGTCATCATGGTATTGACCATGGCCTGCTCGATTGGCATTACTGCTACCGCATCTCGTATGACCTGGTCCTTTGCACGAGACGAGGGCCTGCCCTTCTCCCGTTTCCTGAAGCAAGTGAACCATCGCACCAAAATCCCCATCGTATCAGTCTCCGTAGTCTGCGGATTTGCCGCAGCCCTGACGCTCATCTACATCGGCTCTACGACTGCCTTCAACGATGTGATTTCCCTGACGGTCACCGGATTTTACAGCACCTATTTCCTCCCAAGCGTATTTCTCCTCTACCACCGGATGAAAGGACACATTCTGCCCCACGGAACTATGCTCGATGGCCTCCCGGATGCACCCGCCAGTGCGAGCGCCAGTACTAAGGAGAAGCCTGCTGCCCCCCTTGCGCCCCAAATCCCCTGATGCAGACTCGGATCAACCCAGCCCCAGCCCCGGCCCATCCTCTAGCCCCGAACGCAACCCAACTGAAAAAACCACCAAGCAACTCGAGTATGAAATTTCTCAAGCGCCCCTGATCTGGGGCCCGTGGAAGGTCCCGGGCATCCTCGGAACCATTAACAACCTTTATGCATGCGTGTACATGCTCTTCGTCATCTTCTGGAGTGTCTGGCCTCCTAGCACACCAGTTGATTATTCCACTATGAACTATAGTATCGTCGTCACGGCCGGCGTGCTCATTCTGAGTGGAATCTGGTACTTTGTGCGGGCCCGGAAGGATTACTCTGGTCCTTTGATCGATGAGGAAGTTGCCGAGATCATGCATCTTTCTCCGGCTGCCATCAAGGCGTCATCTCAAAAGACCCAAGTTTAAGCCAAAACCTCGGAACTGATAGGCCATCATTACATACTCTGGGCGTGGTTCGCAACTGAATGATCGAGTTTTGAAGGAGCTGGAGTTGTTTGTACAGGCATGTGACGAAGATACCATGTATTCTAAGATTTGACGACAGAACTAAATACCCTTCAATGCAACAAGCTGTTAAAAAATCCACGGAATTCGAAGCTCAATCCATCACTAGAAAAAGGCCGATCGAGTGCTAGCTGACTTCATGCATGTCATGATCAGTACAGCCCAGGACGAATAAGCATCACCCCTGACGAACATGTTCACGATCGAGACTCTGGAGCAGCGCGACCCTATCGACTACAACAAATCAAATTACGATCGGTCTCCAGCTTGTGAAACTTGTGTAACTAAGCAAATATGCTTCTGAGGCTGCAGAATGACCCACCAGCCTCATCCAATCAAGATGCGAACTCAAGCTTATACCTGAGCGGTAAACTGACAGGCCTGCTGATCTGCCGGCCAAGCATGACGCCGAATCCAAAAGCGTGCGTGAATTTATGCGTTTGATTTGGTGACACGCCTGGGCGAACACACAGCCCCCGATCAAATACCTGGGCTTCTGCGCCCGGGCTCTAGCTAACTACTAGGCGGCCTGCGCAACGCCTTGTTCGTTATTAATTCTTAATACGAACCATGGGTCTCATATGGCTTAACTGGCCTGGACTGATTTGGCAAACTGACGATTCAGAAAAGGATGGCGGACAATAGGAAAGACCATGAACTTCATCGACAGCCGAAACAGTTTGTTTTGTGCTTTGATGGCACCGGGAACAAATTCGCCGGTGATACGTCGGATACTAACCTCGTGAAAATCTATCGTGTACGAAAAACGAACCCTGTCAGAATTCGATATCACAGCTCTACTGACCCTTTCACCGTTGTTTTTGCTTTAGATGCTCGATCGCAGCCAATCCCACCAGTACCACTACTACCAACCGGGAATCGGCACATACCTCACCTCACACTCACTTGGGAGCAAAGGGAGACTGAACCGCGTCAAATCGTCGTACAAGAAAGCAAAAGATGCCGCGTTGGGTTCTTCCTTCGATGAGCATGTCCTGGGCGGTTACAAGTTTCTCATGAGATACTATTCACCCGGCGACAACATATTTTTCTTTGGATTTAGCCGGGGGTCCTACACGGCGCGCTTTCTGTCCGAGATGCTTGATTTCGTCGGTCTCCTCCAACCTGGAAATGAGGAGCTGATTCGTTTCGCGTGGAAGACATTCGCAAAATGGCAACAGCGGAAGGACTCCACGGAGAAGGATAAAGAGGAAAGACGCAGACTTTTCGCTTTCATGCAGGCCTTTCGTGAGACCTTTAGTCGGCCTGTTAGTCGAATTAAGTTTCTGGGTTTGTTTGATACTGTTAATAGTGTGCCTATATTTGAAAATGCGTGGTTGGAACGGAGCAAGTTCCCATATACGGCGCAGACAACTGCGCGGGTTATTCGACATGCTGTCTCGATTGATGAGCGTAGAGCCAAGTTTCGACAGGACTTGATTTCTGAGGTGAAGCCTATTGCCCATGAACCGAAGCATCCGCATCGACTGAGGCATTTTCTTTCTCGGGATGATCAACAGGAGAAAACAGAAGTGCCTGAAATTGTACTCAATGCCACCGAGGAAGAGCGAAGTACAAGAGGCCAGGTGGTTCCTCGTGCGGAGGAAAGATACCGCGCACCCACACCCTCGCCCAATCGACGACATAGCACGGAATTTCCCAGGAACAATGCTCTATTGTCCGACAGGGTCTCACTCAAGAGTACTATTTCTCGGCAACCACTTCACGTCCCATATTTGAATGAGCCCGAACACGAAGGAGAGGAATATGGGGACGGACAAGACATTTCAGAGGTATGGTTTTCAGGACAACATGGCGATGTTGGAGGGGGTTGGAAACTCAACCCTCAAGACAATTGGCCATTGAGCCACCTACCTCTTGTGTGGATGGTAAAAGAAGCCCAGCTCGTTGGGCTGGAGTTCGATCCCGAGAAACTCAGGCGTTTCAACTGCTTCGAAGACGATAAGGGAGATGGGCCAATTTACTTTCACGGGAACATTTTACCAACTAGCACCCCGGAGACTCAAAGTGGCCCCTTCAGTCATCGAAACCACTCAGATCCATTCCAAGAAATCGTAACCCGCACCATGGATCAAGGGATTGTGCACGACTGTCTCACATATGGGGGTGGACTGTCATTCCTTTCCACATTGTCTTGGAGGCTAATGGAATATCTGCCATTCCGAAGAATGGATCTGCAGCCAGACGGGTCTTGGAAACCGATTAGCTGGCCCCTTCCTCGTGGTGAAGTGCGCGATATTCCAGATAATGCCCAAATTCACGTCTCTGCCATCCATCGTCTGAGGACTGATCACAATTATCGACCTGGAAATCTTATAATTGGCGGTGGTGGACGGGGTTTCAAGCGGGCGCCCGAGAGATATGGGATTGGAGAGTGGGAAATTTGTAACCATAAGGGAGACCTTGTCCGAGAGACTTATATTCGAAAGAAGCCAGAGACTGCTTGCATAGGTGGGACTGTATAGTCCTCGATGCATTGTTCTGACTGGCGCGTTTCTGCTAAATAAAGACTTCCAAGGTTAAACATGTCAACCAAACTTTCCGCCAAATGCCCAGGATACGGGTTTCGCCATATCGACAATTTCGTTGTTGGACAATTAAATCTGCCCTGTGCACCATGTGGCAGAAACATGTGCGCACCTGCTCTTGAATATAAAAGTGTAACGGTTTCTTGTGAACAAAGATCAATATCTTTTTAGAAGGAGCTCATAGATGGTCTAAATTAGGCCGCAGTGCCTTTTGCGCAATACAAGAATGATCTCAATAGATGTTTATTTAATTTATTATTATCTTGAAATTAGGAGAGTCAGAGAGAGCGCAGCTTAAACGTACTCTGCATCTATATTCTTGACACAAGATAATAAGCCAAGGTGTCGGGTGGGACAAACAACTTACAATGCCGACAAGAAAAGTACCCGTCCAAAAATTCGATGGGGATGATGAGAAACTTTTCAAATTCAGAGGAGACTCAATTCTTGCCTCTCGACCTTAGATATACGCCTCGATTTTGAAATTGGTTCAAGCTGAAACTATCGCGATGAACTTCCCGCAAATCCGAAGTCTCGTGGCAGACATAGCCGCCTCAGTTGATCTGTACGAGTCAACTGGATCTGAGGAGTTCCTAGTCGACACCCAGGAAGATACTACTCGACTGGCGCGTGCGCTAGAGAATCCCCGGGATGCCATTGTCAAACATATTTTCGCTGTGATTATCAGTCCTCCACTGGAGAAGATATGATCACAGGTACTGATCACCTAGAAATATAGCCATCAGTTTTGGTAATTGCGAAGATAGCTCATGAGATGGAGATCTTCACATTACTCTCACGAGGGACCGTCCCCGTACCTTTGGCAGAGCTGGCTGCCTTGAAGCCGGCCGATCCATTATTAGTTGGCTAGTAACACATCTCAGTGAGAAAATAATTAAAAACTAACTTGCTGACTTAATTGTCTATAGAACGCATAATGCGACTTCTAGTTGCCAATGGTTTCGCGGATGAGCCAGTGCAGTGTGAATATTTACCCACGGCCATCTCGAAGGAAATGGCTCAAAGAGGCTCTGTCGCGATGGTAGAAACACTGTGAGTATCTAGCTCACGGCCTGAGGGTGATCTGGAGTTCTAATTGCTAAAATATGACTGTTGATTGCTGTAGCGCTATAAACTTTCTCACCTACATTCAAAAACTTCCCGAATATCTCAAAGCTATCAACTACCGCAACCTAGACGACTCGCTTTTTGCCCCTTTCCAGTACTGTCATCACGTTACCGTCGATGCCTTTACATGGATAAGTCAGAATCCAGACACACTGAAACGTTTTAACAGCTTCATGGAAGGGTACCGTGGAAATCGCCCTCATTGGAGCGACTGGTTTCCCATCCGTGAGCGTATTCTTGATTCCCAAGTGTTGGATAAGGATAAACCGCTCTTGGTGGATATAGGTGCTGGAAGAGGGTATGGTTTGATGAAGTTTCGGAGCCGATTCCCAGATGTCCCTGGAAGATTAATTTTGCAAGACTTGCCCCTTGTGATTGACGAGATTCGGGGTGCGTGCGACTTGAAAGCTGCCGGAGTTGAGACCATCGCTTTCAATCTCTTTGCAGATGTTCAGCCAGTCAAAGGTAAATTTAGCTCATTCCGTGTGCCAGATTTTATTTTAAAGGTTGCTAATCCATTCTCTAGATGCACGAATCTACTACATGAAATCCGTACTGCATGATTGGCCCGACACAAAGGCCGCTCTTATTTTGAACAATATCAAGCAGGCAATGAAGCCTGGGTACTCTAAATTGATCCTTGAAGAGTTCATTTTACCAGATACAAATACTCCATCACTTGCTTGCATGACTGATCTGGCGGTCATGATATTTTCTTCGGGCCTGGAGCGAAACCGCAAACGCTGGACGGATCTCATGACGTTGACTGGCCTGCGGATTCTGCAATTTTGGGTTCCCAGAGGCGATGGAATGGGAATTATCGAAGCAGAAGTTTCTGAGTTTGAGCAGTAGAGAACCATATCTTTATGATTGAAGTTATTCAGCATCGAATTGGGCCCCGCAGTCATGGGTAACTCATTTTTTCTAAATTATAGTGAAGCAACAAGACTCTCTCCTTGACGGAGGAGGTCTTTCTTTTCTCTTTTTCATTCATTCATTTTTGAGAATTTAAATACTTCGAATATCACAACGATAAGGAACTTGTGTCTTTGATTGTATTTGATTTAGTAAGAATGGTTCTTGTAATGTCTAGATGATTAAGTAGTCATCCTGATGCGATGAATCCGAGTTAAAAGTCTGGAAATAGTTAGGAATCAATACCATCATGGACGGGAAGAAAATTCCACGAGAACACTCACAAAGGACATCCAGGGAATATTACTAGTATCATTCTTTTGCTGTTCCGCACGGGCATTCCATACTTTCTCAAGCAAACTTTGAGGGGCAGTGTTTCCCATTTCCGACCGAGCCTTGATTTGCTCCAATCTCAATATAACATAATGCCGTGAGTGCGCTGACAGATTATCGGCCCCAGCCATAAACAGAGGAAGGACCATAAGCTCTAGCAAAGGACTAGTCGAGGGAATATTGGCCACCGAATCCAGAATTTCGAAAACCGAATCTCTGATCTTCGGTTCAGAAGCAGGCTCGGAAGGATCAAGCAAACGCCAAGCGCGCAAAATACATGCATGGCGAAATGCATTCGAAACCGAACCCCAAAGCACATCGTTATCCGGGAAAAAGCAACGTGAGCTGTCCCAGAGGTACAGCTTGCGAATTGAACTGTGGATAGTATCATGGAACTCCGAGTGTTCCAACCTTCCGGCGGCATACTCTTTCGCGCACTCCAGGATAGTAGCAATGATGAGAACTATTTCCCTGGGACAACCATTGACCGACTCGAAACGTAAGTTGCATAAGGACAAAATCTTTGAACGGAGCTCGTGAGTGAAGCAGAGTCTTTCAGGGGCAGCAAAAGCACGTATGATATCTAGCCTTTGAAGTTATCGCTTTATGAGAGAAGAATTCACAGAGGGAAAAAATGATAGACTTACCAAAGAAGATTTCCTAGAAAGAAAACAGTTCTCTCCTGATCAACAGTTAAGGTTTGGTCAAGTTTGAGCTGAGAGCAGATTGACATAGCGCCCGAGATGTGTGCACCATGTGTAGATATGCCGGTTTCGCAGATCTACACAAAGTTTATATTAGAGTGACTCTGAAAATTAATAAAGCCGAATGACAACTCACATCATGTAGTAAAAGGATTTGAATTGTGGCAAAAACGGAATCTACATCGCTTCCTTCGAAGTTCCGTGAGCAAACCTTGTTGATGGTAGTGCCGAGAGCATTGATGGCCTTGGCGCGATAATCCACAGCCACCGATTCGTATAGGTGCCTGTCTGAGTTTAAATGCCCCATATGACAGGCTGATAGACCAAGAACTGCATAGAGAACATTTAATTGCTCATATGCTAATGGAATCACGTAGAGTCGATATGGGTTTTCCTTTTTGTCGTTAGGCTGCGCAATCTGATGGGGACAAATGATGCGGTCATCTGCGATATCCATTTAGTAATTTTACCACGATCAAATCGCCCGATGATAGTATATAACATACAGTGAACGAGGAGCGTTTCTGCCTCTTTCGAGACTAATATCTTCCTGTGCTCTTGGTAACCTGGCGTGCTCTCAATGTTGCCCTCTGACGATGCAACAGATGAGCTGACTTTATTCTGGGACGGTGGCCCCCATGAATGAAACGCTAAACCTTGCGTAGATGCGGTTGGTTCAGTGGCGGTAGAATCTGTAGTTGGGGTGGAAGCAGAGTCCTTGCTGATTGGAAGGTCTTGATTTTTCCATTTGCCACGACTGGCTATCCCGCAAAAACGAAACTTGTCTGGATAGCCTTCACATTGCAGTCCCATTCGAATGCAACGCCTACACATCGGCCGCGCACGATCACACTTACGCGCCTTCTGGCGGCAGGTCAGACAGGGAGCATCTGGACAACTCAGAACTTGGCCGGCAAGTGGATACGTTGCAAATTCGACCTACCTCTTTGTCCCATCTTGGATTCTCACTGTCGCCATATCATGGCCGCATGATTTTCTTGAGGGGAAAAAAGGACTGAAGCTGAACGCTGTGACTATCGTGTTTCGTGTTCTCGCGGGGTCGTGGAAAGGCAGGAAGGAGAATCACCTTGAGGCGTGAATATGTCACTTACGTAATACATTTTGGACCACACTGGAAATGGAGTTACCCTAGGGTAGTTAATTACAGGACAGAGTGATATCACCTTCAAGTTGGTCGAAATAGCCTCTGTATAACAATTGGTGCTATTCCATTATATACTAGCACATATCTAGGTCAACCGAAATAAACCGAACATTCTCGGGTCCCCGATATGTGGAAAATGCCATTTTATCTACTCCGTACTCCGCACTCGGATTCGCGCCGATTCCCACCGACTTCCTAAGGTTTGGTGGGGCGTTTATAGACCAACGATTAGATTGGTCTCCCAACGATTGCCGCTGCCACCCACGTGATAGTCGTCCCAAGGGTTGATAGCCGTCTGCTGATAAGTACCTGCGCGTTAACTGGGTGTACGCATATCCCCTGCCCGATGACACTCCACAGGTCCAGTTTATTCCGCATAGAAGGTGATAACTACGATAAGGGGATCAAAGGGTCGTCCCCTAGGGCAGGGTAGTAGGGTTTGATGTATCTGTATTCATTATAGAAATTGTATTCCAAAAACAATAAAAAACAACAAAATCTTGACAACTTGAATTCTATGCTGTGTTAGTCTCACTGACCCGATCATCTGCCGAGTTTGGTTCTTGTGGGGGAAATAGAATGGGGGGTATAGCTTAAGCCCCGGATTTTCTCCGTCTGCACCTCTCCCACCTCCCACCAGTCCAGAGAAATCACCAGAGATCAAGCCCTTTCTTCGCTCTGTCGAGATAATGTCTGTATCGCCAGTGCTCGCACGAAAGCCATCATATCAACCTTTTCAATGTTTGATCTGCCAAAGCCGGTTTACCAGGCACGAGAACCTCAAGCGACATTCTGCCCTGCATAATCGTTCTCAAAATGATGCCTCCCTGCCCTGCGACTTTTGCCATGCCACATTTTCTCGCCCGGATTTACGGAATCGTCACATGAAAAGGAAGCATCCAGATCAGGAAGATGGTCGGATAACTAAGAGAAAACATGGCGTTGCGCAGGCGCGGCCACGAGCTTCTCAGAAGGGCTCATCTCCTAGGGAGAATTCTGCTTCGCTATCGCCAACGGACAGCCATAATGACTTGCAGTCGCATCACTCTGAAGGAGACTTTGGAATGAATAGTGGAATTTGGAACGCCCCCGCACCATATGAGCAACGCCCTTCCGACTTCGGTTCTCAGCGAGACCATGCGGAGAGCAGCCATCGTGCAGCTACTGCTTCTTTGGCACAACCATTTCTGAGCGATTCCACATGTATCAACCAGATTGTCCAAGAGGCAACAGATCTTGAGCAGAGCATACTTCTCGGCGCACCCTTCCTAAAACCAACACACTCCTTTGGCCTACAACTTCATCAACCGGGCCCCGCACACTCCATTGGCCCAAATTTGACAGGCATCGAATCCAGCCACAGCTCCCCGGACAAAATATCATCCCATGACCTACTGGAAGCGCAGGGTGACTGGTTTCCTTCTATTCTTCAGATCGAACGCGGATGCGACCTTTTTTTCAGACACGTTTCGCCATATGTACCTTTTCTTCACCAGCCAACCTTCGATCCTTCACAAACCGCCCCCATATTAATTCTAAGCATGCTTTCGCTCGCGTTTCAACACGGAGACGACCCAGAATGTGGGAGTCAAATAGGTTCGGGCGCTGCTTTATCTGTACATTGTTTTCACCGCGCCCGTTTTCTCGCAATTTCCGGCGATGCAAGATCCGATATGCCACCGCAAGACATTGCCATGGTCCAATCATACCTACTCCTTCAAATCTGTGCCATGATGTTCCTTTGCGGAAAGGACTCAGCCCACGGCCTAAAGATGCACTCCAGTATGATTTCCCTCGCCCGAGCCGGGGGACTTATGCAGCCGAATGCAGTTGAGCCCTCAACAGCCACAGATCTCGACTCATTGTGGCGCGAATTTGCAAGAGCCGAATCACATAAACGAACACTCTTTGCCGTACACCAGGTCGACGCCCTTTGGTATCAATTCCTATCTATCCCGCGATCTATATCACACCTCGAAATTAAACACGACTTGCCCTGTCCTGAAGACCAGTGGAAATCAACCTCATCAGCGGAGTGGGCTCACAGACAACTCGTTTCAAGGAATTCCGGGCCTTCGGTACAATACGCCGATGCCGTTCGCCAATTCCTATCGGCGGACCCGGATCTCCAAGATTTGCCATCCTTCGATCCGTACGGCGCTGTCAATATTGCGCAGTTTCTCATATCCAGCGCCCGTGAGATATCGGGATGGTCTACGATGACGGGAATGCTTAGTATGGAGAGATTCAGTGCTTTGAGGTCATCACTAATAGCACTGGGCCCATTTGTGCGTCCAGAGGTGCATACGGGAGATCTCACCAATCTCGCACTGTGTGAAGCAACCTGGCAAACCGCCATGATCGAGATACAGCTTTGGTCGCCCTCACATACTGGCGGAATTGTGGAAGGAAGCATCGATGCCGTTCTGAGCCAGTCGACATTTTTGGCGCCGTCGGCAGAGTTCCTTTGCGAGCCTGAAACTGCAAAGTCTGTTCAGCCTCACGTTGACTGGTTTTTGCGATATCTTGAGGCAGTGGTTTTGCCGGGATCAGAAGCACCCTGGGTCGCCCTGTACGCGTACAAAGCCTTCTTAATAGCATGGCAGCTGGTACGAGGGGGTATTCCAGGCGCGATGGAAGTCGTGGGCGTTGCTGATGGCGATGAGAATGGAGCCCTTGAATGGGCGAGAAAAGTCTTTCTACGCAGACAGAGATGGCAGTTGGGCAAACTTATTCTGGAATGTATTGATGCATTAGGGAAATGAGGCTACTATATGGAGGAGGCTTTGCTTTCTACTACTGAAACATTATATATCAAATCAAGTTTCCGTTAATGAATAGCTGAAAAGCTTTGATGAATACAATAAATAACACAGGAATTTCGTAACATGCTTATAAAATCAGTACTAATACATTTCGTACCGCCAGTTGAGTTGGACCATTTCTTCCGTGACACCGCCCTTCATAGCCTTCGCAATGAGTACTTCCTCTCCAGAGTCAAGACGCTTATTTTCACGCAGTATCAACCAGCGGTAAACGGTGATAGTGATGGCGAACAAAAAGGCAGCACCCATAAGAGTTCCAAAGGCAGCATAGAAGTGTGGAGAGGAGTAATATAGATAGGAAGCCCAGATGTTGGAGGTACCACCAATCGCATTGACCAAAGCCGAAGCAGCAGCACGCTTAGAGACTGGTCGGGCCAGGTGCAAGTTGATGGTCTTGTAGAGAAGCAGTTGTGGACCGACGGAGGCGAAAGGTAAAATCATCATCGAGAAGTATCGTGCGCCGGTATTGAGGGTCGCCATCTGGATCACGTACATGACGATTGCGATGGCGATACAAACAAGGATCAAGGGATAGACCGTGTTCTTCCGATCGGAGTAAAACATGACCCAGTAATAGACAATGCCAGCGAGGATATAGGGAGGGGCTGTAAGCAAGAGACTGATCGTGCTGTTGAAGTTCAAGGAACCAACAAGGGTAGGGAAATAGTTGGCGATAGACCCCTGTGTCTGGGACATCATGTTGCAGAAGATTAGCAACAGTAGTTTCGGATCAGACAGTGCCTTGGCAAAGCCACGTAGAACAGTTTCATTCTCCGAAGCCTCTGCGGCACCTGACTCAGATTCGATACGCCAGACAGCGAGGTCGCGTTCCACCTGGGAAAGGATACGGCTGTTATGAGGGAACTCGGGCATGATGCAAGCACAAATGACACCAACACCGACCGTGACACTGCCCTCGATGATAAAAAGCCATTGCCAGCCAGCGATACCGTGTGCGCCATCTAGTTGGAGAATAGCCGCGGCGAAGAGTCCACCGAAAGCGTTTCCAACTTGTTGAGCGATATAAAGACCAGCAATACGCTTGCCGAGTTCCGTCTTTGTGTACCAAGCCGAGAGATAATAGATCGCACCGGGGAAGAAGACCGCTTCTGCAGCACCGAGAACGGCACGCACGGCAAGGAGCTGACCGTACGTCTTCACTGCTGCTGTTGCGGCCGATATACAACCCCAGATAGCGACAGCAGCACAAATATACATTCCCGGTCGAGAAATTTTCGTAATGATAAGATTGCTTGGGATTTGAAAAGGAAGGTAACCGACGAAAAGAATCGAGACTGCAGTGGCGAATTGTTGAGTGTCCATGTTGAGATCATCCATGATTCCCTGCAGCTTGGCAGCAGCCAGGTTCTGACGATCGATATAGTTGAGAATATAGAGAATGCTGATGGTTGGTAGAACGAAGAGATCGACCTTGCGGACAAGCTTCTTGTTCAAGGCCTTCATTTCATCTTGACCAAGATCACGAAGGGAATCTGGCATCCGACGGTAAGCAGCATCGGTGATGTCGACCTGCCCTTCAGTGGTCGACAGCTTGTCGTCAGTCGCAGACGACATGGGTCGTTTCTTGGTATCCATGCTGACTGACATCTTGAAGAGGTCTTAGATGTAATCAAACCGATGGATGGGGTGATTGTTGTGAAAAAGCTCAGTAGGTCCGGTGAGCAGGCAATGACTCTCTTAACAGCTCCTCCCGTCAATGCTGATCTATATAACCAACACGCGGCAGACAACCGTTATCTAACCTCTAATCTCGGGAAAGAATCCGCTAGAAGTCTTAGCAAGGAGTAGCCGACTAATGATCGCGAGTTCTTTGCAATTGACCTTGACTCATTGATTCACAGTCTGATAGCCGGTCGAGACAGCAGTAGATAAGGACAGGGAGGAGCGCCCAAACTGATATCACAGCCCAATTGGAGCTAATCCCCGGATGGTCCGTGTCATACTGCAGATCTGGGGTACAGCTGAGGTGGACCGGGAGGAGTGTAGTGCATAGTTAGCGGGTCTGAGTAGTGTCTGGGCGGAGGTTGTCAAAGTTGAGTTTGGGGGGAGCTCCTCCCGCAGATAAGCGGAGTGGGACTCGCCTGAGGTGGCGATGTGCCCTACTTACCCAACTAGGACGAGACAGTGCATCTATGGAACTCCAATTCTCCAAAAATGGAGGGGCAGTTGAGCCCCGCGAAGATGGAGAGCTCTCAAGAATTATTTGGGCTACTGAGGTAATACGTGTTCGAAATGGAGAATTGCTCATCGCTACTAAAGCATACTTATTCACGCGCATTCTCGTACTATCGTACTATCTTCACTTCAATCCCATTCCTACCTACTCTCTTAATCTCAATCACCGAGAAGATCAACACAAATTCAATCTCAACCCGCAAAAATGAGCTACCCTACCGCACACACTACCCAGATTCAGAACTCTCGTCTGAGGGTTCTGAACAAGCTCAAGTCGGGCGAGTTCCCCTTGATGACCTTCATGGCCCTCCCCTCTGTTCGCGCGGCCCAGATCGTGTCATTGACCGGTGTTGACGGTATCATCATCGACTGCGAGCACGGCCACATCGGAGACGAAGCGATGCACAACTCTGTCGCAGCTATTTCAGCCCTCGGCGTCTCCCCCGTCATCCGAATCCGCGGTCCCGCCCACGACATTCTCAAGCGTGCGCTCGACACTGGCGCCCACGGCATTATGGTCCCACAAATCAACAACGCAGACGAGGCACGACAGGTGGTCGCCTCATCTAAATTTCCCCCTCAGGGAGTTCGCGGTCAAGGATCCGCTTTCCCAGCCATTGGACACGGCCTCACCACCCCCGAGTACATGAAGTCCGCCAACGAGACAATCGTGACCATGATCCAAATAGAGACGCGCGCTGGAGTTGAGAATGTTGAGGAGATTGCTGCTGTGGATGGTGTTGATATGATCTTCATCGGTCCTAACGACCTTGCCCAGTCGCTTCTCGGATACACCCCCGCCCGTGGCGATGAGCCTGAGTTCGTTGCTGCCGTTGACAAGATCATCAACGCCGCCCGCAAGCAGGGCAAGTGGGCCGCTCGCATGGTGAACAATGGCACTACTGCGAAGGAGGCGCGGGAACGCTACGACACAGTCGCTATTACTGGTGACACCAAGGCCATTCAAAACTGGTATATGGCTGAGTTCGAAATTGCTCGGTCATAAGGGTGGATGGAGCTGCCACAGCATTATGTGAAAGAAAACTTATAGATATAATGAAACATCTTCTTCGCTTCAAATCGCGCATCTCTATTTGGGCCATGGTCACGATTGTCTCGTTGGCGGATTTTACGTATTTCAAGGTAGCGATAGCGCGACTATTTGAAGGTTATTCCCAGTGACTCGGATGAGACTGCAAGGTTTCTGTGAGCATCATCAGCTATAATTCGCACAGGTTCTGGTACGGTGACATCTTCTGTTTCTCCTTTCATCTTGATTTAGATAAATTCTCAGGAAAAGAAATAAATGAGGAAGTAGAGAAAGCATTATCTCGCCATGGCTGATCGATACATTCCACGTCCAATTTATCCGTTCAAGACTGCAAGCAAGCAGGCGGTCCGGTTCTTGATTCAGGGACAGTATGACCCGGAACTGGTCTACGGTACTGAGTATGTCATATATCGACTAGATTCTCCATTCGCCGCGCCACTTCATCCAACGATGAATGGGTGGCTGAGAAGCTCAGCGGTTGATTTTCGATCTTCCGCGCATTCCTGTAACATTGCCCAAAGCAAGTTGGCAAGGTTCTCCGATTCCTCTTCGCCAAAATCAGGTGGAATCTTCTCACGAATATGCAAAGCAAATTGTAGAATGCCACCCTCAAAAAGATCATGCATGAGAGATCGCAGAATCCTATCAACTTCGTCCTTAGTACAACCAAAACTCTCTATCGGAAAGAGCGCTTCGTTGGTGGTAAGTTGAAATATCTGTATCCAAGGCTTAGAAAATGATAAAAAGTAAGATAACAAGCCTACCAGACAACCCAGAGCCCATATATCCACCTTCTGATTCCAAGAGTGTTGGATTAGTAACTCAGGTGCTTTTAAAGCGACCGGTGTTACAGGAGAAGCATTATATTGTATGTTCCACAAAGCTATTGTAACAGTCAATACTCTATAGCGTTGAAAATAATAGTGGGGGTCGGACCTCCGCCCATATCGCCAATCTTGACTTTAAGCGCTGAGAACGCTACATCGTCTAACATTCCGCGGGGACGTTGCGAGCTCACAAGATACCGTGGTGCACTATTATCAGCCTCAACTCCTGAGAGCCATTGAACATAGCTGAGTTCAGGCTCGATCAATATTTCGCTTGAGATGTTAGAGTTCACAGTGAACAATATATTAGCTGGTTGGAGGTCTATCCGGTATCAGTATTTGGGAAGCTTTTCGTCGTCAGAGATACATACCTCCGTGGATCAAACCCTGATCATGAATAAGATTCAACCCCTGTAGTAATTGTTTCGAAATCTCGCGAACATAATCTGGGTAGCGTGGCCTTTCTCGAACAGTCATCGCTTCGCCATCAGATATCATAACTGGGAAAACGAGACAAAGGTGCAAGCCGTTGGGACCCCTATGCTCAAAATGGTCCAATAATTGCAAAACATTATTTCTTCCTGGGCAATCCGTACTCGTTTTCGATAGATGAAGGAGAATAGAGAGCTCTTGGCTACCACATGAAACATTGGCTTTGAGAATCTTCAGCGTCACATATTTTTGAAGCCTGGTAAAGAAAGGCGTAAGGTTGACAATACAATCATAGGAATTAAAGATGAAGCAAACTGTACCTTGTGTCTTTGGCGAGCCAAACTGTAGAAAACTGGCCAAAGGCCCATTTTCCGATGACCTGATACCTGTGGTGAAAAGTGTCCTCGAGGTGGACCGGGTGATAGCCTCCAGCGCGGTACTCCTCAACAGGTTCAACGACATCATAAATCCGTTCGAAGCGGCGCATTCTTTTCTCTCTCGGTAGCAACAATAAGATGGTGATGCTACGCGATTTTGTGTTGCAAGCGAGAGGGCAGAACCGAAGGGAACAGGTTGACTTCGAATGCCTACAATCACGTGATTCAATATCAGTCAGCCACTGGCGATCTTGAGGCAAAAACTTGTCAGTTTGCGTATGTGACTTGGATTAAGTGGCAAGTGGCTCTCTTAGTGCCTTCTTTAATATAAGTGGTGGCACCAGTTTCGGGACGGACTGTAGTATTTCCAGCGGGACATGTAACTACGTACCATGAAAATAGTCTTGTGAAAGACACTGGGCAGTCTTAGTGGCTAAGCTCAAAGATAGCTGGTGCAATCAAGTGAGACCTATTATTATACTGGCACATAGTTTGATCTGCCAACCGACTATTTTTTATTGCATAAGTTCACTAGTCGATCTTGTATAAGAATGCTCATATAATTTTGATTTATTTTATTATTTGTCTATCAATCGTAACTTCTAAACTCGATCCTTATGCCTGAGCAATGCACTCGATCTCGATGACGGTTCCGTTTCCAGGGGGAACGGCCTGGAGGCAGGATCGAGAAGGCATGGGCTGAGGGAGGAAATCGATGTAAACCTCGTTCATAGCCGCGAAGTCCTTCATATCGGCTAGGTAGACATTGTACTTGACAACTTGCTCGAGAGAGGAGCCAGAAAGCTCGAGGACCTCCTTGAGGTTCTGCAGGACGGTGCGCTAGAACAGAGATGAAATTGTTAGATATCGTGCACGCGCTGGTGAGGTAGCTGATCACCGGATCAAACTTACAGTCGCCTGCTTGATCTCACCGGTGGCTGTTTGGCCGGCACAGAAAACGAGACCGGGAACCTTAGTCGCGGGGCCTAGAGAATTGAGAATTGATTAGATGTGTCTCCAATAATTCAGCGCAAGTAGCGTGTGAATCTAACTCACAGTTGTGCGGCTTGGTAGGGAACTTTTCGCTGGAGATGAGCTGGCGAGACATTTTGGTATATGGTAGAGAGATTGAGGAAGAATTGGAGATGAATATTTTCGAGATAGAAGTTTGAATTGGGTAAAAGGAAAAAAGTTCATGATCTCGGTTTAAATTGTATATCTATTCTACCCCTCCCCCACCTGACGATAGCAGTTTGCCGACAGCTTCAAAGGAGGGGCAATTCTCCAAAACCTGTGGAGGAGCTCGTAATCGGCGAATGTCCGACTCGGCCTAGAATACTCAAATGTGAAGCGTCGTTGTTCTATCTGAGACACTACGGATGTGGCTTGAGCCTTATTGGGAGGAGTGGGAGGAGCACCTCCCACTCCTCTCACTCTCCTCCCATCCCATGCCCCACTCGCCGCACGTCGCAGATCGATTTCCTTTGTCGGCTAGCATCGACCACAGAATCTTATTTTTGCTTTATCTCCGCCTGATAGTCTGCATTGATCTAATCAGGAGGAGCTCGCCATAGAGATAGGAGGTCAGCTGGGGAGTCCCACAACTCTATGCGGAGGAGCAGATGAGGTTATGCACAGCAGTTTCATTAGGGCCCTCCTAGAGCCATGGAACCGGAATGAGGAGAGAAGTCAATGTCGATTGGGTCTTGTGCTCCTCTGGTCCAAACAAGGAGCTCGCAGACGGCCTGGGGCTCGAAGACTGTATCGCGGCACGATTAGCAAAATTAGTTCCGGGTCGTATCATCACCCGATTCAATTAGGATATAAGACGCTATTCAACCGGAGGGCTAGAATTGGCTCTAGTTGCAACAACAATTTTCCCATTCTCAACATTCAAGATATAGTATTCAATAATGGCAGTCGCAGCCCCTTTCAACCCTCCATCAGCCAACCTTCCTGGCAAGCCCACTGTGGCACAATGGGTCCCTCCCCCAGTCACACAAGAGAAGGAGAACTTTGCTACACTCCAGTCGATCGATCTATCCTTACTGGACTCGGAGGATCCGGCTGTTGTCGATGCTCTCATTCAACAAGTGAAAACTGCCATCCGAGATGATGGTTTTCTTTTCCTGGAGAACTATGGTGTTTCCCTAGAGCAGGTAAATAACTACGACATATTCCCAAAATGGGTCCCAACATTCAGTCTCTAACACCCATTCTCGCCAATAGTTGCATCGCCAATTTGGTATCGCACAGTATATGTACGACAACATAACCGAGGAGGATAAGGAACGTCTTCTATTTGACCCCGAAAGTGGCATGTGGTCTGGTTACAAACACCCATACGGATTCAAGGTAAGAGAGCTATCCACCTGGGCAGATATGCGAGTAAATGGACACGAGTTCTAACGAGCATGCCACTGGTAGCGTCAACGTGGACCCGCCGATGGAATCGAACAATTCAATTGGTATAAGAGAGACTGGGAAAACATCGAGAACCGCGTTCCGACCTGCCTACATCCCCTGATGGACGAAGTTGAGGCTTTTGCCAACTACCTGACCAAGTCCGTCAACCGAAGACTTCTTACCTTATTCTCGCGCGTCCTTGAGTTGCCCGATGACTACCTGTGGGACAACGTTCAATCTCACGGATGCCCAACTGGCGAGGGATATTTCCGTCACGCGCTATTCCGCCCAGTCAAGAAGGAGACACAAGAAGCGTCCAAGGGACTACGTATGCATGGACACACTGACTTCGGTCTGACTACTCAGCTGTTCTCCGTCCCTATCTCTTGTCTTCAGATCTGGGGCCGTGATGAACAGTGGTACTATGTTCCCTACAAGCCCGGTGCTCTGGTGATCAACATCGGAGATACTCTGGAGATCGTGTCTGGTGGGCATTTCAAGGCTACTCGCCACCGTGTTTACAAGCCACCCGCCGACCAACTTACCCAGGAGCGTCTCTCGCTAGTCCTTTTCAACAGTTCGCTCGGTGACCTTCGCATGGGACCTGCCACTGGTAAGTGCCACAAGCACTTTATTTCGTTGATTCAAATAGCTGGATGCTTACCAAATCCTCCTTTTTCTTCTAGATTCACCCCTGATTCAACGTGAAGGATGCGTCGAAGAGCAAGGTGTGTACAAGGAATTCAAGAGGCTCACATCCGAAGGCAAGCTCGTGCCCACAAACAAGCAATGGCGCGAAATTCAAATTGCTACTGCGACGGATCCTACCGACCAAGTACACAACCGTGTTGGTGTTCATCAAGTTATGATTGATGGTAAGATCATGCACCAGAGAGAATACATGGGTGTCAAGGTTGTTCTGCCTGTATAGAGGACATCGTGGACTTTTGTTACGATCTAAAGACGGGACTATGGGATGCCGGTGCGCTATGAACATAGGGAATTTGAAGGAAACAATATGTATCATTGATTATTTAGCATGCAATTTACGATTTGTGTTTTTCTCAGAAATTCTTCAAGCCGATGGCGTGGATTTCATTGATAGTATGCCTCGGTCCCTTCCGTGCTATGGGAATCTGCAGGTTTTGGACATAACTGAATATTTGTGTAAGAGATCGATTCCAATCATTATGAGGGGCCAAGACAACAAAAACATGCCATAGACCTTTTACTTTGATCTCCTTTATAAATCGGAAAATCGGAAAATTGTCAGCGAAAAGACAGGCTCAGTCGTTCCGGCTAATTTGCCCACTCCAGCCCGCTTGGCTCGGGAGAATGACTACCGACCGGAGACACCCAAATATCCGACCGAATTTATCCACCCACGCATTCACACTAAAATATTTGAAATTAATTTGATATCTCAGTTTGCCTAAATTAAAGCTACATTTTATTTCTTTGTTAACCAAAATCATCTACATCGACGATCGAACACACGCTCCCAGAGACGCGACGTTAACCCCGCATCTCCCCGCAAACATAGCACCACCTCAAAACGACATCGAGAAAATCCCCCAGAGGACCCCCAAAATGCCTTTCCCAATAGTTGACTCGCATATACACCTATTCCCAGCATCCCATCTCCCAACACTAGCCTGGAACACCACAGATGGCCCCTTAAGTGCGCAACACAGCGTGGACCAATACCGACATGCGACAACCAGCGTCCCCGCCGCACCGAATTCCAGCAATGACAAGTATTTAAGAGGATTCATATTCCTGGAAACAGACCGCATTTCCTCGACTGAAGAATCAACATCGGAATCCTCAAATGCTCCAGGCTGGAAACACGCCCTCGACGAAGTATCCTTCTTATCGCGCATCGCGCAGGGGAAGCCCGCCAACGGCGAAGGACACCTAGCCGCTGATAAAGATATTTGCCTTGGAATTGTTCCCTGGGCCCCCGTACCCGGTGGGCCTAGTGCCTTGAAAGCGTACGTGGAAAAGGTCAAGGAGAGGACGGAGACGGCGGAGGTCTGGCGCAAGGTGTGCGGTGTGAGATATTTGGTTCAGGATAAGCCTTCCGGGGTCATGCTTGAACAAGGATTTATTGACGGGCTGTGCTGGTTGGGGAAACAGGGGCTTGCTTTTGACTTAGGGGTTGATGCGAGACAAGGTGGACTCGGTCAATTGCGAGAGGCTGTTGAGATGATAGAGAGGGTGTCCAGTGCCGCGAGGGAAAGTGGTGAGACGGCAGTAACTATTGTGATCAGTGAGTTTATCCAATTGCGCAGTCGAGTGGTTGATGCTGATATTTTGGTAGACCACCTTTGCAAGCCTAATCTTCGACTTGCGACCGACTCTCTTACTGCACACCCTGAGTATGTGGAATGGAAGGACTTGGTCACCCGTATGGCTCAAGCGAGTCCCGCGAATTATATGAAGCTTTCTGGGGTTTTTTCTGAGATTTTACCAGTGTCGTCGGAGGATGAGGTCGATATCAATGGCCTAGCTAGTCAAATTCAACCTTGGACAGATGTCGTATTCGACGCCTTTGGCCCCAACCGTGTGATGTTTGGCTCTGACTGGCCCGTGGCCAACATCGGGGGTGGCGGAAATAATGTCGCTTGGAGCCGGTGGATCAGGGTTGTTGAGACTATTATAGACCGAAGAGGACTGACGGAAGAAGCAAAGGAGGGAGTTTGGGGACAAGTAGCAGCCAAGGCTTATGGTATTCGGCTATAATATAGAAAATTCTTATTTTTTTTATCATAAGGTGAATAAATCATGCAATGCCAATTTTACTGCAGATTAACAAATAGTCCACCGTCAACGAGGAGCTGCGCACCAGTCTATACGCAGAAATGATTAGCAGATGCATCCCTCAGAGGAAACACGGGGGGGGGAAATTCACCACATAGCTACTCAGCTCCTCACAGGCCAGGAACACCGCTGGTCCTGCCAGATCACGCGGTTGACCAAGTCGACCCAATGGGATACGCCCTTCCATATAAGTACGCTTCACTGGATCCGCCATATCGGCATCATTAAGCTGAGTGCGGATGGTACCGGGGAGCAACGCGTTACAGCGGATGCCATATTTTCCCAGTGCAACTGCGGTTGACTGCATCAGACTTAGCACACCAGCCTTAGTCGGGGTATAATGAGTTTGCTCGCCGCCGCCAACAAGCGCTGAAATGGAACTAATGCCGATAATGGAGCCACCGGGCGGGGACTGAGCCTGTGCCATTTGACGGGCGGCGGCTTGTGTAGCGAAGAAGGCACCGGAAAGGTTGGTAGAGACGGTGTGGTTGAGAAGAGAGGGCTCAAGCCTGTTCAAAAACATCAGCAAATTGAGAATAGACTTTGATCTGGACGAGGGCGAGGGCCCTACTCAAGGAAATCGGCAAACTGGCATACGCCTGCGTTGCTGACGAACACGTCTAGTCGGCCAAAGGCCTCGACGGTTTTCGCGACAAAATTACGCCCCGTCTCTGGCTGTGAAATATCTCCTGATACTGTGATGAATCGACTCTTGTCTGCACCAGCTTCGATCTCGTTGATTTCTTTGCGCAGAGATTCTAGCAAGTCGTCTTCCTTGGGTCCGCCGAGGTGACTGATTGCAACTTTGGCTCCATGTCGAATATAATCGAGTGCAATTGCCTGGAGGGGGACGATCAATACAATGGCCAGAGCGTGGATGTCGCAGCTGCAGAATAATAGGCACACTTACCCGTCCAATACCGGTTAAACCGCCAGTGATGGCAGCAACTTTGCCAACAAGTAATTGAGGAAGGGACATGGCAGTTTTGTAGATACTCAATTTGAACTCGCAAAAGGGTTTCCGGACTCCAATGTTCGATGCGCTTGATTTAAAGCGAGAAGGTTGTTAAACGTGTCGAGAACCTGACAGCTGGAACATCCCACCCTCGCGACGCATTTTCTCGCCCCGCCGATAAGATCTCGGGGTCTCGCGATGATGTTCGCCCGAGTGTGGGGTTGCTTCCCCACACCGAGGGGCAGCGGTCCTCCGTGTGGCCGGCAACTCCGAGGCGCGTGCCGGAGGAGAATCCCCTGTGATTTGTGGAATTGAAATGACGCCGTCGCAGGGTTTCAGCCGTGGTAGGTCGTATTTTTACTGCTAAGGAAGGGCTTGAACAATTTTCTGCCTCGAAAAGAAACATCACACTAGGTGGCTGTTTTTTTTATCCGGAACGTTTCGGTCTATTGGATTGAATGGGTAATGCTATTTATGTACATGGACATCGTGATAGAACGATTCATCAAAGGCAGATAAACATGGGAAATGTTTGAAAGTGGAAAAAAGTCGTCAAGATGGCCGCACTTAGGCGGAAGAGCCGTTGATGGCCTGCTCGTCATCCGGAGCCCGAAGAGCCTTCTGGGGCGCAGGGTTCAGCAGGGTGGCTCCTGAGATGAGAGGTGCCGCAGGGTTAAGCTCAAGACCAAATCCAGGCTTATCAAGAATCGAAACATCAAGGTATCCGTTGACAGGGATGGGCTCATTGGTGAAGAGGTTACCGAAGACGGGCAGGACGGACTTGCCATCAGGAGAATTGGCCAGGTATTCTTGGAAGGGGCTGTTGGACTGGGAGACGACGAAGTGGTAGGAGTAGGGTCCGGAGGCATGGGGAACGACGGGGATATCGTAGGCAGCAGCAAGGGCAGAGACCTTCAGAAGCTCAGTCAAGCCACCAAGCCACATAACATCAGGCTGGATGATATCGAGGTTACGGCCTTCAACCAGCTTGCGGAAACCATAGCGAGAGAACTCGTGCTCGCCAGTGGTGAACTTAACAGTAGGGTGAGCACGCTTCAGCAGAGCGTGACCATCGAAGTCATCGGGAGTCAGGCACTCTTCCCACCAGTCAATGTTCAGACCCAACTGCTCAGTGCGCTTTACCAGCTCAATAGTATAGGGGACGGTAAGAGACATATAGCAGTCAACACGCAGAGGGAAATCAGGGCCAACGCTAGCCCGCTGCAGACGAAGATACTCAACGTTCTTGAGCAGACCATCGGTGCCCTCGTCAGGACCGTGGGGAAGAGCCACCTTGGCACCAATAAAGCCAGCAGACTTGGCAGACGCAGGCTGGGGTCCGGTGCAGTAGAAGTCAAGACGCTCGCGAGTCGCACCACCAATGAGCTTATAGACAGGCTCATTGCGGATCTTTCCCTGCAGATCCCATAGGGCCAAGTCAATGACCGAGATCACGGCCACAGGCAGACCCTTACGGCCGTAGAACATAGAGGCCCTGTACATTTTCTCGAACAAGTTGTTGGTATCACGGGGGTCTAATCAAAATCAATCCAGCATGTTAGCAATGCCAATGCATCACGAAAGCGTCGAGACAATCTCATACCTGCGCCGATAAGGAAGCGCTCAAAGTGCTGGTGAGTAAGCCAGCAAGCAGGGGGGGCCACCGAAACCGGTGGCGAAACCCTTAGTACCATCTGTGGCCTCGATCTCAACGCAGAAAGAGCCCAAAACATTGATTCCCCAGGAAGTGCGCGAGCCGCGGTACTCCGCCCACTTGGTCATGGGAGTGGAGATGTTGCTGTCGATGAGCCAGTGGCCACCTTTGACCTGGGGAGGACGTTAGTTCTTTGCCCAGGTGGTTTCTTCCAATCTTCGCCAATGCTATTTTTTCCTGGGTAGTTCTTACATTGTGGTAATCACCGCCGGAGCCGACACCATCGATGATGAAGGTGCGGATCTCCTTGATGCGGGGAAACTCGGTACAACCCATGATGGCGTGTGGAAGAATGGAAAAAGACACAAGAAAGGGAGTTCAATGCAGAACTTCAATTAAAATAGGGAAACAGAGATGAGAAAGAAAAAGGAGAAACTCCGAGAAAACGTGGGGGAGCAACACTTTTTCAAAGCGGGCAAAGTTGTGAGGGGACCGAGGGCTTCGGTGCTGGCTGACCCGAGGGGCGAACGCCAAGTCCAGGGCAGCCACAACAGACCGAGAGGTTATAGCAGTATTCTGTATGATATAAATGGCCGATGGTGTTCTCGGACGAGTTGTAGCGAAAATAATAGCATCAGTCCGGTTGGAAATACTATTTTGGCCTACGTCACGAAATAACTGCGAATCGATAGCCTAGTATCTGGTGTATAGAATAGCCAGGGAGATAGATATACCTACTACTAGTACTACTACACTACTACTGTAATACTTAAATATTGAATCAAATACAGTGATTCCCACTAATTTGAACTCTATTATAGAACGAAACTCAACTATTATCACAGCGTGAGTGTATCCCTGCTGCCCGTACCTGTTTTCACGTGCCCAGGTGGAAATTGCGGGGTGCCCCGGTTTCTGCCTCAGGCCGCAGTCCAGTGACTTTCCCCCCCAAACTTCTTCCTTCCTCTTTCTGCTTCCTCGGCCCTGACTTGCCTGGATCTTCTCGGACTATCTGCGATTCTCTCGGCCTCAACCCGCTCATCCTACCGCGATTCAAACTAGACCCGCGTCATGGTGTGACCCCCGCTAGCTTCGTCTGCAGGTCCGGCCTATCTCGCTATAGCAAAATGCCGAACGATGCTTCCGCCCACTCTCTGCCCCCCCGGTTACAACTTGAACCTCGGGGATCCCGAGAGAGATCAGAGCCCCGCTGAGTACTCTTCTGGTCTCGACTCAGATAACGATGCTCTCACCGTCAATGGCTCCAGTGGCTCGCGAGCGCTGAAACGGAAGCGTCCCCTCACTGTCTCGTATGTGTCCGAGTCGATGGTGCCGCACTTGCGACCACCCCGACGCACGCTGATCAGTTGACCATATGAACTAACTGCCTTAAGGTGCGAACTCTGCAAGCAAAGAAAAGTTAAATGCGGTAAGTCGTGCCAAGCAACGTCAATTTCGGTCTGCGACGTGCGACGGAATCTGACTGGCCTATTGAATCAAACAGATCGAGTACAGCCCAGTTGTGGCTGGTGCACTCGCAATGGCCATCTTTGCCAGTACAAAGAGCGCAAGAAGCCAGGCCTGAGAGCTGGATATGGAAAGGAATTAGAGCAGCGTCTTGGTACGTACTCGGCCATCTCTCCATTCTGCCGAGGTCTAACCGCGCCTGTCGCTAGATCGACTGGAAGATATCATTCAATCTCAAGCTCGCCTTATCGAGATGCATATCCTGCAGAATCAACCAACTTTGCGTCATGATATGCGACATGCCGGATCAATTGCATACAGCTCGCCCTCGGAGCCCTCAGCCGTGCACGGCCCAAGCCCTCGAGGCGCCCTCTATTTCAACGATCCCAATTCGTCGGTAGCGCTACCATCTCGTCACGCCGAGGTATCCATCACGACGCCTTCGGATTCATCGGTTAAGAATCTGGTGTCCAACAGTATACATAATGGTGGGTCAGCGTCGGCGATAAATGCATTGCCACCAGCACCCAATGCGCATAGCAACGACTACACTGGAAACGAGTCATCTTTGGAAGTCCCGGTCAGCCTTTTCGCCAACCAAGAACAGTCTCTCACGGATCCTGATCTTGATCTGCCTCCATACGATCTGCTCTACGCATTAGTGGATCTTTACTTCGACCATATCAATTCTTGGTGCCCCATTCTCCATCGACGATCAACGCTGGACACCTTCTTTGGTCCATCCCCGCTTGAAGAAGACGATCGCATGGTCTTGTATTCCATTGTGGCAACAACCCTACGGTTTTCAACAGACGCCAGATTGAATGGACAAAATCGAAAGCGTTACCATGACTCCTCGAAGCAAAAGGTCTTGCTTTATGGACTAGAAAATTCGTCCGTTAAAGCTCTCCAAGCGCTAGTAATCTTAGCATTGGATCTGGTCGGCTCATCCAATGGCCCTCCTGGATGGAAGCTGCTTGCTTTGATCACGAGGTCTGTAGTCCAACTCGGACTAGCAGTTGAATCAAAGTCCTCTCTCATTGCTCCTGTATATCCATCGATCTATACTCTACGCGCCGTTACCTTGTCCGAGCCAGATTCATGGATCGAAGACGAGAGTAGACGCCGCTTGTTTTGGATGGTATATCTTTTAGACCGATATTCGACAATTGCGACGGCATTTGATTTCGCCTTGGATGACAAAGACATCGACCGCAAACTCCCTTGCAAAGATGAGTTCTTTATGAAGAATCAGCCGGTAGAGACAAGACGCTTCCACTGCTCTAGTGACCGAACCGACTATCTCAGTCATGCGGATAATGTTGGATCGTTTGGTCTATATATCGAGATCTTGGGCATACTTTCCCGTGTTCACGTATTCTTAAAGAGGCCCGTAGATATTGGGTCTCTAGCCGATGTCGAAGAATGGCAGGCAACCTATCGAAAACTCGACAGTGAGCTCACCTCCTGGGAATTCAACTTACCCGCCGAGTATGCATATGAGAACTCCTCCCGGCTTTTCAGCGGGTCAAAGCAAGGTCGGACTTTACACAGTGATTGGGTCCAACTTCATGCAACCTACCAAACGTGAGTCTCATTTAGAGAACCCTATGATAAAAAACAAAATCACACCTTGGCTTCATGCTAACAGTTCCCAGTGCCGTAATCCGCCTACACTCATCCGCCGCATATCCAACAACTAGATCCCCGATATTCACACCGTCATACAGCGCAAGCCAGCGATGCCTCCTCGCAGTCGACAACATCCTCTCAGTAACCCGCTTCGTCGTCGAAAACAACCTCCTTGACAAACTAGGACCCCCTTTTGCCTTCACCCTCTGGGTCTCAGCCCGTCTCCTCCTCGTCCACGGCTCCACAATCGCCCACACAGTCAGCGCAGACATAATCTTCTTCGTCGACACACTCGCCCACATGGGCCAACACTGGAAAGTAGCCGAACGCTACAGCAATATCCTCCAACGCGTCCTAGACGAATACGGCGAGTACCAACAATCCGCCGCCCTCGACGCCGAAAGATCCACACCATCAACAGTAAAGATCCTAGCTGATATGCGTCGCTGCGCATTCGACCTGGACTTCTTAATCTCCCGTCAACCCCGCGAATCACCCTCCACGGCAAGTATCGGCGGCAACGATCCAACACGCTCCTCTACCTCCGGCCTGGCCCCGCGAAACCTCGCACCGAATGAGTTGGAATACCTGGATGTATTCGGATTTTTCAACGTCCCTCGCGTCCCACCGACACGAGCCCCAGATCCAGCGGCTGCAGCTGTACAGCAGCTGGAAATGACCGAGTCTATACAAAATCCCATGTCCATTCATGGCTTGACAAGTACGACCCCGGTCGTTGATGGACATGCCCCCGTCAACACGAATGAGTTCAATATCACAAATTATCTCATCCCGACGCCGGAAACGGATTGGCTATTCAGGCCAAATGGTTGAATTTAATTGACGACCCCTAGTTTCCTGGTTTTTTGTTTTGTTCTGTCTTGTTCATAGTGCGCCCCGCCTCACGAAGTGATGTATTCTAGTATCTTCTATCTATACCCTAACCCAATAACTCCCCTTCTCTTGCTGACCCAAGCCATTGGCATAAATGACATTGTACATATTCTGTCTAGTGAAAATGGCAAGAAGGTTGCAAATATCTCTCGATATTTTCGATTCTTCACCGAGTAATCTCTATCTTGGTATACTATAATTTCCCACTTTCTTTGTGCTCGAGCATCTAAATTTAAATTCCATTCTTTTACTAATAGAACTCCAACTGAGCTCTAGCTTGGTTCTGGGCTTAATTTGTTGTATTCGAGGCCGTAGTATCTACCCCACAGTAACCAACACGCAGAATACCGGTGCCCAGGTGGTGTACTAGTAGTCCGAAGCACGAAATAAATTGGAAGGAAGAATCTTGGAAACAAAAGTAGAAATCAAAGAACATAATTTGCCAGCAATCCGGGTACCAGACCAGGATGAGAAGGCTAGTTTGAATTTCAGTAGATACATCGCATGCCAGTAATAACTAATCATGAGCCAAACGAGAGGGTACCACCCTACATTGGCACAGTGCCTCCATCTCCATCTCTAACTCCATATCCATATCCATCTCCATCGTTTTCGCTAACGCACTCACACACCCCCTCCCTCTATTCTCAACGACGACCAGGCTGCACCCTAACAAGAATCTCCTCCAGAAAAACGTCCAAGACAGCATCAACCCCTCCACCCATAGGAACAGGATCAGTCATATCCAACTGATGAAGTCTAGTCAAAAGGCCAGAAATTTCATTCGTGAGCCCCTCCATCTCAGTATGGACCTGGACCCTCCGTTCCCAATCCTGATTTTCTTCCCGGCTCGGGTCTCGCTGGCCCTGCCCGTAATTCCGCGCCGGGTCGTGCCGGGCGAGATGTCGGCCTCGCCGATTCATTGCTGTGCGCAGAGCTGGGAGGAGGACTGAGCCGTAGGCTGTGGCACGTTCTATTTCTGCTGGGGTTTGGCGGGTGGGAGGGAGGTTGCGGGTTACGGGGTCGGTGGGGGTTGGTTGGGAATTGGAAGCTGAAGCTCGGGTTGGAGTTTGGGGGGCGGCTGCCGTTTCGTAGTCGGGGGTCTTGACGGCCTGCTGCGAGTTTGGATTTTAGGCCTGGGCTTGGGGCTGCGCTTGTTGTTGGGGATGCGGCGGGTTGGTGTTGGAGGGCAGAGTGCTGGGTTGGACGAGGGGGTGTAGGGTTCACGTTCACATTGAGGTCTGGGAGAGGGCGTTGGGATGGGGGCACTTTGCGAGAGATATGTCCAGGAGTACGCGGCTGCTCGCTGGGTAAGTTGTTGGTGGGTTGAGCCGTGTTGACGACGGGGAGCTCGGTAGGGGCCGGCTTCGGTGATGATCCGGCACCATTACTAGCGAAGTCTACGGCTGCCTTTGCGTAGCGGTCATTGGGAATCGTAGGTGACTTCTTTTGTGGTGTATTGGGTGTTAAAATCTGGCGGGCGTGGTGAGCGGCCGAGGGAATTGGTTGAGCAGCTGGCTTTGATGGCGATAGGGGGAGAGGCGGTAGAGTGGTCGTAGAAGAGCGTGAAAAGGGATCAGCAGGAGGAGGGATTGCCCGACTGGAAGCAGAGGGTGTGCCGTTTGACTGCGGCTGTGACTGTTGTGACCTCGACATAGGTGGTGCCACAGGTTGTTTTATATCGTCTTGCAAATCCCATTCTTCCGTTTCTTGACTGCGTGAGTTTGTATCAGAGTCCTTCATCGGCTGCAGTGCAGGTCCGTTAGCTCGACCAGCGGGTCTAACGGTTCCAAAGTCCCAAAGATCCTCATGGTTTTCAGGAGGATCCTCCACGGACTCCTCGATCTCGTCATATTCATCATCATCATCGCCATCTCCCCGGTGCGTGGCCTGCCAACGCTCAGCGCGCTCGATCAACTCAGTCAAGTATGTCGTTCGCTTAGCCTTCTTAATGAATGGATGTTCAAGCATTTCTTTCGCAGACGGCCGCTCCCTGGGATCCCGCTTCAGACACATTTCGACGAATTGTTTGAATGGCTTGCTAAAGTTGCCATTCAGGCCTGGGGGTGGATTCTTGGGAATCAGAAACAGAACTTTCATAGGATGAATATCTGCGTAGGGCGGATCTCCACATGCCAACTCAATAGCCGTGATGCCCAGAGACCAAATGTCTGCTTTATAGTCATATCCCGATTGTTTGATGACTTCTGGGGCCATCCAAAAAGGCGTTCCAACAAAAGTATTCTTCTTCGTCATTGTTGCCGACAACTGACCCGAAACGCCAAAATCAGCCAATTTGACCTGGCCACTGGCACTCAACAGAATGTTCGCAGCTGGCAGACGGTTAGTTAGTTTCCCTCTCAACTCGATTTTGGTTTCGTTGAACAATGGCCAACTTACCTTTGATATCCCGGTGCAGTTTATGGTCACTATGCAGATAATCCAAACCATGCAGAAGTTCTCGCAAAATAATCGCAATGTACTCTTCATGGATCACGCCAGGACGAAGGAGTCCATGGCAACTCCCACCCGAACAAAACTCCATTATAATCCACAGATTGGATCCCTTCAAATATGAGCCATGATACTTCGTCACATATGGAGACTTAAGTTCAGACAAGATCGCGATCTCCTGGATGATATCATCTACCTCATCCTCGGCGTTTTCGACATCGATAATTTTAATCGCAACGGATTCCCCGGTACGTCTATCAACCCTATGAGAGACAGATAATCTTAGTGAATGTTCAAAGCAAAGCAATGGCAGCGCGGTTTGACCTACCCTTTGTACACCCTGCCAAAACTTCCACCGCCTTGAAACATGTCAGTAATCATGCACATTAGACCTGTGGCTGGGGGAACCATCTTACCAATACATGATTGCTTGGTGTATATAGACTCTGGGTCTATCGGTCCAGGCATGTTTGCGAGATTGTTGTGGTATGAGAAATACCCAAAGAGAACCACTGCGCAGCGACGCCGAATGCTCCGATCAACAATTGACAATTGATAGATTCAGTGAATCCAGTCCCAAAAAGCAGAACAGAGATGTTGCGAGTCCTGATAGGTGGCGAACTATTCTCCTTGTGCGATTGAGGTGTGCTCTAGGAGGTGGCGGAAGAAGTGGAGGTGAGACGTGCTGGATGGGGGGTCGGAATCGACAAGACGGAGACGAGTTCAGTGCGGGGGGGGAGAGAGAGAGAGAAAGAAAATGAGGTGGTCGTTGACGCCTAAGAGAATCCTTAATTCTTGCCAACAGTTAGCCACAACTGCTGAGTTTGGGTAGGAGGAACTGCGCAGGGGTCAGGAATGGGTCGGGATCGACTTACCGGGGAGGAGTCGAGTGCGGGCGTCAACAAAGTTGGCATGAGAAGTTGACAAGCCGAGGAGAGGTAGGGCTCGTGCGTGCACCAGTAGAAATCATCCAGAAAGCATGATAGCGCGCGAGATGTAATTCAAGATATATGGTGCCAATTGCCAATTAATGCAGCAGAGTGAAAATGAAAGTGAAAGTGGTGATGGAAGGGAAGCCTTGCCTTGTTTATCTCCTTCAGGCGGGGCCCGATTCTGCCGGGCGGTCAGCCTTATCGGCTGATGTATACAGTGGGATGTAAACAATGGATTTGATCACTACAGAAACGACAATTATAATAGGATGTATTGTGATATGAATGGAAATGGAAATGGAAACACAGCAACGCTGAGAATAGTGCCCTTTTAACATGGTCGCGACATTTATTGCATGATTCATTGGAAATCTAGGTCCGAGACTGTGAAATGGGGTTCTAGGGTAAGGTTACTTCATCGTTCATAGCTCATCGTTCGCCCTCCGTTCATCATCACTCTGAGTGGCTGCTGGATACTGTATAATCGAGTCCTTGCATGTGGCAAGTGCTCTGCAGAGAGAGGGAGGAGCGAATGAGATGACTTATATCATCTTACTCCGCCAAGTACCCGATGTTCACCGTGCCGTTTTTCAGCCCTGCCTCCTCGATGCTTGTCGAGAGGTGATCTATTAAATTCCGTCCCATAGCATTCAGGTCAAACTCCACTCCGACCTTGTCTTCTAAAGGCGGCTCGGCCTTGAGCCATTCATAAATACGCTGGACGGGGTCGCTGAGCGAAAATCGGCGGATAACACGTCCGGCAGGATGACGGAATTGGATACGGGTCGTCGTAGCCGGGTCCGCGGCAGGCTCGGTGTGTGGTTGATTGTTGGGAATGGAAGAAAACGCCGAACTTGAGTGGGATTCCTCATCTTCTTCTTCCTCCTCTTCGGGCGTCCCACCCATGATGTCGTCTTCTTCAGTAGCTCGGCCCTTGCCTTTGACATCGTCGGTACTGCGAGTCAAATCATCAGGATCTCCCTGTTTCTGACCGGAAGCTGCACTCTCGCCAAGACTGTTCCTCATCGCCATCTCCAGCATTTCCTCTTCGGTCATTGCATCCACGGTCTTCCCCTTCTCTTGTTTCCTCTTGGCCACGGGGTTCCGGACGTTGTGGTTCAAGCTATAGCGGTCGAGGAACTCATGTAGTTGCATGAGAAAGTCTGCAGGTTTGATCACTGGAGGACCCGACCAGATCTTCATCTGCTCGCCGGTGCGAGGATCAACAATGGCAATGTGCGGGTAGTTATCGGAGACATCGCTGGCTTGGAAGTAATATTGAATGTAGGCGGAACCCTTGGGATCATCCTTGGAGAATTGAAGAAAAATGAAATGTTCCATTACAGTTTCTTGGACCGTCTTGTCCTTCCACAGATCTCGGTTGAGAACTTGGCAATCAAAGACAGACGAGTCTTGGATGTTGACGAGCAACCATTTCTCCTGCGCTTTTCCATCATCCCGGGCCACGTCCCAAGGCACCCTCGACATGATCTCGAATGGAGGACGGAACATTTCTGCAAGCCTATTTTGTTTCGAAGAGGCCTCTGATGCGCCCCCGGTGGCTCTGGAGAGTCGCTCTTGATGGGTTTCTTCAGAATCACCGGTCCAAATCGAGGCGGTATTTCTCTGGTTGAAGATACCTGGCCGACCTGGTGAAAGTTGATCAAACGTTAGTCTTCATGCCAATAATAAAAAGAGTCGAGGTCTTAGGAGTTCCCAGGGGAGTACCAACCACCTCGCCCGCGAGCACGCAGTTGGCTCAAAATATTGGTATGCATATCATCATCGTCGTCGAAATCGGCTGCTCCAGGCCCCACCAAGGTCTCCGTCGTGCGCGCCATGGGCGCTCGAACACCCTCATCATCAAAATCGCCATTACCCCCTCCTGCACCTTGGGCACCACCTGGACCACCAGCGCCGTACATCTCTTCTTGTAGTCGGCGAGCCATGGCGGCGTCATCCTCGAATGTTACGCCCGCGGCGCGGGGTGTTGGACGTTCGGTAGGATTATTATCATCGGAGTCGGAGTCGATATGGACCACACCTGATTCGTCTTCGAAATTGGAAGGACGGGGAGGTTGCTGGGGCTCCTCAGTCAATGGGGCACCTCCATTATCGAAGTAGAGTTGCATGGCTTGTTCGATGTTGAAATCGGTAAGCTGCAGGTACTGCGTCGCCAGCTCTGGGTTCGAGCCGGTGATATCACAAAACTGGGCGACCACGTCGCTCTCCATAGTGGGCGGTTGTGATGGATGAAAGGATCGATAGAATAAAGGAAGAGAAGAGTTGGAGACGATGTGAAAGGTAGAGTAAGAGGCGCGTGCAGGAGTCTCAAAATGTCACAGGTTCACCTGATAACTTCAGTGTGGGGGAAGCTGAGGGGATGCAAACAGCTGCAAACTGAGGATTTAACTCAATGAGGACCCCACAAAGCTGCAGAAAGGGCGAGATGACATTAAGATGCAAGATCGGAATGGGCTTGAAATTGCGAACAACAGGAAAAGAAAAGTGACAGGATCTTCAAAAGTAGTTGGGAGAGTGGACTTCCAAGAACTACAGAGAGCACGGAGCAAGAGTGACAACTTTGTAGATCGAGGATCTGCCATGACGCAGGGGTGCGGTGAACCATAGAGATCTCTTGTGCAGTTATGTGTAATCAATCACGTGAGGATATGTGCTGTTGGTCATTGCAGTCTGCCGGAGTCCACTTTTACCGTGTTGGGCGATTCCCACGCGTCGACGCGTCGGACGAGACCCGCGTGGTTATCGACAATTCGTGTGCCCACTCAACAACACTAACGCTAACACTTGCATTGCATTGCACGGGCATCTACTCTCTTCGCTCCTGCTTTTTCTTTTTTTGTCTTGCCTGGCACTTTCCCTGCTTCCTTCAGCCATGACAGCGTCAATCCTGGGCAAGCGCTCTCGTGCCGCTGACACCGAAGGTGCGTTGACAGTTGACTTCCCACTGATACTCACCTGCTTCACACCTTCCACATGAACTAACTCGATTATGATTATTTTCCAGGCCTTCCAGTGCGCACTGCCAGCAAGCGCCGCACAATCGCCCCTCGAGCTCCCCGTGACGTCGCTGCGCTTCCGCCAAAATCTCTTCCCCGGACACGATCGAGCGCGAGACTCGCCTACCAAGCCCCGGCGCCAGAACAGGAAAACGAAGATGTCAAACAGCCCATCGAGAAGCCTCGAGTAAAGGCTAAAGCAAAAGCGAAGCCCTCTTCCAAACATACTCTCCCCGAGGAGCCTACTATACCAACTGTACAGGGTGCGTCTCCAACCAAGATCAAATCGCATTTCCGTACCTCAAAGCTCGTGCTCGTCGAGGGTAAGCCGAGTGCGCCGGAGATCCAAATAGACCAGATGGAGCTAACCTCAGTCAATTGCAGAAGAGAAAATTATCGAAGAGGAAGTTATCGAAGATAGAGTCATCGAAAAGAAACCTACAGAAGAGAAAGAAATCAAGAAAGATACCGACACCGCGATCAAGACTGAAAGTGATATCGAGAATGAGAAACCGGCACCCATAGAGTTCAAAACACCTCAAAAGTCCCGCTTCCGAGATGCTTTACAACAATCCCCCGTCACCCCTCGCCATCGGGTACAGGTTGGAGCCAAATCTTCAACCCCAAGGACCCCGCGACACTCTGATCTCCCGCCGACTCCCCGTCCAAGTGCCACCCCGAGTATCGCTCAATCCGTCTACTCGCAGGCTCGCCAACTCTTCGCCCGCGGTGCCAATTCCGGTCGACTGGTCGGACGCGATGCCGAGCGAGAAAAAGTTGCTACCTTCATCGGCGATTGTGTCAAGTCCCAGAAGGGTGGCTGTCTGTACGTTAGTGGCCCCCCCAGGCACAGGTAAGAGCGCCATGATCGGTGAAGTTTGTCAGGATATCGATCTGTCCTCCGTCAAGGTATCCCACGTGAATTGCGCGAGCATGCGAAACGCCCGTGATGTCTACAGCCGGCTTGTTCAGGATTTCGGCGACCAAACGGATATGTTCAAGAAAAGTGAGGGTGATCGTCTGAAAGCCATGTTCCTTCCATCCAAGGTAGAAAGCCTCTATCTGGTCTCTCTCGACGAAATGGATCATCTGCTTACCGGCGACTCGGGTGTACTGCAATCTTTGTTCGAATGGTCATTACATGCCAGGTCGAGCCTGATTCTAATTGGTATCGCCAACGCCCTCGATTTGACAGATCGATCCCTGCCACAACTCAAGGCGAAGAATTTGAAGCCCAATCTTCTACCATTTCTACCATACAATGCAGCATCAATCGCGAATGTCATCACCAATAAGCTCCGGTCCCTGCTCCCAGATGGAGGAGAGTCGGATCCCAAATTTGTCCCTTTCCTCCAGCCGGCAGCTATCCAGCTCTGCGCGAAGAAGGTTGCCTCGCAAACCGGAGATCTTCGAAAAGCGTTTGAGCTTATCAAGCGTGCAATCGATGCCATCGAGCAGGAAACCCATTCAAAGCTAGAGAAACAAGCGGCCGATGCAGCCGATGCCTCGGTTCTTGCAGAGAATAAGAATCTCTCAACAACTCTCAAGCCTATTCCCGCGGCTCGACCCCCTCTCATGGCCAACTACAACTCTATGACAGCACCTCGTGCCAGCATTGCCCACGTCGCCCGCATCACCACGTCTGCATTTGGCCAGGGCACTATCCAGAGACTCAAAGGTCTCAATTTACAACAGAAGGCTGCAATTTGCTCTCTGATCGCTCTTGAACGCAAGCGCCGGGATCTCGATATCCCCAGCACCCCGTCCAAATCTCGATCCGGGGCCCCGACTGTGAAGCAAGCATTCGATACATACTGTACGCTTTGTCGCAACGACAACATCCTTCATCCGCTCACTTCTACCGAGTTCAAAGACGTCCTCAGCAACCTAGAGACTATGGGCCTTGTCGGTGATTATCAGGGTCGTGGTCGCGGTGGTACCCTCGGTGGTGGATCTGATGTCCGTCGAACACCCTCCAAGTCCGGCAGCGTCATGTCTACGCCCCACAAGGGCATGGATGAACAAGGTCTTCTCTGTTTCGTCTCGCAGTCCGAAATCGAGGGCCAAATTGCGGGTCCTGGTGAGGGTATCCTGCGACGACTTCTTCGGGGTGATGGTCTCTAGTTTGAAGGCATTCCTACTCGGCCATGCAACTGCATGTGTTCTGTTTTGTTCTTTTATTTCCTTATCGTTGTCTCGTCCTGCTTGGAGTCCTTGGCGTCCTGAAGAGGACATTTCTTTTGTGATAAACATCTGGCATTTCCGGCGTTCGATCTGCATCTTTTTATGTTTTAGCGCCATTCTCATGATTCTCTTTTGTTTCTACGATCTTTCCCTTTGTGACCTCATTCCATCAACGTCCGGTTTTGAACTGTCTGTTCGATGGTACCCATATGGATTAATGCCAATAAAATATTTTCAAGATAAGAAGATTAGCATTCACGATTAACCTAGTGAGGGTAATTGTGCCCCTGGTATAAGTAGTCTTGTCAATTCGGGTAGGGCCTACTAAGAGACGTGCGAGAGAACCTTGGAAAGTGTCATATAGAGTGACCAATTCGACTACTATATGACATTGAGAAGACGGAGTAGTATAGTTCAAGTTACATCTTAGAGGACAGATTAATTTACAATTTGAAAATTCTCCCCAAGATACAATTCATGAACTAGAAAGGGTCTGTAGCTCTATTGCTTCATTCTCTTTCCTTCTTGAACGCGACACGGAGTAGTAAAAGAGAAAGCACCCTGCTGTACAAGGCACTGTAAGAGCAATCCAAACCCAGAACCGGGAAGTTTCCGCTAGCCATTCATTGGTACTGAAAAACGGCATGGAAAAGAGAGCCTAAATTAGAGTATATAACATGAGCAATGTTTGGTGATTCTCCCTGCATTGTAAGGAATGGAAACCTTGGAAGTCAAAGCTCAATGGTTAAAACTCACAGCAAATGTTGCCCCAGGGAGGAAAAACATTGTGACGACAGCGATCTTGAAAAAGAAGCCACACGTTAGTCAAAAAAATGTATCATAAAAGCACTTTCTACGCACAGTTCGCATAGCTACACTATCCCGTTTCATCTCTTGAGCAAGCTCATGTGAGGCCTTGGCCATCTCACGACCGACAATGGTGTCTTCCTGCATTGCACTCAAGATAGCCTGCATATCCTGTCCATTTGCGACTAGTCGTCTATTACTGTTGATTTGTATGCGATTGAAGAGCTAAAATATACAAGTTAGATGGCACGAAACAAGCCCTCATGCAAAGAAAGAAAGAAGAAAAAAAAAACCAACCAGTGCAAGATTATTCTCAATCTTCTTCTCCAACTCCCTCGTAAAATCATGCAAAGCCTCAACCTGCGAAGAAACCTGACTAAACCCCCTAGAAGCCTGCTCGAGTGTATTAAACCCCGAATCCTCATCATCATCCGCACAAAGCGCATCAAAATGCGTAGCCAAATCCGTCACAATCCCCTGCAAAGACTTCAGCTCCGAAATATAACGATGTAAATGCGCCGCAATAGAATGCAGCGCCTGATTGATACCGCCGAAAACCGTTTCCGGCGTAATATGCGAGCCACTTAGCTCAGTCTGCAGTCGGGCCTCGTATTCGACTAATTGTTCGTTCACACTGTTCAATGCATGCGTCCACCACCGCGTCGTGCTGGTGAGGTAAACGAGATGACTGAATGCGCCGAAGCCGTAGCCCATTCGTGCATTTTTTTTTAGGTTCATTACTTGGTCGATTCGCTGGCTTGGCTCTAGCGCGACTTTTGTCCAGCGGCCGTGCATGAAGTCGAATGCGACGAATGTCATGCGTTTTGAGCCTGGCAGTACGCGGGAAAATATTCCTATGCATGATCGGTGGATGCTGAGTTTTATGTCGGGTAGGTCGAGTTTGTGAAATGGGTTCATTTGTGTTGGATCTCGTGCTTCTTCTGGAGCCTTGGAACTACTGGTAGTACTGCTCGAGCTGCTGGCTCCAACTTGGACGCGGATTGGGAGGATGTACCAAAAGTCAAATGCTTCCGTCTTTTGGATTTGGATTTTTCGTGATCCTCGGCCGTTTGGAAGATAATGATGTGAGAGGGCTAGGACGAAACTGAGTGGTATCTGCAATTTATCGACCAGTGTTTGAAAGCATGGGGCGGAGATACGGAGCTGGTGCGCGTCTTTCGGTGGTTGTTCCTGTCCATCGTGGACAAGGTGTTTGTGTATAAAGCTATTTTGGTCAGTTCATGAACTCTAACTTGGACTGAATAGATATTTTGAGATCCCTACAAGAATTCACTTGAATTATTCGCATGTGTATTATTCTATCTTAAAGGTCAATTTCGGCACTAAATAATCTCAGTATGCTAGCACTCACGCAAGACTCGATTTCTCTTTGGGAGTTTAGTTCTTGTATCACTCGTGAATTGGGGGTATAAATTGCACGCTTGACAAATGTTGTATCGGATAGCTGCTTTCTAAGAAATAGAAAAGCAGAACCTGTTGTGCTGCCATCTAGATGATCACTGGGAATCTAATTGAGAAATGTTCCCAGACAGCATAAAAGAGTACTTACAGCTCAGGAGCATGCCCATTTTGATACATGGAATCCATCATATCTGGAATGATTGGAATTCAAGCCCATACTAAAATCCGGTCGGATCATAGAGGAGACATGGGGGGGGACCTATGATTGCTCTTACCAAAAGCCCCAGGGGAACCTGGGTAACCCAGTTGGTTATCAGCTGCATCGAAACGTGAAAGGTCAATGCATGAACGCCAGCCAGCCTCTTCGGTCTGACAGCCCTTTTCCCCGCTCCCACAAGCAGCAATCTTAGCCTGTGATTATCATTGGGCATTACATTATACAAAACCCTCAAGATCTGCACCTCGTATTTCGAAAATACTCTCGCAAATTCTCGCCCCCAAAATGCCTGGTTTTCGTCGACGTAAAGAAAAATCTCAGACTTCGGCTCTGGATGCTTCATGGATTTTGCCATCGGATGGAGAAAAGCAGAGCGATACAGTTCCAGCGACATCAAACGATGCATTGAAGGACACTTCTGCCGCATCCATTGACAAAAACATCAGGAGTGAACAATCTATCCCGATTATCACCTCATCAGATCCCAGCAACTTCCAAGATCATCAGGAAATTACCGCTGATGTAGGCAACGAGGCTTCCCGGGGGCAAGCGAAAGTCCCTCATATATCGCATCCACATATTGCGACACAGTACAATCCACCAAAAAGCAGGATCAAGCCGCGCTACGCGAAGCAACATTCCTCAATGTGGCTGGACGAAAGTCCGGAATCGAGTCTATCAGCAGGTAACCGACACAATGACATAAGTCAAGACCCCATGAAAGAGGAAGAGCCGCAGGCAGACACAAGCCAGTCCGTCACAGCATTTCACCACGGTTATCCCTTTTCAATCTTTCGCATAGACAAAACGCCAACTGCGAGCCCGGGCAATGCTGCGCCTCCAGTACCTCCCTGGCGCTATTTGTCGTCGAGCTACTCCCCCAGAAATGGCTCCGTGTGACACTTCTATTATCATCAGCCAATTGAAAATGTGTGGCGCTCCGGCTGTGTTTGCATGATGAGGGGGAGGTGGGCTTGAAGCTGGGGTTGGTGAACACCCTGCCTGTTTTTCATATTTCTATATCATAATCCAGACCGAGAACTGTACTCATCACAACACTCTTTGCATTATCTTAAACTCTGTTTTCTGTAAAATATTTCAAAATGGAGACCCCGAAATTCCCAATAACACCTAACAACCCCATTCCACGAAAAAGCGCCCAAAGCAACAATATTCTGAGAGGCTTACGAGACAGTAATGATGACCCTCCAATTTTCTTTCGCAATCTGAAGTCTAACTAATCATCTGGATACTTGTTTGTAGGAATTCGCGGCGATCGATCAAGAAACCTTCTCGAACCATCTCCATTATCCCACTTCACACCATCCGGGTCGGAAGGCGATGAAACGCCTCCACGGAGCTCCACAGAGCTCCCTGTCGAACTTGCCATCAGAGGCCTATCTGGGTCTACTCTTAATCGACCCTCAAGTTCATCTTCACGGAGCCGCAAGACTCTGTTACCCGTCCCAGCCAAACCGTCAGCCCCGATTGCCATTCCAGCCAGCGAAAAAGATACATCACCAACACTGCAGGAAATACCACTGACATTTGCAGTGGATGTTTCAGGCAGTACAAGTGGGAATATTCTCCATCAAGAAAAACAAGCTATCCGGGCAGTTTGCTCCACTCTGACCGGACAAGGTCTCGAAGCGAACTCATCTATACTGCCCTGGTCTCACTGCGCCTTCTCCCCTGTCAAACTGAATCGAATTCAAGATCTTCGATCAAGGGGTGGAACTAATCCTGCGGTATTGTTGGAAGATCAGGCGTGTAGATCCCAACTTCAGAACTCGGATCTTTGGTTCCTCATGACGGATGGAATGATCGATGAGCCCCATGTTCACAGTTTTGCCAACGCGCTTCCGGGAGCTGGTGTGCACGGCACAGCCTGTGTCATTGTCCTTTTCGGGTCTGCTACTCATTCTCCATTTTCATGCAATGTTTCCGTGGGCATCTCTGTTTTCGCCGTCGCTCCGCATTGCATATTCCTTTTCCACGACGTAAGAAGTGAAAAGGTTTATGTTTTCCAGGCAAAAGGTTGCTTCGCGACGCTACTGCCAAAAGACAAACGATTTGCAGCTTTTGGGGAGTGGACGCGATGGACTGACTTGGTCAGAATTGACTATAAAGATCTGGCACGGGTCAGGGTACCAGCTGCCACCAAACTATCCCAAGACTCAGTGCTACTTCCGGATGGACGGAAATTCGACATGAACAGCATTTACAACAATAATATGTCAGATGCGGATAAAATGGACTTACTTTCCGACTACACGGCTCTGGATGTTATCATTCTGGCCGCGAAAACTCGGGGAAGAGACACAGAGGTAAAATCGTGGATCTCCAATGCTCGCACTGCGAGAGAATCCCAAAGCCTCATGTTTCTGCGACGTGAGGATTCGGGCGGACAAGCGAGATTTTACCTCTTATCCATCCTGGAACATGCAGTTCGCAAAAGTATCGTCGCAGATCAACCCGAGCTCATGTGGCAGAATATCCGAACATCATCTGACTCTATAAATGGTCTGAAATTCAACCTTCATGACCAACATGCCAAGAACTGGCACGCATTTGAAAAACAACTCAACTCAGAATCAGATCTGTCGACAAAAATGTATCGGGTTTTTGACGATGTGATTACCACCATGAATACATACAAGGAATGTGGGACGAGTTCTCCTGCAATGCTGATGCCCATGACGTCCCCTCCAGTAGGGCATGCTAGAGACCAGAGGATGAGTCCTTTGCATAGTCCAAATAATCAGAGACATGTTCCCTATATGTCGAGGAGCAGAGCACAGATATCATCAGCAGCGCAAGATCTTCTGTTTCTTCATGAATTCAAAGGCAGAAGACAATTCCACGGCAGCTCTTACCTGAGAGAAGCAAATTACAGTACTTGCTACGTATGCGGACAAGAAGATGTCATCCAGACACTCCTACTGCAGAAGTACCGAGGAGACGAGGAAACCCCCAACTTCCCAAAAAAAGCACAGTCACGCCAAACATAAATACCCGATGGTCCTTGGAAACTACCCGGAGACAGACATCATTCTACCACTGACATCCTGCGATGCCTGCGCGTGGCTCTTGATTCAAGAAAAAGAGCTACCAAATGGCGAGCGTATTGACGCTGCATTACCATTGGTCTCACTGGCCGAAAATGTAAATCGACAACAATGGACCAACACTCTACTCAGAGCCTTCGGAAATCGTTTCCATGAACGGATTGTCCTACTCGTCTTCCTTTCCTCGCTCTATTCAACAATCGAAGATATAATCGCAAATGACGAACCAAATTCATACGATCTCATTCAAAGTCTCGAGTGGTGCGCTCGAGCCTTGACCGAGCTACCTGGAATAGCTATCGCCGCGGGCCTCACTCCGGCCGGCACGCCAATGTCCTACACCATGGACGAGACAATGTCTCTACAAAAAGCCGTCGGATTAATATTTTCGCCCAAAAGCGCGGTCCTGATAGAGTCGTCGTTTTTGATGTACCCGATCGATGGATTTGTAGCCATCGTCCACGTTGCCGAACTTCTAGAGCACGTTGAGCCGTACCAAATTGAGATATTTGTCTGGAGACGGCTGCTTTACCATTTTACCGAGCAACATATCAAACTTCACGCACAGATTGGATTCGATGAAGCGAATGCGAAACTCGAGGAAATTGTCTCCGAGAGACCTCCTTCGTCGTCGTCGAGCTCGGTAAACAAAGACTCAGATGAGCCGTCTCTAGTCGTGTCACCGAACCGAGTCTCTGTCTCCTCATCTATACAAAAATTGGATGGAACGTATCTTCTGCCCTCGTCTTCGGATTACCTGGAGCAGTTGAGACGCATGGAGTCGTTTTTTACTTCCATTGAAACCACGACGAAGTATGATGCTGCACTGGGTGTCTTCCTTCACATGTTGCTGGATACTTCGGTTTCTCAGCAACGGGGTACTCTCGATGTTTCCGATCTTTTCACGCAAGTTCGATATAGGGCGGATGAGATAAAACGATCTCATGAGGGGTTGTATGATGTGTTTGTTGATCCGAAACCGATTTCCAAAGAAGATGCTGTGAGATTGATAGAGGCATGGCATCAGCATGGCGATGTTTCCCACAATGTAGTACTATAATCTACTCCTTTTTTTTGCTGTGATTATATAGTTTAGCAAGCATCATCTTTATTGTAAATTACAACTTAAAGCTATATTTCGGCTAGTCATCCACTAGATGTGACCTAACTAGGGGTGCCATCCTGCTTTTTAAGTTACCACTCCGGTAGAAAGAGTTCAATGAGACAATTCACCTTAATTATAGAACCTAGCTTAAAGGCGATCAGGCTGTGGCGATCCATGGACCTGGGACCTGGACCATGGCGAAACGGTAGCCCCACTTTAACCGGCAGAAAGGATGGCGGTGTGGGGACAGCAAACAGATATGTAAACACATTAGATTTGGAAGGCACGATGGACTAGGTAGGAGGCAACAACAAACAAGAAAAAAAGGGAAGGAGAGAAAACAAACCAGAAATGAATGCCTTGTCCCGGTTTCGACCTTCAACCTGAAAAAAAAGCAAAAAGACAAGGTAGGCACGCATCGGTCCCTGTGCGCCCTCTTCAAAGCCTCCTCACTCTTTCCCCCGAATGAACAAGGCCAATACCATTAGACCATCCGGAGGCTTATTACCCAGGGAGACTTGTTTGACATTCTTGACCAATGTCCCGTCCACTGTTTCCCTATAAATTTGGAAACAGCTGTTGTGTACACCACTCTCCTCTCCTCCTCTCCTCCGCTTATTTCTGCTTTGAACATTTGCTCTCCCTCCCTCTCACACTGAATTGTTAAGATCAAAAATCCATAGAAACGGAGTAGCTTCAACAAAGGGAGCGACAGCTGCCAGCTCCGGATCATACACTTTGACCAAGACGGATTTACGTTACTACCTGGAGGCAAATGAGGCAGAAAGTCGTGAAGCTGCTTGTCCACATAATCTGATGCAGAGAAATAACATATACATACATAGCTACAATCAACGAACAAAACAAAACAAAACAGGCAAAGGCAGGGTATGTTATGATATGTATGCGCGAGCCCCTAATGATACGTATGTCCGGGTCCCAGCCGAATCGAATCAAGCCATAAAGCAAGAACCGGGCCGAAAAATTGGATCTATACAAAGACCCGTCCGTACGCGCAATCCAAATTCACAAAATCAAGTAAAAAGAAAGCTCAATCTCCTCATAGAAATAGACATCCATCCAGTCAGTCAACTAACCAAAAAAAGCTGATAGCTCCAAAAGAAAGGAGCCCCGGTTTAATCGTCCATGGGCTTATCCTCCAGAGTCACGCCCTTGGGTTCCTCGACAATGCTACTCCGGTTGCTATCCGTTCCGGCGGTAGCTGTGGTAGGGAAATTGGAGAGACTGCCCAGGCCGGGCTTACGGGCATAGCGAGCGCTGGAGCGGGGGACGGAGCTGCGCTTTTCGAATTCAGAGGATGTTGGGGCGGGCGTGGGGGTTGGTGTTGGCGAGCCGTCGGAGGCTGTCTCTGGCAAGGGAGGGCTGATAGAGCCAGAGGAGGCATTACTCTCGAGGACTTCACTAGGAGAGTCGACCAGGCCGGTACCGTTCATGGCGGTTGCGAACTCGACTTCCTCCGACTGTGTATTGACGGTGGGGTGCTCGGCAGAAGAGGGGGGTTCGTTGGGCACGTCGAGGCTAGTACGGACTGGGGCGATTGGGGTGCGACGCTCTTGTGGGCTTGTAACATTGATTGGGAAGCGGGTAGATTCAGAGGCGCCGCTGGATCGGTCACGGCGGTGTCGTTGGCGAGGAGCGGGACTTGTGGCTCGGCTCTTGCTGGCAATGGCTCGTTGACGGGCTTCCATTGCTGCACGGCGGTTGCTCTCATCGGTGCTGATGGCACGAGGGCGGCTGGATGTGGAGATACCCAGTGCACTTGACTGGCGCTTCAGCTCACCGAAAATGACATCTTTGTGGGCAAACAAATCGCGAATCAGTCGATAGGCGTGGCGCTCGTCCATGGTCAGGCTACTGTCGAAGCGAGGACGAAGGACGCAGGCGGAGAGATTTTGAGCGAGGGAGGTAGTATACTGCTCGTCGGCTGAAGTCAGGTCAAGCAGGCGTGTGAAGTGGGTCATGATGGCATCAAGCGTGGCGATGTTAACGAGACGGAGTTGTCCAAGCGTGCTTTGCAGGACCTTGATCCGTCCCTCTTCCGTGGTCTCGTGAGCTGTGGTGGAATAGATGGTCTTGACGATTTCGTAGACTTGAGAAGAAACAAGAGAGTCTGAAGTTGTCAGTCGTGTGATCCAGGCTACTATGAGCTTTTAGGAGGGGGTAACGTACCTGGCAATTCAAGGAGGTACAATTTCAAAACGCTAGCAACGATGGGTATCTCAAATTTCGGCAGGATTTCGCGGTAATCCACTTTGCTGTTGTTCAGGGCAGAACGCAGCTGGTGGATCGTAGTCAACGAGGAATCATGAAGCCAGATTCCACGCCGAGCGTCATCACCCTCGAGTTCGGGATATTCTAAGAACGTTTAGTTTCACAGCGCATTGTGAAAATTCTAAAAAGCTAGAACTCACGATTATCAAGATAAGTCAAAATCGTAGTCACCAGAATGGGGACACGTTTACGGTCAACCCGAGCTCTGGCCTCAAGATCGACACCGAAGTTTTGTTCTAAGAAAGTCAGCCTTGGTCCTCAACTATGCGATACGGGGAGCATACCTTCGACAGAGCCGTAGTAGTTTTCATACGCCTGTACACGAGGGACAAAGCCACCGGTGCGATAGTTCTCCAGAAGATAACGCAAATCTCCTAGGGGCTGAATCGTTTCTTGATACAGCATCATGTTATCGACGGTACTCTGAAGGTTGGGAATGACATTGCTGATGGCGCCAGAGAAGTCGAGCACAACAGCCTTGATAGCCTTGAGACGATCAAGTTCACACTGCTCCATGAAGCGCAAGTTATCAATAACGTCCTCCTCCAAGCGGCACCGGATTTGATCCAGTCGGCGGATAGCTCCCTTATAACGCTCATCAGCCTCACCAGCCTCGCTCCGCAGCTTCTCGGAGGGTGTCTCGTTCGGATATGGGTTATTCAATGGGTTCCAGCCAGCAATCATTTCGGAGACAGATGCGATAGGCGAATCGCTTCCACTTCCGTCCTCGCTAGAAGCCACCGATGTGACGCGCATCAAGGGCCGCTTCTTTTCAGGGATACCAGTAATCTCGAACACCCTAGGGCGCCATTGGTAGTTCATTTTCGAGCTGTTGGCGAATGTGTTGCCCATATTACCGATCAAGCGAAGGAAGCCGTTGTCGACCAGTTCCTGCCCAAGATGCTCCGCCTGGGCGAGGTTGGTGGCACCCATATGATTCTGGAGATACTCGACGATATCCGCACCAGTGGATGTGTTCTGATACGTGCCAATGATAGGCACCTTTGACTCGCCCAACTTGATGTTGTTAAGCATGTGGAGCAAGAGTCCCTTGATCTCCTCTGGCGGATAGACCCGATCTCCCAACTCAACGGGTTCTTCTTCCTCCTCGGGCTCTTCCTCGGCAGGCAGCACAATCTTCGGTGTAGGTTTGACCTTCGGGCTGGATTCGGGGTCCTGGAACGCAAGTTTGTTCTCCTCTTCGAGGTCCTCGACCACACGGCATTTGTTAAAGTAGTGGCTCCGCAACTTCTTCACCACCTCCACTTGCTTCGAGTGTTCCTTAATCCGTGCCTGGAGGGTATCATGCGAGGTCTGAACACGGAAGTCGTGGCCGTCGCTCCATCGGCGAAAGGGTGCCACGACAAGTTCCCGAATGTTACTGGCGATTTTCTGGTGGTTGCGGGAGGCCTCGACCATCTCGGTTCGGATACCTTCGTATGCCTAGTTCAGCCATGCAGAGGTTAGTTCTTGTCCATGCCGAGAGAAAACCTCCCAAAAAAACAAAAATATTGATTTGTGGACGTGCGAGTGTCACATACCTTTCTCACACTGGCTCCGTCATCTTTGCCAAAGCCCGTCGCAGTCATGCGATCGACACTTGGCGCGATATCACCCATGCGGAGACCATATTGCTCCTCCGCATCTGCGCGCAGAGACGCAATGGTCAATATCTGCCTGTTTTCCGTAACTCCCTGTTGCAACTTCCCATACAGAACCCCGAGGCCAGTGGCATAATCGGGGGTCCAGAAGGAGTCCGCGAAGCCAGGCATTATTACCGAGCCAACGCCGACGGGGAACACCACGGAGATTCAAAGAGTAGCAACAATGAGGTGAAGTACCCTAGCGATGATTGCGAAGCCGGAGCTGAATATTCGTATCGGTCGGAGATGGAGGAATTGGAGACGAGATCGAGAGGGCGCAAAGAGGAAAAGGCGAACTCGGGGTGGAACCGAAAGTTCAGCTTTGTCGGGGCTGAAATTGAGTCTTCTCCGGACGGGGGGATCTTCGCACAAGGCTGAAAACCAACGGACTGGCAACGAAGGAGGTGGGAGCGATGTGACTGGGGGATGTCCTTTGAATGCGCGATAAATCAATCGAGTAATTCGAGTAACCCGGGGTCGGTGGACTGGGGAATGCGAGTCGCGCGGCACGGTAAGCGCCAGAGGTGGCGTTGAAACAAACGAGAAAGAGAGTGTGTGTGAACGAAGAGAAGGGGGCCGCACGTCAAAAGAAAACAATGCGAAGCCACCCAGCAATGGCAGAACAAAAGAGGATGTCTGGAAAAGGGGGGAGGGGAAGCGATTCAACAGGAGTCACGGTGATGATGTTGATGAATTCCCATGCAGTTCGTCAGGTGGCTTGTAATATTACGTTCTGGCGTTACAGGTACGCACGTATACTAATTTACTACGTACAACAGCCTTGTTGGCTCCACAACACTAGCCACCCGGCTATTTTTGGCTTTGGAAAATCCTGGCCGTTGGGTACAGAAGCTAAAAAGGGTGTACGGAGTACAGGATGCTTGATTGAAGTTGGTACAACTATTTGGGTTGTCTAGCTTCACTGGATTGCATCTTGATATCGACCGATCCAACAGGAACAGGACAGCTCTCTGCATCTGCAGAAGCTCGTGTCTCAGGAGTTCCGGGGCCAAATGACTATGGTACCAACCAGCGTAAGTAACTAGATTACACAGCCCCAGATGTGAGCACGCCAAGTCTGGAGGCTCCAAGGATCGGCAAAGTCGTGGGTCGCACGTACATTCCAGAAGTGTATAACAGTGCGAAAGAGCCCTGGAGCAAGAAGAAACTGCGAATACGACTGAAGAATTTGAAAAATATTGCATATAAAGATCATGTGTTCTTGATTATGGTATCTGTCATCGAAAAGGTCATAAGACATCGAAGATGGAAGATGGGCAAAAATACTAAATAAATAGGAAAGTATTACATGAAAGACCACAAGTCTTCACAGAAGCTCCCGGCCAACACCACAAATAAAGTCCGTCTAGCAGAAAAGCTTGTAGAATTTCTTCCACATTGGCCAGGCTGCTTGCTCGGCATGCTCCTGCTCAATCAAGTGCTGAACATCCATGTCACGACGACCTGTTGTCAAATCGACATCTCGAGATCGCACGAACTTGGTCTTGTAAATAAACTTGTACGGGATGTAGAAGAGAACAACAATGGGCGCGGCCAGGTACGACATGAAGAAGTTCTCTACACGCTCACCCGCAGTCTTCTCGGCGTAGCCGACAGGTGCGAATCCGACCCAGAACTGGGCGATGAGGACCAGGCAGTTGAAGCCGAAGCCAATCCAAGAGCCAATGACACCAGGCTGGGAGCGGAAAGCCAGTTCGTTCAGAGTGTGGCCCTGCAGCTTCCAGGCACGACGGAATCGGATGTGGCAGAGGCAGATCGAGCCCCAGGTGAAGATGGAGGATAGACCTGAGATAGCCATCATCCAGTTGAAAGCATCAGTCTGCTTATCAGATGCAGCCAAGAAGCAGAGCAGACCAATGAGGGAGGCGGTAATAATAGCAAAGATGGGACGACCCTTGCGGTCGATATAAGCGAGGAAGCGAGGAGCTTGGCCCTGTTCGGCCAACGCAGCCAGAGTACGGGAGGAACCATAAACGGATGAGTTACCAACAGAGAGCACAGCAATCATGATAACGACGTTCATGACCGAAGGAAGACCCTTGATTCCGGCATTCTCGATAGCAATGACGAAGGGGGAAGCCTTAGCATCGGCTGAGGAACTACCCGAAAGCAGCTTCTCGTTGGTGTATGGAACCAGGAGACCAACAAGGGTCAGGCAGACAACGTAGAAGAGAGCAATACGCCAGAAAACCTGCTTAATGGCAGTGGGGAGAGACTTGCGGGGGTTGGCAGTCTCGGCAGCGGCCAGACCGACCAGTTCAGTTCCAGCAAAGGCGAAGGCAGCATTGACGAACACACTGCAAAGACCCTTGAAGCCATTGTTGAACGCGCCGGGGTCCTTCCAGTACTTTCCTCCAATATATCCGCCCTCGGGGCCACCACCGCAGTTGAGGATGATACCGAGGATACTAGAAAGAAGAAAAGAAACAGGTTAGCAAGGTCTTACGGTGATGGAAGATTTGCCAGAACATGGCTTCTTCCCAGGAGAGTGTGAGAAGAGAACGAGAGGAAACGTACATGAATCCCACAACAGCAACAACCTTGATAATAGAGAAGACAAACTCGGCTTCACCATATCCACGAACACCGAACATGTTGATAGAGACGATCAACACCCAGAAAATTGCAACCCAGGCCGCATTCGAGATGCCGGGACTCCAGTAATCTATCGTAATGGACGCGGCGACGATTTCCAAAGGCAAAACAACCAACCACTGAAGCGCATAGTTCCAGCCCATGGCGAAACCCCAGGCGGGATCCACGAAACGAGTCGAGTAGTGAGAGAACGAACCAGCAACAGGGAAAAGAACCGCCATTTCACCCAGAGCGTGAACAGTGCAGTATAACATAACACCAATGAGGCAGTAAGCAATGATGAGAGACGCGGGACCACCAGTTGCCAGGACAGAGCCGGAACCGACGAAGAGACCAGTACCTGTGGTATGTTAGATCTGCCGAGGCAAGATACCCATATACTATAGAGTATGGGAACATACCAATTGAACCACCAATGGCAATCATCTGCAAATGACGACCCTTCAGCCGACGCTGCAGAGGCGACGCGGCCGTGTTGGCAGCAGCACCCTCGATATCAAATCCAGATCCATCAGCACCCTCGGAATGGCCGCCCGTAACGTTGGCATTAGGGTCGCGCTTGAAGCTGTCAATGAATCGCTGGCCTAAACTGGCCTTCGTAGTATGAGTGTCTCCATATGCAGGTAGTTGGTCTGGAGACGATGTCTGGACCGTACTCTCTTCGAACTTCTTCTCATCCATGATGAAAGATTGTTAAAACCAGAGGGAGAGGGTGGTGTGGATTTATCGGGAGGAAAAGAGGGGGCGAATTTTCACCAGAAATAGGACTCTAGAGGCAAATCCTAAAAGGTTTACCTTAAGAAGCAGCGCCTGAAGTCACTACTCTGAAGACTAAAGTGAAAAGGGGCGGAGTGATCGGAGGGAGAGGGAAGGGGGGAGGGGGGAGAACCGAGGCTACCAGAGGAAAGGAAAGTGAGGAAATTGGGGGAGGCAAGTTGATTTAAATACGGGCAGAAACGAGGCCAGGGATTCTCAAGAGGTATTTCTCGCGGTCGAGTCTCTGGCAGGTTGATCGGGCCAATGGGTGGCACTGATATCGCGCTTGGGTACAACAGATGGTCGAGGCTAAAGTTGGCGGGCATCGAGTGATCCAATGATGCCCTTGGCGCTGATGAGAGTTTTTGGGGGGAATTAAGCTGCTTTCAGAGTTCCAGTACATCTACGGAGTGTATTGTAGACCCTAGTCTTCTCTATATCATCCTAAATTGTGGAAATAGCTATTGAGAACCTCCGTCTTGCATCAAGTATTTCGAAACTATTCGCGAAGAATATCATTGCCGTCTGTCATTGTATGGGATGATATCTATTCAACTCGATAAGAAATGCCCACAGTGGAACCGAATCCACCAGAGCAGCAGCATGTTCACTGTTTCGGAGTTTGTTCGCACTAGTGCGTCTCTCCGCCACCCACACTTATCACTCGCGTGATTTAGATGGAATGTCAGAACGGGACGATCCTAACCCCGGTGTGGCCGATACGCTACGCTACGGTTTGATCCCAGCTTACTTTTTGCCTCGCCGTGGTTCAAGACTAGCACATGGGTTGACCTCCGATACCTCAACCTCAACCCCTGGTACGACCCTGCGTCTGCTTCGGCCCTTAGTTCTATCGGGGTTTCTATCTCTGTCTTTTCTCCCTCCCTTTCCTTCTCCATATCTACCCTGCTTCCTTCCACCGCCACATCCCAATTAGAAACACCAGAACGGCAGGGATCGTGCCCCCCACTAGTCCCCATGCGGCCGCCTCTCCGCACTTTCAGCGATAGGCGATCTTGGCCCAATCATTGGTTTGTTACCATAGGTAGGCTGATAAGGTCAAAGGTCCAAGGGAGGTGGGTCACGGCCCTGCCATCTCATCTCGGGGGGGAGGGATCCATACAATAGAATTCTCGTTTTCCTTTTTTGCTGGGGCGGTCCAGGTTGGGGTCTAGTCGGGGCCCAATCATCTCGAGGGAGTTCCAACCCAGCAAGCTTGCTGCATCTCACCCACCCGTTTAATCAGTCGAATCATGGATGGTGGCGGCCGGACGGGATAAGCACTTCTTTTCAGCCAGCAACCGCCCCCTTACCTATGGGAAGGCTTCCCGACGGGGATCCGTCCCTGCTGGGCGCCATGGGATGTGGCCACGCATGTGTGCAATCTCCAGATCCCTGTGTGGAAGGTGGTAAAAGACGCGACATGGCTACATACGAGGCTGGATCGGAATCGGGCGTGGCACGCATGTGTATACCCCGGACAAAACACCTTCATCCTCTTAGCGAGTAACTACCTACTAGTTCTTAAGCGCTAATATAACGGAATCTTCCGGTCTCCGTTTTTCAGGATCTTGGATACATAGACTTGGTCGGGGCCACTGGGGGTCACCATCGCCAAGTCGTGTCAGTGCAAACCACTGGCCGAGGCAAGTCGCCAGCGCGATGGTCACAGTGAGTTATCCGCCAACACCCGTGATTCGTCCCGCCCGTCGCTCACTCTGCCACTGATATGCATGGAAGCACGGGAGAACCAATGCTAAACCATGGGGTGGTCGAGTATTCCCCGGCGTATGCGTCGTCGTCCCATAGGTATCACGCGGCATGGCGGCGCCTCGGTCACGATCATTCGATGACCCAGCTTTGGATACTGCATTAGAATTCTCGTGTCCTCGCCCAGCGCCCAGATGTCTGGGCACACTTTTCTCGGATCACCAAGAACTCGTCAAGATCAGGTTTGGTAAATTGAGTGTTTTGTTCTCGTGTCTCGGCAGCTGCCAAGTTTCTTTGCTTTGCTTCGCTTAGCTTCGCCCGGACTGTTTGCTCTCCTGGATGGGGAGAATTGTAGCGAACTGCAAGGGAAGATCTGAAAAGTTTCTGATCTCAAACGGTGCGTTGTAGATCGTACGACCAAATCCTTCTAGAAGCATATTTACCTGCCTTTGCAGTTGGGAGTAACTCGATATAGACTGGGTCTGGCCACAATATGGGGGAAGGGAATTGCCAGTGGTCAGATCGACCCTGAGCGCAGGCGCAGCATCGTTATCGAAGCCTCTAGCCAGGCGCTGATCCTGTTCAGACAGAATCTAGGTCCCAAACGCCCGACTCTATCGTAGAGAACCCCAGGCATGATCGCAGGATCGCAAGGGGTTCTGGAATCAGCTCCTCAGCCCAGGCTCGATGCAGCGATTCCTGCGACTGCGCCCGATACTCGAGACTTTGCGCGCGATGCTTGACTTTCAGCCACGGCAGCCACCCCTTTTGATGGCGCTCAACTGGCGTTGTCACTGGCTACATGCGCTGGACAGATAGCCACGGTAGCATCGGGCTGGGTTGGCAGTGCGCGTGCTCCTCGGGCGAGCATTGCCTTTGTAGGGGAGCCAAGGCCGGTCGGGGTGTTGCAGCTGGGCTGTCTATTATTTGGTGTCTTGGATTTGATTTGATGGTGGTGATGCGATGCGATCGTGGATGTTTGTATTCACTGGGATGTTCGGAGGCGGAGATATCCTACAGTCATAAGACAGATAGTACTTAATCTTATGATTTCTTCTGCCCCTTTTCCCTCACGGTATTCTGTGTTTTTATCGAACATATCATCCTCTAATTAATACGAGTAGACCCTGCTGAAGTGAAGAATAAGTGGGTACGGGTCTATCTCTCTACTTTGTACGGAGTAGTAGCCAACCACCGGAACTGCACCTGATTCAGGACTCTATGGGTCATGCAATGCTTTCTGCCTAATCGCCACTCGCCAAGTGAATCGCAAAACACAGGATGACCTGAGTACATTTTCAGCGCTGGATAAGCGAAATCCCCGGTCGCTTTAGAGTTGTCCCACTCGCCGAAGGTGTGACTTTAGCTCTCACTACAAAATGCGGGGAGATGCAAGTTGTTAGGTAACAGTTTCCACACTCTCGCCCGGGTTTCTGGGGTAGACCAATTCGCACGGCACAGCTTGACGAATGATGCGAATGATGACTCGGTCTTTTTGTCAGGCTATTTTGCGCGAATTAACGCCCAATGTTGTTGTTGGAGTGTGAGATGCTGCCACACTGTTAGAATCGGATCCCTCAAGGGGTCCAACTGAGTCCCCACAGAATTCGGCAGGGCCACATGCTTCCTTTTTCTCTCTCTCCTTGTCTTATTTCGGATTTAATAATCCAAGAGTATTGTTCACACACTTCTGTTTAGAAACAATTGACATTGCTACTCCTACTTCCTGTAATATTTCCTACTGGATTAGTTATTAGGTAATCTATATCATATGAGACTTGAATCATGAATCCTGAACTCTACATGGACTCCGCTCGTTTCAAAGATGCATACATGCATCAAACTTTGGCTAAAATCCCGAGCAGAACCTTGCTCTGTCTGTCTTTCAACTTACCCCATAAACCGGCCCGGTTCGGTCTACCCCAGACTGTCTTCCAACATGGTTGTGATCTTCACCCCGGACTGGGAGGTGGCTAACTAGTTGCCGCAGCTAGTTCACGCACGTTCATCTAAGAAGGGAGGTGTTGGGGTACGGAGAACGTTCAGACATGCATATGCGATCCACCATGATTTCATTTAGGAGAACTCGACCGTGGGGCACTTCGTCCTGTATTCCCTTCAGTCTGGGGAAACCGGGGCTACCCATCCCAAGAAACGATTTATTCGGCCCTCATTCTACGCATCCAGACCCCACACTTTAGCCACGCCCCCTCCATCTGAATACAAAGCCCGTGATTGTGGAGCCTTCAATTCCAAGATTACGCGTGGTTTAATCGTAGCAGTGTCAAGGATATTAGCTGAATAGCCGGTTATCACGCCCGGGGTGCACAACAGGGGTTCCTGGATGTCCGTCTATATCCGCTGCTAAGCTAGCCGAAGCATCTAGCTTTGGGTGGCGGTGATTGATGGCTTACAGTGTGCATTGGGGCTTTGAGTGGCGCTGGATTTGTGATTGGGGGGGAGATTAGGTGTTTTGTGTGACGGCGCGCCAAGGACCTCTAGAGCTGGTGTGATATCGACGCAGTACTCCCGAGGCGCGTTTGGCGGGAAGTCTTCGTAGAAGTCTAAGACATTAACGCCTCAGGAATATACCCTTTCCTTGGCGATCTTGGAAATAATACAGTAAAGGGGGTGAGCTGGAATAGTTCCAGAAACTGGCGCGTCTTCATCGTTAAGGGTTGGAAAAGGAACAAGATCATGAGGTGTTTGGTTGAACCAATTAATTCTATTGATGTTTTCATGTCATTGCATTCGGTATCATTAACACACAAAGTTCTTTTCGTTATGTTGAAAAAGCAAGCTCGCTTATGCGCCGGCAGTAGGGCCTTCTCCACCGGGAATCAACTGGAAAGGGTCAGTAGAGCACCCAAAGGTAGCTAGAGGTAAACCATACCATGCAGATGTTGTTTCCATTCAGCAGAAGCTTGGGCAGCTTGATCTGGGCGCCAGTGTAGTCGCTAAAACCGAGTTAGTCGCCATGATATGTCGAGAAGGTCTCTCACTGGGGTGATACACGCGAATATGACAGCCAGGTGTCACTTCGCGAATCACACCACGCAGGGTACATACAATTCAGTAACATCTTCCAGGACCATGTCTGCGACTTTTGTTAGCATACTCTTCCATCAACTTGTTTCATAGAAAGGAAGGGATACTCACTGACGTAGTCATCAAACCCGAGCAGGGTACCGGAGAACTCTGTAAGTCATGTTAGCTTCTCAGTCCACCTCTATCAACTAATTAATTAGCACCTACCCTTGTCGCCCTTCATCACAACCCAAATCCGGGAGCCGACACACTTGTCGATAAGCTCTATTGAAGGGTTAGCGGGGGGGTCTCGCGGATGGCGGGGCAGTTGAACACTCACCCAGAGGGAGCAGCTGGGAGGCCATGATTGTTGGTATTCAGTGAGATCTGCGTGACCTGACGAGATTCTCCAGCGACTTGTTCCAGCAATGAATTGATACGGCGTGCAAAGAAGGGGATGTATATACAAAAATCGGCCGTCGGGGAGCTGCGATCTCTTTGCATCACGTGGTACCAAACACTAGTCCTAAAAAGGTATGGTGTCGCCTCTGCGCTGCCTGACTGCTTGTCGCCGCACCTTCAAGTTGCACTTCTTCACAGCTCACAGTTCCTCGAGAAGTACATGTTGTCGGTGAATTGAACTGTTCGCGCGATTGAATTGGTCCAACACATTTTATGTGTCTTGACCAACCGAGTTTCTTTCGCCTGCAAACCCACTATGCTTGCTCCGCAGCATGCGGAACTGGGGGAGCCTTCCGGCGAGTCTGAGGCGTGCGCCCTCGGCCTGCCCAGCTCACTACAGTCCCTGCAATCGTCGCTGCAATAACCCTGCCACGGTAAATGCCTTCGGCTCGACGTTTGTGCTCCACACCTGAGGATCATTTTCAATGCTAGTTTATTGACATCCATGGCTTTCACAGCGCTCAATACTCCACTCTCTATGCAGCACCTTCCTCCCTAAGAACCGCCCGTACAGGAGAAAGACTAGGTCGACGAATAAATAACGCACGAATCGTACGCCCTTTCTCGAATACACGCTGCTCTCGAATCAAGCTTGAGGAAGAGGACGAGGAAGAGGAGCCGCCTGCTCGTCCCACCCCCACCCCACGCTATGGAGGAACTGGAAAACGGCCGCTGAAGAGGCCCATGCCGGTCAAAGCTGAACTAGCACAGCTTATCAGGTCTCGAAGAAATGAGGCGCCTCTTCCTCCGCCTCCAAAACCTTTCAACCCGGCTGAATTGCGAGCAATTGACAAGAAGGCGAGCGTGGCGTTCTCGCTCAATCTGCCTCAGCTGAGTCGTGACTTTCTGCAATTGAAATGGGCCCATCTTGAGGATCACATACTGCACTGCGCGGCGATCAACATGCAGTTTCAGACGGAGTACCACGAAGTTATTTCGGCGCTGGTCGTCCAGATCGAGGATCAAGTACTGCAGAGCAGTGCGATTTGCCGGAGTCTGGAAGACCAATATTGCAGGGTTGCGTTCCGCCAGGTGCCAGGTCTGACCAAGGATGTATCACAAGCTATCCTTGATGTCACAAAGTTACGGCTCATGGCAAGCACCCTGCTGGTTATGCACTCGCAGCGTGTTACGCAAGATTTGCGAAACCAGCTCTACCAGGAGTTTATTCGGCCCCGAGACATTGCGCGGCACAGGATTGATGGACTTCTTGATTACTCCACAGGTCTTAGACTCAGCTACGACCTCTTGAAAGAAAAGCATAAAACCGTTAAGGAAGGTCTGCTTGAAATCAGACACGACTGCCGTCTCTTAGGGTCGAAATTCAAACGATATTGGGATAAGTTCGGAGATGATTTGCAGGAGTTTAGTTATACGGGGCACTTTTATCGCCATGCCTGGTTCAGTCGCCAGAAGAGGCTTGATCCTCTCAGGGCGGCAGAGCCATGGAATATAACCAAATCGCCGGCCGAGTTACCACCTGTGGATTTTGAACCAATTGAAGCCATGCTATTCGACGATAAAAAGTATCTTCCCGCAAAGCGAAAGCTTGAGAAGCGCCCTCTTCTACACGCAAGTCGTATTCGAATGATGTTCATGCGTAAATGGAAACCCGGAATCTCCGCCCAGTCGCCAGAACTCGACTTGCATTGGCGGCAGCTCGATATCATGGCACCTTTCTTCCTCCAGTTGAAGCATTATGATATTCTGTATAACGAGGCTCGTTATCTTCTGGGTACTTTCACTGGCCAGGTAGGACCATTGTGGTCTAATATCGAACCAGACAGGCATGAAATTCACAAGGTCGCCTTGTACGGATTCGTCGCACGTGTTCGAAAAAGTCGAATTGATCTAATCGCGGAGCTTGAGGAATATAGATTCATCAACTGGGTTCGCATTGGATTAGAGAAAGAATTTTTCGACAACAATCGGCAGAATGAGATCCAAGGGCGTGGTTTGTTCGTGGTGCCGCGTCCGCTGAGCGAAAACCTCCCGCTTTTTGAGGACTGGACTCGAAAGCTTACCTCATCGATCCATTACTCCTGGATCCCTCTTAGGGCCCTTCTGGTGTCCAATGGTCCCGTTAGTAATGGCGCTGTTTGGACAAGGTGGCTGCAGATTCTCGGGGACAAGGAAAGGCAGCAAGCCCTTGATAGGCGTGCCGAGACTATGAATTTGGGCTTCGTTCCTGTCCAACGCAGAGGAAGAATTCGCCCCAACTTGCCCACCAAAAACCAACAAAAGGCCTCTGCTGCAGAAAAGAAGCCGTGGCCCGTTGATAAAAAGACAAGTGAAGATACTGCTGCAGCGAAGAAGCCGTCCAAGAAACAGGCAACGCCAGCCAAAGATCCTAACGCAGCAAAGAAGCTACGGGAAATCCGGAAAATGTCACTCAAAGATTCCGAAAATATGACCATTGGGCAACTTGCTTCTCGCGCCGAAATACACACTCGTGGTGGCAAGCAAATAAAGAAAGAGAAGCGCAAGTCATCTCGTGCAAGCCGAGATAGTGAGCGAAAAGAAGTCTCCAAAAGCGTGGACGAAATCGTGGGGCAGCATCCAGATTCGAAGAACGATCCAGAGATACCTTCTCCGAAGAGCGATCATTCAGCAAAGGCCCCTAGTCGTGTCTCGTCTTTTTTCAACTCTTTTGGTTTTTTCCAACAAAATTCCTCCAAACGAAAATACAGCACTCTCGCGACAACCTTGGGTAGGACCAAAGACTGCAGCCAGCTTGAAGCTGCAATTGAACAGTCATCCGATCTCAGTCTTCCGACCACCGGGACCGTCTCCCCATTGGCGGGGGATGCAGCTCTACCCAGCGGACTGACACCACCCCGGTTCTGGAGCCACAGTTCACAGCGGGGACCAAATGGTCAAAGGCCTATAGTTCACTACTGCCGGTCCCTCGAAAGCACAGAAGAAGTTGCCCAGCTATTCTTCAACAGCAAAGTCATCGGCTTTGACATGGAGTGGAAAGCACAGGCAAGTGCTTCCGATACTATCCAAAACAACCTCTCCATGATCCAAATCGCAAACGAAGAGCGCATCGGTCTATTCCAAATCGCTCTTTTCAAGCCAGCTCGTACACTAGACGACTTCGTCGCGCCTTCGCTGAAGCGTCTCCTCGAGTCGGAAGAAGTCACAAAGGTCGGCGTCTCAATTAAAGCAGACGCAACGCGTCTCCGCAAATTCCTCGGCATCGACACCCGCTCTATATTGGAGCTTAGTCATTTGTTCAAGCTTGTTAAGCATGGTCACACGGATCCCAAGTTGGTCAATAAGCGAATGGTCAATCTCAGTGAGCAGATGGAGGAGCATTTCGGATTGCCCCTTGAGAAGAGTGAGGATGTGCGTTGTGGCGATTGGGCTCGTCCGTTGAATTACCGCCAAGTCCAGTGTAAGATTTATTGTTCCCCTTTCTCCCCTACTTCCATTTTCACAGAGCAATGCTGAATAGATGCTTTTCCTATAGACGCCGCAACCGACCCTTACGCTTGCATTTGTCTTTTCAACACCATGGAAGAGAAGAGGGTGGCTATGGATCCTATGCCGCCTCGCCCCGCGCATGCGGAACTCAATTTACCTATTCTTCTTCCTCGAGAGAAAGTAACGAGTGATGAAGAGAAGGAATCTCTTTTCGATAAGACATCTGATGTCGATGTAAATCGGCATCCTTGATCTCGTTTCCGTGACTTTCTCGGTCCTTGTCTTCATTCAGCATTTTGAAAGCCCTCTTTTGCCATTTTTTTGCATCTATTGGTTTACATAGAACCGGGCATCGCATCTCATCTCATCTTCCTCTTGTTTGATGTTAATGTTTACACATTGGAGTCTTTCACCTGCCCAGGTGGGCACTTGAGTGATTGTGTATAAAGATGGATTGCTGTATATTTCTCAATCGACCCGAGACCGTGAGCTTAAGAACATGAAACTTGAAGATACTACTTAACCCCGGAAGTCGCCGTGGAAAACTAGTAGCCACCCAGCTGGATCTCTATATGATTCCTTTCGTTCAATGTTCTACCTAGGTACGTGGAACTCGACCACAGTAAACATCACAAGTATGCCCAGGTGGGCGGCCGTATTGTGACACTGCTCAGGCTGAAGACAGATATTGTTCCCTGAGAGAACCTCACATTGGGCAATGCATACCTGGGTTTCAGCGTTGAGACAAATCGAAATAGGTATCATAGATTGTGCATGTCTCCGCCGCTAACTAGTACAAGCGTACTACTAGAAACTGGGGCCAGGGCCAGGGCCAGGATCAAAACCTTGGAACACTACCTAGGTAATCTCGGCTCTTTGGAACTTCCGAGTACTAGTAGGGTATTACTAGGTAGGTAGTGGTAGCCCCGGGCCTGAATATGTTCGAAATTTCGATTATTTTCGGTAGTAATACTAATACTAGTAGCCTTGGAGTATAGCGTCACTGGGTATAAATTCATGTGATCTAGTCAAGTATATACAAACATGCAAAATATTTCCGTAAGAAAAAGCATTGTGCACAACACATGCACTGTCTCTTATCCTACCCCCTCAACGGCAAAACCTTAGCCAAAAGAACTTCCTGCCGACAAAGCGGACACTCAGGCTTCTCCCTCACCCAATCCCTCACACAAGTCCAGCAGAAAACATGTCCACAAGTCGTAACGCTCGGATCCTTAAAGACCTCTAAGCAAAGCGTACACTTCCGTTGCTGACCCTCCGGAATCCACGATACCGCACCAGGCTCTTCTTCCAGATCATATCTGGCGGCCGAAGCAGGTAGCAACGGGACCGCGGACGGGTGCTGGATGGAAGTAATCAGACCACCGCCGGCCCCAGAACGATCCCCGTCACCTGCAGCGAGGGAAGAGTCATCCTCATTGGCGGAAGCACTGATCTTGCGGACATGCAGGAACCCCTGAACGGCAATTTGAAGGACCATTAGGACGCCGAGAACTTCGTAGCCGACGCGTTGCTCGTTTGCGTCAATTTTCTTCGTGAAGACGTAGCGCAGGCGCCAGATGCGTTTTGCTAGGTGGTAGTAACTACCTGTGAAGTAAAAGGTGATTATGCTAAGGGCGTAGATCGGGGACACGGATGTGAGTGAGTCCAGGTGTTCGAGAATATATTGCTGGAGGCGTAGCTTTGTGAAGAAGCGGCGGCCGGATGACGCTGATGCGGATTTGGGAGCATCGGGTGTGGAGAGGGTTGGTTTATTGAGGAGAGTTGCTTGTTGTGCGGCGCGGAATTGCTGCTTTGCGATGCTGCGTTCGAGTTTGGCGCGGACGCGTTGGCGGAAGGATGGCAGGGCTCGTTGTAAGGTCCATGGAACTAGGATCGTGCTGAGGATGTAGCCGACTCGTCGGGTTATGGCTGGTAGGCGAAGGGTGTCATCTTCTAGTTGGACTAGATCGCAGTATTCTTCGCCTAGGGTGCGGTTGCCAATCGCGGTTGTCAGGGAGAAGTAGATGAGTTCGGTTATGTGTTTGATGGAGTTGGAGTGGGCGTGGGCGTAGCGGGCTCCGCGGAGGGCGCGCACGATTGATTGGGCTTGTTGGACGAGACCACCTGTACAGAAAGCATCTTTCTCATGAGAGCGGATGATATCTGGGGAAGTTGCGAAGGGGTAGAAGTGGGAGGTTGACGAGCCGAGGGAGTCGGTGTTGGGTGTGGAGAGGGAGAGATGGGGGTCGTCGTCGGCCATGGTGGGTGAGGTGGGAGGGTGAGTGAGTGTGTGAGTGGTCAAGAAGAGATTGACTGGATGTATGTCACACTGGTGATCAGTGCCTTCCCAGCGACTCCGTACATAACACACCAACAAGGAGAGTGGAAGTGAAGCTTCCCCGGAGACAAGATGGAGATGGCCGATCCCCGGACTGCCCACCGCGACAGCCGAGGCAGTTGAGTGTCCAGGTCACCTGACAAAGTCACAGTACCCACGTGACTATTACCTAATCGGCCGCACCCGGCAGCCACCAACCAGCCACCACCACCACCACCTTCCTTGTCATGAAGAAAGACTACTGTCTCTTGTATATTGTATAAAATACATTTTCTGTACCTCATATTCAGTACTCGACTTTATCTCGTACATCTTGTACATCTCATACATCTTGTGCATGTACCTTTCGAAATTGATGCTATTTCGGCAAACACAGGCGAAGACTCTCAACCAGTGAAAAGACGTACAGGAGTGGGTGCAGGGATCACCATGATGCCATTGTGGGTTTAGCGACTCCCCTTGGAAGACCTGGATGCGCCCCTGACTGTCGATCGCTGCGGATCTTTGCGCGCGCATGGTCTGGCGACCGCTCTGGTGCAGAGAAATCATCTCCACCGGCTCCAGCGAAGGCCCAGACTAGTCGCGTTTGAGTCGAGTGTTGCGTCCGCAGTGGCCCAGTGGCCCCCGACTTGCCTACTCCGTACTACCCAGTGGACTTGTGGATTGCCCTGGGCTGCCCAGTGGACTGCCTGGACTGCGGTGGACTCTGCCTGCGGACTGGCCTGCGTGCTTAATAACCCGAAAGCGGACGCGGCAGTCTAACGTTTCAATCCCAATCCAATCTATTCCTATTCCACTTCTTGCTTCCTCACCCCTAGTCATTCTTTTTCTTTTTTTTTCGAGTGTTGACCCCACGGGGATTTTACTTTTTACAAGAACAACCCTTCCTACAACCCTGATCCCTTCTCCCTTTCATCCATGGAATAATGGGGCCTGATCAACATGCTCAGTTGGATGGCTTTGGGCGGACCTTCCCATTCCCCATCCGGGTAGCTGCCCTTATGGTGGCCGGTACGTGGATTTCGCGATCTGGAACAGGGATTGGGTCAACTGCTAACCTCTTTGCTTGCCAGGTTTCTGGGGTTGGGCCATAATCTTGCAGTATCTCGAAAGGACCGACATTGTAAGTGTGGCGTACCCGCAATCCGCAATCCGCAACCCCTCTAATCGACTACCTGCCCAACATTCAACATCCCCCAAATTATCTGTTCGAACTGCCTTCTAACTGATTGTGCCTGGCTTGCTACAGAAAATTCACGATCTGGTCGGATATCCTTCCTCCACGAATCCACGACATCACACCGCCGCCTACCGCCTCGCCGCCATCTTCACCATTCCCCTGGCCATCTGGCAGATCGCCTTCTGGATCGCCACACACCGTGAATTCAAGCTGGTCGAACACTTCGATTTCATTCCGCAATCCGTCTTCGTCATCCTTCTCATCATTCTCATATGGCCGTTCAATAGAGCCGCCCGATCAGGCCGCGTACGGTTCCTCCTGACTTTCAAGCGGGTTATTTTTGGCGGTCTGGCCGAGAACGCAGAGGCCAAGTTCGGTGATATTCTGCTGGCAGATGCCCTGACGAGCTATGCCCGCGTACTTGCCGACCTATACGTGTCCTTCTGCATGTTCTTCACCGATGGTTGGCACTCCACCAACAAGCCCAACCGGGCTTGCGGAAACGAAATCGTCGTGCCGATCATTCTGGCCGTCCCGAGCGCCATCCGACTGCGCCAATGCTTAACCGAATACTTCCGGGCTCGTCGAGCACCCTCACGGCGAGGGGCTCCCAGCAAGGCAAACCAGCATTTGGCCAACGCCCTGAAATATGCCACTGCCTTCCCCGTGATTTGGCTGGCGGCCAGGCTCCGCAATTATAGCCCTCTGACTTTCCATGGCTACAGCGAGGTCTCTATTATGCGCCTCCTGTAAGGAATTTGCTCCCCTCCCCGCATTTTGGATTCGCATAGTTCTAGTCTCTCTAATCTTCCATCTCTCTCAGATTCATTGCCTCCTTCGTTAATTCCAGCTACTCCTTCTGGTGGGATGTGGTTAAGGATTGGGACCTGACCCTTTTCTCCTCCGAACGCTGCGATTCGAGCCACCCCTACGGCCTACGCTTCAACCGCTGCTTCCACTCCGATCGCTTGTATCACTTGGTGATCTTCACTGACCTTGCCCTCCGATTCTCCTGGCTGTGGCGCATCCTCCCAGGACTATCATGGATCACCGAGACGGAATGCGGTTTATTCATCCTGATGTTCCTCGAAGTAGCCCGTCGGTGGATGTGGGTGTTCTTCCGAGTAGAGGCCGAGCACTGTATGTTTCACTATCCGCTGTACCATCCCGCGTACAAAAATAGGCCCGAGCCGCTCATCGCGGTTTCGGATTTATGAGTCCGATGACCTGATTAGCTAACCATATTGTTTCCTGTGCAACAGTTCGGAACAAATTCGGTCCCAATTATGAAGAGATCCACCTTGGCGAATCGAACGGCAAGATCGACAAGGATTGAGTGTTTTTTGTAAAAAAAAAAAACAAAAAACAAAAACTTTCATCCTATTTTGCGATTGTCGCACTCTACCGCAATTCACCCTTGACCAACAAATTTGAAAACGAGCATGAGACACAGAACTTTCCTTTTATTTCCCACTTTACATCCCTATCGACTACCCCCTCCAACAAATACCGTCTAGAACACTTTATAGATACGAGACGAGATCCGATTCTCCGAAATGCTTGCTCGGTGTCTGGAAAGCGCATTGATTCTACCTGTTTGCCTACTGTTCAATATCCATTATCCATTTTCCGATCGATACTTGATTTGTTTACCCTCGGGCTCGTCTCATTCGAACCACCACTTCGCCAGGCTGGGCATTTTTCCCTTTTTTTCTTCCCCGGTTTCGCCACTGTCTCAGAATTTCAATTCGAACTTGACTTGACTTGACTAGGGTAAGGTTTCGGCTTTTGTTTTTACTCTCGTTCGGTTTTGCTTTTTTTTTTCCGAGTCAGGGTGCGGGGGCTCATGTGTGGCATGCATGGAATGGAGCGAGGAGTGTTTGCGAGTCTATTTTTGAACCCTTTTCTCGTTCGGCCCTGATTTTCCAGGGATTCGGAGTGATTGAGCATCGAAGGGCTTGGGGCTTGGCTTGCCTTTGTATATATACCTTTCTTTTTCTCGTCTCGCTTTCCTTACCATATCTTTCTTCGTGTTTTTCTGGGGAAGCTTGCTAGGTTGCGAGTGAATGTACAATATGGGTTCAGAGGACTTGGGTTCTTTGCTAATGGGATTTCGATATGATACATCATTCATGTCTGTTCAACCGTAGTATCAAGAAATGGAATACTAGTGCTAGTCCTCTAGTGACAAGAAAAGGTGATCTTTCAGCGTTTGCACCGGAGCCAGCCCACCACGCCCGCCGAGCTTCGTTTTGCGAGTGTGCAGTGCCTGCACCTGGAGCTGCTCGGCCTCTTCCCACCGACCCTGTTCCACATATGTTGATGCTAGGTTGGCTATCCTCGAAATTGTGTGGGGATGGTCCTCGCCGAGCTTAGCCTTGCTCGTCTCCATCGCCTGCACCTGGAGCTTCTCGGCCTCTCCTAATTGGCCCTGGTCCCTGTACGTCAACGCCAGGTTGTTCATACTCATAAGCGTATCGGGATGATCCTCGCCGAGCTTCATCTTACTCGTCTCCATCACCTGCACCTGGAGCTTCTCGGCCTCTTCCCACTGACCCTGGCCCCGGTACGTCAATGCCAGCTTGCTCATACTCGAAAGCGTAGAGGGGTGGTCTTCACCGAGCTTCCTCTTGCGATATTCCATCACCTGCACTTGGACTTTCTCGGCCTCTATCCACTGACCCTGCTTTGTGTACGTCAACGCCAGGTTGCCTATGCTCCTAAGTGTGTCGGGATGATCCTCGCCAAGCGTCTTCTTGCGAGTATGCAGTACCTGCACCTCGAGTTGCTCGGCCTCTTCCCACCGGCCCTGGCTCCAGTATGTCGCTGTCAGGTTGGCCATACTCGTAAGTGTGTCAGGATGGTCCTCGCCAAGTGTCACCTTGCTCATCTCTATCACGTGCACCTGGAGCTGCTCGGCCTCTTCCCACCGACCCTGCTTCCAGTATGTCGATGCCAGGTTGTCTATACTCGATAGCGTAGAGGGATGGTCCTCGCCGAGCTTCGTCTTGCGAGTCTCCATCACCTGCACCTCGAGTTGCTCGGACTCCTCCCACCGGCCCTCGAGCCAGTATGCTGTTGCAACCATGTTTGTACTATCAAGTACATCTTTATCGTCGTCATTAAATAATAACATTCTCTGATCTCTTGATTTCGTTGCCATTTCTCTCTCATATCCATGATATTTCCATTTTGCCATGCATACCATGCACCCTTGAAAAGCAAAGTCGCCCATTGCTCTAAAGACTCTAGTGAATTTGGCCGTTGTGACATTGCGGACTTGACATGAGAAAAGAGTGGTCTGCACCTCTCCCAGTTTTCGTATTCACCGGTGGGAAACTCTTCACAGAGGGTGCTGATAAATTTATCCCTCCAATGGTCTATTTGTCCGTGAGATTTTAACCACGCGCGTGTAGTCAGTTGCACCAGCCGATGCATCGTAAAAGAAGTGCTGTTCTCCTTGACAGATATAAATGAATAGTTACTTAGTATGGCGACGTTATCTTCAAAATCGGCACCTAGTTCAAATTCAGATGTTTCCCTGTCACTGAATTCATTTGGAAGTTCTGGACTTGATATCTCGTTGACCTGAGGTTGACGTAAGATAAGGTTCTCTGGTATCCCTTCCCGATCGAAAAAGCTCATAAAAGAAAGTAACTTCGCAGCAGACGGCTTTGTTTGACGTATATAGTCAAATGATAGTTGCCAAGTTACCAAAATTGAATTCTTTGCTTCCCAGTCGCGGTAAAGGTAGCCTGCCTCTTCTTCCAGAAGCTTTGTCGCTTCGCGGTCACTCTTTTGGAAATCTCTTAGGTAATGTGACACCGAATAGCGAGGCGCCCGAATTTGAATATAGCTAGCGGCCTGTACAATCGCTAGCGGCATGAATTCTAACGCGTTCACTAACTGTTGACTTTCTTGTCCATCACATGGTTGTTCGAGCTTTCTTCGGAGAAGCTCAAGTGCTTCAGACCCTTCCATGGGTTTAACCTCAATAAGGTCATGGTGATGGACTATCTTTAGTGCGACCTTCCTGTTTCGGCTGGTGATAATGATAGATCCATTTTGGCTTCTAGGGACGTATTCTAATAGTGGTTTTGTCGAGGCGTTCGTTAGGCTTCTCATCGGATCTCCTTTGCCTACCACCGGAACCGGGCCAAGAAGCTGATCGTCATCAACGTTGTCAAGGATACATACCCATTTCCGTATTTTCTCATTCCGGAGCCATTTTTCGACCAATTTGAATATGTCAGTCTTAGGATCTTGACGCCCCGGGATTTTAACCTGGTCCGCAATGTCCCGGAAACTTTCTTCGAATCGGGCTTCGTTACTTGCATGGACCCAGAAAACCCATGTCGCTGGCGATTTGGATCGGACCTGATAGGAGTATTCGATGGCAAGTTGTGATTTTCTTCGAGTTGTGAGCGAAGCCTAAGTACTGGTCTCTCTACACTCACCCGACACCGCCGAGACCCACTAGCGCTATTCTCGACCCTCCCCCCTGGCACCGAGGCTTTCTCGTGAATCTTATGGAGCAGCGTGTCGCGAGCGACAAAATGTGGATCGCGCGGGAATGGAACAGTCGATAGAGGGCTAGGCGGGGTTTCCGGTCGCTCTAGGATGGGAAGCAGTGGTTAGTCAGTCGACGGTAAATTTGTCCAGTTCCTCGACTCACCCGGCGGCAGATGGAATTCTGCGTTGATCGAGCCACGGTTATCTCCGATCTGGAGCCCATGGTTGTTGCCACGGAACGATATCGATGCCATGATCAACTAAACTGCATCGTTTGGAGTTCATGACAAGACCCATTAGCCGATCCTCAGCTAGAGGAGGGGCACATGTCCAAAGCTTCACCATCAGGTGACCTTGCGGCGCCAAGAGAGGGATCTAGCTAGATAACCTCATTGGCAAGGCGGACATCCCTTCTGTTTGCTTGTTGCGGGACCAACGGTCTAGAAGCCCTTGAGACCATACAAGCTTATTACGGATGCTTTTATATTGTTATTCACAACCGTACTGGAATACTGCCAAGAAAGGGGTTCGGGGGTACATTAACCGTAAAGGTATAGCGAAGTTTCAAAAGAGGGTTAGAGAAAGAATCTCTGTGTGTAGGTGGTGAATCTGATTTCGATCCATCCTGTATCTCATATTCGCCAAGGATCTCTTTGCTGAAATGTTCAGTCCTTTCTTTCATTCTCTCTTTCTATTAAAATCATACTGAGAAGCTAGGGACGGAGAATCTTACAGCGTGCGTGGTCATCTTGCACAGATCGTCGGATTACTAGGTCCGCCACCAGTGGAGATTCTCCCACTTGGAAGTAATAGCAAAGAGTTCTTCGATAGTGATGGTAAGTTAGAATCCCCTTCCCCCACGAATGAAATCGAGAGACTTACATCTGTACAGGAAATTGGATCGTGGAAGATATTGAAATCAAAAGCGTGTCCCTTGAAGACAGAGCCAGGTCACGGACAATCGTGGGAGAACAAAGAAGAGAATTTCTATAGTTCATACGAGGCCTCCTTCAGTGGCTCCCAGTGGACCGTATACCGCTAAGCGTTATGCAAATGCACCCATTGCTTTGGGATCAAGAGCTGGATCCCGATTATGAAGAGAGGTATTATGAAATACCAAGGAGAAAGGCCCGGGAGATCCGGGAGGCGTGCCGTGAATCGGAAGAATCTGGGAAAGAGGTGCAGCCCCAATCAAATGAGAAGTCGAAAGTAGATGAGCATTCCGAGGCTGGTAGTCTCATCAGTGAAATGGTTTGGAGCGGGCCTACCAGTGATGTAGCACCTCTGAGGTTTAAGGATATTGACCTATCCGATGCATCTAAGGACAACTAGCCTAATTAGCTGTCATTGGAGAGTCGAACTGCCATGCCACCCGCTAGGGGCTCTAAGATATAGTACTATTAGTATGATATTTCACTTATTACAGTATTCTGAGTATTTCTGCATTTTCAAAGCTATCCTTCAAATACAGTACTAGTATTTATAGGTACTAGTTACATACTGTAGTCTCGACAAACAGTGTGACCACCTACACTCTTTCTTGTTTCTAAACCCTACTACCGACAAACTATAATCTAGTACTTTTGAATAAAGCCGTGCTAGCAATGTAGCATTCTATGTCTTACAATACAGTAGAAAATGTTGAGGCCTCAGCCTCGCGTACTCCAGATTGGCCTTTATTACAGCCTCCTTCCTTTGTCTAGATTATTTTCATCACACACTTTCATCATCACCATCTCTCCTCGTACATGGTAGTATTCAACCTCCGACATCAGCAAGACACCACGGGGTGCATACTAATTACACAAAATCGACCGTTCAATACGGCTTGCTCTGTTCTCCTCTTTCTGTCTGCCACAGCATCCTCTGCTCGCCCTGGAGTGACAAACCAGGAGTTCGCACGATATTCTCACCGTTCGCCTATCTAATCTTCGATATCTCCAGTATCTCTACATCATCTTCCAACGAGCACACTCTTCTTCATTTCAAGCAATGACGACCCCATCCGAAGAAAGTGCAGGGCACTTCGTAAACAAGTAAGTACCTGGGATACCCTTAGTAAATCGGTTATCTGACAATTGTATTATTTAGCATCCTTCCCCTCTATCAAGGCCCGTCTGTTAAAATTAGACTACAGCCTAGCAACAAGGAATATGTGGTTTCCAAACCCCTTCTCTGTGCGGAATCGTCGGTCTTCTCGAAAATGTTCAACCGTGAATTTCTAGAGTCGCAGCAGCAGACGGCCACTCTGGAAGAGACTGAGGACGATGTCTCGGTGCGTAGCCTTGAAGCACTTTTTCAATGGCTATATCGACGCACTGTCGAATTTGAGATAGAAGACCCAACAAATCATATTCCAGCAGCGTTGGAGCTCGCAAGACTTGCAGACAAGTACGAGATTACTGGGCTCGAAAATACAATAGCCCAATGTATCGAGGACATCATAATTTCCACCCCTCATCCAAAGAACAGCGCCACTTCAAGTCGGCGAGCTTTCAACACCCACACTTACTATCTCAGACGTGATCATATTGCCTCAGCAAGCATTTTGCATCAAGGGCATCCGGTGCGAACTGTTTTGGCTGCTGCATCCGTTGAAGGGTTTCTCCGCACCGAAACACCCAAGTTTAGTGAAGAGATTCAGGCCTACCCGTCTTTCGGAGCCGACGTCCTCTTAGAAATTAGGCGCACCCTACATTCGGGGATGACTCAGACTTTCACTTTTGAAGATCCCATCAGTGGAAAGAAATTGAAGGCACTCAGGGAAACTTGAATGTACTTAAGTTGTCTTGAACCAGTGGCATGAACGATAGTTGTCCTCGTCCAGGCGTTTGTGTGTACATGATTAATTAAAATCTAAGAATGTAGCCCATGATAAAGTCCAAACTTGTATCCTTGGAAGTTCAAGTTGGCAAAGTATACTGAGAGCCAGGGCTGCGTGAAGTGGGTGAAGTTTTACCAATGAGGTATCATCCGTACTTGGCCTTCGGCAAGTCCTCCAAGTTGTCTCGGCATGTTTGGAAGGTTTTAATAACGGAGTCACCCAAGGCAAAGTCAAAAGAAGAAATTTGTGCATGACCAGTCGTAAAACAATTCGAAAGGCCGATGAGTTATATAAAGAAAATAGCATCGCATCGCTCATAGAAAGAAAAGAAAAGAACACCACAAAACACCCTTCGAAAAGAAAAGAAAAGCACTAGATAGATGTAAAAGCAGACCAAACACTATAGCACATGAAAGAAAAACAGAAAGAAAGATAACGAGAAAAGAAAAGACCAAAAAATATGAACTTCAATGCTTAAATGTGGAAACTGTTGAATATCGTATCGTCCCTGTCGTGATTACCATGCCATGCCACATCCCACATTCCTCAAAATCATATGTCCTACCGCTGCCGCTACCTCTCACGCCGATCCGATCGGCGCGGCGGCGGAGAGCTATGATTCTCAAAAAGATCTTCCAAATACGCACTCGGTGCCCGGCCCTGCTGCGGCGCTTGACTAAGATTCAACGAGCTAGTCGACGCACCAACATACGACTGGCGCGCATTATGCTGCGCATCGTAGTATGTACCCGCACCAGCACCGGGACCAGTCGGTGGCAGGGACGGGGACGAACTGTTAGGCGGGTATCCTCCTCCGCTAGTATTCGGCGCACCACCAATCGAGTCCCTCGACGTCGAGTTATTACCGGCAGCAGTGTAGAACCCGGGAGGCAGGTATGTCGAGCCACGATTATTCGTCGTCGCATTGAGACTATGATGCGATCCTGCTCCCGCCGCGCCCGCACCACCGGCAGTCGGGGAGTAGAAGAGACCGCTGCCGCCGCTGGGTCCGCGCTTGGATGAGGGCTTGTAGCTGGCGCGGGTGGCTGCGCCGAGTTTCTCCAGCGAAACGTCGGTCGCGGGGGCGGGGGCGTAGACGGTTGATCGTTTCTTGCGACTGCCGCGGAGGAGGCGCTTGGATTCGGATTGGGCCATTGCTGCGCGGCGGACGGAGCGGTTTACGGACCATGCGACCATGCCTCGCCAGGCGAGCACGGCCAGGCCGATTAGGCCGAGGCGGCGCCGACGGCGATGAAGACTGTTCCCTCTGGTGTGTTTGTTGTCTGCATGTATGGTGCGTTTGCGGTCGGGGGTACGGTTACTATGGGGGCGCCCGTTGTGGTGGTTGATGAGGATGTTGATGTCGTTGTTGTGGAAACGGATGATGTTGTGGTGCTGTCGGTGGTTGAGGTTGAGGTTGAGGTTGAGGTTTCCGTGGAGGAGGTCGACGAAGTTGTCGTTGTATCCATGGTGGTGGTAGTTTTGTCCGACTTTGTGGAGGTGGAGGAGGATGAGGTCGTGGTTGTTTCGGTTTTCTCCGAGGACGAGGTTGAGGTGGTTTCCTTAGTTGTCGCAGTGGTTTCGGTCACGCTAGGGGTGCTTGTGCTTGTGCTGTCACTGGTGGAGCGATCGTCGGTGGTCTGGGCGACATCGGCTTTTGTCTCCGTCGTTTTATCCCCCGCCTTCTGGGCAGACACACGAGTAGCGATAACAATCACCAGCAAAAAAAGGAGAATCAGTCGTGGCTGGGATTTCCCCAGCCCTCGTGGGAGAAGTCGCATGGTGACCAGGCAGTAAACAATGAAATCAACGGATTCGATTCTCCACAGCGGGTCTGTGGAGTGTATGTAGATGGACGATCAGCGTGGATGCACAAGGTGAAGAATCCTCTGATCCTAAGCTCTTTCAAAGAACCTTTATCCCTGCTCTTGACGGCCCTCGCCCGTAAACGAGATCGTAATTCGTCCTGGCCGACAGGAAGCCTAGTCGGTGCGGTGTCTGTGTTCCTGGCAGATCAGGGGCTCGATGCACAATTTACAGGCCGCAGTGTGAGAGATAGACCATTGAGGTCAGTAGGTGAAACGAATGACTACCCCAGAGTGGAGGACAACGAGCGTTAGGGAATTAAGAGAGGGAGAAAAACCGCTTGGGGTAAGCGAGAATTAGAAGGAAGCGAAAAGAGGCGCCAAGTGAGTTGAGGCAAAGCGAGACGAGGTTGGCGGCCTCAGGCCAAACTCCGGGGTGGAAGTGTCACATGATATGCTACTAACTATAGCATGGCAAAGCAAAGCAGAGAAAAGCAGAGTAAAAATTACTCAATGTTATATCATACATGAAAATACGCAAGAACAAGAAATGTACCCCTGGGCCCGAAAATAAACGAGGAAATTGATGAAAACATGCAGTGTGCAAGGTATAAATCTAGCTTTAGTCCACCTCTCCCTCCGATCACTGCTGCTTCTTCGCAGCGGCGGAGGTGTCCTTCTCAAACGCAGCGTAGGGGACTTGAAGGCTACTCAGAGCACTGACACCGATATACAAAATGGTGACAAAGAGGAAGGTTGCAATCAGACCCATGAAGATACCTGTTCATAACGTTAGAAAGGGTCAAGTATCAAAGCCAAAGAGGGGTTAGGTTACGAACCAGGAGTGAAGAATTGGTATTCATCAAACAGAGACAACCTGCGGTCTGAGCCGGAATCATTGGAATCGGAGTTGTAGGAGGAGTAGTCACGCTTGAGGTCCATGTGGACGGGATCCTGGTAGCTAGAACCAGCTCCATCGGACTCGTAGATCACAGAGTCGGACTCGGGGAACTCGCGAGGTGAGGTAACGAAGAGGAGAGTATACTTGGACTTGGGGGGAAGACGATCAATGATATCGGAGATGAGGCCATCTGGGTTGGATCAGAGTCAGAACATTTTCCCTAGTCATTCCTTCATAGTAGCTTCAACGTACCATTATCGGACAGCTGGCTGGCACGATCCGAGCCCAAGCTGAGCATGGGGAATTCGATGTCAATAACCCGAGGAGCCGAATCAAAGTAGGAGGGATATTCTCCAGCTATGCGCGAGCGTCAGTTTCTAGCTCCCATGCATATCTCATATATCTCCTCGTCTATCCCTCAACGGGTTCCTGCAGGGAGGTTCAAGCAACTCACAGGAACCATCAATGGCAGTAGCCTCCGCCTTGCACTTCTCCTGAAGAAGGCTCTTGATATGACCTCCATCTAATAGTCCCGCGACTTCATTGACGCTCATCTGCGACCGAATGGACTTGTCCTTGCCCATCATCTTCGCGCCAAGGCGGGGTGCCGACTTGCGAGTCGAGAAATCGGAGCTGTGGACACCGGGTTGGTGGACGACGACATAGTAATCCGATGGACAGGTGCTCAGGGAAGAGCTCAGGTCATCGAGTAGCGAAGCGCTGGTCTTGATATAGGCGGAGTTGGTCAACAGCCTAGGGGCGAGTGATTAGCTGGCCGTAGCTTTCGGAGGTGGGCCATGGGCCACAGGAACAATCATACTCGGAAGTTGAGGCCATAAAGAATGGCGAAGTATCGCGGAAGGCATCAACTGCAGCTGCCGCAAGGGCCAGCAGTCCAAACCTGCTTAGATGCATGGTGTGGGTGTGTGTGGATGTGTGAAACTGGGGGAGGAGGGTGGTTAATGCCAATGCCAATTGCCAACGTCAACGGGGAGAGGTTCAGCCGCCGCTGGTCTCGGAGGCGGTCGACAGGCCCGGCCCGCCTGAGCTTCACATTCAACCCGACTTTTTTTTTTCTCGGCTTTGAGAATATCCTATCGCACAGCGACAGTGCGCTTTTTTGATTTTCTTTTCGTCATTGGGTCAATTATTTGATCAACTTCTTTTCTGCTTCTATTTTGTCATTATGGGCCCCTCTGTCAAACGCCGCAAGGTCTCCAAAACCGAAGAAGTCAATTTCGACCCAGAGGCCCGTCAAGAATGGCTGACTGGGTTCCGCAAGCGCAAGCAGGAACGTCTTAAGCATGGGCAGGCTGCGGCTGAGAAGAGATACAAGGAGGAGCGCAGACATGATCGTGCCAGGGTAAGTTCTGCTTCTTGCAGAATTCTCTGTCTCCCGGGTGGAAATGGGGTGGAAATGCAGGCGGAGGACTAACCTGTCTTTTCTTATCTCTCTAGATGCGCGAAGAACGTGCCGCTGAATACAAAGAGGCTTTGGAAGAGCATCAAAGACAACTGAAGCGTCTCAAGGAGATGGACAAGCAGCTGGACAGGGAGGTGAACGGCGATACCAGCGACGCCAACCCCGATGCCGACTCGGACGATGAGGAATGGGGCGGCATCGAGGAACCACCCGCGGTAGACTACGAGGCGGAATATATCGACGAAGACAAATACACAACCGTGACAGTGGAGGAAATGGACCCGTCGCGAGAGGGTTTACGAAAGGCAGTACGAGAGAACGACTCCGACGCGGAAGAGGAGAAGAAGGAATACCCGGTCGAGTCTGCCGAAGAAAAGGCCGACGAGAAGAAACCCAAGAAAGCGAAGAAGTACGGAGCAGACCGACCTAAGAAGGTCAATAAGAAGCGGTCCTTCCGGTATGAGAGCAAGGCGGACCGGAAAGTCAACCACGCCAAGCAACGGGCATCAAAGTCGAAGAAGGCCGATGCACGGAGAGAGAAGTGAGGGGAAGAAAGAAAGAAAAGAAAGGAAAAGAAAGGAAAAGAAAAGAGCTGGTTATTTTCTGTCGATTTATTCTTATACCACACCATATGCAAATACTGCTTGCGCATCAAATATCTATGACTTTCACGAGACGAGACTGGGGTGGGAGGCACAAAAAAATGGTGGATTAATTCGAGCAATTCGACCCGGTACCGTAGTCAATATGACATGTGTGCGATGGAGATAAAAGTTGTTCTCCAACACGGTAGAAGGATGGGGAATAACGCAACCGGCCGCTGTATGATAAAAAAAGAAAACAAAGCAGACAGCTCGAAAAAGGGAAGTGAGCCTGCATCCAACCCGACGTATTCCGACACCCTACAACGATACCCAGCTTCCTGCTTTAGACGTTGCTGATGGAGACCTCCAGCTCGTGCAGGTCCTTCTCGAGCTTGCCGTGCTTCTCCGACATCTCCTCGTACTTGGCCTCCCACTGGTCGCGTTCCGTCTCCAGTGCCTGCACCTTGCGTTCGTAGTGGCCGGCCTTGACGTCGGTTTGGCGGAGCCTGTGGATGGCAAAGTTAGCGGGCTGTGGTGCAAAGCAGCAACAGTTGGGAGATATGGTGCTTGGGCGTACTTCTCGTTTGTCTCGCGCAGAGTCTTGTCGTTCTCCTCAGCCTCCTCCTCGAGGAGCTGCACCCGACGCTGGAGGGCCTCATTTTGGGTGTCGTGTTGGGCGCTCTGGTTGGCGGCGTCCTTGGCGTCCTTAACGGAGGACTCAAGCTTCTCGACTTCCTCCTCGAGGAGCTGGTTACGGTGGTTGAGGGATGTGATCTCCTGCTCCTTGGCGAGGCTTGCCTGCTCCAGGTCCTTGACCTTGGCCTTCAGCTCCTCGACGGCATCGTGAGCCTCGTCAGCCTCCACGCGGAGGGCGTTCATACGCTATTGGAGAAGACGGTGGTTAGCATCGTGTGATTATGCTCGGCAGTGCAGATGCAGGATTGATATGCAGGGCACGGAAGGAGGGGGGTGAGGCAAGGTGCAAAGTGCAAAGGGGACAGCTTGTCCAAGCTACCCCGCCAGACAGGGACAGGGGGTCCAAAAACACATACCTCCTTGATCTTATCCATTTTGAAGGGAGTATTTGAGAGATGTGAAAAAGTGGGGAGGGGGAAGAAAGAGGATGGAAGTTAATATGTATGAGTGAAAGGAAGTCAAGGCTGTCGCTCAGCGTAGCCGGGTGGTTGGTGGATTGGAAATGGTGGGGGGGAGGGAATATCCTTTGGGCCAGAATTGGGAGAAGAAGGGGAGACCAGAGAGAGACAGCGGACCAAAGAGCAGGGGGAAGCATGAGGCGGTAGACAGTACCTGCTTACTTAGCATAAAATACGTGGCGGCACAAGTACCCGGTACCTGCCCAAAGTGGATGTACACAATTATTGCAGCCTCACAAGCCAGGCAGCAACAGTACACAAAAGCCACCGTACCGACCAGCCAATCACTGCCTTCCGATCGCCGCGTCTCCACGGGCAACCACTGACAGCGATAGCGACAGAGCATGCTCTAGAGCAGAGCTTCACTCCTCCTTCAATTTACCTTCGAGACAACGACACTTGAAACCGTACCAAATACAACAAGTGCTGTGCATGCTCACAGCCCATACCAACTCGCCGCCATGCTGGCTATCCGTGACCAGGAAAACCTGGTAAATACCCACCAAACCGCCGCAGCCGCCAAGCCCATGAACCAAGGCATGAAGCAGCTCGCTCCCAAGACTCCCGGCAGACAGATCCCTCTTCGAGACGAAAACAACCCGTTGGCATTTGGCAAGAATACCGTAAAGGGCAATGGAGTTCGTCAAGAGAATGGCAAGCCTGGAAAGCTGGCCCCAGTCACTCCGATGGGTACGCGCGACTTCTGTGTTTTGATATTCCTCAAAAAGATCCCAGCTAACTTAAATGTGGTGCTAGAACCTCGAAACCGTGCTCCCCTGGGCGTCAAGACGAATAATCAAAAAGCCAGAGCTCCCCAGACACCCGCTCCCTTCGGAGGAACCTTGAAACCAGGAAACACGAACCGACGCGCCTCCACCGTGCGCAAGAAGGCCGGCCCGGTTCTACAGCAATCCCAGACAAAGGTCTTCACCGAAGCTGCTCAAGATGACGTCCCGGACATCGAATACATGCCGCCCAAACCGACAGGTAAGATAAGACGTGGAGATGTTTCATGGAGTGACTCGAAAACGAAACGCGCGGGTGCTGATAGATTTTCTAGATCTCCCGGATGTTCCAGACGACATCACATACGACACAACCTTCCCTCAATTCCGACCAAAGAACCGCGCACTCGGATTGGAAAGTGTATACGGCAAGCAACAAGTCGGCCGCGATGGCCTCACCCAAAAGCAGCGGAAATTCCGCGAGGACTCACTGAGGTGCGATAAGATGGCCGAGGAAATGATCATGAAGCAGCTAGACACCATCAGCTTCAATGATCCCAGCGAAGACGAATCGATGAAAGCCCCGGTGCCGCAACCACGCAGCACCCGCTCAAAGGCACCTACATCGACTGCCATGCGTCACACCCGCACCGTCTCCACGCTTCGCTCCCGTGAAGCTGCCAGCGCTCTGGGCTCTGCACCCACGCCAAGTGCAGCTCCTACCCGTGTGGCCGCAGCTCCCAAGTCCCGACTGCCATCCGCCCTTCCCTCCGCCCTGATGCCGACGAAGAAGACCCGGGTCCCAACCAACCCGTCATCTATGCGCAACACCGCCGCGGCCGCTACCTCCAACAGCACTCTCGGCTACTCCAAGGGCCGAAGCGTGTCTTCCACTCTGAATGAGAACAAGGAAGACTCAAGGCCTTCCAGTACCCACACTACACTCTCACCGGAGACATACATGCAGTTTTACGGCGCCCCGCCGCTGGGCTCGGACATGTGGACTCGTTGCAAGGCTGCTGGCTGCTTCGATTCTCCCGAGGAAACCAGTACTGCGCAGGAACTTGAGGACAATCTTCCGACTTTCGAGGAAGATGATGAGGCTTTGAATTTCCAGCTGGCGCTGTAGTAGCTAGCTGGTTTTCATTCGGTCTTTTATTTTTGGTATGACATTGTTATGAAACTTAAACCACTATCATTTGAATTACTTTTGTTTTGTATTATTCTATTATCTTTCTTTGCTTTCAAGATCTTTATCGGGGTGGCCTAGGCTGGGAGGGTGAATTATGGCGTATTATGGCGCGATATGGTAGTAGCTCTGGTATGGAATTGAATTTCTGTACAGTCCCCTGGAGGTTCGAGTAGTGGACTATTGTACTTCAAGTTGACTTGAACGAAGTTCTGAGATGGCTTTTCTAAAGGCGGCCTACCAGGCAATCCGCGTAATAATATAGTCTAGTAAATTCGCTAGAACTTCGTAAAGTACTACTAGTAGCTGATACTGGTTACCCAAGCCATAGGTGAACTTTGGAAATCAATCTTGGAACCTGAAAGCTCGGAACTTGAAATCAATGGATCCATGTCAAGTTCAACCTACTATACTGCTAGTACCAGTACTCCAGGGCTACTAGTAGTAGTACTACGAGGTCCGTTCCAACTTGAACTTGGCACCGGCGGTTGATAGCCTTGACTCGGAGTGAAGATATATAGTCGCATGAGGTCCTAGGGTCCGAAAAATATATCCGTTCCCCCAAGGGTTCAGAAACTTGTTGAATGGGCAATCCATATTAGAACCTGAAAATTCACACAGAGCCTCTATTTACAACCTACTACTATACAATATCTGAATATAATCCGATACTGCTAGTGCAGAATTTACTGCTAGGTATTTGGTTGTGATTTTAGAATGCGAGCCCAGCACCTGGGTTGGAGAGTGAGGTTCCAAGGTTGCGACCGCCCGGTGATCAGGCCCCGAGGCCTCACCTCCGAGAAAGAATGCGCTATGACTCGGACCGAGACATTTAAGAATGGATCTAGGGAGAGGAATGGTTCGGTTAGAGCCGACTGACGCGTCAGGTAGGAGATATCACATGGGAAGAAGCCCCCTCCGTCATCCCTTGAGTTGCTTGTCTTGGGAGAAAACGAAGGCTCGTGGGTGTATTTCGATAAAAATTTAAAATCTAAATAATTACGGATACTTGATTATATCGACTTGAATACGCTGACGTCTTGTAGTTACATTTCCCCAACTCTCTTCTCGTACTTCATTCAGCTGACTACCGTCTACACGCATGACACAACTACTACTCACATGGTAGGGTTGAAAATATGAGCAGGGGCTGAGAGTTAGAACTATCTTGGAGTCCCTGCTGACATTTACCTAAACTTTGAACTAGCCTTTCTATGCTACATATATTCCCCGACTAGTTGTGAGATCTACGTGATCTTCTGAAAATCAATGCGCGTCCCAAGGTTCTGGGAAAGGGGCGAAAAGCTTATTGAGTTATATTTAGTTCACAGGCGACTTTGAACAATGTGCATAACAAAAGTAAGCAGAGTTTTATCATTGGATCACCCGGATTGAGCTAGTCGAGGTCTCAACTTGAGTATACTTGGGGTCATTGGACGATGGTATTACATAGACACAACAAACAATTCCATGAGACAAGGGCCAAACGGGAGTCTACGAATTCGAAGGCACTGCCACTACAAGCAGAAAATAGTCAAGATTAAGTGATTCGTATTAGAACTACTTCAATAACCCATATAGCAAACCATCATTCCAAATATCTGACATGAGACCCAAGATCAAGAGAGTGGATTCAAGTCAAAAGCAAGAAATGCTCTAGGATGGAGCTTCTTAAAGAAGGTGGTTGAGAGAGCACTGGGCGTTGACGTCCAGGTTGATGAGGTTGCCGCTCTGTTGAAATGATCAGCAAAATGTATATTTCGAGTTAAGGTATGAGAACTTACGGCGACATCCTTATCGTCACAGCAGTAAACGTCACCGCCGGAGCAGGACTCGCCCAGAGCACCGGGGGCGACGTTGCCGAGGGTCAGAAGACCGGCGTTACCGTTGCCAGAGCAGACAACAGACTGGCCGGACTTGCAGATCTTGCCTTCATCGGAGCCACCGGCAATGGCGGTAGCAGCGAGAGTCAGAGCGATGAGGATGAACTTCATTTTGAAGGTTGGAGGTAAAAGTGGATCTGGAAAGGTTAGTGACTTGAATCGCTGAGTGGAAGCTGTCGTACATACTGGATAGATAGATAGATTTAAGAGATGATTGTAATGTGTTGGATATATTCAATTCGGCGACCTTGAGGCCCTTTTTAAAGTAGTCCGAGTGTTCTAAATCCGGAGGGGGCAGAAATATGATGCCGAGAAATATTGTACGAGATCTCCATTCCACGTTGCAGATCATATCCCTTGCTGACGTGGTATGTAGAGTCGATCATTATCTTTATTAACTACACGTTGCACTTCACCATTCCAAGGTAGACAGAAAGCGTTCGATTCGATTCTGTTTTCCAACACATGAAAGTATCAGATCGTGACTCACAAACGTAATAGCGTCTAATAATGCTTTAGTTGTGAGATGACTCTAGTTTCTCCCATCGTACCTGGCCAAACACGTGAGAATTCGATATCCCTTGATAACCCGGCTCACCGAGTTGGGAAAGGGAGGCTCCAATGAGCAGCCCTCGAAAGGTATGGATCATCGTTCCGGAGATATGACACGGTGGCTTGGTGGCTTGGTGGCTTGGATAAGATTATCTGACTGCTTGCGGCTGCAGTGGAACAACCCTGTTTTATGGATTCCACACATGTTCAAAGGTACTAAGATATGCAATAGACCACCTTACAAGAATTTGATCAATATAGGGGGCCTCAGGGTCACGGCTGCTCGTATTAGAGAGGGGCGTCATTGACTTGGCGCTGGTGATGCTTGCGTGGGTGGTGCTTTGAAATGAAATGGAAACCAACCAATGTAACAGGACACGGAAACGGTACCCGGGTGGCCCTTGGGGTATGTGAAACAGCAGATATAGTAAAGATTGTCATAACCCACCTGCTTCCTGCTTCATGGAACTAAATCCACTGGTCAAGAGGAATAAGGTCACTGAAAATATTAACCATTGTATCCTCAACTAACAAAGGATAACCATTGGCCGCAACTTCCATCCGGACCTTGATTTTGGAAGTTCAGACTGGCCTAGTCCATTACCATCACCTGTGATTCAGGGAAGACTGCCTTCAAGACTTGCTGGCCGGCTTGCTAGATCGGGTCATCCCACACGCTGAGAAAACCCATTCAAACTGCATTCGGGTGGCAATCAAAAATGAAGATCAAGAAGAGCTTCGTTGCATTATGATTCTTTGATTTTCTGTGGAACTTAGCTGTGAATCCCGTTCTTAGGAGGAGTGATAATATCTGCCTTCTTTTCCTTCTGAGAAGCGTTCCTCTCCAATAAATATAGAATATCAATGGCACGAAGAAATAGCTGTGACCTAATCCTGCCATACGAGACACCTAATTATGATTTTTGTTTAACATCCACTACGTGAAGCTTTCAAAGCTGCGCTCGACTCTTTGGCCGAAGAGACGTGAAATTAGACACAGCCAGTTCTCGAATAAATAAATTATTTCAGACGCTCATCTTCCTGCGACGGAATTTGATATCAACGGCCGGATAATACGCGAGAGGGCCTTCATTTTGCTAAATGTTGGACATGGGTCCCACAATGCGCGAAATTGCAATTTCAACGAAGAGTAGACACATGGCGAGATGAATTAAGTTTATTGTGGCAGAAAAACGTTTCATTCACAGACGGCGGGCGGTCTAAGTTGATCTCAAGTCTTACCATTGTCCATATTGGGTTGAGCAAAAATTTAGAACTGTTAGACCGAGGTACTAATTTTGAATTTTTTGCGGGGTTTTTCATTTCACTTAATATTTCTCAATTACATATTGGCCTTGCACGAGAGATTTATTCCAGAGAAGATTGAAACTTTGACGTGGAGAAGGGCTTCTAGATTTCGTGTATGAATCATCAGCGGGCCGTGGAGGAACCGTTTTCGGAAGCGAGCCTATGCTTATTCAAGCTAAATGGGCCTACCAAACAGGCAATCGGGCAGTATACGAGGTAGTATAGCACCGTTGCATGTTTCTTTCTCTTCAATTGGACGTTTTGGTAATAGAAAGCTCACCCTTGAAATTTATAAATACTCCCAAATTCACCTCCACATCCTTTACGCCTCCGAACATCCATCTCTTTTTTCCACCACCCATCAAAAGGTACGATGGTGACCTTCATGAAATTACTTCTCATGAAGACCTATCTTTGCTAACATTTCCATGAGAATAGTTACCATCAGCAAGCCAGCCACAATGAAGTTCTTCGTCGCCTCTCTTCTCTTCGCCACTGCCCTGGCCATGCCTACTTCTGAAGGCAATGATGACTCCGGAAAGACTGTTTGCGAGAGCCACCAAAGTGTTGTCTGCGACAAGAACGGCAACGGTGGTCTTCTGTCCCTCGGCAACTTGCTCAACGGTCTTTTGGGCGAGAGCTGCTCCGGTGGTGATGTCTACTGCTGCTCGCAGAGCGACATTGAACAGGTATGTGATCTGTTAGACATCTGATTAAGAAAGGATACAAAAAGCTAACTTATTCCAGGTTGGTCTGATCAACCTGGATCTCAACCTCCAATGCAGTCTCAACCACTTGCTTTAGATCTCAAACCTTGTATTCAAGGACATAATCCTACAAGTTGAGACTTAATCCTAATAAAATAATGTCTATTATTTCGACATAAACGCAACTTCAAATAAATGTAGCTTTGTAGCTGAAGTCAAAATGAGTACAAGTTGTATCAACTTGAAAGTATCCTCTGGAAAAGATTATATATCGCTCCTGCTCAGGTGAGTGTCCGAGGAAAGTTTCTCAGACAACTTGAAGCTGCCATTTAGGACCACATGTCGAGAAAAACCTTCCACAAGAGACACAGATTTCTAATCGACGGAGGCTCAGAGCTTGAACCACGACAGTGGCCCACTGATATATGCGAATGACTAGATGACTAGGAGGGAGCAAGGCCGCAACGGAGGTTGAAAGTGATATGCATGTCTGAGGTTTCTCAACCTCCACACTAACATCCCACTTGTATATATGGTGACTCTCAACTAAAATACAACTTCGAGAAGATAGCTTTACTAAATCAGAGCAAGTAATTGTTACAATATTGTCCTCGTTGAATTTTCATAAACATTCACTTTCGTTAAGCATAAGTCGTCAATAAGAGCCTTCTTTCTCGCTGCTTAATTCTTCCTCCTCTTCCTTTGGACGGGATGATTGGGTTTCCGACAGAGGCGCTGTTGCATCACGTTGGATATGGCAGTTGGACTCCTGCGATTTATATTGACTTCTAGCATTGGTCTTATAATAGCCTAAGAGGTGGCCTTGATTGACTTGGCCAGCCGTATTTTTCGGAGAGAACCCCCCTGGGATCAAAAACTCCAAGGCTCTGTTGAAATTAGCATAATGACCTTTTTTGAAGGGAGGCACACGGCAAGTACATTAGGAGTGCAATACTTCTTACATGGCCATTTGCCGTATTTGCTAAAATGTTCTTTTTCACTTTTAGTCAGTGGCTGATTTGGGCGATTGTTAGTACGTGTTATTTGCATCGTTTCTCTAGCAGACAAAGGGGCGAGTCTCCTTACCTCGGGCTTTGGTTTTTCGTTATGGCTATACATTGTAGAGATAGTCAGCGATATCGAGCAGAAAATCTCTTATCCAGTTGATATAGTTTTAGTCCGGGGTACTTTTGACCGCCCAGGTGGGTTTCTATGACGATGACACCTCCCAAACCTGCCACCCGTCAAACTTGCCTATGGAAACTCAAGTTACAGAAAATATGGCCTGATTGGATGGAGAGTTTGCCGGCAAAAGCCGCCCTCCTTTTGCGGAGACCTGTACCTGGGCTAGACTTCGCCACGACCCGCGGGTGGACATGGTGGCAATGTCTAGACCCTATAGAGTGACTGCTAGTAGTGAGCGGACACTGGTTCAGAATAATAAATATTGCATGATTTAAGACTCACTGGCAATAGAGTACTTTCAACTTAAAATATTCTCCGGACCCTCAGTCTGATGCTGCATATTTCACACTAGACTAGCATATACTACTAAGGCTTATTCAGGTCTCGGCCCCACTAACAACTGTTGGCCACAACATCCCTGGAATTCAAGTGAATTTATGTTAGGTATACCGACTAGTAGTAGAGAGAGGACGGTGCCAATAGAATAGAAATATCAATTGGTATTCATCAATATTGCTGCCTAGTCTAAGATTAGTCAGTCAGATTAATTAACTAAGCACATTAAGTTATGTAAATTACCCTATTTATACTCCGACTAGCGCAAATGGGAAGCCGCGGAAGTAGCCTCACCGCCTGCCCAACTGCCACGATTTATTTACAGATGCTCTCCTTTTCATCGTCACACCTTTCACAATTGGACATCTCACAGCCATGACGACCCCTCATCCGGAGTCCACCGCGGACTGTGAGTTTATTCAAACTCCTGCGGCTTCTGTGCAGTCCAAACCTGCCTTTGACTGCGGTGTGCCAACCACCCTAGTAAGTAATCTAGCTCTATAAAGCTCTCGGGGGTTACTACAGCAAGTAGTACGGAGTGCTCACACATTATACTCTCCCAGTACCCGGCTATCAAGAATGCCCCCGTCCCCGCCGATTCTCCGGGAAGCGATAGCTTTTCCAATGGCTTGATGGCCTTCCTGCTCTTCGTGGTGCCCTGGTACCTGGCCCGCCAGGTTCGCGGCGGCTTCTACACCACCATCTTCTTCGCTCTCTTCACAACTATTCCCGTTCTCATGGCTTTCTGGAGCATATCGTCGTCTATTTCTCCCCGCAAGACTGAGAAGGCCAAGTACTGTGGCCGCCCCGTCGAACACTACCTGCAATTCCACTCCGAGCACGACCGTGCTACTTACCGCGGCAAGAGCAAGATCCCCATGGAGGTCTTCTACGAGAAGTACTTCAATGGTGAGGTTGATTTCAAAATGGATGCCCTCGAGGCTCTCGAATACCGCCACGACTGGGCCAACTTCAAGTTCACCATGGGTCTTTTCAAGCACTTCCTGTTTGGCTTTATTCCTGAGATGCTCCTTCACACTCGTTCCCAGGGTACGAATTATCCCTCCTATGTGTGTCTTGCTAAATAAAGCCTTGCTAAATAACTTTGCAGATGAGGAGCAGGTCCGTGACCACTATGACCGCGGTGATGACTTCTATGCTTGGTTCCTCGGCCCCCGTATGATATATACCTCCGGTATCATTGGTGACATCAACAAAGAGGAGACACTTGAAGAACTGCAGGACAACAAGCTGGCCGTTGTTTGCGAGAAGATCGGTGTCCAGCCCGGTGACAAGATCCTTGACCTTGGCTGCGGCTGGGGTACTCTTGCTAAGTACGCCTCGGTCCACTACGGCGCTCACGTCACTGGTATCACTCTCGGCCGCAACCAGACTGCTTGGGGTAACAAGGGTCTCCGCGTCGTTGGTATTGAAGAGGACCAAAGCCGGATCCTGTGCTCCGACTACCGTGACTCCCCTCGTGTCGAGGGTGGCTACCAAAAGATCACTTGTCTTGAAATGGCCGAGCACGTCGGTGTTCGACATTTCAGCACTTTCCTGTCTCAGGTGTACGATATGCTTGATGACAATGGTGTTTTCTTCCTGCAGATCGCTGGTCTCCGCAAGTCTTGGCAGTACGAGGACCTTATCTGGGGTCTGTTCATGAACAAGTACATCTTCCCTGGTGCTGATGCTAGTACCCCTCTTGGCTTTGTCGTCGACCGCCTTGAGGGTGCTGGCTTCGAGATCAAGGGCGTTGACACTATCGGTATTCACTACTCTGCTACCCTCTGGCGCTGGTACCGGAACTGGATGGGCAACAAGGACAAAGTTGAGGAGAAGTACGGTAAGAGATGGTTCCGCGTAAGTCTCCACGAGTGTCATGATCTTTTTCAATGTAAATTGCTGACAAATCCCTAGATCTGGGAATACTTCCTTGCCGCCTCGACTATCACCTCTCGCCAGGGTGGTGCCACCTGCTGGCAGCTCACTCTCGTCAAGAACATCAACTCTACTCACCGTGTCGAGGGCATCCAGTCCCAGTTCGGTCTCACTGGTGCTCGCCAAGCTGCCATCAACCGTGCCAACGGCACCGTTCCCAGTGCCCATGTCGTCAAGAAGGACTTGTAAATTTTCCGTCCGGACTCATCGCCTCCTCTCTAAGATCCCAAATTAGTCTACAAAGATCAATTGCATGAATAGAGTGTTGATGAACGTCTCCGTGACGTGGTAATCCTCAGCCCACGGACTGCGAACATATTTTTATGGCATATCTATGAACCGAAGCGAATAGATCGGCCAGTAAAAGTCACAACAGATGGGGGATGAACTACAGACGGGGATATGGATATGGATTCAGGCTGTGCCCATCATGCACTTAGTGTGTTCTCTATGTCCGTAACTCGTTCCGACCAAGTAATCGATCATCGTGAGATCTTAGTTCGATTCTCATATTTTAGGTATTTCGGGATTGTACTATGTGGGCTTATAGCTTTGCATCGGCTTCATATTATAATTACTGAAAACTCCCCCAAGCTTATCGCCGTATAAACTCTGCCATCAACAATGACGTAGGCCATTTTCGATCGAGATCGCCCCTGGCTGAGTGGGTCTGGTCATTCTCGATGTGGAAAGCTGAAGATCGCGAGCCGCCCCTCAACACTTTACAGATTCTGCAGCCAGGCCATTTTCTTCAAGATATCTAGCGAAAACCAGAGCAACAGTTCCGGAGAAACCACGTGAATATGAATATTTTCACATTGCTCGCCCTCGTGGCCGTCGTTAGCGCCGAATTTTCCTGCATCAAGCCTGTCAATCCCATTCCTGCCGGCCCCCCCTGGCGTATGCTGCGAGGAATTGGACCAGAACGCACTACTGGACTTCTTATATACCGGAAAAACATGTATGTCTTCCCTGGGCAACTATAGCCAAGGTTGTGGTTTGATCTGCAAAAAAAAAGAGTTGGCTGCTAATAGGTTCGAATTGAAGGCATCAGAGCCAATAAAGTGGATGAAGCCAAAAGTGGAAAGACAACATATAGCTCTTGTCAAGATGGACAAACAGCAGCTTGTTGTGATCCGGTACGCCTATATTGAAAAAAAAAAGATATCTTTGGGGATAGTGCTAATTGTTTATTTGTGAGAACAGCTTTTGACGAAGCTCAGTCAAGCCAGTAACCCTGCATGCGTTCTGCCTGATGATAGTGCGTAAGTGATATTCGCGTATTTGAGCCCAGACTCTGTGTGAATCTAGCCTACTGCATGGTTATTTTCGGGAGAAGTATTTCGTCAAGTGGATGATGACCAGATCTGATTGATCCGTATGTTATTGCATAGGACTGGATGGCCTGAGACTATTCGAACCAGCTTCCTGAAGGGCTTGGGCAAGCATCAAACCATGTGATTAACACGACAATGAATGTATCCTGGATCCTATTCAACATTCAATGAGGACAATCAACCTTCACAGACATGATTATCTGTGGCATCATCACAACGTCGCTTTCTTCTCAAACTAGATTGCACTTCCTCAAATTTGTCAGCGTCAAACATGTCCAATTTGGCTTTTCCCCTGATACTGTCAAACGCTTGCTTATTGTAGTCGACGTTTTGATGGTTGTCATCATTCAGTTACTGCATGGCCTTGTCCGCAACCTGGGCGTTGAAGACTGCCACACCAGCCAGATAACCAAGAATAGAGCCTTTCCAAGAAATGTTGAATCCAGCATCATTTGCCGTGTTGAAGGCGCTTGCATAAGCCACAGTGTAAGAATCGATGTTGTTGTAATCTGAAGCCCTCATGCCCGTGAAGGTCGTCCACGCTTTGGCGTCGGAGAAGATGCGTTGGCCTTTGCAGATCGTGGCCAGGGCTTTCCAGATATCATCGGCGAATATAACATCCTTGTAACCAAGCTTTGTGTTTTGCAACAAAGGCATTGAGATATTGCTCAGCAGTCACTCACCAACAAGACGACCTTTCATGCACCAATTTTCACCCATCTCGGTTGTCGGTCTTGGACGAGGTATGGTTTTATCGATCAGGCGGTAAAGGGAGTTCGTGATTAGAATGCCTCTCACGCTTCGCTCCCAGTCAATCCAATTTGTCACTCTTGTCAGCTTTTCGTTAACAACAGGCAGGCTGATGGGGCCCTCTGGCAAGTGTGTCGCTTGGGTAATCGGCGGTGCCACTGCACCTTTCATATGTGTGGCCCATTCGGCATCGATTTGCTCGTTTGTGAAATAAATTTTGCCGGCGTTCGCCATTGTAGCTTCAAAAACGGGGAATGAGTTTGATTTCTTGATCGTGATAACAAGAGGACTGAAATGTTCGATATTGAAACCTGCCTGATCCGGTAATAACCTAGCGACGGAGGCCAACTAAAGTCATGGAAATGTGAAATGATCCCGAATAGGAAGAAGGGAGACGGAACAAGTACTTGAAGCTGTTGATGAAGGTAATATAAAGCTAACAAGAACTTGAACTGAAGCTATAGACGACAAACGATAAACGGCAAAACAAAGAACACGAGCTGACTCGGTATCGTGCCTGAGGCTTCCGGCCTCGGAATTCCAATTGAATCGTCAGATGGAAACCCAAGGCGAATTTGGTTCTGCCTAGGTAGTAATGTCCTACTAGTATAATACATAAGACTTTTCAGCCATATTTTTAGACGGAAATTATGTTCGTTTAGAATTTCGATTGCATCAACATGGAGATGTGTTTCAGAAACTTTCAGATTCATCACAGTTCAAGATCCTTATAGATAGTGACGAAAGATGCACAGAAGGAGAAGACCAGATATTCAAAAAAGAAAAGTATATTGCTAGGCATATTTCAACTACCTAAAATCATTAAAAGCAACCCACGAAGGATTGTCATGAGGTATCAAGTGGTTCAAGAATCTAACTTGAGACCACATCGATCTAATTCCACCATATTATCATATTTTATTGTAAGTTCCTTTTCAAGGGGCTGTTACCCTGGAAGCGTTCGGCTGAATCGACTGGAATTAAGCTTGAGCATCGTTCTGACCGGTAACGACACCCTCTTTCTCGACATCCTTTGCAGAGCCGGAGCTCTCGGAGGGAGGCAGGACACCACCGGAATGGCCAATTTGGCGATCGATCTTAGCCTTTTCTTCGTCGGTCGCATCGGTGATCTTTACGGCAACTTCTTCGCCGAAGTTCTGAGCGATTTCCTCAAGGGTAAGGCGAGCGGTCTCGGGCCAGAAGAAGTAGATTACTATCAAAATAGTCAGCATGATTAGTCCATGGAGAAATCCAATGGGTTGGATGTCTTGAACATACTGGGAATGAAGAAGGCAGACCAGCAAATGATGACCAGATAGTATTTCCAGCCAACATTGGCGAAGCCCATAGGTGCCGTTTCCAAAAGAATGAGTGTAGCTGGAATATTTTAGTAAATGCCGTTCGCTCCTGGAATGAATAATGTACTTACCGGCAAACTGGCCGAACAACGAGAAACCCATGCCGATCGGGCGGATTTCGGTAGGGAAGATCTCGGAAACGTAGAGATACATGGTAGTGTCACAGCATGTACTTTGAAGGGATTAGTATATCGAAAACATGGAATGCAGTATGGAGAAATTGAGACTCACCCCTGGAAAGCCAGATAGAGATAGATGAAGAAGATACCGAAACCGTTCCCAACCTTGTTGGTCGTGCCAGCGTACTGCGCTGTCATAGCAGCAAGGCAAGACGTGCTAACAATGATACCAGCAAAACCGGTCATATACATACCACGTCGAGAGTTGACTTTGTCGTGAAGCCAAGCACCCAGGGGATTGTAAATAACACCTACGAAGGAGTTAGTATTATGATATCGAAGAATTTAAAGCCAGCCTTACCGGCGGTTGTCAGCCAGACAGCACTTAGCAGCAAAGGCATACTGCCTTCCATGCCGAGATTGGTGTACAAAAGAACAGCATAGTTGTTCTGTCTTTGTTAGCAGGATGTACTGCAAAGACAGCCAGAACTTTTGGACTCACTATGATGAGAGGGCCGCCAAATTCGGCACCCCACTGAGTAAGGAAACCAATGATCATGCGCTTCCGGTAGGAAGGCTTCTTGAAAACGGCCTTCCAGACACTGCCGTAGGCTGCTAGCTTCTCTGCCTCTAGTTGAATCTGCTCCTTAGTTTGATAGAACTCCTCCTTGGCGACTAGATTGTCGGGATCATCGGGAGTTTGACGTAGTCGCTGAAGCACAAGCTCGGCCTCGTTAAATTTCCCCTTCGAAATCAACCAACGAGGGGAGCGTGGCAGCCAGGGAGAACCGATAAGTAGAACCAACGCGGGCAGACACTGCAGAGCCAGAGGGAATCTCCAACCGAAGGCAGGGATGGTGCTCTCCGCGTAGTAACACGCAAACCCGACCCAGCCAGCAAGCATGTATCCGAAAACAAGGAAGATGGCATGGTGACCGACTAGCCAACCGCGACGCTGGGCACTCGACATCTCCGAGAGGTACATAGGGCAGACGGTGACCAGAATACCGATTCCAAGACCGCAGATAAAACGACCTGCTTGGAACATTCTTTTTGATGTTAGTGGCTGGTAGCATTCAAGTAGAGGCTTAGGTGTTTTTCATACTCAATTGAGTTGGCACCACCCTGCAGTGCACCTCCGAACATCGAGAAGAAAGCACCAAACTGAATGTTCGCTTTGCGACCGAAGAAATCACTGGACCACATAATGAACAGTGTACCAACAGCACCACCAGCGCTGAAAACACCATTTGCAGTTGAGATGACGGGAGTCGTGATCGTGTCATATCCAGGCTTTCCTTCTGCGGGAAGGTTGAAATAGGTATACCACCCTGGCTGACCGATCGTACTGGAGATGATTGAAGCACAATAACCGTAGGTCTGTATGTAATATGTTAGCCTTGTAGCTGGCGCATATATACCAGTGATGATAGCTCACCATAGACCCAATGGCAACAAAGATGGTCACCAGCCTGTTGTAGGTACTGGTCTGCGACCCGAACCGAGCCATGATGAAGCGATTCGGAGTCTGGCCCAAAGGAGAGAGTGCTGGTTAGATGGTCAAAGAGGATGGCAGCATAGGTTCGTGACTAGGCAGGCCTAAGTTCGCGGGAAAAAAAAGAGCGAGCAAAACACACTTCTCCCTCATTGCGACCAGCAAGGGGGCAACAGACAGAGAAGTCACTCGTTGACAGCTTGGTGGACCCGACCCACCAGCATGTGGATGCAATTGTTTTAATAAAGTTCGACCGTGAGCAGAAACAACTCACTTGCCGATCGTTCACTACAGCGGCTAAGGCTGTCACAAGCGTGGGCCCATTGTACAAAGCGTATTAATGGCGAGACCGAGTCCTCAAACTTACGAAGATGGGCCATCCAGGCCAGATGCAGATCAACATCACGGCAGAATCCCAACAAACGAATACTATTGGCATGCCACATTCATTATGCGGGGTCAAACTGCAGTGCAGCATCGAGATGGTTCGAGTTCGGCAAAAAGGATAAAAAAAAGTACTAGTAATTTACATCGCAAAACTGACGCCCTGGGATGGCAGCATGTATGGAAACCCACGAGGGGCAATTGCTCCACCCCGAATTACTCCCGAAACTTTCACACGAAGATTGACTCGGTTCTCTTCCGCGAATATGCCACTATTTAGCCAGCTTCTGATATATTGCCCTTGAATCATACATATCCCTTCTTGACACTATCTGGTCGAATACGAGGAGGATCAAAATAGAGCCATGTCTCAATCTCCTTTTGATATCCCCTTTGATGAGCTTCCCAACCCCAAGCAGGTTTGGGCGGGAAAGCCTGGCAGCTACGAGGAGGGGCTAGGTAAACTGGCAATTCTGACCCCCGAAGTGGTAGCCAAGGCGGCTGCGAATGAGATCAAGACTGGCCGTCGTGTCACTATGGGATGGGAGTTGACCAAACTGGACTATCCCAATCTCAACCGGCAGTCATGTCACCATCAAATTGTGCCCCTCCTCGGAGGTATTGCATTTGATGATATTTATACGATGAATCCTCGTAAGTTACAACTATAAGCGGAGTCTGGACTTTTGCTCGCATAGCCTGCATGGAAGTTGACCAGCCACATAGAACAAAGTAGCCAGTGGGATGGACTGCGCCACTTTTCTCAAACAGTCCCTGGTCAATCCGAGCGTGTTTTCTACGGCGGAACGACAGCTGAAGAAATTAACGATCGTGGAAATGATCGCATCGGACTTCAACATTGGGCGCGGGAAGGAATTGCCGGTCAGTCTTGATATTTCGCCTTCTGCTTATCTCAAACCTTCGGACTGCCCGGGCCCCTGGAACTAACGGTCATGGCGTGATAGGACGTGGAGTATTGATCGACTATGCCACATGGGCTGAGAAAAAGGGGATTGAATATTCGACTTTTTCGACGCACCAGGTGCGCTTGTCGGATATTCTTGAAATTGCCAAGGAAAGCAATATCACCTTCCAAAAGGGTGATATCCTCTTTGTTCGCGTTGGAGTCACGAAAGAATGGGACACCGTAATGACGGATGCCCAAAAGAAGGCCTACTCTGAGAATTCCAGTCCTGAACACGCCGGCGTGGAAGCGACAACTGATGTGCTCCGGTGGTTGTGGAACAGCGGATTCGCCGCGATTGCCAGTGATGCCATCAGTTGGGAGGTAAGACGACAGATCCCTTGACATTTTTCAAGCCATCTGAAAAGCCGAATATTTGGCCACAAGAGAATTATTCTTTAACACACGTCATAGGTTTACCCTCCTCAATCCCCCGATGTCTTCCTGCATGAGTATGTACTCGCAGGATGGGGCATGCCGATCGGTAAGCACGAATGCGATATCCACACCGGAGAGAGGAAATGTTCTAAAGCAAAATAACAGGGGAACTCTTCGATCTAGAGGTGTTATCGCGAACTTGCGAGGAGCTGCAGCGGTGGAGCTTCTTCGTGGCGTCCGTGCCATTGAATATGCCGGGTGGTGTATCCTCTCCTCCCAACATGATGGCCATCTTCTAGATATGAAATGAAATAGTTAGCAAAATTGGCTTTTTTTCTTTCACCGAGAGCGGGACCGTCAATGAAACTCAATGCAAGTACCGAAAAATTAATCGCCCTCAAGGTTTACATCAACAACTTAATTGATTGTACTGAATCAGGTTCCTTGAATCGGCCGACAACAAAGTGACGGTCGCAGATCCAATAGCCAAACAAATATCTTGATTATCGCCACCTTTGAAGATCAGTACGGAGAATGGTACGAATTGTGAGTTTTTCTTGAAACGAAAGCGAGTCACAACCCGTACTCCGTATTCCATATGTACATAGATGTGAATTTCGGGTCCAACAGGGAGTTCCCGCTGCTTTTCGCCTCCAATATCCTACCTCGACGAAGATCCGCATCCGCCAAGGGACCCATTCCCCAGACTGGCGGGAATATTCATGTTTTCAGGAAGAGCACAAAAATTAGAATAACGGCGGAGGCAGCGTAGTAGGAAATGAGCAGCGTTGGAGAACGGGCTGCGGACATCATATCGTGCCGACTTTCCGATCAACGCTTTTCTGCAGTTCTCATCATCTGCCGGGATCGTCTTTGAAGGATTATCGGGTTTAAGTCCCCGAGTGATTCAAGTCACCAGTGCGAGAGGTATGTGGAACCCATCTCGTATTTTTGACTTCTCCATCGTCTTTCCCAATTTGCTAATATTTACTAAAGAGTTCCCACCGCGCTCTGTTCTGGCCGCCTCGATCCACCCCCAAGCCTATCTAATCCGTTAGCCTGCATATCGTCAGCGTCAAGAACCCCTGCCCCGGGCAGGTGACTGGTGGAGATCCTACGTCAAGCTCCACTTTCCGCCTCTCCCGTGTTATAGTGTGGCTCCACCAAAAGCATCGAAATCCTTCGCGTCACGACACAAATTCCAGATTCAGAAGTACGTAAGAGCGGTACATAATTACATACGAGACTCCCTTCTCCAAATGATGTGCCCGGGTACCTCCAAATCCGTAGGCAAGACATGAGCAGCAGGAGACAGTTGAACTTGAAGTTACTACTTACAACTTAGGTACTCGTACTAATTTAAGCCTCTGCCAGTAGAGTCGCCCGGTTGTTCGGTGTACGCCCGAGTCCCAAGCTGGCCTGCATATATATTATTCAAGTTGTTTCGACCCCGTACCGTTCCAAGCCCTATCTAGTACTACTATTGAACTGCCGTGATCGAAGGATCAATCGATATCAATAAAGTATGGTAGAAACCATCTTGATAAAGCAGGTCGTTTGGCTCTTCCGTGGCAAAACTAATCGCTAGACCTATTTTGATACTAGTAGACTTTGAAAAATGCATATTCGGAATGCATGCAAGGTTAAGCCTTCTTAATCCGTTGTCACATACTATCCGAGGGAAACAGGTTTCGATAGTTTAGATAGGTAACTTTGGAGTATTGTAATTATTTGAACTTACAATAGCAAGTACTCCGTACATGTACCGGAGTAGGCAACTACTCCATATTATTGTGGTGCACTAAAATAGAAGGTAAAAGATGCTCGCCCTACCCACTTCCGCTTACTTCTCCATGCACACATGACCATCTTGTCTAGAGTGGGTATCTGCCAATTTCCCTCGTGGGGCACATGCTTGCAGAAAGTGTTTCGAAAAAGCCGATCGGACCTTTCCAGTCCACCGGTTCGCCGTCAGTTCGAAGTGGATACTGTCAATACAGAAATTATGAACCTAGTTGTCGTAAGATGCTCCCGGTATGCGCCTTGAGCAGGGGGATGATGTGCCAAGTGTTGTTTCGAGTATAATATCCAGAGAGGACCCCAAAAAGACCCGTCTCGAGTCCTGTGATTTTGGCCCTGTGAGCATATACTTATGGTGTTGATATGATGCCGTCCATCATGGCGTTATTGTCACGAGATTCTGGCGATGCCGACATCGAGCGCAGTGTGCAGAAGTGGAATTATGCTTGCCAGTCACTATGTATCATTACGATGACCATTTTCTTTGGTCTTCGACTTTATACTCGTCTGTTCATTCTGAATGGGTTTGGAAAAGAGGACTGTAAGTGTTCTTCCTTTCAGAATATTCAAACGATAGCTAACCTGTTTCAAAGGGGCCTGTATGGCGGCATGGGTATGGATAACTTTGCCCTCTAGTTCCAGGATAACAACTAACGCTCTCGAAGTTTCTCGGTGTCTGCTACTCAATAATTGCCCTCCTGAGTATGTATTGTATCATGAATTTACATGAGTTTTCTCACTAACAGTCTTTTAGTGGGACATTACGGAGGAGGACTTCATCTCGCTGACGTACCCGACGAAGACCTCATTCCATTTTCAAAAGTGAGTTGGACACAATTCCAAAGGTGTTACGGTAACTAACATCACAGACCGTTTACGTGACATTGGTCATGTACGGACCAACAGCATACATCACCAAATTCTGCCTTCTTTGGATCATGACCCGCGTATTCAGTCCATTCCGCAAAGCCGTCATTTTCATTTACGCCTTTATGGGAATCATGCTCGCCTACTACATCCCGGCAGTCATTGTCAAAATTCGACTCTGCAACCCAATATCTAAATTCTGGGATCCCAGTATCGAGGGCAGTTGTATGAACGAAAACGCTATCATCATGGCCGACGCTGTCATCAGTGTTACTAGTGATCTGATAGTCCTATTACTGCCATTGCCCTTGACTTTAAGCCTTCAAATGTCGACCAAGAAGAAGATGAGAGTCATTGCCATTCTTGGTGCGGGTGGATTGGCTGTCGCATCCAGTATCATCCGTTTGATTCTGATTGCTATTACCGCCAAATCGAAAGATACCACATTGGCCTTTATGAGGGTTAATATGCTTGGGTATGTCGAAAGTTATCCTAGTACACCCCCGCCCAGGGTGCATGTTTGAAAACCCACTGACTCTCCCATCTTCCACAGCAATGCCGAAATCTCTATTGGAGTGATCTGCACCTGTCTCCCTGCCCTTTCCGCCCTCTTGAAGAAGGTCCTCCGAGAATACTCGAGCAATAAAGCAACGACGAGCCCCTCCGATTATAAGATGGACACTCTACGAAACCAAAGCAAGACGCAACGAAGCACGAAGCAAATGAGTGTTCTTGAGAGGGAGTCTGACGAGGATGTGCTCATGTTCAACGCACAAGGCAATCCAAGGATTGAAACGACTATCAACGTAGACAACGGGCATCATGGCAATTTACGAAGCTCGTCTTTTGGTGGTATTGGAGTTACAAGGACAGTTGATGTCGACGTCTCTTCGGCTCATGAAAACCGACATCATGATGTTTAAAACAGCCAGCTCCTGGAATGTGATATTAGTATAAGGGAAAATCCCATTTTTAATAATGTCAAGCTATACGTTTTTTATCTAGCATATGAGGGCTTGCGAAAATCGACGACGAGAATGGACACTTTTGAAAGTCGCAAACGGCCCCCTTTCCACCCGAACCCGTGGACCGGACTATCGAACTGAGAACTTCTCGCGCCCTTCACCTCGCTGTACATGACTTTTGATGAATTGAGGAGAAAATGACATTGATGGAAGGCCGAGCAATATACGAGTAGTGCTTCCGGAAATCGGTATCACCATACAGACGCTGGGATTGGTTCTCGAGTCCTAATGCCAAGAACGACTAGACGTGATTAAGGGAAGTCCTGGAATATGAATATTCCCGTGTCGTGGCCAGTACAACGACGGCGTGTCAGAAGGTGCTCAAATACAGCAAAATGCGCCATTAGGCCAAAAAGCGTGCACATGTTATGATCCTTAGGGTCATAGGTATTTTCTATAGGTGACGCGCGCTGTCGCACGCTGTACCCCTGAAACGATGAAAACGAAGGGATGAGGAGTTCTAATGCCTGAACTCTCAGGCAAAAAGTCCACGAAAATACTGCCAAGCTGCCAAGCTGCCAAGATTCAGGACCCTTGGCCCGCTGAAGTCTAGAATGTGTTGAGTAGATCTCATGATCTTGCCGCCTAGGTTATGTCATGAGACTCTGGTCTTATGAAGACTAGGCTCACAGTTTCCCATTTTCGTCTCGACAGTCATTCTCACAGTAATTGTGATATTTTACTGTAGCTATGTGCCGCAAACGGAATAACTTACGACTCAGCTGCAGCACATCCGCAAAATTATGGATCCAACCTTAAGTCAAACAAGGATGGATGCTTGTATCTCTGTGGAGAGTGTGGTCTTGCGGGGTAATCTAGCGCCGACCAGGCTTTTCATGATCACTAGCTCATTTTACGCCTTGGTGATACAAATTTGAGTGGCCGGGCAAGACAAGATCATGTGGTTCGTGCGCAGACCCGTGTAAATTCCACGTGGCATTCAAGTTTACTTTTACTGTGGAGCCATATCTCACACTCCTCTGGTGCGACTTAAATCCCAAATTCGAATCAGACGTGGTTGGATATTGTCATTTGTGAATGAATCCAGAGACATTGCATGAAAGCCAGACAGCGGAACCTGCTTACAAATATGTGAAGTATCACTAAGCACTTTCTGACAGTACCCATATGCTGTTTGTGCCGCCGACTTCGCTATGACCGGAGAGAAAGTTATCTATATAGTGGTTTGGAGGTCCGAATTTTGCTAGATAATATACGAAGTGACTCGTCTTGTTCAGTTAGCCACAAACATGGGTCAACATTTGCCTCCAATTTAAACTAACATTTAGCATCCGGAGCGGATGACTGCCGCCAAATTCACGAACGACATGTTAATCATCCGAGCCCGCAACCTTGTTTTCAAATTTTCCGTGGCTTCATTGTCCGTGGTTCCTCGTCTCTGTCAAAGAAAAAGCCTACCATCAACTTTGTGTTGACAAAAGTACTGTATTATTTGATGTTCACCTACGTATTTTCATATCTAAGACAATAGTCCTATCACTACAAAAATACAGTTGATTATTGGTGTTCATTCTGCCTCATCAGCTCTGGCTATGTGGCAACTGACTTGATTGTCAGGGAAAACCTTAACTTTGCCAACTGTCAACAACCAATGATCAAGAATACTGATGTTCATGGAAATTTCATATCCAAACTATCGTAATATGGGACGTGTTCCAATCATGATGTTACCAACATGCATTGATTGCAGTCAATTTTTGGTTCCGTCAAGCTCCAGCAGAGAAAGCGGGGTGTTTACTTGCAATCGAGCTCTAGCACTATGTTGCTTGGTATGTTCTAAGAGTCGAAGGTTGGTACTACTTAGTATTTCGTTGACCATTTCTAGCGCACGATGCTAAGCATTTACAGAAAAAGTCTCGTCGCTATGAAAGTAAACCTACTGGCGCCAGTTAGAGCCATAATGCTTTCTTTCCTACAGATGCGTAAACCCTTCGAGGGATATCTTATTATATTGCACGACGAACGATGCTAGCCAGTCCCATTATTGGAAGAATGCCAAGTCCTCCACGGGGAAGCTGGGTATAAGCGTGAGATTTAGTTACTATATTGCAAGAAGATCATAGTATCTCCGCGGTAATTTGGGGATTCGTTTATTGGCTCGTCGCGTTAGAATGGCCAGGCCAGGCCAGTCTACGATGAACTAGCTTTGGCCAGAATGATTTCTGGGGAATACTCAACCACAGTGAACCCCGCAAATGGCTTGAGGTATTACGACGGGCATAGGCTCATTTGCAACACAACCAGTAACATAGCTGTTTTCTCCAGCATATTCTTCTATCATTAGATATATGCTTTTAGAACTACTCGGTTGCTAGTGCAGACGATCCATGAATCGGTCACGATTTGACTTCTATATCCCAGCTTGCCTAGAACCATATTTTCGAGTTTAGGGTAAAACAAAAGTTATGTCTCCGCAGTTTGGATCACAGGACTATGTTATAGCGCCTGACATACAAGAAGCGCCTTTGTCTAGACCTACACGTAGGTATCGTCGGATCATTATGACACACCTAGGCAGCAGGCTCTATTAGTCTCCATACAGCGGCATTGAAGTAACCCTAGGTATATATTAAGACAATTAACCCGTTATGTTTCATGGCCTTGACCTTAGCTAAACCCACTTCACGTACATGTTTCAAGGTTGCTAGCTATATTCTTTTCTATATCTTTCTTGTCAAGTTATCTTCTAAGGTTGAGTCTACGGCTCACCGGTATATCTACTCTCAGTATGAAGGCCAATTATGCCATTTTTATGGTGCTTTTGCTCTGTCTAGTCTCTGCTTCACCTACGGAGAGATATAAAGGAACTCACAATAATAAAGGTACTGCCATCCGATTTCATTAAGAGACCTTATAATAACAAATTCCTAGTCTCCAAAAACAAGAAGTGTGACAGGGTAGACCCCGGTTGTAAAGCTTGGGATTCAATCAGTTGCACATGCAATGACAGCAAATATGGTTTCATGATCAACCGCCAAGCTAGTGATCAAGGTTCACAGAGTGATACTGCGACCAGCCAGAGCGCAGAAACTTGTTCCTCCTGTACTACAGGAGGAACAACATCACCGGGAGAAACAACATCACCAGGGGGAACAACAACAACAACAACGGGAAATACAACGACAACAACGGGAGGAACAGCAACAACAGGGAATACAACGACAACTGCAGGAACATCAACATCGACACAGGAAGTCGACAAATGTCACAAAAAGCATTGCTGCAAAAAAGGCTGGGACCCTCATACCTGCCACTGTCAGGGCTCGTGGTGCGAGAATTTCGATCCTACATGTAAGGTCTGGAACTGGAAGTACTGCACGTGTACTGAGCCAGGAGGTGGAACTCAATGTAAGCCTGAATGCAGACCTTCTTGCCAGAAGCACTATTGCTGCAGATATGGCTGGGACCCCAGTTCTTGCAGTTGTCGGGGTCCGTGGTGCGAGAATCGCCAGCCCCAATGCGACGACTGGGACTGGGAAAACTGCAAATGCAGATCGAAATGTCCTGTCTGTCAGTGTGATAAACCAAGACCGCCCAGCTGCAAGTACTGGGACGAGGTTGAATGCAAATGCAAAGACACGACCTCGGGGGGGAGGTTGTTCAAAGAAGCACCCCAATTGCAAGATATGGGACAACCAGCACTGCGATTGTGCGGTGTGCAACGACAAACCCACTGATTGCAAGGACTGGGACGATGAAAACTGCAAGTGTAAGACGTGCGCGAAGCCGAAGCCTGCTGATTGCGAGGAGTGGGATGATGAAAACTGCAAGTGTAAGAAGTGCAAGGCCAAACCCCCTGGTTGCAATAAATGGGACTCCGAACATTGCACGTGCAGTGGCCAATCTACCAGTGGAACTGCCACAAATAGTACTACCGCGAGTAGTACTGCCAAAAGTGGAGCTACCACAAATAGTACTACCGCGAGTACTGCCAAAAGTGGAGCTACCACAAATAGTACTACCGCGAGTAGTACTGCCACAACGAGTACTACTGCGAGTAGTACGAGTGCTAATAAGGGGGGTGGAACTACGAGTGAAACTGGCGGGAGTAGTACTCCTGTGAATAGTCCTCCCGTGAGTAGTCCTCCCGTGAGTTCTGCTGCCGAGAGTAGTCCTCCCGTGAGTTCTGCTGCCGAGAGTAGTCCTCCTCCCGAGAGCTTTGCTGCCGAGAGTAGTCCTCCCGAGAGTAGTCCACCCGTGAGTATTGCTGCCGGGGGTGGAAGTGGACAAGGTGGAAGTGGACAGGGCGGAGCTGGAGGTGGTGGTGGAACTGGAGGAAGTGGTGTTGGAACTGGAGGAGGTGGTGGTCAGGGTGGAAACCCAAACAGGTCACTGCGACTGAAATTGCTGCGAATGTGGAGGTCCTAATTGCCAGCAGAACAGTTATGAATACTGCAAAGTCTTTTGGTAAGTTACCAGGTTGCTCATTTTTCTAATGTGTTTGTTGAGGTGCAGGATTGGCCCAACTGCTGGGTTTTTATGAAGTCAAATTTCTTAACTCTGAGCTATTTGGAGGAAATAATGAGGAAAAAACTTATTTTAACTCATGTACTTCAAGTTAGTCGGTTTGTTTGGACATTATTCAACTTTGGTTTGGGCTAGTTCATGTGGAGAAATTGAAAGTAACATGAACTGCCATTTAACTGATATACTAGTAATGGCCTTCGAGTCAGAAGCCAGATCAAATTGACGTATTACTAGTACTCCATCAAATAGTAGTCCAAATAAAACGGAAGAAACTTGGACAGGAAACGAATATTACGCCCGTGCGTGGGATAGATTTTTGCTCAGTTTCGATTAGAGTTCGAGAAGCAATCGAAGAGTATCTAAAAGCTGATGACAACGCCACATACCTTCTATATATCAACTTGAAGAAATACAAAGAGTGCTAGTGGCTTGCATAAAATATATCCAGTGGTGATAAACCTTGGGCTGGACCCTAGTCTAGTACCAATGGTGTGTTCCAAGTTTGGGAAACTGTTGCCAGCTGTGGCTATACAATAACAAGAGAAACAATAGGGAGGATCTATTCAAACAAACCGAGGTCTCCAAGCTAGAAATTAAATTCATTCAACTGTGCGAATTCATAATGTCATATCTAAATCCAAAATCCAGGCTACGAAGCCGGAAACAGAGAAAGAAAGGGTATCAAAAGTAAAATGTGTCTCAATCAATGCGTTTATACAGCTTCGCCTTACCAGATCCAGATCCGGCAGAGGGAGCGCAGCAAGCACCGGTGACCTCCGGGTGGAGAGTGGACTTGTTGAAGGTTTGAGCAGATTGAGGGACATCCAAAGCAGGATTCTTGGTGAAGAACCCATCGGGTTTCAGCATAACACTAACACGCTCCATGGGCATGACGGGGAAGTCTTCGATGCGGGGGTTATGAGTTAGACCGAAGGCTAGATAGGAGTTAGTGAGTGTTATAGCAAAGATGAAAGATATATCTGGAAGGAAGCTTACTGTGCCAGAGAACAACGTCCTCGTTCTCGGTGTTATCCTTGCGCTGGACCCAAGTCTCGACACCCTCGGCACGACGACTTTGGTTCGTGAACTCGCCAGCGGCGTAGAGTTCGTCGTCCTTATATTTGGTTATCCAGATAGGCTTGGTAGCGAACTCAGCTCGGCGGTAGCCGAGGGCGTTCTTGTTCACAAGAAGCATCTGGCTTGGCGCAGTCTGGAGCTTGTAGGCCACTGGTTTATATGTGATGGGGTTATTAATTGAATCGTTGCGGATTTTGAACACGCGGTTACGGTCAACACTGGTGTTTGCCGTGCTAGCCTTGTTCATAACTGTAGACTCAGTAGTGTAGCCAACAAGCCATGGGTTGCTATCATCTTCAGGCATAGGTACACTATCTTCATAATAAACAGTATTTTTGAAACCATCAATGGCAGGGTCGATGCGAAATGAGAACATGTGTTGATGAAATGGAGCCATCACGCCAGGGCCTACATTCGTGCCCCAGGGGACAGTCTGGCCATTCTCATTGTCAAATGGAACAGTTGATAGAATTCCGGTGGCGCGGACCTCAAGTTCAACGTTTCCTGCCTGGTCGAAGATGTATGCGAAGATGTATTCATAATTGGCAACCGTGCAGATCATTTGGAGAACTAATTGACGGTTACGCACGACGGTAGCAGCACCGGTCCGATAGTTAGTGTGCTTGTGCTGTAGGCCATTATCCTGTTCATGCATGCAGATCACGTTCTTTAATTGAACTGGGTTGCCCTTGCAGTCATTTCGGTAGCCATCAAAGTATTTGATGTGGCCCAGGCAATCACATCCGAGAGACAATTGATTAGCATTCATGCCAAAGCCCGTGTCACCAACATCAAATGCTTGCTTTCGGTGGTATGGAGCACGAGGATCTTCGAAATATTAGTCAAGAGACACACAAAATCGGTCAAGTGGTAGCCTACCTCCATATGGCACAGTCATCTCCGAAACAGCAAGACGGTAAAAGACATTGCGGTTATCATATGTAATGTTATAGAGGACAAGGCCCTCTCGAATGTTAAAACCGAGACGAAAGCGCCACTTCTGCCAATAGATTGAGTTTCCATCTGATGTGTACGAGGGGCCTTCTGGCTGCTGAACAATGTACGGTTTCAGGTCCGTTCTGACAGGTTCATCCAACAGATCGTGGGTATATTGGATAGCTTTGACAGGCTTCCAGGGCTGTGTTTGAGTAATTTCAGAATCCGGGCCACCAGGAAGATAGTCCATGCGGACCAATTCGTGAGTGAGACCGTCAAACACCGGGGAGAACTTGCACGGCAGAGAGTAATGGTTATTCTGAGGGTGATCCACCTCGACCAAGTACATGAAGCATTGGAAGAGCCGCCGTGACTCGGTCTCATTATCTGTTCCATACATCCAGGGGTCGTTGCAAACTGTCACCCCGGCGGGCAATTGCAATTTTTCAATTTCGGCGAGAACCGCGGGGTGTCTCATGCAAAGCTCTTCGATCTCCGTAATTTCGTCGGGGTCAATGGGGCCCTATAGAACAATCTTGTTAGACAGAGGACCTTGATCGCAAAGAAATGCCTATAGAAAAGTGACGATACATACCTGTACCTCGCGTGGAAGTTCCTTGGCATATACAATGGTCCGCTTATCGGCGTTCAAGACAGCCTTGTAAAATGCGCCAGTGTCGAGACGGTGAAAGAGGGTGTAGAGGAGACGGGCCGGTGGAGAGGGGAGAGGTCGTCGTAGGCGCTCGGCCTCAATGTATGGCAGGACATCTTTCTTAATAGGCTCGTTCACATCAATCCGCTTATAACGCAGTTCCACTCCTGGGAAGGTCGCCTCGAGAATGCGGACGGCGAGCTTGATCTCCTCCGGGAGAGAGGGGTCGAAGGGATGGAGGGGTTGAGTCACCATCTTAGCGTATGAGATGACCCGGTGGGGTGAGTGGGTGGGAGGGAGGAATTGGAGGGAGGGGAGGACAGGTCAAAATGGAGAGAATCCGGGGAAGCTGAGAGGGGAATTCCAAGGTTCTTGAGAGGGGAAGGGCAACGGGGAATGGGGAATTTAAGAATCGCGTATCTTTTTCTTATCGGCTACAAATGGGATGTACTTTCTCTTTGCGGACTAGCGTGCTTCCCCAAAGGGCAGCGAGTGGATCGCGGGGGCTTGGCACGTGCTTTGGTGCGATCTATGCACTACGAGTAGGTACTAGTTGGTAACTATATAACTACTACATTGTTACATATGGAATGTACTAGCAGAGTTTATCATCATCCGTGCTTACTCTCGACAGTACCTTCTCTCCTAGGACTAACACATATCGATGTTTCACAACGTGAGTATGTGAGTATGTGTATGTATGCATGCATGTTGTACATAATCTAGGGCCAGGGCGGTCCCTGACAGCCCGATAAGAGTCACGTGCTGGCGCAATTTTGCCCCGATCGGGTATGGCGGACAGACCGTGGCTATCAGTTCGCGGGGAACAGATCTCGATGTGACCTTCACTCCCCCCATCCACCATGACAACCTACGCTGATACCGGTTGGGCACGTTCTCCGAATATCTCCGGGGCCACCCCCGCGAAGAAGATCCGAAACCGTCAATCTGGCACTCCATGGACTCGCTCGGGATGCATCACCTGCAAAAAGCGCCGCAAAGGTTGCGACAAAGCCAAACCGAGGTAGGACTTGTTTCTGCAATATTGATTGATCAAATATATATTAAAAAATATTGACTCACCACTATCCAGCTGTAACAATTGCCTTAAGCAGGGTCGAACCTGCGAAGGCTATGGAGATCTCTGGGTGCAACCGTTGGGCCCGTCAGCGCAAGTCTTCAACCAAGCAGACGAACAAAAACGACGACGGCTGAGTATTTCCACGCCGTCTCAGCTCATGTCCCCGGCACCATCGCCCTCTTCAGATTCATGGATGTACATGCAACCTTCGCCTACTACAATCTCGCTCTCCCCGAGTCCATCTCAACCTTCCTCGCCACGAGGACGAATCATTGATCTGGAGGAACGACCAGACCACGGAAACCAGATCGATGAACACACGACACCTCCATCATGGATCCAAAGCGATATTCTGACAATGATTCCACGGCAACACAGCTTTATCAGCCACCTAGGCGACCGTGAGACTCATTACCTGCAATACCACGTGGAATTCGGATCTCGACTTCTCGCCAATCTCGAAAGTGACGATAACCCACTACGGTCCCTACTAATTCCTCGCGCAATATCCTCACCCCTTCTAATGAAGGCAGTTTGCGCGGTCTCTGCTCTTCACCTTGCCAACCGCTCGGCGGGGTTCAGCGCACAAACTGCCGCGGCAAGTTTCTACGGCCGAGCTCTCAGCGGTATCCGGACAGCGATCGCCGAAAGCTCTACAAATGGTCTCTCCGATGATACCATGTTGGCAGTGGGGCTACTGTGCAAGTATGAAGTTGTTCGTGGAAGTGTGAAGCAATGGGTGGTTCACCTGAATGCTTTACAGCGGTTAATAGCTTCTCGCGGTGGCTTGGTAGCCATGGACCGGGATGCAGCAGAATTTCTGAGAGGCTTGTAAGTCATATAACTCGAGGCTGGTGTCAAGGACACAAGGCCACAATTTAACTAACAATTGCATAGATATGTTTACGCCTATAACATGGCTCGAATTAGCAATCGCAAGCGCATTACTCCTAGCGAGGACTTTGCCACACATACAGACCTGGGCCCGCCCAGATTGGACATATACATCGGATACACCGAGCAGATCTTGAATCTCTGCGCAAGCATCGTCGAACTTCCCACTCTACAAAATGACCTGATTTCTCTTCGCCTCGCAATAGCCTCCATGTGCGTTTCGCTCTCCCATTAAGGAAACTTGAACACAAATTTCCAAATTAAAGAACTGCATTAGCTAACTCACTGTTCTAGAAACGACTCCCTCCTCACGTGGTCCCATACCAACACCCGCTATATCATCCCCCAGGGACTAACAACCGAAACCCTAAGCCGCCTCCAACTCGTCGCAGAATGTTTCCGCGACGCAGGATTCGTATACCTCCACTCCATCCTCGAACGCATGCAAACCCAAACCCAACCCCAACCCCAACCACGAACAACCGCCGATACCCCCTACCTCGCCGAAACCGAAATCGAATTGACTTCATTAATTTCCATACCCAAAGCGATCGCCGTTGATAGATGTCTCTCGCGCATTGGATCACTTCATCTGGACGACCACTGCGAGTACTCGGCACTCACATTCCCGCTATTCATCTCAGGCTGCGAGAGCGAAGTCTTTGCGCACAGAGATCTCGTCGTCAATTCACTGGCGAAGCTGCAGAGTAATTTCGGCATTGGGAATACTCAGCGCGCGAAAGAGGTATTAAGGATTCTGTGGTCGAGAAGAGATGCCTATACTCGAAACCCGGCTGGCAAGAAGATGGAGAATGTGCATTGGTTTGATATTCTGGAGGAATTGCAATGGGATTTGACACTTGCGTGAATCGGCATTTCGAGTCTCATGTGTCCTTCTCTGCAGGCTCTCTCTTCCTTTTCCCTTTTCCCTTTTCCATTTGCTTCTTCCTTCTCTCCAAAAGTCCTCCTACACTGCATCCACCACACCCCTCTGCTACGATATGATGTTTATGTGAATTGTACGGCATAGAATTGTAATATATAGAGCAACGAGCAATGTGACAACGTCTGCATCATGAACTTCAATAGGGTATTTAAAAGCGTTCACGTAAAACCCTAACCCTACAAACCGAAACCGCTCCAACCCCCAAGAACCCCCAGAAAAGCCACCAACAGAGAGAGAGAGAGAAAGGCCAAGACAAAAGTGATGCATGGACACCCAGAAGGATGATATGGATACGAACAAAAGGACAGTCCAGCTAAACTCAACTCAACTCAACTCAGCCCCATATTCACCTCATCACTCAATCCAAACTCCCGCTCCGCCCTCTCCGTACCCCCAGCAGCACGCATCCCCCAGCGATCAAGCCGATCCTGCGAGCTCGCAATCTCTTTTTCGCGAGTACTAGCACTATCGCTCGTCACAGCACTTCCCTCGCGAGCACTATGCTGCGACGGCTTGCGAGAATTGGTGCTGATCGGGCGTGGGGGTGTGACACGTGCACCACCATCCGAAGAAGGGCCGTCCGCTGAAGGCGCGGGATTCGCATTCGAATTCGCATTCGGATTCGAGCTGGTAGATCGACCGACATCAGCAGCGGAGGTTCCGCCACCGTCGCCGCCGCTGCCGACACTGCTGGCGCGATCTTTCTCCTTACTGCCGCTGCTGAACCAGCGTCGGCGGCGGGATTTGAGAGGCGTGGAGTTGGAAAGGCCGGCACTGGTGCCGGTGGTGGGCTCCTGTTCGGACCCTTTCTCTTTGGTGGTTCCTTTTTCTTTTTCCTTTTCTAGGGCCTGGGTTAACGCTGAGAAATTTTCTTCGGACGGTTCGTTGTTTTCTTGTGGAAGTTCGACGAGTTCGGCGTCGCGGTACCACTTCCTTCGTCGTGTATATCGGTCCCATCCATCTTGGCCACGGCGTCCGTCATTCCACTGATCACACTGTTAGAAATAGGTTGGGGAGAATTTGTAAACCGGACTCGACGCATACCTTATTATCATAGTAGATCCATCCCTCGACATTAGACGTCTTGGGATCCTTCCCGTTCGTAGAGTTATCCGCACCTTCGATGCGCCACTCACTTCCCTCCACCCAGCGCCACTTAGAGCCACCGGTCTGAACATCAGGAAGTTCAAACGAGTCCTTCGCCGGAACAGAATTCAAATGTTCATCAGTCCAGGCGCCCCGTTCAGCCGGGAACAAGGAATAAGTCCACCCGATTCCAAGCCAGCGCCGCTGGTTCTCGTACACAACAAAAGTAAATCGCACTCCGGAAGCATCTCCACGCCGACGAGTCGCAATATTCAGACCCTGACCCTGACCCTCGCCCTGGGCTTGTGTCTTTGGCGCGCTCGGCCCATCTGCCACCGAAAGACCGGTGATCATGCCGCATAGACGGCGTACAGCCCGGGAGCGCCAGAGAATGACGCGCGATACTCGGGCCGGGCGCGAGTGGTATGTGAGAATTATAGTGCCGGCAATCATCACGACGCGGCGGGAGGTAATTAGGTAAAAGGGAGGGAGGGTTAAAGCGATCCAGATGGGTGTCACCAATAGGATACGGAGGAAGAGAGCTGTTAACGCAGGACGAGTCGTTGCGGACGTTGCCGTGCGCTGTGTGGATAGGAAATCGGTCAAATCGAGCAAGGGTTCGAGTAAGATATTACACCGTGTTGTGAAAGTACGCAAAGTCTCGACGATATCGTCCAAGCTTTTCTGATGGCGAGTCGTGGTATCTGCCGACGTCTTCCCCGGGTGTTTTTCGCCGGTGGAAGTTGTTGATGAGAGGGGTGAATAGCGCCGTCCATACATGCCGAGTATCAGGCCGACAACGACGAGAATCGGGCCCGCCCAGAGAATGATGGCATCGCTATATAGCACCACTGTCCAGAAGGTGGCTACCAATAGGAAGCTCTGCCATGGATCCCCGGTTGTCCATGATAATAGGCCGACGAGTTTATTCAGTGGTAAGAGGAATGGGTGGGAGTAGGCGAGGGCCCTGGTGATGGACGGCGGCGTAGCCACCAGCAGTGGTGATTTGCGATGCACGATGACGCTGGAGCGTTGCCGCGAGGTCAGGGCAGAGCCGGAGATGGTAGAAGGAGAGAAAGCGGCGATGGTCGGAGGTAAAGAATCAGACTGGCCATCCTGCATGGGCGTTGAGGGTGCCATGGAATCGATCCACGGAAGATCTTCTGGATAACATCAGATGGGTTGGATGGAGAGGGGAGGGGGGGCAGGGGAAGAGAAAGGTACCTAAAGCTGCCATCCAATTACGGAGACGTCATGGGAGTCGTTGTCAGCTCATCTGGAGCGGGCGATCAAATGCTTTTAAGGGCAGGGCAGGGCATGAGGGAGGTTCGTCGGCTCCAAAGTGATCTGCGGGGGGGAATTTGGGGGGGACATGTGACTGTGTTGAGGCCGAGAGTGGTGGGAGTAGGAGAAGAGTATAGAATAGTACATTACATCTATGGTATGTTATATTCTAGAAATAGAAATAATGATCATGAGAATTATGTTGAATGAGATATATATTTACATTTGCTGATATTACTCTAAATACTATACTCCGTTGTGTTCCCCGTGTCTGCCTCTACTGTATACTCACTGCTCACTCCAGCCGACGCTAAAACGCGCAGCCGAAATTTTCCCCTTCTTCCTTCTTCACCTCCTTGTGATCATCGCCCTTCCCCGTCCACGTCATGGTGAGTACTTTTCCAGAGATGAATTTATTGAATTTCTTATTCCGTCTCATTTCATGTCATTGGAATTACCATTAACAATTCTGCTCTCCACTCCAGGCGCACCGCATTGTCTCCCAAGTCATCATCACCGGAGCCCGGGTCTTCGGCCGCGCCTTCGGTGAAGCCTACAAGCAGGCCCAGGCCACCGGCAAACACAACGCCGGCAAGAAAGGAGGCAGTGCCTTCAGCGGTGGCTCCGGAATCACCCTCGATGAGTCCTACAAGATCCTCAACGTCAAGCCCCCCCGGTGGCGGCGCCGAACCCAGCGTCGAACATGTCATGGAGCGATTCAAGAAGCTGTTCGATCTGAACGATCCTCAGAAGGGTGGCAGCTTCTACCTTCAGAGCAAGATTTTGCGTGCGCGCGAACGGATAGAGATGGAAGTCCGCCAAACACAGCGAAAGACTGCCCAGGATAAGGAATTGAGTGAAGGCTGGAACCCCAAGGTCTACAAGGACCGGTGAAGCAGTACCCGCCATAGGGGTCACTTCCTGACTTCCTGCGCGTCTCGTCGCATCCTCTATCCTATTTGAATTATTGCGACATGGGTTTGGGTTCCGTTTTCCACCTGCGCATCCTCGTCCACCCTTCCGCTCGTCCACCGTCCACCCGCCCACTTCGGTCGCCTCTTGTCGCGATCAAAGTACTCCGGATCCGCTCGTCTTTTGATTTGGCATAGCATGGCGTTTTTGGGGGTTCCCGTGAGGGAGAAGCCCTCTCCATTTTATTCTCTCTTACCTGTTTTAGACTGAGGGATTGACATCGACTCCTCGCGATGATTTGATCTCTCCGGCCTCTCGGGGCCCTGTGTATATCATCTACCCTTCTACCCCTTCTCCCCTTCTCCACTCTGCCTTGGGAAAATCATATGTACTATAGCTGTAAACTGAACATGTTCTAATGCCGTTGTCCTGCATCATCAAAGTAATCAAAGTAATCAAAGTAATAAAAATCACAAAAGTACCACTTTTTTGCCACCGCCGGAGGAAGCGGCAATTGGGAACTTCCTAACTTCCTCCGAGCCACTCGCCCTTCAATCCCCCCCGATTTCACTAGCACCGGAAACTTGAACTAACTTGAAAATGGAAAGGGTTTGGCAACAGCCTTGAACCAAAACTAACCGCCATGGCGCCATGGCGCCATCCGGAGTGGAGTGGGGGAAATCGGGGAATTCCAATTATCTTCATTTCTGTCCCACTCCGACCTCCGCATCGGGATAATTCGATCCAAACTTATCCTACTCTTCCCCTGTCTCTATCTTCTATCTTCCCTGAATATATTTTTCCTCTCAATCATCTCTCTCTTTTCTCTTTTCCCACCTAACTGAATGTCTGCCACCACAACCGCTCCGAACACCCCGACAATGCGCCCCTCCACCCCCCTCTCAACAACCCTCCCCCCCATTAATAATGGGCACAGCAACCTTCAACTCCCAATACAACGCAGACCCCTACGCCCTCCCAACAACAGAACTCGTCCACCGCGCCCTATCCCACGGAATCCGCGCCTTCGACACATCACCCTACTACGGCCCCGCCGAATCCCTCCTCGGCCAAGCCCTATCCTCACCCGCAATCACCACCTCCCACCCAAGAAACACATACCACCTCCTTACAAAAGTAGGCCGAATCGCCTCGTCCTCATTCGACTACTCCCCACCCTGGATCCGATCCAGCGTCCGCCGCAGTCTGAACAGATTACACACAAATTATCTAGACGTCGTCTACTGCCATGACGTCGAATTTGTCACTCCCGCAGAAGTCTTAACCGCTGTGCGCGAATTGCGACGCCTTCGCGATGAAGAAGGTGTGCTGCGCTATGTTGGTATCTCGGGATACCCGGTCGACGTACTCTCAGCACTTGCGGAAATGATTCTCGTCCAGACGGGTGAACCGCTCGATATCGTTATGAGTTATGCGAACTTTACGTTGCAGAATACGCGGTTGGCGACACAGGCGTTGCCTAGGCTGATCAAGGCTGGTGTGGACGTTGTACCTAATGCTTCGCCGTTGGGGATGGGACTTTTGCGTAGGGATGGGGTGCCGATTGGGTCTATGGGGGATTTTCATCCTGCGCCTGATGCTTTGCGGGGTGTTGTGCGTGATGCGGCGGGTGTTGCTGATGGACGTGGGGAGAAGTTGGAAGTTGTTGCTATTCGATTTGCGCTTGAGTCGTGGTTGAGGGATGGGGCTGGGGCGGGTGGTTTTGGGGCGCCGATGGCGAAGGGTGTGGATTCGGATCCCGGGTTTATTTCTGTTAAGAGTGTGGGTGCTGGGAGGAGATTGGGGGTTAGTGTTATGGGGGTGAGTAATGTTGCTGAGTTGGATGAGACGTTGAGGGTTTGGAATAGTATTGTTGATGGGCTTGAGAATTGTGAGGATGGGGAGTTCGAAGGGAAGGGTGCTTCGACTCCGACGACTTCAAATATTTTGACGCCGTCTGAGGGATTGATTACTGATCGGGCTTGGTCTCGTACGCGCCGCGCAAATATTTTGCAGCTGGCTGCTGAGATTCGTGATGTTATTGGGGAGGAATGGGTGGATTATGTTTGGGCAAGCCCTGACGCGGACTTCAAGAACTCGTTGTCCGAGGAGCATCTCGCTTTCGTTGAGAGTCTTGAGGTCGAAGGGGAGGTCATCGATTCCCCTGCCATTGACTATTCTACTCAGGATGAGGGAATGTTGACCCCGCCGTTGGATGTGGAGAGACGGCTTGAGTAAATAATGGACGATGATGCGCGGTGTTGATATTCAGTGTCCAGAAAATGTGGCTATTCCCAGGTTGCCTTCGACTGTTCTTATTGCGGAATTTGGGTTGTATATAGAGTTGTTCATATTCATACGAGATACTACTAGTACGAACTAGTAATATTCCCGCCGTCAATTCATGGCAAAGACGACAATAAATACTATTATGGTTGAATTCAGAAAGATGATCATCCACCTGGGACCTGGGCAGCATCGGCAGCCCTAGAGAGCTTGTGGTAGAAACAGCTCTGGAGGAGAACTTGAATAGTGTGGTCAGAGTAACATCACCGCTGTTGCGTTGCCAACTTTGTCTTTCCACCTGGGCATGGCGGCAGAAGCTGTTGGGGTCTTGAGGTGCAAAGATAGATTATGCACTGCGCTCGACCAAGGTCCTTCATGCTACCCACTGGTTTCATGCTACCCACTGGTGAATCCTCTAATGTGGATCAGTGGTCTTTTGAGACTCTATAGGAGTGCAGCCATGAAATGATCATATGGATGTCGAATTGTGGAGGAACGGAACGCGTATCAAACTGTGTCGGTCAAACGCTTCTTTCAGCATGGCCGTAACTCATAACATCGAAGAAACAAGTTATTTGGAACGAGGTGCGGAAATACTTTGACGAGCTACGCCAACTTCCATCCTCAGGATGCTTTGGCAATGTCTGTAAAAGACAAATTCTAGTCGAGATTCTTTGGACACACGAGCCAGATCCTTTAGTGAATGGCCTGTTTGGTTCTCAAGAGGACCTCAGCGAAGCAGTGGTTCGATAGGGACCATTATACTAGGAAATTAAACAGCAGATTTAACCTCGGACTGAGCTATAAAATACCGTGATACTAGTAATGGCATTTCTTCAAGTTGGCTTTCCCTTTCCGATTTAGTGCTTATACTAGTAGTGAATTGGAAGAACACATTTATTGATTAAGAGTCGAGATTTTGTACTCGACAACAAAGATAGCCCCCTTTTTGATCTACTCATTCCGTCTATGGATTATGACCAGTTAATAAACCGTCAGCTACCACCTGTCATGCCTCGGCTCAACGAACGAGACTCCTTAGGTACACAGCAACGGCTGACTAGCATCACTGTTCTGGTAGTAACAAATACCATCACAACATTCATCCCGACTGCCATTGTTCAAACAGGATTGTCCAGCTATATCAATATTCCTGTTAGTATTCCTGACTTGGAAGCGTGGCACTAGAAGAAGGAATAAAAATGCGTACAGTTTCCACATCGTGGGACCAATTCCATCGCGAGAGCTTCCGGCTCTGGAATAGCTGCGGCATTGACCAAGGCAGTGATGGCACCGAGAAGAAGGAGGCTGAGATATCTCATGATGACTTGAAAGGCTTCGTTTTCGGTAAGATATATACGAGTATTTGGGTAATCTCCGTATAAAACTGAAACTGGAGGTTGAGGTGGATTGAGATTGAGGAAATCGCGAGACTGGAAAAACAAACACCTTATCCCCGGGGCCAGTGGCTACCCAGTTTCGCCTATTTATAAGCCCTTCCAGGGCCACTTGGCTCAATTCCGTCGGTTAGATGACTTTCAATCATGATCCACATTTATTGGGGGCGAGGACGGCTCGCACTCTTCTTCATATGAACCAAGAAATGATCTGCACAAACTGTCGGGGCCAGAAATGGTTCTATGTTTTTCGCCCCAAATTACTTAAGTCAATAGTACTAGTACTAACACGCGTTCGTTTTATCTGCCAAAAATTGTCATGCTGTTATACAATGGCCCCGTTCCAGATCTCGCCTTCCTTGGTGCTGACTGCAAGCTGAGAGGAGGCGAGTGGTTGTGAATAGAAGCCTCGCTACAATGTATGAAATTTTGTAGTATGAAATCGTCATTTTCGGCGTCTTTTTTAGGTTTTCATATTCTATATTAGATAGCGGGCCTGTGAATATGGCTGAGTAATAATGGACGATGATGCGCGGTGTTAATATGGATTGAGTGTCCAGAAAAAGTGGCTATTCCTAGGTTGTCTTTGAATATTGTCATTGCGGAATTCGGGTTGTATATTATAGAGGTATTCATATTCATAGGAGATAGTACTAGTACTACAGTCATTCCAAAATAGGCTTGACTGATACACACTCGATCACTCTTTTCAAGGGATACTAGAAGGACCACCCTTTCTGCTAATCAGACCACTTCCCTTGTACATTTTTTCTTAGCATATTTTACCATATAAACTTTGGATACACCTCCCCCACATCCAGTATACAGTGGCGCCGCAAAGGTTTCCAACTAGTAGCTACCTGGGCCTGAAGATGGAATAAATTGGCCAATCTGTTCCATCTCAGGTTGCTACTAGTACTCTATATAAAATGAGGTTAATAAACGAGTAGGTTTAAATTATATAGCAGAAAAGGTGCTAAGAGTGGTCCAATTAGCAAAAAGGGGGGTTCTTCTCCCAGCATCCCTCCTCTTTTCTGGACCTGCTGCCAAGACATTAACGTAGATTTTTCTATTACCTTGGGAGCCTTCAGGTCCGGACCAGAGACTACCTAAGTAGTACATATGGAGAGATACTGGAATGAGATTGTTGCCGATAGGAGACTTGCCCTTAGAAGCAGATTTTATTATGCAAGCCTATTTGCAACTTGCTATAGTGACCAACTACCCAGTCACAGGACATCACTCTAAAAGCCAAACAAACAATTCCGCTCGATAATATCCTCAAGGTGCAAATCACGTAGACGAAACCCAACTCCCGCAGCCGAACATAAAAACTCTAGTTCCATTTTGAAGTCCGCAAACTTCTCTAACATGGCAGGTATAGGACGAGGTTTAGCGTTAGACTCCTCAGTTGACTGCTGGACATGCATCCAGTTTCCCTTGACCTCTAAATAAGTCAGGTTAGGGTAGCGGCACTTCCCTCCTGAGAGCAGGTCTTTAAACTCCTTAGTTAGTTCAGTTGTATGCTCTGATTCTAGATCATCAAGGATAAGGCTTTCCAGCGTCAGAGGCAAAACATCACTGAATCTATTCCTTGATGTGTTGCCCATGGAACTCCAGCCCCGGTCCCAGTCTAGTATATGAGATATCTGCAGCCGAAGTTCCTTCAGCGCACTGAATCCTGCGAATGATCCGACGTAATCATAGTCGTGACTCTGGTAAGTGGCATACTCGTTGGTACAATCGTCGGTCAATGTTAATGTTTGCAAGGTCTCCTGATGTCTTTGCAATGGTGGGTAGTATCTCGACGCGTACATCCCCTCATCATCCGCACTATGCGGGTTATCGGAATGCTCAAAGATGAAAGATTCGAGGCTCTTGGGTGCGCCGATCAAATCCGCGAAGCCTCTTCGGGAACAACTGGACTTGAGGTGGATATGAGTGATATTGGAGTACCGAATATTGTCAGGCACGTAGCTGGCCGCATGGAACTCTTGATCTTCGACATATTCCTCATCAGATGTACCAGCATCACATATCATATCGCCACAGAAGCTTCGTAACGAGGGAAGTCGAAGTATTGGGAGAAAGTGCGATGAGCTGAGGCCACCATCTACATCCGAACACACGAGTGCAAAATGTCTTAATTTAGACAAACCAGAGCTTTCCTTTTCGGCGATCCTGGCCATCCACTCGAGAGTGTAGTTTGAAAATCCATCAACCTGTAGGACCAGGTCCTCCAGATTTGGCATGAGCGCCAAAAGCAGAACAGTCCATTCATCATTATTCTCTCCACTCTTTAGTTGCAAGTCCCATCCGGATAGGTTGTCGTTGGGCCCCAATGTTGATTTCAGAACTGGTAGAATAACCTCCTGTTCATATCGCACGCCGGAAGTCGGCTGCCTGGCAACGGCGACACGAAAAGTGCGCACTTCTTGCGCTAATTCCGGATTGAATGCGAGTGTGTGTACCAAATGACTCAAGTGGCCATTGCGGTGCTCTATCAGGTCGATCGATGTAAAGACTTTGGGTAACAAAACTGGATATAAGGCACGGCAACAGGAGGCAAGCCGTCGAATATCCGTGTGGCTATCCAGATAGCTTGCTATTGAGAACAGCAACTCTGCTGGTAACGTAGAGAGCATATTTCTTTCTGAAAGGGGGGCCTGAGTTAAAGCATAGTGAAGATGGTGTTTATGGCTGGTTAAGAAAAACTTTTGGACATCGGCTGGCCGGCAGCACCTTCGCCAAGCCTACATCTGTCATGCAAAATTTCGGTGGCACATAGGGTCAAGCCACTATCCACATAATTTGCAAAGATCCATCTGAAAATTCTATGGGATTCCATGGGCTTCATCCTACTATGATATGAACGGCGCATTTTACCGAACCCCTCAGTTTAATGCGCCCAGCTAAATAAATGGTCGACGCTAACTTGAAGCAGCGTTAGTCAAGGCGATTTCGAGAATGACTGTAACTAGTAGTATTCCCGCCGTCAATTCATGGCGGAGTCTATAATCAATGTTACTAATATGATTGAATACAGAAAGAGACTCATAATCCATGGATGCCGTATTCTATTCACTAGCATGTGAGGAATCCTTATTGTCTGAGTTGACCTCCCCTGACCCGTCACCCGAAGCAGCAACTCAAGATCCAGACTCGCTCTCGGACTCTTCATCTTCAAGCAGCACACGAGAGAAAGCATCGGTGAAATACACCGTGTCGTCGAAGTCTAGATCTTGCCAAATCAAATCCCAGATGGTTTTACCATCACTGTTCACCAAGTTGCAGTCAGTGTAGGCTCTTCGTAGCTCCACCAGGCTGTCGTCACAAGTAATTACCATACCAATCCCTTCATGTAGGGGGAGATTGCCACGGTTATTTTTCGCCATAAAGTCCGCCCGGTCATCCCGTCTGAGGATACGAAGTCCAACTGAAAATGAACTCCGTGCAGCCATATGCAGAGGAGTATCGCCATTTTCGTCCTTAGTATTGGGATCGCTGCCAGCTTCAAGAAGGATCTTGAAAATATCCTGTTTGCTGTTATACCATTCAAAACTGCATGCCATGTGAAGGGGAATTTGACCGAATGAATCTTTTGCCATGGGGTTGGCCCCTCTTTTGAGGAGGAGCTTGACTGACTCTGTGCAGTTTTGAAATGTTGCTTGATGTAGCATGGTGCGACCAAGAGGGTCTTGCGTATTGACGTCTGTTCCTCTTTTGAGAAACCACTCGACAACACGCTCACACCCCTCTTCTTCGGCATCAGGATCTCTCCAGTAAGGCATACGGTGTGGCCAGCTGTTTTGATAAACAAAAGTGCTATCATTTCCTGTATCGACGATGCCTGGTGGTAGTAGTGCAGTCCGTCCGAAATCAGAGTGTCCATAATCCAAGGCTCGGAATATTGGATTAAGATTTGTCGACTCGATGCAGTTTATACTGGCACCTGCCTCGAAGAGAACCTCCATCACTCTAATATCACCAGACTCCAAAGCCAGCCGAAGAGGACTTTGGTCAGAACCGTTCTTGGCATCAATATATGCGCCCTTTTCGATGAGGAGAGAGACCAATCCTGCTTTTTTGTTCAAGACAGCCAGATGTAGCGGCGTGTCGCCGTTTGGATTTCTCACATTTGGATTTGCTCCATTTTTTAGCAACAACAGGACGGGATCAAAGCGTCCCATACATGCCGCAATGCATAGCGGTGTGGTGCCAACTTGAAGGCTATGGTCCAGATGGTCTTCAGAGCCACCATGGCCGAACCCTGAAAGACTTTCCTTTTCCATCCGTACAAACTCTTGAAGTGAAATAGGTTTTTGTGCATTAACATTCCGATCCAAACCATCGGGATTCACGCCGTAGTCCAACAACGTCTGCACCTCGCGACCCAGTCCCAAGTATGAGGCTATCCACAATGGCATGAACCCATACCGATTTTTCAAATAAGGATCCGCACCATAGTCCAGTAGAGTCCTGGTCAGCGTTTTCTCATAGCCCAGGCGACTGAAAATGCCATTCTCGTTAGACAATGCTCCCCGGGAAGCCTTGCCTAATCCATGAATAGGCGCATCACCGTTACCGTCAATGAAATTAGGATTGAAACCACACTCCAGAAGCACGTCCACGGCGATCAAATTGCCTTCTATAGCTGCAATCTGTAATGCGGAAGTGTTGCATTGATACAGAGAGTATAGATCGACACCCCGATCATGGAGTAATCTGATCATTGGCCCATTATCACACCGAGCTGCAAGATGAATTGCGTTTTGCCCATCCGCGAAAGGAATTTCTGGGTTTGCTCGATCCTTGCGGAGGAGGACATCCACTACCGCAATTTGATCACCTTTGATTGCTTCACTGAGGGCATTTTGGCAATATACATTCAGATTCATGTCGCCGCACGCCTTTTCTCCGTATTCGATCAGAAGCGTGACAATCTTGACATGTCCACGGAAAGCTGCGATATTAAGGGGCACCTCTATGGTCCTCGCGGCATCAGGCCCATCAATGGCGCCCACCTCGATGAAAATTTCAACGGTCCTTGAAAGACCCCGTTCTGTTGCCCAATGAAGTCCGTAATTATCTGTTCTCGATATAGAAGAGCGGTAGAGGTGTCGGTTCAAATGGGTATGACAATGTCGATTAGTTCTGGCAAAGGCGTTTATTTCTTTCATCGACTGCAGGTTTTCTGCAATGGCCACCAGTAGCTCGTTTGGTAAGTTGAGCGATGCCATTACTGCCGGTAGAAAGAATCTTTAACAGAGACTACCTGTAATCAGATTCAAGCCAGTTTCCAGAGTGAAGTTGATGTGCCATGACTCATGGCGCAGGAATTAAATATTTGTCCTGAAAGCCCGCTAAGGTCTGATCGAGGCTAGCACAGCTCGCATCACATGGGAATAAAGCAAAGCTCCAACTTGAAGTTTTCGGCATTATCAAACTGAGATTTGAATTTGGATCGATTGGTCTTTTTTAAATCGCCCCGTCATCTTATCTAGCTGTAAACGAGGAGCTGTTAGTTACGCTATTGTTTTGGTTTTGCCTCTTCTAGTTTAGCGCTTGTATTGACGGTATAGTACATTTCCTTTAATCTGATATTTTTAATGCCGGCAATTCTGCCTTTTGATAGAATTCTTCGATCAAAAAGGATCATGATTTCTCTACGGTATGTATTAGCACCGAGTCAAAACAGCAAATGCAGGCGCACCGCCTCGCTGCCAGTATTTGGGGGCAAAAAGTGGTGTCAGTCAAGCGAGTAAACGTTCAAGGGCTGGGAAGCATTACCTTGGAAGTCTTCATGGATGATGGCTCTTGTCGGATTATTCAATTTCGAACGCAGCCCCTGGATTTGAATCCAGCTATCAACCAACCGCCTTCTTGGAAGCTACGCTCCAGATGTACAAAGATTGAGAACTCGGTTCGTTCTAGGGATAACGTATTTGTCTTTCATATGGAAAGAATAACTGGGAAGACCTGGATGGAAGCAGACGAGCACTGGGAACCAGCCCCCGTGCAATGCGTAACTTCACTCGGTCGTGTCTTGTCCAAATGCTTCGTGTTCAGAACTGAACACGAAATCGAGAACTATGTCAAACCAAATCTCCAGAAGATTCTCAACATGCCAACTCGCTCGAACATTGATGTCAGGCCCTATTTTCCATTAGTAGAGGAACTCGTCGAGGTATGCCCGAAGCTCAAGAGATTTTCAGGCTTCTTTTCACATTTGGACCTCAACACGATGAACATCTTTGTGGAAGAAACAAGCCAGCTTCATGGGGTCATTGATTGGGAAGATGCCCGAGTGCTACCGTTTGGCTTCAATTGTTCGGCCATTCATTTTCTAGCTGCAGAGTTCCTGACTGTAGAGTCTGGGAATATTGAGTTGGTAGAGAGCCAGAATTATGAGGAAATGGAACGAGGGTTCTGAAAAACCCTGCTGCAAAATGCACCTCCTGATGAGCTACAGGTGATCAATAAAAATCCGAATCTCGTGCGGCTTGCAGTCATCACGGGCACCATTTTGAGGATTTTGGGCGTTTATGTTGTGGACAGTAAAGAGGTTACTGATCTTCATACGCCGTCACTTCATGCCTTGCCTGAGTTACTTACATATCGAATACCAGCCTTGCGAGGTGAGAAAAGGCCTTTCCTGGAGCTCGCTGCCGAACAGGATTATAGGCTGAAGTTCATGGCGGCTTCCGTCTACATCCATGGATTGGCGAGATTTCAAGCTGACCGGCTCGGTTGGTGGCCTCGCCAAGCTAGAATCTTTTTTTAAAAAAATCCCGTCATTTTCGCCGTCGCTTTCAAAGGTCCTCGGATTCTAGTTGTAATTGTTCTTCTACCGAGCATGTCGAGATAAGAGGTGACAGGAAAACAAATCATTCCACCAATTCTCCAAAATCATTGCATACCTCGTATCCTCTCCAAGAAATAGCATATAGCTCGTCCTCGATGAGAAGGAGGATCGGAAGGGGAGTAAACACCAGTCAGACAAGCAAGTAATCTCAGATCACCACTCGGCCAAAAGGATTCATTGGACTAGATAAAAAATACCTTTGGAATAATGATAACAGTGAGCGAGTTGAATCAGCAGTCACAGAAGATCTGCCGATGCTCAAAATGTAGCGTGGTGCAGTGCAGTGCAGTGCATCAACACAAGTCGGACAGAACGCTTGAAATCATAACCGGTTCGGGGGAAATTCGAACTCGAACTCGAATTGGTATACCTGGGAGGGGGTAAGTCCATCCAAGGGTTTCATCATTCCGCATTCGCATTCGCATTCGGGTTAGGATATGCTTTGGGCTTGCAGGGTAAGAATAAACCAAAGACAACAAAAAGAGAAAAAGGAAAGCGCTGAAAATGCAACAAATGGTGCTGCCAAACTACCACCGAAAGTCAAGGCCGACATCGACATCATCGTAGATGTATTTATATTTCCACGGAGCGTAACGGAGGGTATCTCTAACAATTAAACAAACACGCAGAAGAAGTTGACCGATATCGTGCAGTCATAAAAGACTGTACAATAAATACAACGCGGGCGACGTTTAGGCGGCGCGAATCGTAGGCGGCGGACCAGGAGGCAGAGGCGGAGGCGGTTGAGAATATTGCGGAGGTGGAGAAGCCGGAGGTGGAGGGGGGATTGCGGTAGATGTCGAATCGACTGGAGGACTCGTACACCTCACGCAGTTGGAACCGCTGGACCATGTACTCTTCGTAGTTGGCGGCAATTATTGAGCCCAAGATACTGCCCTTTGTGTCTTCGGAGTTTGTCAGTTCAACCATACGCCGAGACAATATGGTAAAAGCCTGAGAGAAGGTCCGGAACACCAATGCGATTTCCTTGGTTCCGCCCGAGATGTCGTTGTCTGGGTTGTTTGGGTCCTCAATCGTGAGACGATCCCGGCTGGCGAATTGCTACGGTGGGGTGTTAGGACGGTATATTGTACAATGGATCGCGTATTAGGGCTCCACTTACCTTGCTAAAGAACATTGGAGGATTCATACGAATACCCATTTCTTCATAACGGAAGATATTACCGTAATAATCAAAGAAGTTTAACAGGATCTTGCCCAGATTGAACTCCTCACGCCGCGGCATATGCTGCAGCAGACTCGCAACCAGGCAAGTGATAGAGAAACCACCCAGGCCTCCGGTCGGTACCTCATTCAGTCCTCGGATAAGCAAGAACTGCTTGATGACCGAAACGATTACTGGCATCGCTGGATACTGGTCCTTCCACATTCTGAACGTCTCGTTCGCTCTAATACCACTGTCATTATCAAAAGACAGGTCAACGCGCAGCCCAGTAACCTTGTCCACGAATTTTATAATGGGCACACGAGCGTGCGCAATACTTTCAATGGACCCGGGAACCGCGATGCCAGCGTTCTTGATGAATGCACTGAATGCATAGATCTGGCCAGGTCTTTCGCCAAAGTTTCTCTTCCCAGAGCGAGTGAAATCTCGTGACATAAGAACCAGATCAACATCGGCAATGGGGAGGTACAGCCCCGAGGCAAAAGAACCAAAAGCATGCAGTTGTACGCCGGGGTATCTCTCCTTGAACACCATCTCCAACCGCTGAATGAGATCCTGTCGCACAAGGTGTTCAAAGTCATGGGGCTTGATCCAACTGTAAAAGGAAAGAACCTCCTGGTGTAGACGAGTGCCCATATGTAAAGCACTCATTCCATCAGTCCAGGGTGTAGCAGACTGTGGGGACAGGGCCTTCCAAGCATAAAGCACAGAGCCATCACTGTGGAACCTTGACATAGGTTTTCCGACCTTTGTGGAGAAGCCCTTAGGTTCATCATCACGGGTTCGTTTGCGCTGCAAAACTGTCGAGTCTTGGCTCGGGACCTGGCTCTGGTTCTGGTTTTGATTCGCCATGCTCTTGGGGCCTCTGGGGGCATTCGCCGGAGGAATTTCTCTTCTGTCCTCTTCTTCCTCTTGTCCTAGTCCATCCATATTGCCCAACGAGATGAAGTCATGGTTGTCGGCCACCGCATCTTCCTGCTTTGGTGCACTGCTGGCTGCCAGCCGAGCTTTGCGAATCAACTTCACGACATCAAGTTTCTTGCCCGTGGTCTCATCGGGCGGCGGCAAGACTGTATATGGGTCGGGGTTGGACCATTTTGGGGCTGGCGCTGGGGCTGGTTTAGGCCTTGAATCGCCATCCTTGTCGTCAGACGCGATTGCACGTCGTTTTCGAGGTCGCGATTCATCGTCTGAAGAGTCTGAGAGGTCCATTTCCGCTTCCTCGCTGTCACTCAACGCGTCAAGAGACGCGAATTTGGGGGTCAATTTCCCATCGTCTGCTGTCAGAAGCTCCGGTGTCGTTTCTCGATTCGGCGCTAGCAGAGGTCGCTCGGAGGTATGGGGGAAGCGAAAGGTGAAATCGCGTCTTGGACGCGACCGACGGTCTCGGTTGTCTCGACCTCTTCCGGATGGTCCCCGCGGCGCATCGTTCCCTTGGAAGACGAAGGGCGCCATGGCGTTGAGAAGGGAGAGTGGGCGTGGGATTTGACGAACTGGAAAGAATACTTTTGCGAAATCAGTTCTGATGCTAAATGGAGGCCCGCAGAAAAAAAGAGATGTGCGTCTTATCGTGGAGGCGGTGTTGGGTGGCAGAAACATCCACAGATCACAGAGACAACTTAGATCCATTAAATATTTAGTCTAGCTAGGCTCACTATGACTCCCATGATATTCTCGCAGACCTTTCTCTAAAAGGCCAACAAGGTCCTTCTGCACTGCCAGTTCGGTAAAGCTAACTCTCCCCGTTGCCCATTCGAGCCAGCCCTCTACTCTGGCTTCTCTCCCTCTCAACAACCCCACACTCACATCAATTATCGTTGGTCGCCCAGTGTTGTGCCAGAAAACGTTGGCTCCGCAACGTTTGCAGAACTCCCGGTATACATCTGGGGAGCTCTCATACCGCTGCATAGTTCCACGATCAAAGGATAGTGGCGATCGGTCAGCGTTGAAGAGGTTGGATCTGGGAACAAAGGCCCAAGCTTGGATGGGAAATCCACTGCCGAGTCGACAGGAAGTGCAGGCACAGGTCCCTGCGAGATACTTGGTATCTCCATCGCATAACCACCATTTGACGTCGTTGGGGTTGTCTGACGATTTGGAGTGATAGGGTACTAGCAAGTCAGGCCAGGGTGACCATGCCTGGGATGAAGATACGTCTGGTCGAGTGATGTAGAATTGGATGCCTCCGCAGTGGCATTGAGCATGTAGTTCGCCTTGATGCAGCGGAATATTCAGCGTATTCTGACTTGTGCTGCTGGTACTGACATCCACTTCGTCGGAAGACTGTTCGAAACCGGCCTGTAGAGCACATCTTTCCCTTGCTGGCCAACCTGGAAGGAATGTGCTCAATCCGCCATCGCCAGTATCCTCGGACTGCCAGTGCTGGATACTCTTCACTGGAGGAGTGTCATCTAATACTACGACCCCCGCGGCGACCAGATATCTGCCACTCGATTTCAACCTGGCAAAGATGTGAGCACCACAGGTTCTACAAAAGAAGCGGCTAACATGAGGGGATTCGGAGTAGATCTGTAGTCCATCCAAGGTGGCGGGCTCATGCTGCATGAGATAATACGCTGCACCCAGGAGGCCAGTGATGGCGCGACAATTGGTGCAATGACATAGTTGGAGCAGGGAATGGTCTGCGACAGCATCCAGATGGATCGACTGAGTTACGTCTCCACATAAACAAGTGACCGAGGTTGCCATGCGTGCTTTATGCGTGCTTTGTTGTTTGCTTTTTGCTTTTTGCTTTGGAGAATCTGATTTGCTTTTTGGAGGAGATGATTGGCGCGTCGAGGTTGACCTTGGGGCGAAGCTCACTCGGCTCACTCAGCTTGCCGATATTCACAGGGTCGAGTGCTCGAGTGCGCAAGTAGTGCAAGATGGTAATGTGCTCAGGCGGGGCGAGCGCAGAAATGTGCTCTCCTTGTACTCGTAAGTAAACCTAAGAATAACTCTGGAACTACCATTCCCAGTGCGGCGCGAGTACATCAGTAACGTAGCAGTAGTACCGGGAAGTCACGGGCGGTCCGAGTATAAAAAGCTGGCGGCGGCCCGTCCTTTCCTTTCCCCCCACCTCATCTTCCCTGCTATCGCTTGCTTTACGCTCAACTCTACGTTTCCCACTTTTCAAAACCACCAATACCTCTCTATCTCAAAATGGGTGAGTTTTCAAATCCTCCTTCTATGACCCCTTTCGCTATACCACATGCCGCATCTCCCGCTTCACCCCTCCAATCTTTGCTTTTTGCCCGAGACCCTGGCAAGGCGGGGTCATGGCGGGGTTACCTGCACTCGTGTTTCCCCCTCCTTCAGTCATTGTAACAGACGCTGACCAACACCAGGTTCCGACCACGGCTGCAGCTGCGGCGCTTCCTGCCAGTGCCCTGCCGGCGCATGCCAGTGCCCCGTATGTGAAATCTTGACTCTTGACTCTTGACCCCTTATCATTGTCTGAAAAATGACGCGACACAATGACCCGCTGGCTAACCCCCCGCTTTTTTCCGACTCTTTAGAAGTAAACCATTCAACTCGATCGCCATGCTGTGATGGGTAGCTGCTTGAACGGATCTTGTTCATTGTCGAATCAAAATGCGAATGGAGATAGGCGATGAGGGAGAGATCTCATCTACCGGATGGTAGCGTTGTGATGTGAGATCGGGCACTGCGGAGTTTTACCGTCGTTTGTGTTTTCCTTTCATGCAAAACAGAGCAAAACAACCCTCAAAAAAATGTCTAGTCAATCGTTGTAGTCGAAATTTTATGACTGCGGGTTACTGAATCACTTATATTCCTTTCTATCAAGTACCTTGTGGGCATCGACCCAATCTTCGGGTCGTTTAGACTCGGTGTATGTGATGAGCTTAACTGCGCATCATATCCTCGACAGCAGATATGCTACGACATCGATTTGATGTACTTCAGGACTGGATAATAGTCACTATCTAGTTCTCAATACCATGCTGCAGCAACAGTAGTAGCAGAAGTAGCCTGACGTAATCTCCCGGAATCAGCGTGCTACCCTTGCTACCCTCGGCTGCTCGACGCCCCCAACCTACCTATGGGAGGTCTACACCTGGGCCATTCTTTTCAAACATTCCGATCCACCCCAGTCAACCTTCCCGTCGTAACAACCATATGCGGCAGTATTTCCACGCCGCCAGATCCAATTTCTATCGGCTTCCGCGGCTGATGTTTGCCGATGCGTCCTTTTTGCCTCGATAACGGCCCCAGAATTCCATTATTCTTTGCAAACAGGACAGACATTGGCCTGCACTGACCCAGGAGAAAATAATAGCGGGTCATCTCAAGCCGGCTTGGGTGCCTTGCAATACTGCTCTTGGGCCCAATAGGTATCAGACCGCGTGGATATCGGGGGAGGGTCCGTGGGACCAAAAGTATGATATGCTTCAGTAGCCTTAACTTGGTCTGCAGGAGAAGACGAAACGATCCACTTTGATTTCTCGGCGCTTCGGCCCTGCTCGATTCCAGCAAGTTTGTGCCTGTGCTGGTGCGGAGCGGTACGTACGTTGGGCCCGATCTTGGACCCGTGCGAGGATAGCTATGTAGCTGTAGGTAGGTCCCAGTCCCGGTGAGAACGTAGGGAGTTTGTGAAGCATTCCATGTATCTGATTTCACCTTCTCTTAAAGAGGATACCATTCTACAATGCCACTTACGAAATATCATTTCCATGTGGGTTCTACGCTTTCTACCGCTCCTTCCGATTCCTTTGGTCCGAGATTGTATGTAGTATTCGCTTTTGATAACTCTACCAGCTGGCGGCAGCCCTATGTAATCGATATCCAAAGTGTCTCGCTTTGCTTTTGCTTTCTTAGCTCATAGAGAGCATCATTGCTGGAACAACGAGAGCCCGCGGCATTCCACTCCACCACAGTGGGCTTGGATATGCAGCTTCAGAATACAGAACTGCCAATAAGCCCTCGGGGCGCCCCTCCTCCAAGGTCCCCAATCCGCACAAACACCAGCCTCCTCATAGGCTGCAACGCCCAGATCCCGACCCTGCGCCGCTCCTGGCGCCGAAAAATTCATCATGGGTCAACCCCACTGTATGACGGACCACGTTGCCCCTGTCGGCCATCGCCATGGATATGGCCGTGACTGTACGCATCAAGTAACGTGAGGCCCGTCCCGAAAACGATGTGGAGATCTAGGCGACCTGCGCTTTTTAGGGTCGATCTAACATGGGATCTTCGACATATGGCCGTCATAATCGTGGTACGATGGAGGCCTCGACCTTGATGATGGAAAGAGAAATTAAAAACCGCTCCTCTTGGAGGGGAGAGTGGTATGGCGTCCTTGCCCCAGCTCCACATAGTTCAAACCGCCTAGTATACCGCGGAGCAACTCCATAATCGTAAGACAACTGAAGTGGAAGGATGATGCCTGCCCAATATTAGCGTCATTATATGTGTGAATCGAGACAGATTCAAGTTGTAGATGCTATGTACTGCGAAGTCGTGACAACTCCGTCATGAAGTATATTAGTCGCAGTGTCTATAGCGAGCAAGTACATCGAGTGTCTGTAAACAACACACCCATAGAACAACACAAAACGCCCAGAACACAAAGAAAGAATCCCCATCCGTCGGAGTTCTCAGAAAACGAGAGAAGCAAAAAGAAAAGGGAAACACTACCCCCCAGCAAGCTGCCATAACCTACCACAACAACCACACCTCGTCATCCGCATGAACCTAACCGGTCCGAGCCAACACCAACACATCGATCTGCAGAAATAGCCACAAAGGGCACTCCACAAGAAAACATATCGGAGATAGCAAGTAGCAAGAAAGCGGCCACCACCGCCCATCATACAATACCACTTCTTCCCCACCTCGGACTGGCGAAAACCGGCCACTGAAACCAAACAATACCCCGGTCATTGGCGAGAGCGTTAAGACTTACCCGCTCTATTGAAGCGGGTAGCGCGTGAGTGGGCGTGGAAAAAAGAAAGTGGAGACCGTGAGGAGTAGGAAGGCCGTACAATACGGTAGATGCATACTACCTACTCCGTACTGAAAGACCATTTGACTCGACCACGCGATGCGCTGGGGTTTGCCTCACGGATCACCCTCGGCCGTGGCTGGAGAGGGAAATCCAGCCAGCAACGAATGAAGAATTAGGAAATATTGTTTCCTTTTTTTGACTCCGTTCCGAGTCTTCCTTTCTTCTTTCCGGTATCGAATCGGGGCCAACTTACTCCGCAGTTGTCGTAGCCTAGCTTACTACTAGCTGTGAGTTTGTGAGGGATAGAGAAAGAAAGAGAGAGAGTACGGGAGATGCAGTATGTACATCAGAGCATAGCAAAAGCGAGGCTTGAGAATACCTTGGCATCACTACAATACTAGAAGAAGTATAAAGCTAGCCTTTCAACCCCCCAGCCAGTCCCTTTTTTTCTCCATCCAGACAAACATCCGAATATCTCCCAAACAAAACCTTCTTAAATTTTTCGTGGTTTCATTCCATATCCCAACCCATCCATCCAACATGTCTCCCTGCTCGTGCAACTGCTGCTCCGGCAACTGCAACTCTTGCTCCTGCTCTAGCTGCACCGTATGTTATCCTTTTTTTCCTTGAAGCAGAATATCTACTCCATCCCCCTCCCCCCTTGTCTTGGTTATAGGAGGAAGGTCTGATTATTCTACCAGCACTAAGCTAGCTCACACGCCGTCGCCACCGCCATCCTCCTCCAACTCGACAACCCATACCAGACCCGGCCTCCCGTTGCTCTCGAACTAGTTAGTAGGAACCAAGTTCGGAACTACTAGTCGACTGTTTTCCTGTGCAATATAAGCTTTTATCATGATGGGGTCTGGTTTTGATTTTTGGGGTCTTTGGGATGGGTTGCTTTGTTTTTAGTGTATGTTTATGCTATTCGGTCCTTGAGCCGTGCAATATTATATTTGGATTTTGTCCAATGTGCCAGTGATTTGTTTCACCGTAAGCGACTAGGAAATAGTAAGAATGTTTAAGTTGATGGATGAAGAGGCTTGGCATCTTGAAAGTAACTTGAAACTTGAAACCTTGAGTGGTAAGCTTCAAGTTGAGTTGTTCAAATTTATGTATTTACTGGGGCAGTGATGTCGTTGGTTGGAAATGTAACACGCTTGTATTTATTCGAATCAAATCTAATGCTCACACCTCAAGTATTTGGAAGCAAGGCGGCAAATCAATCGATACATATGCAATCAAACAGTTCACACTACGAAACGTATTCACAGCTCGTCTTTCGACCGAGGCACGCTGTCACCCTCATCGCCACCAGGGCAGACGGCTGGAGTTGTGACGAGCATCGAGTAGACACACTTCTCGTCTTCAGCCGTCTTGAGGATCTCGTTCTGTTCACCACACTCCAAGACAACCTTGGTCGACCGGTTAGGTCCGTTCCAACAGTGCTGGCCGTTGTCGTACTCGAGTGAGATCTTCTCGATGGAAATGACATCTCCCGTCTCGTTCAGCTCCTCGACGCTCGTGTAGCCAATCCGAACGAACTTGCCCATGGACATGGACGAGCCACCCTTCCTTTGGAGTTGTTTGGTGTCTTCCAAGAAGCAGTGCTCATAAGTATACTCGCCGGCATCTTGCTTAATACACTGTCCCTTGAGGGCACGGAAAATCCCAGCGGTGCCGTAGTCCTTTTCAAGGTCGGCGTGTTGGTCGCGAAGCTTGTTCTTAAGATCTTTCAAAGTATCTTCCTCGGACTTGAGGGCATTGCGCGCCTCAGTCAGAGCCTTCGATTCTGAGGTCGAGCCTTCCTCGGTCTTGGCGATGATTCCACTGGATTCGAGGAATGCCTTTAGGGAAAAGAACTGGTCTTCGAGGAAGTTGACCAGAGTAGGTGGAAGCCAGGCGGCAAGCTTGTATACTGTTGCCGTTTTTTAGTAGATGTCGATGCAAGTATCGGGGGCTTCTCTTACGTATATCAGATTCGTTGCAGCCATCCTCCGTGTTCTCCCAGTGTGCCCAGTCAACGCCGGAGTTCTCATCATCAGGCTTGGCAATTTCATCCAAATCTCGCTCCTCGTCGGCATTCTCATCGTTGCCAAGCTCACGGGCAGCATAGTCCTCCCAACCGCGAACAGCGCGCTTGACACCCTCGTCGTTGAAGTTAGGGTTATATTCAACCTTGAATTTAGAGAGGATATCTTCAAGCTCCTTCAGTCGGGAACGAGTCTCGTCTCTCTGTCCACGAACAACAGAGAGCGCATCACGCAATTCTTCAACTCGGCCCTTGGCAACACCAGCAAGCGCATTGACCTTGCCTTTGCCCTTTCCAGAACTCCTAACCACCTTGCGCTCCTCATCCTCGGCCTTCTTCAACTCAGCCTCAAGGCCCTCAACCTTGATCTCAGAGCCCTTAATCTCAGCCTCCAGTCGGATAACATGGTCTTGAATTTCCTGGACCTGTCGTCCAGCATCCACAAGAAGCTCCTTCTTCTTCTTCAACGCGGCAGTCATAGACTTCTGTCGCTGCTCCTCCTCCTTCCGCCACTTCTTACCAATCTCCTTGCAGCGGTCCTCGCACTTGGTGCCTCCAGGGCGGGCCCATTCATCACTACCATCACAGCACAGCTCGTAGTCGCAAATTCCATCATTGACACGCTGGAATGGCACGAAGGAGGGCCGGTGGCCCTTATTCTTGCAGTAGAATCCGGGCAATGCGACAGCGAGCTCTTGGTCGCTATTTCCCGGACGTTCTGCCACCGTCAATGGCGAGTTACGGGAGAGGTGTGAGCAGGCAGATGTGCCAGGCTCATCACTGCCGTCCGGGCAATCGCAGAAGTCATCATTCACGGCGGAGAATGGAATCTTAACCGAGGGATTCGAAATGCAGGTGAAGGTCTCTTGGTCCTGGTAGAACTTGGTGACTGCGGTTCCATATGAATTAGCATGAGGGATGACAATATGACAAGATATATGAGCAGATGGCCCTTATTTACTACCCCATTGATGATCCGCCGGGTGTGGACACTTTCGGGGTGGGGATAAACAGATCAGGGCTCGGGTACTTACACTCCGGGGCAACACCTCGAGGGCGTGGAACTTTGTCGTTGCTTGCCCGGGCAGTAGACCCGGCCACAGCCAGCAGGAAAAGCGACTGAGGGAGTCTCATGATTGAGGCATTGAGCTGGAGAAGGATTGCGGAGAGAGCTTCGGGCCAGCTGGTGATAAGGTCTAATCGCCCTCACACGTGCTTAGTAAGCACCGCTATCTTTACAGAGTATCACATCGGTGGTGGCAAAGATGGCCGTCGCAACGATCTAGACTCGGCAGTCACAACAATGGGTAACGACGGTGGAAGGTGAGTTTGAGTTTTCTGCATACACATCGAGAATCTACTTTTGAAAAGTGACTGACATGACAATTTCACAGTATCCCCACCCGCCGCGAACTCGTTCGTGAAGCGGCCCGCGCTCCGACGACCGCTCAACTAAAAGAAACCCAGCGCGAACAGCAAGAACATTTCTGGGCAACTTGCCCACTTTCGCATAAGGCGCTTGCGCGACCGATTGTATCAGATAGTGTGGGAAACCTATACAACAAGGACGCAGTGCTTCAATTTCTGCTCCCCGGAGACGATGGTGAGGGGATCAGCTCCAAGTCCGACTGCGAAGAAGTCCTGTGCGGCCGAGTAAAGTCTCTCCGCGACGTCGTCGAGCTTCACTTCGAAGTTGACACCGAGCTGAGCGAACACCCTTCGGACCGCATCAATGCGCACCGACACCAGCGCCGCGAGGGCTGGATCTGCCCTGTCACCGCAAAGCCAGTTGGTCCGGGCATGAAGACTGTCTATCTCGTTCCCTGCGGACATGTCTTTGCCGAGGAAGCCATTCGCCAACTGAAGGGTGACAAGTGCTTGCAAGTAAGTTTATCCCACTAGAGTTACTTTGCGAGGCAATCCCAAGCTAATACAAATGTCCTAGTGCAACGAATCTTACGCCGAAGAAAACATTATCTCCATCCTACCCACCAAAGAAGAAGACAAGCAACGCCTCATTGCGCGTGGCCAGAAGCTTTCTGAACAGGGCCTCACTCACTCTCTGAAGAAGGCACCCGGTTCAAAGAAACGCAAGAAGCATGCTACCACCGAAACTGCGACGGACGCTCCTAGCGCTTCCACAGAAAAGGCCGATTCTGCATCTGCTCCCAAGCCGAAGAGTCAGAGCAATGCTGGCACGCCTACTCCGACTCCCTCTGGGAATGGAATCAAGAATGCATCCACTGCATCACTTGCGGCGCGCGTCCTAGAAGAGGAGAATGAGAAGAAGAAGCGGCGAAAGATGATGGGTCGCAACGAGAATCTCGACAGCCTATTCACTAAGAAAGACGATGGTAAGAAGAGTGCAGATTTCATGCATAGAGGTTTCTCTATTCCCGCTCCGCGGCGGTAGTTTTTTCAGCGTGATTCGCCATGTCGATTGATTTAGTTAGGAGTTGGTTACGGAGTTTTTAGGGGACCTTTTTGCAGGAGCGTGTATTTAATGCCAGCTACGATCGTGCACGAGCACTGTATATATCTTTGAAAATGATGAAATTCTTCAAAACAAATGCAAATAAATTTCTAGTATACACAAAAGGATAGCCTGATATCAAAACGACGAATGCCTCGAGAAGGACCGAAAGCTACCTGCGAGCCTCTCGGACCGTCCTCATCTTTACAGAGACGCCATCAGGTGGAAACGCCAGACCACCTTTGACCAAGTTGTACATTGCCTCCTCAATCATTATCAAGGCCCTCCACTTAAGCCCGACCCTGGCGCGTCTCCGGCTTCTTATGTCTGATATTCGTCTTGGGGGTAATGAGGCCGCGTTGAATGTACTCGGAGTAAATGACCTTCTTGCGACCAGCGTCCTCGTCGCGGTCAGACTGGCGGATCCGAGTGGACTGGAAAGCGAGGCTGGGCGGCAGCAGGCCAGCGTCCCAAGCGCTGTGCAGCGACTTGGTGACATTCTTGGGCTTCTCCTTCAATCGGGATGAGAGGGCGACAATCAGTTCGCCGATGGAGTTAGATGCGGTAATAGCCTTGTCTGGGATACGACGGTTGTGCAGCTGGCTCAGGCGCTTAATGTACTGTTATGGTTGAATTAGCAAGTTTTCGCTCAGAAGCTCGACGTGGAGAGGTACATACAGCAAACTTGATCTTAGGGTCAACCAAGGAGAGAAGTCGGTAGGGCTCGGTCTCGACTTGGCGATCGCGCTTGACGAACTCGGTCGACTCAATTTGGGCCGCTTCCTCTCCTCCAATCTGATTGAAAACAAAGACGAGGGCTTCCTTGGTTTGCTCGTCGGGAAACTTGATCTCCCATCCCTGGGTTTCGGAGGGCTGGACGGTACAGCTCTCGATCATCTCGCGAATCTGGGTGTTGTGTCGGTTGACCTGGCAGATGCTGTCCAGGGGTTTGCCCAGCAGGTGAAGCAGGCAGATCTCCACGGCGGTTTGGTGGGCAGCAGGAAGGATAGGACGAGTGCGGGTTTGTTCACCGAATCTAGAGGTATCGATTGATTAAAATCCATCCGGTGTCTTCGGGGGTTACGGGGACCCTAGGCTCTCCTCATAAACAAGATAAAGCGAATTCAACACATACCGGTGATATTTATCGGCACTGGAACTGCCAACCTGAGTCCATTTCTGCTCAGGAAGGTATCCAACCTTTGCCAATCCGGCCCAGGTCTCCGCCTGGACGTAGTTGTCGCCCTTGGCGAGCTCAGAGGTCTCACCTCCAGCCAATTCGCCGTCCGCGGCAGTGGGCTGTTGTGACAGCTGAGAGTCTCCGGTGTACGGGTCGGCCGCGCCAGGTGGCTTTTCAGAGTTCCACAGCTTGCGACGGGTGCGGTCGAGGAAAGACGGGGAGTCGGAGGCGTAGCGACGGGTCTGGTGTTGGAATTGACGGGCGAGCGGGGAGACACGTGGAACGGCTTCTTGCCTGCAGCTCGAGCAGACATACAATGCCTCTCGTAGAGGTAGGCGTGTGACGGGGCGCATCGTTGCGGTATGGAACTCGAAGTGGTCAACTTGATGCGCGGGCAACTTTTGCTCGGCGAAACAAATTGAGATACCAATCACGTGATGTCAATGCTTGGCAGTTTTTATCTATGGGCATCTACTACATTGTACTAGTACTAGTATCATCACATTAAATCGAATTTCGTGTTGAGTACTTAGTGACTATGAGTAAGATTTTTGTTTACAGTCGGGCATATATGGTTCAATGGACTTATTATGCCTCGCACTGACACTTCCGATTGTTTCGGTCACAGCTCGGGAGTGATCTGGTCTAGACTATATATATACCTTCGCTGGGATATTCTGACTAAGAAAATTGACCGCGGTAAATTCTCAATTAAAATATTGATAAACTACCCAATTTATCCACCTTGGTAATCAGAAAACGAGAATCCATGGAAATAGCTAAATCTCGAATTATCGGGGTTTGGGGAGTCAAGGATGGCCATAAGGCACCTAACCCCGAACTTGAATATCGACCCGAAAATATTCGGGGTTACCGATGATATTCCCGAGATATGGTTCTACTGGGTATACATAGGTGAAATTAAATATCAAGGTATATAATAGCAGTGAATCTGGCCCCATAGCACATCATTTTCCTCTCAAACTACCTAGTACTGAACCGCCAGCATCAACAGCTCAGCATGCCTGCCCTAGTATATGACACAAACACCACAGCCTTCGAACTAGTCAGCGACTACAAATCCATCATCCAAGACAAGACAATCTTAATCACAGGAGCTTCTCCAGGATCACTGGGTGGGCATTACGCTCAAAATATCGCAAAAGCCAACCCCGCTTGCATCATCCTTGCCGGCCGGAACACAACCAAACTAGAGCAATGTACCAAAGAAATCCAAGTCGCAAGCCCCAAAGTCAAAATCCGCACTTTGAAATTGGATTTGAGTTCCTTGCAGAGTACGCGTGATGCAGCAGCCGAGGTAGTAAACAACTGGGATGATATTCCCGTCATCGACGTCCTAGTCAACAATGCCGGCATCATGGCGCCGGAATATGGAGTTTCGGTCGAAGGATTTGAATCGCAATTTGCTACGAATCATCTTGGCCCTTTTCTTTTCACGAATTTGATTATGACAAAGATTCTCAAATCTACCAGTCCAAGGATTGTTATGGTTGCTAGTGATGGGCACCGACTTAGCCCGTTGCGGTTTGATGACTATAACTTCGATGTGAGTGAAGAACCCAAGTAAGAAATATGCGACGAAAGAAGAACTCTTTTGCTAAACATTTATGAAAGGGAGGAGATACCTACGATAAATGGGTTGCCTATGGACAGTCTAAAACAGCCAATATGCTGATGGCATTGTCGTTGGCGAATAAATTGGGGATCAAGCATGGCCTGCTTGCGTTTAGTATACACCCCGGTGTTATTCTCACGAACTTGGGAAGTCATCTTGATTGGGATGATGTGGATGTGAAAGGACTCTGTAGGTTGGCTCTGTGGTGACAATGTCCTACATACTTTCGATCTAATTCGCGTATAGGGTCAACTGATCGTCGGCTGGGAAATGCAGAAGGTTGGAGAACATCCTTTGATTTCAAGACACCGGAAAGAGGCGTCGCAACACATGTTTATGCTTCTTTCGACCCTCTTCTTAAAGGTATGTGCGTCTTTGCAAATTGGTCCCAGAGAACAGGCTGACATACTACTATCAAACCAGCGAACAATGGCGCCTATCTCATCGACTCACACATCGCAGATTACTTGCAAGATACTCTGAAACCATGGGCAACCAGTGGCTTCGAAGCAGAAAGGCTATGGAGATTGAGTGAAAATTTGGTGGGCGAGAAATTCCCTTACTAGATACTACACATAGACGCGATAACGTATTCAATCAAAGGAGAGAAGAACTATCGAGAATACAATTATCTATTGTATGTAAAATGTATATACACTGCATCGCTCATATCATAGTGTAAAATAAGAAGGAAAGGAAAAACTCCGGAGAACACAAGGCTTTTTTACTCCCGAACAAACATACCAGCCATACCCATACCGGTACCAATGCACATGCTGACAACACCAATGTCCTGACCGCTGCGCTCCAACTCGGGCAGCAGATCAGCCAGCTGGCGAGCACCGGTAGCACCGAGAGGGTGACCAATAGCAATAGCACCACCGTTGGGGTTAACTTTGGCCTCATCAATACCAAGCTTGCGGACACTGTACAGAGCTTGGGAGGCGAAAGCCTCGTTGATCTCCCAGACACCGACGTCGGGAACAGTCACACCAACGCTCTGGAGCAGCTTGGGAATGGCAACAGCAGGACCAATACCCATCTCATCAGGAGCACAGCCAGCAACGGCAGAAGCAACCCAGCGAGCCTTGATGGAGCCAGACAGACCGAGCTCCTCGGCGGTGGAACGACGCATCATCAGAGCAGCAGCGGCACCGTCGCTGACCTGGGAGCTGTTACCGGCAGTGCTGGCGCCGTCAGCGGCGAAAGCAGGCTTGAGAGCAGCCACCTTCTCGAGGGAGAGGCCGTGACGGATACCGTCATCCTGGGTAACGGTGATATCCTGGGGAGGAGCATCGGGGTTCTCGGCGGAGTAGGACTTAGTGGTGGTAGGGACAATTCCGCTGAAGCGACCGGCCTTCTGAGCGGCAGAAGCCTTTGCGTGCGACTCGACGGCGAAAGCATCCTGGTCCGCGCGGGAGATACCGTAGCGCTTGGCGACGTTCTCAGAGGTCAGACCCATGGGCATGATGCAGTCCCGGGCATCCTGGGAGTGAGACTCCTTCAGTTCGGGCCAGAGGACGGTGGGGATTGCGCGGGAGCCATAGTTGCGAGTCATGGACTCCATACCACCACCGACACCGATATCAGCAGAGCCGGCGCGAATGCCGTTCGCAACGGCGGTGATAGCGGCCAGACCGGAGGAGCATTGGCGGTTGATAGTGTTGAAGGGAACGGTGTTGGGGAATCCGGCGTGGATTTGGGCCATGCGGCCGGCCTTTGCGCCACCGAGCTCTTGCAGGACGGAACCAATGGTGCACTCCTCGATTAGGGCAGGGTCGAGGTTAGGGTTGGCCTTGAGAGTGGCGCGCAGGACGCTGGCGAGCAGCTCTTCGGGGTAGGCATCTTTGAAACCACCCTTCTTGGCACGGGTGACGGCGGTACGGAGAGAGGAGAGAATGACGATGTCGTTCGGCGACTTCTGGAGCACCTGCTTGAGTCCACGGGGAATTGGGGAAGCCATTGTTGCGGTGGTGTTGGGAGGTATATGTGATTAGGAATGGGGTTCGGCGAAAAGTGTATATGGGCCGAGGATGCGTATATCCGGGGAATTCGGGAGCTCTCTTCGAATGAATCTGGGGTATGCCTGCACACTGTACAATTCGAGCGCGGAGATGGAGGAGGAAGATTGAAGCTCGACAGAAAATCGGCCGTAGCTGTCGCCGGCAACTCTTATAGGAAAATGCCGGGTGAAATTCCGGGGTCGGAAGTAGCAGAGAGAAGCCAGTCCCGTCGCGAGGCCCGGCATTGAAGATCGGCTAAGGGCTCTGCCGCGTGTGGGGTCGAACATTCAACCATACTCGTACTTCTACTCCGTACACCGTCATTCCATCCTTGAGACCCTAAATGAGTTCTTCTTCTAACCAGAGGAATGAGAACTTATAAATCCGATTTGTTTTTGGTTTTCTAGAGTAAAAGAGAACAAATCGTTCACATACTGAATATCCGACGGTTCACCCACTCAGCCGACTCGGTTGATTAGTCATCATCGGATCGGAAGAGATACCATGAGAATTGCCACGAGGTTACCGAGTCGGATGAATAGGGAAATCCCAGGAAATCCCAGGATTTCCCTATGACCTACCAATGGAAAAATACACACAGGCCGAGATAAAAGTGCCACTTGAGCGTGTCTCGTGCTTGCTGGACCGACTTTCCCGGGGTCTTCTCGAAATGTCCCGAAAGCGCAGTGGTGGAGGAGATGGAAACGATTACTCCAGCTATGAAGTAGGATTTCTTCACCGCGTGTACGAGAGTATATTTCGAATACTCCGGAATTACAAATGCGAGAACATGCGCCAGCTTTTGATGCCTATTCTGCCATATTCCATTTGCAACTTACGGAATTCAAATTAGCGCTGTCCACATCTGACGATACCGACCTGGATACATGGGTGGAAAGTAATGGACAAGGTGGTTTTTTAAGAGCAAAGCTCGATGATCTTCTTCTTATGCTAGTTTGGGCCAGCTCCATAGAGAAATGTGATATACCCTTGCGCTTTCTTGAGGAGATTGGCCATATTGTTGAGCAGTATTCTCGAATGGTACGTACAAGAAGACAAGATCTTCCGGAAAATGACACCCAAGCATTCGAGGGCCACATACTATGATGTACTAATCGCCAGCATCCTTTCCATCGCGCACGGCGTCGAAGAGAGTCAAAATATCCGCCTGACTTCTTATGCGAGTTGGTATGCTGTTATATAGACTTGGAATGTCTCTCGCCTGACTCGTTGAGATGCTTGAAACAGCAGAACTCTACTTCTGGTCCGAACTTGCTACTTGTGGCCGCTATTTCTTTCAGATCAGAACTCATTGACCATCTACTCCTTGAGGGAAGAAGTCCCCAAGAAATGATTCTCATGGAGCCGATCCGACCCGCTGTCAACGACTTCAGAGTTCAACCCATAACAATACCAGCTCAAAAAGTGTCACATTCTGTGTGGTTAATATTTCTGTTTAATGCTGTGGAGGAATTTCTCTGGAACTTGCAGCGGCGGATGCGAAAAGGCTCGCAGAAAACTCAACTAATCCCTGGGGACAGTATCTCTGTCTTGAAAGTGTCGTCACTCCCTCTGAACGATTGGACTCACCCTTCGTTTATCGGGTCACCTAGAACATGTCCATATTCAGCCCAATCTCGAACAGCTGAATGGATTAGTGGAGATGGTATAGATATTTGTCCTTGAAGAATTGCGCCCATCAATATATTTCTCTTGAGAATCTATTGCTAGTTGAAGTTCATACGCAATTGTATACGGTGCGGCGTTCGGCGTAGTGCGGCGCTCGGCAGTTGCCGAGTGGCGGATCATCGCTGCTTAGCGCGATCTAGATGCTTAGGAATGGCGAGCTCGAAATTTGGCAGCCTAAGTAACCATCGGCTTCTTTCTTTACTGTCTCCATCGACTACAAGAAACCGACTGCAAAGTTTAAAAAAGGTAAATGCTCAGCCGTGTTGGATCTATGTTCTCCACAACTGATTGATAACCTTGCTTTAGTAGGACCCTGAAGGAGCTGCCCTGGGGCGGTTGACATATAGACTATAGCGGAATCTAATTCTGACTTCCTAGATAAGCCCGATATAGAAAATTATCAATTTCAAGCCTCTTAATGGTAGTCAACCTGTGGATTTGATCTGATTCTGTTCTCAACGGCAAACCGTAACTGTTGCCTGTAGAACTCTTGGCAGTCGGCTGTCATGGAGGCGCAGCGTTGAATTGAATCCATGGATTATTTCCGGAGGCTTGGCACTTACCCAATTAGGCGCGTATACTGGTCTTAGTGATGTGAACTACAGAATTTCAAATCTCCGCCAATGTCTATATAAGTATGTCGAATGTTTTGAGGAGTTCTATTTTCCACGCATTACTTTCTATCTTTTCCTTTCAAACCCATACAGAACAACCTTCGAGTCTCCAATTGCCCTGATATTACCAATCACCTCACCTCACGAACCATTCAATTTAACAACAAATTCAAACTCGAATATCTTAAAAATGGTCAAAATCTGGATCCTCGCTAGCTGCATCGCAGCGACCTTCTCAACCGCCACCGCTTCCAACCTCCTCCAAGAACAAAACATTCCACTCAACCTCGCCGTCGAGATCGCCCAGAACGCAGTCCAAGCTTGCGCCAAGCAGCAATACAGCGTTTCCGCAGCTGTGCTTGATCGCGAGGGTGTCCTGCGAGCCCTCCTTCGCGCCGACGGTGCGGCCATTCACACTCCCGATGCGGCACGCCGCAAGGCCTACACAGCTGCGTCGGCACGAACTGTGACTAGCACTATGGTGAAGAACATTCAGAACCCGGGTGCCGCCCAGCTCGTCGCAATTGATGACTTCTTGATTCTTGCCGGTGGTGTGCCTATTAAGGTTGGAAATGAGACGATCGGTGCCATTGGCGTTGGTGGTGCTCCCAGTGGGGACTTTGATGAAGCTTGTGCTCAGGCTGCCCTCAAGCAGGTGGCGGATAAGTTGCAATAGATTGTCTGTTCGGCAGATATATTACTTAGAGAATCATACTAGATGAAGGTCTTTGCCATTTTCTTTTCTCTTCTAGCACCGGCGTCTGTCGATCTATATCGGGCATTTTGTAACCTTATTAAAGATGAAATTAGTATGCGATCGTAAGAAAATTTAGAAATTAAAAGAAATCATTCCATTCGAGGGTTCCATAAATGTCCAAATCTATGGATGTAACGGCAATACTTCCGAGTTCCTCGTATCGAAGATTTCGTTGAATATATGAAGTTCACGGGTGTCCTCTCCGCCATATGGTATGGCCTCGGCAGGGGTCCAATTCAATCTGTTAGTAGTTACTAGTAAGCCATGGAGAAGTTGAGATTTAGATTTGGCAAAAGTATACAAAATCACAGATTAATTACATCCAAATAGCATTCATCATCAATATAAGATATGCAGTGGCAGGGTAGTCGTGTCAATGAGTGTAGAAGCCTTCAACCAGGTTCGGACTCATCTACACCGGCACCGCAAACCTCCTCAGCACCGGATCCTGAAGAAGCCTATCCAAAAACTCCCCCTCAATCCCGGCCATGATCTCCACCCCTCCATTCGGTAAAACAGGCAAAACAATCTGAGCCCCATGAATCATGCCGATCCGGGGCATTCTCACAGCCTCAATCCTATTCCCCAACATCGAACCCCAATCCAAAGAATACAAATCGAAATTAACCCACGACGACAGTGAAATATTCCTCCCCGAAAGATCCAGCATTGCCGACAACGCAAGACGAGTCGGGTGCTCCTGATTCTTGACAAGCGCTGCGACGTCGCAGATAGAATGCCCCTCAGTACTGGCGATAGCCTTGCGCACGAGCACCGAAAGATCGGCAATATTGAGCCGTCCGAGCATTTTACGGAGAGTGACTGTGGTCGTGCAACAGGTCATGAAACAGCCCAATGCCTCGGGGTGAACCTTTGGATTCGTCCGCAACCGTCCGTCCATGAAGATGCCAAAGTTGGTTTCGGGATCACTCTCTTCCCCTTCCCCGAGTCCCTCAGGCCGCAGAGGAAATTGCGCTGCCATGATCGAGCGCCAGATCAGCGCGCAGATGGCGTCGTTGGTAGATATCCATTTCTGGTCAGATGGCTCGGTCGCATTTGATGGATCAGCCTCTTTCTTCAATTTTGCCAGCGATTCTGGCGAAATGTAGAAAATTTGGCCGCGGTGGGTCGTAGTTAGCATTTTCGGTGGCATTTCTGTTGGCGTGAAAGGCAGGAGGATATATTCCGGATGATCCTCCAGTTTGCCCTTATACTGGGCGGGCGGACTTATCGCCTGTTCGCGATCGTTCCAGAGGGCGTCCGGAAGCTGGACTGGGTTGTCGATATTCAAACCCTGCGCCCGACGACATCCTTCTGCCCAGACCTTCGCCCATGTGAAAAAGCATCCGCCGTCTCCGATCATGTGGAAGACGTTCCATGATAGAAGAAGCCCGCCGGGAATGAAAGTACATTGCGCAAGCGAGATGGGCCTTCTTGTATCGGGTGTTGGCCAGACTTCTCGACGACAGAGGAGGTCTCCTTCGAAGGCGGATGGGGGAAAGTTCTTTGCCTTGAGCTCCGCAAAGGTATATGGGAAAGCACCTGGTGCCCGTAGGTCCTTTGCTGTAACAAGATCAATCTCTCCGTCGCTTGGCATGCGCAACTTCATGACATTCTTCTGCCATGATTCGAGGTCGGGAACTACCTCACATGCCGTCTCTGGGATTTGCTTCGCCAGAAAGCAGTAACCCTCTCGAACGACAGTGAAGATTTCGTCGGGATTGTAGTTCTCCCCTAGCTCGAAAGGGAAAATATAGCGCGCATAGCCCCGGGGGCTGATCTGCTCTATAGCTGTGAGTTTTGGAATAGATCGAGTTTGTTGGATGGATCCCATAGTGGATATATGATATGGTACCGTGGATAGTGGCAGATCGTCCTGGAGGGAGAGAAATATGTGTCAAAATGGGAGAATAACTGCCCCGCCAGGAGCAAGAAACGAACTTAAATACCACGTAATTAGTGGAAACTAGTTTTAATGACATCCTCGCACTATGGAGCCGAAGCGGTTAGATTCATGGTGTATGGCCAGTCGAAGGGGCAAAAAAGTTCCCAGTGGAGGCGAGCGGGTCCGACAACAATGCATTGTTGAATTTGGCCGCCTGTCAAAAAAACTAAAAGTACAACGCACCCGCCGCTTGTGTTTGGAGCTAGTCTCGGACCCAGCGTGTTGGGATCGGATTATTACTATCTACTGGCTACTTCCAAGCGATAGAAACTCTGTTCTGAGACTCTTGATACTCGTAGACTAATTACGAGTAGTAGTTGCGAAGTCGTCGATGACTGATTCGAAACCCTGCAACTTATCAATATACACTAATTATATACCATGTGCATCCCCATAAGGAGACATTTTATCCTTTTCCTTTCCAATCGGGCTTCTTAAACTCATGACCCTGTAAGCGTCGTGTTTGTGAGTTTCAAACCAATAATTCCCCCACATGATACTGAATTGACCAGCAGTTCCGAATCCAAGGCTCTCAACGTATAGCAAAGCATTTTGCGCCCACATAAACCGGTCCCAATCTTTCGCATGGGCGTATACCCGGGATGCCTGAGTTGCGACCCACACCGCGTAAGACATGCCCCATGCATTCATGCCTTTTTGACCACAGTATGGAAGGCACCGAGCAGCCTTGGAGACATAAGAAAGTGACAGGCGATGTGCTTCGTCTTGAAAATCGTCAATCAAGAGATTGCTACGAGTATGATGGAGAGTGCCTTTTGCGTTGGCTAGAATCCGACACTGACGAATGAGGGGATAGAGGAAGGACATGGCTACCCAGAGTACCGAATGTAAAATGGCATCATCAAGACAAGAAAAGCGATAAGCTGGGCCGAAAAAATCATCCGTGGGAGAAATTCCAGTATTTAATTCGCCACGGGCGTATGTTGGGGGCTCTCTCTCGGGATTAATCTTCGTCCAAAAATCCAGGTGTTTTGTTTCAAGGGCGAGGCAGTCGGCAAGGAGAGATTTGAAAGCAGCATGATCAGTGGTATTGGTAAGGCTGACAGCCTTGCCAATTCGTGAAAGCTCGATAAGAAGCTCGAGATACTGAACCCATATCCCGCCTTTGCGTGGCTCTTTGAGCCATGTTATTATATCATCAGATTGATGCATGAATCCAGTGAGAGCCTGAAAATGTCCGTCAGGGTTAACGAAGTTGAAAAAATGAACCAACACGGTGTTTAAGATTCACTTACCACCTGGAATTTCTGATATTCTCCACAGACAGCATCCAAAAGTGGGGTTGAGGGTATCCACTTCAGGACTGAACTGTAGTGTCTCATGATTGCATTTAGCCCATCTATATGTGCAAGCCACTGATCAAGACTATGTGGACAATAGTGGTTCTAGAGAAGGGTGAGTTATATGGTTGGGTGAGTGGCCGTTGACTTCGTACCTGGATCTGCTGGAAGATAACGGTAGTATAAACAATATCCTCAGTGCTGACAGTATCGGCTTTGCGACTCATTGCGCACGCCAATTGGCGAATAGCACGATTGTATAGCCGAACTCCATGCTGCAAAATATGCTCATCATGGTGAAATTTGCCTTGGAAAATGTACGCCAATGCAGAACAGGCAGTTTCTAGCATCAGGCTTTTTGGGGATAGGGCAAATATGCCCATGAAAACAAAATGCGTAGGATTGACATCCTTTGTGAGCTTTAGACAAGGAAAGTAGTCTGCGCAGTAGGATGACATAACTTGGCAGCGCATCATCGGGCCTGAATCGATGGTCGGGGGTATGTGCATGGTGAGGGAAGAAGTGATGTCTAGCTCACGAATGCCAGGGCCCAGACCACGAGCCAGCGTCAGCGAGTGCATGTGAATATGCTTGGAATTGTGTAGAGCCGTTCTCTCTGCGATGAGGCGTCGAGCCCGATGTATAGTATGGTCTGTATCATCTCGGAAGACGAGGTCATTTAGATTCCGGTACTGGCAGTCCTTGCCTCTACGGGTGCACCGCTCGCAATGAGGCTGTCTCTGATCGCACTGATTGCAGATAGACCGCGGTTAGCGCTTAATTGACGCAGTCAGCGAGTCAGTCGGTACACTCACGCGCACCCTACTAGCCCGGCAATTTTCACAGCCCTTCGAGACTCTTGACATCGTGCGTTCCCTTAGCACGGGATATATGAGAATATCTATCGCCCAAGAGGCTCGAGAAGAAAAACGGGTTTCAAGCTTTTTGATTAGGAAGAAGCAATTTTTCACTCCCCTGAATGCAGTCCTCGTCGAGTCAAAGGGTGATTGCGGAGTAAGGAATCCTCAGCTGCATTCAAAGGATTTGGCCCCCAATCGGCCCCACCTCTCTTGGCCATTGCAAAATGGACTGCTGTCCTAACCCGATCAGGTAAGGCCTGGTATATGGTTTGACATGACGATCACAGTTATTTTTCAAGGTAAAGCCCTTGCAAAGAATAAGGCGTGACGCGAGGCGTAAAATCAGGAGCGGTTCGCATTCGGTTGAACAGTACAAAAAATGTAGGCTTTCTCGATGTAGCAAGAGGATCATCAATATCACTAATGGGGTAGTTTGTCAAAGAAGATAACAAAGACCGGGGCACGAATAGTGAGAGGAACAATTTAATGTTCTTTGATAGTAAATTCTAGTCAATCATAGCAGTAGTTACTAGTTGGGACTAGCTAAGCTCCAGCTTAACTCCAGGCAATTCATTTAGGGAAAGAGCGATGAGCTTCCCTCTTCTTCCGTCGCTCCTTCCCTCTTGACCTTCTGTTCACTTCTTCCCCTTCTTTCTTCAACCTCATTCAACCTCACTCATCCTCTCTCACATCTCTTTTCCCATTTCCTCTTTCATCGTCGCCTGCTATCTCTCTTTTACCACCTCAAAGTCAATTCAACATGCATCCTCCTTCCCCATCTCGCACTGCTAGAAGGCGAACTCTTCGCAAGTCCAACAATGCCGGCATGCACTCCCACTGTATTGGGGTATGCAACGAGTCCAGATCTCGAAAGCCATGATGTCGAATATCAAAGCACTGACCCCTCTCTAGGCCAAAATGCCCTCCCATCTGGCAAACCACCCTGCTTCAGTCCACGGCATAGGTACTCTCCCAGCCCTGGACATGCCCAAGCTGGAAGCAACCATGGACTCCGTCTCTCTGGAAACCACGTCCACCGCAAAGCCACACGATAGAAGATTCCCCGTCGAAAGATACCCAAAGAACTTCTCCATGCACGAGGTCGAGGCCAAAGTCGGAAACTGGACATATCTCGCCTGTCCCGATTCCCCCGTCATATGCGAGGACTGCAAGAACCACCCAGGCCATGTTGACTGCATCGTTGTCGCCATCGACAGTGTTCACCCAGGTAACCCACAGACGAGCAAGAAGATCTCCGTCGCGGTCTTCTACGGTCATGAGAATGCGCATAACTTTGCTAGCACTTTCGAAGAAGAACACCCCACTGCCCAAGTTGCTTCGCTGAAGGCGTGCTCGGCGGCGTTGTCTCGGTCCTTGATGCTTCAAATGATGTGGAAGTCGGAAAAGGCTGCCGATATGAATGGAAAGAAGAAGTCTTGGCCTTTGCACACGATGGTCATCAAGTCCGATTCTGAGTACCTTGTCAAGGGTGTCACGGATTGGCTGCCGAAGTGGAAGAGCAATGGCTGGAAGAATTGTAAGGGCCAGGCCGTCGCGAATGAGACTACGTGGAGATTGATCGACAGCATGATCGAGGAGATGGAAAGCAAGACTAAGGTAGAGTTTTGGCTGGTGAGCAAGGAGTCGAATGAAAGGGCTCACTCCCTGGCCGTTTTTGCCTCGGAGCAGCTTTGAGCGCCGTCTACGGGGAGTGGGACACCGATGGACGATGATGGGCGATGATGGGAATCACTTACTACAGCTGGTATTGATATTTTCTTTTATATCTGTTCCCATGGTGGTTATCAGCGATGATCCCCGCGATCTTGTTCTGAATCTGTCTCATTCCAGACTGTGGTGACGTACTTTCTTTGTCTCTTCGAATCACGAATCATCACCAATATCATTATTTGATTTCAATTACGAAAAGAACTTTTAGTCGTAGTAATAACTTCAGTCTATGAAATCTTTCTCGAAAATTGGGCTACCTACCACCTCCTCTATGCGCGGCATATTTGGCCCCCAACTTGGAACACCAAGAAGACCAAGAATCCTATGGAGGCAGTGCAGTGGGGGCCGTCCATATAAACACTCATCCCCCGTAAAAAAAAAATTGATATTCAACCTGCAAGTCACCCCTCTCTATTTCAATTGATATGAGCCAGAGACCCGGAAATACTCCTGACTTTCCAATTACCCCAATATGTGCTTCGGCCTCAGCTCCTCCAAACCCGCGAAGCCCGGGCTTTTCCCACCTCGCCGCGGCCAATACGGAGACAACTACAATCAATATCTTCGTGATTACGATAAATACCAGAAATCCAAAAAGGAATATGCGGAGTGGAGTCGGAAGCGCAATCGCAGGCGCATGGCGAATGGAAATATCGCTACCCTTGGTGCTGGTGTTGCGGTTGCGGGTGGTGGTGGGGCGTGATTGGGGTTATGGAGCGCCGCATAGTACAAAGCTTTGTGGGGACATAGATTTTATTTTATTTGGGGTATCAAGATACAGGTCTCATTAATTCATTCACACATCTTCTGCCCTGAAACCGGGCCCTATCAAGCCTAGCGAACGGCGGTCCAGATGACCGTAGGGAGTGGGCGATACGAACTCTCGGGTTTCGACATTTGGGCTTCGTTTCTCTACCTTGTTATCAACCGTAGTGAGTATCGGCCTGGATGATTGTAGACTCTGAGCGAGCCCCTCAGGGGTTGGCGTTCTGGCTCGACTCTTCCACCTTGTCTTTGGCGTAGGCCGACATCAGCTCTTTCAAAGTTTGAAGTACTTGAATTCGAACTCTCAATCCAGTCCGATAATTCAATGGGTATCCGTGAAGTTGCATCAATTCGAGTCGTAGGAGCTGCCAATTAACTTGGGTATTGGATTTGCGAATCTCCTTCAGTTCGAAAAATACGTCTTCGTTCACTCGGCGTCGCCAGAAGCTCTCCGGCAGTTCCCATTCGAATACAGATAGCAAGTTCCTAAGATTCGTAGCTTCCCAACTGTTGCAATCAGGTCTGCAGATGTCTTCAGCGATAAGAAGAGCGATGTCCATGGGTACTCCGTTCATTGGATGTGACGGATGTGATTCCTGAATCGACTGAACGGCAGATGTTCTGGCTTTCCTTGTAAGTTTAACGGCTCTTTCTGCGAGAGCAATAATATTCTGAATACGGGGGATAACCAGAGGATTTGCAGGGCTCCTATCAGCCCTGAATATCCAAGAAGGCTTGTCTGCCACCCGCATTGATCTTGCCGTGTGGACAAGTTGTTTCAAGTCAAGGGTTTCCAATTTGGTTTGAATTGGGTCGCAGATCTGTCGACCGAGGAGGACCCAGCAATGGGCGTGGAGCAGGTACCCTGTTCCGGGAGATGTCTGCTGCTCAGGCATTGCGTCCCGTATTCCTCGAAGTCGAAAGTGGGTGAACGCTGGATCATGACAGGAAGATCCTGGAAGAACTGGTATTTCTCCACTCCGTGCGCCGATTCGTGCCATGGAAGAGTCCTTGGGAACAACGGCGAAGTCTCTGAGGTCGCTGCATCTCCAATCTGCAATACAGATGCCGGTTAAGTGGAATCGACCATTCCTATCGCTGGCGACTATCATCGAACAGTAGTTAGTACCTGATTGAACATCGCGGAGGGATAAAGGCTGCTGTTTGGGCGGGAGACTCACTGGCTCGAAATGTACATCCACCTAGCCAAGGGTAATTGACAAGGTAATGTTCCTCAACGTTTTTCACTGGAACCAGTACTTGATCTTGATCAGTGTTTCGCTTGAGTTGCCTGCCTATAGCCTTCTGATATGATTTCAGAGGACCGGAGTGTTGAGCAGATCGAATCATGATACCGCATAACAAGCATGAGGGCCAGCCTGACGACCATGACGGAATGTATTCGAGTTCGTCAAAGGCATCCATGTTGTGATTAGAATATGACGGACTCAGATCTTTTGTGAGGCAGACCAAGCGATCATGAGAAATGGGAGGGTCTTTTTGAGGTGTGAAAAAACATGTGTGGAGTGAAGGAAGTGAGGTGAAGAAGAGTCCCCGTCGCCGTGTTGTTGAGACTGAGGTGCCTCAGGCACCCAGGCGTACCTTCCTCCGTTACGACGCCGGGCAGTAGTTATTGATTTCAATAAAAGGGAGTATGCCATGGCCTAGGGAGATATTTAGTAAAATACACATCAAATTGGAATATTCATTCGAATTTTGACTGTTCCTGGTATCCAATCGCGTACGGTTACGGGTTGCTACTAAGGTTCTCGATGTCAGGAATGCTTCACAGCACTGCTTTGTGTACTACTTATTAGGCGGTATCTTTTAATTATCCGAGATGCTCCTTGAACGTTGGTTCTATTAGTAGTATGATGCCTTTTATATGCAACCCTTGGAAGTCTAGAGGTATAGGCGGCCGACTGGTACGGGAAAACCTACTGAGTTGGTTGCCGCTATAGAGCGCCGGAGTGTACGGAAGAAGACATATGGCGAGCGAGATAGCAAAATTTGAGAGCGAGTAGAAATTAAACTCATTAAAAGTATGAAAGATACAACACATTTTCAACCCATCCATAGATTCTCCGTGTCCCATACTTTCAGTCTTCAGGGGGTTGAGTTTAGACTCGGCTCCTCCACCTTGATTCCCAGATAAACCGACAGCAGGTTTCTCAATGTCGGAAGCATTTCGCATCGAAGTTGCAATCCATATTTTTGACCCTCCTCCACACTCAGCCGCATCATCTCAAGTCGTACAAACTGCGATAGCTGCATAACGCTCCGTAGACTCATGCCAGGGAAGGGCCTTTGGGGGTAAGAACATAGTCGATGGCCTTCCACGCGGGCTGCTCGATGTTATCTGCCATGTCAATCCCAGTTAGGCGAAAAATTCCATTCGGATCTCTGACGACTACCGTCATAACATAGTTAGTATATCTTATTGAGAGGGCCAAGGATCTGCTTGCCACTTCAGCCCTTCACCTAAAGGGCCAGATCTGACATGCAAAAGTCACATTCGTAGATTGCAATAGGGAAAGAATAGACGAGGCACTCTGATGTACTTAAGTAATAAAATAAAAAGTTTTCACTCTTTTTCATCGGTCTATTCTCACCCACTGCTCTATTACTAGTATCTTTTTCTTCGGTCACTACTCAGATGTAATATTGGTTTTCTAATTTGTAATGGGCCGTCCCTGTTGGTGCCGCTCCTACATATCCATAGTCAGTGTCTCTCTATGGGGGAAGGTACCTAGTGAGACGGGGAGGGATGCTCGTATCGGCACGATCAGAACGTGCGGGTCGAATGGAACATGGGAATGACGCCAAAGCCACCACCAAAGCGAAAGGCCTTAGGCCGATGACTATCAGGACGGAACTGCGAGAGTGTAAGGTGTGTATTTAAGCTATTCCTGTCTCTCGAAACTAAGATATTGGCCAGCAATCCAAATGGAGTTTAGCCTGCTATAATGGAATCGATCAATCAAAACATTTTGCCTATATCGACCGCTTCTCCCCAGTACACTGGATAGTACTAGTCCCTTAACGGAGTGGTGATGCTGCATCATGTAATGGCCGGTTCTTTAGACTTCAATGTTGCACGTGAATGCTGTCTGAGTCATCCCGTCCTGTCATCTCCACCCACTAGATTGGCCAGTAGCACCTATGTAGCGGATTTCCTATGCGAAGTCTTGGCTTTCCCGTTCCGTTTTAGTGCTCAGTGAGCGCTGCTTTTGCTCTCTGAGTAGATCTGAGCACGTCTCTGAGCAACGTCGACCTGATCAGTGATCATCACGTGACTACTCTGAGCTGCTCTCTGATCCCTCTGATCAGCTCAGTGAGTCTGATCAGAGCACTCTGATTTGCTCTCTGAGCATTGCTTACATGAGAGCCAGTGGCCTGACTCAACCACCCCAGTAAAACGCAACACGCTACCCCTCACAAAAGTCTCTCCCCATTTTTAGAACGCTCAAATGTTCCATCACCAAAAAGTTACGCATCACAAACAGCCGCAAAATTGCGTGGCAAAACTATCTCCTAGGAGCAAACACACAGAGCAGCTCACTTCATTGTCCGATGAAATTCTGGTCGAAATTCTGCGCTCCTGGGAGCAATTCGTCTAGTTTGCCTTGGTATGCTGCTTCTCGCAGAGGTCAAAGGCCAGAGAGGGTGGGGACCCAATTGTCTACAACTTCCAATTAGAGCTACATGTGTTCGGTTCGAATCATTCAACAGAGAAGTAGTGAGTTACAATGAAATAGCCTTTTCGTAGCTGAATGCTACTGACAAAGATGGTCTCGTGGACAATTAATCCTATGACTCCCCCGATCCGAGATAGGGCGAGATTTCTTGCAGCGGCCAATGAGCAGGCAAAAAGGCCATGGCACTTTGCTACTCCTAGGAGCTTGAATTTCGATTATCACCTTCACTTCTTCTCCTACTCCTCTACAGATACAGATCACAGATCCTGGGAGCGAAGAGAACATAATAAGCCTCACAATTATATTGAGGGCCCATAAAAAAGCTATGCTTCAGAAGCCACATTCGATGCGGGCGTTTACCTCGGTGTCCTTAATTATGAACACTGAATATTTTAATTTTCTCCTTCAATATGATATATAAGTAGTTTAATACCGCCCCTCCCGATAGAATAAATCGAAACCTCTCCCTACCAGTGCCGTACCACTGTATCTGATTTTATTTGGTCTTATAATGCGTAATAACCACGTATCTCCTATAAGGTATTTGAAGATCAAACAAATACCATCTTTTAAAGTGTTTAGAGCCGTGTAAATTAATCAGTATAGATTCGGCAGAGAATAAAAGTAAGAATGTGGATAACTTTCGTTTTGTTGAGCTGTATGACCCTTACTAATTTGTCTGCTATAATAGATTCTAGGTATCATATAATTTTTAATCTTGATGCTACCGCATATCTATTCATTTAAGATAAAATTAACGAGAGTAGCGAAGGCTTAGAACGTTTAGATTCCAATTCCATAACCACCTTGGTTACTACCTCAGTAGCCTGTACAGAAGAAACAGAGATACCAGAGCGTATTCTAGCAGAAAACACCATAATTAATTCTCAGGAAATGAGGTTTAAGAGAGCGATTGATTATATGCAACCTTCGCTACGGGAGAGTGGAAAAAGGATAAGAGTTTCGTACCCCCTTTAGGGAGCTTTTAAAGATGATTAATCTGTAAGTAAGGAGCAAGGAAAAAGTCCTTTCCTACCTTCAGAGAAGTAATCAGTCAGTAAAGAGCTGATCCTAAACATACGCCAATATTTAGAAATGATGATAAACTATCTTGATTCTGTAACGCGAAATATATTATCAGAGATAACACTGAAGATAAAGGTACCATTACAACTTACGACTCAATTGCTGCTGCAGAAGTACAATATAGAGACTAAAGAAGTAGAGTTAGGACCAGGTTTCGTAGAAGATATAGCTCCTAAATATAAGAAAACAGAATTTATCTTTAAGAAATATGCTGACGAGAATGGTAAGCGCTATGGCTAAAAAGTCAGAAAAGGATTTCTGTAAGCCGCTTAGTGAAATCGTCCGATAACAACTAAATACAGTTAAGATAAGAGAAAAATAATTAATTTATATGTATAGAGCCACTAAGAGTCACTGAAGTTAAGTGTGTATGGCCGGATAACTTTAATCTGTTCTTAAGGAAAGCACGAGTCCGGGCTTCTGTTTATCCTACTTACTGTTGGGCTGCCTTGTATAGCACTGGTTTAGTATTTTACTTTGTATATAAGATACTTGACACCGCCACAATAAATTACTTGAAGCTATATAGTTTAAAAATACATTATGTATCAGTACATACATAAATATCTGTATCTCTGTCAGTACAAAGACATGTCAGTAATTACATCAACTAGTCAAAACACTGACGCTTGTGGACGATCAAAGGGACACCCAAAGGCTACTAAGCATAAGTAATAACCTGGCTACAGGCTCAGAACATGCTATTTGCGGTAATTGTACAATCTCCTTCATTAGATACCTGCCCATGAGCAGTTTGTCCAGTAAGGGGCAAAGGCTCATAACCAGATCAGCACAAAGACATGACGAGTCCAAATTTAGCTGTGTTATTTGCAAAAATCTAGTACTGGGACGGTTTTTCTCCATTTAAAACACTACATACCGCAAGAAAAAATCGCTCCCGAAGAAATACAATAAGATTTTGGAGATTGACGGGCTACGAAAAGAAGCTGCCCAAATGCTGTTCGGCATCTGACGATCATGCTTGAGAATCAAAAATCACTTCATGATATGTTGCCTAGACTAAGGTGCTTGGAGCCATTACCAGAATCTCTGAAGCTCCTGGGAATTAAGAGAACCATCGAGAAGTCTTCTGATAGGTCCAATTATGTGTGCCAATCTGCTCGCTGTATTCCACACGAGCTATAAAAGAATGCCTCGATATCTCTAACGAGCAATAATTTTTCCTCTGTCACCCGGAGCCTCTCGTACTTATTGCTGATGGATATTTCGGACGTTAGTCTGCAGCAAAGTAGCGCATTCGATTCTTGAGAAATGGATCTTCGAACGGGACGTGGAGCTAATACATAATGGATTCAAGTTGCGAAGCAACCATATTAGATCACACACACGAGGCTCGTATCTACAATGGCCACAGACGGGCTAAATTGATGAAGTTGATCGATGAAAGAAACATCACGCTCTGGAAAGAGTACGGTAAGATATCTGCAGTTACTGCCATATCTGATATGTACCGACTCGCAAGATTTTCGGGAAAAATTGAGAATAGACACGATGAATTTAAGCTACATTAAGGATTCCCTTTTCCTAGCACCAGCTTGATCAAAAAGTTCGTTCTATGGTACATCGCAGGACCGAAAGGACGCATTAGCAAAGATGGAAAGCCTAAGACCCGGAAAGTGC